TCAGCAATCCTCGATTACGTCATCATCGCCACACAATAGTCTTGGTCGCTCAACTCGGACTAGTTGGGTTCCGGACTCCAGTTCCGATTCACAAAGGCAAGACTCTGAGCCTTCGGACGGCTGGTCGATCGATACAAAGGGGACTCGGATCCGGAGTCCCGGATGGGTTGATACAAAGGAGACAGCGGTGGATTTGTTGTTCACAAAGGACTAGTAGCTACAAAGGACTCATAAATTCTATAAATACCCTCATGTAATTCGTACTTTCCAGGAATCAAGTTACTCTCTACTGCGACTCTTAGTGTGTAGTTTGACAGTCTCCTCAGTTAACGTTCCATCTCGCCTCGTCTCGTCTCGTATTGCCTCGTTCCGAAGTGCGGCTTCGTCGTTCCGCACTACTCTCGTCTTGTTAATCGTCACCTTCGGAACTCGTACGTTCCGCTCGGATCTACCTATTCCTTCTCACTCTTGACCCCTCTCGGCGTCCGTACCTTGCGGACTCAACTGACCTCTTCTACCTCAACCGGTACTTGAGATCGACACTAGGAAGGCTGACTGTACATTCTAAAGGATTAGAAACTGTAGGAAGACATTGTCTAAGCTTATTATAATAATTTGACTGTAGGACATTCAGGCTAACACAAAATGTAGAAACTCATTACTTAAAACTACTAGTAGTCAGGAATGTAGAAGGAAATCCTAAAGTACATGACTGGTTACAATACATACTAACAGACTAAAGCCTACTAGACAAGGGTTTAGGCTCCCCTACATCTGTATCAGATCCTAGATCACTCTTAGAAAGAAGTCTTAATAGACCTGATTAGTAAGCTACCCAAGTCTTAGAGTTATAATACTATCTGTGTGATTGTCAACTGATTCTCTAAGTAAGTCTATACAGTTCCAACCCAAACAGAACTCACTTCTGAAAGTATAGTACACATTTATTAGGATCATGTTTTCTAGTTGTACAAACTCCCTCAGAAGCTCATTCACAATTACAGACTGTAATTCAAGTCAAAATTCATATAGGACTTGTATATACTTCTCAGAATTTAAGGGAACCCTTCTACTACTTATTACTCACAGACTGACAGTTAAAGTGAGTGAGTCAATTAGGAGATTAAGCTCTACCTCTAGATGTTTATCAATCATTAGTAATCAGATTAGTCTGAATAGTTAGCTCTGACAGAATTTGTACACAATAACTAGTAACACTCTGTAACAGGACAGTCTCTATTCTTCCTCAATCATAAGAGACATCTGTACTAGGAGACAGTTCTGAACTGGAACAGTAGTTCTGAATCTGTAACAGACTTTATAGAACAGATGTACAGAACTAGAGAGGATGTATGAGCTCTTTTAGAAAAGGTAGTACAGGTTATAAAGTAGAACTATAATCAGAAGAGGTTTACAGCCAAGGATTACTAGCCTAGTAATAAGGTTATACTAGAAGCTACTAATCTGACCTTAGATTGTCTAATGAAGAAGTTAGACAACAAGCACTTCAGACCCTTTGTCATTAAAAGGAAGGTTAGTACCTCTGTCTACAAACTCTAACTTCTAGCAATATAGAAGTGTATACACCCAGTGTTTAACAAGGTTCTACTATCTTAGTACTACAATCCTAGTTTTCCTTTGTAACAAAGACCCCTACTACCTCCACCAGAACTCATCAGTTTCAAACCAGAATACAAAGTAGAGTACATAGTAAATGTTAAGCTAGTGTACAGAAAGCTTAAGTTCCTTTTCTACTAGAAGGGATACCTAGTTGAGAAACATACTTGGGAACCTACTAAGAACCTTGCCTATACTCCTAAGACAATCTAAGATTTCTATCAGCTTCATCCTAGTACTCTATACAAACTCAGCCTTACAGATTTCCAAGCCCTACTGTTCCAACCTATGCCTGAGCTACTAACTGAGCCCTATGTTCACCAATTAGGACAATTGGTTTTAGAGGGGGGGTAATGTTACAGTTCTCTACTCTCTTACCTTCAGTTCTAAGGGTTCTACACTCTTCTGTACCAGAACTCAGAACTTCCATACCTTAGAGGCACTGTCTATGAACTATATGTGTGCTGACTCTTACTACTACCCTTCCTTACTTTATCATTCTATTCCTTTGACCACCCCTTCATTCTCTGTTCATTCTATAGTCTCTTACCCTTTGTCTATCCCTTCATTCTTTGTACCTTTATCTTTGACATTCCTTTCTTTCATTCTTTGTAGCTTATCATTCTTAGTAGCTCATGCTCCCTGAGTACTCTTGTGTAGTTTAGTATATATAGGTGTACAAGATCAGACTGGTCCTGTAGTCTTAATCTTGTCTACTCTAGATAGTCCTGTACTCTTAGGCTCACTCTATATACTCTACTCTTGTCTCACTCTCTCTCTCTGTCTGTTCTGCAAGTTCTGACTATGTTCTAGTACTTACATTCTGTATTTCTGTTGTGTAGGATAGTTGTAGCCTGGGTCCCCTCACTGAGCCTTCAGGTCCCCTCTACACTGTCACTAACACTTACTACATAATCCAACTACCTAATACATTGCCTGGCCTAACTTAGAAGTCAGTAGGAAGGATGGATGGTCTGAGTGAGACATACAACTAAAAGCAAAGTGTGTTCAGAGAGCAGTTAGCACCTGCTAGTAATAATCCCATTTATTCTCTACCTTAAAGGAGTTTGTTCAAAGGCATTCACTAAAGCAAAAATGAAGTATTAATTACTCTACAAGTCAGTGGATTGTAGAAATATTTTGTATACTGATTATAGAACAGATTGTACTAAGGAGTCCAATATAATGATTCTGGGTCTCAAGGTTAGAATGAGTTTGCCTATTGTACAGTTTGACAAGTCTCACCACAAAGTAAATCAGACTAATAGGGTTGCATGGTTTGGACTTTGTTGCCAATGATGAATCATGGGCCTATATGCATACGTATTGTGCTCACCCAGAAGAATTTCACCTGCGAGGACATAGTTCAGTGGGTGCTTGAGAGATAATCACATAGTCTCCTTACCTCCTTATCTGTAGTCGTGACTTCAGAAAGTCAGTGAAAGTTTGACAAAAGAAATAGTAATACAAACGGGCATGGTAGACTAAGATAGTCAACAGTATCATGTCGAAGTACATATAGGTGACGACTTCGGAGATGCCAGAGATGAACATTTGCACCACGCTTGGATCAATGTCCATAGCACTGGAGCAGGTGGTGACTGAGTCGATATGTCTGTAGTTAAGTGTCTGGTTTGCCATTGGATGCAAGATTACAAGACAAGCAAGATACCCTAGGGTAGTTGCCTTCTTATAAGAATTACGAGCCAGAGGAATGATCCGAACTGTATCTATACATCATCCCAGGTGCAAGTTGAGCTTTCCATTCAGAGCCTACTCCTTCATGATGAATCACTTGAGCTGTAATACAATCCAGTGCTGTTGAGACAAATTTGCAGAGGTAGCAAACGTATATGATTGTTGCACTGTTGTGAAAGGACACAATGTCACGGAGTAGGGAAGGAAGAATATTCATAGCTTGTGTACACACCATCTCCAATATCTCAATCATCCATGTTCAGGCCTTCTCCGTTGCTGATTTTGAGTACCAACTGGGAGGTCTGATGTAACTTGCTGCTATAGTTATTACACGTTGTTGATGATAAGAATGCACAGTTTCTGTTCATCGTTAGTTGTTTTAGCCACAAGCACAGCTCATCAATTTCCACCACGTGATGTCATTTTGACCAGACGCGCTTGATCAATCAAGAAAAGTCGAAGTGAAGTGCAGCGCAACCGTATGCCGCGTCTCTTACCTCGTCTGCTCAAATGGCTCGAACATAATCCTCTCTCCCAGCCAGACTACCGCGGTCCGCTCCTTAAACAATCCCGTCGTAGTCGGAGATCTTTATGGCGACCTACTCCGTCTGCAGATGAATTCACGGAAGCATATTTGCTTCCAAATCGACGCAGGTCAATCGTGCTTGATGAGGATAATATTTTCACGTCGCGAGAGAAGAATACGAGGCATAAACGCCTGCCTCCTGTGTTGAAACTCCAGAAAAATCAGGAAGGGTTGGTTATTAATAATGATACTCCACGAGAGATGACAGAGCAGGAGAAGCAGTGGTGGTCGAGTCCTTACCGTACGCCTTTGTTTTATCTTCGTGGTGACCGACTGCACACTCAATTGATTTACTACAGTAAGGATGCTTTCTTCATCTTTCAGAAGATGCATGGTCTCTGGAAAACATCTTCCCACTGGTATGTGTTTCAGTATAATCTCACAAATACCAATTGACAGAGACGTATTGCTTCATATAGACTTTTTAATCCGACTCGTTGCATTAAGGATGCCTCGAACCCGTACCTCTCCGGCTGCATCAGTACTCGTACCCGATGGCATTCTGCATCCCAAGTTCGCTAAACGTGCACATGGAACAGGTCATTATCTGACTTGTTGGAATAAAGCACTGGACTGGATGATTAAGAAGGGTATGTCTCGCCTTTCATTCCATGTCGATAAAATCTTGAGCCGGCGTACCTAACGATCGATTGTTTGTTTTGAAAAAGAGGTACCGGAGAGGATCTACAAAAATGCCTTTGCACATTCACTTTTGTCGGAACAGATAGGACACCAACTTCGGTTACGCGTTTTGCAAGAGTTGGAATTACTTGTATACAAGTTGAAGGTGGTGTCGAGAACGACGGGTGATGGGGATGTTGTCTTGCGACGACTCACAAGGACTGAATGGACGACTATGAAGAGCACTGGAAATATTCCTTGGCCAGGCGCATCTTGTGTACTTGTCGTTCCGCCCGTCAATAGGGACCCCCGAACGAAGCAGAGGGCACAGCCGAATTACAGTAATACCCCACCGGAGGAGACATCCATAGACTCAAATTCTTCTGAAGTTGAAGGAAAGACCCTACCACCACTCCCAGAGCTTTCCGTGCTCTACCCTACCGAACCCCCAAACTTCGAAGAACCACTGGACTTTCTACAAGATTCACATTTACCCCAATCACGCGTACCGCTGTACAACGGACTTACTCTTTTCCCATCACGGACTCAGCGAGCGGCTTTACACGAGAAACTTTGCGAGCTTCTTGGTATCGAAAGGCAGAAACTGAAGAAGCGACGCAGACACACGGACGATAAGTCGAGTCATGCCTTCGTTTTGTTTTCGACTGCAAAGACGCTTAGTAGAGTGGATACTGTACCTTTGTTGATTGCGTTATGGAGGATTAGGATGTGGGAAGGGGCTGGATGGGGGGATTGTTATTGGACACCACGGACACAATCTTAGACGCACATTTAATCATTAGAAGTACTGCAGCGTATCCTATAATGCTTACAAATGTCAACCCACTCAGAAAAAATCATGGTCATGCCTTTTGTAGAAATATATCTTGGAAAGGGTACAAAAGAATCTACATTACACTTCTACGGCCATAGGTTCTGGGATAGGTTCAACGTCACCAGCACCACCAAGCACTTCCTTGCCTTCCCAGAACTTCGGAAGCTCGTTTCCAGGGACGAATAGCCTCTCAACACCACTTTCTGTGATCACGCACATGCGAATGACACCTCCAGATGAACCATCTCGCGACATGGCGAGGGCGAGCGCTGCAGATAATTATAAAATTAATATCGCTTCTATTAAAAACGATAAGCTGTTGTTACTTACTGTTTTTAACGAAGTTGACTGTTTCGTCTCGACCCCAGCCCTCTCGGTAAGTCGCATCGCAATATCCGTACACGTACGTAGACCCGGAGCCTGGTCGAGAATTAAAAAAAATATTAACAGCAACAACAATATCGGAACTGAGTACCTCCGATGGCCCAAGGTTGACGGAATATACCTCCTCCAAGAGGGATGTTGTACACGCTCGGTCCAACTTCCTTGTCCCATCCAGCGACGATGATACTTGCACTCAGTTGCTCCTTGTTACTATAGCACATTCTCTGGAAGAGCGTTGCGACTGAGTGTACAGGAGGGCGCTCGCTATACTGTTGGCTATACAAACGTATCATCGATATGTGTCGAAAGAAAGAAGGAGGTGATGGGGGACGTACTTGTACATCTGGCTGTAATAGTGGACTATATCTGCGATTGCTTGAGTGTCGGCGGCGGAACCAGATCGACAGCAGTATATCCGGTCGTGGATGTGTGTTAATTTGTCGGTGACGCGATTTACCTGTCGAATGGGCAGAAAAGAAGTCAGCACTAAAGAACCTGTAAGTATACCAAGGAAAAGCCTTGTACAATGTAACTGCCAGAGGTTGTCCGACTGTCTGCACCAATTACAACACCGTCTTTGAATTGAACGGCCATAATGGACGTCTAGATTTCAACTCAATATGATTTACAGGGATTATTATGAGAGAAAGAACGTACCCCGAGGTTAACCTCGCCCTTCTTGAGATGTTCAATTTCGTTCTGCATGGTTTAGTCGTAGTTGTAGTTGTAGTGAAAGTAGAGTGGTGGACCGCGTCACGATGTGTGAGTGGCGATCCGCGAGAGATGACGCGTCTCGGTACACGCGTCTTGACTGTGCATTTCTTCAACCTCTCTTACTCTTACTGTCCTTCTCACCTTTACGTTCTTAAGGAATTCTTTCCAAGATGCCACCCTCTCCGCAGCTAGTAAAGGATTACCGTGATCTTGTAAAGGCGTTTGAGAGTCGACCGTGTAATTTAAAGAAATGCGGAGAGCTACTTGCGAGATTGAAAGTGCGTTCGTCTGGGGCTTGACTTCTCGACTGTCTATTTATTCATTGTGATATCTAGGTCGGACTAGTTACAGGTGGACTCTTACCCGTCCTTCCCAAGGCTGACTCGAGTGTGGAAGACTTGGTTGTCGTCCGTACGCATATTCCGACTTCTTACTGACACGGACATCAAAATTCTTCTAACATTGATTTAGGCAACATTCTTGAAATTGGGGCTTTCTGGAGTATTCGAAGCAAGGATATACCCTCCTTCGACCGTTACTTTGCTCAACTTCAAACTCTCTATAATGACTATAGGTATGCAAGTTCTAACATAAACGTTCATTTCACCCCAAACTTATGAATATGTGCGCTATAGCACGATCTTGCCACCCTCACCCCGCGAATACCCACTCGTCGGCCTTAACCTCATCCGCCTTTTAACACAGAACCGCATAGCCGACTTCCACACGACTCTCGAGGCAATCCGTCTTTCGCCAGAAGCAGTAGCAGAGAATCCATACGTTGCTCACCCAGTTGCCGTTGAACGCTGGCTTATGGAGGGAAGTTATAGTAAGGTGTGGAGTGCTCGTGAGGAAGCACCCGCAGAGGAGTATCGATTCTTTGTTGATAGCTTGATTGGTACTATTCGGTAAGCGTTAACATTCGGAATGCAGATGAATTGTATCTGATGGAAATGTGTTTCGTGAAGGAATGAAATTGCGAGCTGTGAGGAAGTGGCGTATGATAGTTTACCTTTGAAGGACGCTGCCACCTTACTCTTCTTCACGAATCACAATGAGCTCTTGGCATTTGCACAACAGGTAGGCAACTTTTCATTCTGTTTGATGCTCGAATACCTCTCTAAATCGAGTAATCTTTCAGCGAGGATGGCAGATCAATCTCGTCGAGGAATCAATTACATTCAAGAAAAAGGATGAGGAAAGGGCAGTAATCCCAACGGCAAAACTCATATCCGCAAACCTCGCATACGCCCGAGAATTAGAACAGATTGTGTAGATTGCAGAAAATGTAGTTTTTCTTTTGGCCTTTCTTCGATTTTCACCCTTGCATGACATGCTATAAGAATGTAATTAGAACAATATGATACATCTAGTCCGCAGCGAAGTCCTCCAATGCTGCGCGGGCCTTTTCTCCCGCTTCCTTCAGTAAGTCTGAAGGTACTGGCACATGTTTGAAGTTGCTCTCTGCACAGATCCATGACATCTCTAGCTCGAAATCCTTGTCCTTTGCGGCATCGTCATGAACAAGATGAACACTAGTAAAGGCAAGAGTCAATAATCAATATATCAAACCTCGTTCAGGGCAGATTTGTTGCTTACATGCGTGCGGCTTCGATTGCTGCTTCTCGGGCGCTCAACTCGTTGAATTTGAGTTTTTCGAGTTCGGTCTTGGCGAGTTGTTGTCCTTTACCGATTGCTGCGCCATTATAACCCTGGGTGTACGCGTTAGTCTCATCAACAAATGTACAATTAAACAGATTGAAAGATTACGCACGTAAAATACACCGCTTGGCTCGACGACCAGGAGGGAAGGACCGCTCTTGTCAACTGCACCTAGAAGAGTGCTCGTACCGAACGGCCGAACGGAGGAGTAGAGGGTATAGGCTTGGACATATTGACTTAGCCTATCAGCTATAGCCTGAAATAAATATAATAATACGATAAATACGAGAGTGCGAGAGAGAAAGCGTGTGTGTGCTTGCCATGAGTGTTGGAGGAGAACGGTAAGTATCGCGGAAGTTTAGTGCTTCATCACTTGCACGACTAGCGAGATGGCGACCATCAGCAAGGAGACCTGCAGTAGCCTATTGAGGAGCTCATTAGCGATTAGGCAACATGCTGTATATTGCGAGCATACCATGCCGATATGTCGGTCGACCGATTGAATACGTCGATTCACTCCGGGAACGAGTAATTTCGATTGTATGAGTTTCTCTACTGCTAGCACGACGCCATCCTTGAAACGAATACCAATAGCTGTCCTGTATACAGTCGATACGTAAATAAGCACCATAGCGTGAATAGCGGTAATCAGAACTGACCCAGAGTTCTCGACCGCTTTACCAGCATACTCAACCTGCATGGACGGACATGAAGTAAATACAAAGTCGGGAAGCCTCAAAACTCGAGAACGTACCTGGAATATACGACCATCCGGAGAGTAAGTCGAAGCTGAAAGATCGTATCCAGTACCTATGGATGTCATTGTAGTCTTAGGACAAGCAGGTAGTGAGAGTTACGCGTCTCAATACAGGACGCGTAGTCTATCCGTCGTGAGACTTACCTGCCTCTACGGGAATGGCACGTGCTGCGCGTTTACACTCTACGCTGTGCAAGAAGAGCGCGTGTAGCTTGCCCTCTTGTGCGCGTTCATACACTGTTCAATATTTCATGGCATCGGAAATCAACTGGGAAGCTCTCCTCGATGACCATCCCATATTCTCACCGCCATCTGCATCGTTAAATGCACCAGAACTTTCTGCTTCCTTAAAAGACCTACAGAATGACGAAGACTCTGACACTGCTGAAGCTTCGGGCAGACGCCAAGTTATGTGCATGAAGGATTCAGATCTCATACTGGCATGTGGCTCTGAACTAAGGATGACGTCTCTCCACGATGTAAAAATGTCTGGAGGGTCGCAAAGAACATATAAGGTAGCAATATATTTCCATCTGTCAAATATTGCTAATGACTTGTGATCGCAGGTCCTACACAACCCAAGCATTGACTTCGACATACGCCAGATTTCACTGAGTCCAAACAAGAAACTACTGGCTGTTGCTGGGGTATCTCAAGTCGCACTAGTAGTTCTCCCGAGAGCCGGATTTTCAAAATTCGGGACGTCCCGTATTGACTGCAAGTAAGCTATATTTCTCGTACTTTGTAGTTCCGGAAGTCTTATGCTTTTTAAAAGGTCACTTCATATTGGGCCATATTATCACTCAAATTTATCGTCTCCTCTGGTCAAGATAGACTGGCATCCGTGGGGCGAAGCAGGTTCTACACTGCTTGTCATGACTGCGGATGGCAGGTTGAGAGAGTACAATGTATCTCTCGATCCGGACGAGCCACGCAAGATGCTTGATTTCGTCCCGGAGAAGAAGCACGGATCGTTTGCAGCCGTCGATGAGTCCGAGAGAGAAGTCGCGTCGTTCACTTTCGGAAAGGGCAAGGCCGATTGGGGGCCGTTAACCTTGTACGCTTTAATGAAGAGTGGTGACATTTATGCTATTTGCCCGTACCTCCCTGAAAATTCGTAAGTCAACTGCCTCTCGTAGAAAGAGATACCTTTTCTCAATATCTGCAGGTCTGTACCATCATCATATTTACATGCACTTGAATGCTTTGTCTCCGCAAAGGAAGAGTTTGTTGCTGAAAGTAATGGCGACCTCGACGAGTCTTTCTCGGCGATATACAATTATCAAAGGAAATATGTCAATGCATTGCTGAAACAGCTTCCACCTGGAAGTACGATTTCTTCCACGTCCCAATCTGTTCCCATACGCGCGCCTAGATCATGTCCGGGAAGGCCTTTGCGTCAAGGGCCATTCCTGCTTCAGCCCTCCCCGCCAGAGCTGAAAGACAGTCCCGGAGGATATGCTACGGACATTGCGTATCTCACTCTTGGCAGTGCGTTCTCAGGCCCGGACGACCAATCCGATGACGAAGCGTCATCTCTATCAAGTGAGAGGCTTGGTGTTTTGCTTGTTGCGTTCCAAGATGGCAGGGTCGACGTTTATCTGGACCTAGAAAAGGTTGAGGCAAAATGGGACACGGATTCAAGCAAGGTAAGTAGAAACGCAAGAAGACTGAGACACGTTCCCAACTGACGGAATTCTAGTCACCCACAGCCTCCCCTCCCGCCCTTACTGCTTACGAAACGATTGATCTTGCTATCGTGTCTTCAGTGCTGTCAACGTCTGATTCATCCAATACTACAGGGTTGCAGTTGATCGAAGGCAATCATTTAACATTCTACGCTGATCCTATTCACGACGATACGATCTACGCATATCACGCATTTGGTGTTCACGTCCTCAATCTCAATGCTATTTTCGAGAACTTGGCCGCGGCAATGAAAGAAGAGGACGAAAACGTTCTGAAAGACACAATGCAGCATTCCACGAACACCACCGTTCAGCCTATCCTCGTTACGTACTCCGTCGAGCAGCAGTGAGTGAATCTGTATTCCTTTTTCTCTTGCTTAGTTGTGATTGTGCCGCAGTTCAACCAATCCTGTCGTCGCCGTGGTAATCCCGAACGATGTCTATTTGACCTACAGTATCTTCATCCTTACTTCGACAATGCGGATTGTCGTTTTCACTCTCAACCTCCGAGCAGAAAGTGCCGAAGGCCCCGAAACGTCAGAAAAATCTCGAGACGTTCTGACTCTCCCAGAATTACCTGCCTCCGATCCTCCAGCCTACGTCTCACTCCTCGCAGCGCAGCCATTTGTCCATCCTCCAGCTCTCTCTCGTCCCATGGGATTCCCATCCATTGCGAAAGTGTTACCACCGAAATCTTGTAATATCAAGGAAGAGCTTCGTGTAACGCCCGAGACGTTGCGGTATCTTGCAAGTGTGGCGGAGCGCATTACTAGCGAGATGCACGACGCTGTCGTTGTGTGCCACACGATGAAGAATCGTGCAGACCTGCAGAAACAAGAATATGAGCGTCTCCAAAAGAAGGCGCTAGAGATTGTCGAACGCACGCAAAGACTGACGGGACCTCGGAAAGTCGAGGTTCAGAATCGACTACGAACCGTACAAGCCGAACAAACCAACCTGTTGGCACGAATGGAAAGGTTGCTCCAAGCTCTTATCAGACAAGCATCACCAGAGCTCAATGAACACGAGACGAGGTGGTTCGAGGAGCTGCAGCGTATGAAGGCTCAAGTATTAGGCATGGGTCGCTATGATGCAGAATCATTGAAATTGCGGATTCGTCAGGTACGATATTTTTCTCTTTTACTATGTTAAGCCTAACAGCTTTCTGGAAGCTGCAAACCGATTTCGAGCGAATAATGCCAGCGCTGAAAGAGCTTGCGAAGGAAGAAAAGGAGCGGAAATCTCGTGCCGAGGAGAACAATGCTGGAGCGGGACACTCATACGCGAAGGCGTATGAGAGAATGTCGAGAATTGAGTAAGTGTTAGTCCTTCGTTTGAAAGCGCTTGCTTAATAGTCGTATCACCAACTAGATCTGCGAAGCTAGAGGATGCAATTAAGCAAATTACGAGACTTGCGCGCAGGTTGGAAATATCAAACTTGAGCACTCCGCCTTCGTAGCACGTTTTGTTTAGTATTTTTAGCGCAGTAGTTGTGATTATATGTTTTAAAAAAATTGCAAATTGTGTTTCTTGTCTCTATGTTTGTACTTGTTATCCGACGCGTCTTGGTCAACCGCGTGTCACGTTCATGAAGCTTGAACTTGAAGGAACAAATAATTTCACCTCATACCAATTACCATGTCTGAACCTCTCAAAGGCGGTTTTGGTTCTTTCACGGCTGAAACACCCTTCAAGCCGTCTGGAAGCACTGGCACTACCCAGCCAACCAGTGTCTTTGGCAATCCAGCACCAGCAGCAAATACTGGTACCAATACGCAGGCCACGAGTGCTCCAAGCGCGTTTGGTGGTACCGGAGGTACTGGTAGCTTATTTGGTGGACGTATGTATCTTTCTTATCCTTTATGTTTGTTTTAATCTGAACACATCTCTCTGCAGCGAAACCTGCGACAGGTTCATTATTTGGCGGAGGGACAGCAGGGACAACAACGACTGGAACAGCTCCTTCGGCGACTCCTGTGACCGGTGGTGGAGGAAGTGGTTTGTTTGGGTTTGGAGCAACGTCCGCGACCCCTCCTGCTGGCCAAAATGCATCTCCGGCTCCTACAGCCCCTGCGACGTCAGCATTTGGTGGCGGGAACTTATTTGGCGCGAAACCGGCTGACCAGTCGGCGAATGCTGGTGCGGCTGGTGCGCCGGCAGCGCCTAAACCTACAACTGGATGTGAGTTACCTACGACTAGTTAGCTTACAATGATGGTTACTCATCTGTCTTATGCAGTATTTGGCACAACAACCGGAAACGCTGCAGGTATTTGTCAATCAGACATTCGGAATTGTTCTTTCTGACGAGAATTGGCATGTACGTTAGGCACGCAATCAGCACCTGCAACGACATCCACAACTCCAAGCCTCTTCGGAAAGCCTGCAGATGCAGGCACCTCAACCCCCGCTCCCGCCCCTACCGCACCCGCTGGCGGCTCCATCTTTGGAACCAATCTCTTTGGCAAGAAGCCAGACACACCATCAAACGCAAATGCAACCACCTCCTCTACACCTGCTGCACCTGCTACCACGTCACTTTTCAGTGGGTTCGGAGCCAAAAAGGATGATGCGGCAGACAAGGACAAAGACAAGGCACCAACGCCAGCTGCCCCAAGTACGCACATTCTCTTTGACTTCTCGGGGCACAGTCCGTTGACTTACTACTACCAGCGGGAGTATTATTTGGACAGGCAGCTGCAAATAAGGATGCACCGGCTGGTAAGTTTGAAGGCTTTCTTCTATCATATTCAGACTTTTTGAGGGAAAATTAGCAGGAGCAACTGGTTCCGGATTCAGCTTATTTGGCCAAAAACCAGCAGAAAAGAAGGACGCACCAGCGGGTATGTCCACCACCACTCACTCATCCTCGTATTATTTCTCAATAATACCCGATTTGTACAGAGGGAGAAAAGAAAGATGCTACAGGTAATGTCCGCTATTGGTCTACAATGACATGAAAGCATTGAAGATCATTCAATTAATTTGGAGTAGGTGCGCCCGTCACAACCGGCCTTGGTACAAGTAGTTTAGGTGCGTCGTGTGCACCTTTAGCAACATACTCCAACTCATGGTATAAGTAGCGAAACCAGCTGGGTCCGGCACACCAACACCCGCGGGAATATCCGTACCTCCTCCATCGATGCTAAGAGGGAAGACGATCGAGGAGATAGTCAACAAATGGTCGTCTGAACTTGAAACACATGTGCGGGAATTCAACCGCCTTGCAGGAGAGATTGCAGTATGGGACCGATCGCTCGTGGATAACGGGAATACCGTAAGGTCAAACACTTACAGAGTTTCCTACGTACTGACGAATAGAAAAGATCGCTGCGCTGTTCCAACACGTTTTAATGGCTGAGAGAGAACAATCTGACATCGAACAATCATTGAAATTGGTCGAGGACCAACAAAAAGAGCTGGGTGCCACGTTGGAGGTGTATGAAAAGGCAGCTGGCGAGATCTTCGAGGGACAGGGGGGAGGATTACGCGCGCTAGATGTTGGCCCTGCCGATGCTGAACGCGATAAACAGTAAGTGTATTCCATTCCGTGGCGGAGAGGCTCCTTTACTTATTGCTCGTTCTCAGTTACACTCTCGCTGCTGATCTGAACTCAAACCTTGATGACCTCTCGCGGTCGCTCATGCAAATGATCGAATCCGTTAACGCGCTCTCCGAATCACCTGATGGCACCATCGGAGGTGAAGGTGAAGTTGCAAAGGTGAAAGACGAAGCACCACTTGAACAAATCGCGCAAATCCTGAGTAAACATCTGGAGAGTTTGCAATGGATAGATGGCGCTGTGAGGGAGGTGGACAGTAAGGTTACGGAAGTTGAGCGGCTTGTGCGGGATGCTTCTGCGAATGGGTCGAGAAATAGTAGTGCTGCGAGTTCATTGGCGGGGTCGGTGAATGGGACTTCTGGGTTGACGGGGTCGCGAGGATTTGGGTTAAGATGATTGTGTGTTTTGTATCGTAGTATATGCCACCACCATTTATATTTCATAAAGCGGCCAATTAAGTTGAGATGACTGAGCTGGTGGTTGTCCAATGTCAAATTGTTGCCGTGGCCATGTTCAAGGCCAATTAGTGAGTCCTAAATTAAGAACGACGGAAGTCGGGAGTTGCCGACGGAGTACGTGCTGCTCAACTTTTCTAACTTGAAGCTAGTGGCTTTCTAGTGAACCGTCATGTCCCAAGCAGATGTGCCAGGGCCGACCTGGTAAGTGCACGACGGTTCATGTCGTTACATTAAACTAAGTGAAATCATCACGAAGGGCTGAGGCTTCGACAAACGCTTACGCCGCTGTAGAAGCACAAGCAGCAGCGCTGGCTGGGGCACACGACGCGGACAGTGACGTGGAGGACGAAGCGCACGGGTTTACGTATCCCGATGCAGATAATGTCGAAGATGATCATGCTTCAAACAATTCTGACGCGGAATCTGGCGAGGCATTCACCTATCCAGCAGACGAAGCAGCTCATAACATTTCGACGACTGTACAAGAACCCGCAACGACTTCGGTTCCCCCGGCTCCTCCAGAATTAGTCGCGCAACAAGAACCTCAACCACAACCTGTTATTCACGTTCCACCTGCGCAGCTCGAAGCGCTCTACGCTGCAGGATTAAACGGCAACTTGCTTATGCTAAAGAAGCTGGTTAGTGAAGCGACCGCGTCTGGTGAATTCGAAGCATTCGCTCTTGTGAATGATGCGTCGCCTCGCACTGGACTCACAGTGATACACGCCGCAGCAAGTCGAGGCCACCTTGAAGCTCTAAGATGGCGTAAGAACATACAGTTCAATTTATTTGGTTTTATAACTCAAGCGAGATGAATCATTTTATTAAGTGGTCGAAGAATGTGGTGGTATACCAGACCTCGAAGACAAGGAAGGAGAGGTTCGTCGACGCGTTTTTCATATTGATGACTCAATCTCACGTATATTTAGACCGCATTGCATAAAGCTGCTTTGCATGGTCATTTACAAGTTATTTCTTATCTTGTTGGTACTGGTGCAGATGTCAGAGCGCGCGACGGAGACGGCTGGACGGCGCTGCACAACGCTGCATCCAAGGTAGGTTATATACTACTTCACATTACTAGGCTTGAGGTAGCTTATTCTACTTAAATTAGGGCTATCTCGACATTGTCAGGTGGTTATGCGAGACAGGTGGTGCGGCAAACGAGGTCGATGGTGTTCGAGGTGTAGATGCGCGCAGCAAAGGTGGTTGGACGCCCCTGAGTGAGTCAGAGTCTCCCAGAGAACGAGTCAGTTTGTCTGATTCTCATCGTCTTTCAGTGAATGCCGCGTCCAAGGGCCACCTCCCTATTGTTCTGTATCTTCTGTCGAAACAACAAGCTAATTCATTGGTTCGCAATGATTGGGGCGAGACGGCATACGACGTAGCTGCCGCTGTCTTCGAAATTTGGATTTGTGAGGTTAGTTCTCATGAATTCTTCTAGAATAAATACTCACTAAGCCTTTGTAGGTCCTGCAACGCGCTGAGACCGAAAAGTGGCGCAATACTACCGTGCAGTATGATCCTTTGGCAGTACATACTACGGTTCCGATAATACTGTACGAGCACCAACGGCTTGATGTACGCCTGAAAACTCTAGCAGTAAATGGCGGGAGACCCAAATTTTCCGTGACTGGCCTCGGAAAGAGAGGGCGAAGAGCACCATTCGAATTACGACTACCGAAAGCTGACGAAGAAACAGGCAAACGTGAGGTGCCTGCATGGCGCAGCGACGTGCAGTTGCCACTGATCGAAGATCCCTTTATACTACCGCAACCGTCTAGCGTGGATGCACCTACTCGAGAAGGAGCAGAAAGGAGCCATTTCTGGCTGTAAGTGTGGTATAGACAACTGTTACGTCGTGCCTTGCTTATGATTATTCTAGTTCTGACTGGACTCTGGACCTTACGCATCCGCGCGTAGATGCTAATGAGGGTTGGCAATATGCCCATTCTTTTGATGATACCGAGGATCAATGGAGTGCTGAGGCCCCACCACCGCTCGAGCGACTCTTAACTGGCTCCGGCATCGTGTCTGCTGGGCTTGGTGCTTCATCAAGCCGTTCAAATTCATTTTCTCGAAGTGCACCAACGCAAGCATGGGTAAGAAGACGGCGTTGGGTACGAGTAATGCGGCGAAGACTCGATATTCCCCCGCTTCCCTTCCTTGGACCAGATGGCGCTATGTATCACTTGTCTGAGGGCGGAAACCTAGTTCCTCACTACCCTGACACTGAGAACGACCACTTCGAAGTTGATGGGCAGGAGTTGGGATCCATGCCTGCTACATTTTTATCAAGAAACCGTGACTATGTCTCTCGATCGCGCTATTTAGCAGGAACGCCATCCGCAGCGGACTCTTCTGTCGAGCGAAGTTCAATGGCTGATGTTAGGCGGGCCGTCGCAAAACTCGAGCGGGCTGTCATGGAATTGCGTATGGGAATGCTAGGTGCGTATTGCGTATAGTATTTGATCATGAGAAAAACTTATAGTTTTACAAGGCGATGAGGACCATGAACGTAGGACACAGGCTGAAGTGCTTCTGAATGCTTATAGCAGAGAACTTGAACGTAGAAGACTCGCCGCAGGAGCTGCTGGGATTTCGCTTTCTAATAATGGTCGGTATTTTGATTGGCGTGTCAATGGTCAGCTCACGGAATGCTATCTAGTTGACGATGAAGAATCCGATATAGACGATTCGGATGATGAGAGTTTCCACTACCCCGGCTCATCCCCGACGACCTCAACACTCGCACGACCACCATCTGCCGGGTCTCAACGCTCCCAGGCTACAGATTATTTTAACCGACCGACGATTAGGAGAACCTCAACCGACTTGACACCGCATCTTTCTCAAGCGCCGGAATTTCGAGTACCGACGCATGAAGCCCCGCAGAAAGTCATTCTTCCTCGTGGAAGTACACCTACTCCACATACAATGCATGCCGTGTGGGAGAGAGACGACGCAGTTACAGAATGTCATGAGTGCAAGAGGCGCTTTTCGTTCTTGTTCCGGAAGGTAGGCGACATGTGCTTTGTCTTATGACTAGAAGATGTTTGCTGACCGGCTTTTTCTTAGCATGTAAGTTTATAAATACTTCATACGAGTAAATTTTCACAACATACCGCAGCACTGTCGTCGATGCGGCAAAATTTTCTGTGACCGAGATTCGTCTTATCGTGTCATGCTCGACCTAGCGGATATTGTGCAAGACCCAGCGCTTCCTGAAAATAGCATATCCAGTTCTTCGCAACAGCGAGTCTGTCGAACTTGTTTCGAAGAGACAAATGCAAGCTCGAGTGTGCCGGCCCGATTCCAAGGCTCGTCTAGCAGCTCTATCCAACGCATAGTCGTGGACGAAGATAGATTAGCTATTCCCACAAACTTGAGAAGATCCGACTCAAGCTCGCAGATTAGTGATCTCGCCGAGTACGTATCATCCCCAATTCTTTTTCGCTCGCAATGAATGACACTTTTGTAGTTGTCCTGTATGTGGGCAAATCCTAGCTGATCTCGGAACAGCAGCGGAGCAGGAGATCCATGTGAAGAGCTGTCTTGATGGTGGCGTAGGAGCCATTCAGCAACCTGCCAAATATCTTGTATATCGTTTGCCAGGCGAGAGCCTCCTGGTCGGTACCGAGTGTAAGCCGCCTGGACCTTTATAATCTCATCTGACGAGTTTATTGATACATCTCCCTTTAGGTGTCATATGCTTGGAAGAATTTATCAAAGGTGAGTTGCGCTAAAACACGTAATCGTATTGTAGTTATTAATATTTTTGTCAGGATCGATGGTTGCTCGCCTCAGTTGCCTATGCAGCTTCCATAGTAGTGCGTACATCATTGTTATAAGCTCCAGTCACACAAAGTTAATTATCTTATGTCTTTAGCTTGCTTATCGGCTTGGTTACAAAGGGGAAGGTCCTGTCCCGTTCATGCTAGGGACAATTAGACTTGCCTTCTTCCCTAACTCTGACACAAGAACATCTCGCTTGATGACCTTTCACGGATGACCGCTATTACGACAACTACAACTACAGTCTCATTTAATTATCTTGCTGATCTTTAGCCATTGCATGGGCTTACAATGATATTACATACCATTACATATTCTGACGCACGTATTTCATGAGTAATGACAGATAATTGCGTTTAAATATTATAAGATATGACACAGCACTTGAGTCAAAGCAACGGGGTTTGCGCGGATGCTAATCGTCCGGATCACGCGGCTCGTAGAACGAGCTGTACTGGATCTTGCTTTCATCCATGCGAATAATGTCTGAAAGATCCTCTGCATCGGGGTATATAATATCCTGGCCCTTTATTCCGTCATCTTCCTCATCATGAAACCATGAGGCTGGATCATCATCGTCCTCATCGTCCTCATCTTCACCTTCGAGATCCGAATCTGTCGGCTTGTAATTCATGAACGCCCAGACCTTCGCTGCGTATTCATCGCTTGTAAGGGTCCTTCCTTGACTTGTTTCTCGTGTAGGCAAGGTCATCTTTTCCCGACGTGCTTCTTCACGTTCTCGTCGTTCCCGTTCAAAGGCATTGTGTTGTCGTTCCAGTTCCATGGCTTCTTCGTGGCTCAGCGTGGCTACCTTAGGAGGACCTCGAAGGTCTGAGCTACTTAACTTGCCCTATAAGAACAGAAAAATATAGTTGTGTAAGTTAATTTAGTTAGGGATGAAAACAAAGGGAGATGCATACCCAATTAGCCAAAGCTTTCTGTTTTACACCCTTAGTATCTAGTTCTTTGTCTTCTGGTTCTGAATCAACCGCCATGATCGCGTCTTCGCTAATAGTCGCGCGCCGCATTCTATGTTGAATTTCACCCATTCCCTCTAGCTCGACTAATCGTTGGTGTATTTTTTGTTGGTTCTCTTCAATCTTGGCAACATAGGATGAGGAAGATGCTATTCTATCATGACTACTATTAGCTCCCGAAAAGCAAGGCGATAAAATGATATAATGATAGCTCACAGAGTCTGGAGGACTTGTTCGTTGTCACGGTACAGTTTACGCAATTCAGCCACGTTCATTTCTTCAATCGGTTTCGGTTTGTCCCTTGGGAACGGGCGCATGCCGGGTATTCCGGATTTTCCCATCTTGACTTTACTGGATGGCATTTGAGAAGGATGTGCTGACGAGAGAGTTGTATGCAGGAGAGAGAGAGTATGATGTGGCTGCTTCGAACAAGACGCAATATTATACTACGTAAATATTGAAGATCTGATCCGGATTTATACTAGTTTTGTACCGAACAGGTCCCGTGATGTGCCTTTCGATTCAAATCACGGGGGCAATACATTGTTCATTCATATGCATTCAGAGTCATAATGACGACCACTACATGCGAATACTACAATATACACATGGATACTCAAAGAATCAGACTATTCAAGCCACGTTCATTCAAATGACAAATGATACAAGTACAAACTGCATATACGCATAGGAGTGATTTTCATAACGGCTACTAAGAAAACATATCACTCTGGAAAGACAAAGCATTAGTACACTGTGCATTCAAATATAGGAACAAACAACTGACCATACCGGGTGGCATGAACTCGTCATTGTCGGGTTCACCGCTGCGTTGTCCACTTCCCGGACCACCACGTCGACCAGATCCTCCTCCGCGCCTGCCAAGCGGATTACCGCCTGGCCCCATTGGTCCAGGTAGAATGGGATCGAACCTAGCGCCCTGTGGAACGCTCATCGGGGGCAAAAAGCCATCACCTCCCCATGGCCCACGATTTGGGGGACTGCCCATTCCTCTGCGAGGTCCATCAAAAATCGGGTGGTCGGGACCAACATACATGCCATCACCCCGATTGGGAGGGAACAGTGGCGGCGGAGCAAATGGATTGGGCTGAATTTGCAAAGGAAGGGGATCGAGGTCACTCCTACCAATCTGAAGTGGGTTTTGTGGTGGGATGTGCGACTCAAGACCGGACGGACGGTAAGGTTCATTCAAAGGTGCGAATGGGCGTGAGGGACCTGGTCGTGCCGCCGGTTCTGATGAGGGCTGTTCACGTGTATTTGACGTCGAGTTCGTGGACGCGTCATCGTCTTCCGTGTACCCTTCCTTTCGCAATCCAGGGATAAGCTTTTGGACAATTGCAAGTTTGAACCGAGCGACAAAGTCGGCGACTCGATTTGACGAAATAAAGCCGTGTACTAGAGGCGCAGCGTCTTGCGTTCCAGCATCGTAAGGAAAGAATGAGGGAGAGACGAAATCATCTGTCGGGATATCCAGCGAAGCAGTTTTGTCTGTCTAGAGAACCGCAAGTCAACTTATGTCTATGGTTAAAGTTACATCTATGTATCACCTCAGATGCAATGGCATTAATCAGCGTCCTTGTACCGAGTTTCGTTATTTTCACGATAAATTCAAGGCTACTTTGATCGTGGCGATAGCGTAACGTGTAACTTCCTGGTCCATGAGCATTCCATTCATCTGGTAATACATTCTCCGCGAAAGTACTAGAAGAGGAGTCATCAACGCCAACCAGACGGAAGCCTAGTGCAGAGAGTATAGAATGAGACAGTGCCGCAACTCCGTCGTGTGGACGAGTGAGTGTTTTTGACTGCGGCAGGTACTTTGGTAAGGATGACAGGATAACAGAAGGGTCGAGTATGTTCGACATCCTGATTTTGAAGAGGTAGATGGCGCTGGCTGAACGTCGTCAGTGCTAGAGTACTGCTAGTACTAAGACTTGGCTTGGAATGGCGTATCTGCTTATATGCATGCGCTTTATGTAATCTACTCGTATACCCAACTTGGAAGGAAGTGTGCCTTCTCCGTCACTTCACCTCACCTCTACACTTCACCGTAAACAGAGAGAAACATGGCGCGCAGGGACCGTTCGTATTCTCCGGACGCATCAAATAAGAGGGTAAGGTCGTCCTATCGTTCTTCACCTCGGTCTCCTTCTCCAACACGGCGGAATGTAAGACCCAGTGATAGGTCACGATATGACGACAGGGACCGTGAACGAGAACGCGACAGGGACAGGTATCGCGAAGACAGATACAGGGAAGAAAAACGCCGTGACTCTCACCGAGATGAACGCGACCGCCGAGACTCCAGGCGGGACGACCGTCGGCAACGTTCTCGTTCTCGGGACCGGCGAGAAAAGGATCGTGTACGGGACAGGCAACCCTCACCAGCTGTTAATCAGCAAAAAGATAGTGAGCCCGCAACGCCTACGTCAGCGGCACCTCCTGCTGGAGATGAGAAGAAGAAAGGGTTAAAGGATCGGTTAGAGGCTTGGAAGAAGAAGCGTGAGGCGGAGAAGGCACTGGACGAGGCGAAGGCAAAGGCGATGGCTCTTGCTGGGAAGTCGGCGCCTCGTGAGTCATTTCATCTATTCTCAGTCTTTGTAACGAGATTTCATACCACTTGATTTAATGCATCAGAGCCTGCCGTATCATCGACAACCTCGAAGCCTACTGCACAGCTCAACCGAGCAGCATTCGGAGGTTTGGGCTTGAAAGGGTTACCTTTGAAATCGGAACTTGTAAAGGGCGCTGGAACGAAAACTGCTATGATGGACGATGTGACAGAGACTACACGTAAACTGGAAAAGCTGGAGGATATGCCAGCCATTGACATGAGCATGCCTAACGACGAAAGCGTCGGCGAAAACCTTGAAGCTGACGATGACGACGAAGAGGCGAACAAGTTAGATGAAGAGAAGAAGGCGATGGCGAAGGATCGAATGGATGTCGATGAGGGAGATGAGTTCGACCCCTTGGATGCTTTCATGAGCGAGGTCAAACAGGAAGTCAAGAAAGTTGACGAAATGGACTTACAAAAGATGATGGAAGACCCGAACTATCGTCGGCGTCGCCTCGAAGATCGTTTGGGTGAAGAGGGAGGTGATGAAGAAGATGTTGAGGTCATCGCCGACGAACTTGACGCCACGGACCTCAATCCAGAAGATATCCTCGCCCTTGCGGCTAAGAAGGCAAAGAAGAAGGAACTTGCATCGGTCGACCATTCACGTATTGTCTATGAGCCCTTCCGGAAGGAGTTCTACCGTGCTCCTCCTGAAATCGCAGAAATGACGGACGAAGAGGCAGATTTGCTACGCCTGGAACTAGATGGCATTAAAATTCGCGGAATTGATTGCCCTCGACCAATCACTAAATGGAGTCACTGTGGACTACCTGCCAGTTGGTGAGTCCTTCGCCTACCAGTGATTTTTTATGTACTAAAGGTTATTGCAGTCTCGATGTCATAAAGAAACTCGGCTTTACCGGCCCTACTCCCATTCAGGCGCAGGCCATCCCAGCAATCATGTCTGGGCGTGACGTTATTGGTGTCGCGAAGACTGGCTCTGGGAAGACCATCGCTTTTCTTCTACCACTCTTCCGTCATATCAAGGACCAGCGCCCCCTTGAACCAATGGAGGGTCCAATGGCTATTGTTATGACTCCTACTCGCGAGTTAGCGACACAGATCCATCGTGAATGTAAGCCATTCCTAAAGGTTCTCAATTTACGGGTGCGTGCTTCCAACTTGATACGAATCGCAGATTCTCATCTCTTTCTAGGCAGTCTGTGCTTACGGTGGTTCGCCGATAAAGGACCAAATTGCAGAGATGAAGAAAGGAGCAGAGATCATAGTCTGTACTCCAGGACGGATGATTGACCTCCTCACGGCAAACTCTGGACGTGTAACAAACCTCAAGCGGGTAACATACCTTGTTCTTGACGAGGCTGATCGAATGTTTGATATGGGTTTTGAGCCCCAAGTGATGAAAATTGTGGGTAATATCAGACCTGACCGTCAGACCGTGTTGTTCTCTGCTACATTTCCCAAACAAATGGATTCTCTCGCCCGAAAAATTCTCAAGAAACCTCTTGAAATCACTGTTGGCGGACGCTCAGTAGTGGCCGCTGAGATTGAACAAATTGTGGAGGTTCGCGTAGAAGAAACGAAATTCCACCGTTTACTCGAAATTCTGGGGCAGATGTACAATGAGGATCCTGAATGCAGGACCCTTATTTTCGTTGACCGACAAGAGGCCGCGGATAACCTACTCCGCGAGCTTCTTCGTAAAGGGTATCTCTGCATGAGTTTGCACGGTGGGAAGGATCAAGTGGATCGAGATCAAACGATCGCAGACTTCAAGGCTGGATTTGTGCCTATTGTCATCGCGACGTCGGTCGCCGCTCGTGGGCTGGATGTAAAGCAACTCAAGCTTGTTATTAACTACGACGCTCCTAATCACATGGAGGACTACGTGCATCGCGCAGGGAGGACAGGACGTGCCGGGAACAAGGGTACCTGCGTCACCTTTATCACTCCGGAACAGGACAGATACTCCGTAGACTTATTTAGAGCACTTAGAGCTAGCAATGCGAAGGTGCCGCAAGAATTGGAAGATCTAGCGAATGGTATGTAAAATCTCATCCTTGCTGTCATAGTATTGCTTACGTCTTCAAAACCTGCGTAGGTTTCCTGGAGAAAGTTAAAGCCGGCAAGGCACATGCTGCGGGCTCGGGCTTCGGTGGCAAAGGGCTCGATAGATTGGATAAAGAGCGTGACGCCAAAGAGAAGGCGGAACGTAAGGCTTATGGTGAAGGCGATGACAAACCGGAGGAGAAGCCTGAGGAGGTGGCTGGTCCTGATCCTGCTGCTGGAGCAGTAAAGACCGAGTCGAAGGATGAAATGACATTTGGCAACTTCAAGGTTGAGATCAAGCGAGGACCAGCACCAGACTCTTCAAAGGGTGTACTCGGCGTTGCAGGTGCCGCGGCGGCGGCGCGCAGACTTGCCCAAGCTAAAGAAGAAGAGAAAATGCAGAGCTCGTTACGTGCTGCAGAGGAGGCCGCAGCCCGTGCAGGGAAAGACACAGCAGCTTATAAACAAGCGCAGAGTGTTGTTTCGAAATTAAATGCACAGCTTCGTGTGGCACGGCTAGTCGCGCAAAGCCAGACCGCTTTCGAGGCGAAGGGCGGATCCGTCAGTGCTCCCGATGCGACAGACTTCCACGCTATCATTCCCATCAACGACTATCCTCAGAAAGCGAGATGGCGTGTTACTAATAAGGAGACTATGGTGCAGGTGAGTAACAATACTCGATGCTTCTAATACCACTACCTCACACTCGGTAATAGCTCATTGACCAGACGGGAGCCTCGGTTACAAACAAAGGTAAGTAATCGCTTCACTTATCGATTCAGAAGCAAGTTGTAAAACGTTCTTTTTTAGGTATATACTATGAGCCCGGGAAAGAGCCGCCTCCAGAAGGTCCTCCAAAATTACATCTGCTCGTCGAATCAAATGAGGAATGGAGGGTAGGTTCTTCCGTCTGCATTCCCAAGGCTGATCCACTGATACCTGTGTGATACCAGGTTGAGCAAGCAGTGCGGGAGATCAAGCGCCTCCTTGTGGAAGCATCTGCCGCCGCACTGCAGGCAGAATATCGTAATCCGTCTGGAACGGCTGGTCGCTACAGTGTGGTCTGAAAAACTATTTGCCCTTGTGGCGGTCCCTTGGCGGATGTATTTTTACCGGGCCGAAATGTCAGGGACGGCGATCGACTTGGCTTTGAGTCCGCTTTCTCCGATCTCTATTGACGTGTACATATTTGGCAACTGTATTTCTTTGATGGTCATATTTCTCGCTTTTAGAAGTAGATTAGCTTAATCAACCTCTGTGTTCTTCGTCTATATACATGACGAAATAGCCGGGAATTCTGGACCGATCGTGTGCGTTTCGAGTAATTTCTGAAGGTGTTATGGGAATCCAGCTACGGAGCTAGGCGACGGTCCATGAGGAAGATTAAAATCATTAAAGAAGCTCCCAACGTGCCCGCGGAAGGGGGAATTAATGCGCCTGTGCTGACCTCATACCATCCATGTAATATCGTCCCGAGATATAAAGTCCCTCCTTCCCGGGAAAATATGCCCTCGCCCCGCCGTTCTCGCGTAAGCTTTCTGGTCAATTCTGCTGCTAGTGTTCATTGCTGCAAGTGAAATGGCAGACAGAGTTGCTCAGCTGGAAGAAACAGGTGTTGCATCCTCACGCTCCACGATCGTCGAACGAGATTTGGAAGCTAACAGAAAGTCGACCAAGGATGGGAAAGACCTATTCTGCGATGGTGAGGGGGAATCTGCCATTCCTGACGACAAGCGGATAGAGGCTCTGGAACGGCTTGATCACGACTGGCAGCACGACCTGGATAATCCAAGGAACTGGTGGGAAATTTATCCTTGAGTGTCTTGATGTGCTGAAAGCTAACAAGGTAAATTCCCTGCACAGGCCGTTTTGGAAGAAATGGCGAATGGCCGGAGTAGTAAGTTCGGACGCTCTCTAGCAATGTTCTTGACGTTTATACGAGGATAAGGTCTCTTTCTACACTTTTGTTAGCCCGATTTCCAGTAGTATGATGGCACCGGCACTCCCAAACGTGGGTATATGCTATTCAATATCCGTTCAATCAGTGGCGTCTAAACTAATAATTCCCAATCTAATAGATTCAAAAACATTACGACATCACGAGTACCACGATTGTCGGTTTGCTCAGTTATTTGTCTCACCCAAGCTACAAACTCACAATAACATCGCAGTTAAATATGATATTAACTATATTCCTGCTTGCCTATGCAACTGGACCTTTGGTTTTAAGCCCTTTGAGTGAGCTAACTGGTCGCAGATGGGTGCGTTAACGAAACGATGCGTTCCATTTTCTCAGTACTTATCAGCAGTTTTCATTTGCAGGTACTGCATTTTTCCAACATATTTTTCCTCATCTTCAACCTTGCCTGCGCATTCGCTCCAAATGTGCCTACCTTGATCATCTTCCGATTTTTGGCTGGGCTTGGTGGAAGTGCACCGATTGGTAAGGAATTCATAGCATGTATATGACAATCCTAAGCTGAAAGTCAATATTGCAGCAATTGGTGCCGGAGTGATTGGTGATCTCTTTTCAGAACGGGATCGCGGTACGTCATGAGTAAATAGTATTATGCATATACAAACGAGCTCTTCCCACAGCTACTGCCATGTCTATCTTCACTCTGGGACCCTTACTAGGTCCTTCGGTTGGACCTGTCGCTGGCGGATTTATTGCTCAAACAATTGGGTTCAGATGGATCTTCATCGTCATAGCCGTCGCAGCGGCTGTTGGTGGTTTCTTTGGTATCCTTTTCCTGGAAGAGACGTATGCTCCTCTAATTCAAATAAAGCGTGCTCAGAAGCAAGTTAAGCTTTCGGGAGAGAAAACCCTCGAGCATGACGTGTTGCTTGACCAACATAAGGACTTTGCTCGCGTCATGTGGGTTAACATGACCAGGCCATTCGCTTTGTTGTTCGGGAGTTTCATTTGTTTCATTCTCAGTTTATATATGGGCTTGTGCGTTTCTCAAATGATTTTTTCTGCACGTTGTCGACCAGGACACTGATCCGTCTTTGCAGGGTTTACGGATATTATTATCTTATGTTTGCGACATTCCCGGACTTATTCCCTCAAAATTATGGCTTCAGCACTGGTCTTGCTGGACTTGTAAGTGACTCGTGCCTTTAAATAGGATGCCATTAACAATCTTCCAGGCTTATTTAGGACCAGGAGTTGGTTTCTGTCTTTCGACATTTTATGGCGCCTATGTGGCAGATGGGATTTACCGAAGGGTATTTATTTTGTGTCTTACTTGCGTTGAATCCGGTCTCTCATCAACCCTTACCGTAGCTGTCAGAAAAGAACGGAGGCGTGGGAAAACCAGAGATGAGGATTCCCGCTTTGATATTAACGAGTGTTTTCGTTCCCGTCGGCCTTTTGTAAGTCGCTATTATGCTTTTTTTGCCCCCTATCATAAGAACTCATTTTTCTTTGATTCGTAAAAAAATTAGCTGGTACGGTTGGTCAGCACAAGCAAAGGCACACTGGATATTACCAATTATCGGTGCCGGCGTTTTCGGGTTCGCCATGATGGGCACATTCCTCCCCATTCAACTGTACCTCGTCGATTCATTCCGCTACGCTGCGTCCGCTATGGCGGCTGCAACCGTTCTCAGATCAGTCATGGGCTTTGCTTTCCCGTTATTTGGCCAGCAAATGTTTGATGCCCTCGGTCTTGGTCCTGGATATTCCCTCTTAGCTGGTCTCGCAATTATTACTGGCATACCCTTCCCGATTTGGATTTACTACTATGGAGAGAAGATTCGTTTGCGCAGTAATCTCAACCGGTGAAGAAAAAGATGAAAAAATTCCTTGGATTGATTTTGGATCGGATTTGGACTGGGTCCGTCACATGGAAATACAAACGGAGTCGTAGTTATGCTCTATTTACGTCCTTTCCTTCTACATAGACAGTAGTAGTTTACGGCTACAATGACATTTTAATGACTCACAAACTAATAGTCCAGTAAAGTCTTTGTCAACTTGTATGAGGTAGACGGAGTCTTTTGACGTCACTTTATGGCATTGGCTCGAGTCGACCACCTTTCCTCCGCTCCGCAAATGTTAATTTTAATGGTGTACAAGGGTTCCGCTGCGGCAGTTTCAATTGAGACACCAAGGGCGGCAAGGATCGACACAAACGCAAATCCTAGAAATAAATCTGGACCCACACGCGTACATTGTTATTACGTACACACACTTACTCCACTAACTCGGTTTATTGACGGCGAAACTTTGGGACTAATACATAACTTATATTTAGCGCAATTCAAAAAAAAGTCAAGCGTAAAGAACATTGGAGCAAAAAGTGGGGTAAGTAGAGGAGTGAGAGAGAGAATCTGCATGAAGGATACAGCAGAGAAGACAAGAAGCATAAGAAAAGAGTCCTGAACACTAATTACGATTTGACCATTCCAAAGGATTCTACGTGAAGCGTGACGGAAGGACGCCCTTTGAGTATGTTGACCGGGCTCGAATTCTCAAACGAGGTGGCTGCCCTGACGGCAGAAGCTAGTGAAGAAGGACCAGCCACTAGAATTACCTCAGTCAGGCGGTCATTGACAGAGCTAAAAAAACAGGCTCTCACCGTCCACTGAGACAGGACCAGCTGATATAGACACCGCGTCTTGGATAATTGCCTCGACATCTGGGCGCCCATGCCCTGTCCTTATGGAGGCTCTTGCTAGTGCCTTGGCGGTTATGACAGCATCAGGTGATGGTGGCGAAATAGGAGTGGGTAGATTGGGACTGTAATCCGTTGGCAGGGTGTCAGATGAAGTCTTGTTCAACTTTGGCCCTGTGAAGAACATGCGTGGTTCGATAGACAGTGTGGAAGGAGCAGCCAGTAGCGCATCAGCTAGGATCTCTGATATCCATTCCATATGTGCTGCTCGCAAAAATAAACACCTATTACCAATAACTTCATGAAAAGATTGCTTACCTGGCCGGCGTACAATCCAAATAAAGAGGACACGTTGACACGCACTTGTACCATTCCGAGCATTTCTAATTCTGGAATAAGAAGATGATTGGCCATACAGATGAAATGGGGTACTAACCGAACAATGTCAAGTAATAGGGGCAAAATATATGACACGCCAGAACCACCAGCAATGAGGATACAGGTCGAGAATTTTCTTAAATCGGGAGGGTTACCATAGGGGCCATCAATGAACGCTGGTACAGCGGTTTCCTTGCCCTTTGTTAAGGCATGTTCGCGTAGCCTCCCCGTGAAACCGTTGTGGCCACGAATGAGGAAGACAATTTCTTGGCAATCCTTTTGCGTGCCATCAAGAGAATTGGGGATACTGGCAATGGTGAAAGGGTGTGCTTCTGTTGGCAGGTTGCTAACAGTGGGAAGGAGAACATAGGCGTGCTGGCCAGCGACCCAATGCATCTTACGACGAAGTGTCAGCCGAACAGTGTCCGAGGCCAAAAGGTCGATGGAGGCATGATGTTCTTCGGACGATGTACGAGACCAAACACGATTATTCCAAATGACTCTACTAAGACGAAGGAAACGGTCGAAACCCCAGACCAGGAAGGCAGGCCAGAAGTAATAGCCAAATCTGGGGTGATACCGTCAGTTTATTCAAATGAAGTAGGAAGATAGTACAAACTCTTTCGACCCAGCATGGAAAAGACCACCGAGAATAAAAATACTGATAAGGTCATTCGTCAGAACCCTTCTGCTAAAACATCCTGAGTAGACTTACAAGATAAGGATAATATGAGAGACAAGGAAAAATTCGAAGAACCTAGTGCGGATCGGACGAATCGACAATATAGTAGCCAAAGAGAAAGCTGCAAGACCGGTGACACCCCATCTCATCCAGCCATTCGAAAGATCAAACTTCTCGGGCAGACTAAGACATGCATGTATCAATGTACCGTTCTTAAATAGGAGGAAGCGTAGACAAGTACCCTGGTACTCCGCGGATAAGGGCATGTATCCAAAGCAATACCAAACAAGCACGAGCACTTGCTCTATGAAGGACATTAAGTCTTTCATGGCTGACACCGGTAAGGACTAAGTAACGTGAGCAAATCAGTAGAAGCGGGAAGCAAGAAATCCGGCTCACAAGAAATGATGTTATTCTTGCCAGCGAGGCCAACGATTAGCGGTACTTGACATGAGGCGAGATGAGCTGCGCGATCCTCAAAATAAAATGTCTCCATGTCATCGGCTATATTTGCGTCAGAATGTTTTAGAAGATCCTATAAACAAACAACGTACTGTTGATCCACAGCCAGACTAACAAGGCAGTAATGTACCCCAAGATGAACACGAGCTCGGCCACAGACATGACTGAGGACGGCCCAATTGGTACAGTAGTTCGAAATGCAAGCACCCTGAAGAGACTGGCGAAGGCACTTGGGACGTGTCGAAGCGACATCTTCCCGGTCCTTCCGGGAGTCACAGCCTCGACAGTCCTCTTCTCAAGTTCATTGGTAGGTGCCGTTCTTGGTTTGCGCACTCGAGCACAAAGGAGCGACGACCAGTACAAGACTGTCAACAGACCGATGACGGCTGTGAGCAGAAACCATAATTGTTTAACGCTCTCCTCTTGACGAGCAGCCTTGAGTGCTATCTCAGCACGAGAAGGGGATGAGTCGAGAACAAGAGGGTGTGCTGGCATTTGTGGAAATGCGACAGGTGAAGAGGAGATAGGGTATGAGGCACATATTCACTTATCGTAAAGCTTTTAAAGCTGACCAGAAGCCCAGAAAGCTGCGCTCAAGGACTTTAGCGGTGGGAAGCGCAATTCCAGTTTTATCACGGATGTATGCTTGTCCTTCATCATAGGTATGTAGACAAGCCGGTTCCGCATGACAGAATTAGACAGCCCTTAAAATTAAAGAAAAAGAACCGCGTGGGGTTGAATGGGGTGCAAAACAGACCACGCGGGGTAATACGAAGTAATCGGTAAAACATGTGTTGAATGCTTGAGCAGCTATGGTGCCTAAAACTGTTCAAGATGACGTGACGCCGATATCTTAACCGCAAGTGAGAATGCAGGATAGGGAAAGAAGAGTATGAAGCGCGTTCCGAACTTCGCCCAGTACAAGGCTGTCGGATTTGCTTCGGTGGCCAACCGGATGAGAGTCGGGATTGATGCGATCTCCAGTTCCGACAGTGGTGAACTTGGTCGTTAAAGATAGCGCTGCTATATCTGCAACATTGATAATCATGTTGAACATGACGTGGAGCATGTGGTAAATTAGCGAAGGAAGCCAAGGGATTCATGACTGAAAACCCAAGCGAGGCGAAGCACAACATATGGAGCTTATATAACCGTTTACCTTCGTTCTCCGCGGATCGTCGTCGCAGCACGCAAGATAAGATCTGATAAGAAACTATCTTTCCCGTTGGCCTTATCGTTCACTGGCAGTCAATAGAACCGCTGTCAGGACCGAGGTCTAAGACCTGTTATCCAGCAAGTGACCAGGTCATACGCCTTAGCTGCTGGGAGTCAAGGCCGATAGCGCAGGGCTGGAGCCGCAACCTGACGCAGTGTTTCTATTATTAGCGGCCAAGCTGTGAAATATTTGCCGAAGATAATGAACGATATGTACCGAAGTAACATGCGCGTCGCTAGGCGCGAGTACTCTTGGACCGCCACTTTTACAAGGATAGACTAAGTCCGGCTCCGGTTATTGTGTCTGCTCCACCAATTAATCTTTGTTCGAATATCAAAGAGGCGCAAGAATGCCCAGATAGCAAGAATAAATCGAAACAAGCGACGGGATCTTCGACTTGTGTTCGAGACAAGACAGACCACCGCGTGGATATGACATACTTTATCGCTGCCCAAGAGTACCCCACGGAGCTCGGTGTTAAACAACGTGTTCCAGACCATTCGTAGACACTTGAGGACAGTTTGGAACTGCCAGACCGTGAAATTTGAAATTGGTTGATTAAGCTTGGCCGATACCGCCTAGCAATAAGCTTAAAACATATATCTTCTTGCCAGTACTGGGTACACGTCAGCCAAGTCATGTCATGTCTAGTATTCCAATAAATCCCGGAACATGTGTAGGGGCGCATATCTCAGTGCTGCGGTGTTGATGCGGCCGCCGCCAGCTGGCATTCACTTCCAGAAATAAGTAAAGGGCGGCTTAAAGTCGAGCGTGTACCCGGCAGAATATTTCATGCTTTGAGGACGGGAGGTAAGGATCATTCAGGAGGGATTGCGTGCGATTCGAGATAAGCAATTTGTCAAGCAGCTCGGGGACCGACGTGGCCAGAGCGCACGAACAGAATACCAGAGCTCCGATCATTGCGTATCCAGAGTGTACTGCATTGTTCGGCGAGTTTGGTTCCGTTGTGAACATGACGGTACAGAAAGATCCAGACGGCCGCAGAGGATAAACGAGTTTCTTCCATCGGAACTCCGACCCAGCGCTCTGCCTTATTTAGACATACGCGAGCGATTTGGGAAATTTTTTCAATTGATCTGGTCAAGCAGCCAATGATTTTGGACGTGTAGGCGCCAGAATGGCTGGCGGTGGTGACATCTTCCGACCCTTTCTTCCCTATCGTCCGACCTCGACGCAAAACTGAGGCTGTGACGACGATCTATCCGCGTCTTGACCTATAACTGTCGCCGTCAAGCTGAACAGACTCGCCCCCAGATCACTCAGGATTCTTTCTCGGAGTATGGCTAGCATCAACGGTGCACCCCAGGTCAATGGAATCAAGTCCGCTCCGCGCTTCCAGCTAGCTTCGCGCCTGAAGGAGGGTCGTGCTCTTGCGCAGGATGTCTGGTCGGTCTTCAAGTGAGTTGCATCGAACGCATACATCCAACGTCGCTGACTAGGAGTACTGGCTGCTCTCAGTGCAGCGAATCTGCCTTCAGATTGCATTAATTTGGGCCAGGGTTATATGAACTTCCCACCTCCGCAATGGGTGAAAGATGCTGCAGATGAAGCACTCAACACCACGTCTGCGAATCATTACTCGCACCCTAAGGGACGAATGAGGCTCAGACAGGCTATTAAGAAGCGTTATGACAAAATATTAGGCAGAGACCTTGATGTTGAAACCGAGATACTGGTTACCAGCGGTGCGAACGAGGGTAAGTCTGTGATATTTTTGTTGCAATATTTTCAACGATAAATGATATTTGCTTTCAGGCCAATACTCGGTGTTCACTGCATTTCTGGACCCTGGAGATGAAGTGATCATGTTTGAGCCATACTTCGATCAGTATCTGCCCTCTGTGGTCTTTAACGGAGGAAAGCCGGTCTATGTACCTCTTCACCCGCCTCCAGAGGCTATGGAAAATACTACAAGTAATGACTGGACGATTGATTTTGACGAGTTGCGGTAAGCCAGAATACTCTTCACGCATAACTACGTCTTCATCTTCCTTTTACAGGCGAGCTTGCGGGCCAAAGACAAAGATGATCATTATAAACACGCCGCACAACCCGGTCGGTAAAGTTTTCACAAGAGAGGAACTCGAAAAGATTGCGGACGTCGCGAAGGAATTCAACGTCCTCGTGATGTCCGACGAAGTCGTAAGTCCGGATTGAACGGTTTAGCACCGTTCACAATTGATTTTTGACCCTCTAGTATGACTGCTTGGTCTTTGACGGCAAAGAACATGTCCCTATTGCCACGCTACCTGGAATGTGGGATCGTACTGTTTCCGTTTATTCCGCAGGAAGTAAGTTTTTTTCTATACCTATAATTTCGGATAACGAGCAGCATTTAATTCCTGTTTCTCATTACCGATTTTCAGAGGCTTTCGCAGCAACAGGTTGGCGTGTTGGCTATCTGATTGGTCCAGAACATATTATCGCCCCGACTCTCGCGGCTAGTACTCGCATCGTCTTCTGTTCCAATTCTCCGCTTCAGGAGGCAGCGGCCGCCGGTCTAGAACAGGCTGATGAACGCAAATTCTTCGAGATCCAGAACAAGGAGTACGAGGAGCGTCGCAATGTTTTAGTCTCCGCATTTGATCGCCTTGGACTAAAATACACTATGCCTCAGGGCAGCTACTTTGTGCTTCTGGTAAGCTTATTATTGAGGAACTGGAACGATTGGTGCTTATGCTGTTGCTTAAGGATATATCGACTCTTCATTGGCCAGAAGATTTCCCTTTCCCGGAGAGCGTAGAAGGTAGAGGTAGGGATTTCAAGTAAGTATCCGAATGAGCATACATCTTGTCAGCGTGTTGAGATTGTATTTAGGGCATGCTGGTTCATAGCTTTGAAACTTGGAGTATCTTCCATTCCTGTTAGCGAGGTGAGCTTATTGCGTACGTTAATTTATCCCTTTCTTAATGGCTATCCAGTTTTATTGCGAAGAGCACACTGGCATCGGAGAACGTTTCGCGCGCTTTGCATTCTGTAAAGACATTGATACTCTGAAGCAGGCTGGAGAGCGCCTCCAGGGCCTTGCAAAATATCTGCGGTAAATGATGAAAATTCCTGTGTAATAGATTGCTAGATTACAACTTGCTGTCTCTTTGTATTGCTCTTTCTATCGTGTATCTAATGATAAAGTTGTCGAAGCTAGTCAGGTGTCCCCGTGAAGTCGGTCCACTAGTCTTGATAACGAAGTGTCTAGGTCGCCTGGTACTGCGTCGTAGTACATCGGATTACTTTCCATCCGCCTTGTAAGATACGTCCACGATAGGATGTCCAGTGTTTGCTGCGTGTCCACCGATGAAATGCGGCCATACTTCCACCGAGCATGTAACCAATCCTTGAAAACACTCGACTCATGTAATGTTGATTCAAGTGGGATACCCTCGTCTTGGAACCGCGTGAGAGTCTCGCGACCCTCTGCCTGACAGAGAAGATGGAAGTGACCAGCCTGAGCATGACGTGCTGCACGGCCCTGCATATGCACGACCTCTGCAAGAGGGTATTCAGCAATCTGTCGGTCGCGACGGGAAGGATCCTCCGTTCGACTTGCTCCATCAAAGCGAAGGTACTGAGTGCCCATTACAACAACGACACCAGCACGCATGGGTACGGACCATAATGCGTCTCTCGGGGCTATGAGCACGCGAACAATGCCTTCCGCGCATAGCTCGAGCATGAGGGCACGGTCGGAACGGTGTACGCCGTCGTGGAAAATACCAATACCGCGGGTAATCAAGTCTGCAAGCGTCTGGTCCTGGAGCCGAGCAAGGTAGGGTTCAAGTGCATCGGGAGACGTGTCTACAGGAAGATAACCTTGCATCTTAAGGTCCATGGCGCATTGCGTGATGAGGTCGTTGGCCACAGGCTTGCATTGGCTCCGTGAGGGAACAAAAACCAGAGCGAACTCCCCACCACCGGACGAGATGGCTGAATGCGCGGGCTTTGCCATGGATTTGAACAAGGCTGCAGAGTAAGGAATCGTGAAAGTCTGGATAGACGTCCGTAAGTCTTGTTCTCGATCGCTCGGTCGAAAACAGGACATGCATAGCGATGGCACTCGAAGCCAATCAGCCAAATCAGACGCATCCGTCAAGGATGTAGAAAGTCCAACGAATCGTGTTGGTCGATTCTGCGTTGCATGAAGCAATAGTGAGATCGCTAACTCGTACTCCGCGTCAAGGAGCTCAAGATTTTCGCAGAGAACGAGACGTAAGAAATCGGACGCGTTTGCGAAGCTTGGATGTTCCAACATGTCTAATATAACACGAGGGTGTATTACTCTAACGACTTTTCGATTTTGATGTGAAAATGAAGCTGCCTGTCCGATTATTTCGACTGGAATACCCAAGGGTCCGAGTACTTGACGTAATCCAGATGCAATATCCGTCGCAATCCCCCGTTTTGGCGAAATGACGAGAGCCCACAAGCCTGCTTTTGCCTTCTGGAGTGTTTTCCTAATTTACAGCGGGATAAGTAACGCAAACGTAAATGAGAAGGCAGATGACTTACGCAATGAGCGTTTGTGCCAGTAATGACTTGCCTGAACCAGGAGGTGCGCATAATAAAGCATTCTGATTCGTACTCAGCATGCTCCAACAGCTATGAGTTTGCACGCCGTTCAAATTTTGCAATTTTGCGCCGAAAACAGATTTTAGCGTTTCGTTTCCGAGTATTTCCAAATCCAGAAACGGGATGGCGAGGATTTGTGTGAAAGACTCAAAGGCCTTCGGCTTCACAAGTGAACTCATATCCACGTGCAGCTCATCCTCTGCGCCCATCCATCTGTCGGAGACATACCGGATAGTGAGACCTTCAACAGCCATAGCATCCGTGGTTTGCACGATGAAGTCGCAATCGACCTGTTCAGTAGACTGTCGAAAAATGACGTGTGAGAGCTGCAAAATGCTGCCACCATCCAGGTCTTCTATCCAAATCCAAAACGGCTCAACCGTATCTTTGCGTTTTGAGCCCCATGTAAACAAACGCTTCGCGTGCACAGAAACCCGCAGGAGATCGGATGTCAGAGGTCGCAGTTCATACGATAATTCAAGCGTTGGGAATTCCTTAGCAGCTCTGAGTAGTGCTGAGCCGTGCGTCGTGTTCATATGGACCAGGTCACCAAGCTCCTGTGCAGTCATCTGTGCCAATTCGCCGGGCGTATAATCATCTGCGAAGCGTTGCAAGTTGACCATAAGTTCCCTTTTCAGCGAGTCTCCTAACTGCATGAATGGATGATCAAAGGGCCAGATACGTTTCTCCACAGCTTTGCTAAAGGATACAAGCACAGAGCCGACGTTGGCCCATTTTCGACTGATACCGATCTCTAACAAAGCACGGATAATGCGCCCTGCATTCTGGGCGACGTAGGCCATGTCTGACACGAGCGCAAAATCTTCGGGATAGACTCTAGAGATGTACGCTTGCAAAAGGATGTTTACTTTCCCTTGACTAGAGTTCGTACCATCCTTGGATAAGGAAGGTTGAGCTGGCTATTGCACTCTGAACCCGAAACGCACTAACCTTTACTTCACACGGCACGATATTCTGGTCTTCCAAAAAGTACTTCAGCTCCTTTATTTCGTTCTCTCGTAGCTGAATCTGTTCGAACTGTGCATTGCTGTCAGCTCCGATGCGGCGCGCCTTGTCAATTTCGATAACGACGTACCTCTGTGCTCTTACATAGCATGTACAGTACATCCGCCTCGCTCATCTTCGGACGGAAGGTTTCGTTGAAGATGACCACGGTCTGTGCTCGAATATAGTACTTCGCCGCAATCCGGCCGAGGTCCGTACTCGCAAATGTCTCTCGTTCTTTGTCGAATACTATCATGCGAGCCTCGGCGAGCTGTGTTGCTTTACGTTGCACTAGCTCACGCCGCTTTCGCCCGAGCTGGGGATCATCAATAACTTCCTCATAGGTGATACCTTGGTAATGCAGGATGAATATGCCCCGTGGAGTTTCTGGTTAGCGAATGGCTTACCGTGGTACCGCGGATTTTTACGCAATCGGACAAAGAGGTATGTGTATCCTATCCATTGGACAGCCTCCGCGACATTGGAGACTGTTCCCAATGCGATCTCCGCGTTCAACGAATCTGACATGCCCTCCACGAATCTGACAATTCAGTGGTCAAATAGTTTTGTCAGACAATTCCTTTGTTTTCACTTACTTTGATTCAATGGGATGCTGAGGATAATGAAGATATCGATAAGGAACAGGAAAATAAGCAAGCGCAGAGAAAGACGACAAACCTGAGCAGTGACAGCGTCAAGATAATGATCTAGTTTGTCAATTCCTGTACAAATGAATCCCTCTCCACTTGTTTCCATCCCTGGACGTCCGGCTCTCCCAAAAATTTGAAGAACATCGAGTACTGACAAGTTTACGAACTTGCCCTGATTCGAGTCGTAGACCTCGGTGCCCTTGATGATGACTGGATAGCAGACGAAATCAGGCTAATGTTCGGAACGAGAGTGCCATTTACTTACCAGCATGCGCAGGTAAGTTGACACCCCAAGCAAGAGTCGCGGTGCAGCAAAGTACCTAACTCCTTTATCAGAAAATACTTAGGAGAACTGAGCGAATTAGGGAGCTTTACTTTAATTGCTCGGGCTTCGAATAACCTTTCCATCAAGTTTCTGTCTGAGCGTAGCATCCCTGCATGATGTATGCCAAAGCCTAAGTCGAAGAGTTCTCGCATTTCTTTATTCCTCGACTCTCCAATTTCACGGCGGAACAGATCCCATTTGGCATGTTCCTGACAACTGAAATTGTCAAGTGTTCCCCCCAGATGCGCCGCATCCCTCAAGGCAAAGGCACTTTTCACCGTCTCCTTTCGTGCATGTACAAACACCATCACTTGATGCCCCTCTTCAACAAGCTTCGTCACCTTTTCGTATGTGACATTGTCGAGAATTTTCCGTGCTTGGGCGGTGCCAGGTTTTCCACGCAAGCCAAGGAAGTGTTGCTCAAGTGGTATAGGGCGGAAGGATGAGTCGAAGTAGAATAACCCTGCTTGCCGAGAGACACGCAAGAAATCGGCAACATCAACAAAATTTGGCAAGGTTGCGCTCAACCCGACGATACGAATCATGGATTGCGTAGATTCCACCTGAAAGCTTGCTGAGTCTCTGATTTCATAACATATAGATTAATCATTACCTGGCGTAATGTACGAGCGACAATTGTCTCGATAACGGAGCCTCGCTCATCATTCAGTAAATGGACTTCGTCGATAATGAGAAGTTTCACTTTCTACATGGACAGGTGATTAGCATGCTTGATGAGGCGATCAACATCAAACGCCCTTACAGTCGCAAGTTCTCCTTCGCCAGTTGGTTTTCTTGTCACGACATCCCATTTCTCCGGTGTCGTGACGATGATCTGTGTTTCGGCAATCTCTGCCTTGGTCATCTGCATATCACCTAGGAGAGATGAGCTAACTGTATGCATTTGATTGTTGAGAAAGCATGACTGACCCGTCAATTCTCTAACTTTAATGGACAGCCACTTTAACCGTCTTCCAAGCTTGCGAACGATCTCTGAAGCCAATGCCTTCATGGGTGCGCTGTATGATTCAACATGATGCAGCATTAAAAGAATAATACTAGCTTACACGTAAATTATCTTGAAGTCATCCCTTCGGATCTGAGCTGCAAGGGCTGTTTTCTCGCTTTTCCCAGACCTGAATTCATTAAGAACGCGTAGGACCGAGAGCATAGCAACGTCCGTTTTGCCCTACAGTCGCAGATATAAATCGGTTAGATTGCCGATTAAAAATAAAGAGACACGAACAGCACCAGTGGGTGCACAAATGAGCATATTTTCATTCGTGCTATATGCAGTCGGATAAACGATCGATTGGATCCTATTCAAGGACGAGTAGCCCTGTTATGTCTACTAAGAATAAGGTGCCTTCTTTTCTCATAATAATAACGCACCGGGAACGAACCCTTGCAGAGATCGTCAAGTTCCGACACAGATATTAACCTTTCATTCACTCTAGGGGGGATAGGACGCGCGGGAGGGATTATCACTTCCTCATATTCCTGTCAAGGCCGAGAGTAATGAGGATAAAAATGAATAATAATCTAGGATTATTGAAAAAACGCACCTCGTACATATGTCGTTCTGTGTCAACAGGAAGCAGATACTTTGCGCCAGCGTCGGACAAGATATTATTTTGGCGGAACGAGGAAGAAGTGTACACATGAGGAAGAACTTCCTGCTCCATATGATACTGTAAAGCAGTATGTATTTATAACAATACTCAATAAAGCCAGGGACACAACGACGTACCGCCATCCCCGTGAACAGCGGTCGAGCAGCATTAGCACGAAGTGTCTCGTCAATACGACGCTGCGCCGCTACAGGGTCCAAATCAATGGTTGGCGTATCCGCTGTACAATGGTTGTAAGCGAAAGAACGGACAAATAGGAAACCAAAAAAATACTAACGTCTCGATCCATAGCCCTTCTTTCCCTTCTTTCTCCCGTGTACACTCGGTGGTGCAGACTGGCTTGCCTCCGGCGTACGTGTCACGGGTGTTGGGTTCGTAAGAAGCGCTTCCAGCTACACGAAATAGGAACAAAAGATGTTAGTTATGCCTGTTATCATGCGTAATACGATGTCAACGAGTGAAAGTGCTCACCTTAGACGCAGCCATTTGGCGCTGGGCAATGATGTCGGAGACCAGCTCGATCTCCTCGAAGCCAACTAGCTCTGCAAGCTCTATAGATGCAGTCTCGTCTGACTTGGCAGAAGACAGGATTGAATGTAGAGCCATAAGCATGTTAGAAATATTGGGCTTCCTATGTATTGTTTGTTGTATCCCAGTCTTGTAAGGTTGATTCCTTCGAGTCCAGCTAAAAAAATAGAGTACGCACACGAGAAGCTTTTCAAGAGGATCCGTGGGAGGTCTAATAGAAATCGGAGCTCCACCAAACGTAGGTTCAGCGGGTACGGAGAAATGGTCCAAAACAGAAGGCAGAGCCGTCTCGCTGTCGAGGCCTTCAATCTCAAGTGCATCTTCTCTACCTAGATCCCAGTGAGAGTGTTAATTTGTTTTTGACATTGTAGATGTAGTTCAAGCGTACTACTACCAGACTTGTTCGAGCTACGAAAGATGGCAAAAGAATATCGTTAAAATAGCGCTTCATACCGGCCAGAAGCGCCTGCAGCACCTTAATGTGAAGTTCGTCCATTGATCTATCGCACGTTGATCGCTGCTAGATGCTAGAGTCGTAGAGTCGACAAGCTTCTTGAGATGTTTCCCAAAGTCTGACATTCTATGAAAGAATTCTAGAAGTACGTAGATTGTAGCAAAGGTCAGTGAAAGACATGAATGAGTCGAAGCCGCTTTCGGACCCGCAGACTTTCCGCGATTTATTTTATTTTTTGACGCGTCGTACGCGTCGATCTTGAATCTCTTCGGCTAACTCCGCGTTACCTTTCTCTCCTACCTCGTCAACATGGAGTACGTGTTCCGTTCAATAAATGATTGTTCAACTTTCCTAAACATGATTATTCGTATAGGGTCTCGTTATATCTTGACCCGCAAATTCGCGACTGGGTCCTCTTTCCCATCACCCTTGTCATGGTGTGTGCCATGTGTAGCATCTTTCGCTGGCGTCTCTAACATCTTTGGTACGGCCAGATACTGGTGGGAATACTGCGACATAATGTTGCTCTCTTGCTGCAATCTGCTCCTAAAAAGCTGTCGCGCACTGCAACTCGTGAACAGTACGTCTTTTGTCGTGGCGCTGGTAATATGTCACTGAAAGTGTTGCTGACCTGGATCCACCAGACGTGCCCTCCTTCGTTCTCAGATTCTGCGTGAAAGCGCATCCTATTCTCCCGTTCCTCCTATATACTACAAGTCAATATCAAGTCATCTCGATCAAGCGTTTGAAGCAGGGACGTACCTGAAGGATGGTCCACCGACTTCAAAGGACGGTAAAGAAGTTGCTGCGGCTCCACCGAACCCTCTGGACCCGAATGCGATGGAAGGAATGATGGGTGGCTTGAAAACGCAGGCAGTAATGATGGTACCGCAAATGATTCTTATGGGCTGGATCAATTTCTTTTTCCAAGGCTTTGTGCTCAGTACGTTTCCTTACTCTCTTTCCGACTCCCAATAATAGCGATTGATGTGTAAATTTCTTCCAATTGCAGTCAAGCTCCCGTTCCCATTGACTCTGGGATTCAAATCCATGCTTCAACGCGGAATCGAAACACCTGATATGGACGTTCGATGGGTGTCCTCTCTCTCGTGGTACTTCCTCAATTTCTTCGGACTCAACGGTCTCTACCGCCTAATTCTTGGGAATGACAACGGTAGGCTGCTTGCACTTTCTTTGCGAAATGCAATGACTGAGGACATTTCGAACCTTATGCAACATAGCTGCGGTGGGGGCCGATCCGATGGTCAACCCTTATGCCAACGCGACGATGCCAGGCGCCATGCCAGGTCAACCACAAGACTTCGCAAAACTCTTCAAGGCGGAACGCGACAACCTTGCTTTAGCTGATGGGCTTTACAAGTGGAGTGGGGCGGATGTTGAGTTACGTGTCTTGAGAAAATACGGGCGCATTGCTCCTGCATAACTAGAAACTGGGTGTATCGGCGTTCCTATTCGTACACAGCGCACTATTTAATGTAACGTCTATTTAGATGTGTGATTTTCTGCGTGTTTGGAAGAAAGTTGCCATCTGGATCTATTGGTACAATGTATAAATAGCAAGGACCAGTTTACAAAGCGACAGTCATACAGCAGGGCTTGCAGAACAAAGGCAAAAGGCAATTTTAATCTAATAAATATGCGGATAACTCGGTGTCACGGAGAACTACAGCATGGAGGGGAAAGCTTGACAGGATTGAAAAGTAGAAATACAAAGCGACTAGCGAATGGATAGCCATACACGATTGAGAAAGCAGTTCAGAGAATTACACAAATAAGAAACTTGAGAAACAACGAGAAATAAAATCGGCAGAGTAATCGCAGAATGATATAAACCATTAGCGCCCCCAGTTCAGCCATCGTTTCTTGTTTGACGCTGAACGCTCTATTTCACTAGATGCGACGTCAAGTACATTCGGAATGAGGCAGGTTCGAATGAAATGCACAGGTAAAAACACTCACTCGTCCGTTCGTATGTGGTAAGGCTTATTCAGACTAGCCACCATTTTTGTTATCTGGGTCCCATAGGTGAGGCGTATGTTATCCGGCAACGGCAGTTTTCGTCGCCAAATCGCCATGCTTTTCTTGGATGGCGAGAGGAGAAAGACAAAAACCAGAATTTGCGCCGATGGATTGTAATATGCCAGTGACTCCTGCAAAATTTTGTCCTTCGTAGCTTGAACTTTGTCGAACGTTAGCCAATCAAAGGCAGGTTCCAGTGGTGCAGAAGGTGATCTATAGTCTGCGTTCGCGAATAAAGCGCCGCGTTCCTTAGTTTCAAGGAATTTGCTGAACTGTGGAACGACACAATTTAGCATTGGGTTTAGGTAAGGCCTGTAAGAACTAAGACAAACCCCAAATACGGCCAGCGGATATTTTAGACGCTCTATCCAATCCAATAAAGCGAATACCCTTGGGTCCTTATCTAAATTTACGATGAGGCCGAGCTCCGTCCAATAATAATATATACCAAACGTACGAGGATCAAAGAACCAAAACATCCTATCTCGAGACAGACGTTCCTTGGAAAAGAATGCGCGATCAGCTGGTTCCAGGGCCTCTCCATTGGATTCGACGAAGCGATGTTCAGCAATCTGAGTTTCTGTCCGTGATCTTCCTGCTTCCGACCACTGCCCTTCAGCATGATGTGTTTGTACTTTTGAACCGCCCGGCAGTGCACTTGCCCAAGCGTCGGACGCCTTCGACGGTACCGCGGAAGCAGAATCACCAAAGCCAGTGTTTGCTGCCATAGGCCACTCGTTTGTCTCTCCAATATCATCCCATTCGTCCTCGTATTCGTCCTCATCTCCATCCTCTTCAGAAGCTGGCCATGCTGTTGCTTCTGGTTCGGCAAATTTCTGCTTCTTCAGCAAGCTCCTTTTCTTGCCCTGTTCCTGGACATGAACGTGTTTCTCCTTGTCCTTCCTTCCTTTTGCCATCGCTTCTTCTGCCCAAGCATCGGTCTGTCCATTTGCCACCCCTGGCCAAGCATTGTCGTTTCCATTAGCTATCGCATCTCCGGCCCAGAAATCCTTCCCATTTGCGATCTCTTCCCCTGGCCAACCGTCTTTCTCTTTCTTCTTCTCTTTCTTCTTCACTTTTGCTGCCGCTTCCTCTACCCAAGGATCTTTCGGCAAACCCTTCTCTTTTGCCTTCCCTTTCTTATTTTCCTTCCCCCGGCCTTTAAACATTCTCGAAAAGAAGCCAGAGATTCCCTTCTGTGATTTTGATGATAAGAGTGTTTCTTCACCAACAGAACTAGGTGCAGTGATAGTCACCTTAGGTGTCTTTTCCTTCTGTGTTTCCTGCTGAGCTTCACCCCAGCCGCCCCAGCTCTGGGATTGGTCTAAAGCAGACGCCTGAGCACCAGCATCATGCGTTCCCCAACCGTCCGCGGCTGTATTCGCTCCCCACCCGCCCACCGAGGTTGAGCCAAAGCCTCCGGGTGTAACAGACGTTGCTGCCGCGCCGGATGGCACGGAATTCCATGCATTGTTATTCCAAGACGATTCACCGCCTTCAGTTGCCCAGCCATTAGTTTGAGTCTTGCCTTGTTGTTCTCCGGCTTTCGCTCGTTTCTTTTTGGATTTAGCTGTCGTTCCTGATCCTTCACCTGTTCCCGCCCAGCTGTTTACATTGCTTGCTTGTTGTGCAGCGTCTGCACCAGAGGCGTTACCGTAAGCATCTGCCCAGCTCACTCCACCGGCACGCTTGGAATGTGACGTTCCGGCATCGGATGCCTGTTGCCAGGCAGCTCCCCAGCTCGTGTTTCCTTCTCGTCTGTGTTTGCTTTGTTTCGCGCGTCCACGTTCCTGAACTTGGCCTGCGAGCGCATATGGCAGGTCTTGCGCGTGTTGATGAAGCTGTTGTAGATGATTCTGAAGCTGATTGTGTTGTGCTTGACGTTGTTCCGCGATAGCGCTTAGCATACTTTGCATGCCGCGAGTAGTTGCATTTTCGTATTGATGTCGCCCTTTCACAGCTGATTTTGCAGGCTGCTCAGCGACGGCACCAGCCCAGCCCCATCCATTCGTAGCTGCTCCTTGCATGGGAGCGTCTTTCGGAGGAGGAGACGGCACTGCTGTGGGATCCCAGTTGGTGTTCGTTTCAGCGTACGACGCGTTTGAGATGGAGTCACCAGGTTCAAGGACGTCTGGGTTGAGAACGGGTGCATTAGTCCATCCGCCTTGATCATGCCCGCTCTGAGCCCATCCTTCCTGATTCCAACCAGCAGTATTCCAGTCTGAGTGGGAGTGTTTGGTTCAGCCAGTGCAATATCAGTGTATCGCAATTATGCCTGAATCGGGAACAAATACCTCCATCATGATGATTTTCCTCCTCCGGCACACTTTCGACCCGCGTGCGGTATTTGTTTTTCTTCGCCATATACCCTCGTCTTGACTCGCACTCGGATGGTCACAATCTCGTATTGCCTCTTGGTGGACGGGAATTCGAATACTTGCCTTGCTGACGTGTCGCACTAATCGTTCAGGTGCGCGCCCGGCGTGGAGAAGTCAGCGGTTTGGGCACTCCAGTTGCACGAGGAGGGTTGGCTTCATGACCATGTACAGAGAAACGCCAAACGCCCAAGCGTCTATCTGAGTATATGAATTCCGGCGTTTGTACAGAGAATAAGGTACGAAGAAGGTAAGAACGCGGCGACGTGGAGAAGGAACATCCGGGTGAAGTCTTTATTATTATGTATTAAAAGAGCGGATGAATCCCATGATGGCATGACGGCTTGCGGCAATCCGGACGTCAAAGTACCCAGTAGCTTTGATTGATCTTTCCTATAACAGACCGAGTCTCTCTCTCTGCTACGTACAATTAAATTAATTGGCTATCTCCCACTCAAGCTTTTGTCCGGCCATGAAAGGAACAACGGTGTGGTTACCTAATGAGAACTGCACATCCACTCCCTTGCCTGATGTCCTCCTCAACACCACGCTATCACCAGCACCATCCGCCAATGGTACTCCATAGAACGCGCGTCCGTTGGAGCTAACGAATGCTTCAAGCTTGTCCAAGGCGTCGAACGAATCAAGGAGATGCGCCGTTAGCGGGAGCAAAATGGGAGACGTGAATACGCCTGCAGCGCAACCATGCAGCGCTGTGGCCGTACTCTTTGCCTCCTCTGGATGCGGAGCCGAATCCGAACCTAGGAAGAATCGAGGATGTCCTGCAAAGAATTCCCATAGGTCACATATTCACGGGGCTGGAAAGATTAACATGGTATAAACTGACCTTCGCGGATAACTTCGCGTAGTGCCTGGCGATCGTCCGGGTATTTTGCAACAGGCTTGCAAAAATGAAAGGACTGGCCTGCCCAGTCGTCGACGGTGAGCGCAAGATGATGAGCCGTTATGGAGCAGGCTACTGTAGGACCAAGAGACTTGACAGCCTCGACGGCAGCGCGGGTAGTCGCATGTTCAAGCACGATTTTGAGTTTCGGAAAGTGTTGATGCAAGGATTTTAAATGAGGCAGGAACTTTATCTCGGCGTTTAGCACACAGGTATTCTGTTCCATTTCATTTTAGGTCTAGCTGTATTAAGGAGCGCTTTATATGCATACTGACGGTAGAATTATCGGAGGGGACTTCGCCGTGTAGATTAAGGACCATGCCAATTTTTTCCATGGCTTGAAAGACAGGATAGTATGCCTCGTAGGACTCAATGCCGCCTTCAGAATTGGTTGTTACTCCTCGTGGATATGATTTGACACCTTAACGCATAGTGAAGGCTACTGATGAGTAGTTGACGCATATATGCAGTTCCCGAGTATACGAACCGACTATGCCTTTTTTCGCTGCTTTGTGGATTTCCTCAGGAGTTAAATCAGGAGATAAATAGAGTGTCATGAGGTATTCGGTCTGTGGGTCTATGCGCTGTAGTTCTGCTTTGTATTTGAGAGCCATATCCGTTGTAGTAATGGGTGGCTTAAGGTTCGGCTACTTGAGAGAATTAAGAATACTGATATGAATAGAGTTTGAGGATAAACAATAACCATGACATAGGCCAACCTGAAACCTCCAGCCCGGATGAGCGGCGTCACGAGCTCGCACATCTCACCTTGTCTGAGATGGACATGGAAATCAGCTGGCGATTTTACTCGAATTTCTGTAGTGGTCATCATGGTAGCCGAGGAAATCGGACTAAGGAAAGGGAGCAAATCACCAAAACTCAAATTTATAGCCGATTACGCCATCACGTGATACGTTTGCTTCGCGTCTCGTCGTTGAGCCTCGATGTTGCCCGTCCCTTTATTTGCCACCTTGTTCTCAACGCTGCACACTACGTCAAACTAGCTGCATCACCATTCCGGTGCCACTAACATGGCTGCTACCGGCTCCATCGCAGTAGCAGGTTTGTGTCTGTACCCACTGTCTTGCGTGACTCGCACTGACTGTTTGGCCAATAGTCCGTGTCAGACCACCAAACACCTGGGAAGCTGCTCGATTACCAGACCCATACTTCGATGCAGGAATTCGGACTGATGGCGCTCTCTCTACTCCTGGAAGATCTGCGATATCCACATCGTGCCTAAGGGAGGTCGTAAAGGTCGTTGACGACCGCATATTGATGTTCGATCCGGATGAGAAGGATAGGGCGAAGGCATTCGCTGAACGAGGTTTCGTACCTCCTGGGACAAAGCGATACAAGGACAAGCGCTTCATGTTTGACCGTGTCTTTGATGCCGATGCTAGACAAATCGACGTTTACGAAGCCACGGCCAGACCGCTTTTAGATCGTCTCCTGGATGGCTACAACGCAACTGTGTTCGCATATGGTGTACGTCGTGTTGTTTAGTTGTATTATCCGCTGAGCATACTCGTGTCTAACTTGATTCCATAGGCTACTGGTTGCGGCAAAACGCATACTATAAGTGGGACAGACACAGACCCTGGCTTAATCTACTTAACAATGTCTGACCTATTTCACAAAATCGAGGAAAGACGAAGCGAAAACAATATCGACATTTACGTTACTTTCCTCGAGATATATAATGAAGAGATTCGTGACCTACTTGCAGAGCCTGGAACACCTACTCCCCGTGGTGGTCTTCAAATCCGAGAGGACAAGTCGGTTAAGGTTGTGGGCCTGGTCGAGCTTCATCCAACAAGCGCAGACCAAATAAAGGAGATAGTACTTCTTGGTAATAGCCGTAGGACACAATCGCCGACAAATGCCAATGAAACTTCCTCTCGTTCGCACGCTGTGCTTCAGGTGCATGTCTCATCATCGCCGAGAACTGCGTCGACTACAGAACAACGCACTATGGCAACTCTATCAATCATTGATCTCGCCGGAAGTGAACGAGCAGCTGCTACGACGAATATGGGACAGCGAATGGTGGAAGGTATGGACGTAACTATGGACTGGATGTTAAGCTGACTTTTAAATATTACAGGTGCGAATATAAATAAATCACTGCTGGCTCTTGGAAATTGTATAAACGCATTATGCGAAAGTGGAGGTGCTACTCGACACATCCCATATCGAAATAGCAAGCTCACTCGACTACTGAAATTCTCACTTGGCGGGAATTGCAAGACTGTCATGATTGTATGCATCGCACCAGCGTCCAACCATTTCGACGATACGCACAATACGCTCCTCTATGCAGATCGTGCTTCGAAAATCAGGACGAAGGTTGTTACGAGAAATGTGGTCAATGTTGATCGCCACGTCGGACAATACGTCGAAGCAATCAACAGACTTAATCTGGAGGTCGCCGAGCTCAAAGCCAAGCTTGCTGGAAAGGTCAACGGCGAAGCAGAAATCAGCAGGAGGAAGAAAGAACAAGCGAAGGCTGAAGTTGACCGTTCTAGAGATGATATCGAACGGAAGGCAGAACAAACACGCCCATCCATTATCGCGGGTAGTCGCTGCGAGGCTGTTCTATCCGTAGCTCGCGCAAAGATCGAGGCATATGCTCGTCGTCTGACACAGATAAGGGCGCAGTTAGCTACAAGCTCGTCGACACCAGATCTCGCTGCCGAACAGACCCTGTTAGAGTCTCTCATTTCATCGGAAGAAGCTCAATTGCACCCAAGTTCTGAACCACAGGTGCAATTGACGAGATCACAAAATGCGAACAGCATGTTTGAAGCTATGCTTCGTGCAGTGACGGAAAGACGCTCAGATAGGCTTGACGAACTTAGTATCGAGAACGTGCGCCTAGATGCTCTGTATCGAAAGACTCACATGGATTTCTTGAAAGCAGAGGCTCTGCGAGATGCTCTGCAAGCGTCTGTGTCCGCTCAATCCGAGTTGATCACGAACCTTGTGAGCGTTGTAACGAGATGCACCATGATGCTTGAGGATGGGAGCAAGGCGTTACGGCAGGCTGCTCAAGAAACAGACAGGCTTGCTGGAAAGGCAGAAAACATCTCGAGTTCACTCCATCATTTAGCTGAAGCCAACAATACGACCTTTGGTGCTCTCTTTGGTCGAAATATTGACCCCTCACTCAGCGATGGATTGGCACTCCTAGCAACTGGTGGCAAAATTTCTTATATTTCCCCTGTTTTGAACTCCGAGTCTGCATCATCGCAAACTCAAGGAAAACCTGCACGTCGTGTCTCCTCGGCCCATTTAAGCATTCCAGACAGTTCGTCTCGCCGCTTCCATCGTTCTCCTCGGAAGTCACTCCGGTCAAGTCTTCTTTCTAGTGGCTTACATGCAAGGAGACATTCATTGAGGCCACAAGAGAAGAAGAAGGCAGTACAATGGAAAGACGAGGCTGGACAAGGGAGCTTAGTTGATGGCGGGGATGGGAGCAGCAAGGATCCATCTCTTATAATCGATTCTCATCCAAACTCCCAGACATCCGAGTGCGACTGGGAGGACGAGAAAACGGATGATAGTTCCGGCTCGAGCTTTTCAGGCCTCCCTGCTCGTGATGTGTCCTCTTCAAGGGCTGGACCACGACGACCTAGTCGGCTTGATCCGTCGTTTTTGAAAGCGAGGAGCGCTTCATCTTCTCTTGGTAGTGTGGTAGAGGATGACGAATCGAAAGCCTCTCAACCACTGTCCAGCAGTGGTCCATTTACAAACCGATTAGTCAACCTACCTAGCCCGCCAGACAGTTCAATTGCGAGTAGTTCGAGCGTGACTGGACTAGAAACCGCGAAGCGAAAGCGCGAGGAGAGCCCTTCGACAGACGGACCAAATGAAACAAAGACGTCTGACTCTGGAGCTAGGAGAGATATTGGAAATGGACGGCGACGATCAAGCATCGGGCCACTGCGCAGCGAAAAGCGACGGCGCTCTGGTGGTCTTCTACCACCTCCAGACCGGGAGGTAGAGAATAGTTCCGCAACGTCAACAAGGACTGGTCCGCGTCGGGTCCCTATTGTGCATACGCCTGCGAAGCGCGTGAAACGGAACTCACTGTTTCATGGCAGAACACCACTGTCTGTTCGGTCATCTCTTCAGTCGAGACCGAAGATCAGCCTGCCACCTTCCGATGCAAATAACAGTGGTGATATCAGTCTCAAGGCAACTAGGCCTACTTGGCGTTGAGTAGACACTTCTCCATGTGCCACCCTCATATTTTCGTTTAATCCTTTGTTGGTCGCCCAAGGTTCCAGTGAATATATCGCGCAGGATATACAAGCGAGCTGTGCTCGCGAATTGCACCTGCAAGAATATGCCTACCACTTATCTCTTGTATAACGCATGTCATCTCAGCAACGCCTCAGTGTATGATGCTTTGATCTACCCATACCCCGAAGCTGATTCAGATCCATTTTGCTTGTTACTCATTGCCTCGGCAAGGTTATCGAATGAAATGACATATTCTTACTTCGTGTGGATAAAGCGATGTATTAGTTGTACGATTATGTAGACAGCAGATGCCAAACATGGTCTAAATTATCCTTTTGACCTCAAAGAATGACTGTATTCACATGATCAGATCCCGTTTATCTGATTTTAACATCTTTCGCAACTTACCTTGAGATAATACACTTGGAACGCAACGACAGAAAACAATACGGCAGTTTGTAATATTGACCACCATTTAACGCGGGAATTTGTCGATTCGGCGGTATCACGATGTTTTTTCTCGCGAACAACGATGTACTCCTGCTCATCTTTTACGGTTTGCAGGCCCACAGCGAGTGAACGGATCTCTCGTTCAATAGGCGCGATTGTTTCTACGAGACAAATGAATCACTGCAGAAGATAATAACCAGACTTGGAATTCGTACCATCTTCGCCAACATATACGACTCCATGTACGTTGAAGCTGATTTACGGTAAAAACTTCTTTAGCAGACGCACAAACAAAAATCAGAGACTATTAAATGCCACACACTTGACAATCTTGTCAGCTAAAGTACTCATTTGATTCGAGAAGCAGTACTCATAACGGCCATCCTTATCTGCAGTGATAGATACCGATCCTGTTGATTGTTTTATATGTTTCCCAAGGGCGAGATTCTCTGGGTCTGCTAGCTGCAAACATAGTTCAAGACGTTGATCCTGAAGACAAGTGGTAAACTGGCTAGGACTGACCCAGAAATCGATGTCAAGATGTCCTCCTCCGCCTACTTGATAGGTCACGGTCATCTATAGTACACAATAAGCTCGAACCAAATTATCAAATCTTAGGCTGGAACTTGGCTCAAACCTGGTCGTTTGAGTGCAAGTCTTCGAAGAAGCACTCCTTTTTGGAAGCGGGCACCTCGATCATGTGTGCAACAGCGAGATGCCATGATAGTAGTGTTAGTAAAGAAGCAGTGAAAATACAGAGACTATGAAGTCCCCGAGGCATGTTCGTCGTGTCTGTCGCAGTCGAATGCAGTAAGTGTGAACAGGTTCAATAGACGTGTCAACGGTTACTTTTGCTGGAATTCGTGCATGATCCGCGTCGACCATGTGAGAAAATGAGTTCTTTTTGGGACATTGTGATCGACAGTGGGCAAGGGTGCATCGGCTACGCTAAAATCCTTCCTCTCTTTCAACTCCAACAACCTCGCACACATACCTTTTCTTTACTTCCCGTGCTCGCGTTTGAATAGTTATGACATCCGTTCTGGATCCCGCTGTAGATGCCGCCAAGGTATGTCTTTATCAACCGGTCTTGTCGATCGTTTACGTCGTCTTCGCACACGATGTACATCGCCGTTTAATCTACCCGAATCGACTACATGTATGCGTTCATATGCTAATTCATATTTCCAAGGTCGAGGAGGAGCCCAATGTCGATTTCAAACCCGTCATCCATCTAACCGAGCAGGTTGAGACAAAAACAATGGAAGAGGACGAAGATGTGCTTTTCAAACTGTGAGTCGTGAAATTTGTTTAGCGTTTAGTTTCCTTGTAGTTCTGAGTATGTATACTTTCTTTCAGACGTGCAAAATTGTTCCGATTTGACAACTCTGAAGCTGTCGGTGCATGGAAAGAGCGTGGAACTGGTGACGTCCGTCTGCTAAAGCACAAGGAGACCAGCAAAGTCAGACTTGTCATGCGACGGGACAAGACCCTCAAAGTCTGCGCGAACCACCTGAGTATGTGCTCTATCGCGTAGTTCACACTTATTCACTAACGTATTCCGAATTTGTAGTCTCCGCTGACATGCGTCTCACACCTAATATTGGCTCGGATAGATCATGGGTTTGGAAGGTTCCTGCAGATTACGCAGATGGCGCTCCCTCGTCAGAAACCTTAGCTATCCGATTTGCCAATGCTGAAAGTGGGCTTTCTCTTTCCTAGAGACGCCTTTGTAAGATGCTGATGCCTCGTTTCAGATGCTAACAGCTTCAAAGAAGCCTTTGAAGATGCACAGCGTAACAACGTGTCTCTTGCAACTGCAGAAGCACCTGCAGCACCTGCCGAACCTGCCGCTACTGAGGCACAGCCTGAGAAACCTGTCGAAGAAACAAAGGCTAATGATAACTCTGGAGAGAAGACTCCAACAGAAGAGAAGAAGGATTCAGAGGCTAAGGAAGAGGCTGCGGAAGAGGAAAAGAAAGAGGAAGAGAAGGAAGACGAGCCGGCAGCAGAGCCTAAACCCGAAGAGAAGACCGATGCCTAGACCGTTGGCCAGTTGTCCATTGTATCGCTTACTTGTCCAAAGCGAGAGATGTAATGGCATATCACTATTAGATTCCTATTGTATCTCACTGTTCTCGTTAGTGGAGGATACGTACGCATGTCAAAACGCTTGTACACATCAATCGGTCAAAGGATCACGGTCTAGTTCCAATATATGTGGGCTCATGAATTGTAAGGATACCAGTACAATGCGCCGAGAATAATAATTATACACCATGAAGATGGTCCGAAGGAAAGGAAGAGAGACTCTATGAGCTTTGTTTATCCAAAGGGCCTTCTTCATCGGCCCATGCCGACCAAAATGCAGCACCTCCCCCACGGACCCAGTACAATGCACCCCGCTCCCTTTTGGCGACGGTTTCGTTGATCAAGACGTGTTTGATATTCTTGAAAAGACAGTTAGAAAGTGAGGCCATCTAGAAGGCAAAGAAACAGAGGATACAAGCTTACCGAACCCCTGTGGAGAATAGTCACTATTAGTCTCTATAATCCAAATGAATTCTTGGTCACTTACGGTACTTCATACATCGCATCCATAAGAAGGCTCTCCTATACAAAGAACGATGTCAACTTATCTCCAATATACATGGCAGATGACCAACCATTATGCCTCTTAAACCCCTTGCGCCTCCTCCTCGCTCTGCGGCTTGTCGACATATTTCCAGGAGGGCGAGTGTTGTGAATCGTAGTTCCACGCCAGAATAACCGAAAAGGGCAGTGTACTGAGAAACGAGGGAACCGCGCACGTCCGTTAATATTCGGAGGAAATCTGAAGGTGTTAATGGAGCTAATGATGTGATTGTTGGTAACCTCCCCATGAATTCTGGTATAAATCTATAATGCGATGGACAGTCGGCAAGGACAAACGATTTAAGACTCGAGGATGACGAACCCGTATTTAACTAGGTCTGGATGAGTTTATATTTATTAGTATTCGGTCTATTCTAGGAACTGGATACATACCCGTTGGTTCCACCATATCGAGAATATTATTCGAAGCTTTGTGATTAGGAGTAAAGAAGGGGACGGAATTTAATGAATCGTCTTCTGAAGAAGCGAGGCTCGCAGTGAACCCAATGGACTGAAAGCATTGATAAGAAGGCAAAATATAATATTAAAATAGTAATACTCACTCCTTTGGTACTTCTTCGCTTCACAATTCCATCTAAACCGACAAACGCTCCGCTGAAAATGAATAGAATGTTCGTGGTATCTATATTGTAGGTGTCGCTTCGTGCTACAATGATGTCAGACAAATTTGAAGAAACGAGATGGCATTGGAATATCTGACGTTCAGGTGCGGGTGGCCGATGTCCTGACCTTGATCGACTATCGCCACCCATTGGACCTAGATCCGAGCCCGAAGCAGGCGGCTATGTGTTTTATGGACTATCAATATAAGTACCATGAGCCAATGATTTACATACCTTTGCATGTATCGTTACATTTGTTCCTTCCATCACTCTTAAAAGAGCTTGTTGGACACCCTCTCCCCCAACATCACGTTGACCATCTATACCTCCTGCTCTACGAGCAATCTTGTCAATCTCGTCGATGTAAACGATCCCAGTACCAGCGCGGCGCTCATCCCAGCCAGCGGAAATGAGCTATCAAGTGACGTAAACATTGATTCTGGTTAATATCTAATTTCTTACCAATCGATGGATACACATGTCCACGTCCTCTCCTACGTCTGTAAGTCCGTCAGTAATAGATCATTGAACGGAAACTAACGTCCATACATCCTGCCTATTAAAATTGGTAAGGACTCCTTAAAGGTGTTAGAGGAGAAATAAATCAAACCTGAGTGAAGGAGGTCGCATCGCTCTGAGAAAACGGAACATCGAGTACTCTTGCTAATGTTCTTGCAAGCAAAGTTTTGCCTATTTCAAATTGAGCTTGATGAGTCCCTAGTACAGTAGAACTAGAGGAGTCGTACCCGATCCTGTTGGACCTCTGAGATTCTGTATGTAAGAAAACACGCCCCAGACCAGAATAAACTTCTCTTACATTATAAGTACGTTACTCTTTTCGAATAAGGGTGGGAAGTCTCTTGACCTTAATGGAAGAGAATGTGAAGTTGATGAGCGGTATGGATGCGGGAGGACTTGAGCAGACGATACAGCTAGAGAGGAGCATAAGACACAGTATAATCTGACCACTATAGACGTATGTACCTTCGGCCGATTGATCAGGCCATGTTGTTACTGGTTCCGGTGGGTGTAGCTGGGACAAATTCGAGCGCACTCGATTGTAGTGATTGAAAACCCTTGTTCCTACTTGTTATTAGAGGAACTTAGGTGTGGAGGAGCTTCGCTTACGCCACGGACAAGACCTTCTTAGCATTCTCCTGGCCGACTACATACTCATCTAGGTACTGAGCAAGCTGGTTCCAGGGAAAAGTGTCAATCACTGTCGCAATCCTGGGAATGCGAAGCGCACCTGTCGTGGGGTCGACAGTGCTGCAGATCTAGGAAACGAGGCGGTTTCTCCTAAGTCTTCTCGTACATCGGATCCATAATGAGCCTGAGTCCGTATACCACAACGAAGGGCGAAAGAGCTATAGACAAGTCGAGAATTAGCGCGCTTTAACCATAATCTCCCGGCCATAGTATTAAAGAAGAGAGCCAGACGTGCAAGCGTCCGGATGGACGTCCGTAGCAGCAGAGGGTACATTGTGCATTGCCGCTGAGAGTGCTACACGTGATCAATAATAATTAGCAAGAAAGGCAAGCAGATCCTCGACCAGCAACTGATGCATCGCTACTTTCTCTTCCTGTGATCATGGGCCGCTACCGTTCGTACTCTCGTTCTCCATCCCCTCGACCTCGCAGGCATGATCAGTACAAAGAGGACCACCAGAAACGGAGAAGAAGTAGGAGTAGGCAGAGGGAGGACGAAGAGGAACGGCGCAGAAGTGTAAAGGACGGACGCAGATCGCGCAGTCGCAGTCCTTCCAGAGACGATGATAGGAGGGAGAAGAAGTGAGTATCTTCCGACAGTTTTCTTTAAAATGATTCCTTACTGAGTGTTAGACGAAAGCGAGACAAGTCAGCGGAGCGGAAGGCCCGCAAGGCCGAGAAGAAACGGTTGAAAGAGGAAGAGGAAGCTCGTCAAGTTGCTGAATTGAGCATCTACAGTGCCACCGACAACCCCTTCCACGACGTTAACTTGGGTCAGCAATTTCGCTGGCACAAGAAAGCCGAGAAGGAGAGAAAACAAGGCTTGACTCTTGCCGAAGCTCAACGACGGGACGCGATTCGTCGACAGGAGGCCAAAGAAGAATTAGAGAGACTGAATAAGCGGAGGGCAGAACGGGAGGTAGAACAGCAGCTCAAGGAAGAGGAAGAAATCAGAATGCAGAGGCTTGCGGAGTCGGCGCAAATGGCTGAGTGGCTAGCAAAAGATGGGGATTTCCAACTCGAACAGGAAAGACGCAGAGCAGGTATTCGGCTAAAGGAGAAGCGAGCAAAAGCTGTGGATTTCCTAGTCTTGAACCTGAAGTATGTGGATCCATCAGAGGATGTGGATGATGGCCTTGGTCTTGATGATGCCGGTCTGGAAATCGATTTAGACGAGCCCTATGCTATTCTCGAGGTACGTCTTTCGATTATTCGTCTTACATTACACGTGTATGAATAGACACTCTTCTAGAACCTGTCCCTCGAACAGACTGAAGAACTTCATGATGATATTGAGAAGTATCTCACTCTTGAGCAGTCAGAGGCTAATATCGACTTCTGGACTGTGAGTACAATCACTCACAGTCTTCTTTATACAGTCGTGCTGATTATAAGTCATGCAGAACATGATGGTCGTCTGCAAGGATTGGCTCGAGAAGCTTCGTAGTAGTCGTGACCGAGGTACCAATGTCGTGGCCGTCGTCGAAAATGATGTTTCTGCTATTCTTAACGGGAAATCCGTGGACCAGTTATCTCAACTACAACGCCAGATTCAGGCCAAGCTGACAAGCGGTGAACCTATTGATACCGATTATTGGGAAGGATTGTTGAAAAATTTGCTTGTTTGGAAGGCGAAGGTATTGTTTTTGAACTAGTCGTATATGCTGTGGTCTGACCTTTTCTCAAGGCAAAACTGAAGGACCTTCACGAAGTCGTGGTCCGTAACAGACTAGAGCAATTGCGCAAGCGACAACGCGATGAAGCACTTTTGGCACAGAGAGAACTTCTTGCCGGCGTTTCGAAGAGTACGAGGTCGTGGGGTGGTGATATGCGTGCGGAAGCCATTGCGCAACCAGCTGCGGAGGTACCCGTTGAAGTCGAGGAAGTTTCAGAACCGTATGATCGCTCGATGAGCCCTGCTCCGCTCGACATTAGGAAGTTACCTTATGATGACCGACAAATTCGTATTGTTCCAGAGAAGGAGGACGTCCAAGGACTGGTGAGTCGATTATTTTTCGCAGCTCCCCTCACACCACTTGCTGACACTCATCCAAACTAGCTTCAATTGAGGCGCAACGTCGCTGGATCACGCTTCGTTTCAAAGCAAACTACCGAGACGACGGAGACGCAGGATGCCGAGGCACCGAGTGGTGCAGATTTGGACTCTGAGGCCCTATACAGGGCGGAAGCTGAGAAAGAACTAGACGAGGAAGAGGAACTCTTCAATCTCGAAGAGACCATAGCTAATCCGACAACGTACAACTGGGAAGACAAGTACCGCCCGCGGAAGCCAAGATACTTTAACCGTGTTCACACTGGATATGAATGGAACAAGTATAATCAAACACATTATGAGTGAGTTGCTGTACAAACGGTATATGAAAATCCATTGACATTCCTCTGCCTTCAGCACTGATAACCCTCCTCCGAAGGTTGTTCAAGGATACAAGGTAACCAAGTTCCCCAGTGCACTCCTCAGCTTCTTTATTTACGTTTATCTAGTTTAACATTTTCTATCCGGACCTTATCGATAAATCAAAGGCTCCCACTTACAAGATTGTTAAGGAACCTGGTAATGACGAAACTGTTTTGCTTTACTTTACTGCGGGTCCTCCTTATGAGGATATCGCGTTTCGGATTGTCAACCGTGATTGGGAATATTCACACAAACGGTATGTATTGTATATTGACTACTATTACATTTCTCTAATTATGTCCGTTCAGTGGTTTCCGCAGCAGCTTCGATCGCGGATGCCTTTCCTTGTGGTTCAATTTCAGAAGAAATGTGAGTGCTGCTTGAAGTTACGTTGGACTATGCCTGACATTCTCGCCAGTTCTATCGTAAATGATTTTATGATAGCAAGAATCGATTCTGGTCGATTCTATCTTTTCTTTTATAAATAGTCCCTGTTTGTTACATACTGTATCAGTGTATGCAGTGCAGACACGAATATCGGAGTTTTATATGTAGTGGCGAGTCAGAATGACAGAATTAAGGCCGTGTATAACGTAATGAATTTATAAATTGAGTTGCATAGACGCGTTGCCTCGTCCCTTACACATACCTTCATCACCTCTGTTGCCAGCTTACTCTTTCTCGAAATCGCTGAAATTACCACTGCTGCACTTGTTCGTAACGAATAGACTATGTCAAACGTCCCTGCAGCTATGGATGTAGACGAAGCCCAGATTGATGAGGGCTTATATTCTCGACAACTGTGAGTTTCGTGGCGTACCTACTTACAGCCCGTTGACCCGATATTCTAGATACGTGCTCGGTCATGAAGGTAGTGTTACTTATATCCTCTGCTTTCCATGTGATGCTGATATTGAAGCGGTTTAGCTATGAAGAAGATGGCATCGTCTAACGTACTGATTGTCGGGGTTCAGGGCTTGGGTGTTGAGATCGGCACGTACTTGCACTTTGTCGTGGTACCGTCGATGAAGCTGAATAGTTGTCATTCCAGCAAAGGATATCGTCCTGGCCGGCGTCAAGTCTGTTACCATCTACGACCCGGAGCCAGTAACGATTCAAGATTTGAGTTCACAGGTTCGGTCCACCTTTCACAAGAAGTCGTGTGCATATATGCTCACAATACTCGGTAGTTCTTCCTTAGAGAGGAAGACGTCGGCAGAGCACGTGCAGAAGCCACATTGCCACGGCTAGCAGAGCTGAATGCCTACGTTCCCGTTCGCAATCTCGGCGGTAAACCTGGTCAAGAGATCTCAGTAAATCAGCTTAAAGGGTTTCAGGTATGACTAGTTTTCGTATCATTTGTCAGTACTAACGGTGTTTTGGTAGGCTGTTGTCCTTTGTGGCGCCTCCTTGGCCAAGCAATTGGAAGTCAATGACTGGACGCATGAAAATGGTGTCTACTTTATCGCGACAGAGACTCGCGGTTTGTTTGGGTGAGATGGGCTTTTTGTTGTGATAGAGCGGTATAAATAACTATGCTATACATGTAGATCCGTGTTCAATGACTTTGGACCAAGGTTTACTTGCGTGGATCCTACAGGCGAGCAACCTCTAAGCGGCATGATTGCAGAAATCGATAAGGTAAGGCCAGTGTTGAAAGGGTCGATAATCGAGTACTGAGGACACCTCCCAACAGGACAAAGACGGTGTAGTGACTTGCCTTGAAGAGACTCGACACGGACTTGAGGATGGAGACTTCGTGACTTTTTCTGAGATCAAGGGCATGGAGGAACTTAATGGCTGCAAACCGTTGAAAATCACCGTTAAAGGGCCTTATACATTCAGCATCGGTGACACCTCACAATTCGGTGACTATGTCTCTGGAGGCATTTTCACCCAGGTCAAAATGCCAAAGATCATCAGCTTTGTGAGTTGTCATTAGGTCCATTGATTGCACGCAAGTAACACGTAATTTATCACAGAAATCTCTACGAGAGACACTTCAATCACCCGAGTTTTTCATGACAGACTTTGCCAAATTCGATCGTCCAGCTACACTTCACGCAGGATTCCAAGCATTGTCAGAGTACCGAGCTCAACGCAACCGATTCCCCCGACCGCGCAATGTGGATGACGCAAATGAGCTCATCACACTTGCGAAGAAGTTTGACTCGGACTTGGACGAAAAGGTATTGACTGAACTGTCTTTCCAGTCGACCGGCGATCTAGCTCCCTTGAACTCCGTGATTGGAGCGTTTGTGGCACAGGAAGTGTTGAAGAGTATCTCGGCAAAGTTCCACCCAATGGTTCAGAATATGTATTTCGATTCTCTCGAGTCTCTACCTTCTGTTTTACCGAGTGAGAAGGACTGCCAGCCAGTGGGCAGCAGATACGACCGACAGGTTGCTGTGTTCGGGAAGGCATTCCAGGAGAAGATTGCAAATCACAGACAATTCCTGGTTGGTTCAGGTGCTATAGGCTGCGAGATGCTAAAGAACTGGAGTATGGTTGGTCTCGCGACTGGTCCAAAAGGCGTTATCCATGTCACAGACTTGGATACCATTGAGAAGAGCAACTTAAACAGACAATTCTTGTTCCGTGCGAAGGATCTGGGAAAATTCAAGTCGGAGGTTGCCGCCGCTGCAGTCACTGAGATGAATCGTGAACTAAAGGGTCATATCCTTTGCAAGCAAGAGCCAGTCGGCGAGAACACTGAAAGTTCGTGTGTGGCAGTTAATGTCACGGATACACACATCTAACACCTTGCTAGATATTTATACTAAAGAGTTTTTCGCCGGCCTGGATGGCGTTACAAATGCACTGGATAATGTCGCTGCGCGTGTGTTACGTTTTTCTTCGGAGCATCATGACATTACTCACTGACACGATTATTTTAAGGACAATACATGGACCGTCGTTGTGTATTTTATGAAAAGCCGCTTCTCGAATCGGGTACTCTAGGGACAAAGGGGAACACCCAGGTCATAATTCCACACCTAACGGAATCTTATTCTTCATCGCAAGATCCTCCAGAAAAGCAGACTCCAATGTGCACAGTCAAACATTTCCCGAATGCCATTGAACATACGATTGAGGTGAGGGCACCAGAGTTTTGTAAGGAGTCTAATTGACCAATTTTTCTTACCCACGTCAGTGGAGTCGAACGATGTTTGATAATCTATTCGTCACACCTCCAAAGGCGGTGAACTCGTACCTTACAGAACCAAATTACGTCGAAGACCTGAAGCACACAGGACAACAACGAGAACAAGTGTCACAGATCGTTTCTTATCTGGTGAAGAACAAGCCATTGACAATAGAGGAATGCATCGTCTGGGCTCGACTGCAATTTGAAGAGAAGTTCAACAACGACATTCGCCAATTGCTTTTCAGTCTGCCGAAGGATCATACAACGTCTACCGGACAACCTTTCTGGAGTGGTCCTAAGAGAGCTCCCGATCCGTTGACTTTCAATCCAGAAGACGTGAGTGCGAGTCCAGTTCTGGTGATCTTTTGCTGAGAAAATCAACAGCCCACACATCTCCAATTTATCATCGCCGCTGCGAATCTCCATGCCTACAACTATGGCCTGCGCGGCGAGACGGATCCTGCAATCTTCAAGAAGGTGGCCAGCTCCATCGTACCGCCTAAATTCGCCCCAAGGAGTGGGGTGAAGGTGCAAATCAATGACAGTGATCCCGATCCGGAGGCCGGTAGCGGTGGTAATGCATCGTTTGAAGGTCGATCGGTCGATTGTACTGATTTCCATGCTTAGGTGACGATGTTAGCGACCTATTGAAACAGCTTCCTGCAGCCTCTACTTTCGCTGGTTATCGCATGAATCCGGTAGAATTCGAGAAAGATGACGACACTAACCATCACATCGATTTCATCACCGCCGCTTCTAACCTTCGGGCTATGAACTACAGTATTTCTATCGCGTCTCGCCACCAGACGAAGCAGATTGCGGGAAAAATCATCCCTGCAATTGCGACAACGACTTCATTAGTGACTGGGCTCGTGTGTCTGGAGCTTTACAAGATTATCGATGGGAAGAGCAAGCTCGAAGATTACAAGAATGGATTTGTCAATCTAGCTTTGCCATTCTTCGGGTTTTCCGAGCCCGTCGCTGCAAAGAAAAGCAAGTACCACGATACGGAGTGGACTCTATGGGATCGCATCGAGTTCAAGACAGAGCCGACCTTACAGGAGTTCATCGATACGTTTAAGAAGGACCATAACTTGGACATTAGTATGGTCAGCCAAGGCACTACTCTCCTTTGGAGTTCTTTCCTTCCAAAGGCGAAGGTAAGTGGACATAACGTCGTTGTGATTTAATCAGACGTAACTAATCGATATGTGCAGAAGGATGGTCGGATGCAGAAAAAAATCAGTGAAGTTGTCGAGTTAATCGGCAAGAAGCCCCTTCCAGAGTGGAAGACTCAGCTGATCCTCGAGGTGATTGCGATGGACGAGGAGATGGAGGACGTCGAGGTCCCGTTCATTGTTGTAAATGTAGACCGGAGAGCGTAGGCGAAAGAGCACAGCAGTTGAATACATGTACACGTAAAACGCCGAATGTAGTGTAGTCGTATAGATTAAACCTTTTTCACACGCATGCATATACATAGCAATCGAGTTGAATCGACTCATCGTTACTGGCTAGCATGAGTCACAAAGCGGAGCCAGCATTGCACATTGCATCCGCCGACCCCTTTGCGCATCACGTGACTGAATTACGTAGTAAATTTCTCTTCCCTTGCTCGGTCACTCTTTCCCTACCACGACCATCTCCCCGCGGTAGTCGTCGTCGCTCTCGCTCACTCTGTGCCCGATTGTCGACGTCGACAACGTGCCTCAAGTCCGTTCTCCCGTTTACTAGAGTCTCGTCACAGAGACACATTTGCTCCAACGCAGTCTCAAAAGGCACGCCTTCGTTGTGCGTTTGCCATCCAAGTTTTCCTTTGATCGATATCATATTTTCGGCCTTTGACGACTATCTTCACGACCTCTCTCTTCTCTTTCTCTTTTTTCGTTTTCATTTCACTTTTCTCTTCATCTCTATTTTTTTTGCCGGGAATTTCGCCACCGCTTTGTCTAGATACCTCAGCCACGCAGTCTTAAGTCATTGTGGTTCCCCGCCACTGAGCTGACCAACGCTTGGCCAAGCATTCCTCCTATCCCCCGCCGCCGGGCAGATGCCAGTTCCCGTTCCTACTCACAAGAAGAGCCCATCGCATCCAGTTGTCAAACCGCAAGGCGACGTTCCAGGCACCTTCCCATCCGTTGTTCCTGGACTCGTTCCCGACGACTCACTCAAATACGTAATCCACTCTGCTTGTCAGCCCGCGGCTGCCCACGCAGGATTTGGCTCCTTCCCACCTCTCCAACGAACACGATCAGATTGGGTATCTATTAATTCTTTCTACTCTGGAGACGGCTCTCAGATCTCGTTCTGGCCTGGAGTAGCGGAGGAAAGTTCGGATTTGCGACGCGGGCTGACCGTTGCGGGAAACGCAGCGGTCAGTAAGCAGGTGCACGCAGAAGCGTGCCGCTCGCCTGCGGAGACATCCGATTCTTATTCCGTAATCATGGGTCTGCAACATTTTGTTGACAGGCGTCCCGTTGACCACAGTTGGGCCGTTCGTGAACATACTGATGATTCCGCGATTAGCTTTGTGGCCAGGGCAGACGCCTGGAATTCTGCCAGGGGGAACGCTTTTCGCAAGGATTTCTCGGGGAATTCCTTTTCATCTATGGAATTAGACCACCGTTCTCCTCATCACGCTGCGGACGAACTTTGCGACAATTTGCTTCATTCCGCCACCACCCCTTTTGCAGACTTTGTTGATCGCATTGTTGCTACGCAAGGGACTTACGCAAGTGACCAACCTGCTCCGGATGCCTTGGAGCCTCTTCCAGCTGATGCTCCCGGTCACCAGCAACAGCCGGTGCCCACTGAACCGCTTTCCGATCCCACGTATATTAGGACATACCGTGCGATGGCAGAGCCCCTGTCTGAATGGATGGCAGACTATGTCTGGAAGATCTGTACAAGGGGTATGAGTCTTCCTTGCCGTTTTGTCGGTGCAGGGTATGTTATTTTTGATGTCTCAATTACTCTTCCAATTAATATTTCTATAAGGGCCTCGTGTATTTACGAGGAGAAGCCACCATCCAATCTGGCGAAGGCAATTCACTCGGTGCTGAGCTCTACGCTTCTCCAGCCCTCTGCTATCCTTCTCGCGCTCTGGTACATTACACGGTTACCCGTTTTGTTTGACGTACATTGTTCAGGCACGATCCTAACACCTGCGGAACTCGAGTTTCGCAAGGAACTTTATGGTGAAGGGTGTCCTTTGTCGACGGATGAGCGCAGTCAGTTGGTATCCCGTGCTCCATTTAGAATTGCTCTGCTCGGTTGTATGTTCGCGAACAAGTGGCTGGATGACCATACGTTCTCGAACAAAACGTGGTATGTCCTGCTCTCTTTCTGTTGCCATTTACGATTACTAATTGTACTCATCACAGGCACAGCATCTCTGATGTACCGATTCAAAGCATTAATCGACTCGAGTTGACCGCGCTCGCTGTCATGGGACATGATTTATCGGTTACACCCAAAGCATGGGAGTGGTGGCTTGCTCACCTTCAACAGTATCAATCCTGCATTGAACCTGTGACAAACCACTTCCCTGCTCCTATTTGTCGCCCGTCGACAAGTGATTCACACACGATAGTCCGTAGGATGGTAGCGGATTTGGTTCAATTGCATGGTCGTTTCGGATTGATGGCTTCAACGATTGTCGCACAACCAATCTTCAGTTCGTTGCTTACATGCGAATTCTACAGAAAGGCCGAGTCCTGTCATGAAGAGACGTACGACACTTTCGAAATTGACCTTGATGAGGATGGCCCGCTTAGGGAGGAATATGTCCCTAAGCGAAGAGTGTCTGCGTCGAAGACAGAGATACACAGACGTTCGTTCTCTTCTGAGACGAACAATGTGACATATGTGTCTCCGCGTTTGCCTGCACCTTCTGAATGGAGTCCACATGCGGACCCTCCTTTAGCGCGAGATTATGGACGCCGCTTCATGACTACAGCACCTGGCTCAAAGGAAACTGCTATTGGAAGTGCTCTGCCAGGCATACAACCGTACCCGTCCTCCTGGAATGCTCCAATACCTTTATTCGCCACACATTTTTCCGCACCCAGAAATATTCATACTACCAGTAGCTTTGAAGCAGAACCTCGTGGTTTCTCAGCTTCCACTGTTGGTCCACCTATCAGCTACGCTCGCGCAACATTCAACTCTATGGGGCACGTGCGATCGTTCTCTTATTCTCGTGTAAACGGGGATGACAACTGCTGTCTACCGCCAACCTCGTGCTCCCGATATGTGGGACAACCTCCGACTTTCTCTTATATCCAAGGCGAGCCTACTCACTCCCGGCCGCTGTGGCTAAAGACATGAACAAAGAAATAGCTTCTTTCACTATGAGCCTAGACATTCTTCCACGTCAACTTTTCTCAACCATTTATGCTAGGACGTCCGAGATAATCATCGACTTTCGCTGTCTATTGCTGTCGTGCAGTCTTCGGTGTCTGCCTTTGGTGCCTTCTTCGTAATCTTGCTTTTCTCATTTTTTTCACCATTGCTATACGGACTTAGCCGGATCGACTACCTTTACATGATGCACGGGTTTTCACTGTTCCTAAGGAGTCATCGGTCATTTCAGCATATTGCATTTTCTCCAAGCATCTATTTAATTGCTTCAAGTTTTGGGCTCCCTCACTGTCACCATTGCATCTTTACGCTTCATTCCGTTCTCCACCTCCACCGCAGTCGAAGGCGTTCCATTGTAGTGTATGCGTTTTTCTCTTCATCTACGTTCACACCCAGCAAGCCGCGTTCCTTTAGCAGAGCTGCGCTTTGCCAGCGTCTAGCAGACGTGTGCTCTGAAATGTTGTGAAATCTCTTTTTGGCCCTCGTTGCCCCTTTGGAGATTCTGTGCCCATTCCATTGTGCATTAATTTTCGTTTGGGTTTCTTTTCACCTGTGTCATGACTTTTTTTCCCTTTTCTCGTTTACACTCAAACCACTAAACGTCAAAAAAATCGGAAAAAATACGAACGCACGCATTTGAACTTGACTTTCCTCTTTAACCTCTGTTTTTTTTCTCTCACACATACTCCCCTTATCGCGTCCATCCCTGCGATTATAGTCCGCCTGATATCCCTTTACTCTGGGCTACACATATCCAGCTTTCATGCATTTTAGCATCCGCCTCTTCTTCCCTCGGGTTCAACTTTTAACCCGTCTGCGGCTGTGGGCCTGTTCGATGCGCCCCTTTGTCCCTCACTACCTTGCTTCCAGACTTCCCGAGCCTCCTAACATTCCCACCAGTCCCTACCGTTCGTCTATCCTCCCGTCCCGGTATAGCCTTCCCCCCATCCTCCACTCTGGATCTTCGTCCTTTACTCCGAACCCCCCCCCTTCCCTTAACCTCTTCCACCATTCCGCGTACCCCTTCAGTACATAGCTGTGTTGCACCGTCTGTAGACTTGTTGGTAGAGGCAAGCCAGGAATTTAACACGTTATGTGCAATATTGATCGTGAGATCTTAGTTGTCTTATGTAAGACGGTATTCTTGGATCGCGTTCATTCACTCACACAGTCGCGGAATACCACTTCCCTCTGGTTGTCTTGTTCCGACCCTGACTTGTCGGTTTTCGACATGGATTTGGACCTGAAATGCAACAATCTGTCTTGTAGGAAGACTTTGACGGACAAGGCTGTTGTGGTAAGCATGGAAACCTCCGTCCACCACGTTTACATGCATTATTACATGATTTTACATCTGTTCCTCCGTGTAGACAACCTGTGAGTCCGGTTCAACCTTGAGAGTTCATCCCATCCTGACATACGAGGCCGCAGGCTCCCATATATTCTGCGGTATATATACGTCTTCTGGAACTTTGTTCGCCAACTCACGACTTCTTTAGTCGAGTGCGCCAATGAGCTATTCACGTCTGCGCAGCTATGTCCAGGTGCAATTACCTTCCATATGTATTATTTCGGAGCTTGATATATCTTATTCAAGCCTGCGAGACCCACTTGTCCGAACCGTGAGTGAATACTGGAGTCTACGCTGACGAAACTTGATGCCACCGCTATTCTTAGCGATGATGTTGTGGTGCGGCTCAATTTTCTCCTTTCCTCTTTTGATATCGAGACTTGCAATTAACCCAGGTCTCATCATTACATCCATCCAATGACTATAAAACGGTTTGTCTTGACGTAAGTTGATGTACTGATATCTCACAGGTGTATCTCTCCCTAGTCTGTCCTATCGGGTCTCGGGCCTTCGCTCATCCTTGAAATATGCGGAAGAGCTATGTCATTCTGGCAGTACCAAACACATCAAGAATAGTAGGCAGCCTATTTCTGTCCATACTTACGCCAGGCGGTATTTCTTAGTCTGAGCTACTAGCTCGTTTCAGCAAGCTGTTCTGAAGAATATGAACGAACGGAATGCTCAACTACAGAAACAGCTTGATAACGTCATTCGAGAAGGTCTTATCCTGCATATATGCTATCTTCCTGAATCGATCTGATAAAATACCTCAGCAAACGGTGAACTTAGTCTTATGAACAATAAGTTACAAGGTCTAGAGAAGGAACTCGAGATGGAGCGTCGCAAACTCCGCGAGATGCAAGACTCGGCAAGGGAAAGGGACAAGGAATACCAGAAGCTCAAAGTCTGTGCTTCTTCGTTCTGGCATTCTAACTATAACACTTGGTGCCTTATTCGTCTTCTAGAATCACTACGATAAAATCAAAAGAAAGGCTCTTCTTGCCCCTGGTCCTCTGGCGAATGACGGCTTTGCAGCTCATATGCCTCCGCAATCCGAGAACCATGGGACAGCTAACCAGCAGATGAACAGAGGAAGGGGAAATATGTTCGCAAGTATGGGAAGTGTAAACGCTGTGGTTGGAGGCATGGAAGCTAGCGGCGTACGTCAAAATCAATCTAACAACCCACCCCGCACTAACTCTGGCTCCTGACCCATCTCTTTTCTCAGATTCAAAGAACACCTTTACGAACGAGCGGCGTTGGGGGACACCATGTTTCCGACTGGCAACCTTTGAACCGACAAGACATTGCTACATTCCGCGTCCCGAGTGTCTCGGACCAGTCGGCGAGCGCCGACGAAGTGGAGAACATGTTGGGTGGGTCTCGTCAAATGAATCGACAATTCATGCAGCGTCCCATGAACAACGTTGCGCCATTCGGTGGAAGGATGATGCCAGGCCAACCTGGTGCGTACCGAGCCCTCGTCCGAGTATATTAGACATGTTAATACTTCTGTATAGGACCTTCTATGCAGACCAACACCCGCCGCGTTAAGACCTTCAGACCAGCAGGCGCACGATAGATTCCGCAAGGCTTATTTCGCCATATGACAGAGCACTAATCGTAGTCCCGGACGTTAATGATTCTTTATAAAGAAAGTTAATATCAAGCAAGAGTCTAATACGTGTCTAATACAATACAATATTCATGACCAAGCAAAATAAATCGTACAGTAAGAACATCATCCGAGTCAATCCAGTAGACAGTAATAAAACGAATGCAATACGTGTTCGAATAAAAGCGTGTCATGGCAAAGTAAAACAAGATTACCGCGAAAAAGAAACGGAAAAAAACAAAAACAAAAGATAGACATTGAAAGGCATAGTATGTAATGTAGGATCAATCTCGTATTAATAGCCCGTTCTTTTCGTCATCAAGATATCGCCCAATAGCAACCATATCCATACCTCCCGCTCTTCGTAAATAGCCTTCCAAGACCTTCCTGTCCGCATGAGGTAACAAATCAGCGAGTCTCCCTACCTTCTGTTCCAAGTCCGGAGGAGTCACTGAACCAGCGTTACCCATCCCATTCCGCATACTCGGTGGTGCAACCGAAGGACTGCGATTGATTGACTTGTGTCGGGCGACGTCGTTATCGGTATCACCCATGCTCGAACTCGTGCCAGTCAATTTCGGAGCGATGACCGATTGTGCGCGCTGTATTCGTCCCGGCGGGGCGCGTGGACCTCCGGGTAACGAAGGAGATGCGCTGATTTGTATGGGTCGTGGAGCGAGTTGCGGAGGTGAGATGTTTTGCTGGCGTTTGCTTAATAGTTTGTTGGGATGTTCTTTTGGTGCACCGATTACTGGGCGATCCTTCTTCACGCTTGCCTTTCGTCCGATCGACGCAAAGAAACCTCCACCGGTTGATTTACTACTGCTAAGAGAAGATGGGACGCTTCGCCCTGAAGTGCTCCCACCTGATTTGGTTGGTTGGTGCTGCGTAGGAGATGCGATTGCAAGCGACGGGTATGGTAGCTGCGGCGGAGGGACTTGCGGGAGAATAGTGTCCTCGATTGTCGGTTTTTGCAGGAGGTCAGTAGCAACGTACGCGTCTACGCGTTTCGGGAACGTCATCTCGGAACCTATGGATCCGCGAGAAGGATGACGCGGTTGAAACGTGAAGCTCCGTTCACTCGGACTCCGTACCGCTGCGGGAGACATGGACTTCCGTTTCGATGCGCTACCCGGAACGGTGACTATATAATTTGAGATTGATAGGTAATTGATATTTTATGTTAGATTAACTTCGTTAGAAGAAAATTGACGAAAGAATTGGACTTGCGATTGTGTTTTGTAGTTACCACCCATTCTCCTAGACCCGGATCGTGGTTTGCTAGCTCGTTGATTTTACGCGCGTAAGCGAGGCTGCGTTCGAGTGGGCTCTTCTTCGCTAGTACGTCATTAAATTGCATCGCGCTTGGGTATGTCGACCGGATCTTCGCAATAAACACAACCTTCTGCCGCGACGACTGTGTGGTACGTTCTTTCTCGTGAGAAGGCCGTTCTTGAGAATGTCGTTCGTGTGAGTTACTGCTTCGTGGTGAGGCACGCGATGCGGAAAGTCGTGACGGCGGGCGGGGAAGCGCTGAAAAGCGCTTGAGTGCAAAGTCGATAATCTTTTGCGGCTTGCAGGGAGATTCGTGCTGCGATTCTGTTCGGGGCGATGTTGGCGGAGATGTTACGAGAGGTTCAGGCAATGCCTTCGTCACAGTAATATCTGCAATCTTTTCATAGTCGTCGTCGGAATAATTTGAACTCGGGCTCCGAGCGAGCGGTGATCCGCCTCTAAAGGTGGATCGACTTTCTTCCCGTTTAAGATCAATGGCAGACCTTCTTTCCCTCAGTTTGTGTTCTTCTGGTGGTTCTTTCTGCGTTTGTGAGGGTGGGCCAGCAGGTGGGGACACAGAGCTTGTGCTTTTCGCTACACCGACTGCCTCGTCAATGGCAGCTGTGACATCCTTGACAAGATCATCCATCGTATTTTTGCGTTTCAGCGGCTGCTGCTCCTGTTTTTGCTCCTGCTTCACAGACATGTGGGACGGCGCGGCATCCTTGACAATAACCGAGGAGATTGGGAACGCGCCTTCTCGTGTGTGGCCTTTACCCTTCACAGAGTCTTCCGATTGCGAGTTCACGAGCGTGGACGAAGTTCTACATATACGTCAAGAGAATTGAAATTAGTAATTTTTACTGCGATTCCAGCAGAAAGAAAATTTGCTACGTACGTTGATGGAGTCATAGCCGGGGAGGTGACCTCCGGGTGTCTCACGGCAGGCGCGGACGCCTTTTCCTGCTTTGAGTTGATGGACGTGTCAGACCTTCGCTTCGCAAGCGACGACGAGCCGGAATTTGGCGCGTGTAAACGTGGAGGACGCGGCGGCGGGGGTGAATCGCGCGCAGGAGGGAGGATTTGACGAGGCGGGGACGGCAAAGGTCCAGCTGTAGCATGCACGCCAGGTTGATAGTACAAATATGCGGAAGGGTTGGGCGTAGCTATCCCGACCACTGCAGGGGGTGATGAAGCTGAAGCAGTTGGTTGCGGTGCCATCACGCACTGCTGCAAAGTAGGTGTTCCACCAGAAGCAGCAAAGGACGAATAAGTGGTAGAGGACATCGAGAGAGCATTCCACATCTGTTTGTGATCTGCGCCAACAGTGACTGGGTTGATATTCTCGTCGCGTGGACTGCGGGACTCCCTGCCGTTGCTACTAGTTCGGGTGCGGTTGCTGCTGCCATTAGCTGTATGCTGCTGCGAACGGCGCTTCACCTCTTTGGAAGAGGACTGCGCATGCTGTTCACTCGGTCCGCCCGGACCAGTGGACGACGCGCCTTCAGAAGATAAAAGCGATGTTTGTGAACGCGACGGTGTTTGGAAGATCGGTGACAGCGGGGCAGCTTGTACGTCTGGCGCAGAACGATTCTGAGACTTCGTTTCGTTGGGGACTTGCTGGACATCCGACTTCATCGTGCCGGAAGTTGGAGAGGTCGATGCGTTAATGCCAACAATTCCAATATCACGTGAACTCTTCCTTAAACGATGACCTGGCCTGCGACTGCCTGCTCTGCTTGAAGAGGTGCTAGAAGTTACGTCTGAGTTTGTCCTAGCCGGATTTGCTGCAGGACTAGTAACCCGTACTGCACCAGTGAGAACGGCTTCTGACTGTGAGCGCTGATGCTGACGTCTGCCGGATGACGAATTGGTTGCAGCTGTGGACGCAGAATCTGCGCTCTCATTCCGCGTCAGCAGCGGTGGCGTCGGACGAGCAGAGGCGGGCGCAGAGAGCGGCGGGGTGAAGTAGCCAAGATTCGTGTAGGCACTCGGGCTCGCGTCCGGGGGTGCAACAAGCGCGAATGTGCCTGCAATGCCGCGACGCAGGAAGAGCGGATTTGCCCCGCTTCTAGACCTAGTAGATAAAGAAGGAGCTGCGTGAACAGCAAAGGTCGACTGCAGACGGTGCGCGGAGGACGAAGAGGCAGACGTTGAGAAATGTAGAGGGTGTGCTTGTTGTTGTCCCTGTGCCGATGCTTCGCCTCGGCCGAATCCGTCGCTTAGCGTGCCTCTAGCACTGCTGCTGGTGCTGCATTTGCTTCGCTCCTCTGATTCGCGTCCTTCACCGTCTGTCTCGCGCTCGGACACGTCCGTACCGGAGTCGACCTGCACTATCGCGACGCGTCGCTTGTCGGACGCGCCGCGGGAGCTCATCCTGCGACGGCGGCCGGGAGCCACTTCTGGCTCGTACTCAGGGTCAGCTGCTGAATCCACTGCGACTATTGGTGAGGTAGGAACGAATGATGTGGGTGCTGGTGCAAGAGATGTGGGTGGGGCACTTTGCGTCTGTCGGGCTCTTTGCTCTGGACGGATTTGTTGGGTTGAGTGCAAAGAGAGTTCAATGGCCGGGGATGCAGGGGATGCATGTAAGATTGGTTGTAACTCAGAGGTGATGGGGCTTCCATAACCAGTGTCAATGCCCGTGCCATCTCTGCTCACCGCGTCCGTGATCATAGCCGTAGCCGTGTCCCCGCCCGGACTACCAAGCGCTATCCCGTATTGCACATTCGCATCAGTACTTCCCTCTGCATCCCCATCCCCGCCCTGGTCTCTATCCTGATAACCCTCCATCGTTCTCTTGATATTCCAATTGCTATTTCCGTCCTCTTTCCGAGTCCCGTCCTTTTGCCCGCCACATCCTTCCAGCTCCTCGCCGTAGTCAGAGACTGAGTCCGACTCGGAATAGTTCGACAAGGGCGACGCGCAACGCAAGCCCGCATCTGAGTCTGTCCGAGCATATGCCTCCCGTTGGTTTCCGACATTCAGGACGGATGTCCCTGGAAAGTAGGAGCCATCGTATTCGTCTGAGCGGCCTGCGTCTGCGGACTGGTAGTATGAGAGTATTTGGCTGGTCTCGCGACGAAGCGTCCTCGGGCGTACTACGCGCATATATGCGTATCCGCGAGCAATTTGGACGGGAAATTAAAGAGAAAAGATATTCATGAAAGCACACGAATATGTGAATGTGGCTTTAAATTGAATGGGACTTATGATAATAATATTCTGAATTGACTCACGGTGGTCTGGGCGGTCAGAATGATCGTCGGCCGCGTCGGCACCAGGGTCAGCGCTGACTTCAGGTCGAGCGACGGACATAGGAAGGGCGTCGCTGAAGACAGAGAAGAATGGGGAAGAGAGCACGGAGAATGAGCAAGACAGGGAGAAGCAGGAGGAAGAAATGAATATATTTTGGATTATGTGAAGTGCGACAAGCTGTACCTGACCGGACGCTAGCGCTGACTGACGTCTCTCTACCCGCTTTGTCTCACTGCGGATCCGAGCAGCACTCACTGCCTTTATTTTCATACATACGTACACATTTTCGTATCCAAGCAAGTAAATACATAGCATATTTTTATGGTACATCCACCCACGCTTATAGATCCTCTGTGGAGACACCAATACCAGAAATCATGCATTTGATTACCGGCTTTCCGTCGGGGCTCTTCCCCATTTTCGTCGTCTCGAACGCTTCCACGGCGTGCTCGAACGAGTATCTTTGGCGCAGACAAACAACGCTTATCAGACACGGCCATGCGCATCGAGCTGATGGCGGAAGCTTACCTGTGCGTCACCAGCGGCTTCAGGTTGATCTTACCGGACGACACAAGCGCGATCGACAGAGCATAGTCGCCGGGCTATGACATTATCAGTTTCAGATAAGTTTATGTGCACGAATGATTGAATGGAATGGATGAATGAATGGTACGTACGCCGTAGCGGAAGGAGCCTTTCACGTTGAGTTCCTTCACGAGCAGCAGCGTGATCGGGATCTGCACCTCCGAGGAACCCATTCCAAGCTGTGAATATCATCACATCCGCTCAATCTGTCAGCGCCTCACAAAGTCAATCACTGATAGATGTCTATACCGCACCTGAACGAACGTGCCGCCCGTCTTCGCGAGCAACAGTCCCATCTGGATACACACTTCCGCCCCGCTCGCGTCGATAACGTGGTCGAGACCCTTCGGACCGCGTTCCTCCACACCGAGCTTCTCTTTCAGAAGCCCCGCTGCGCGCTTCGAGTATGCCAACTTCGTCTCGCCCTGTTCGAATGGCGGCGGGAGGAAACCCTCCGTCGCGGCGTACGATACCGCGAACTCCACGCGCGAGGGCACGATGTCGACTGCGATGATACGCGATGCGCCCAGAGCCTTTGCAACTGCCATGCACAGCAAGCCGACTGGTCCGCATCCGAATATCGCGACAGACTGGTTCGCGCGCAGCTGTGCGAGCGTTGAGACTGCGTGCACTGCGACGGAGAGGGGCTCCATCTTTAATGCATTTATTAGCATATAGTCGATGTCTGCCAGATATTATGATAAGCACGTACCATCGCGCCATCCTCAAGAGTGAGGTTGTCCGGAAGCTTATACGCCAGGTCGGAGGGGATTTTGTAGAACTTCCCGAGTGTTCCGTCATAGGGCGGAGTTGCAGCGAAGACGACGTCCGGGCAGAGCTACTCAGTGTAATTGAGGCCTTCAACCCTGAAGTAGTTTGGGACGAATGAATGACCTACATTGTACTTGCCGGCTTTGCAGGCTTCACAGGTACGGCACGTCGCTCCCGGTTCCATCGCGACTTTGTCGCCTACCTTGAGGTTTGTCACTTTTGGTCCGACTTGAGGCGGAGATAAGCGTCATGGAGTTTTCGATCATCTTTGAACGAGTTGACATACCTTTCGCTACAATGCCGGACGACTCATGGCCGAGGACCTGAAGCACATGAACTCAGCATAGATTGATAGTAGGTGAGATAGATACAAACCATGGGTTTGTCGACAATGAAGTCGCCTATCCGGCCAGCGACAAGATAATGAACCTGCAAATGGGGCACCGTTCATGAAATGCGCATATAGTCAACTTATTGAGACTTGCATCGGATCCGCATATGCCTAAACGCCTCAAACATCAGCACACTTTATATATATGCATTACGCAAACGAGTACCCACCAGTTTTCTTGACTTCGACGAGGACCTCATCGTCACCGACTGATTCCGACCGATCACATCCGCATACAATCAGTTATCACTTCATAACCATATAAAGTAATTAAACGGATTAACATACCTTCCGGTACGGGTCGCTCTTCATAGATAACGTCGTTGATACCACGAAGGATGAAAGACTTGTTGCTCATCGTTGTGTTCTCGCTGACTTGCTTGTCGTGGGAGGGGAGATCTGAGAAGGAAAAGAGATTAGAGAAAGAAGGGCTTGGTAGAGGTGGTATTTATGCTTATGCAAAGTCAGCTGAACGGTTCTCCCGTGCCTGGAACGTTCGGCCCGTTTCTAACTTTCGTTCACAGTGTGGGCTCTGCAAGAACTGACGAGGGGATGCTCTTTGCACTTCTTTCCTCCGCTCGGGTGTAGTCTCGAGTGCATGGAGAAGAGCACGGTGAGGGTAAATACCGGATCATTCAGTTATCTTACTGTGAATATATCTGTTATCTATTCACGAATACACAGAAGCAGTAATTTTCTAAATATAGCATCTTCGCGTCAGCCCGAACTGGAATTCCTAAAGATATCTCAGTACAAGCCAGCCTCGATTTCATTCCAGGGCTGGAGAATTTCGCTATCTGGGCATTAGGCTGACAATTCCAATTCTCGACTTTATAAACCGGCCCAGTGAGGAGAGATGTTCTTTGGATCACCCTCATCGACCGAATCCCACCACCAACCCCTTCAGCAATGGCGGCAGTAGCGTTCGACACCATCGAGAACGTCCAGGTCCCCTGCCTCCTCAACAGCAAGATCGACAACGGCCGCTTCCATCTCATCGAACGTCTCGGCCAGGGCGGCTACAGTGTCGTCTACCTCGCGACCGACTCACACTCCTGTCGTCCCGGCTCCTCCAACCCCTCACGCGTTGCAATTAAATGTCTCCTAAACACACGTAAATGCAAGATAGTGCGAGAGGTTGCATTACATAAACGTGCTGCGTCTATACCCGGTGTTGTCAAGATATTCCGCACTTTCGAAGAAGGCGGTCTGTTCTTCGTCGTGCTTGAGTATTGCCCGAATGGTGATCTCTTCGGCGTGCTTACAGAGGAGCAGCTTTTCTTAGGACGAGACCGTCTTATCAAGAGCGTTTTCTTGCAGCTCCTCGATACTGTCGCGGCGATGCACAAGCTAGGTGTTTACCATCGTGACCTCAAGCCGGAGAACATCCTGTGTGCCTCGTCTCCATCCATGTGCAATGGTCAGCCCACGTCCCTCACCGTGCTCATCGCCGACTTCGGGCTTGCAACTGAGTCAGAGCTTTCCGAGAGCTTCGGCTGTGGGAGTTATGTCTACATGACTCCTGAATGTCTTGCAGGAATGTATAGCCGCGCACTCCCGCACTACTCCAGTCGTGCGGCGGACATCTGGGCACTTGGTGTCATCCTCGTAAACCTCGTCTGCGGACGATCACCGTGGAAGACCGCGCTGCTAAGTGACCCGAGTTTCCGTCGCTACATACGTGACGTGCGTTGGCTCCGACAGATGCTCCCGCTTTCCATGCCCGCATACCATTTCCTTAACAAGATCTTCTCGAATCACGGAAACAGGGTCGCGATATCTGATCTCCGCAGACAATTCGCGGAGATTGACACGTTCTACATGACACGCGAGGAGCTTGCCGTCGCGGACAAGACAGCTCGTCTCGTCGCGTGCGAATGGATACCCGACACACCAATAGACGACATTAGATCTGGGGAAGTCCTCAAATTGCACGTTAACGACATTGATGAGAGGCAGCTATTTGAGGATGTTATCTCGAGCAACAAGAATACCGAGTCTGATCAGACAAGTACGGCCGGAACAGATAGCAATAGAACTTCACCGCTATCATCTTCTGACGAACCTAGTGAAAGTGGTTCAAACGGTTCACTCGCGGCTGCAGATGCGAGCTCCGGGACTAGCTCCGGGTCGTCGGGCTTCCCTATCACTCCACCGTCGAAAGCTGTACAACCGAAGGAAGGCGTCCCAGACCTTCCTAAAGATCAACAGGTTGGCGCTGAGAACTGGGTATTGTCAAAGAGAGAAGTCCATTTGTTCCACAAGGCTCTGTCGGCGGACGCTGCTGTTCGAGAGATGACCCTCTTGTAGACCGGGTCGTTGTTTGATCTTTGCTGACTTCGCTACGAAGATGGACATTTGAGGACAAGTAGGAAGGACTTGGAACGTTATTCATCATGTATACCAGACCAATCATGTAACGAGTTATATAGATACGAATGATACCAGCTCAGTGATCCATAACCTCGTCTTGATTGTTTGTGCCAACTTGCATGGCTTCCTCTATTCCGGCGTTGAATTTCCATAACTTCACAGAAGAATCCATAGGATATGGACGTCTGGGCTGACGTCGGCACGTAATATAATACTTCTGTCCAAGATCGTCCTCTGACTCGGACGTGTCTTCTGAGTCGCTGCTGGTGGTGGCGGAAGGAGACCCAATCGGAGTGGAATTGAAGTGCCGTGAGCCAGACACCGAGAGAAGTGTCGCATCGACAGAGTTAAAGGCAACAGAGCCTATGGAGTCTATCCGAGAAGGGTGCGTTACGGTGGGCTATTCGACGAAGAAGCACGTCACTTACCATCATGAGCTTTGAACTTCAACGCTGGTTCAGTCTCCTCCGAATACAGGTCAAAGATTGAGATATCACCGTTCTATTCGTTCCACATATAACATTAGTAAATCTACTTCACTAGGCAAGCCTAGAAGTCAAGAACTCACCTCGTCTCCAGTAGCTAGCCAGTGACCTGCTGGGTCAATATCAAAAAGCAGTTTCTGATTCGTGCTCGAGCTGGCACGTGTAAAGCGTCGTAAAACTTCGAGAGGCTCGCGCACATCCCAGCAGAGAATCTCGTCTGAGCGCCGCTGGGAAGCATACAGAATATGTGGTCGCGCGGAGTCAAACTTCACCTACGGCAAGGTCATTAATGTCCGGGGCGGCAAAGTGTCGCAGTGATATAGTGGAACTTACTTGCATGATAGGAGCCGTCATACCATCGAGATACGCAACTGGGTCTTCGCCTGTTGTCTCCGAAAAGAGTGAAATCGCAGAGGCAAGACTCGACGCAGCGTATAATCCACTATAATCCGGGCAGAAGGCGATTGACGATACGATACCTACATAAATTTGAGCATCAGCTTGAGATTTCTCTAGAAAACAGATAGTGCCACCTTTCATCCCATCCCGACTCTTCTTTGATGGAGTTGTAGCTATCTTCGTGCCTTCTCCGGGTCGCTGGAAGTCAAAAACTTCGATTGCATCTTCGTAGCCACAGTATAAGCTTGAGATGAGATTAGTCTAGTCCTATCCAGCAAACACGAGGAGTACGGACTGAGTTGCAAAGCTATTGAATGCAAGGCAGTGCGGCGCGACCTGTCGCTCACGATGATCTATTATTTTGTATGATGCTCGAAGCTTAAGACATCATAAGCAAGTAATATCAAGACAAAGGCGTGCAAAGCGAGGACAGACATACCCTACCGTCCGCGGCATCCAACAGTTTGACGGGACATTCTCTGACGGAAGCTAGGAAGCAATACGATGCAGGATTTGAGGCGTTTGCACCTGGGTACCATGCAAAGTCGAGAATAGGGGAAGGTTGTCGGAATACGGAATTGACATCTGCAGAGGTGTTATCATTGGAGAATTATGCGTCTATACAGATAAGAGTGACTCACGAAGTGGAAGGCTCTGCATGGTGCTTTCTACGACTTCTGTCGGTCTAGCAAAGTCATCGCTTCCTTAGCACTAGAGAATAGCTCAAGCCATGAACCATTCTTACGGTTGTAGCATCTGCAGTGATCTATCTTCGCATTGTCCAAGGGCACGAGTGCCATCTGGACACCTGTAATGATTGTCAAAAAATAATACAATCTAATGCTCTTCTCACAGCTGGCACACACCACTTTGCACATCGAAAGAAGTTTTCTGGGTAATCTTCATTCTCTTGTGGCCTTCCTGTCGCGATGACTTTCGGAATAGTAGAAGAGCTTATTAAAGGCGATTGCCAGTCTGGTACCGATTGCGTGGCACCAACATCCATGATGTCGTCTAAGGACGTCTGACTGAAACTGTTCACTCAAACGGTCATCTACTTAGTAATGTATATTTCACTCGGCGTACAGTATAACGAGGCTGCTACAAAAACTTCCTAGTTTCCAACCAGCATTCGATGTTCAAATAAACTCTGCGAGCAAATCTAGATAGAAGCGGTCAGTGTGAGGGTTCTGAGGTGTTGACGCGAGAAATTTTTTGGAAGATAGCTCAGCTACCGTTGTAGAAAATGCTCATATCGCTCGGAGTCCGTAGACCCAAGCGATCATGCAGTGTGAATACGAATGTAATTGTCATCAATGCAAAACAAAAAGACGAAATTCTGACTAACCGTTTGAAAAGACAAGATCGTGGCAAGGATGAAGACGCGTGCAAGCAAAAATACGGGCGTCTTATTGCGGCGGCGTTATTTTGGCATGTTTGTGCATTTACCTCACTAGTCGTGAAGGAACGACGCCCGCTCAGAGTTGAGCACGACGCCGACGGCTCACGTTCCACAGCTCTTTACGCCCCCCTCAGGTCCACGTCTCATCATGGAACCACCGTCGCTGCGCGAGCTCGAACTCGAGACGCTCCTCAGGGAACGCGACTCTCAGGTCGCTGAGCTCACGGTACGTTACGCGTCTTGCTTGCTGTCTTGTTGCGCGCCGCTCACTCAGCACTGCAGGATGAAGTCAACAGGCTGCGGAAATACCTCACTGTACAACCCGCGCATTTAGGCTCTGACCCTCTCTCCCTTCCACCCGCCTTGCTGTCATTATTACAGTCGTATATCAACGTTCAACCGTCACAGGGCGCTCAAGGCTCTGCTTCAACTACTATGACCACAGCGCTCATACAGCGAACACGTGTCCTTCAGGAAGAGAACGATGAGCTTTATGGTCTACTCCGTGCCAGTGAAACTGGTCAGCTCAAGGAAGAAGTACGCTCTTTAAAAAAGGTCGTTTCTCGACTTGACCGGGCGCTAAAAGGTATGTGGCTGCTGGTATTCATCTCAAGCGCTGAGCGTGCTTTTTCTCATCTCTTTTCCACGCAGACTCACATGGAGTTATTTCATCACTCTCGTGAGCCAAGCAACTTATTTTTGGTTGTCTGGAATGTTTATTGACACTTACTGATAGTGAGGAATTGGAGAAGTCCCACACAACGTTCCTGTCGCACCAACCAAAATCAAATGCAGACCGACGCGAGTCTCGTTCTCCATCTCGAGCCTTGGGTCTCTCGATCAGGGCAGAGTCTCCAAATGTCAGCAATAATGGTGATATTAAACCGCTGCCAACTGGTCCTCGTGCACACAAAAAGCCTAGACTCAGCGAGCCTCGGGGTTCTCCAGCCCATTCAACCTCCAACTTGCCACTCTCAAACTCAAATTCCACCCCTCTCGGTACTTCGGGCCGTCCGCCGCGACGAGATCGCTCACCTCGTAGTGGTGACGGTCGGAGGACGCCCATAAAGGAGCCTCGTATGGATGGTGACGAGGACGTCAAGAAAGGGCGCGACCGCTCGCACGACAGGCCACGAGAGAAGGAAAGAGACAGGGACCGACAGCGCGAGCGTGAACGTCCCCGCGACCATCACGACCGACCCAGGGAACGAAGTCGGGAAGTCGACCGACGCAAGGAGAAGGAGAAAGAAAAGGACAGAGAAAGAGAGCGCGACCACGACCGAACGCGTCGCAATGGTCGAGGACCAGGCGGAGGCGGAGGCGGCCGTAAAAGCGGACGCGGAAACTCTAGTCAAGATGATCGAACACTTAGACAACGCATGGGACTTTGAAGAGATAAAAGGGCTCGGAGGTAACAAGTATGAGTACTCCGGTGAGATCGTTCCGACTTCTTGATTATATATGGTATAATGTTGCGCTTCGTTTACATTGTCTCTCTGTGATAATACTCTGTACTGGTATGTTTATTCCGATTTACACGAGCTTCACTGTATCATTATGACATCTCTTGCACCACATCGCTCTTGGACGAGTTGACTTATTCTCGTAGATCTGCTCTGTCTCGTCTCATCCGCATCTTTCCGCATTGTCTGATTTATATTTTCACATTGCCACTGTCATCTACATTACTCGTATGTTTAGAACATTTTTTACTTCCCATTTTTACACGTTTCTCACTCTATGTTTGATCTGTACACCACCATTACTGTTTCATGATAACCTTCACACGTCTTTCACGTCTCTTTTATCCACATCTCGCATCTTCATCCCGAATTCCGTCTTATTTCACATTCGCAGTCATTCCCCACACTCTCCGGAGACATCGTTAAGTTCAGTCATCACGCTCAAGATTTCATCAGATTCCAGACCTACATCATTGCGATCTCAGAGGCTCGATATCTCAGGTGAGGCAAACGCCGCCCCGGCCTACGTCCGTTTGAGCGCTCACACTAGTTCGCAAAAGTAAAGCTAGATATGATACGTGTGAGACTAGACTGGTATACACTGAGTTTGATCTATCCGATTTGTGGTGCATTTGACAGATATCAGGTATCAAAGATGAGTGAATTGAGGAGTTCGTCATTTAGATGCGGGACAATTAAATTGTGTTTTTTATTAACCTGCATTTAAACGACGGAGCGCTCGGGGAGTGGCGAAGACGTGAAACATGGCTACCAGGCCAGGGTTGAGCTTCGTTTAGATTAGATTGCGTTTACCATGAGAATTAAAGATGAATTCTTTGTAGGCCGAAGATGGTATTGCCTCCTCGATTCAAATTTTATATTGTATCATATCATACATATATGCTCATGTGCTTGATTAAATGCGCTTCTTAGACCAAACCGATTATCTACTCAAACATACGTCGGTTACGCTCGAACGACAGGTGGTATACACTTTCTCCTCATGTGAATTGTGATACCGGTTGATTACCCTCAAGGAACTAGTCGCCAAGACACACGAGACCTATTCACGAAACCAATGAGATCCGGGAGAAACGAGCTCGCTACTCAGTTCAGTTCAGACTGACGAGCCACATCGCCACACAGCCAAACATTGTGAAACAAACAAGTATGTCAAGTGACACACACAAAACGAAGATCATTACCATTTTCGAGCATTCCTTAGAAATATTCTTAGCTTATAAACTCTATGCTAGCACGAACCTTGAAGGATAACTTACTTACTGGACATTCCATCAGTTTCCGTGTTTCCTTTTCTTGAGTCATATTCGGCGCTCTTGTAAATCTGCTAAGCATTTGCCTCCGAAACTTTCAATGGCTCAAATAACAAGCAAATTAAACAAGTATATCAGAGCGGGCTCTACAGTAGGGGATGTCCTCAAAGTCCTTTAATAATATAACCCAGCTAACTGTACATAAATTCTTGTTTTTTGGAGAGAAGGAAAAATTCAAAGGAGTGAATGGTGGCTTAGTATACAACAGCTATGAAGTACAAAAGCAGTGAACGAAGAAAATAATGCAATGCGTGTATGCAGAGTGTGAATGAGCGGCTTGATAAACATTGCTAGGAACACAGATGAAAGGAGAGACGAGAAGGGGTGATATCACGAAACGGGTATAACCAAGAAAGGTGAACAGATATACATTTTCGGCGCCGGATATTCAGGGCAACCTTGGAGAAGATTCAAGAATGAGTAGACAAAGAATGGGCCAGACAGGCGCAGAAGTGGGGAAGAAGAGGCAGAATCAACTAGAAAAGTCTTAGTGTACGTTTGCGGCGGTATTGGACAAGGAAACCGATGCGTTCGGAAACGCGGAACTCGGAGAGAAAAGGGAACAAAGAGCGAGGAAGAAATGAAATGACGCGGCGGCGTTGAAATGAATCGGACTTAGCCAATTATAAAATAACCGTGTGTGTGGGCTAGAAAACGAGTGCGCGACGAAATGGGACACATGAGAGCCGAAGGATCGGAAGCGGACGTGCTCTATGAGCCGCCGCAGCGGAGGGTGCCCGCAAAAGTTAATACGGCCGACAAAATTGTTCTTCCGCACGGTGCAGAAGCCATATCGTACGTGTGTGCCGCGGATAAAACAGGACGGGCGATAATGAGAGAAGGCAGGAGCAGAAGTCGATGGAGATAATAAATGTCAGCACGTTGGCGAAAAGTGCCGGTTTGTCTAACGCATTCACGGTAGGCGTGAGGTGACGTGAGAATACCGAACCTCGAACGAGGCCCTCAGGACAAAGGCCGTAATGACCTAAAATTGTTGCGTCCCGAGGCGAAATAGTCGACTGGCGAAAGACGGATTGCTCCTACGCTTCGTCGGTTTGATGTCGGGGAGCGAGTGCGTCGTTCGCACAGAGATACAACCCGCCAGGGCCTCTGTTTCACCTAAGCTCCTCTTCGGTGTGGACTGTCTTGTACTTCTCCGCTTTGATGACATTTGTAGAAACGATACTGGCTCAGCTGCCTCTCTCGATTGCTTAGGTCCATCTCGCCAATGAAAGTGTGTGCTGGGAAACGGAGGAGATAACGGAGAGCGTAGCTTCTCGTCCAGTCCGAGCCCAAGTTCCGGAATACGTATAGGTGGAACCTTCTTCCCCAGAAATGATCCTCTAGATTTTCCCTCTCGTTCTTTAGGAAGGGGTGGCAGAGGTGGAACAGGTGGAGGAATCTCCAATTGTGTCGCGACGGGTCTGCCACTCGGTGAACGAGTTCGTTTTCTCACCAAAGAACGAGTAGTGGGACTTGGTAGAGGAAGAGAAATGTCAGACGGATGTGTGATTGAGTCGGACCGTCGGTGTTTGCGTTTGAAAGACGGAGAATCGGGAGAGTGAAGGCTGGTAAAGGAACGATCTACATCCGCAGTCCGAGGTCGATGACTGAGGGAATAATCTGAGGAGTTTCCCTCTCGAGAATAAGTATGCTCAGAAAAACGGCGTGAAGATGGGCTTCCAGCAACAACCACATCTTTGAGGGAGAAAACAAGAGACTCGGAACTGGCTGCGGCGCTCGGTTTCATCTTCAGCTTCGGAGGCAAATTCTCCCGAGACGAGGTCTGAGACAGAGTCAAGCTCGGTCGTCGCGCATACACCGGGGGCGTCGGGAGTGGCTGAGGCTTTAGCTGCGGGGAAGGACAAGGCGGCGGGACGGGCGAGTAAGAGCGACCATAAGACAGGTCCATGGTTGGAGGAAAATGAAGGGAAGACCGGAACGGACTGCGAAGTGTGGGGGAGACAGTAAGCAATTTGGGCTTTATATCATACGACAAGGCGTCGGATAGGGATCTAAGTATGACGATTGGGCGGATTCTTGATTTGGACAAGTGAGAGCATCGTGCGAGGAACAAGAAGGTCATCTGTAATTGATAACGGCACTGCCGGCGTAGCCGCTCGTGGCCGTCCCTTGAGCAAGAAATAGATCCGGTAAAATTAAAGCAGGGCAGGCCGAAGACAAGCCAATTGAATTGATGGCAGATGCTCATGAGAGGCGTTCGCTGTCAGTGATGCATTCGCGTTGATCTGCGCAGGACAAGGACAAAGAAACACAGACAGCTTTTTGGAATACATCAGTCGAGACGTTGCCGTGCATTGCGGACCGTCAAAAAGCGTGTTATCAAAACAGGGTCCGGAACACGCTGGGCGAGTAGCGAACGTGCTGACTCGATGAACTGTGGAAGCGAGGCCTGCTGTCCGGCGGTGAAAGGAACAAGCGCGCGATGAGTCGGAATTTTTACCCATGACATTGTCGCCTGAGAAACGTCGGGCTGTAATTGCCTTTGATTTCGATTAGAACAGGCAAGCGCCAGCAGGAAGGCTGGAGAAGAAACGAAAAATGAGCCGGGTCGGAAGTCTATCACCCTCCCGGCCGTTTGCGTGTTCCCGCCTCGTCATGTGCACCATTCAGCTTGGCTACCTTGCGACTGGACCGCAGTGAGCGCAATTCAATTTATTCATCGTTTGTCTGGTCTTGTCAGCGTCCATGAGCAATGGAAATATCTGTACACATTCAGTCAGCACAGTCTGGAAGGAGAGCGACTGCACATCGGAGATTCTGCTATGCTCTGAGCACATGTGTCAGCTTCCGCTCTCATTACTCATCATATTGGTGAAGCACAACTATGTTACTACATTACTCGTTTCTATGCAGCTGTGCACCATCTTGACACACGCTTCCTACGGCTCGTCGGCCGGGAGATGCGCTGATAGTTTTTTATCGTTTGGCCCTGAACTCCAACGGAAGTTACGGAAGTGATCCGTAACTTCCGTTGCTTTCTTTGCTGTCGTCATGCACCACTTTCATCCGTCCCTATCCAGAGAGAAGCCCAAATATCATTAACAACGCCCAATCATCGCTTTCTCAGGTATCAGCATACTTCTCTGTACGTTTGGAGCGCTCGAGCCGGTACAATGCTCTGACAAAGACTAATGCGTGCTGCTTCTGCCAATGTGACTGTGTCAGCCCAGCTCAGCCTGCGGCGGCTGCAACTGTCTTGAGAGTTACTTGTCATGATTCCGGGCAGTCCTCCGACCAACCACCGTCCCAATCAGCAAATATCTATGGATATAGCCATGCTAAAGCCTGCATTAAAACAGTAGTTCACTCCCCAATGTCGAATACTTGTGTATGACCTTTGCCAGCGAACCGGCGTGTTCTTTCAAATACTATGAGTTCTTCTGCGGGCTGGTGTTTTCTGCCAGGCTTAATCTTGAGCATGTTTGTCTCGGTCTAGCAAGTCCACTACTACGTCAACCCAGAGGCTGACCTACATGTGATACAGAGTATGGTACGGAACGTCAGCTACTTATCCTTCCATTCACTATTTAACTCACCACCGCTGGACGGCCATTTTGCATTGCAGTTTGCGCAAACTCCTCTGCTTGAGTTTCATTCGCCTGGCTGTACCAATGATTGCTTCTCTAAGAGCGCTCCTCTTGCTTCTTGCGGTTGTGCAGGCCGCACCGCCCCAGGCTGGTAAACATCAGCCTCGTGGAAATTGGGACAAGAGGGAGACTAGCGAAATGACCATCACGGAGACTCGTGTCGATGTTTTTTCCCAAACATTTACTGAGACATTCACGAAGACGCTTACGGCTTCAGGGAGTGCCGGCAGCGGGACAATGACAGGATTTTCATCTACAACAACTGCTTCTATTCCCCGCTTTTTCGGACAAGTTCCCAACCCTGACCGGGACGAGCAGGGTATCTTTTTTATGCCGAACATGGACGCATCACCGCCGAGTTCAACCGCGGACTCTTCAGCCGCTCCTTCCTCGGATGTCCCAGACTCGCCCGCTCCTTCCCAGACTGGCTCAAACGCCACCAACGTCAACTCTACGTCCGGGTATTCAGAGGACAATGGTCCGGCTTTCGCAACGCATATACAGTCTATCAAGGGTCCGCTTGTCTCCGCATACTACCCTGGCTGGGCTGCGAACGTTCTTTCGCCGGAGAATATTGACATGTCGCGTCTAGACTGGCTTGACTTCGCATTCGGAACACCAGACGAGAACTTCAATATCAATATTGACGATGCAGATGTCCTTAACAGGCTTGTCTCTGCGGCCCATTCACAGGGAACAAAGGTCAAGCTTAGCATCGGAGGCTGGACTGACAGCAAGTACGAAGATTTTTAGCTATTCTATCCCCGTCGTCATCTTATGTCCCTTGCCTTTTGAAGATACTTCTCAACTGCCTGTGCGGATTCCGACTCCCGGTCGACTCTCGTGAACAACATTGTCGATGTTTATAACCAATACAACCTTGACGGCATTGACATTGATTGGGAATATCCGGGCCAGCAAGGCAATGGTGGTAACGAAGTTAGCCCAGACGATAGTGCGAACTTCTTGAAGATGCTTAAGCTCCTTCGTTCAAACCTACCTGATGGGGCTCGCATTACCGCTGCTGTCCAGGACGTCCCATTCGCAGGTCCAGATGGCAACCCGATGGACGACGTATCCGAATTCGCTTCCGTACTGGACTGGGTGAACATCATGAACTACGATGTATTCAGTTGTGAGTCTCATTTGTTTTAATATCTCGGCTCCGAGTTGGTTCGTCGTGGATGACTAGCTTAATCATTGATGATTGAAATGTAGCTTCGGCCAACCCTGGACCAAACGGACCACTTGATAATGGATGCAACGATTCCTCTCAACCCCAATTTAACGCTGTCGCAGCTGTCAAGCAATGGACGGACGCGAACTTCCCCGCTAGTCATCTTATGCTCGGTGTACCCTTCTATGGCTACCTAAGCGATTCGAGTGCGACGCAGCTTCAGCACAGGAAGCGTTCCCTTTCTCGCCGCCAGGTGCCTCAGGTGCCACTGAATGGGACGGCTGTGACGTCCGCCTTACCACTACCGCAGGTCTCCGGAACGTCCGCTGCATCTCCCGTTCTCAACGCCACAGGATCCCTCAATGTGACCGCCGGTGCCCCAATCCCGACCCTACACACTCCCGGTACGCACAACGAGGCCCAAACTCCTGAGCAGAAGCCCTCTCCAAACGATGACGGATACGTCACCCTCCATACCGAGGACGGCGGACAAATCCAATTCAACTCCGTCGTCAACCAGGGAGCTCTCGTCCCCGTGCGTGAAGTCAACGGCAACCACATCAGTGCCGACACAACGTTCGACGCCAGCGGCGGGTTTACTCGCTACTGGGACTCGTGCTCCAGCACGCCGTTCATGACTTCTCCATACGTTAATCAGGTAGTGACGTACGACGATCCTCGATCGCTCGGCCTCAAGGCTTCGTTCGCGAAGCAGCAGGGCGTCCTAGGCACCGCTATCTGGGACTTATCTGGTGATACACCCCAGTGGGACTTGATCGACGCTCTTCGTAGCGGACTTGGGAAGTCAGTTAATTGATTTTTATCCATTCATTTCATTACGGACTTTAGTATCTTGTCTCTTTTAGTATCTTGTCTCTTGTCGATCTTTTTTTTATGTCGGTCTTTTTATGCAATTGAATAGCTGGTCTTGATGGATATGATGATGTATAATAAATATTAAATGCATAATGTTGGGATGAGTACCTTAACGATGCATTATTACGGAATTTAACATTGCATTTTAGTAGAGAGCAACAACTTTGATTCCGACTTAGGTCTGAGTCATGCATTATTAAATATATGCAATTTCACGGTCATTATACATTATAACATATTATCTTTATTTTGCTTTCATTTTTATGATCAGACAGAGAGGGATTACGTTCCAGAATAGGGAATTCGAGATTATCTTGATGAATATGACGATGTACAAAAGGAATCATTGTAGTTTTGCACACATTATGATAAGGTAATACAGTTGAAAATGACTTATTGCATAATGTTGGGAGAGGGCTAAACGCAATGTATTGTACAATTTATGCATTATGACAATACATTTTGGCTGAGAACCTGAGTTTTGGTCTAGCCAAAAGTCTATGCATTATGCCATTTATACATTACAATGTGATGCAATAAGACAGTAGAAATTGTCATGATGCATAATGCCGGGAAGAGTCTTACATCAATTCATTATAGAATTTATGCACTATGACATTAAATATTGGCAGAGGGGGACCATCTGGTTCTGAAAAAAGTCATTCATTATTAGATTTATACATTATCACATTATGCATTACGATATATTTGACTATATTAATTATAATCTGCTTGCTAGATGTACCTAAGGAATGAATTTAAATACACTTAAGGCAATTTCTGGTTTAAGTCTAGACAAAGAATCCATGGAACGCAAGTGTACCATGTTGCAAGCAATAAGACACATTACATTGTCCCGTTTTGCTTCCACTTTATACTCAGGGCTCATACAGGAACAAGAAATCCACGTTTTGCAAGTAAACAGAGGGTCTCATCAAATGCTGAATAAAAAGAATGCAATGAATACGATGGATACGATGAATATGATAAATCCACTTCGGTTTTGCTTCTGCCCTATGGTCGGAAAGGAAACCGTCGCATATCGGAACATCGAATCCACCAAAGAAGAATCACGCTCTGATTCAGAAAGAAGTTCTTCGAAACCTCCAAGTCTGGCCACCCAAAAATCTAGATCCAACGCGAAGAGCGCACGTAAATCCCGCACGCAAATCACGACGCTCCAGTCTCCAATCCGAATGAAAAAAACACTGCATTCCAAATTTGTAAGTGTACAACGACATGATACTAAACGAAGATGAAGGAACCATCAAAGGGGAGAGACAGCAGGTGTGAGGTGTGAACCGCTACAGTCATATAGATATACACAGAATAATCGACGCAGGATGTTGTGTTGGGAGGACAGACGATCAGAGGAAAATGTACAAGTCTCGCATGCCTGACGTATTATATTGCAAACGCGAAGGGGAAAAATGAGGGCTACAGTGTCAACGTCCTTGCGGAGGCACATCTTAATGCACGTTTATAGCAATGTGAGAAGGATCTGAAAAAGACAGCAGTGCGAGATAAAGGAATGAAGGAAATATCCGAGATGACGGAGCGCCGCTCAACCAATTTGCATAGGGCTGCCTGGCGTCTCGTAATATGCGTTATCGTACTTCCCAGTAATAGACTGCTGGGCAAGCGGACTTGAGACACCAGGTGTCCGTACTCTCCGATGCCGTCGACCAAGTAATGTTGCATTGTCGATGTCGAGAACAAACGGCTTGTTTGCGCCATCTTGACCGCGGTGTCGAGGAGCATCACGCATACCTGCTCGACCTTCATTGAGCGTGTCACGTCCGACCGATCTGCGCTTGGCGGAGCCTCCCGACTGCTGGCTAGCCTTCTCCCTTTGGCGTGCATCCTCTATCGTCTGCTTGTCTTGCTCCATATCCTCGTCATCCTCATTCAAATCATGTAAGAAACCTCGCATGCCCGCACCGCCAGGTCCATGATATGCGCGTCTAGCCTCTTCCTCCTCTTTCGCACGATGTACCGCGTATGTGACGTCAAATGCTTCCTTGAGCGTGGCCAACCCAGGTGATCTGGCCTCTCGACCACCACGCAGAGCTTGTAGTAGAGGAGAATCTATTGCATGTGCTGGTGCTGTCATAGGGGTCGGGGGCGGAGGTGGAGCGGGCGCTTCATTACACCATGGGTGTGCAAGAAATTGATCGATTGTGTATCGTTGTGCGGGATCAACGCAAAGCAGATGTGTAATCAAATCCTTGGCTGGAGGCAGTAGTCAACATAATGTAGAGAACAACAGAATGACGATGAAACCTACCCGAGGCGCTGATGTCATCCCACCAAGGACTTAGGAACGTATAGTACCCTCTCGCTACCTTCTCGGTGAGAACATTGATACTCTCATCATAGAAAGGTGGGAAACCGCAGAGCAGCGTGTAAAGAACGCATCCGAGAGCCCACATATCCACGCTCTTAGAATATCGCTCATCTTTCACAATTTCCGGAGCGGTGTACCCAACTGTTCCACAGGGTGTCATAGTTTGCTGATCCCAGACGACTTTGCTTAGACCGAAGTCGGCAAGCTTCACTCGTCCAATCCCGCCACCACCACGACTGGCGATGAATTCCCCCTCGTCCTCCTTCTCCTCGTCATAGGGTCGGTGTATAGGGTTCTTTGAAGGAATAATAGGGATGCGCTCGAACAGGAGATTCTCTGGTTTGATATCACTAAAGCACAATGACATCAGCATTGCGTGGAGCAAATGTGTGAAATACTAACCGATGCACAACACCGCGTTCTTCGTGGAGGTAGCGGATGGCACTTGCCACCTGTAAGATGACGTGCCTTGATAAATTCTCACTAAAATATGTGAGCTTGACAATTTGGTGGAAAAGCTCGCCACCCTCCATCACTGGAATGGAAACTAAGCAACGTAGATACAAGGCACGGAGTGGAGTGGGACGTACGCTCTAATATTAAAAAGTAGTGTTCGTCTGATTCGAAGAAGTGGAGTAATTGGACGATCCCTGGATGATTGATCCCCCGCATAATTTGCACCTCTGCGAAGAGTGTTTAGCGAAGTGGAATTCTGGCTGACAGAACTCAACTTACCTTTGAGGATGTTTGCGCGCTGCAAGGCGAAACCGATGTCAGCAACGTAAAAAAAAAAGTAAAAAAACACAATATCCGAGAAGGGCAAACGGGCATATCGATAACGGGAGAGAAAACGAAGGTAAAACGTATAAGGTAATAGACAGCACCTCTGTAACACGGGGACGCTTTTTGAACTGCGGGTTGAGATGCTTGTTCCCATCCTGAGTGCATTAAAGCATGCCGCCGCGAAACAGGCAGGAGAAAGTAGAAATGGGGTGAAGTGGAGTCAGCAAGTGTGGAGTGGAGTACGACGACGGGCGCCAGAAAATAATCCTGACCTGAGAAGCGTTAAGTTCGTATTTGCGCACAACCTTAACTGTATGTATGCATCAAGTTAGTACAGTCCATTCAGATGACAGAGCGTACAAAAAAAAATGTCGTACCGGCCACCTTCTGCCCGGTGGTAAGATCAATCGCCTTGTACACATTTGAAAATGCGCCACTATGAGAAGAGGAGAAAAAATTGTTTGCCACTAGAATTATGGACGATTCAAGCAGATACTCACTCTCCCATCTTCTCAAGCAGCTTGTATTTCTCCAAGCCCTTGTACGTGGGCATCTTGCTTTTGGCCTCATTTTCTTCTTGTACAATTAATTCCGCCTCTCGCCTATAATTAGGCGAGACCATCGGCTGGTTTGCGCCCGCCCGCTGCTGGTTCGCGTTGAGCTGCTGCTGGTCGTGGGCAAGAGCCCGTTGATCGCGCTCGCGTGTTCGCTGGGCCTGGGAGGACGAGGCGGCCTTCTCACGTGTCTGGGCATCTTGGGCGGATCTAGATGGCTCGTGATGCTGTTTTCCATGTCGAATGAGGTCTGTTGGAATAAGCGTGAGCAGGGTGGGTGGCAGGCCAACAGGGACTGAATGTGAGGGAAAGAGCGCGTACTCCTGAAAGCATCGATCATGACGCCGGTTGTCGGCATGACTCTGGAAGGAGAGTAAAGTGTGTCTGGGGAACGTGGTCGGCTACCGGATGGGGGAGTAGTCTAAGGAAGGAAGAGACAGTAGACGGGCGAGAGAGAGTATATTGTACGCTGCAAGACTGAGAGCCGAGAGAGGGATTCAGGCGGAATCCGTGGCGTCATAGCTTATAAACGCCGACACACTTGGCTTACTCCGGCCAATCAGGGCGTGACCAGCATAACAGCGTCATCAGACGTCACTCCAACAGCGCTTTATTTCACCATATTAATATTATATATTTAGATTTTATTGACTATTACGCTCAATTTTCTCTAATATTACTGCTAGCTATTGTCCGATTCCTCCTGCTCCTCAGACAGCGTCCGTACAAGCAGCGCTCTTTGCGCAGGCGACAGTGTTATTGAGCTCGTCTTTGCCCGCACGAGCTGTGTCGGCCGTGGCGGCGAGTTCGGCTGCACCACAAGCTGTGGTAGACCTGTCCGTTCTGCCTGGCCCTCCTCTTCTGAGCGCGCACTCTCCTTGCGCTCCGCAGTGCCCCACGTCAGCATGAACACACCCGCGAATGTGGCCCCGCACCCGTACAAGAACGTCACCATCTGGTGAAGCGTTGCCTTCCGGAAATCACCGTACAGAACCGCCGAGCCAACGATTGCGGAGATGTTGAAAAACACAAATTGCGCAGGGATGACGACCTTGGAGTCAAATTTCATCAGCGCTCGGTTCAGGTATCTTATCTGTCCAATTCCGGTCCCAATAAGCACCTGTCAATTGGTGGAACAAATTAGATCCGCAAGAAACTATCCAGGGCGTGATAATAAGGCACATACAGCTAATACGGGATACGTTATCCATTCCTTAAATATCGCAACCCACTCCTTTGTGAGCAATGAGCTAATAGCTTTCGTCGACAGCACCGTAAATCCTCCAAACAATGCACAAGCACCAAGGTCGACCCAGAAATGCGTTCGGCCAATCCGCCGTGAACTCAGGCTCACCAGTAGAGCGATACCTCCCGCATACAAGGCGGCCAAGATAATGAATGCCTGCTGCGTAATGGCCTCAATCAGGCCCTCCGGACTGAGGCGTCTATCAGACGAGCTCGCCGACAAAACGACCGTGATAGCTCCGGCAATAGCAAGCAAAATACCTAAAACGTCGCGCTAAAACGAATTTGGTGACTCCGCCACCAGGAAACATTTGTAATATAAGCGAAATCGTACCTTCCGGAACCGCTCCTTCAGCATAAGCGGCGCAAAGAAGCAGTTTGCTATAAGAGCAAACTAAGATAACATCAGGTCCATGCCAAGAAAATACTATTTCAAACTTCTTACAGTGCCCAAGGGTGCCACAATAGATGCAGGTGCAAACCCGTATGAAATGAAGTTGCCCGACTCCCCTACGGCCATAAGAATTAGTCCTAACCACCTATATGCGAATTAAAGCGACAATACAACAAGGTTGATGATGCACGCACCACAACTTCGATTTCAGGTAGTCAGCTTCATTCTCTTCATGCATTTCGGCTTCAGCGAATTTCACTTTTGACGAGGAACACGCTCCTGACGGTGTTGAGTGTCCACCTCCTTCCACAGGCACAGCTAATGCTTCCGGGTCGGCACAGTTTGCTTTCTTCTTCCCCTTCGCACCAGACGAAAATATTCGAGTAAGGAGGTGCGGTGCGCTCCGTGTCCGAGCAGCCCTCTCACGCCACGAGCCTCGGTCCGCCTCAGACGAGGTACCGCGACTCCCTACCTCTCGCAAATATCCACCACGCATAGAACCGTTGGGCGTGGACGTTCGACTTGCGCCGCCTAGCAGGGGTTCCGTCTCGAGCTGTAAAGCGTGTGCTCCTGTGCGGAACGAATGGCCCCGACGTGCAGAAGACGGTGTTTCGAGTCCTGACCCGGAAGTAGGGAATGGGACTGCCACTCCATAGTCACTTTCATCGTCGCTGTTCGGGCTGTGGTGTTGCGAAGATCCGTCTACACGCGTTCGTTCATCGTCATCCTCTTCATCAGTATTCACTTCTACTATGTCCGAAACCATTCTGGTATTCGCTCTCGGTCTTCTGTCCGTGAAGCCATTCCCTCGGCCTCCGAGTGACTGTTGTGATCCGATTCCGTTGAGAGCATGTGCGCGTCGTTCGCGCTCAAGCCTCCTATGTGCAAGTTTTTGGCAATTGAGAGCTAGTGCAATGAGAACATTTCCAGAGATTGCAACGATAATTCCAATAAAAGAAGCTGTATTGTCCGAATCACCACCATCCTCGTCCGCAACGCGTATTAGGTCATAAACAGAAGTTTGCCAGTCGCTGAGAGCCATTATGGACTGTCAACAGGTATGAGACTGTGAGTGGCCTAAGATCAAATTATCCCCAGGCAAGAGAAACTGGTATAAGCCTTAGGAAGAGGGGACGATCATGGGAGAAGGTGAAAAGGCAGGTCTGGCAAAGGCGCGGTTTGCACCTTCCTGGCGAAGAGTTGATAGTGTTTGATGATATGAGCAAAGCTAGAAGCTATCATCGGTGCGCAGTGCCCGGTGCCGGACCTGAGCGATCAGCGAACGTGTGAGTGCCATAGTGAGTGCTTACATGAGCGAGACTTGGCCAGACGCGTCCAACTAAAGTTAAAGACGTGTCAGGCGTATCACGCTGCCTCACGTATCTTGCACGACCAGCCCTCCCTCCTTGCGTCCTGCAGACACAATACTTTGCTCGAAGCACGCCTTGTAGGACCTCAGCAATTGCAGCCCACATTCGGTGTTTTGCTCTTCAATTTGTCTTTTTTCGTTCCTATCTCCGAAAGACCGTTCGTCATACGCGCGCTTTGGATACGCGAAATTGCACAAGATTGTTGCCTTACGCAACTCTTCTTGCTACTTTTACCTTGAAGATCAGTCACAGCAATGCGCACACATCATACGCAACACAGTCTCCCTGCCTTTCCTGTTTATTCAGCTGCGTTCGTAGGTGAACATAAGCTTGTACTCGGAGGTGGCGGCGGTTCCGCGCGTTCTGGAATTAAGAATAGGCTGGTATGTATCTTATTCCCGTCTATTCTGAATTTGTAAAAGGGGCTAAAAGAGTGTATATACTTTACCAGAGGTTATTTCATATCCCGAATGACGAAAAGCTAGAGTTACTTTCCGAACTAGAGCTGGAGAAAGATGAGGACGCGCCGATGAGTATGATTGCGGATGCAGAGGTGCGAATCGCGTCAAAATTATTTGGACGTTTCTTAATGCTTATCTCTGTCTACAGGGCTCGCGGATTGTTTGTGGAATCAACAGTGCGACTGAAGAACTAGACAAGGGTATCAACCAGAACTGTAGAGTTTTCAGTATTGCCAAGGACAGGTGCGTAGTTCTATTCTTTTCACATAACGCCAGTTTATGCTGGCCTCACTCCGCAGATTCGAACTCGCTGGCGTGGCCAGCACATTACATGTTACTCGAGATAATATGGAGGAGTGCCAGGTAGATACGTAGCGCCGTCTTCTCTGAATATCTGCCTGATTTCGATGGAACAGAAAGTTACTGCTCTCTCCCCAGGACGAACGCTTGTTGCAGCTGCCGGGACCAAAGACGTGAGCATTCAGTTTCCTATTTCTATTCTTACACTCAAGTCCGCTGCGTCTCCAGCTGGCGGTCTTATCATATCCTTCGCTCACACCAGCCGCGAAGCCACTTAAAACAAAACACGAAATCTACGACGCGTCCTTCTCGCCTACATCAGTCAGCTACTTCCTTTCCCTCGTTATCGTAAACCCTATCTCATATCCTATCTCGTGTTTTTCTAGCTGGTAGTTGCAACAACAGATGAACTTCTGGTCTATGCTTTACCGTCCGCTGCGGCTCCTCCCTCTTCACCTCCTGGAACAAAGACCAGGAGCAAGCAAAAACAAAAGCAGAAAGCACAAAAAGGAAAGGCGGAGAGTGTGAAGGAGTTGAAGTTGCTGGAGACCGTTGAACGACCTGCCCTACCGGGGTTGAATGGGGTGACTACGACGTTCCGCGCTGTACGGTACGCAATCCTGTTTGTGTCGTTATTCTGTCTTCCCGCTGACTATATCTTGCATTCATTATAGTTTTCACCCATCAAGGAATAATGTCGTCTTCACAGTACAAAATACTTCAAATACGGGCGTACGGAAAAGAGGTTCGAGGATGCCACCGAAGCAGGGTTTCGTATGTCGGTGGAATACGGATAACTGGAAGATCGTAAGGTCACGAAAAGTTAGCGAGAAAGGGATAACTTGCTTCGACGTCAGGTATGAGATTATCTCATCATCTCTTCGACTGGCTTGTCAACTTAACTCTTTTATTTGTATAGTCCGGATGGGAGGTTCTTAGCATACGGGTCGGCCGATTATGCTATTGGGATCCTGGATTCCACCACTTTAGCAGTGCGTCACTTCATTCCTCCACATGTAAGTTCCATACCGCGGTGGGATGCCAGAAGTTATGTAGTCATATCAGGCTAAAATTGACTGCATCTGGGTTGACTTTATCCTGACGTGACTGCGTGATTTTCTGGGACCCTGTACTAACATACACCTTTCTATCTAGCCTCTCTTGACAGTGCTCAGAGCACACGAATTCCCACCGACCGTGCTTCGTTTCAACCCAACTTCGACACTCCTCGTCTCAGGTAGTGCGGATAACTCTATTCGGGCGGTTGCTATTCCTGAGGGTCTAGCTGGGACAAGTACGCCTCCAACCCTTTTATTTGCACTTTCAGATTAGGAAGCTGATATACGATATATTTTACAGAGTGGACAGTGGTGCAAGTTCTTCTGATCACTCTTCTCGTTCTATCAGTATCTATTCTTATTTCTTATGCCATTTCTTCTGGGAAGCTCAAGTTTTAAATCCTCGAGCAAATATAGTCTTTTTACTTGTTTCGCGTTTATCCTGATATATAGTTCTGGAATAATAATAATACATATTAATGATTATACCTCTTACATACGTGAAGCACATCGATGTTGAGAAAGCAAAGCAATAAGTCAAACACAAGAAGAAAAGGAAGAAAGAACTCTAGTCGTAGTCTTCCTCTTCGACCAACTTTCGTTTAATCCCGTTCACGTTCGCGGCGTTAACATCAGGCACTTCGACGCTTTCCATAGCTTCATCGCCTTCACTATCATCGTCTCCAAACAAACCATTCCCATCGTCCGGCCCGACATCACTTCCTTCATCACCTGCAGGAGGAGCAGGAGCACCGAGATGAGGCACAGGAGAAGCCATATCCATATCTGCGTCTGAAGGCGTTGCGAATGCTCTAATTGGTTGCGTCTGAGTCTGCGTCTGCGTCTTCACGTCCATCTCTTCATCCTCCTCCGACTCGTCCTCCTCCACTTCTTCAATCTCTTCATCGTATTGTTTGACGGTAGGCGGTGGTTTGTTGGGTACGAGGTCGAAATCTACTTGCGTGAGTACGTGTGGAGCGGATGGGATACGAACGCCGAAGGCTTCTGGGACGGCTGGTAAGGGGATTGCGTTTGTTTGTTGGGCTAGGGAGAGCATGTACTACATCCAAACAACACAATTCAAACTCTCTCAGTATACTGTTCAAAGAAGAGAAAGGAACAACGCGCAAGACAAACTCACCTCCTTCGGTACCCTCCCACCCAACTCCCACCCCACACGCCCCTGAATAGCAAGTACGACATCCTCCATCTCAAGCTTTCCCGCCCTCCCTGCATGTTCCGCATAAACTAACGCATCGGACAACACCTGCGAAGTATACCGATGCGAGAATTCTAAGAGCTGGTGTAGGACACCTGGTTGAGCGTCTTGGATCGTTGGTGTGGATGCGAGAAGTAAGGCAATGCTTCGTGCGGTTGGTGGGAGTGTTTCTGGTTGGATTGAACGCGACATTCTTTAGGTGGTGTTGAAGGGAACTTGGAAGGAGTGAAAGTGTTTGTTGTTGAGTTGAGGTTGTGGACCACGAAGCGTCGATCATGGTGAAGGTCTCTTTAGTTTACGTAATGTAAAGAGCACGACTCTAAAACTAAAACAAACGAATCTCGAAATTGACCTCTGTGAAATATCAAAGCCCATTGGTGCCGATGGTCGTCACTTGTTTGTCCTGGTATAATTCGGTTCCACATATAAGGCATGATGGTCGATTGATTTGTACACTCTTGTAATAGGATAAGAACTCGGTAGACACATGGACCTGACAAAAACATGATGGATGGCAATGTATAGGAGAAGTAACGCGAAAGACAGCTTCAATCTATGCGACTACTATTAAAGTACACACGAATATCAATGCTAGTAGCCATGGTAGCTACCGTGAAATTACAACCAATCATTTTTGATCAATAAAGCACAAGACGGAATATTGGTCACATCGAAGCATCAACATTAATGGCTCACACAGCTCCCATGAAGACTAGTACCAGCGTATCCAACACTCTACAACTTTGGCATTGTCCACTATCTTGCAGCTTCGAGAGTCTCCATCAATGTGACGCTGTTACCGCGTATGACCTGTAGAGCAATTAAACAATGCAACGTGAGTGAGTGTATGTTCATTTCGACTGGGCTGGCGACAATTAGACAGGGAATGTACTGACGACGTTTCCAATAGGGCTTTTTTGTGCGGGTGTCGTCTCCTCGATAGCGTCGTCTAGGACGAGGTTGAGGAAAATGTCGAAGCCTCGAAGGGTACCACTAACTTTTCGGCCGCCTTGAAGGTGAACGAACAGCTTTTTGTCCATAAACTGAAGGACAAAAGGACAGAAGCACAATTAACGATACGCTATAGAATGACAACGGACAACAAAACACACCTTTTTGAGCTCTGGCTGCGATGCCTTGGACATAATGGGCTGTGGATGGTGGTGCAGTAATTCAAGTTGTTGTAGAGAGAAAGACGCGTGCACCCAAATAGGCAAGGGTCGGCCAATCCGAAACTGGTCAGTCCGTCTCTCTAGTCTCACTTCCTCCTCCTGCGCTTGTCCTCTTGTCCAAAGCAACATCTATGCACTATACAACAGGCCGGATCCTTCTATCTTAACATATCTGCTAATATTCTTGATTGTGAGCTGCGCTTTGTCATTGGAAATTTTTATTTAGACGCTCATTCGACACGTCTTTTCGCGCCACGAGCTAGAACACGTCTTGCCCTTCGACCTAATTCTCCCTTTGCACATATCTTGAAACTACTACTCGATCTTAACAAATTGGTTACGATTCCCTATCATGTCTACTACTCCGCAGAAGGGATCCGAAACTCCTGCATGGTCGCGTCACGGTGACGATTCTGCCAAGACTCCTGGAGCAGGACGAGAGTCTGGTCCCGCATTTCGCGGTATATCGCGCGGTCGTGGTCGAGGTGGCAGCACTGGTCGTGGAAGATCAGGAGCACGAGGCGCTGGCTGGCGAAGTGTTTCAGCCAAGGGCACATCAGAAGTGAAGGCAAGCCCTCCACCACCTCTGCCAGAAAAGCCCGCTGTTGGCGGAGCTCCTGCAGTTAAGAACAGCACTCAACCCGCGAAAGGTCGAGACGCTTTGAAAATACCAAGCCGTCCAAACCTCGCTGTAGACGGTTCACCTGCACGACCATCAGACGCACAATCTCCTATCTCACCAAATAAACCTCCGCGACGTAGAAGGAACACGCACAGACGCGCTGCTTCCGCTGCTATGCCTAAACCCCTTTCGGCAACATTGACAGATGGGTTACCCACCTCTCCCTCAACTCCACTTATGCCCTCCAAGGACTCGAAGGATCTTCCTCCACATCTTGGGAACGTTACGCCTGTTCATGACCTCAGCCAAGACATAAGGCACCTAGTTGAGCACACGCGCGACATGGCAATGAATAACACTCGGCCCAAGTCGCCCAGTGTACGCATTGACTGGGCAGGAGATGATGATGATAGCTTGCCTGACTTGGATGACTGGGGTGTTAGCTCGAAGCTAGCGAGCGAGGCAGGCGAATCTTCCAGTGCCGTCGAGATCAAGCCTGTCGCTATCACCGAAATACCAAAGAAACCTGCCCCCCCACCTGAGAAAGCAGAATCGACTCACCGAGTCAATGCTCAGCCTGTCGACGTCGAGGGATCTGCAGAGAGGCCTGAAGAGTCCTCAGTGTCGCTATCCGTACCGCTAGCACCGCCTGTTAAAAGAGAACGGGAGCGGAGAAGGGAGCGCGGGAGTCGAAGAGATAAGGAGAAGCGAGCATCGTTGGGTCTGCAAGTTAACGGTACGAAAGGAACACAAGCGTCTTTGGCGGCTACACCAAAGAAGAGCCTGCTTGAACGTCTCAGTTCGCCCGTTCGACCTGATCCTCCAGCAGCTTTGGAGGGATCGAATCTACCTAACTCGAACTCGGACCAGCGGATTGTAACCTCTGTGTCGGAACCAGCTCTTCCTCATCACCCTTCTCTTCCGCCCAAACCGGTGAGCACTCCCAAGAAGCTTGTACCCTCGGGAAAGAACGCAGGAACTTGGAGGGACAAGCGACCAGAGGCAAACACGCCGAAGGAGAAGACCCCGCCAGCTCCCAGCATGAGTATCACGAACGGCAAGGCGGTTGATGATAGTCCATCGGAGCCCTCAGGGCAGGTGCATATTATTGCTCCACCGCCAGAGCGTACAGAGACTATCAACGAGTTTGGCAAGCCAGACGAAAGTAGTACATTCGACTGGTCCGAGGAACCATTATCTGTAGAACCTCCCGCCGACCCACAGACAGAACCACCAATCAACATCACCATCGAGCCCGTAGCTCCTACCGAAGTCACTCCCCCACAAGAACCCTCCACGATAGACTCACCTCTCTTAGCATGGGAAACAAGCACACCAACTAAACCATCCGAAAACGCACTCGCAAACCCTCGGTTACGTATGCAACGTCCACTCTCAGGTGATGCCACTCCACGCCAACGACGGGACCGCTCACCATACAAGACGCACAACGTGCGGAATCATTCCGCTCCCCACAATGGTCTTGGAGGTGTTGGAGGGAGGTCGAGACCGCAACATTCTTCACGACCGATTATTCGTATGGATGCTCTGCAGATGATTTCGCGGAGTTTGCGTGAGGACCCGCCGAGTCGACGGGAGTCGCCTCCTACTACGAAATCGGCGGAATGATAACGACGGATACACAAGGGAGGAGAAGGACAGAATTTCTGTGTTTTTTTTCTTTTCTTTTTCGTTTCTGACTGAATGACTGACTGACGTTGACATTAATTATAATGCTCATTTGCTCATTTCGTATCTCATATCTCATGAATTATCTATGATCTTTTCCACTGTTGTTGTCTCCTTTTTCTGGTTGTATGTTGTTTGTCATTTGTTTGTTTGTTTGAGATCTGTATCATTGTAACGAGATATACCAAGTTTTACATCTTCACCATCTTATCATATTTACATGTCTTTTTTTGTTTTTGTCTTCGTTTCTGTTCCTACTTCTGTATTTGCTTATTTTATTGACGGGGATGGTTCTTGACTTGACCTTGATGTGATCTTGAATTGGTTGTGTGTGGATGTCTGCGTTGTATGGTATCGGGATCAGTTCTGAGTAGTGTTTGTTTGTGTACAGGTTATTTTATGATTCAAGCCTCGTCTTTTTTTCATTTTTTTTTCCTTCTCTTCTCTTGCAAATAACAAACCAAACCCCCATTCTCATCACTTACCACTTAATGACTGAATAAAGTACGAACCAACAAGGCCTAACCGACTCAAAGAAAAAGAAAGATGTAAATGGCAAGAAAAGAGAAAGCGTGAGCGAGGATGGGTTGGTTCAACCGATTAATATCATATTATTATATCCTGTTAGCGATATCTATTCCGAGCTAAAATACGCAAGTTCAAGCCCGATAGCAGTGATTGGTTTCGAACGGTTAACGAGGTTTGAGATGACGCCGAAACTAACGAGGGCGTTGCGTATTCGGCCTTCCCACATGAAGGCCATGTCCTAGAGGATCAACAAGAAAGAAAGGAAATTAGTTAGTGTGAACGTTCGAAGAAAAACAAAGAAGAAACTTACGGATGAAGTCGATAACCTAGCTTTGACGACTCCCTGTATTTCGTCTTCAGGTCGGAACAATGGTGGATCAGGACTCTCTGAAAGAGATAACGCCGTTTCAGGTGTTTCATTTGGTCCGCTAGATGAAAGCGATTCCGGCGACACCTCCGCCAAAGAACCCGTCAATCCATCCAACTCTACGTGAGTAACGGCAGCTCGTTTCTTCCTCAACCACCACTCCCCACCCATCGTCCACTCGCTCTCATAACTATTAATATTAAACGTAAAACGCGAGCACAGAGCCAAGTCTCGAGAGACTTTGGCTGCATAGGCTGCTGATAGGTGGCCTGTTATAGGTGTGAAGGTTGCTGTACAGATGGTTGGGGGTTGCAAGAAGGGTTGTTTTGACGAGGAGGACGAGGACGAGGAGGAAGCTGTTGATTGTGCAAGCGCGGAGTCTGGTAAAGTCGTAAATCGTATACCGGCTGAAACTATATCGATACGAGCAACATGATTATCAATTATTTGGATTAAAAGCACAAAGAAACGTGGATTTACCTCCTGCACTCTTCTCAGTGCTCAGATATAACTCTGCTCCAGCAGACAATCGACCCTTCAAGCCACCTTCCATAGCATCCTCTTCATCCACCCGCTTTAAATTCGAGGAAACCTCCTTAGTCGCAGGATCATCAACAACAGTAGCATCACCACCACCATTCCCCATCTTCCCAAAATTCCGAAGAACCCGTAGACCGAGCATGCTTCCCCCACCGCTCTCTGCCTGCCAAGTGTATTCGGTTCCCCAACGACCGGTATCATGCTGTAAACCGAGTAGCATCGTGTCGGACGAACTCAATGAGGACTGGTATCTTGAACCAGGTGTAGAGGATGCTGGTGGAGTGAGGATACATGCTGCGGATAGTTGGGTAGTTCGGGACCATCGAGTTGTGTAGAATGCGTCGAGTTGACCTGTTGGGATGTAAAGTAGGCCTGAGAGAAGGTAGTCTGTCGCAGCACAGAATCATAAGTCACCCAACTTTTACAATAGTTTATGGGGGAAGTATTTGAAAGGGACGGACCTCTAGTATCCACCCGTCTCCCAGCCAGCCATTCCTCCTCCTTTCCCTCGGGTTTCTTAGGTATACCGTATACTTTGAAACGTTCTACGACATCCTTGAAACGTACGCTCCCCGAGTTCTTGAGATCAAGCTCGCAAGTAGAGAAGATATACCCAACAGAGCCATTCAGCGAAGGGAGGGCGTTTAAGGTATACGTCGTGCGGAATAAAGCATTGGGAGCTTTTGAGATTGAGAATTGTAGACCCTTGGGTACGCTAAAGTCCAAAAGTGCTGCACGGGTTGAATATAAACTTGAGCTAAATTTAGTTGTATCCGAGAAAAGCAGACGCACCATCTGAGGAGCGCGTCAAGTTGCTGAAGAGGTTATCTTCGTTCCATCCTGTAGCCTGGTAGTATTTGCGGAGGACGTAAGTAGAGAACGGATACACGCCCATGGCGGCTGTAGTCAACTCACTTGGTTGACGCCAAGACGCGTCTCGTTTCTGCCTCCGACCGTCAAAACTCGGAACCTACTTCCTTCCAGCACTGCTCGTAGGGGAAAAGGTCGCAATGTCGACGACAGAGTCCTCACACCCATCGGAAAGCTTCTTCTCAAATCTACTCAAGCCAGGTTCCTCACTCAGTCCAACGTTTCTTCTCGTCCTCGATGGCGCGTTCGCTATTCTACTTACGATCTTTGTTATCCTGTTGTTCTTGCTGTCCGGAAGTATGCACATCGTCGTGCTTATTGGCGTTGAATTGTGTTTATGGGCTAGCGTGAAATGGTGGGTTTCTGCGCCTCATGGTGCTTTTTAAAAAATTGCTAGATACTAATTGCACGTTAGGTTTGTCTTTGAACTCAGAAACGCGCAAGCACAGCAGGCCGAATCTACCACGTCAACCGACGAATCCAAGAAAGCACAATGACAGTCTATACATCAATACAACGAGTACGAATACATCTCATCTTTCTAGTATACTACTGAAATTATACATATCATCTCTTAGCCTTGTCGCTGCTCTCAAACCACTGCTTGGTCAACTTGGCACTTTCCTGAGCAAGTGCAAATACTGTAACGTAGTAGGATCAGAACACAATCCAATTAATGCCTACGATGGTGGCGGCGGGCTTACGTTCACGTTCCGTACCGTCAAGACCTTCTCTGAAGTCTTCCCCCGCTTGACCTTGTCCTGCACCTCCGGAGTTCGCAGCACCGAGTGCGCCGAAGTGATGCGCCTGGTCCATAATATTTACGAGGCGTTGTTTGAAGGTCTGGAGGTTGGTTTGAGTATGGCATGTAATAGTAATGTGCGAGGGAAGGAAGACGAACGGTGGACAGCATCTCTGATATATCTTGGGCTTGTTCATCATCTACTCTGTGTTTTATGCTATGTTATGTTATGTTATAGAGCTAATAGTAATACTGAAGCACTTACAACCCAGCGATCATCCTTCCGAATGCATACCACAGACCACCGCTACCGACGAGTCCAGACAGTTTGACGCTTGTTGCATCTGCGTTCAAAGCATTTCGGACGCGTTGATTGAATGCGTGGGGCACGGTACAATCTGCAAAGTCGCTGTGCAGACCTGTTAGGGATGGAAACGACAGTGTGGATGGAGAACGAACGAATATAGAAGCATAGGAGTGAGCCAGAAAGGCAGTTGAAGTTTGCTTAATGCCTTTATCTACACAACGCAATTATGTCTGAGCTCGAGCTAATTGTGAGTAATGCAAAGAGACTCACGTCGCGATCTGACCCTCCGTCAAGATAGCCAAGGTCTGGTACGTCGACCTTGAACGTGCACTGCACTTTCTGAGAAACATATTAGATAATTATCGAGTGTTATTTTGACAATTGATACCTGATTCTCTGCGAGGATAGCATCAATGGAGTAGTAATCATTGTCCATTGCACACACTGTGTCGTGTGCCGACGCGACGCGTCTCAAGTCAAAACGCGTCCCGGCAACTTGCGCGTCTCTTGCCGTCAGCCATCTCCTCAAAATAAATTCACGCTCAACTTAGTCTCTCACTACATAGAACTCTCCTCTCTGCAATAATGCCTTTCGTACCCTCACAACTCCGAGTAGCCGCGAAATGTCTCCTAGTACAACGACGACACCCTCTCATGCATGCCCGACATCGTGACCGTGATCACCACTGGCAAAGATCCTTCTCTCAGACAACTCCGACGCAAGCTGCTGAAGACCCGGATTCTCTTCTTGCTCAGTTACAGGCATCTCCGTTAATACAGAAGATTGCGGATAAGCCGGACGCGTTGAAGGCTTTGCAGGATTTTGCTACGTTGTTGAAGGAATCTGGTGAATTCTGTGTCTTCTGTCTTCTAGTTGCCGAAATACAATACTTATTCATTCATTTTTATTTCTTTTCTCATCGAGGCGTGGAGCTGCAACCTGGTCGTCCACCTAGTACGATGCAGATGTTCAGGCTCGCTTCGGACCAGAAATTTAGGGAAGGTGCAAAGCGCGTTGTCGAGGAGTTGAAGAAAGCCGGTGTAGACCTTAACTCGGAGGTTAGTGTGCTTCCGGTCTTTGTAAGTTGTTGACCTCTGAATTATATTTTAGAACGCTATGGAATTATTTGGCATGAAGAAACCTCCGGGCCCATAATCTCCCATAAATCTCTTCCGTCGTTGACGTTAATTTAGCAACTACAATGTATTATACCTCGCAATACATTTACATCTGCACAATGACGCGTTTCGCCTCCACTCCGAAGCAATTCAAAAACTACTAACGTATGGTTCTAGTATTTCGTCTCTGCGAATCACCATTCCAGTGAACTCGTGCGTGCCGAGCCTATTGCCACTTTCCCGCCTTTATACCCTCTGGTATAAAGCCACGGCCTTAGGTCCCTATGACGTTGCTCAAAGTCTGTAATAGCATCTTCCTTCTGCAGCGTCAACTCAATATTATCCAGCCCATTTAACAAGCAATGCCTCCGGAACGAATCTATACTGAACGTAACCGGCGGCTGGCCATTCGGTCTCCTAATCTCGTTCTTCTCAAGATCAACTTCCAGTTCCGCACCCGTCTCGGCGTCGTCAGCTAGAGAAACACAAGTCTGCTTCGGGAGCTCGATAGCAAGCATACCGTTCTGTAGCGTGTTATTGCGGAAGATATCTGCGAAGCTTGGAGCGATGACACAACGAATTCCGAATACTTTCAGAGCCCAGGGTGCGTTCTCGCGACTACTTCCACAGCCGAAGTTCTCGCCTGTGCAAATAAGGATCTTCGCCTTGTCGAAAGGTGGGCAATTCAATATGAAGTCGGTGAGTTCGCCTGTTACAGGATCTTTGCGCAAGGTTTCGAACAAGGCGTCGCCTAAGACGCTGAGGTCGGATATCTTGAGGTATTGTTTTGAGATGATGACGTCTGTGTCGACGTTCTCCTTGTCCAGACGTGCTGCTATTCCTCTCCATATTGTGAACTTGCGCTCGCTAATTACTGCTGTCTCGGTACGGTCTATTTGGGAGGCCATGCCTTCTGCTATGGGTTCAGGAAGTTCGGGCTGGTCTGTCCAGAATGTTGACGCGTCCGTTTCTTTGACATGCGTCGAGGCCTGGCCCGAAGAAGTGCTGAGGAATTTGCGAACGTCGGTCAAGTAGCCAGTCAGTGCTGCTGCAGCTGCCATCGCAGGACTGAGCAGATGAGTTCGTCCACCAGGACCTTGCCTGCCTTCGAAATTCCTGTTACTCGTGCTAGCACAACGCTCCTGAGGCCCCAGCTGGTCGGGATTCACACCAATACACATCGAACAACCCGCTTCGCGCCAGTCAAATCCTGCGCGTTTGAAGATGATATCTAGTCCTTCCGCCTCAGCCTGCGTTTTGATCATACCGGAACCGGGAACGATCATTGCATAGACGTGAGGTGCGACCTTCGCGTCTGCGCCTGCTGCTAGTATGATCTTCGCTGCCGACCGCAGGTCCTCAATCCGCGAGTTTGTACATGATCCGATGAACACCTTGTCGACTTTGATCTCCGTCATTGGTGTATTAGGTGCCAAGCCCATGTACTGCAATGAACGTTCGACCGATTTGCGTCGAACAGGATCTTCGATATTAGCGGGGTCGGGCACTTTACCCGTGATTGGTGCAACGTCTTGAGGTGAAGTACCCCACGTCACTGTCGGTACGATATCCTGAGCATTGATTCGGACTTCCTTGTCGAACACCGCTCCTTCAGCCGATTTTAGCGTCTTCCAATACTCCACTGCATGGTCCCACATCTCGCCCTTCGGTGCAAACGGCCTTCCTTTAAGGTACTCGAAAGTAACCTCATCCGGAGCGACCATCCCAGCTCTCGCACCAGCTTCAATACTCATATTACACACACTCATACGTGCCTCCATACTGAACCCACGGAACACCGACCCAGCATACTCGATAACGCAACCTGTCCCACCAGCAGTACCAATCACACCTATAATATGCAAGATAACGTCTTTGGAAGTGACACCTTCGAGTAGGGAGCCGTTGACGATTATACGCATGTTTTTGCTTTTTCTTTGCAGGATTGTTTGTGTTGCGAGGACGTGTTCGACTTCTGTTGTTCCGATTCCGAAGGCTAGGGCGCCGAATGCTCCGTGCGCTGTGATACTAATATTGAGTTATTGTGAATGAAATCTGGGGTTTAGACTTACTGGAGGTATGCGAGTCTCCGCATACGAAGGTGACTCCGGGGAGTGTAAATCCTTGTTCAGGTCCGATGATATGCACGATACCTGTAATTTATTAGCAAGTATTATGGACTCCCTTCAAGCTGTGCCTTACCCTGCCTGCGATCTTTAAGCCCGAAGTACGTTATACCAAAGTCCTTGACGTTCTTTTCCATCTCAATACATTGTGCTTTCGCGTCTGGGTCGTTAATATACTCATCAATTCGCAAGAGGTTCATCCGCGGGTCTGTCCTATGTCAGAAACGGTATGAGGACATATGATCATTTAAAGAAAAAAACAGCTCCTTTGGGAAAGATTTGATAGTTCGGAATTGTGATGCTTACGGGACATTATGGTCCATTGTCGCTAGCGTTAAGTCTCTTCGACGGACTGTACGACCTGCATTTCGTCTGAACAAAAGTAATGATATGGTATTCGTAGATCCGGTGTGATAGTTATTTTTTTGTACTTACATCCCTGCGAATGCCTTTTGGCTGCTTAACTCCTGGATCATATGTCTGACAAGAGAAGGATAAGCGCCCCTCTCGCAATATAGACGGAGACTAAGAGCACCTGTCGACGTAGAGGATAGCTACTCCATCCTCCCGGACGTGCCTACAGAACGATATGACTATTCAGTATTACCCATGAGTTGGTGACTGATACCATACACGAGGTGTTCATCCCAAATTTTGTCGTATAGCGTTTTCGGACGCTGCGCAAGGTTGGTCATTTTGGTAGGTGTTAGGCGGGACCAAACGCTTGAGGGGCGTATACGGATACAGAGTCTCAGTACAGTACTCCTGGTACATTTATAGTTCCCTCACAGGACCAATGCCGAAGCTGGGTTTGATACAGTTTGTTCATGGTCATGGGAGTGTGTGCGCTAAATTAATCATGGCGAAAGTCACGGTTAAGGAGCTTGAGTTTGGATAAGCCAGTAGGCCGTGACTATTTCGTGGGAGGAGTTGTTCAAACGAATGATAATCTGCGGATTCAGGTACCGGCGCCTGGAGATTTATCAGCCATACCGTATCAATGGCGGGAAACAAGTAGGTTTTGAGCAGAGCAGAAGAGTTTAAAATCCCGTGACCTGAATTTAGAAACGGTGTGATCAGCAGAACCCGCATCCAAAAATAAACTGCACTTCTTCGACTCTACCAACACGAATGGCAGACGAAACACCCGGGGCAGGTCCATCCACAATAACCACCACAAACGAGCCAGCGCCGGAGCATCCACTACCATCGAACCATTATTATGCTGTCGAATTCCCAGGAAATGTCCAGCAGGCTTCTGCAGGACGAGCTATAGAACATCTCGGTGGTCAATCTGCCATTAACCGCGCATTCAAACGAAATGCACCAAAGACGGATTCACTCCTTGAACTTAACTGGAGGCCTGAGGACCCTTTCTCCCATCCTATACCAGGGGACGTTGTTCATGCGAACAACATCTTATTGAAGGTCACGAAACGGAAAAGAAAGCGGAGGGATGGCGTTGACTTGCCAGAGCCGGAAGGTGAATTCGTCGCGGAGGCTGTCGGAATTGTACCAAAGACAGTCCGTTTCAGGAGTTCGTGAATTTATATCCACTATGATACATGCAGCTTTACTTATGCTATCTTACAGGCATGGCGGACTTCCAATATAATCCAGATACATCTGATCCTGTAGTCCAGTTTCGTTCGGCCATGGACCGCATGGACGGTAAGCCTTATTTCGGCCAATTACCCTTTTCACTCTGTCTGACTCTGCGAATAGTCGAATATATAAGAAACTACGTGATACCACCTGAAAAGGAGGACTATGAGCTTCCTACAACCGATCCTGAAGATACTGATATGCAATCCGATGGTGTTGGCCCGTCAAGCATGACACCTCGGAGCAATCTTCGCCTTATACCTCCACCAGTCTTCTCTCGTCAACAAATCCCGCAGATCTACAAGTGTGTCTCTTTTTGCAACTGAATTACAAATTATACATCTTAACTCTACCTGCAGTTACAAGGCAAATACTATGTCGGTGGTCACGACTTATGCTGACCCGGAGACTGGCGAGGAGAAAAAGCGCCTTATTAATAGAGCAAGATGGAAAGGATACGGACCTGCGACTGTTTCGTTTTCTGACAAGACGGTGAGTTACGAGAATAGTTGCACGATCACACCTTCCACTAAGAGCCATTGTGAATACTTTTCAGATACCTCTCGGGCCTCCTGAGGCTGTGGCTAAAGCAACGACGGAGTCTGACAAACGGATACTGGATCTCTTAAAACAGGTATAGTACTCGAAAATTGGTATTCGAAACATGCCAGATTGAAATCTTAACAGAGGTTCGATGAGCGCCCGTGTTGGACGAAGACTGCACTTTTCAATCAGTTCAATGCAGGAGACTCCCGGGAACTCATGAAGTACGTTTCATCTCCTAGATCAGTCACATCTCTCGCTCAAGTCCGCTCCTTTAGTTCTAAGCACTTGTTACCCTCTGTGTGCTATGTTTTCTCTGACGGACCTTGGCGAGATACACTGCTAAAGTTTGGATACGACCCGAGGGCTGAACCTTCTGCACGATTGTGCGTGCCGTGTATAGCCCTTCCATTCACTGAGTTGTTGCTTAAATCTTCATTAGTTATCAGCGTCTTTACTTCCGCAATCTCAATCATCCGATTGTGCGACCATCTATCGTCACTAGTCGGCAGGACCAACGAAACGCAGATAGACAAGGATCACTACCTCCGCCGTCTCAGATCGGTGACTCGAGCGCAATTTCATCAAGCAACGAATCACCATCGCATATCTTCGATGGAATTCATTTGACGAAGGAAACGGCTGCCTTTCAACTCTGCGACATTGTTGACCCGATGATAAAGGAGATGGTTGAAGATGAAGAAGGCGTCCGAGACGAGTGCAATGTGCGTTTATAGTCTTATCTCATTAGTTAGAGAGGAACGCGGCTGACGAGAAATTTTGATTAGGAGCGTGATGGATGGTACACGACAGAAGCTATCGATCGCATCAAGACTGTTCTTCGACACAAATTCTTCTCATTGCTTGAAGGCCACATCCCAAGTGAAGAAGAATGCAAAGCGCTTCTCGAAAATAGCCAAGAATCTCGCTTCAGCCAAAGACGTGTTTTCCAGCCCAGGAAACATAACATGGCCAAGGGAGCGTTGGCGCCTGAAGATGCTGCGGTACGGTTTCCGACAGCAGAGTTAAATATTGGTTACTGATTTCCTTGAACATATTAGGCCGTTCGTTTACGCGCGAAACTAGATATTGCCACGAAAGCAGCATTGAACAGGAACCGATAAGGGTCCTCCCTTGGTTTCTTGCTGGAGTCACCGAGATGTTTACGAGTTTTTATGAATATTTATTTTCATGCATGTAAAGCATACAACTGCATAGCAATGACATGGGATAAAAGAATTCGTGCCTCTTGCAAATTTTGCATGAATCTACAATGGAAAGAATTATGCTGCAGCTGCGCGCTGTTCTGCACGGGCCCGGTGCTAAGGATCATTACGAACCATTAGTTAAAGGATAACAAATGATTGTGTACTGAAGAACGCACCGAACCTACGAGTGCGAAACGAGCATTGCGACGGAACTAAAGCATTAGAAATTTAATAAAGTATCATTAGTCATTTCAGAACTATTGTCAACTCCAAATATCAATCATGCCTTCGAGTCAACCTGCAACACAGAGTTAGTGTCTAAGTTAAGGAGCAACGCAGGGGCATGAGTTCACTTACCCCCTTCAACGAACGTGTTCGGCTTTTCTTTGGCGTCTTGATACCATTGCGATGAGCCTTTTTGCTCTGGTTGTGATTGGTATGGCTAGTTGCAACAGCGCGCTCGTCAGCAATGTCCTCAGGCTCAAGCTTTAAGCTAACGACTCACTTCTTTGACTTGGCCATTTTTACCGGCTTGCTGGACGTTCACGACGATGATAGATTCTAAGTTGGTGGAGGCGCGTGCCATGAACTATGCAGTTTAGCTTCTTGAAGTGGAAATAGAGTCTCACGATTTCAATTCAGCCTTAAGTATTAAGTTCAAGTTGTAATAAAGCCGCGTCCCGGCCCGACTTGATACTTAGAAGACACTAACTAAATGCCTCAGAAGCGTCGTATCAATGTTACTCCGCCTTGATTGCAAGAATAGAGGGGCCAAGAAAGCCATTGCGAGTGAGGATAACGCTGAATGAGAAATCGAGAACGTGGGATTGGATGTCTTCTAAAGCCGACGATGGTCAGGACGAACGGCGGCAGTCCGACTTTTGGCTAAATCCGAAGAACTCCGAGTCTCCGAACCGAACACAGAAAGTCTGTATGAGTCCCAGCTACTTTACTTAAACTTGACCGTCTACCAAGTTCCTCGGTCATTCCACTTTCCTTCTTCCCCGAGTCTCTAGACCTACTCCATAACGATGCCGGCACCTGTACCCAAGCCCAGGACGCTGTACGATAAGGTCTGGGACGACCACGTCGTGTACGTACTGATTTCCTTGCAATATTAATCAAAGTGCTTATACGCCCTTCTGCAGCTCTGTCCAAGAGGATGGTCTTACGCTCCTCTACATCGATAGGTTCGTTCATATCTCGTATTACCTCGCTAGACACTCACCTGTATCGTTTCAGGCATCTAGTACACGAGGTAACCAGCCCACAAGCATTCGAAGGACTGTAAGTTCCGCTCATCGAGCTTCTGTGATATCCTGAGCACACGACCTCTCCTAACTCACTTGCATGCAGCCGCACTGCAGGTCGACCTGTCAGACGCACGGACTGCACGCTTGCTACAGTCGACCATAACATTCCGTAAGCTCCAATTCTTATCTCGCGTATTACACGGTTCGCGAACTGAATGGCAATACGACAATAGCACCACGCCTCGGAAAGGCTTCGCCAAGACCGAGGAATACACTACAGAGCCCGACTCCAAGGCGCAATGCCTCGCGCTCGAGGAGAATGTGAAGGAGTTTGGTTTGACGTACTTTGGGATGAAAGATCGCCGTCAAGGTATGCATATATGTGTGCTTTCTTACTAATTTCGTTCTAACTGTTATCGTAGGAATCGTTCATGTCATTGGCCCAGAACAGGGTTTCACTCTTCCAGGAATTACTTGCGTTTGCGGTGATTCGCATACATCTAGTAAGTTCTAAGATTGAAGCGGTGACTATATTCTCATTACTAATGTGTATGTAGCTCATGGCGCCTTTGGAGCTCTCGCATTTGGTATTGGCACTTCTGAAGTGGAGCATGTCCTCGCTACACAAACGTTGCTTCAGAAGAAGAGCAAAAACATGAGGATTTCCGTAGATGGGCCCTTGCATGAAGGCGTAAATTCAAAAGACGTGATTCTGCATATTATTGGCGTGATTGGCACTGCCGGCGGAACGGGTTGTGTTATTGAATATGCCGGCTCGGTATTCCGAGGATTCAGCATGGAGGCTCGTATGAGCGTGTGCAATATGAGTATTGAAGCTGGTGCTAGAGCCGGAATGGTTGCTCCGGACGATGTCACCTTCGAATATCTCAAGGGTCGACCGCTGGCCCCGAAGGGCGAGGAGTGGGACCGTGCGGTGGAATACTGGAGAACTTTGAAGACAGATGAAGGAGCTGTATTCGACAAGGAGGTCCGAATTAATGCACAAGATATTGTACCGACAGTGACATGGGGTACCTCACCTCAAGACGTCGCACCAATCACGGGTAAAGTACCCGATCCCGCTAATATTGAGGATCCTGTGAGGTGGAAATCGGTGGAGCGTTCGTTGCAATATATGGGACTGGCACCTAATACTCCAATGACGGAGGTTAAGGTCGACAAGGTGTTCATTGGGTCCTGTACAAACTCGCGGATTGAGGACTTGCGATCTGCGGCAAAGATCGTGCTGGCGGCAGGTGCAGATGCGAAGGTCGCACCTCACGTTTACGCAATGATCGTTCCCGGTTCTGGCATGATCAAGGAGCAAGCTGAAGCGGAAGGTCTCGATGTAGTCTTCAAGCGCGCTGGATTCGATTGGCGAGAAGCTGGTTGCTCTATGTGTCTTGGCATGAATCCAGATCAGCTCAGTCCCCAAGAGCGCTGTGCAAGCACGAGCAATCGTAATTTCGAAGGCCGTCAAGGAGCTGGTGGGCGTACTCATTTGGTCAGCCCAGCGATGGCTGCTGCAGCTGCTATGACTGGTTACTTGACCGACGTTCGCAAGTTCCTAGGAGCAGATGTGAGCCAACGTGCCCCTGTTATCAAGGAATTGGCTGCTTCGACTTTTTGGTCGGATCCTATCCTTCCTCCCCCTGAACCTCAAGCAAAAATCTCAGGAGGCGCAGCTTCAGATAACCTTCCACCAGCAGAGACACCCTCTGCAAGTAACAAATTCACGGTCCTCAAAGGCATTGCTGCACGCATAGACATCGAGAATGTCGACACCGACATGATCATTCCAAAACAGTTCTTGAAGACGTTGAAGCGCACTGGTCTTGCTGACGCCCTGTTTTTCGCCATGCGCAAAGACCCCAATACTGGCAAAGACACCGATTTCGTCCTGAACCGAGCACCATTCAACAAATCAAAGATTATCGTCTGCACAGGAGAGAACTTTGGTTGTGGTAGCAGTCGAGAACATGCACCATGGAGCTTGAACGACTTTGGTATTCGTTGTATCATCGCACCCAGCTTTGCAGACATCTTCCGGAATAATACATTACAGAACGGAATGCTTGCAATCGCTCTACCGAAGGATGTTTGCCGGTCGTTGGGTGAAGACGCAGCGCGTGGCGATGAGTTGGATGTCGACCTTGAGAAGAACGAGATCAGACGACCGAACGGTCAACCGCCTGTACCGTTTTCTATTGACGCGTTCCGCAGGCATTGCTTGTTGAATGGATTGGATGATATTGGACTTACGTTGCAGAAGTCGGACGGCATTGGGGAGTTTGAGAAACGTAGAAGCGCTCTTTGGCCTTGGTTGGATGGACTTGGGTATAAGGGTGGAAAGATCCCTGTTTCGCCGAAGGCGAAAGCGGGAGGTAAGATGGATTGGTGAGGTGATGATGATGATGTTGTTTTGATTGAGAAGATAGCTGTTATAAACGATTTCTGTACGACTTGTAATTTTGTGAGAGCGTTTTGCTTTGTTGGATTACGAAATAGAGTTTCCAAGACAAGATGCCTGCACGCGTTGTTGACGCGCTGTTTGGTCTGTATGACGCGATAAACTTGGCATCGCGACGATCCTCTGTGCTAAACTCTCACTGAGTCACTCTGCCAGTTAGTATGCGATTTCGCGTCCGCAACGCCTTCTACTTACGACTGTCTGCAAGTGATGTTATTCCTCTATATGTGAGCATGTCAGCCTTCGTTATACCACAAGCTCTTCATTCATCAAGAAGGTCAGGTTTATCTGGACGAGAGACATGTTGACTGGATGTCGGAAAGGACGTTAAACTCCGTGGTATCTGACTTGAAACCATTGTTCGATTCTCTATCTCTATTAATGCACACAAAGTACATGTGGAATTCTGAAATCCCTTCCACCCAGGATAGGCCCTAAATTAGAAGCTGAACGGTACGCTCATTTTGGACCTGGCGGTCCAGCCTCAGCTAAGAAAGGGACTGTTGAAGTTTGTCGTGGAGGTGAGCTTGTCAGCTTTGATTTTCGACTAGAAAATGCTAATAAGTTCGTATTAGATTCGTATCAATTTGCTTATTTCCTTCGGAAGGCTGAGCCTCACGCCATTGTGGTCAAGGTGAGTCTAAGCTTTAGATCTGTACATTTTCGTAGGCTGAGCTCATTTCTGTCTCACTTAGACTAGAAACTACGTTTTAGTCGATAGACCTGCCCAAACCAACAATACTACAGCTGAGAAACAGACCGGTGTTATTCAGAGTGAAAGCAATGATGGTACTCAAGCTACTAGTTCTACCAAGGGAAAGAAGCGACCTCGGAAGGCAGTGATTACTAGTAAACAGGCGACGAAAAGGAAGGGAAGGGACAAAGTCGTTGATGTGATTGAAGATTCGGAGGAAGACATTGAGGAACCGTCCTCGTCGCAGGGAGAGATAATAACTGACCAGGACGACTCGGTACCTGCTGCACCAAGACGGTCTACACGCAGCAAAAGGCAGAGGATCGCCTACCGAGAAATCTCTGACGATGACGATTTGCCTGACAATAACGGTGTTCTAGATGAAGATTCAGATATGCAGACTGAGGAGGGGCTAGATGTGCAGGATGTGCAAGATGTGCAAGATGTGCAAGTCAAGCAGGAGGCATCTGAGGACGACATAGCCCTTCGAGATGAAGACGCCTCCGACAATGAGCCTAGTCCAGAGCCGGAACTGCCTCCAGACTTTGGGATGGACGAGGACGAAGAAGAGAAGAAACTAAAACCGCAACTTCAGCTATCGTTTCGCAGCTTGGATATGCGCAACCGTTGCTTATGCGTAGTCGTCGAGCCGTGGCCTGCAATTCAGTCTCTAGATACGGGCACTGAGGCTTTACGTACGGCTTCGGTTGCTCCATCGGCTCAGAATGTAACACCCAGTAGGGCACAGAGCGTTGCCGCCTCGATATTTGCTCCAGACTCTGAGAGCCAGGGTGTTCGTGAACAAACGCCATTACCACTCTTCCTTCCAGATCCTAGTGGAAGGGACCGCAGTCAGACACCAATGCCAATACGATTCCCAAGCACATTGCCATCTCTTGAAACGATAGACGACACTCAAGATCCGTTTGGAGATGGCGATGGCTTTGGCATGCTCGCTTTCAGTCAAGCACTCAATAACGTATCTGGCGATCGGATAGGTGCAGCTGAAGACGACGAAGACGAAATGGACGGAGGGGCGTTATATGGAGACGCGGATGAAATACGCGGGGCTTTGTTGTAATCTATTATTATTAAAGGAAATTAAACACGCGTACTATACTCTTAGTTTCTATGTAATCCCTGTGGGGCCGACTCTGGGCTCATCCGTCCGATCTCTGTGAGGATTTCTGATGCCCTGGCTTCGCTAACCACTCGGAATCCAGCATTAGTCATTTCGAACGTTCCATGTCCACCTGTAAGGGAGCGTAGCCGGTTATTAAAGTCAAGCATTTGACTGAGGGGAGTGATTGCGTGAATAGTTCTCTTCATGTTAAAACCCGAACGACCAGCTTTTGATGCTGAGAAAGCCGAGGGTGACATCCACTCCGGAGGTAAATATACGCCGTCTTCTGGATAAGGGATACTTTCTTCTCCATCGCTAGATGTTGACATCTGCTCCCCGAGATCTACAATCTCACCACCTCGCTCAGTTAGTTCTTTCACGACTCGACCGAGGTGATCTTCGCCGACTGTAATTGTGACTCGTGTATATGGTTCCATGATACGACCTGGTCCCGCACGCCGCAGACCACGACGCAAAGCCATGCTAGCTCCGCCGGCGAGTAGGTTCACAGATACATCGGGTGGTGTCAAACCGAATTGTCGTACTAGGATGCGCGTACGTGAAACTGGGAAGGCACAAAATGGAGAAGTCAGTAAGGCACTTGCAAGACCCTGTGCAACGTGCGTTAAAGGGTTATGTGCGTCTATCGAACTGAGACTTCCTTCTGTTGGCGGTGCGCGAAGAGGACGACCATTCTTCGTGAGCACGACGTTCCCATCCCAGTGCGGGTCACCTTCCTCATCAGGGGCGAGCGCACGAATATCAAGCTCCATGTGTACGGAAACGGATCGGCCATGCAGTTCTGTACTCCAGTCTTCGTTGACATGTTGCTCCTCTCTGTCGCGGAATGTTTCGCGGTACGTGACGCGCCGTTGACCAGATTCAAAAGCGACACCCCACTCGTCTCTCAACCGGCCTTCGATGATCTCGAGATGTAAAGCTCCTAATCCGTGAACGAGCAACTGTCCATCAAGGGTCTCGACTCGCGCGGATGGATCTGTGCGTGAGAGAGCCATAAGTGCATCTTGTACAGGTTGTAAGTCGGAATTCGTCTCAGGAATGATGCTTGCGGACATCACGGCTGGTGGTGGCGTAATGTCACGTAATACATCGAAGTTCGTCTCTTCCTCCTCCTTTTTCTTCACGCGCGAAGAGGCATGAGAACTGGCGGATACCAACATATCCCCTGTGCGGGTATGCTTGAGTCCAAGAATGACTCCGACGGAACCAAAAGTGAGAGTCTCTACTTCTTCAGGTTGAGATGCGTACAAGAGAAGAAGCTTGGAGATCCGCTCCTTTTGGCTGCGATTCACATTGAACAGAACGGTCTGTCTTGTAAGGGCACCTTTGAAGCAGTTTACAGATGAGCAACTGTGTTACAAACCCTTCAAGCATACGAAATCTTTACCAGAATAGACCCTTACGAAAGTCATCCACCCTTTTCTTCTGTCCCAGGAGACTTTCCACGCCAGCATTTGGACATCCGCGGACTTCTGCAACGACACAGATCCAGGAATATCCAAGGGACTGGCTAAAAGAAGACCAGCATAGTCCAATACTAAGTCCGTCCCAATATGCTTCATAGCTGAGCCACACAAAACGGGAAGAACTTCATTACGCAACGTTGCAGAACGTAGCGCCGAGACGATGCTCTTCGCTTCGATTGAAAGGTACGCTGACGGATCTGCGGGGAGCTCGAGTAGTTTGTTCATGAGCTCCTCGGAGAACATTGAAAGATTTTCCAAGAGTGCCGTTCGTGCGGGGATTAGTTCTTTGGTCAGGGGATGGTCTTTGGGGAAGAGTATGCCGTCCTTAAGTTGTTCAGCTTTTGTGGGGAGTGGAATTACTTTGAATGATGGAGTCTCGAAATTCGTTGGGTCGCATTCATCCCACTTCCAGAGTTCCCAGCGGACGAGATCAATAATGCCTTGAATACCTGGCTCTGCAGTTGCGTAAGTGTGTGGATTGAAGGACGCGACAGGCAGCGTGATTGCCATAGGTGTTGGATGTAATCGATAGTTGAGCAGAGAGCGCATGGATGCGCGGAAGGATGCTCCAGTACGATCCATCTTGTTAAGAAAGACTATACGGGACGGAACACTATATCTACAATAACATGAGACCTTAGTAAATTACACTAGAAAAGAATAGATCTCACCAACCTATCAAGCTGTCTCCAAACTCCTTGAGTCTGGGCTTCCACACCCTCAACTGCGTCTATAAGCACAACTGCACCGTCGACAACGCGACTAGCGCTCTCAACTTCCATCCCAAAATCGGGATGTCCTGGCGTGTCGATGAGGTTATACGTCCATCCTTTCCAAGCGACAGGGATGCTTGCAGATTGAATCGTTATTCCGCGCTCTCTCTCCGCTGGAAGAAAGTCCGTAGTTGTAGACGCGGTGTCGACTGTGCCTGGTGCAGATAGGAAGCCCGATCGCGCAAGGATTGATTCGGTCAAGGTTGTCTTACCCGAGTCTAGCTTTTTTATTCATAAAATAAACTTTCTTCAGAAGTGCTGAGCACTCACCAATGTGTGCTACGACAGCAAGATTGCGTATCTTTTCAGGACCATCTGGTTTTGTCTGAGTTTTTGCCCTTGTAGATGCAGGTCTAACGTGTTGAGGTGTCCAACATCGTTGGATTACATTTGCAGCCGCAAATTTACGGATGATGCTTGGATGCTGTAGTACTCTCTGACATGAACTAGACTGCCATAGCATGTCAGGTTGAGAGTTTAGGAATATTCAAGCAGTGTAGCAGAACATAAAAAGCTAAAGTGCAGGATTGCCAAATTAGATCGGCATGCTGTGCTGCCTTCCGGTTTCTCCGCATCGCAATTGTCTTCATAATCACATCCATTCATCATGCACATTTAACTGCCAGGGTCTTGTTAGATTCTCTTTTGTCTAGTTCTCCGTCTTTCTCTCGTCATCCTACTGTTACTGTCACTGCTCTGTGTTTCGCAGGACGAAGAATGAGCATGTCTGACGAACACAGCGACGTGGGCTTCGACGCTCGTCTCAAGGAGCGTACCAGTCGGTTGCGCCAAGGCAACGGCAACGGTGGCACTTTGCACCGTAGTCCTCTTGCGATGCGTCCTGCTGGGCCGACACAACCTCATGGCACGATTCCGAACACACCAGGCGCAGTATCCTTTATTTCATTCATTCTGGGTGGCATCTGCTTCCTTTCTTTCTCGACTTTCCTGTCCAAGTTGGCGGCATCTGGTCACCTAGATCAGGGTGTAATAGACCAGACCGGCTGGTGGTGGGCAACACCACAACTAGGGTTCTTCCTTGCTGCTTGGAGCATATTTCATTGGGGAGAGTTCACCGTCACTGCTGGGTGGAATAGAGACAAGTGTAGTGTCGACTGTGAGCGTCCCCATTTCCTTATTCTTGTCACTTGTCTAATTTGTTTCTGCTCGTGGCTGGAAGCTTTTCTCCTTGATAATGGTATTCTTTACCATATTGCGCACGCAACCGCGCTTACAGAATATATCTTGAGTCTGTATTTTCGACCAATGTGGAAGTCATTTCCTTATGTGTCTGTTATTGGTAGGCATTCGTATAAGAAATCCTTCTTTAATTTAGTATTAATAGAGAATTCAAAGGCATTGTCTTCACAATTCTCGGTCAAGCACTTCGCTCGGGCGCGATGATACACGCATCTACTAACTTCTCGCACCAACTTGCATACCAAAAGGCAGAGCAACACCGACTGGTCACGGATGGGGTTTATGCGTGAGTTGGTTGATCAAATTAGAAGAATTTCGCTATTCAAAGCTACTGTACAGATGGTTCCGACATCCATCATACGCAGGTTTCTTTTATTGGGCTCTTGGAACGCAACTCCTATTGCAAAATCCAATATCTTTCATTCTATACAGCATCTTGCTCTGGAGATTCTTTTACCGCCGAATCCAAGGTAAGTATACCAGATTCTCTGCGGAGCGAAGTCCTGACATAGGTGCAGTGGAAGAGGCCTCGCTCATTCGTTTCTTTGGCGACGATTATAAGCAGTATAGGAAGAGGGTTGGGACGAAAATTCCATTCGTTCCTTGACGTACGGACTTGCAACGGTTATACTGAGTTTTAATTGTGGTACATAGCGCACATAAGGATTGAAAAACACAGCATAATCATCATAATGCGTGCCTAAGAACAGTGAGAGATGAAGCAGATAGAATGAATGCCTTTTATTCCGTCTCAATGGTCCCCCGCTCTGACACGTAGATACCGTCAAGGAATTTACGGATATCCTTGTTGCGCACCCTGCAGATACCCTGGATGGACGCAGCTGAGAGAGACAATTGGATAAGTGTATTTTTCATATAATAATGGTAAGAGTCACTCACCGGATTGGGAGACGTTCTGGATGTCGGTACCCTCAAGAATAAGCTCATCCTTCTGGGCTTTTGATTCTGCGACAGTTACACCGGCAAGCATCTTGACATTTCGGACCGTCTGACAGAGTCCAAAATAAGCGGTTTGCAGGGCAATAGAAATCCAATGAACCAACCTTCTCTCCCAAGAAGTTTCGGATCTCAAGAGCAGAGCCATTGTCCTGGATAATGCAGTTGATAGGAAAATGGGCATAAACGGCACGCATTTTGTATTGGAAGCCCTTCGTCACGCCAATTATGAGGTTGTTGATGAGTGACCGGATTGTACGAAGGCATGCATTGTGTTTTCTACCGCCCTGCCATACAGCAAGGGTAATCTTGCCGGTTTTGCCCTTTACGACCTGGATGTCCATCTGTACATGGCGGACGTCCTTCTTGAGAGTACCGCGGGGGCCAGTGACGGTGATGAGACGCGACTTGATGTCGACGGTGACTCCCTCCGGTACGTCAAGTTCCTCGGTCTGCACTACGTCCCTCATCTGTGAATGAATGAGTCAATCCATCACAAGAGACGCTAGAAACATCCGGATTTCGAGCATAGATGGCAAGGAACAATGCTCTTGCTACGTCCGGACAACATGCACATTGATGAAACACTCACTGTCGGTCTTGAAGTGGTTTGTCGATGTCTGGTCAGTACGTTTGGACCGTTTTGCAGAATGTGCGCGAAACGGAAGATGCCGAGATAATCAGGACCGTGCGTCACACTTGCCATATGTGTATACCTGAGTCAGCGATTGTTTTGCGGTTGAAGTCGGAGTTCCAAAAATGCTGACTGTTACATAAGTCGGAGGCACGCACGCTGGTGCCACTTCAGCACTCTGTTGTGAACCACCATCTCCACCCATCCCAACATCGACCGGAGTGTGACCGTAGACTCAGTGTCTGTGAAGACAATTCTGAACGATTGTTTATTGTGCAGATCAGTGTTAGCCGCTCTATTCATTGCTCAGGTTACTTGTTACCCTTGTTCGCCGCTTTTTCGTGGGCATAGTGCCATTAGTTGGACTCTTGAGTTCCACGCTTTGAGTGCGCTGCCAGCAGCCATGTCGCTCTACCAGCACCACGCTCCTCAGTCTTATGGGCATCCATACCCACCTCAGGCAACGCAGAGTTTCATGCAGCAACATGCCCAGCCGTCTGTGGCCCCCTATGCATACTCGTCGTACTCGATGCCTCCGTATGAACCCGGCAATTTTCGGAGAGACTACGCTACTCGCTTGTCCGAACTAACGATGAATTCGAAACCAATTATACAGAATCTGTCTATGATGGCACAGAATTTTACTCGCTTCTCCGATATCGTCGCCGAGTGCCTCCAGGCTCACATACGTAGGGTGAGTAATTTCCCAGTACCCATTGCTTTGCGCAATCTCTTGCCCTTTTGCACACTTTTTTTTTTCATTTTCAATCAATACAACGTTATCTGAGCGTATCGTTGTGCATTCTCAAGCGCGGCTACGTACAGTATTAAAAAAAACATGTATTATGAGTAGATAGTTTTCGTCAAAGTTGTGAAAGGTGTGCTCAGGGTCTCGTATTAGACCGCCACAAGCATGTCCATGGGCGAGTATGCTTGCGAGAATATCGGGTGACCGATTCGCCACTTTGCGAAATATTTCTCTGATAACTTCGCACTTGCCCCTTTGAAACTTCAACCCCTTTGTCCAACAGTCGTGACTGTGGGAACGTTGCTGACTGATTTTGTTTGGTTTTGCTTTCTCGATTCTCTTTATAGGTACCAGCTTGGATGAAGCTTCCTGCTTTCTATGTTCTCGATGCGATCTCGAAAAATGTCTATGAGCCCTATGCCGCCAAATTCTCGGCATTCGTCGTTCCTCTGTTTCTTGAAACTTACGGACAGGTTGATCCCCAAACTCGTAGCAAAATGGCGGAGATGCTTGTCACGTGGCGAACTGGTTCGCCTTCAGGCAAGGAACTTTTCGGCGTTGCAGCCCAGGTTTCCCTCGAGCGCCAAATATGGGGAAACGACCCTTCAACTATTGCTGAGCCTGTACGCCGGACTCGCGTCTCTACTAAGCATTCTCAAGTACTAAAACGGCCATTTTATTCACAGTCAACTCGTCGACATGGCCAAACTGCTCCTCTTACGAAATCGCAGGTTCTTGCCGAACTTGACGTTACTTTGGCTCTGAAAGAACAGGCGACTCATGCCAATCCATATGATACGATGATAGCGAACCAAGTCAATGTTTTGCATCAGGTTCGTTATTTTCTTGCATTTCCCGATGTTTCTTGATCAACTTATTTTTTTCAGCTCCGTCGGATGGTCGAACTAGGAGTTTCTCAAGAGGAACTGCAACAGATTCTTTCTCAACTTCGTGCTATGGGCCGTGACAATGCAGCAGTACCTCCGCCTCCACCTCCCCAACTTGTAGCCCCACCACCTTCTGTATATAACGGACCACCCATTGTACCACCGCCTGCTCAGTATGTTCAACCGTCTGCTCCTTTGGTTCCTCTTAGTACATATCCTGCACCTGCTCCTGTGAGCCAACAGCCAAACATTTCAACAACTCCCGTGCCTAGTGCAGTACCTAATATGTCTGGAATAACAAGTCTTTTTGATTCGCTTGTGAAAGCGGGTCTGGTGAGCTCTAGTAACACCCCTCTCGGAGCAGGTACGAGCACGCAAACTCCTCCACCAGCATCCGAGACGCTGGATGAGGATAAGGCCAAGGTTCAAAAGAAGGCAGAGGACGAACGCTTAGAAGCCCAAAGAAAATATGCTCAGGAGATTCTCAGCATGAATATTCGTTTGACAACGGCAGATATTACAAGGTACGTAGGTTGCATTATTTGAAGATGACGTTTCTCACTTCGTTCATTCCACAGACAACGACCCAAAAATGTCTCAACTTTGTATGAGCGCCTCTCGATTCAATGCAAACAATGTGCTTCTCGTTTTTCTGATGACTCTGCTGGGAAGAAGAATTTGCAAGACCACTTGGACATGCATTTTCGACATAACCGTCGGATGAAGGAAGCATCGGGACGTGGCTTTAGCAGGAGTTGGTTCATTAGTGTGAATGTACGTACTTATCACTAGTTAAAGTGCTTTTTTCTTTCTAACTGCTGTTCTTAGGACTGGATTTCCGAGCCGTTAACAGACGTGAAAGGTAAAGGACGGGAATTGGTATTGGTTGGCAAGAACGCCGATGCCACGAAAGAAGCAGCTGCGAAGCGCGACGCGGAAGTAAGAGCTTCGGTAGTCGTCGTTCCTCCGGGTGATGAAGCAAAGAGCATCAGTTGCCCGGTTTGCAAGGAGGTTTTGAGAAGTGAGTTCAGAGAAGAGGATGAAGAATGGATCTGGCGCAATGCTGTGAGAGTTAAGGATAAGGTATTGATTGTCAACTGTTGACGGGTTTTACGATCGCTCACTATGCTCTATGTACAGATTTTTCATGCAACATGCCAAGCCGAGATGGCTACTTCCACGACTCTTGCCGCTAAGTTACGTGCAGATGAATCCGCAGCGGCAGCCACCGCACGAAGCCGATCCAGAACACCTGAGCGTACCGCACCTTCCACCCCTACCCAGGCTGCCCAGAAAGCAAAGTTAAATCTTCTATCGTTTGACAGGACGCTTGTCGCAGATACATCTTCAGTGGCTGGGGTAAAGCGGAAAGCACATGGCGATTCTCAGGACACTGGGAGCGCAGAGACACTGGTAGGGACTCCACCAACGAAGAAGGTGGTTTTATCTGCAGCATGAAGAGTTTTCACTCGTGCAATTCCGGAAGGGTTGAGTGAGAGCGATATCTGCGTGTGTGTTGGGACAAGTCAGCATGTTTGACTTTACTTGCAATGCGCATTATCTTGGACATCACGGAGCATATCTTAATATTATTATCCTCTTTTTTTAGAGTTCTTCGCTTTTCGCTATTCGCTTTCGTGTCTTGATATTGATTTCTCGGGAGGGACATACATACACTAGCATACATTTTGGTATACGTGCGAGCATCAATGTATTCTGTACTTCTGCAATGAAACGATTTTATTCTTCAGCTCTTTCGTAAAAATGTGTGTATTGTTGGTTTGGCATGTGGTTTGAGACGTTTCGAATGAATTCAACTTTAGTTCCTGTGAGATTTAAGTCTTTCTTCATACGCCCTCCAGCCCTCGTCTCGATAAACTTCTGCGAGCTTCTGAGCAGCAGCGACGTCAACCGAATCGCTCTTCCCGTAAATACCACGACCAACGATAATGACGTCGCAGCCAGCATCCACGACGACTGCTCTGGGAGTCTTGTATTGCTGCCCAAGGCTATCACCACTTGCTTGAAGTCCTACGCCAGGGGTGAGAATTATGAAGTCCTCGTCTTGAGCAACGGTGTCGCCGCTCTGTGGATTAAGACCGATTCCTTCCATTCGACGTTGTGCGATGAATCCGAACACAAAGTTGCGGTTCGCGCGTGCCATGCGGACTGCTTCTTCTGTGTATTCTCCGCGAGCCAGTGAGCCTTTCGTGCTCATTTCTGCGAGGAGGATTAGTCCGCGTCCGAGTGGAAGGCCGACTGATGAGAGCCCGGAGATGATTGAGGGCCCTGGGACGGCGTGAGCGTTTGTGATGTGTGCCCAGGAGGCGATGCGCTGTACTCCGCTGGAATATTGTAGGGTGACAGTATTGCCTCAGAAATAAGATAAATGAGAGTCAGCCTGTTGAACAATGGAGTTGATAGAGAGAGGTGCACACCAATGTCAGCAAATTTCCTGTCTTCGAATATGAGAAAGTCATGCTTTCGGCTAAGCTCTTGAAGCTGCTCTATGAGATCATCATCGAAATCCTCGATAATATCAATATGTGTCTTCATTATTCGAACCAGAAGCGTGAATTAGGGAACGTTGGGAACAACGCATATAGCCAAAAAATAAGCCCGCAAAATATGTAAGAAGCGAGATCAATCAATGTATTTGACCTACGGAGCAAAATATAAATACCTTGATAAGACAAGTATATGGGCCAACAGCATCGATGATACTGAGGAAGTTGGCTTTCTTCGAGACGTCCACACTAACACATAGATTGGACTTTTTGCGCTCGATGGTTTCGAGAAGCGCTTTTGCAGCAGGATTGGAATGGCGGGCTGCGCGTTCACCGTATGTCAATCTGAGTACAGAGGTCATCTATGACTGAATTGCGTGAGGATGACGATGTTTTAGACGGAAGGGCGCTAGGTTAGTGAGGTGTGAGGGAGTCATAGTTTAAAGCAGCAGACGAACCCGCAGTTTTCGGACTGACTGATGATCGGCGCTCAGGGTCCAGTGTGAGTTGAAAATCGAATCCTAGCAGCCCAGTGCTGAGTGTGCAGGAACAGCTGCTTTATTCACTTCTTACTTCTCTCTCGAGTTACCATGTCCACCAGTGGAGAATGCACTATAGACGACGACGGAATCGAGCTTCCTCAGGCGAAAAGACAAAGAATAGATGTCACGGACGAGAAAAGTTCTATTCCAGATGTGATTGCCCAAGAACAACCTATGGACGTTGAGGCGCAGCTTGAACCTGTCACTGTGACGGAGGCTGCCGCAGCTGAGGAGGCAGAAGTATCTGGTACAGCTGTGGTGGAGGCTTTGCTTCCTCCGAGTCGCGCTTTACTCGGTCCACCACCTGCATCTCACACTCAGGGATCGTTTTCCGGGCACACGCTTGAATACGATGTTGGCATTTCTGAATATATATCAAAAGACCTACCTCCTATTCATGCCATCATAAAACAGCGGTGAGTATTTACTGTGTATAGTTGTGCCTGTACCTGCTTAAGGTACGCTGCAGATTCACTGACTTTCTCGTTCATGAAGTCAATTTGGATGGAGAAGTAATCCATATTCAGTCGTTGGAGATGCCTAGCTCCGAAACGAAGAAACAGGTTGAAGCTCCTTCTGAAAAGGACGGAGTGCCTATTCAATCTGCGGACACTCAAGAAGGGTCAACTTCGACTTCAGCGCCTGTTCAACCAGAGGACGATGCTGGTGCTGGCGACTGGGTCCTAGTAGAACCAAAATTGCAAGAACAATCCGAAGCGACTTCAACTCCTCAAGAAGAGGAACTTGAACCTTGGCCCGAGTTGTTCACAACTCGCCTGTCTCCATATCTCTCGGAGTCTCTCATCGCACAACTAAAGCAAATGTATCTGGAAGGACCAGAGCCGCCTTTTAAAAGTGATAGCGGATGGGCTGGTCGCCAGTCCAAGACTACGGAAAATACTGACGCTGGTCCAGCCCAAGAGAATTCCGAAAGAAAGGTGGAAGGTGAGGCAGCACCTTCAAAGAACGAACGAGGGAAAAGAGGAAAAAGAGGAAAAGAACGTGGTGGACAAGGGAGAGGCGGACGTAAAGCTAACAAGCCCGAAGACCCTCGCAAGGTCGTCTCTGACGTGCGCTTAAATCTCCGTACAATGTAAGTTCAAATTCGCTGATCGTATTCTGCCCAGCCTATGGAATCAAAATCCGCTCGAACTGCTCTTCATTCTGTAATCCGTGATCTGTTCGGAGGAAAGCTTGAAAGCTCGACAGACACGAGCAAACAGGACGAAGATGGACGTGTTGTCATAACCTGGGCGAGAAGTGGCCAAGGACGCGACGCAAAGCGAGGTGGTCGTGGTGAGCAGCAAGCCCATGTTTGTACTTATTCATGTACTAATAATATTGATTCGAGATCATGGTCAGAAGCCCACTCGTGGCAACTACCCACCCTACATCCACTTTACTCTTCAAAAAACGAATAGAGATAATCAAGATGCTCTTAATCACCTATCACGGCTTTTACACTGCAGCATCAAAGACCTCTCCGTTGCAGGTACAAAAGACAAGCGTGGGGTTACGGTTCAGCGAGTTGCATTGCGTCGTGGTAACAAAACTGTTGAAGATGTGTGGAAGATGGCGAATGGCTATCCTGGCCGTAGGTCGTTAGAGAAAGCCGTTTCGCAACGAGGTGAACGTGGTGTTCGTGTTGCGGACTTCAAATATGGTAGGGCGGGCTTGGACTTAGGGATGCTGAAGGGCAATACTTTCATCATTACATTGAGGTGGAGAAAGATTAATTCTCTTGGAGAAATGATGCTAAAAACGGCACAGAAATGTACGAGTCGAACCTCTCGATACCTTGGATAAAGCTATGGAGTCTCTCAAGCACAAAGGCTTCATCAACTACTACGGTTTGCATTCCCAGTTTTGCAGTCGATTTAGATTGGCTTAATACTTTAAACAGGTATGCAGCGGTTCGGTACAGCATCTATACCAACACATTCCATCGGGCTTGCATTTCTCCAATGCGACTGGAAAAGAGCGGCGGACTTGATCCTTCGACATAGGCCTGGTGAACATCCCGATGTCGTCGCTGCCCGAGATGCTTGGTTAATCGAGAAGAATCTTGATAAAGCGCTCAGCCTCTTTCCACGTCGTGTAGTGGCGGAACGCTGCATTCTTGAGAGCTTTAAGAAGATGAAGGGTGATACGAGAAATGTCATGGGTGCATTGTCGACGGTATGTTATTTGAGCTTGATTTTCGTTTAGAGCACCGTTTCAACTTATGATTTTTTTCAGATTCCTCGGAACCTCCGACTAATGTATGTGCATGCATATCAATCCTACGTTTGGAACGCTATTGTATCAGAACGTATAAGAATGCACGGCGCAGAGAAACCTGTAGTCGGTGACTTGGTTTATGAACAAGAGGGTGGTAGATTGAAGCTGGATGATAGCACCGAGGATGCGGAAGAGCTTGATTTAGATGAAGAAGGTCCGTACCATTGGCATTTCCCAAAGATCTTTCTGGCTAATAATAGTCGTATTTCTCATATGTTTGTAGGTGCCCCAAACCAATCATCCCGGAAACAAAAACGGCCTTGGGTGCAACCTCAAGTGAAGACTCTATCCGAAGAAGACGTCGACAAATACACAATATTCGATGTTATAATGCCTCTGCCAGGCAAGGACGTTGCATACCCTGGAGGCGCATTAGGTGAACGGTACCGGGAGTTCTTAAAAATGGATGGGCTCGATCCGGATAACTTTAGCAGCAAGCACAAGTACGCGCTTAATTTTCCTGCAACGACTCTCACGCGGGTTTATTAACTGTTGATTTCTTCCCAGGGACTACAACTTGACTGGAGCATACCGGAAAATCATCTTGAAGCCGAAGGACCTGTCGTGGACAGTTTTGAGGTACACGGATCCAGACGTGCCCCTTGCGCAATCTGATGAGGACAAGCTGCTCGGTATGGAGCCGCCCGTAGTAGACGAGAATGGGAAGTTCGTGGCATTGCAAGTGAACTTACAGTTGAGCACGGCAGCTTACGCGACGATGGCTTTGCGCGAGATAACGAAGGCGGAGACGAGCTCGCATTATCAAACAAGCTTGACTCGGGAGTCAGAGGATCAGGCATTCAGGGGAAGAAAGGGCGCAGAAGAGATGGAGACATAGTTGGTGTAGTCAAAAGTATCCCACGAGATTCGCGGGACCGACCTGTTGTAACTGCTGTTGCATACGCATAGACGAAATATGATACACAGATACTGTTCGAGGCGCCCCAAGTGCCGGTGTGAGAAAGCTGAGACTCTCATCAGTGTGAGTGTGCAGCGGATCGAAGTTTGGTTGATGAGCGGCTTGAGAATGCGGTGGCCGCGATTGGCGGTCTGTCGATTAGACACGTAGGCGCGTCTCAGCGTGCACTGCTCACACACCCACATCCCGTCCTATTTAACCGTCGCCTTCATTTACGTTCAAGAACTGGCTCTTGTCGCTACCTTGTCTGTCTGTCATGGCGAAGATTGAGACGATCGTCTTCCTTTCTCTTGTCCTTGATCTCTTCGGTGAGTAATGAGTACAAGCTACACTGTGTCACTTTCGTGTACACTGACAGACATCGGTTGATCTACACAGCCTTCACTATCCCTCTACCTCTGTTTCCACGAATAATCGAGTGGTATACCAAGGTTAGACTACACCCATTATTCACGCCACCGTTAGACGTAGCTTAACGCGCTCGTACAGCGGGAAGCATCCGATCCTAATGGTTTCCTCTCTCGTACCCTCGCCGTCGTATCTGGCTTTCGATCGCTCTTCATAAACACATCGAAAGCCTCACACAAATGGGACGTTGTGCTGCTTGGCGGTTTCATGGGTTCTGTCTTCTCGTGAGTCGCATTCTCTAACTTCTCTTGGCATACGGTGAATCTGAGTCGACCACACTTGTGTTTAGAACATTACAATTCCTTGTTTCGCCCCACATCGGCGCCTTGTCGGATCGATATGGGAGAAAGAAGGTTTTACTGATCACCATGGCGGGAAATATCCTGAGTGCTCTCGTGTACGATTTATATTTCCAACACTTCAACAATTCGTGAACTTACACGCCTGTAACAGCTGGATCCAGTCAACTTCCTTCGCATCATACATGCTCTCTCGTGCTATCGGAGGATTAAGTGAAGGAAATGTTCAACTTGCTATGTAAGTTGTGTCCATATAATTATTTTTAAAATTGAAATAAGCTGAATTGGTGATTTAGCGCTATAATTTCGGACATCACAACGCCAGCTAACCGTGGCAAAGCGCTCGCGCACGTAGGGATTGCATTCGCAATTTGCTTTATTATAGGCCCACCCATCGGCGCGTACTTCGCCTCTCGCCCCATCCCATCTTCTTGGACTGCCGGTGGTTACGAGCTGAACATCTACGCTGTCCCGGCGTTCTTGACTCTCGTACTGCTTAGCGCGGAGACGCTATTTTTAGCACTTGCACTTCCCGAAACTCGTGGGACAGTTATCAAACATGCAGCCGAGAAAGTGGCGAATGGAAAGGCAAATGGGCACAGTAACGGATCTGCTACTACTACGAATGGACATGCTAAGATTTCTCGTGAGGAAGACGTTGGAAGGAGGTTGAGTTTGTTGAAGACGCTGAAGCACACACATTTCCTTTTCCTTGGGCTGTTCTCTGGTGTCGAGTTTACGCTGACGTTCCTCACGTTCGATCGTACGTGCAATTAACATTTAATCTGCTCTTCAGAATGCTGACAACGTTCTCCTAGTGTTCGACTGGACCAACTCGCAAAACGGCATGCTAATCGGATTCATTGGGGTCATCAGCGCCCTCCTCCAAGGTGGCTACGTCCGACGCTCAATGTCCAAGACAGGAGAAGGCAGAATGGCGCGAAATGGCGTCTCCAGCTGTGCACTTGGCCTCGTCCTCCTCGCGCTCGTCCCACAATTCGTCGGATCTCGTACAGCCGTCGCTGTGCGCTTACTCCAAGCGGCGGCTGTTTGTCTAGCTTTCACGAGCGCGACAGTCGTCAATGCACTTACTGCTTATGCTTCTTTGCAATGCGACGAAGCTGTCGACCCGGATACTGGCAAACCGCTTACGGCGCATCCTGAATTGGCGAAAGGAAAGGCCCTTGGTCAGTTTAGGTCTTCGGGACAGCTTGGGAGGGCTATTGGTCCGTTACTCGGTACGCAAAATTCTCCTTCGCCCCCTTTTGTTCACTGGATATTGACTTTGTTTGTTTTGTACGTAGCATGTGCATCATACTGGACCGTAGGACCATCTCTCACTTATGCAGTCGCTGGAGCAGCGATGTTCATGTTATCCTCAAGAATGAAATCCATTGCCGTGAAGCCTCAAAAGACTTCTTGATGCATTCATTCCCACCACCTACCTATGTAGACACGTACGAATCATATATACATATATTTAATTTTGTAAATCACTTTTGGAAAATATTTATTCACATCCCCAGCTTTCGTCTTTCTTTCCTTTATGTCGCGAAAATGATTTTGTTTAAATTGCAATAAGTTTATCGAAGTTAACTGCCACTCGCCGTCCTAAATTTTTACTCATCTAAAATCTATGGACGCTACAAATAAACTACACGACAAGAGCACCAAGTCTGGCAGATGGAAAGGGAGCGACGAAACAAAATAAAGTGGTGGTATTCCATTAAACTTGAAATACTTGCTTTTAATGTTTTACTTCCGCGTGAAGGATGGACAGTAATTGGCTACTAGGTGAAGTCGAATATCAAGAGGGAAGAGATAATTGTCTCTCTATTTAGAAAGTACTTGTGCTGCGAGGGAATTAAGGAGCTTGCTATGCGAATTAGAAAGAAAAAGGAAGAAGGGTAGAATGCAACGAAAAAGGGTATCAGACGAAAGGGAGAGGAAGGAAGAACAGCAGTCCAACTGTGCCAGAATAATCTCAAGTTCGAAATGAATGACCTGTCTGACATGATGTGCGAGTTGGGAAAGAACAAGGAGTAGGGAGTAGGGGGCAGCAGCAATCTTCGGTAATATCCATGAACAAAAAGGAAATACTGTGTGGTATTTTATTTCTTCAACGCGCCTCCCATGAATCCCAGGTCCCATCTGTACTCCGCGGTCGACGAGCCGCTGCATTCGCGGTATCACTCGTCGCGGCGTGGTAGGATGGTGGCGCGCCGCCCGAGGCGCCAGGGGTGGGAGGCCTCGAAAAAACCTGCGACGAGCCATCTGCATTGGCTTGTGCTTGCAGGCCTGAAGAGGCACCATATACAGTAGCGTCCTCTAAATCATCGTCTGCATATGCATGCTTCTCGGGCACACGCGCGTTGGTCGTCCTTGGGCGGGAACCTGACGCTGACAAAGATCGTGTGTTGCTCGGCCGCCGAGATCCCTGCTCGGGGACCGGTACAGCGCCAGGTGTGAAAATGGCGGGAAGGAAGAAGAGGTACCCACGAGCGGGCCAAATCCGTCGGGCCGTCTGGCGCCCGCGCGGTCGATCATAACCTCCAGTAATTGTAGTCATCACCCGAACCCTATATCGAGACAGTACACCGACGATTCCGGTTCGGCGATCGACGGAAGCATCTGATGATGCGAATGGAGATGGCGGTCGCATGTCAAACGGTAAGGGAAGCATTGGGACGTTCTCGCCTTCCGAATCCGGAGAAGGCGAAGGTGAGCGGGAAGACGTAGGCGAGCTGTTGGGTAATACTCGTGAAGTCAAGGTGAACAGACCCAGGTCGACGTTCCAACGCCCATTGCGCTGATGTGCCCAGGGTAACATGATCTGGTAACCGTCCGATCTCTTGCTGCTCTTTCGCCAGTACAGGTTAATCAAACCAGCGATCAACAGGATTAAACCAATCCACATGAGGCCTTTGCCCCAAGTACCCAAAAAGCCGATGAATGCTGCATCATCCGCATGCCAGCTGCTGCCATAGAAGTGGAGGAAGAACGAATGCGGAACGTCCTCGACTTTAGCGTTCTTGCCGTACAGTGCTTTTGGCAGGACTCGGACTTCTCCGCCTGGCATATCTGGGGTGGGAAAGTGCGATGAAGTCCAAATACCATATTGTGCAGACAGGAACATGGGGCCGGTTGAGAACATTACCGTTGGGTAATTCAGTATCCAGTTGTGATCGAACGTGACCAGGTTATGAATAGTCTGCGCCATGAATGGGTGATGTTTCTCAGCAAACATGAGATCATTGGAGACGCCGACAGGAATAGTCCTGGGCAAGATAACAGGATAAACAAGGAGCCTATCGAGACGGCGACGGCATCCTACGTCTAGGTCGAGGTATACTCCTCCATAGAAGTGGAGCACGAAATAACGGATAGCGTCCGCGCGCTGAATTGGGTAAGGATACGCGTCAAAAGTATCCAAAAACCAGGGATACTCCTTCGCGATGAATTCGCGTGAGTCGGCGTCTGTCCACAACTTATAATCACTGTCAAGTCAGGATAACACGGTCAGCCCATGTCTCGCGTCGCGTCGTGAGAGGAGTGGAACAAAGTCCCCAACGCAAAGCAATAATACAGCCGATGCGCAGACATCCAGTATCCAACAACCAGAGAAGAAAAATGTTGCAAGATAGCTGTACCAAGGCGGGGGAACGAATAATGAACACGCAAAAACTCACTAGTCAGGCATCATTGCTCTGCACTCTTCCGAGATGCTCTTCCAACGGTCGGGTAGTGTCTCTGATTTCCACGTCTGGTGAATAATTCTGGGAATGCGCTCGGTTTTGCCAAGAGCAGTCGCATTCCATGTCGCATCTTCTTCAATAGGACCGATCTCTTCTTCGGTGAGGTATGCCGCAGGGTCTATAGAAAGATAGATGGAGATGGAAGAGAGAACAACGACAGTTCCAATGAGAAAGAGAGCTAGAATAAATAGGAATATTTGCAGAGAGCGACGACGAGAAGCCATGGTGAGGGTCGCCGTGGAAGGAAGAGAGAGGGAGAGTAGAGAAGGGAAGGGAAGTGGCTTGGGGGAGCGCAATGGAGACGCTCACAGCCCCGTTCGTTCAATCAAGGCGACCAACCGGTGTTCAGAGTTTGCTGAGCGCACCTTCCCACGCTCTCGCCCCGTACAGGCGCAAAGCAAAAGCAGTGCCACAGCTATAATTACAATTACTGTATATACATATCCGCTCTAATAGATACAATAAATACTGCTAGAATCCACCGGTTCCAGTGGGCCGCATGGGCGTCTCGAATACAAGTGCCAACTGAGGCATCAGCTGCGCCAGTGAATTCAGAATCGCGTCGTCCATGTACGCCCGTCCCAACACTCCCAGCTTTTCCAGGCACGAAACCCAATCTGCACGAGACCAATGCTGTCCGCTGCGGCCCCTCGGATCGTACTTGTGAGTGAAGAAATTTATCATGCGCGAGTAATCGCTCGTCAGCTCCTTGACATCCGCAGCCGAGGCAGTTCGGGGTACACGCCGCGCATTGCATAAGTATTCAAGAATCTCGTTCGCCTTCCAATCCTTCGCAGGTTTACATGAACTAGATGATGCATAAATCGAAGATGCTGCCCCAGACTTCGAGGGTGCTTGTGTGAATAAACTCGCAGGTGCAACACGCTGCAGCAGCTCAGAAAGAAGAATCCCAAAATGTCCTATCACTTGGTCGTGAAGATCGTCCAGAAGGTGCTGTGGTGGAGGATCCTTCAGAATGAAGTCGTCGTCGTCAACCTCCATGCCGTCATCTTCGTGTGTGATGGTTTTCGTCACCTCTGGCACTCCTAATTCATCATCGAGAGCCTCGCGTACACGTCTAGGACGAAACGTTTCCTTGTAATCGGAGAATTCATTTAAGAATGGATAGTCATTTCCGAAGAGGTATCGGGCCAGGGATCTACTGGACCAACGAGTGAGAGTCTTTGGGTTCAGAGTCAAAATGCCTGAATTGAAAGTTCAATAGACATGCGGGTGAAGCCTGCATCTAGCTAACCTTGGGACTCTGCATTAGTGCACAAGTTGTTATCCTGGCTAATCGCAAGTACATTGTGGTGTTGCTTCTCCCGAAGAAATAAGCAACAGTCAACTATTAGATCATCGTTACAAGTGCCCTTAGGTAACAACTATAAGTCAATGCAGCCCATGGCGCTAAAAAGGTGACCGAACCTACAGGATCTCTTCTCTTCCAAGAACCAGACTTCTGCATTGTTTGCTTATATGCCTGGCCTTTGACACTCCGACGCTCTTTTAGCTTCGAAAGAATCCACGTTGAAGCCATCCGCGCCGTCCAGCATAGCTGCCGGCTCTTGTCGTTCTTCTGACTTAAAGCATTCAACCACAGGAACGAGACAACTGAAATAGTGAAACCGAGGACTTACTAGTCCAGTTCCTCAACTACGATGCCCGGAATGATAATAGATATGGGAAAATGCACTCGATCTACGTCACCGGCGAATTGCTGAAGCACATCAAGGTACCGAAGCAGAACATTTGTATCTACGACAAGGTCTATTTGACCTAAAGACACAGAGTCCTTAACGCCACTTGAAGCCTACTAGTGTCAAGCGCATCGTTAAGATCGGTGTCATCGCATCATCTAGTCAATCTTAATACATGAGTCCTTTACCTCGCTGTCAATATCCATTCTATTCACTTCCTCATCGATCAGCCGCAGAGCAGGATCAGACCATCCTGAGAAGTTCTGTGGCTGAGGCAACACTGTTTTTGAGGATGATGGCTCGCGCAACGCATCATCAGGTACATCGATCTTCCCTGAAGCATGAATGCTCTTTGTTCCTTGGGACGGAGCCCAACGAGATTGTCTGAGCATAGTCACTGTTGATGTTTAATGAGAAGCCATGTTGACGCGTGCTTTTGTCGCGTCGCGACGTGTCTTCAAAGTTCACACTTCCGCTTAAATCAATGCTTACCCAACTCGGCAAATGACAATTAACGCCCACTTGCGCACACTAAACGTCTGGGATGTGCAAAAAATTCAAATCTATTGTACTTCTACACTTTGCAAGTGAGTATCTACAGAATAAACAATAGTACGAGCGCTACAGCAAAATACAAATAAACTACTGAGAGCGCCAATTGGTAATTCTACTCTTCTCCGGGGTTTTTGTATCGTCTCAGTGCTCTGTCTCTTGCTGTCTTGTGATTCACAAAAGGCTTCGGATATCCATGCTTCGAAGCGCTTTCTGTAGAAGGTTCATGGATAGCTATAGAATGTGTTACGTTCGGATGCGTATAGAATATGGGCCAGTACAGACCTTTTCCTGTGAGCTTGCGGAGTTCTGGCACGTAATGTCGTATGTAATTTCCTGATGGGTCCGCCTATGAAACATGTCTGTCTCAGCATTCTTTTTCTGATGTATTAACGGGCCGTTGCCTTACTTTTTCGCTTTGTGACACTGGATTGAAGATACGGAAGTACGGTTGAGGGTCCGTGCCAGTACTTGCACTCCACTGCCAACCACCGTTATTGGATGCCAAGTCTCCGTCAATGAGATTCTCCATGAAATACTTGAAAAAGTAAACCCGTCAGGTCAAATTGATTCCTAAGCCGAAAAAAACCTACCTTTTCTCCCAGTCTCCAGTCTAGCATAAGGTCCTTCGTCAGGTACATTGCGACAATCATGCGACACCGATTATGCATCCATCCTAAGGCGTATTATCAAGTTTAGCAATTTCAAAGTGTGAGGAACTAGATGGTCTTACCAAACTCGTTCAATTGCCTCATGCCCTTCGAAACAATAGGTTTCCAACTTCAGTCTTTCATATACAAAGCGAAACCAGTACTCACTGCATCGACAATCGGAACACCAGTTTTCCCATCTTTCCATGCCTGTAAATGTTCTTCGTTGGTCTCCCATTTGACGTCTGCATATTTCTCAAGATAAGACCTCCCCATCGAAACTATCACAGTTCTTAGTTATCAAGAGACATGCTCCGAATTCATTTGGAAACAAACCTCTCGGAAAGGCGACCATGACGTGATTGTAAAAGTCCCTCCAAGCTGCAGAATTCAGCATAAATTATGACAATTACCAAGTCACTCTCACCTATTTCTTGTACCCACATGCCTACGCCATTTCCTCTATTAGCTTCAATGTTTTTGCAATTCAAGAATTTCATCGTCGCGCGAATACAAGCACGAGCAGAAATTACGCCAGAAGCGAGATAAGGACTTTCAGAAATGCGTCAGAACTTCACTTTCGCGCAGTAATCGCGGACGAACATGCCTTAAACGAGATGTAGTATCCATGTCGGTAAGGTTCCTTCCTGTGCTATATTCTTGTATTCGGCTGCTTTTGTTCGATTCTTCCGCGCCGTCCGAGAGAGGGGATGTTTCTCCTATCTGACTAGAGCGAGCTTTCGTGTGCAAGAAACGATCTAACATCTTTACTCCTCTGTCAGCATTGTGTCGCGTGTAAGGAGACTACTGTACCTGAAGTGCCACCTTAGTTCCACCAGGCCAGTATTCAGCCATCTTGTCCTTGTCTGCGCATTCAAAGCGGTCAACGAACTCAGGAACCTTTGATTCAAACAATCCCGAAAAACGTCCAGACGACCGAATTGCTTTGTCGTTTGCTTTCGGCATCGGAGCTTCTTCGATCCACTCCAAGCTTTCATTGAGAGTGGTAACCCAGTTCCTCTGCCACGGCGAGTATACCTAGCACGCCAATGGGGACCGCATAATGAAGACCAAATTGAAGGTACTCACAGTATATGCCCTTCCATTCTTAGTCTTCAGGATTCCAGGATTGACAACCAATTTATCTTGTATGAAATCGCATTTTATATTAGCTTTCTTGCCGGCTGCATGGATCTTAATATCTCGTCTCAGCTCATCGACTTCATATGATATATTTGCGAAAAGTTGTGTCGCTCCCCAGTCCTCTAGCAAAGAAATAACCCTTGAAGGAATAGAGTGGCGCGGCTCTACAGTAACGATGTACAATGGAATATGCAACTTATCCAGGTCGTCCTAGAGATCACGGAAAGCTATGTCACTAACACCTTAACATTTCAGGCAGTCGCGACACACTGTACCTGGATGACTTTAACATTTCGAAGCATAAAGTCGATGCGTCTTGGACCCCGATCATGAGCTTCATAGTCCTGAGGACTAATGACGAAAAGGACGAGCAAAGGAATATTATGACTTTGTGCTTGTTCCGACGCAAGACTCAGAGCACGGTTGTCGACAACTGAGAAAGCATTCGGTAATAGGGTTACATCGCGTAGGAGCCTACGTACCTCGCAAATCTTCCATTCTCAACCAGTAAACAACTGATTCACCTTTCTTCACATTTTCAAGACCATTCTGCATTGCATCAAGCAGAATCCGCAAGGGAGGGTTCTCGTCAACCGCGGCAGCATTCTCGGCGGTGGCTACCTTGTTGTAAAGAGGCCTTGCTTGTACTCTTGCTTTCTTCAAATTTCCGAGTCTATGACCGTCCACTATTCCGTCGCGATCCTCGGAATGGGCTCGTTTTGACATTTGAGCAGAAGATGTGCGGACACAGGAGAGATAAGATGAACGTAGAGCAGAACAGCGGACTACAGGTCTGAGTCGAGGAAGCATAAGACAAATTGGTTCGATTTCCATACAAACCGTGACATAAGGCTGCCCGTCCGATTCCAACGTCATCGCTGAGTCGATCGTCTCCCAACAATCGACCAGTCGTCCGTGAGAGATCGGTCAGTCTGAATCCGAATCCTCTTCCCCGCTCCGCCCTCGTATCCTACTCGACGATGCACTGTACATCGATCTTAGAGGCGTTGATGATGGGTTCGGCTTGTCAACGACGCCTGCGAAACCATCAATCTCAAGCAGACCGATACGAAATGAGAGAACCTTACCCGACGTTTGCAATCGCAACTCCAGAGCGGCCGTCTCGAATCCATCCGAGTTTCCAATTTCCTCAAACCCAATTAAACTATATCGTCACGAGCGTCAGTCGGAACGAGACAGCACGATCAGGAAAGTTGCCGCACCGGTCTTTAGTTACACCGTCGATAAAAGAAATCACACAAGGAAGAACCTTGATTTGCAACCTTTCTACCAGCCATGGTACATTCTCAACGAACACCTTGAGAAAACGGGTTGCAAAATAGTTAGGGGCAAGGATCTGTGGAAGTGGTTAAATTCTTGCATGCTTGTAACACATAGCTGTCCGATGTTCACCTCCAAATGTTTGTTCATTATTGCACATCGGTTGAAATCGCGGTGATAGAAATGGATAACACATCGTTTCTCGGAGCTTCAATCACCATATGCTCAAGGCATGCAAAGTTCGTAGAAGAAATACTCACGTACTGATACTAATTACTTGCTTCTCATCCGTTATTTCCTCAACTCTTCCGTGTCCTTCTTGCCGCATATCCTTTACCATATTCATTCTTGATTTAATGAGAAATGGAGACGAAAGTCGAAAATTTGACGACATACTCCCGCTTTAGCTCCTCCAAACGCCGCTCTCTGAATGCAGTCATGTCAAAGTCGTCGTCTATGTCCTTTTCGAGGTCCGAGAGGATCTCGTCGTCGCTTGCACTCGCACCTTCGTGTTGTTTATTTGCTGCAGTGGAGTGTGAAGAAAGGGTTGCAATGAGCTTGCCAGAGTCTTCCATTGTACAGTAGATATAAAAATCGGGCGAGAGGCACAGAAATGCGACTCGTTGCAAGGAGCGTGTCTGGAGAAGAAACACGAGGAAGACACAACAAGTGAGAACTAAATTTATCCGCTCGGCGTGTTTGGGATTTGTTTATTTCAGAAGCCGATGGGGCGTATGACGTAATCGACCATACTCTTCCAAACTCCATGTTCAATCTAGACACTCAACTAACCGATCGAATTAGAGGAGGCAAGAAATCATGAAACAAATAGGAAGATACATTGACAAAGATCGATCTGTGTGTTTGGGATTTCCTTCCTTACAATGTCTGGCAGTGTCTGAAGATTGTCAAGGGTTACATTACTCTCCGGCCTGAGGAGGATGAGGACATGTGGCATCTCTACAACCTCATACAAGAAGTCAGAAGTCTCCTCTCTCAAATTCTTTCCAGTCTTATGCGCAACTAGGGTGATGAAGTCCGTGCGCCTGCCATACGGTAAATTGTCCTTCAGTTGGATGTCTTAGTTTGATACAATTGACCAATTTTCTTATCTAGGCGTGTACAGACAGAAACGGCAACAGGATCTACTAGTTCGCACCGGGTAAAAACAACATTGACGCTATCCGTGCAGAAGATGCACTTCTCTGCGGCGGTCTCGTCGTCTACTAACAATGCATCTGGTGGATCCGAAACTGCATCTCCTTCACAGGGAGCTTCGCTTTCCATAACTGGGCAAGTCACACAGGAGAATCCTTTCGTCAAAATGGGTGCATACCACACCCTTGACCTCGAAGTCAACAGAGACGTGCGTATTGTGAAGACTGAATGGGACAGTGTTGCCTTATCAAGGGCTGCGGAAGCGTGTGACGAGGGAAAGGGCGCTGAGGTAGGCGCGATTGTATGTGGTGAAGGCAAGTATGGCGGATATTTCGAATGCTGTTTATTAACTTCGTTCACAGGCACCGCGGCTGTTTGTCTGTTGTCTGAGCATATGACCGTGATTCGCCAGCGAGTTGAAGTGCCCGTTCCTCGTAAACGGACGGGATCGACAACTCTTCATGATAAGGGTCTTACTCGCTTTTACGAGACGTTATATCAATCTTTCCTACGACATATCCCTTATTCGTCGCTTCGTGCGGTCGTAATTGCCAGTCCGGGCTTCGTCAAAGACGCTGTTTATGACTATATATTCGCAGAAGCAATCAAAGCAAACAACAAGGCTTTACTGCAGTCAAAGAACAAGTTCCTAAGGGTCCATGTCAGTAGTCCGCACGTCCACAGTTTAATGGAAGTAATGAAAAGTCCCGAGGCGAGTCCACCTCTTCGCTTTCTTGACTAATTCATTTATCTTCCAATGGACTGCCAAATTTTTAGGTCATTAGCCAGCTAAAGGAGACGAAATTTGCACGAGAGGGGATAATGCTCGATAAGTACGGTTTGAACTAAGATTACGCAATCTGCAATATCGACTCGACGATCGATGGTCAACCTTGTTTATAGATTTCATAAAATGCTAGGCAGCGATGAAATGCGGGCGTGGTATGGTCCTGATCATGTGGCTCTTGCCGCAGACAGAGGGGCCATTGGCACACTACTTATCTCCGATGAGCTATTCCGGTGAGTTTTTCCTACCTAGAAAGCCCGTCTCCTTTCTTAATGAAGTCACAATTTCACCCTAGTGCAAGCGACCCCGTGTTGCGCAAGAAGTATGTCGAACTCGTGGAAAACGTGCGGCAGAAAGGCGCGGAAGTCCTAATTTTTTCAAGTATGCATGAATCGGGACAACGTGAGTACCACGACATCGCTGTCATGCTTGGATCCCCCTCTCTTCCTTGCATTCATCTCCAGCTAATAATCATCTCCATCTGCTGTGAACTTTACTCGCAAATCTATCATTTCCTGCAGAATTGAACCAGTTGACTGGGATTGCGGCTATCTTAACGTTTCCCCTTGATGTCGAAATCGTGGAGGCGGAAGAACGGGCCGAAAAGGAAGAAGCAGAAGGACAAACCACAGAACAAAGGGAAGAAGGGGAAACGCAAAGCTAAATGTATCAAAGATCTAAGCCTCACACACACACTGCGAGGGGACATGCCCTGTTTCCATAATGTATCCAATTCAATACAGGATTGCTACTACGGGACTTATCTGATTGACGAATATTCCCTTCTGGGACATTCATGGGGACGAAGCAGACTCTATCAGTGTTCTCGCTCCATCCAACTTCCATGAAACCGGGGGTACACGCGACTTTCATGCAGAAGACCTTCATATACGTGAAAGAACAGTGAGGAAGCACAAGTTATACAGCCGACCTATTGCGGAGAGAAGACATAGAGCACACGCATCCCACACCTTATTCGCGTTGGTTATTCGCCACTTGACTATATCCAGGTACATGTGGCTGTAGGTGGACACATCGTACTTAGCGGACTTCACATCTTACGGACCGGGTGAATAACAATGGACCTATTATTTCATCCATGACTATTGAGACTACCTTTTGAGTAGTGAGCTGTCCAAAGTTGAGAAGGTAGAAATGGAGTCGGGCTACGAGTCATCTGTGGTACAACATCGAATACTTGGATACTCTGCGAAGTAGTCTAGTCACAGCAGGGCTGAAGAAAATAGCGATAGTAATTGTTAGGGCTATAAAGACGGTCCGTGTCTTGTTAAATACGTTAACGCTCTTCCACGCAAGGAACCTGTTCCCTCCGCAAGGACAAATATACACCAACCCAGAAGCGACGACACTTAGCCTGAGAAATGAAAAAATAAAGAGACCGAAAACAAGAAGGAAAAAAAGCATCAACACGTAAAAACAACAGTAACTCGACAACATGCAAGGAAGCGAGAAATGAGTGAAGCGACGTCAACGTCGCTGCATTGTACGCGCTTATGACTGTGCTTTCCCATTTGTCGCGGGCGTCGTCCCTGCGGCCGGATTGTAGGAATTGTGTGAAGACCCTGGACGAGATAACGGCTGTTGTGGCGGTAGGGGATGTGGAGGCGGGGGTTGAGGGGCAGGTGGTCCATAGTGGGTGCCAGGTGGCGGATACATGACCGGGTGTGGGGCCGCTGGGTGATGCCCGTATGGCACTCCATGGCGCACCGTCTCCATTTCGTGTCGTAGCAGGTCAATTTCTCGGCTCATGTCGTTCTGCGACTGCTTCAGTTGCTGAATATAGTCAATTGCTATAGTGCCACATCATCAGTGTCATATGTCGCATGAAGCAATGAATAGAACAAAGAACCCTACCTTTGCTCAGAATCTCCCATTTGCTGGCTTTCATGCCGCGGTCAGCTGGTAGTTGGTCTCGCAATTCGTCGAAGAGATCTCGCATCTCCTTCCTCCGCTTCCTCTCGGCAAGCTTGTGAGATACTCGGAGCTCTGGCGAGCGAGAATACGGTGTGGGGTGATTAGACTCCTTGCCGGATGATGCATGGTTCTGCGATGCGGAACCAGCAGAGATTGGTGACTCTTCAGGTCTGCCACTTGTAGGAGAGACTCCAGGGCTTGTGGGAGTAGCATCAGCTGTTCGAGAAGCGGCACCAGCGGTGCGGGACGGAGGGCGCGAGCGGGAGAGACGTGCACGGTCAGATCGGCCCGATGAGTTCAAAGTCATAGTGTCTGGGGCGGACATTCGTCGTTCAGCTGGCATGTTGTTGTTGGAGGGGACAACGGAGTGAGGTGGAACTGGGGCTTCGAACTGTCTGTTAAGGTTGGGATCCAAGGGAGATGCTACTTGCACGCCTTGAGGTGCGGATGCGTCGTTAGAACCCGCGTTCGAGTTCGAAGGCCACGCGAAAGCAGACATGCTGCTGGGTTGCCTACCATGCATATCGCCGGCGAAGCCCGGCGAGTTGAAACTCGGGCTACTGCCCATAGATGTCCCAGAGAACATCGATGAAGTCGAGTCTCGTCTGTCGTTAGACCACCACGCGGATGTAGGCGTTCCAGTACTACTCATACGTGAATCTAGCGAGTCTCTGCGATCATACAGGCTCATCTGAGCTATTCTTTGTGTATCAAAAGCAGAGTTCCGTCGTTTAGGTGCGGGTTCATCTGGATCGACTTCTGCACCACTATGGATGCCTGGACCAGCAAGTTTTGGATCGGTTTCTTCGCCGACTACCGGCAACTGGGCTCTATCGATAGACATCTTTCGCTTCGCACCAGTCTGTGAGGGAGAGGCTACACCGCCACGTGGATGTCCCATTCCTAGTTGAGTCCCTCCTGGGACAGAATGACGACGCATATTGTAGTCGAAATGAGGAGGTAATCTTTGATCTTCGTTAGGCATCGCATCTCTACGATTCCCACTAGAATCCATATCCATCTCGTCCCTTGAATAATTACCTGCCGAGTAAATGCTGAGATCAGCATACAACGCTCATATGTCGTGCAAAACACAAAATCAAATTCTAAACTCACTATGCTGGCTATTGCTCGTTCGAGATTTGTCTTTCATAGCGATATGAGCTTTATTGCGGCTGATTAGACTCACTGGCAACTTACCGCGTTTCCCACGCTCTTTTGTGTCGTTAGATAGTTGAAGTCGGCCCGATGGTTTCGACGATGCTGAAGGCTGATTCGATGCCTCGCCAAAGATATACGGGGACGTCGGGCGGGTAGATAGCGGAGGAGGTGCGTTTCTTGAGCGCGATTCCGACTGTTGCGCGGATGGATGCACTGGAGACAAGAGCCGATTGTGCTGTCGGAACGGGGAGGAGGACGAGCTGCCACTGTTAGATGCTGTCGGGCCGACGTGAAGAGACGGATCTGTGAGCGAGCCTCTGCGCTGAGACTGGAGAAACTCGAGCGGTGCAAGAGGAGGAGCAGGAGAATGACGGCGAGACGATATTTCGCCCGAAGGGTCCATAGGGTGGTCCATGGCTTCGGCGCCGGCTATAAGCACTCGAAACCCTGAGCAGTCGATCAGGCAGTCTGGCAAAAAGCCTTGTCTCTTGCGTCGACGAAGCCGACGAGAGTGTCGGTGGAGGGATGCGGCGGCCGGTACGGGGAGAAACAAACAGTGTTCGGGCGTCGAGCCGCGGCAGGCGCTCAATCTCAGTGCGCTTTCAAAGGATATATTAAAAGCTCTCCTCCCGGCAACCAAGCCGGACTTGTCTCGATTTAGCCACCGCAGAATTCAAATCTGCATGCAAGTATACTACGTTGACCCGTAAATAATTACTATCGCTTGCCCCTTGCTTAATGCAGGTACACAGCTATTTGCACACTTCATCATCAGCCTCGCTTGCTCTCTCTTCTCAACACGTGCATTTGTAAGTCTTGAACTCTCCTTCCCCTCCGCCTGTCACCCCGCCAGGGCACACGAGTGCCAATCCCTCCTCTGCTCTTCCTCCAGATTGAAATACCGTTGGTACTGCGTGCGTTGGCTATTTCGTGTAATCCGTCCAACGCGCATCCCTACCCGCATCTCGGACTCTTTCAAAGCTGCCGCCTCGAGCTCCATATCAGTCCGATCAATCGTCCGCACCCACGGCTCGTAATCTAGGATCAGCGCGCCCACACGCTCTTTTGAGGCTGCGGGGACGATCCTATCCAGGACGCCGGACACGCGCTCGAAATGTCGAGGGTGGTCGAGAAGTTCCATCGTCGGCCACTTGGATCGCCCCTCGGTCCGAACGCCCATGATGTCTTCGGTCCCGAGCCAGGGCGCGTCACTTTTCAGCAAATCTTGAGCATACAACGCAGCTTCGGCCGCGATTGCCTCATCATAATTATACTGGACTATTCCGCCCTGTAGGTGTTGCATACTAGGTTCGTATCCAAGGGATCGATAACCAACTTCTTCGTCGGAAGAAGTACTTGTTACTAGATTGTACAACTGAAGTATGTATTGAGAATTGATGTCCATTTGGATCCATGAGTTAAACGTCTCTGCTTACCTCTAAACAAGCCGAAGGGCTTCGACTGAGGCTACTATCAATCATGGATACAGTGTCGCAAAGCTGCCATACTCTTGCAATTTGTTGTGCGCTTCTTATCTGCCTGTCGTCTTGCCCGTCACATGCTGTCTCGGCGTCCGATCGGATGGGATGAAGCCAGTCCGAAGTCCAGAGCTTACTCAGATTGTCACTGGACGCCTGAGCAGAATAGTCATACTCTTTATCCGACGCTTCGGTGATGTTACTGGTCGTGGACTTGACTTCTTCAAATCCTGAACTGCCTTGACACAGAAATTGTAAAGAGTTAATTGCGTGGCGAAGATCCGGAGTGGGAAGCGGGACAACTGAAGACCGCGCGAACTCATCACTCGTGTCAAGCGCGTCAGTCGGACAACCACTTTTGTATAGCGTCTCTATGTGCGTCTGTGAGATCGTGTAGCCTTCGGTGAGAGCCATGCATCGCAAATAGGAAACCGCAAGATCGGGAGGGCAAGGGTTGAATATCAGCGTTGATTGTAAGGGTAAACTACTAGAGGGGACAAGGTTTGGGTCTGGAAACGTCAATATTAACTCCGATGCACAACATACGACGAGTCGCCATAGACATTACCGTTGCACGTTAGGATAACTGGCCGTCGTGATTCCCTAATGAGAGCAACGACCGTGGGCCAAAAGCTGACATCCTCGCCGAATAAGATGTCGACCTCTTCGAGTAAAATGATAGATTGCTGGGCACCAGTTTCTTTGGGATTTGTAATTTCAATTGGACTTGATGTGCGGTCATTTCCGGCGGAAGTGTCTAAGCTAGTCGTGGCTTCTGTTACCTTCGGAGCTCCAATAGACGGCCCACTCTCTCTCACCAAAGAGAAGGTCTGTTCGGGACCCGCGTGTTCTTGAGTGGTCGCACGTGGAAGGGTCTGGCGGTTTGGCCTGAAGAAAGGAGCAATGCCCTGGGAGGTTGCTTTCTGCGCCTTGAGTTTGACCTCCGCGGATGTCTGCTTCGCTATGTTTGGATTGCAACCCTCCTTCTCCCGCGTACTCGCTAACGCACGCGAAGAACGGCTCACAATGTGATTTTTGCCCACATCGCCGACCAGGCTAAGTAGGGAGGTGCCGTTCCTCTTCCCGATGCCTGGATAAACTTCGAAGATTTCCCACCCAAGCTCCTCGGCGCACGCGTACACAGCAGCTGTTTTGCCGGACCCAGATGGGCCAGTTAATAAAATTGTGTTCGTGAGACGATCTGAGAAGTCGTGACCAGGTACAGGCTCCGGATGAGGAGCGGCCTTAACATTCGAATGGGCATTTGACCGGTCATTATCAGGAGGAGGATGGCGCGTTAGTCGTGTAAGCTTCGGTCGCCAAGGGCTCGTAGGTCCGCCGCCGACAGAGCGTTCCTCATCCACATACTCCACCTCGGGAAATGGAGATAGAATTTCTTCCCCCTCGTTATCACTGGCGATCCAGTCATCAAGGCTCTCCTCGTCTGAATCAATCCTTCTTCGTTTTCGTGGCTTGTCGACGACACGGATGACAGAAGGCCTCTTGGTGTTGTGCGAATTTGCTTCAGTGACTCCCGCATTGCTACTAGGTACAACGCCGCCGTCCGTCGGCGGATCTTGGTCGATTGTTTTTATCGCCAGCGCAAGTAGCCAATCTCTAAGGTATCTTGACGAAGCTTCGTTCCCAATTACTTCATCAGCAGACCTCGGATGCCATCTCTCATTCCAAGAAGAACCTGAAATATCATAACCGGCTGATAATAGTCGCGAAATAGCTGGACAAGTTGCTTGTGATTGGAGGATGTTTTCGCATTGCACGTGTCCATCCGGTTGAGAGCCAATGGGCTCGACGAGGTACCTCGGTTCGTGATTAGAATAGGAAGTATCATCTATGTGAAGGAACTCGAGTGTATCCGTAAGTGATGTAGGTTGATCTTCTAGACACGAGTTAGGACGTGACCGTATAAATCTGAGTGGCGTGCAAGGGAAGGAGCGCTGAGCCCCGCGGAGGTGTTGACTATCTTTGTCAGGCCATGTCGCCGTATCTCCTTCGCCCACCTTTTTTCGGCGCATTGAAGAAGAACGAAAAGGGTTAGGTTTGCGTGGGGCAAAGAAACCATTTGACATTTCTCCGCGAACAGATCTGCTTGACTTTATGGGAGAAAGTGGCTCCGATGCTGGGGACTCCCATGTATCCCTCACAGGGGACGAGTCAATGAGTATAGGTATTTCTTGGCTCCCAGCAACAATGCTACTCAGAGGTTGCTTCGTAGTTTTATTGCTAGTCGTACGTCCACCGGCTGGTAGAGGTAGCGATGGTTGAGAGGATGGCCCAGCGGACGCTCCATCTAACACGCTTACTTGGAGCGTTTGGCTCGCTGCTTTTCCTGTAGTGTTGCGAGAGAGATTCTCGCTCTCTGGTCTCTGCTGAGGCTTTCTTACTTTCCGTACCCTATTCCTTTGAGATGACTCCGCATCGCGAAGTTTATCCATTTCAGCGGCGGACACTTTTGATTGTCGCCCATTCTTTTGCTCGAATATTGGAAATAGTTTTGCATGACCTGTGTCGAGCTTGGATTCTTTAGTTACAGTAGGAAAATTAATCGGACGTGACAGGAATCAGCAATGTCTCTGACCTTGCGGTTATAGAGTAATTACCCACTTTGGCCTCGTGTCAATTCATTACCATTCCTCCGCAATAGTTGAGGCTCGTCAGATTCTTCAAGTGTGAGATCCACCTTAGGGGGAGTGATTATTCGGTCTGCATCATTAATTACGGGCTGGTCCACAGCAACATGGGCTACTTTTCGGGACCATCAATAATTTAGAATTCATACGGGCTCTAGTATTTACCTTCTTCGTCAACCCAACCTTCGGCTTCATTTCGTTCCGGCAAGGAGATACCAAATGACTTCGGCGTTAGAATCGGCTCAGTTTCCAATATTTCCGACTGTGTATTGGAGATGTGGCTGTGAGGTATGGGGGAATGGTGGACATTTGCGGATTGAACCGCTTCGCTTTGTCCGGAAGCATTAGGCGATTCAGTACAATAAGAGTCATCTCTATCAATAATCCGTGAAGTCGCAGTTTCATTAAGGTCGTTCTTCTTGATATCCCACATATGGAGAAGATTTGGTTGGACCACCACTCCCGGGCCACCCTACGAGGAGAGCAGCAAATCAGTCTCTTGAATTGAATGGTTTTACCACTTATTGAGCGACGTACAGATTTTTGTTGCCTTCTCATACCCATTACGAGTAAAATTCAAGAAAAAAGGACGAAGGTTAGACGGCAGAAACGAAGACCAGCCTAGAACAGTTTGGAGTCAAGACACGGTACGGTCGCTATTACGAGATCGGCGCGTATCGTCACGTACCACGTGATGGATTGGACACCCAGTTCTGAATTAGGAAATCTCTACTTTACTGACACCACTAACAAACAAGTTCGTCTGATCGAGAATGTCCGAACTTACTTGTAGTTACATCCTTAAAAAGCTTACAGTGGAGTATCAAGGTAAAACAAACCACTCAACTGGAAAGAATTTTGACGGTCTTAAGTGAACTAGCACAGAACTGAACGGTACCTATGTTCAGACATTTCTCAAGCTGCCTACAGCACTCGAATTCTTGCGTGCTGTGCGCATCGGAAGGCCCGTAATCATAAAAGGTACCTTAAATTACAAGATCACTTTCGCGCGGGTCCCAGAAAGTCTCTCAACATGACTTCCGGCATAGGATTCCGGCCTCCAGCTCTAGAGAATTGGTCTGACGAGTATCTAATCGAAAAGCTAGGTGATCAGCTAATATCCGTTGCTGCTACACCAGATGGGTATGTATTATTTTAAAGAAGTCCGGCAATTTGGTAATCCTATTTGATGCAGTACTGCCGATGCAATAGTAACTGATGAGAAGGGGAGAAAACATTTTACGGAACCACACGTGGAACGTCTTACAATGAGAGAACTTTTAGAAGTCCTTTCAACGGGCTAGCATTCCGCCTTCTTGCCGGAGACCCTTAACGTTGACAGGTTTATAGATGCCAAATCTAACCCTAATCAGGGAGAACGAAAGGAAGTTTATTATCTGCAATCGCAGAACGGGAATCTTTATTCAGCGGAAGGTGAAAGTCAGCTCAGTGAACTTGGTGCTCTTCGTGCCGACGTGCCGCGAGAAGTTCCCTGGGCCTCAGGAGCACTTGGTATAATTTCTCCAGGAGTTGGGTTGGAACGTCGAAGTTGATATGATCTCTAGCGGCACCTCCGGATGCAGTTAACATCTGGATAGGGGATGAAAGGAGCGTAACCAGCGTTCACAGTGGTCAGTTCTATTATTTTATCAAATTAGAATAACGACAAATCTCATTAATCATGACAAATTATCCAGACCCATATGAAAACATTTACACGGTTGTAAGAGGGGCAAAACATTTTACATTATTTCCACCCACAGAGGGATGGTGTCTGCAAGGTATGCAATTACTTCCGCAAGTACCACCGCGGTGATAACGACCTACGTATCCAGAGCGTATGTATCCACATGCCAGGTATTCGCGAACAGATCGAACTGCCCCTCTTGCGCTTATACCTTCGCCCCCTTCATCACCAAAAGTCCGCTGGTCTTCGATTATGGATCCTACAAACCCGGAAGAGCTACCACCGGAAGCTCGGCCGCTCCAACTGAGCCTCGAAGCAGGTGACACGCTTTATCTCCCTGTTGGCTGGTGGCATCATGTCCGTCAAACTGACACCACCATAGCACTGAATTGGTGGTACGATATGGAAACCTCAGGGATGGGATGGGTTTGGTTAAACTTTCTGCGGGGAGAAAGCGAAGATGTGCCCGAGGGTAATGAAAACATCTAGTGCCCACATATGTATCTAGAGTATTCCTTCGGTTCTAAGAGATCCTATGACCAGAAAAGCGGAACGGCGATCCCTATCATTGCCTATCCAGTCGCCTTTCTGCTTCGCGGATGAATTGTCCTCATCACCGTATACAAAGACATCTTCATCTTCATCGACTTCCCGGTCCGTACCGGCATTGAAATTCTTTGTTCCGTTTGCTTCTGGCTCGTTACAGTTCCACTGTGTTTCTTCCCATAGAGAGTCGTGCATAGCGACAGCAACAGCTGTTGAGTTGAGCACCTCGGGTATGATTGAAACAAGAAGATTTGAAAGAAGTTCTGATGTGCCATCCTGCGAGGTTGATTGAAGCTTTGGTAGAGGCAGATATTCAGCCTATACGGGACGTCAGAAAAGAAGAGACAACATAGATACTGTATTACTGACCTCAAGTAACATCCCCTTCACAGCCCCACCAGTAAGATGAACGTTACCCACTCGTACAAGCCAGTCAGTCCCAATACTGAAAATGCTCCCATCAATGATCACTTGATTTCCCGTGCTAATCGCTTGGTTTCTTTGACTGGTGCTTGGTTGACGAGTTGATGTCCAACGAGCACCTAATTGTGTAAGAAGCGTCTCGAGTGCACCAGAGGGACTGACGGTAACGAGAGTTGTTCTATAGTGTGGAGGCTCGATAGGTTGTGGATGTTTGGCATGACTGGAACCAGAAGGAGAGCCCGCTGAATCCGTATGATTCATGGAAGCCTGCATCTGCGTTAGGGTCACTACATCAGAGATCGTAGGAGCAGCGGGATCTTCGAGCGAGACGAAGGAGACATTGTCGTTCAAGGTGATAACACACATAGAACGATCGGCCTGAAAGCCATGCATTGGCCCTGAAGCAGTTCGAAAGGAGCGAATAGCAAGGTGCCATCTACCTTGATCTATTCTTACGTTAGACAGCCATATCTTGACTAGGTAGTAGAAAGCGTACCGACACCAGCATGATTGCGAATGATATTCTGCCTAACGAGATCAAGGCCAGTTGTTGGAGCATTGCGCCAATGCACCAGGCTATGTAATGGGCTGGTGAGTTCAAGACACGAGAACCCAAGAAATACTCAATCTACCCTGTAAAGCCCATATCTACGATGTCTGGAGAGAAGATCAATCAAGAATGCTCATGCGTGGCTACAGGAACGGAAGGGTTCTTGTGACAAGATGTGACAAGTCGCGTCAATCTCTACCTTCTACTTGACTTGAAAAGTGAATGCGCGTGGCAACTCTCGAGTCTTTACCTTTCAAGTGCTCCAAGGCTTCGGTTATCGCTCTACTCAAATGCCTCTAAAACGCAAAGTCGGGAAGGAGCCCAACACTGGAGCTACGGTAAGGCGCAGTACGCGTTCTACTAGCGCCCATAATGAACCGTCCGATGTCGTCGTCTCCTCACCTGCGCGAAAGAGACATCGCGGCTCCGATCCCCAAGACGAAATCGAGAATAGCCAGAGCCTGCGTACGCCAAGTAAGCAGCGTACTTATGGCCGCAAAGCAGCAAAAATTACGGACGCACAGACTCGGGAAAAAGTCCTCGAGCTACCATTTGATGACTTAGACTTGGCTTCGTTCAATGACGGGGTTGAATCTCCAAAGAATAAGCACAGACGCGTCGTACTCGAATCGGTCGAAGTATCGGTCACGAGGAGAGTGAACTCCAACTTATGCACAGACAAGCAGGTACCCATGACTGCAGGCTCGACGAGAGCACTGTCAAGGTCAAAGACGATTCAGAGGGAAACAGACCATGTTCCGGAATCGGATACACGCGACTCCAGTCCAGAAATACTTGATGAATCTCCAAAATGCTCACCGGCTCTCTTACGCGAGTCTTTGGGAAAGCAAAAGCAGGCTATTCTGAATGCTCTCCGCAACTCCCGTCTACATGAAAGTCGAATATCTAATGACGACCAGGATAGCATACCATCCACCAACTCTGTCACCTTGCAGCAGCTGAGCGAACTCCTGGGCGGAAGCATTGAACGCGGAGAAGGGAATAGTTGCCTCGTTATTGGTCCTGCGGGTAGTGGAAAATCTATGGTATACCGACTTTCTTCCGTGCCTACACTCCATTCCATCTAATATAGCCGTCCATCGCAGATATTCGAGAGCGCTCTGGACATGTATGAAGATAACACCCCGATTGTTATTCGACTGAATGGGCATGTTCATCATACGGACCGTTTGGCAATCCGTGAAATTGCGCGGCAAGTCGTCGAACAAACTGGAAATAAAAAGTTCGAGTCTATCGACGTCGACGACGACGATAATCCGTTCGAAGATAACAACACCGATCAATTTACAGGGACTTTACCTCCTCCATCGCATCTTCCGTCACTTATTGCTGCCCTACCTACGATCTCGAGACCTGTAGTTGTGCTTCTCGACGCATTCAACGTTTTCACCGAACAACCCCGGCAAGCTCTGCTATACTGTCTTCTCGATACCGTCCAGTCTTGTCGAGCTGGATCGTCATCACACGGCGGGTTGGCAGTCATTGGCCTCACTTCTCGTGTCGATGTGGTTAATCTGCTGGAGAAACGGGTGAAGAGCCGCTTTTCTCACAGAATATTGCGGACCTCCGGTCCGCGAGCCTTAGAGGATTGGCTAGAAATCCTTCGGCAATGCCTGTGCACAACCATCAAGGATTCACCAGAGTCGGGTTCATCTAGATGGCGAACCATTTGGGAACATAATACCAATATGTTTCTTCAGGACCGGGAGGTTCGAGACATTCTCAAGGATATGTTTGGGATCAGTAGAGATATTCGCTGTCTCCTTAGAGTTATGGTGAGCATTAAATATTGTACTGGAAAAACTTCTGAAAAATTAATTGCTTTTCACATAGACAAACGCGGTTATTTGTTTGAGTGAAACCTCGCCATTCTTAACGGTACGCAGCCTAAATCGTGCCTTGGAATCGCAACGCAGCAGGTTACAGTCATCTCTACTAATGAGTACGTCCGGGAACTTCTCTCGATTCCGGTTATATTCGGTCTTACGCGTCTTCACTGTAGAGCTAGATTATCCCTCATTATCTCTGTGCATTGCCGCGCAACATGCTCGTACCGCGGGGCATGACACATTCACGTTTGAAATGCTCCACGAGCTGTTCGCCACTCAGGTACGCACCTCATCCGCCGCGCCCGTCATGCTCGGCGGTGGAAGCATCGGAATGGTCAACGTCGGCCGACGCGTCCTGTTGGGGGTACGATAGATTCCAATTTGTTTCAGAATTCCATGTCGTGCTAACTGCACAAATTCTCATAGACATTCGAAGAATTAATCAAGACGAAGATTTTTGTGCAAGCAGCATCTCACACCGCAGGTGTTGGCAAGGAGTTTGTTAAATACCGCTGCGCGGTTGAGCGGGAGGACGTTAAGGTTGCAGTCGAACGGATTGGCCAAACTAATCTAAAGAAGTGGTTCAGCAAAGCTCAATAGAGATTACAATCAACACACGATTCTAAATCATCCCACTATTCAAAGTTTGGATAGCATTATTTACACCTGCCTTCCTGATGCATGCTCTTTAAATAGACCTCATGTTGTACCATATGCACAATAAACCCAGAATAAAGCAGACACCAATTCCATGCATGCTAGCAAATCACTGTTCATATCAGATGATCGGCAGATTCCGCTTTACGCCGCGTCGATCCTGGTGCTGTGAGTCAAATCTATTTTAGCAGATTCATGTCATATTGGTGAAGCACAACTACGTTACTACATTCACCGCCGTTCTTGGCCAGCTTGCAGCTGGACTGCTTCTGCCGTCTGTTCTGCTTGCTATGATCCCGCTTTCAAGGCGCACCACCGCCCTTGCAAATATCCTAAGACGGGATTGCACCGACTCCATCTGCTGTCGGCGAAGCAGCGTCGGTATTCGCCCGACTTGCTCAAGACCACGTTTTGTCCGACATGCGTCCTCGTCCGTATCTTCTGCGCTGCATTTCTACCAGAACAGGCAGCTCGAGCTATACGCATCGAAAGAGACAAAACGTTTAACATTAAGGCAGCTGGTACGATCAAACGTGATAGACAATTATGACAAGCTGAAGTTGCTTCCGTTCAACGCGCCAGATATTTTTCGGGCGCTCTATGACCGAGGAACGACTGATAATGGTGAGCTTGCTGGTTATGCGTCTGGACCTTGCCGCTGATTATACTGTTCAAATTTCCAAGGCCGCGAACTATGTTAGATCAGAACTACCCATACGAATCGCGCATAGGCTACGTGATATGCAGGCATTACCATTTATTGTGGTGACACAGGAAGATGTAGCGCGCGTGTACGAAGTACGTTCTATATAGTCTAGGCCATGTTGGATAGTTCAACTGATCCATTCGACAGTTATATTGGACCGCTTTCGACAAGTAAGCATTTTATTCTAACGTCGCGTTTTGCTCGACAAGCTCAATGCTGGAAGTCTGACTGCCTTCCGTGAGGTTTCGCGCATTCCCACCTATCACGAGTATGGCGGATAATTTGAAGTTCTGCGAGCTCGTGAGGTCACTTCTAGATGAACAGTAAGACGTTCGATTATTTCACACTTTTCTGTGCATTAAAGTATGATATCTCAGTGCCGCAATTATTCCTTCCCTTGCACTCGGTCTTTCCCTCTCATCGCACCACCTACCACCCGAGCAACTTGATGCATTCATAACTCGCATGCTAATTTCACGGATATCACGACGCGTCTTGGCGGAGCACCACCTCGCGCTTACAGAAGATTTTATTCGAGACAAGAATCGTAAACCGAAAAATCCGTCCAGTTCTCCGCATGTCGGCATTATTAATACGGAGTTAAACCCACGACGAAGCATCGAACGATGCACGGACTTGCTACAAGCCAGTCCTCGCTGTGTCCTCTTTGCTGACCCAGAACGTGCGGCAGAGCTCGAGTGTCCAAAGGTGGTAATAAACGGGCATGTTGAAACGAAATTTGCGTATATACGTGACCAATTTGAGTGAGCGCCGCAGGGTTTTTACATGTGCACTTTGCTTACTGTCATCAAGATATATTGTTTTTGAACTTTTGAAGAATGTACGGTTATTTATCCCTCCTTGGATTTGTATATACATCTAAGCATGTCATCTAGGCTATCTATGCAACGAGCTTAAGACATCCGTCTGCTAACCCTCTTCCTGACATTCGAGCAACAATCGCCGCTGGGGAGGATGAGATCCAAATCCGGATATCCGACCAAGGTATGTTTATCATAAGCCGAATCATTAACAATGCTAATAATACTGGCAGGCGGTGGGCTTGTGCAGCCCGAAATCTCCTCTCCATCTGATCTTCTTTCCTTCTCGCATGTCAAAAACACAACGAGACTTGACACTTCGCGTATATCCGCTCTTAAATCTGCGAGCTCGAGGCCTCAAGGCATACGGGCAACTGTTCACGAGCAAGTTGAGGCATGGAAAGGAAACAAGTCCATAAATACACCAGAGCAAGAGGCCGGTGTAGGAGTACACACGCGGTTGGGTATTGGGTTACCGATGAGCAACATATTTGCAACGTAAGTTACCGACCAGATACCAGGCTGGCACTAATACGATGCTTGTTTCATTGCACATCCAGTTATTTCGGCGGATCTTTAGAACTCGTTTCTCTGGACGGATGGGGTACGTGATCCCAAATTTGCCATGTTTGCCCCGAACCTGTGCTCAATCTTTCTCGCCTGTCATTCCTCGATCAGGCACGGATGTTTACTTGCGACTACCCAAACTCGTAAGCAATGGTTATTTTTACACAATGCCGCAGACTGACATGCCACATTCTCAGGGCACAAAACTGGAAGGGATTGAAGTCTGAATACGTCCTTACCTGCCGCAAGCCTGAGCGGATATGTCCCGTTAAATAGAAAGAGACGCACGCATGTCCTATGGGACGTTTTCCCGCCCGCTCACTTCGGATGATGATTGAATAGGGTAGACTACTATATGTGGGATAGCGCTGTTAACTGTCAAGGCTGCATCTTTTCACTGGCAAGCTTCTTGGATAATTACAAAAGAAGGCTACCCCGGATATAGATGCATGGATTGATTTTGTAACGGTTCACATGGTCCGTGTAGCTAGATGTGTATATATTTGGACTCGAGGAAATAGAGAAGCGCGGGGAATAACAGCATTTGGGGGAGGATCTACAATACACAGCGAAGAAGCCTTGGGCGGGCAGTATTGACCGAATCGCAGTGACAACAGACAGGGCTGGCTGTGATTTGGCCGTCGAATGTACAGGATGATTAGAGTTGATTATGAACGAATTGAGATGATTGAGCGCAGACAAATATGATCAAGGTTGGCCGGGCCTGAAAGCGGTGTCCACCAGAGTCACCGCCGAGTTAGCGATGTCGTCCCAAATAAGTCTGCTCTATCATCCTCTCATCCCCCCTCCTCCCTGCCTCTCTCACTCATCACTTTTTATCCTCCATCACCCACATCATTCCCTCTTCTCCTCCGTGCCCCTCTTGCTCCTGCGACTCTATGCACCATGGTCGAGCCAGCGCTCCCAAGTCCAACTGAGGCCCCACCGCCCGCGTACGAAATATCCCAACTTGACTTTGAGGAAAAACTCGTGATCGCAACAGAGCGTTCTCTTGATCTCTCAGACCATAATTATGAGCAAGCATATAACGCATCAAAGGCAGATACTAAATTCATGTCGGACGACGCTGGTCAGTCGAACGTGGAGGCTCATCAGTTTGCGTCTGCGTCCGCCAGTGCGCAGTCATCATCAGTCCGGCCGTTAAGCTTCAGAAGGAAATCACGCAAATCAGATGGTTCTGGCGAGTCGGTCGGGGCTAAGGAGCGCCCTAGCTGGCTCGAAGAGACGCGTGTCGACGCGTCGACTTCAAATTCCAGTGCTTCTGTACGGCGACTACCATCCGAACCTGAAGAGCCACACGGTCACGACGATGGGCCATCCCAACACGTCTTACCCGATGAATCCTCGGAGGAGGATCATTCTATGCCCCCGCCGCCCTTTGCTCCGATCGACACGTCGCTGGATGGGCCAGCTTATGAACGATATCCCAGCCAGGACGCGCGCCCACGACGAACAGATGGACCAACAATCGTTATGTCCTACACTGATCAAGATGTTGGCGCTTCTCCCCCTCCATCACCTCCGCAGTCCCCGGTCGTCCGGAATACATCACCCAACATACATCGACAGCGTGCGACATCTCCCCAAATCAATCCCATGACCCACGGTTATCAGCACGCGCCGCAGCAATCCCGACTGCAAGTTGGTAACCCTGCACCCCGTCCAAGATCGACGGGCGCCCAGCGCTTCGTGCCCCCACCCCCTCGACTAAGCTTTGATCCGTCTGTTGCCTATGAAGGAACAAGGACTTCTTTGTTTGGGCAGCTGCCGAAAGAAGTAAATGATGTAGGTCAGGATGCAAGATCCCTGTACAGGTCAGTCATATGCCCATAGTAGTTGATTCAAAGTGACTGAAGCGTCATGATAGTTCTGCCGTTGCTCCCCTCATGTCGTCGCAAAAGTCGCAAATATCTCGGCCGGCACCCGCTCCGAGAGCAAAACGATATGCGTGCGTAATTAGCTGTTCAGACATTCTTCTTGATCGTTGACATTATCGTAGTCCATCGATAAACTCTCTCTCTTCTGAATATGATCAGAACCAGACTCAACAAAACATGCCTTCGAATAGGCCTTTCTACTCTGCGCAGGACTATGCTGCCAGCCGGACCTCTGTCTACACGCAGGCCTCTGTGAATCAGTTCCCACAATATCCACATGTTTCACAGTATCAACAGATGCCGCAGTACCCCGCACAGCAAAACAATGCTCGTCCGCCCGCGACAATCCACCAAAGTAGCAATCAACGATGGTCGACTGCACCCGCACCATATCAATCAACATACTATCAGCGCTAAACGATGCCTCTTATTTAACCTCCTAACTTCATTTTTTTTAATCTTCGAAGATACCTAACGTTGTATAATAGGAGAATGTGGAGATCTTTCTCGGACCAAGTAGCTTATTCCTTCCGGTTGTTTTCTTGATTTATTACAACCATCTTCAAACTTGTAATCGTTGCAACTTATTTATCTGTTAACCTTCCAGCACGCTGCTTACGCTGGCACTTTGTCCTTTGTATCGCTTCACTTCCTACGCCGCTTGTTTTCGGTATTCTGCTCTTTTTACATGTTACTCAGCTTATTTACCCTGATTTGCCTCACTGTCTCTTTATACTATCCTGATATGTTCGTACATTAAAGTAGCTTTAGCTTGTTGGAGTCTAACGCAGAAAATTAAAGTTCAGTTTCTTTTATCCTAGACCACATGCGAAAGAGTGTCAATGGTCTTTCCTATTAGCTTTGATCAAAAGAAGACGCCAGTAACTGCTGATTTGAGTTCATCTATTCTTAGACACGTTCACCCGCCATGCCCCGAAAACGTTGTTTATATAGATTATTTATTACCTCACCCTTTTGTTCCTGAGTCTCCCTTGCAACGGGCATGCTACGAGCTAGTTCAACCGACGAAAGTAGGAAGATGCCTCCATGTCTTTCCTTACACTGCTGTGCTTAGCTTGTCTTAGTAGTACCTCGAGTCTCAGAACAGGTGTACTGGCTGCAACGCCTCCGTCAGAGCTGTTCTCACCGCTCATCGCTCAGAAAATCTCGCAGATTGCATCGAACTTCTCCTCTCCAACGCTGTACCCGCAGTATACGGACTCCTCAGGAAAATGGTTGTATTTTCCGACTGATACTTGGACTACGGGATTCTTTCCTGCGTTGCTTTATTCACTTAACACGCGAGCTTCTTTCTGCAAGACCAGTAGTAGTAATGATGGTTTGAATGAGACGGATTGGCTTACTCTGGCATGGGGATGGAGTGCACCGGAAGTAGGGCTGGAGACGAATAACTCGGTGGGACATGATGTTGGATTTCTGAGCTTTCCATTCCAGGAGGAGTTAACATTGTGAGTAGGCCCAACCAGTCTGGAGTGCGAATAAGGAGAGTTGCTAACTGAAGTCCATGTTCTAGAGACTCGACAAATCAGTCTGCAGTTGATAGTGTTAATGCTTTTGCTAATGACCTTGCTGTGCGATTTGATCCGACGGTGGGATGTACACGGAGCTGGGACTCGTCTGACCCAACTGATTTCATGGTGAGTCTTGTCTTTTCTACTCAAGCTATTTGAGATCAATCCCAGGTGTATGTTATTTTGACTGTAGGTGATCATTGATAATATGATGGATCTTGACGTCCTATTTGTCTCCGCGAACCTTACTGGAAACGATACGTTACGCCAAATTGCGATATCCCATGCAGATAAAACGATTGAAAATCATGTCCGAAACGATGGTGATTTCGTCCAGTATAACTTCTTTATTGGGCGGCGAGTTAATTCTACATTCGCATAATAGGTTCTTCCTTCCATTTAGTAGAGTATAACCAAACTACAGGTAGCGTCATACGTCGAGGGACAGTGCAGGGGTATGCAGATAATAGGTATGGAGAATTAGTGCACTATTTAAAGATCAATTTCTGAGACTCGATCACTTTAGTACTTGGTCTCGTGGGCAAAGTTGGGGTATCTATGCCTTCGCACAAAGTATGTTCAGGTTACTTAGGACATTAGAGTGGAGAAAAAGGTTGAACGCCCCGCAGTGTACCAGAATACAGGCGAGCAACACTACCTAGATACGTCTCGACGGATGGCGACCTATTTCGTAACGAATATCCCGAGTTCGGGTATTGTTCCTTGGTATTTACTTTCTTTACACGTACACTCGACTGACAGACTTATTTACAGTATTCTACATTCAGGGATTTCAATGCACCAGATGACGGTTCTCGACCAGCAGACAGCTCAGCAGCAACGATCGCATCTTCAGCACTCCTCTTGTTATCAGATACAGAGCAGTCCTTGTCACCGGCAAACTCTTCTGGAGCGGCGTATTGGCGGGACTTGGCGGTTCAGGTAAGGAATTAGTCTTGCCCTCCATGCATTATAGAAATGTGACTTACAATGGGTATTTACTGCACTCGTTAACAGGTACTTGCAAATACAACAGCATCCTTCTGGAATCCCAATTGGCAGAGTCTTCTCTCGAACGGAACTGACAATAATCGCCTTGATCCACCTATTAATGACACGGGCATCATCTACGGTGAGTATCTTCCGTTGACCAAGTGTTCTCGGCTGGGAGGAAGGTTTATTCATATTCTTTTTCGAATAGGGGACTATTACTTCGTTCAGGCTGGAAATCAGTTGTTGCAGGCTGGCCTAGTGAATTGTTCTGGGTCAGCCAACTCATCAGCACTTAACAATCCGAATAGTTCTGGTCCTGGCCCTAAGAACTCTTACGCCACGTACAACACTGTACCATTACATCTCCAAACCCTAGTATTAGTTTTATTATGTACATTATCCTTCTCCTTAATACTATAAACTCACTCACCCCCCAGTGCATCCTCGAATCGGATGGATAATATTGAATAAGCAGCGAAATAGCAAAGTATAATGAGGTGAGATGACTACACAAGAACGAGTGCTTAATCACTGTCGCTACTGCTGTCATCACTACTGCTCTCCTCGATGTCTGTCCCACTCTCATCATCATCATCGCTCTCACCGTGTACGGGAGATTTCCTCACGTTTGCACCCTTCATAAGTGCCATTTGTCCTGCCAAAGAATCTTCCTCCGGGTCTGAGATCTCGTCTTCTACGCCTCGCTCGTCCGAGCTGAGCTGTGAGACATCGTCTACTTTGAGCTGTAGGTGACATGACATCAATCAATGACTCGGAAAAGTCGAAATTTGAACAGAATACTTACAATAATATCTCGAATAACTTCCTCGCCAACAAAGGTATCACTAACAAGATGAATCTTCCAGCTATATACCGCAACATTCGGTGGTGCCTGGAACTGAAGTTTGTACGTTCGGAAGTTCCGTTCCTTCGTCGGGTCCGAGAGAGGTAAATCCGTGATCCGCATCGGAGGCATGACAACTCGGTTCAGCTTGGGTTCAGTCACTAATACCCACCAAGATGGTTTCCGAGGCTAGATAATTAAGTTAACTTATCATACACAATATGCTCAGACGCGGTATAGTACTTACTGCTGGCCAGAATGGTGTATGTGCCCGCTTGGCAATGGTCAAACCGTTAGTCAGATCTTCGCTGTCTCGTTTCGAAGACAAGAATGCCTGATCCTTCTCTTCGTTTTCTTTAATTGATCGCTTTATGACATCCACGTCAGAAGTCTCCTTTTCCTCCTGTTTCACAGTTGCACCAGTTGGAGGGGTGATCCGTGCCTTCACAACTAACTGTACAATAGATAGTGGAGTCACGATTCGCTCGCCGAGTACTATTTTTATTATTTCAATCAGTTACACCATCTGACGGATAAGATACGGTGACAAACCTTTGAAAGATGCTTCTACGAGCTCTAGTTTACCCCAACTTTCAGCTGCTTTTCTTGCTTGCTCAGCTCGAGCATCCTGGGTCTTTTCTAAGTGGTCGATAAATGCCTTAACGTCGCGCTCGTTGAGTTGCTGAACGAGATTCTTTACGTCGTCTTCAGAGAAATTCGGAAATTGTGTGAAAACCGAGCTGTCTTGGACTTGAGTAAAGGGCGAAACAGCTTGGGTGACATAGGCGTGAAGACGCATCGCGCTCAGAGTGGGTGTTAACCAGTTGTGAGCCATGGCGATGTTTAGGAGCGATGTAAGGAGTGAAGGAGAGCGGACGAGAATGTCGTCTTGAACTGCAAGAACATGCGTTAATGGGCTTCGCAATTTGATAAAAGACAAATACCTCTCTGTAATGACGAATTTTCTATTGGAATGCGAAGCAGGTGTGCATATAGCAGTGTTTGAGCAGGAGAACCAGAATATTTGCCTCCTAGGCGGGATCGAACTTTCTGCTCTAGGTCACCAAGGGAGGTAGACACAACAGGATATTCGTTCTCCAAGGCCTGTCCGTAGCATGCAAGCAGATCCTCGATGGAGCTGTCTTCTTTGATGTCCTTGAAAAACATCTCCGCTGATCTGGCATATACACCGTCCTTCGTTTTAATCCTGCTCCCGAACCACCACTTCCCAACGATGACTGGAAGAAGTCCACCCAAGATGATGCAGTATCCAACTAAGAAGAAGAATCTGTGTTGGCCCTCAACAACCCACTTTGGGATTGCAATTCCCATGCTGACTTCCTGCCGACCGTCTGGATGTCCGTATAACTCCAGGTTCCTGCGGATCGTCTCGTCGGTCAAGCTCTTATAAGCTTTCGTAATTTCTACGAAGTACGCTTCGACCATTTCCATGGTTTGGTTTGCTACAAGCTTCACCTTGTCCGGGTGGAATTTACGCGATAGTTTCTTGTAATGCGATTTAATTTCCTTCTCTGGGGTACCTGAGCGAATGCCAAGGATCTCGAAGGGATCGTAAACCTTGCTTTCGTTTCGGGTTGTAGAGGCTTTGTAGGCAAAGAAAGCCCAGAGAGACCATCCACCGAGCAAGAATAGTGTCCTAGGAAATTATTGCATGAGATCCATAAAGGCTAACGATATGAATTGGAGGCGCACTTCGCACCAAGCCTCGGGTTGAATATTGACCGTTTGTTCCTCTGCTTTATACGCTCGTGCTGCTTCACGCACATGGAACATTCGCAGCCCGTTGGTTCAGCTTTTTCTGTGCAACGTCAGAATGTGATCAGAGAAAGGAGCACAGAAGGACGTACTAGAGGAGGACGAGAAAGCAGTTAAACTAAAGGGTATGAGAATTATAGACAGAAAAGTGAGGAGGAAGTAAGCAGCCATGCCGCCCCCCTCGTCGTATTGATAGTTCGCCATTGTGAAGTTGGCTCGAGGGTGAGGCGTTCACCGGTGACAAGAGCAGCAAAGAGTGTGTCGTGGTCAAAGAAATGCTGGAGTACTTTGCCAGCGCGACGTGGACGCGCTCCCGCCACGTGTGCGTATGTAATTATCTACTTAGATTAGATTTATCTGCTGTCTGTCGGGATTCGGGAAATTTCGTTTCTTGCCTCCTGCCTCCACCGACCTATCTGCAAGTCTTTTCTCCAATGAATAGGTGCGCACTGTTTGCATAAAGAGTACTCGTAAAATGCAAGCTGAATCACATCCGTAGAGGTCCAATAGTCCTTGTAAGTTGCCAGAATACTCTCCGTACCCATCGAACCTTGTTGTAATCATAATCACAATCAATGCATACATGAAGACCATAGAAGAAGCGGAGGTGACCTCATTCATTAGAACGATAGTGCCTTCATATTGACCGTACTTCCAAAGTATATTTTGGATCAGTTTGTACGTCTAATATCGCTCTTTGCGTTGCATTAAATCTTACGTCCGCCATTTGGGTCCTCTTGCAAATCAGCCGCCTCCATCCTCCGACGAAGATGAAATCACGACGAAGCTACGAACACGCTTCCAGGAACTCCTGAAGGCGTTGCGAGAAAACGCAGAAGGTATTGCATCATCCGGGGCAACGACACCATCGGATGCATAGATACTCTGCAAATAGAATAGAAGAGCGCTACAAACATAGTTAGACGACTATAGAACCATCTAACTAATGCTTTCTACGAGTTTCCAAGATGCCTCTAATACATCTTCGAAAGTATAGATCTCTTCCTCAACTGCATCGCTGCTGGGTCCTTCCCCGCCTTCGTCCACTGAACTGAACGCGCCAAACGTGATGCCACTTGACCCTGGTCGAGGAATCATCTCGAGCACAACAGAAGAATCGTCGTGTCTGATTTCCTTCACACGGCCTAGATGTACCAGTGTTTCTGGCGTAAATGTCGCCGGATTTATTGCAAGAGCCTTAGTGTCAAATAATAAATTCACGTTAAATGTTTGCTCGCAAAAACATGAAGAAATGCCAGCACACCTTAAACCCCACTACAGTTCCCGCATTCAATGAAGACACCTCGGAAAGCGAACTCAAAGGCTTGAGGGTATCCCAGGTTTGTTCGATTGAGGCCCAATTTATCTCGGGCTCTCCGTAATTTAAGGTCACGTCTTCCTGTTTCGTAGCGGTCTCATCAACATGCAATTCCTCCGCTGCGGCATCTTGACCATATTGATCTCTCTGTTTCTTTTTCTTCCCTCGGTCCCATTTTTCGCCTTCAACCTCGACAGATGTGACGAACATATTTGACGGTAAAAGTCCTTGCGCCTGCTTCACAGAGGGAGTAAGGAAATGAGGTGCGCTTGGCCTTGCAGTTGCTGATGATGTAGACTCAGCAGAATGGAACGTCGTTGCTGTGTTAGGAGGAACAGTCTCATCTGAGAAGACGATTTTCTGTGAGGTGAGACCTGCCATCGCCTGCTTGAACCCCTTCTTTTTGTTTTTATTCCGCAACGTTGTAACCATACTTTCAACTTCAAGCGGTGAAGTCGATGCATTTTGTGAAACTTCGGCATTCCCATTTTTCGTGTGATTTAAGGATCCGCTACGATGCGTGCCCAATGGTATTGCGTTCGCGGATTCATTTGGCAGAGCTTGAGCTGCAGCTTGCTCAAGTTGCTTGTGCTCTCTTTGATATATACGTTTGAGTCTTCGTCGTGCGTTTCTCTTTTGGGTACTTGGTCTGCCCTGTCCCGGAGGAACAGATAGAACGCTCGAGTTGGTGTGTCTGACAAACAATTGCAACATTAACAAGTGAAGTGGAACAATCCACCAACAAAATACCTTGCCGGTTGAAGTACATGTCTTTTTGACGACTGTACCTCAACTGAGGAACTTGATGAGGCCGAGGACGACGACGTACTAGTCGAGGAAGACGATGACGAGGCTGAGGATGAATCCGAGGACGACGAGCTATCCGAACTAGTTGTTTCGTCCGAAGAACTTTCTGAGGAGGAGGACGAAATTGAAGGCAATGAGGTTCTGCTTGGCCGTTTAGCCCGTAGATCAACACGTCGCTTTTTTGGAGAAGAGACTGGGAACAGTGAGATGCAAAAATGAGCAACAGGCGATGCCAGCTAAGACAAGACCCATTACTAGTAGTGTCATCCACAGCCTTTCTCTTTTTCTGAATTGATACTTTCTGCTTCTTCGTAATACTAGGAAGCAACCACATCAGACCGCGTTATTCGAGTAAGTGAAGAGACGCACTGCACAAGATCATTTTCCTTGATGACCTGGAGACTGGAATCATCGAGGAGCTCGAAATCATCTATGATGAGATTGATTTCGGATGCAGAGAAGTGGGACCCGTCTTCATCAAGTAATTGGGGTACTCGGGAGCATATCTGAGCCTTTACGCCTAGGATATCAAGGGTAGAGTTGTCATCCGGAATGTCGAACCAAGCTTTCAGAGCGCGAAGAGGTGGCCTTGTTGCGAGTCGGAAGCGCATAAGAAAAGGATTGTGGAAGGAAGAGTAAGTCACGGAAAGAAATATATTTCTTGACGCGGATCTTTCTTTAAACACGTAAACGGCAATGCCTTGAGCGTCCGTAACCTAGCAGTTCCCGTTCCAGTTAGAAACCTCACGATCGTTTAGTTTAGCGGCATTCGTAAATATTCCCGTCTTTGCAATCCTTGCAAAATGGCACATCTTAACCAGCCACGACAACCATACCCATCAGGCTCTCGCTCCCCTGCTCCCTACATGTCTCAACAGCAACAGTCCACCGGTTCTGCAAACTCAGGCAGCAACTCGGCCAAATCGCCAGACTATGTTTACTTTGACCGCACGACTGCCGGCTTCTCCGAGGAGGCGGTGCCCAAGGCGAAGGCGGCCCAGCTGAAGCTTGAACACTTTTACAAGGTCGCAGTGGATTCCGCGATCGAGCGCAATCAGAGGTGCAGTCTGTTTCGTCCACTGCGTGCAATCAGCTCATACTGATTTGACTTTCAAAGGCGTGTTGAGCTCGAACGAAGGTTACAGACAGATAATACGATGACGGAGGAACGAAAGCAACGCCAACTTCATCAGCTCGGAAAAAAAGAGTCCACCTTCCTCAGATTGCGTCGCACTAGGCTTGGACTTGATGACTTCCGGACTGTTAAGGTCATTGGCAAAGGCGCTTTCGGAGAGGTAGAATACTATTTTCATCGATTGTTAGTGACCCTAACCAAGTGGCCTCAGGTACGCCTCGTGCAAAAGACGGATACCGGGAAGATTTATGCTATGAAAACTCTGAAGAAGGACGAAATGTTAAAGAAAGATCAAGTATGCCCCGTCCCCCTCTGCTTAACAGGTCAGGTCAGTAATCCGTATACAGCTTGCGCACGTCCGTGCCGAACGAGATGTACTCGCCGAGTCAAACTCCCCATGGGTTGTACAGCTCTTCTATTCTTTCCAGGACGCTGCATATCTGTATTTGATCATGGAATTTTTACCTGGAGGAGATCTGATGACCATGCTCATCAAGTATGATACCTTTTCAGAAGATGTAACGAGGTTCTACATAGCAGAATGTGTGCTTGCGATAGAAGCTGTGCATCACCTTGGGTTCATTCATCGGTATGCTCCTCCCCTTTTCCCGGCAGCAGCAATCTAACAACCTTAACAGGGACATTAAACCCGATAATATACTGATTGACAAGGACGGGCATATCAAGCTATCTGATTTTGGTCTTTCTACTGGTTTCCATCGGGAGCACGATTCTTCGTACTACCAGAAACTGTTGGATCAGGCAAATGGTGTCAATTCACCGACGAGTGCTGCACAAGCCGCCCGCAACAGTGTTATGGTTAATGCCATCCACTTGACGATGACAAGCAAGGATCAGATCGCAACCTGGAAAGCAAACAGACGAAAACTGGTAAGGAAATTCAATAATCGAATAAGCTTATGAGGCACCTAATGAAGTTCCTTTATGACAGGCATACTCCACTGTCGGGACCCCGGATTATATCGCTCCTGAAATTTTCTTACTGCAGGGCTATGGTAACGAGTGCGATTGGTGGTCTCTAGGAGCAATCATGTTTGAATGCCTTGTTGGCTATCCGCCGTTCTGTTCGGAAACACCGCATGAGACATACAAGAAAATTGTGAACTGGAGAAACCATCTCTGCTTCCCCGATGATGTACATTTGAGCCGGGAGTCGGAGGACTTGATTCGACGGTAAGACTGAATAGTTCGTACTTTTTTTCGCGTAAACTTACCAATATTTTTACCAGCTTGATCACCTCGCCTGATCAACGTCTGAGCGTCGACCAGATCAAGGCACATCCCTTCTTCTATGGCGTTGACTGGGACATAATCAGGCAAATCGATGCGCCATTCGTTCCACACCTTCGTTCAATCACGGATACATCTTACTTCCCTACTGACGAGTTGCAGCAAGTCCCTGAGGAACCCACCACGACTGAAAGTGGGCCCGCGAGCAAGGATCTGGCATTCTTGGGTTACACGTTCAAGCGTTTCACCATATCTTCACACGCCTTCTAGTTCTTACAACAGTTGCTCCAATTTGGGAACTTTGCTCTGTTTGGCTGGTCAGACTTCCTGTAATGCAACTTGTAGTGGATGCTTTGAAACAGAAATTGTACAAATCATAACTTTACCATACTCACCCACTGGGATTCACTCGTAGACCGGGTGAATATGTATACATAGGGGAATAAAGAATACCTTCTTCCGCTTATGCTGTGCTCATGGTTCTGGTTTTTTTCCGCAAGTTAATCTACTGAGTCCAGTGGTCTGAAAAAGGCTATTTTAATTACATAAGCAGATGATCACCAGATGCATTGCTTGACTGACGCAGTGCTGGACGCGAGTTTGTATCTCCCTTAACCACTTTCCTCTTCCTTTGATTCCTGCCCTCCCCTAATCAACATGATGTCTGGGTTTATGAGCTACTTCGGTGGTCGAAAGGACCCTAAACAGACCACCCGCGAAGCAATAGTCACGCTTCGCCAACAACTGCAGATGCTGGAGAAGAAAGAGGAGCATCTACAGAAGAAGGTTGAGGAGGAGATGAAGAAGGCGAGAGCAAATGCGGTCACTAATAAACAAGGTATGTTTCTTCGAATCTTATTTCGATGTAGAGCTCATTTGTGAATGGCGTGCATCGTTATGTATGACATCTCACCCTAATAGCCGCCACTGCCGCATTACGACGGAAGAAGGCTACGGAACAAGAACTCGATCGATTAGCAGGGACACGTCTGCAGCTCGAAATGCAGGTCAACACGTTAGAATCTGCGAACTTTAACCAGGAAACTATGACTGCGATGAAGAAGGGCTCAGACGCACTCAAGGCGATTCATGGTAATTTGTGCGTCGTCGCCGTTGCTTGCTGCGCTAGACTGCGATCTGCGCGGCCATATTCGTTGACTCATTTACTTATTTCATTTCTCCCGCCATTTTTTTCCCGTTGGATCTTCAGAACACCGGATAAGGTTGACTCGACGATGCAAGCTATCAACGAACAACGCGAGATTGCGAACGAAATATCGGATGCGATTTCAAATCCAATGAATACTGGTGTAGATCTGGACGAGGCAAGTGCTTCCTAGCATAACCGTATATCTTGTCTGCTCATGCTTTAATATATTGTAGGACGAACTCAAGTTGGAGCTGCAAGAGCTGGAGCAAGACGAGCTCAACGAACGTCTGGCAGGCGCCGAGCGCGCTCCGACCACGGCCTTGCCTTCGGTAGCAAGAGAAGAACGTAAGTGCTTGCAGTGCAGGAGATATGATCCTTATGGCTAACCTTTGCGCCTACTTTTGTACCTCTAGCAATGCGGAAGCAACTGGTGGAAGAAGACGACGAAGAGGCACAACTCAAGGAGTTGCAAGCGGCTTTGGCTATGTAGATCCCATGCATCTCTTTCTTCCTTTCTCCCGTCTATCTCCTCTTCATTCTTCCGCTCTCATAGTCATATTCTTCTTGCTATTACCATCCACTCAACTATCTTCCTATCTTTCTTTCCTACTCTTGTTGTGCTGTATTATGACGGCTCAAGATCACCAACGAACTGTAACTTACATAGGGATGGGGCCCAAGGATTGTTATAAATATCTTAATTATCGTCACTTTCCAGGAACTGATTGGTATTCATTTAACAATGACAAAAGAAGAGAGAATCGGACCACCAGCAGAAGACAGCAAGAGAAAGAACAAGAAAAAATAAAACTAAACTAATTAATGCTCTAGGAATACACGCAGAACATATTATTATGTTATGGACATGGGCGACCTACTGGCAATGCTGTGGCTGTAGAAAAACGACGAGAAGTTGTCCAGGCATGCAGGGAGGAGTGTTTGCAGTTTGCAGTTTGCAAAGTTAGATATCAAAACAATAAGTAAGCGGATTTGCAGCAGAGCAGGAGATATGTTACGAGTTGTTGGAGTTGTTGATTCATAAAATACACAAGAAATTTAAGATGCCCATGGAAGAATTGGAATTTGGTTGCGCAAAGGGAATCCCACCGAAGACGTTGCATAAGGACAAGAGACATGCGTCTAGAAACCACGAAGACCGAGAATGTGCCGAACGTCGCCAGTGAAACGTAAGGAGTCGAGGACGGGCAGTAAATCGAGCAGTGCTTCGTCATATGGGTCATGGGTCCAACCTTCAATAGGAATACCATTCGCTAGAGAAGAGTTTAGTATACTGAAAATATTTTGAACAAACGAGAATGAAAGAAGCGAACCTTTATTAATACTATAACTTGCAGGTGAGTTGTCTATAAGGCAGATACGTGCGAGGTCCTCGTTAAGTATTGAAAGATCCTTCGAATATGAGCCATTTGGGAGCTGTGTGCAATGCTAAGGAAGTCATGTGGATTGAGCCACAGTCTACCAGACAAAGTCAGGCTTGCGTACCTCCCGAAAGAAACGTAAAGAAAGTATGCCTCGCCCAGCATCTAGCCAATCAATCACTGGATCTGCGTATTCTTTCATCGATGCCGTGAAGATTACGAGTGTGTACCAGGCCGACACCTGGAGCAAAGACGAAATCTGGTGAATGGATAATCTTTATTGAACTAAAGATCTAATTGAATATACCTTGCGCAAAAAGTAGTCCACGAAAGGTCGCTTGTAGACATGATACAGCGTACTTCGGTTATTCATAACGACTTCAACAATATGACCAGCCTTCCTGTTGTGACCAAAGCCAATAAGGCTTCCGAGGTTGAAGAGTCCATTTCTACCACCAGACGGTAACGGCCGTGTTGTAGAGTGTATTAATGTCTCGTCCAGATCAAGTACGAGTGTCTTCCGCATATGCAGTGGAGTTGCCTTTGCTGGTGTTGAAGGACGGGAGGAAGTAGACTGCGATGCTCGTTTGCTTGGTGGCGTTTGTGGGGTGAGAGTCGCTGTTGAAAGAGACGCAGGAGGATCTAGTGAAACAATACAACGAACATTATTGTCGGTATTGTCGGTATCATCCGTTTGATCAGGAGGAATAAGATTAAAGGTTGGCGGAGGACCTAAAGTAGGCTGGCTTGGAGGTGATGGTGTAGGGGGTTTGGTCTGTGGCTGCAATGCTATTTTTATGATTGACGATGCTCTGGCTCGAACAAAGGAAGCTTTGCTCAAACTTGCTTTGGACCTTGTTTCTCGACTGCGGACGGCATCAGGATCGCTCTCCTTTCCATTACTGCTTGTCTGTTCTGACAAATCTTCCTGCCCTTGGATGCCTTTGCCTTTGCCAGTGCCAGGCTCGTCCACCAGTAAGGATCGCGTCACACTATTCCATATTGCCCGTAGCCAACTTGCAAGGAGGCAGATTACTCGGAGAAAGTATAGTCTGTGCAACCAGCTAGATTCCTTTGTCGAAACCGTCTTCGGCTGAGGTAATGGCATGGAAGACACGGGTGAATGCGTCTGCGGCACAGCTCGAATCTCGCCCTGTTCTATTACTGCAGGGTCTTGCTGAAACGAGTTAGAGGCAGGTCCAGACGGGACGAACTGAAAACGCGGACTAAAGGGAGTAGATCCCGAGCGCTTGCGTACACGTATTGGAGGCTGGGTGGTATACCGTCGTTGTATGGAGTCTTGTGGTAGGAAGAACGCACGCGCAGACGCCCACGTTCGAATACGCTTCAAAGATGGTCGTGGATCACCCGGACCAAGTTCGCCTGTTGGGGTGGACGGAGGGGTATTAGGCGCACTGGAGGAAGCCAGGACGTCGAATTGGCGGGAGACGTAGGAAAGCGAATTCATCTTGCAGACGAAATGCAAAGTGAAGAGCAAAGATGGAGTCTAACGTGGAGTCTGTCTACTGCATGCAGATACGAGCTAAGCAAAGGGAGCGGGAAGGAGATGAGGACGATAGAAGGCCCCTGCTAGGGCATGAGGAGGGTCGAGTAGGTAAGTGTGCCAGACTATAGTCACGGACACGCACGCACGGTGGGAGTTCGCGACGCACGCGTCTCGAATGAAATCAGACCATTCATATTTGCACTTGTTATCATCCACAACTGTCATTTTACAATTACACCCGTTCTCTTTCCACTAATATTTCTTCTTTGCATAGATCACAACCAATTGCTCAGCTATTGTGTCTTTCTTGTCTGGAGCTTCTGTAAGAGGACCTTTGCAAGTGGTCCAGCTGACATCGAGTTCTGGCCTGTGAGCAAGTTGCCGGACACCACCACCTTCTCCTGTAGCGTTAGGTCCGTCCGTAGTGATCAGGTCAGATAAACGTGCGTCCCGTGCGACAAGGATGCATCAATCACTCACAGTCCATCGATCTCCGCGGATGTATTTACCACCGAGCTCTTGAATCCGGTTCTCCACGAGAAATGGGATGTCCTGTGTGGAAATCATGTTCAAGAAGTCCCCCCTCGGGCTTCCTTATAGCGCACCGTACTCACCGACATCTTACCAAGATACTCCTCCTCGGCATTCGAGTATCCTGTAACTTCTTTGCCTGCGAAAATCGACCGTCCATTTGCATCCGTGACTCCAGCGAGTGCACTAATTTAGGGTCAGAATTGCAGTATTACCTTCGTAACGCGTAATGAGGCACATACGCAACACTGTGGCAGACTGCGGCGACGAGCTTATTCTGCTGGTAGAACTCGGATGCAAGTTCAATGTTCGTACGGTCGGAAGCAAGATCTATGACTGGCCCGTGGCCGCCGACATAGAATACAGCATCGTATTCACTAGGATTTACATCTGCGAGTTTCTTTGCTTTGGCAAACTTCTGCTTCACGATGTTGTCCTGCAGGAACTTGACGCTGTCGTCGTCCGTGAAATGCTTCAGGCTATCTGGCTCCAAGGGCGGATTTGGACCAGCCGGTGAAGCGAAGTCAATATCTGTGTCACGAGAGAGTACTGCCCATTGGTACGCTGCCTCAGGCAAGTACCAACCCTTCAGTCAACGATCAAGTCAGCCCTCGATTTTCACGGGAGTGTAAGGTTTATTTTTTAATTATAATGTTAATATTAACACTGGCAGGATTGAAATCTGCAGCAAATAATTTCAGAAATCAATACGCACCGTGCTATTGCCAGTGAGCGACTGGCCGCATGACGTGAAAACGAAAAGCACTTTGGGAACCATGTTTTTTGTCCAGAGATCCCAACTAACATGAAACTAAGATGGTTAGTGCGAGAGGTGTGAGACTCTACACACACCTACAAGGTCTACGAGTCGAGCTTATATGAACTTGCAATGTATCCATGCCTAGGGAACTTGAATGCCGTGCGTCATGGCTATTGAGCGGATGCTTTACGAGCTTCGCAGAGAGGGACTTCAATCTTGCCTTAATGAGCCTCGGAAGTTCGTGCTCGTTCAACAGGCTTCATTCATGAAGGTCAAGAATATTTACATTCATTGACTGGATCTCACTTCGATGATTCCATCACAATTGATTTGAATGGATTATATCCAGTATAGTAGTCATCAAGTGTTCTTGCTATTAACTGTAACAAGGAATAGAACAGAAGTCACTTGTATACAATCACCAGGTCTGACACAAGCATGTGTCATTGTGTGTGATCTGTTGTAAAACGGCTACATTCTGTACTATGAAATTGCCCTTAAATCGCATGCTAATTTTAAGTAGAATAGATTGTAAAGGCTCCACTTGCTATACTCTCATAGAGCCTGAACTATGTTATTTGCATAAAACTTAGTGATTGAGTAAGTACGCATGAGTCGCAGATCAGGATTACTTTGTTGAGATAACCATGAACACGGCACATCAGTGTGCTTATGACTGCTATTGTTATGAGACCTGTACATTATCATACATATATGCACCTGTTTCGGTAGTTTACATTTTGCAATCCTGTTTCTCGCTACAATGCTTGGCATACCCAGTGCATCACTGAAGCAGATCAATTAAAGCACCTTGCCTTCCTGAAGCTTCTTCAAGAGGGCTTGCGCAAGAGGCCTAGCTGATGCAGGGTTCTGGCCCGTGATCAAGTTACCAGACACAACTACTTTCTCCTACATGATATCGTTTAAGTACGTGTTGGATAGAATGTATATCCTTGTAAAAGTACTACTCACAGCCCAGGGTTCTGCACGGGCATATTTACCACCAAGCTCTTGGATACGTGATTCCACGAGGAAAGGCACGTCCTACGAAAGATACAGCCAGATCAACTTGTTTCAATGATTGCGTATAAATCCCATGCTCACAGCAACTTTGCCAGCCTGCTCTTCCTCAGCGTTTGAGAATGCTGTAGCTTCTTTGCCCGCGAAGATAGACTGTCCATCGGCACCTGTTACACCGACGAGCGCTCTGAAATGCGCATTGAAAATCAGGAATTACTTCTTTATTCTAGATAATTTACGCACGCGGGACCATGGCATACCGCAGAGACAATCTTGTTCTGCTGGTAGAACTCGGATGCGAGTTCAATGTTCGTGCGGTCTGAAGCAAGGTCAATAACAGGGCCATGACCACCGACGTAGAAGATGGCATCATATTGGCTAGGATTCACGTCCGTGAGTTTCTTGGCATTCGCAAACTTCTGTTTCACGACATCGTCGCGGAGGAACTTGACACTTTCGTCGTCTGTGAACCGTTCGACGCTGCCGGGGTCGACAGGTGGATTCGGGCCATTGGGAGCGGCGAAATCAATCTCGGTGTCATGGGAGAGGACTGCCCATGGATGCGCGGCTTCGGGTAAGTACCAGCCCTTTCAACCATTATTCAAGTCAAGTTTAAGTCAAATATTAAAATAAGGAGAATGGTATTTTCCGTCGTAGGAGAATCAATGTTAGGATACGATGTAATTCAGGTAGGTTATTGGGTATATGCGCACCGTACTTGCGCCTGTCAGAGTCTGGCTACAAGAAGTAAAAACGAAGAGGACTTTCGGAGCCATGTCGTTAGTTAATCAGATACTTAGCAGTTGCGTGAAGTGATGAGAGTCAATGCTAAGAGGTGAGACCTACGCGTTCACTGTGGGTCTGAGTTTATATGCACATTTCGAGTGGTTTGCGTCATACTCGGAAGCTAAATCGAATCTTGCGATTCCCACAGGCACGGTTTAGCTTAGTCATAACCTCTAAATAATTCCCATCCTACACCTCATCAATATCACAGCTTGCTAGAAACTATATTGTGGACTATGGCTGCCGCTGCTCTTGTACTCCCCGCTGTCCCAATTACCCCTCCGGATTACCATAGAATAGTTAGCGATAGACTCAAAATACCAGATGACAGGACTCTTCCCATCCCGGTTGGTTTACTCGCCTGCCAACGTCAGTACCTGTCCCATCGCATGTAATTCACTTGTGACTCATTTATATTTGCAGGTGATCCATTGCTCAAGGAGCTTTTATCCACGGTCGTAAGCTGCAATGTGCACCAACCAGAACAATCTCAGACAAATAACAAGAAGAAGTCATCAGCTCCTGCAGAGAAACTCTTTGAAGTAATATTACATGATACGGTCCTATTTCCTGTAGGTGGCGGGCAGCCATCGGACATCGGGATACTTAGAACTGCAAATGGAGACGAGTACGAGGTTGTCGAAGTCTTGAGACGCGGAGGACATGCAGTCCACTTCGTAAAGCCAAAAGACGGGCAGGTTCCTGGATTAGAAGTAGGCGCCCAGGTTACTGCCGCTCTTGGAGAAGCTGGCTTTAGCAGAAGATTAGATCACGTAGGCTCTTTCCCGCTGATGTACTCTAATACTTTGGGCTAATTGCATGATGATTTGCAGATGTGTATGCACACTTCTCAGCATCTCCTCTCAGCTTTGCTCGAATCTGAACTGAAGTTGCCCACACTCTCATGGGCACTCACGTCGTATCCCACTCCATCGTATGTCGAGCTGCAACGGCCACTTACTCTAGAGGAGGTCGCACGAATACAGGCCCGTGCTCATGCGCTTGCATATGAGGGTCGCAAAGTCCATGTTGAAGTCGAGCCTTTAGACTCTGAGAACCATCCGGGCGTTGTGACACTGAAAAGTGGAAGGTCTGTCGGCAAGGCGCTTCCAAGTGATTATACAGGTGGTGTGAAACGTACCATAATCATTGATGGCGTAGACCGGAATCCGTATGTATTATTGGCATACTCGCATCAATAACCTACTGGATTAAACGCTCTTGTGACAGATGCTGCGGGACTCATCTCCCTTCATTGCACAACTTACAATTGTTCTTACTTCCTCAGACCGAGTCGCTCGCTAGAGGAAGCACGAGTACATCTCGTCTCTTCTTCCTTTGCGGACCACGATTGCACGAACATCTTGCCACGACCCATGCGCTTCTTACAGAAACTGCAGGAATAATGTCCTGTGGTATCCCGCTAGTACCTGCTCGCGTATCGCAAGTTATCGAAGAGCGGAGACGCGTTGACAGGCGTGCGGAGGAGCTCGAGTTTGAGCTTGCACGTGTCGTTGCAGATGGTTTATTAAAAGAGATGCAGACGAGCGAAGCAACGCATTTCGTTAAGCATTATCACCGCACGGATGATCCTGCTCGTGCCCTTGGGTTTTTACAGTCCATCGCAACGTCGTTCATCGCCGGTGCTTCGAATACGTCAGACTCCAACCCGTCCTCTCGCTCATACACGATTGTATCCACTTCAACTCCGGCCGAGAAGAGAAGCACAAATGTATGTACGGTGCTCGTGCTGGGATCAGACGATGCATGCACAAAGACAGCCGGAGACGCATTGAAAGCACAGCTCGGCGTGAAGGGTGGTGGTCGAGGTGTGCGCTGGAGTGGGAAATGGACCGGTGTCTGGAGGGAAACGAAGGAAGGGGCAACTGTTGAAGAGATTCTTAAGGGTATCCAGAATTAGAGGTAGAATGGTGTATAAGATGTATTTGTTAGAAATATTAATTGTAGTATATACAAGTAGACATGGGCTTTTGTCATATGCAAGTTGAGGACATGAAAAACGACACGAAGTAAGTATAGAGGAGAATGGAACCATGCGTTTTAGAGCATAGAGTATTGCAAAATACATAGTATGAAGTGCTTCAAAGAACAGACGGTGGTTTAAGGCAACCAATAATGTCTCATCGCAGATATTGCATGTGTGATTTTGGATGCGCCATTGGATGGTCCGGATTCTTGACCGGATGGTGATTTGGTACTTGATTGATCAATATTAGCAGAAATTACATCACTACCTCCTTCAAAGCCGTCATGCATAGATGCCAATTCGACATTCGTAGTCAAGTCTGCAATATTATGGATTAATGAGACAATGTGCAACGAAGATCGAAGCGACTTACGCTCAGGCCGAACTTCGTTGCCGACGGACGTACCTTCAGACGACGGTGAGTCCGAGCCAAAAGAGAGTGCACCAGGCGCGTCAAAGTCGAGAACATCGTTCACGAACTCGTCGTCTGCAACTTCATTGCCATCATCTCCATGCGCAGATACCCGGAACTCGGAAGTGTCGTGTGGAATATACACGCGGGCAGCTCGCTCGCGGCGGCGTGCATTGGCTTCGGCCTCTGCGTTTGCAGCAGCAAGCACCCGCGCAAGGGGAGCATAACCTAGTCCTTCCATATCCGGTCCTTCTTCGTCCGGATGTATATCATCCAAGTCTGTGTCATAATCGATGTCGCTGGTAGCAACCAGCTCAATCTCGCCATCATCGGTGAACATATCGTCTTCCTCATCCTCATCTGGGACATACTCTCCGCCGTCTGAAGACTCGTAATCTGTCTCATCGATAGGTGTGAACGGGAAGAAAATTTGCCGACATGTAGGGCAGCTGCCGTGCTGTAATTACTGAAGTTAGTGTGGACTCCTAAACAATAGCACGATGAAGACGTACGTGTGATTCAATCCATTCGGCAAGGCTACATGCGAGACAGCAGTTAGACGTATAATGTGCAGTACACGGCAGTCAACTCACTCTTTACGGCAGAAAACGTGTCCGCAGCCGCTCAGTTTGACTACCCCGGTCATTTCGCTTGCTCTACGATATGAGTTTTCTGAAGATAGATCCGAGGACCCCTCCTGTCTTTCCTTATATTCCCCATGTTCCGAAAGGATTGACTCGAGTGAGAGCAAGCAGATTGGACAGGCATCATCATTGCTAGTTTCGGCACGCGTGAGTGTAGGTAGTGCACGGAGATTGCTGAGGGCTTGCTGACTGCATGAGGTACACACGTGAGCAGACTGTATGTGGTGGGTCATGGAAGAGAGACACTTGCATTTCTCGTTCTTTCTGATCCAGGAGGTATGAAGGGATCGGCATTACGCAGTCCGGACGTGCTGAAGGAAAGAGACGGGACCCGTAGGGAGGGGACGTGTGTAGTCGTGCACGAGAGTGTGTGTGGTTAGTCTTCCCGTTTCGCGGTGCGGTTGAAGACGCGCCCTTGTGCAGCACGTGATTGGCGTCACGATGGCTTCCACATGAGGAAATTTAGTTCTTGGTTAGGTAACGCAGCCAGAAACAAGACACGCTCGTCATGACTGCACCCTGTTGTTGAAAGAACTTTCTCATTACTCCCGTTTCCTGAGCGAGAAAGCCACATCTGTAAGCAGGAGTGACTTGACTGGAGGGCGCAACGAGGCGTCTTCCTGCATCACTTCTTGGTTATGGACAACATAACGCGCATCAAGATGTGTTTGGAGAAGTGGTCGAGAGGAGGCGAGGCTGAGTGGTGAGCTGCTTTCCTTTTCGCCACTTATTTCTTTACGCTTTTTGAAGGTATACTAACCACCGTTTTTCGCTTCTTTCTTCTCTTTTGCGAAAAGTCGTTCTGACCTCGTATCGCTGCATTGCAACCTTGATGACCGAAATTACACGGAGTCTTCGGACAAACTCGCAACCACATACCAGACTCTTCTGCACGCTGTCTTACGCACATGGTCTCTGGAAGCGGAGAGCCAATTTAGTGCTGCAAAATTTGTAGCGTTTGTGCAGACTGTCCTAGCTGAGTTACCCTCGTCATCTTCTCCATCTACGGAACGACCGCGGTACCTCGTGTTGTTCGGCGAACTGCTCGTAGATCTCGTCTGGGCCATTGACAGCGAACTCGATGAGATTATTGCGGATGCGAAGGCTGTTACTTCAAATCAAGGTGCAGAGACAGAAAAAGCGGAACATGCATCAGAATCAGTCGTAAAAGCCGAAGGTGTTCAAAAAGTTGCCGAAAGCGACAGGGAGACTCTTGCTGAAGTGCTGAAAATGTTACTGGTAAGTCATTCACGCCGCTTTGCAAAGGATCTTGCCTCACTTGAATGATTCTTCAGAACGTTGGAATCGTAGACGCGCCAACGTGCAGAGAACGACTTGATAGCACATTGCTTACCTTGACTGGTCTCATTGCCGACAAACTTATATTCGAGAGGAAGGAGATAAGAACACGGACAGGATTATTGTAAGCTAGTATGGGAGATTTAATCATACTCGTCTGATACGTTTCTGCCAGCTACAAGCAAAACAAATTCAACCTCCTCCGGGAACAGTCGGAAGGCTATACGAAACTCACCACGGATCTCATTGGGAGCCTTGGACCCCCCAATTTGCCATCCTCTGGTTTGCCTGTCGAAAGCTATCAGGCAGTAAAATCTCGAGCCGAGGCAGTGTGGGAGCGCGTTGTTAGCCTGATCGGATATTTCGACTTGGACCCGAATCGCGCGTTAGACATCATTTTGGATGTTTTCTCCGTGAATATTGCGACACATTGGCAATTTTTCCTCGCTTTGTTGGCTTGCTCGCCATGGGTTGGCGAGAATAAGAATGTCAGCGACTGGGAGAAAGGTGTGGGTATGGTAGTGGACCATCAGCCGGACCAGTACCGCGGGAAAAGTTTGGACGAGATTTTGCTTCTCGCCGAGAACAATGCCAAAGGGTCTAATGCCTCAGCGCTGCCGAGCATGCAACCGAAGACGAAAGTGCTAGCGCAAGTGCTGGGATTCAAATTCACCCACTACCAAGTTCGTTTTCTCATCATTTCATTCGTCGGCGGGCGATTCTCAAAGTACTTCTATCTATCCTTCGATCCAGTCTTCGGAAACAAAGGCGTCGTGTCCAAGGGGATTGTACCTAGTGGCAGCGCTACTTATCCGCGAAGAGTTCATTACGCTGGAAGATCTCTATCCGCATGTACGTACAGTTATTGCAAATCACTGGCTGAGACTAACGCTCTAATCTCCGTCAGCTGAGCCCATCCGAAGAGGAAATGCCGAAGCTTCACGGAAAGTACTTGGATGATGTCCGGTCTCGCATCAAATCATCATCCAACAATTTGCTCGCAATGGCAGCTCCGCTGGAGTCATCATCCTTAGGCTCCTCGACTAAGTCAAAGACACCCAATCCTGAGGCGAAGACCCCCGCCGAAGTAAAGGAACCTCCTGCGCAGAAAGCGATGCTACTCGTCGCCCTTCTCTCCGCTGGAGTCCTCCGCCCAGCGATTGCGCTCATGACTCGTTATCCTTGGCTGATTGACATCCATCGCGAGCTGGCGGACTTGCTCTTGCGAGTGCTCAAGGCCTCCATTTCACCACTGTTCGACAAGTTGTTTACTAAGGAACGCAATAAGGGTTTCTTGCAACCGCGCTCGCGCTACGCGGCACCCGGCGTACGTATCGCGCCCGCCCGTAGACCACAGTTGACGCTTTGCGCTCCAACTCCACCAAGCACGCACACTCAAGATTTCGTATTCTTTTTTCCTCAATGGTCGGAGTGGGTTCCTGTTTGTGAATCAGCTGACGATATCATCGACATTGTCGAGCCGTTGATGAGATTTGTTGGCATACATATCAGTCGAGAGCCTCTATTCCTTACTAAGCTCTTGCGTATTGGCAGATCTCATCTCGCGCAATCGGTAAGCCTCGTTTGGTCGTATGTCGGAACCGCAATTAATTAACGCTGAATATTAGCTTACGCCCGATCTGGAAAATAAAGATGGCAAACGTTCAGTGACACCCATTACTGAACCAGAAAATCCTGTTCAGGAATTCTGGCTTCAGACAGCACGGCGCTATCTCCTTCCGGCCCTTTCTATGATGCCTGGAAATGCCGTTTGCACCGTCGAAGTCTGGAACATACTCCGATTCTATGATCTAACAGTGCGTTGGCGTTTATATGGAGAATGGCGAGATCAAACATACAAGTCGCATCCGGAACTAAATGCGCAACGCGTATTGCGAGAACGTGAGGCGAAGGGAATACTTCGTCGACTTTCTTCACAGACAGTCGAGTCACTCGCAGGATCCGTCGCAAAGATGGCGCACACTAATCCATGTATCTTCTTTACGAACGCCGTGAATCAGATTCAAGCCTACGACAACCTAGCTGACGTTGTCATTCAGGCGCTGCGCTTTGCGACTAATATGGGCTTCGACGTTCTCGTCTTCCTGGTCATCGACGCCTTGGGTAATCCTCATAAGGATCGAATGAAAGAAGATGGGGCGAATGCTGCTGATTGGTTGCAGAGTATGTTTTGCTTTGAAGTCAGATTGACGGATTCTAACCGTTTTGGCTTTAGGTCTCGCAACGTTTAGTGGTGCACTGTTCCGCCGTTACAGCACGGATTCATCATCGGTGCTGAAGTATATTGTTCACCAATTGTACAACGGACAGACCTCAGAAATCGTTGTTCTTGAGAAGCTCATTCTTCGCATGGCTGGCATTGAGCCTCTACCGAGCTTGTCGAACGCCCAGATTACTGCGATGGCAGGTGGGCCGACGTTGCGCATTGAAACGGTTGCATCAGACCTTCGTGGTGCGGGACTTGACGTGTCAGAGGTCTTGACAAAAGGGCCGCAGCGTCTCGGGAAAACTTTAATTGACACAAAACTCGCGTTCCCGATTCTCGTGCAAGTAGAGCAGCAACGACAGGCCTGCGTCTTTAAAGCAAGAGACGCCCATTTAAAGTCTATCGCTTATCTGTTCGATGCAACACACGGTGTTCTCCTTCAATACATCGATCTCTTGACGACTCCGGACATTATATCCCCTGAGGACTATCGCAAGATCATGCCATCTTTATCGGAGCTGGTAAATCTGTATGGTGTCAGCCCACCCATCGCAATGCAAATTTATCGACCGATGCTTGATGATGCCATAGCAGTGCGTAAATTTTCCTCGCTGTGCGATATATGCACTGACGATATTATCAGGGACACGCCAGGGCTTGGTGCAGTGCAGAAGCAACTGAAAAACGGCTGAAAGCCGCTTTGGCGGCGAAACGGGAACCGACTAGTAATTCAACAGTTCCTGTGGAAAATGCATCTACGGAGTTCGCCCCGTTACCAGAAGTCAAGCCAGATCCAAATGGTTCTGCGGAGTCTGAGAAAATGGAGTTGGACACAGTGGAACGAAAACCAGGAGAGAATGGTGAAAACAAGGAGGAACTGACCGCAGAAGTGAAGGCTGAAGAAAAGCCTGCTCCCAAAGTAAGACACAAGTGAAGAACGATTTTCCGTGATATCTAACGATAACGACAGGAACCATGGGTGCCCGAGATACGTGCTCTATTCGACGACTGCAAACAAGTAGCTCCTGGCAATACTTTCGATATCATCGGGTTGGTGATGATTATTATCCTTAATACCGAGGATTACTCACACCACTATCAGACCCAGCTTTTACCTCAGCTTTTGGCAAATGTCTAGCTACGATCTTTATTACCCTAAGGAAAAATATGCTGAAGTGGAAAAAAACCTTCGTGCAACGAGTGATGCAATGTATTCCAAGGCTCGCCAAGCCGAAAGGTCATCCGACAGATCCACCAGGGCATCTAGTGGTAGCCTCCGAGTTCAATACGATCGGTATTTAGCGACAATTTCGAAGCTTCGGCAAGAAAAGGCTGCACAAGAGTCAGTTTACCGCTATACAACGGAGAAAGGTGGTCGATTGGATCGCGAGAAGGACCATTGGTTCTCACATGGTAAGTTTCCGCTATTATGATGCGCCAGCACAGAACATTCAGACCTTCTCGCTGCAAAAGTCGGTGCTGGTGCTGGCAAGGGTGCAACCTTCATCCAATCTCTGATCGAGCACTGCATACAACCTCGATGTCTCCTTTCACCTATGGATGCGGTTTATTGTGCGCGACTCATTCGGACGTTACATGAGCGCGGAACGCCGGGATTCCACACCCTAATGTGTTACGACAAGGTTGGGTTTTCGTTCCGTGAATCATTTTGTATTGCTAAAAATATTTTAGTTGCTTGGCGAACACGTGAAAGTCGTAATATTCTCGTGCAGCGAGAACGAAGCAAGAAATTATGGTTAGTCGTCGTCATCATCAAAAGGGCTGCATTTTCACGTAATATTGCACCAGGCCGCTTTTTGAAGGGCATATTACAAGACTTGTACGAGTGGCACAAGGATCAGAAAGCCTATGAAGCAAGTAACTACCGGAAAGATGGTGCAGACGTTGTATTACTGCCCGGCCTGCAAACACATTGGTCAAAAGATGGACCTTCATCTCGCGATGACCTTTTGAAATGGCCCGGATTCAGGTCCTTCCTTAAGAAGTGTCACCGGAAGCTTGGTCAAGTAAATGCATTTTTCGAATCCAACCCTGATTCAACGAGTGTACTAATATATGACATCTAGTGTTTCACGGAATGTATCCAAGCAGGAGATTTCATGCATGTCTACAATGCTGTCTTGGTTCTCAAGGAAATCATCGACGTATTTCCCATTGCTGCGGTGAACGAAGTTGTAGGTTCAAGTATTGATCTGGAGATTCAGAGGCTTGTCCAATCCGAAGAGAGAGGAGACCTGAAGATTCTGGCAAGAGCGTACGTTGTATTTTCTTTTATCGTTGGGTCGAGCTTATTGTCTTCAAAGTTATTCTTCGAGTTTGAAGAAACGGGAGAAGATATGGGCAATGCCGAAAGTGGCTCAGCCCATAAAGGTAGATAGTCTAAGTTTGGTACACTCTGATTCAAACTAACGTTGCTTAAGCCCGTGCCTTCGAGGCCAGCTTCTTCACCATCCATTGGTCAGCCGGAGAAGCCTCGCGATTCACCGGCTCCAATTCCACCCACTGGTCCTCGCGCTTCTCAACCTTCCCTCCCTGCGGCTCCGGAGAAGGCTCCTCCCATCGAGCGGCCTTCGTCTGCGGCCAAACTTGCTCTTGAGGAGTTGGTGTTATTCTTCTTAAATTTTCAAATATATTCTGAGACGAATGGTTCATTCTAGCATTCCTAGACCGGAGGTCGTCAAGAGAAATAGGGATTCTAGACCGCCTGAAACATCACCTGCTGATGCCTCGAAGAAGGTAGAACCTATGCAGGTAGACCAGCAGCTCAATGGCAAGGAGGGACCAATAGTCAAGGCTTCAACTCCAGCTGCGGATTCCCAGCGAGGCAGAGATGAGATTCATTCCCCCCATCCAACAGTCCCGCCACGTCCCGCTGGAAGACTACTGGCAGCGTCATCTTCTACAGACTTGCGGAAAGAAGTTTTGCAGGGAACGAACGTTAGCTCACGTCCTGGAACGCCCATGTCCTCATCCCAGGCCCCCGTTACCCAGAATGGGTTAAAAGATTCTCCCCAGTCATCTCCACGGTATCGTGACCGAGACTCGGGTTCACCGATGGCTCCTCCGGCCGAACCTAGTCAGACGGTCCATGCTCAGGAATTGCGGAACTTACGTCGTGGGGAAAAATTGCCGCAGAGCCCGCGCGAGCAGCGAGCTGACGCAGTCGACTCTCCGGCACGTCGTTCTTTATCACCTGCATCCCGTCCAGGCACAAGGAACGCTAGTGCGGATAGTAGAGCAAGCGGCGATGCTAAGCGAGATCGTGCTAGGCATGATACTGAGGGCGAGGATAGCAAACGTTCAGCAGCTCCGGAGCCACCTTCAAGGGCAGAACGTAACAGCGGCACCCATCGCGATGGCCATAGTCGCTCGGAACGCTCAGGTCGAGACCGGATTCCGGGCAGTAGTACGCGTGATGCTGACCGAGAAAGGGATTCGGACCGTGAAAGAGTCCGGGATAGGCGGGATCGCGAAAAGAGCCATCGCAGTGAGCGCGAGTCTCATCGAGAACGCGATCGTGAGAGGGATCGGGACAGAAGCGACCGTGACAAAGACCGCGAACGTCATCGGCGTGAGGAAAGGGAGCGCGAACGTGAACGCAAAGCAGTGGCTGTTAAGGAACCAGAGGTTCCCTCTGAAAATACCTTGCCTTCGCGCTCGGATGGTTCTCGCCATCGGACACATACGGACTCGTCTCAGGCGGATGTTACCCTTGGGAAACGGAGAAGGACTCCTGACGACGAGGTAAGTAGATCGGATATAATATCTAAGGCGTTTTCAACTAAGTATGGGCACACAGTCTGAACGAAGCGCGAAACGTTCCTCACGCCAACGAGAAGAGCGATCCCGCAAGACTTCGGAGAAAGATACTAGCCGTGACTCGAATCGAGAGTCCGATCGTCGACGGAAAGAGCGGGATGCTCAAGAGAATGACACACACGTGAAAAGCACGGCTACAGAAAAGGTAACGTCATCTTCTGTGGACTTCCCGATGATTCATTGAATGACGAGAACCACTCATATCAGCCTTCGGATCGTGTGCGAGAGAATGAACCTTCGTCTGTTAGCACTCCTGCCAAGGCTTCCGCTCCGCCACCTTCAGCACCACGGGCAATACTACTAGGTTCAGCGCAAACTCGATCGGGAGGACGAGGTGATACCTCACCTGCAATTAATCGTGAAAAAGAACAGGACCGGGATCGAGGCGCTAGAGACCGGCCCGAGCGCAGTGGCCGAGGAGAGCGGATGCATGCAGACCGCGATGTGTGGGTCGACAAGCCGGAAAGGTCCGAAATGAGTGAGCGAGATGACAGGGAGCGGGAAAAGACAGATAGAGGACAAAGGGTGGATAAGACCGAAAGGGAGTGGAAGGAAGGTCCGGGAAGAGCAACGCAAAACGGATCTGCCCCTCCTACTTCTCTGGGTAGTCTTCGAGATCGAATAAGCAATGCGCCTGGTACTCCTCAGCCTTCAGCAAGTTCTTCTGGAAGAGGCGGCGTGGGCGGAACTTCGAATCGTGACGAGCATGGCGACAGCTTGAAGCGTTCCATCACTGAACGCGATAGGGATATTCCAGCGGATACCTCACTGTCTGGATCCAACGCAATGCCGGCACCTTCCAAGGAGTCGTCAAAGAGAGTACGAATAGATAGGTCACGTTTCCGAGGAGACAGTGGTTCTGGGCCAGCTAAGAGAACGGTCAGGCAATGAAAGCACTTTGGCTAGCTGAGCGCACTACAATGCTATTACACTTTCCAGTTCATCGCATTTCATTCAGCTATCTATGATCACGTAGTCCTGTATTTAGTCTCATGCATAATTAATGTGGATTATGCCTTGCAATATAGACTTTCACAAGATGGCGATGTTAGGTTCTAGATCTAAAGTGCATTCGTTCCTTACTCCTCGGGAAGTCGATAATGATTCCGGGTGCTTGTTACAAAGCCGTTCGGAACTCACACTCCGCTCCTGTCTCACGAAGTACACGGACAAAGTCACAGTCTACAATAGTGTATATCACTGTATGTTAGTGGTATCAACGCTTCTGTCTCGTTTCCAATAATGGAAATATTCAACTTTGCTTCCGTCAATGCACTTCTTGATCTCCTAGCAAGTAGTACTACTACGACAGGGAAGCTGTCAACCATTGCAAGATACTAACCCCAAAGCGCTCAGCGGCTCAAAAAGGACTGAGAAGCAGTCCGATACAACGTAGGAGCGGGCGGAGTTTGAAATCACGTTTTTAGAATACTTAACAGGCCTAGGAAGCGCCCGACAACATCGCTGAAGCTAACATGAGAAGCTACACAATGTATTGGAGAATCTGAATAGTGCTGCGCAGTGTCCATAGAAGACACACATAGTGCATCGTCGCTCTAGTAAATCCGGACGGAACTTGCGCGTGTTTATTGTGGGGAAAGCGGAACTAAATAATATTATTCATTATTTATAGTTGTTTGGAATGGTTTGTGGTCATTTTATCTTAGATTTCTGGGAACTCATTTTAATCTTAGGCATCGTAAATCGCTTTCAACCCGAGGAGTGTAAATGAGTATTACTATTAATCGGTGCGGTCGACATGCGTCTGCAGTGTCTGCACAGCGGCCGCGTTGTATACACGCGTTCAGGATGGACACTCTCGTACGAGCTTAGTAGTAAAGGCCCTGGGGACTCAGTGGGATGAAATCTCACGGAATCTCGTACTGACGTCGATTCCGCGCGCACGGAACGGGTTAACGCCGATCAAAAGCCTGTACGTCTCTAGAAGCACAGCGGGCGTGTGCCTTCTTTTCTGAATCTTTGGTGCTTGGGCCCAAATGCTGTGCACCCAATCAAGGACCGCGGAAGACCGGACTCGGAATACTAATTTTTTGTGAGCGGCAGATAGCGGGGCTGGGAGAGAGTGCGCGCTCCTGGGGCTGGCTTCAAGCATGAACACCGGAGACATCGAGATGTGTCGTTAGCCGCAGTTCAGGATAGGAGGTCTAGGTTGTGTGTGCTGAGTATCTCGCAGCGTGTTGCGGTAATGCCGGAGTTTGCAATAAATAACATTCATTAACAATATGCAATAATATAGATCTTTATTATACAAAATTACACCTGCGTAACATAAACGTGCCTTTCTCGCTTGTACAGTCTCCACTCTCGCTAAACAGTATAAAACAAACTACAGCGTTGCCAATAAATGGTGGGAAGTAAAAGGGAGGGGAAAGTAATAAGTCATTATAAAACCAGGAGTTAGGCGAGTTGAATCGTAAAATGATTTGATGCGCTGAAGACCATGCAAATTGGGGTTGCCCGGTATTTCTGAGTTTCATGTAAACGTGTTAAACGTCTCTCTAGTGTGTCCGCAATGGAGTTGGATCCTTGAGCATGCAGTTGAATGGTGAGAATGAAAGCTTGGAGAGGAAAGTTTGCCAAGTCATGCAATGATGTGCTGTCGTCGTCTAGCGCGTCTTCGAGTTCATGAGAGTAAGAAACTCCTCGCGGGTCTTTTGCTGAGTGCGAAAACATCCAAGCATACAGGATGTGATGGTAGCCGAACCGGGCTTCTGCACACCCCTCATCGTCATGCACAAATGCCTGAAACCGCGGCAGGTGTCAGCACGATAAAATAGAAAACTAACATAGATCTCTCCAAAGTAGACGGAACTTACGTTGCCTCCATAACGACTGCCACGCCGCGAGGCTTTATGGCCTCCTCAACAGCAACAGCAATTTGTTTTGTGAGACGTTCCTGAACTTGTAGCCGACGGCTGAAGGTTTCAGCAATGCGTGCGAGCTTCGAAAGACCTAACACAAGTTTTCTTGGAATATAGGCAATCGTGACCTGAGTGTAAAAACGTGTCAGTATCCGCAGTGTTGGCTTTGAACGCGGCGTTAACGACACTGTGGGTATGTGTTGCAGAAACACGAGTAGGTATCCAGGGAGAGGGAGAAGCGCGTTACACGAAACGGTGGGGCGAATATAGTTGGACGAATAGACGAAAATGACGAAATCAATTTCCGAAACGAAGGAAGAGTGAAGAAGTGAATGAATTACAGAAAGTAGAAAATGACAGACGGACTGACTTTTCCGGTGAAGGGCACGAGGTGGTGTTCACATAAGGAGAAAATGTCGATGTCGCGGACAATAACCATCTCGTCATGGTCCTCGGGGAAAATAGCATCATTTATCACGTCTAAAAATGGTAAACAAAGGAGGCAATAAGCTTCGGAGTGGTAGCAAGGCGACAAGAAGCACAGAAGCATGAACCTGCCAATCGCTCTTCATAACCGCGAGTCATCCACATGAGAGCCTGAGCATAACGTTCAGGAGTTCGTCTCAAACCGTCGCGCTCTGGATCTTCGCCAATGCATTCGAGGAGCGTGCGGACGGCGCCGGCGAGCTTCTCTTCGCGAGCTTTGCGTTGTGCGGGAGTCGAATAGAGTCGCGAGAGAGTGGACTTTGCGGGCCAGCCAAGACCATTTGGATCCGGGAGAGGTGACTGGGTTCCTTTGGCCGTAAGAGGAGTAGACGAGCCTGAGAGCGGACGGAAGCCGTAGCCCTCGCGTTGGACATGCTGCGCGTGTGCGGCTGGACGGAGTGACGTTGACGGGTGATCGAGGTCGTGGTACTCATGCTCAGATTGTTCGGACTGCTGGGAGACAGATTGGTCGTCGCCATCGGCTGCTGCTACTGCTGAAGCATCGCTGTGCTCGTCGCCTTGAGGCTTGTCGTGCGAATCGGACGAGCCCAACTCGGCGTGCATGCGCAGCTTTGCAAGCGAATTAAGCACAGCGTCGTGGCTCTCCATGTACGATTACTACTGTAGACTAGGATTAGATTAACTACACAGCAGTATCAGGACGGGCTGGACAAAAAAGGCGAGCCTGGGAGTAGAAGAATGAAAAATTCTTGTCGGAAAACGGTGTATGCGCCTAAAGCGGCAGGGACGGGGCTGGAATAGGAATGTCGTATGGGCTAGCGTGTGAACGGATTGTGAGCTGGCGGAACTGGCTGGGGGCTAGTGGGAGGGCAAAAGCGGAAGGCTGAAAGAGCCGGGAATAATTAATTTTATATTGGCGTAGGCGGTTCGATCAGGTCGACCGCTGAGCTGACGGAGCTGCTGCCAGAGTGAAAGCGGCAGCCCGAGAGTGGCTGTGTCACGTGCGTGCATTTCGTGCATGAAATGGCTTTAGTGACCCAGTGTCGCGTTCAGACTCACTACTATCTTTGCAGAAACGATACCAACATGGCGGTCCATATCTTTTCGCCCTTCAAATATCGACCTCCTTTCTCTTCCCCATTCGCCTTCCCGCTATGCCCCTACCAAGTCCCTCGCTCTCCCCGCGCATCGCCCGCCTCGCCCCAAGGCCTTGTGGCCCCTCCGGCTCTCGGTCAAAGCACTTTCGTAGTGAACAAGTCGTTCTCTCTGACACCACCACAAAACCACATCCCATGTCTCTTTTTGAAGCCTGGAACGCGTCCAGACCAGCCGTTGACGCTGCTGAAGACGCAAAGAGTACAAGCCTGTATGCCCAGCCTGGTTCTCATAGGAAATGCACCTTTGCGAACATCTCTTTAGCTTGGACGATCTTGCAGTCCACTTTCTTGGATGTACTTTTCCTGCTATGGGGTCTGAATCCCATCCGGACAGCCTCTCTCGTATTGCTTACAATTATAAGAGGTCTCCTTCCGGCTTTCCGGGGTTACTCCCAAGCTCTAATATTGGACGAGGTAAATGCTCCCTTTGTTTCATAAAACATTTGATGCAAGTCAATTCTGACTTGAATGACTAAAATTTCAAGCTCCAAATAATCTTCACCTCGGGGGATTACGCGTCCGCTCGATTCGGGCGCCTCATACGTCTCGTGCTCAGAGAGTGCCTTCGTATGCTGGCCGAATCTCTCTTTGACGCCATTGCGTACGTAGATATGTTCTCGGACTCTTTGTATCAATGTTAAAATGTGGCCTTTTCGTAGTAACCATAATGAGAACATAGTACATAGTTCCATGCGGTTTCATATGGAGCAGCGTCAGCTGGAACAGCGTCTCCGTCTGGATTTACCAACCCTCGCCGATCCGACTGTGCGTGACCTTTTGCACGAGTCCGACCTTTTTGTACGGTCATTCACGGGTCTTGGCTATGGCTTCGGCCTCTTCTCCCCTCTTGATCTCGTGCGAGCTCTGTCCTCAGTTGCAGAGCTCGTGAGCCAATTCGTCATTCTGTATTCTGCCTCAAGAGTCTCGTCCCTTGCGCTTTTCCCATCCTTCTCCTCCGACCCCTCAGAGAAGCATTCTGTTTCTCACTTACCCCTCCTTGGCGCTATCCTTCTACCTTCGCTTCTCTCGCTACTAGCCTCATTTCTCCCCCGGCTTCCATTCTTATCCAATGAGTGTTCTGCTGCAGACGCGCTATACACTCCAGGAGAAGCACGTGAGTCAGAACGTGCGGAGCGCATGCGTTCAATGGCATATGGGGAACCTTTCCGTGCTGAAATCGCCCTATTTGGTTTGGCTCCTTGGATTCTTGATTCTTGGTCTTCTGCTCGAAAGCGAATCCTTCGGCTGGAAACTCAACAGGATGGATTGTATCCTGTAGTAGGTCTCGGGTCGGGCCTTAGGTGGCTTCTGACCCAAACAAACGTATCGGAGATGCTTGTTCTACTACAAAATGTTTGTTATCCATCTTAGACGATGTTTCGTATCAAACCTTGACTAAAGGAAATTTCCCAGCTTCCTTTCTTCATTTATTCTTCAACAAACTCTCTTGGATCACTCGCACTCTATCGCAATTCCTTACACTCCCTTTTGTTCAATGTACGGTCTCTGGTGTCCTTGTGCGAACGGGCCTTCCAGTCTATTTTCTACATGGGCGCATTCTTCGCGGCGATGAATATTGAGCCTAAGTACGTAGTCCTGCTTCTTCACGTATCAGCTATTAATACCTTCTGATCATAGGCTTAATCCCGAACCTGGTAGAGGGGTGAAGTACGAAAGCACAGGTAAAGGAATGAAGATAGAAGCCAGGTAAGGAATGCTTCTGATGATCGCTACTTCCTCTCTGCTTCGTTCCCTTCGGCAACCACTTGATCGGCTTCGGACGGCGTTTGGGACGTACTATCGGCCCTAAGTTGCTCTAAGGACGCGAGAATAACTTCGTGACCGCAGTATGCTGATCTCTTTAATATAGGCATCTTTCGTTTACTTATCCGGGAAGCAAGAAGCCAACTTTGAAGGTTTGTCCTTCCTTACTCTTTATACAATGTATCAAAAGCTTAAAGTGATTTGCAAGGACATAAGTTTCACAGTTGAGGCTGGTGAAACACTTGCAATAGTCGGTTACAATGGATCTGGTAAGCGTGCTTCTGGTGTGTTTTAGCGTTGGTCGACTTGAGCTTCTGATGGTCCTGGTCTTCTTATAATAGGCAAAACGACACTTTCGAATGTACTTCTCCGTATTTTCGACTTCGACGCTTCAACGTCACCCGATAAACAAACTTCATTATTTATAAATAATGTCGACATTCGCCGCATTGCTCCAGCGGATTATCATCGGCATGTAACAGCCCTCTTCCAGGTGTTTTCAAAGCTTAATGCAACGGTACGCGAGAATGTTGGCATTGGTGAGCTGGGGAGCCAGTTTAGGTAGTGATCGTCAATTCTCCTTTTAACGCAAACATCTGTAACTCTTGGTGCGAATTCTTTGTAGGGACCACCCAATCCGCGAGGCTGCCACACGTGCTGGTGCTGGACGGCTGCTAAATACGTTGCCGCGAGGCTTAGACACGAATCTGGATTGCACTGGTTTGGGTCTTGGTGCATTCGGCGAAAACCCATTCACAGGTGGTAACATCGAAAATGGACGACAAGGTCTGTCAGGAGGGGAGGTCTGTACTTCTCTTTTTCCCAGTCGCTTTCAGGTGTCGATGTTAACCGACTGCATGGTCTCACCATAGTGGCAACGCGTTGCTATCTCTCGAGCTTTCATGCGTGCACGCTCTGCTGATCTCCTGCTTCTTGACGAGCCGACATCTCATCTTGATGCGCATGCCCAAAACAACGTGCTCGAGGCTGTCGATACACTTTGCCGCGACCCCTTGACAGGCAAAAGGACTAAGACAGTTATAATCATCACGCATCAGCTGTCAATTGCCAAGCGTGCTGACAAGATTGCAATGTTTGAGAACGGGGTATGTATTTCCTTCTCCCGTACACCGCCATGCTCATTCGGCCTTAGACTATTAGCGAGTTTGGGACTCATGAAGAGCTCATGTCCCGACCAGATTCCCACTACGCATCTCTGTACCGTGCTACCGTCTGTTGATCAGCGGCTGGCGATATTTATAAAGAGAGTCCTATCCTGTTGTGGTTAATATTCCAACTTGTTTCAGTACTGTGCATCCGTTTGTCTTCTACCTCCTGTTTCACTATTCTCGCAAATAACTCTCTCAAAGCAATAGCCTGATTCGTTTACAATAGATTTCAGTCCGTCCTTAAATGCTAGCAGATTCCTCCTTACATACAGACTCGCTGTTTTTATATCAACATAGTTACTTTGTATCATATCTGCGTCAGCTACAAGTTATAAAAATAAATGAGTTACAAACCTTTTCACTTTTCTCAGATCCCTCGAGAAGAGTGGTCCAAAAAGGTTACAACACCTTCGTGGATGAAAGCATCGACAGAAATGGTTGTATCGCCGTCAGACGGATCATTGAGTAAAGTACACTGATCGTGCTTCCCGTAAACTCCAAGTAAAAGTCCAGTGTCCTTAACGCCTTGAACAAGCGAAGGGACCTTTATCTGAAAATCCTGATGAACGAAGTAAACGATGGGAGAAAGAATCAAGTATACACACCAGAAGATCCGCATCTAGGAATATGCCGAGAAGATTGTTCGCCTTCGCCCAGTCGACTGCAGCACTGATGCTCGATAATCTGCGATCGTCTACATCTTCGGGCCCAAGAGCGGTCTCATTTGGGGTACAGGCACCCCGTACACCACACTCTGATGCTAGGAATACAGGGTCTGAGATGATAGGAAGTTAGAGCCTTGTAAGGAAATGCAGATAGGAGAGTGGTCTTCAGAATTCTCACAATTGGGCTGCTTCCAGTTGAGAGCGGCACAGACGTCCGGGTTGAAGGAGCCAAATACGATACGCCGGTGAGGCTGGAATGGCAAGCCGTGATACACGGCCTTGAGTACCGAATCTACAAAATCGTTCAGGCCGAGTGTATGGCCATGAGCGAATGTATTCCGCTTCCGCGAGGTACAGGAAGAAAAGGCTAGATCGAGGTGCATGCCGAGGGAGGTAGGAAGAACCTTTGAAGAATTTAATACTCGGTTTCGACCATGTGCCCGACGCCTAAGCTTGACAGGTCTCGGACTGAACTCACCTTCATTAAGTCTCGCAACGGAATTAGAGCACTGGATAAAGTTTCTTGCCATTCCGATGCTGAAATCGATTTATAACTCGAGAAGTCTACCCGGCTTCCTACCCGCGAGCATATGGACTGCAATTGGGCCAGCGTGACGTCTGAGACTCCTAGATCGAAGTCGGGCACTGGGAGCCTCCATTTATTGTAAACCACGGGATGTAAGTCACGCGTCACTTGTATAGTGAGATAAACGTAGTCTCCAACTAGAGAAGATGTCGTTATAGTATGGCCGCCGGTTCCAGAGATAGAAAGGTTTGAGGGAGAGGTTTGAGTCATCCCAAGCGTCCTGAACGGCTGTGCCATTTTTGAAGATGGCTTTTCCGGCGAGACTGAGAACGGTGTTGCTAGTGATTTCCAATAAGTTTCGATTGCTCCGCCAACTTCCAAAGTAACGCCCTTCAGCGGAGTGATAATTCGAGCTTCGAAACGAATCTTAAATAGTAAGTTAACAAATAGCCATGAAGCAATATAAAGAGACCGCAATGGCAATGCTCACTTCTCCTATCATATGAAGCCGATGGTCTAAAATCGGTAAAACAAAGGCGGCATTTGTGTTGCTTAGCAGCATAGAAGATAGTGCTATCGCCCGGCCTATAGTCTTCGTGCCGAAGTTAGGACAGATGGAGAACTCGAGGTACACACTACCCAAGTCCGCGGTCTGAAAAGTGAAGAAATCGCGTTCATCTCGGAGAGGAATTGGTATGCTGTAAGGGGCCGCGGCGATGTCAGGTCTGCACGTCATTACAAGCTTGAAGAGAGGCGAGGGATGCGGATATTGGGTTGTTGAAACGTGCATGAATCGTGGCAACAAATGAACGGGCGAGTCCCTTCTCGACCAGCGAGAAAATGAGTGTCCGATGGATATATGGATCAAGCACGTTTTATCAATAAAACTGTGGCCATAGACGCGATAGGGCATAATTGGTGGAGGAAGGGATAATGAGGGTATTGCATCCAAATCTGCATCCGTCAAATTCTCGTCCTCTGCCATAGATGAGATGTTTGAGAAGACATTCGTTCGATACCCAATCCCGCCCGATCCAGGTGCCGCTCCCAAGAGTAGCTTAACACACTGAGGGTGGCCATACCAAGCGGAGTAGAACACTGCTTGCCGTCCGGTTTCGTCGGCTATATGCGCTCTGCTTCCTAATTCAAGCAATACGTGGACACAGCGGGCATGTCCATTTCGTGCAGCATGAAAGAGAGGGGTCCATTCATTGTATTTGTCCGGAACGTCCCACCCTTCATATTCTCGGAGAATCCGACAAATTTCAGCGTGCCCCTCTTGAGCGGCGATGTGAATAGGGAATTCGCCATTGGTATTCGGGATGTTCTTGGCATTGTGTTGCAGCAATAGCTGTACCACATCGACCTGTCCGACACGACAAGCCAATGATAGGGGGATCAAGTCATTTGCAGCCGTTGGTGGGCCAAGATCTGCGCGTCCCCCATTAAGGAGAATGGCCACGCATTCTATGTTACCTCGAAGTACTGCATACATTAACGGCGAATAGTTATCAAGGTCTAGAGATGATGGTTCAAGGCCTGTAGAAATGAGCCTCGAGCAAACAGCTCCATAACCATTCATTGCAGCGTAATGAAGCGGAGTTCTTCCTGTCTTTAATATTAATGGAGTTAGAGTATGAAAGACATGAAATTTCACCATAAACATCTGCGCGTCCCACCTCGATTCCCCCAGTAATACACATATTAACCAGGCGGTCCTGTCCCGCAATAGCGGCCTCGTGTAAACAAGTCCGCCCGTTGATGTCGTCTACGAAATGAAGATCGAAAGGCACAGATGGACAAGAAAGGATCAAGTCTGCAAGAGAAGGGGGTGCATCAATAATGACCTTCCAGAGAACGCGTGTAACATGTGCTTTGCTTCCTGGTTGGGCGAGTAGAGTGTCTGACTCCTGCACAAGTTCTCGTATAGCACGTTCATCACCCGCCTTAACTGCGTTCTGGAGGTTTGTCTCCAAGTCGCGGTATGGACCCATGTGCAAGCTGCGTTCCAGAGCAATCTGATGCGTCAACATCATGTCATTCACAATGGAACCGTCATTGCTTAATCCAATTGTCAAGTCGGTGAGATCAAGAAGAACTTGCGCCACCACGTCCGCCAGCTCGCCGATAAGCTTCCGATTGAACACAGGTTGCACGTCGACCTGTCGAGAAAGGTACAGCTCCTTTGTCGTGGACTTGGACCGTTTGTCCCATTTTTTCAAAATCTTCCGAAAACCGATAGCATTAATTTCCACAAATTGCTGCCGGGACTCATCAGTATTTGAATTTGTATAATATGAGAGTTTATAATTAGTTACCTGTAATTTTGCAAGATCACGTTCGAGGACACGGAAACCTTCCTCTACAGCTTTCCATTCAACATGATCCTTAGGAGTTGAGTCTCCAGTGGCAGGTGGCAGTCTTGAAGCAGCAGCCATCCTCTTCGATAGCAGTGTCTCCAATCTAAGTTTCAATTCTGCCTCCTTCTGAAGGTAGAACGAGTTTATCTGTATTGAAAATTAATGAACGGACGTAAGGCGAATGTTACAATGAGTAGGAATCACGTCCCACCTTCTCAAGTTCTCGCTCCAGCTTAAAGAAGAACGCTACTTTGTGAGCTTGGAAATGAGGGCCCCTATCTTCATCTCTTCCCGAGGCTGACAGCAATGCCAACGTCTGTCCATCTTGCAGTTCCAAGGCCTGCGTCCCTGGCGCAGGCGTATCACCAACGGCGAGAGTGGCAGCTTCCACGCTATTTCGACCAGCTGTCAGGGAAGACACGATCTTTTTGAGGCCCTTGTAGTCTAGATAGTAGAGAGACCATCCCGGGATCTGTTGTGCAAGGATTTGTTTCCCGAACTGCGAAAGCAACGAGGCGGTCGAATTGATTTAGCAAGAACCCCGATAGGCAATCGGAGGGACATGGCGAACCTTCATACCCCGAGCGCTATTGACAGCGGGCTAGGCGTTGATGTCAAAGGATGTGGCGACGATTCGACGGCATTCGTGTTTTAATCAAGGTATATGCATTTTGGCACGAACGTGCATCTTGTTGACGCACTCAATTCTAAAACACCCTGGTCGCGTGAGGTCACTGAGGCCAAGCGGAGGATCGACGGCCTCCCATTCATTCTTTTAAATTTTTATTCCTTCATCCTCGACCGCAAATCATAATATATTCGATAACACAAATACTATACTAAGATCTTCCTCAGTTGCCAAATAGCAGCAGGCATAAGCGTAACTGGACAACGTTCGTGTTCTTCTACGTATTGATGTACGCATCGGTAGCAAAACACGTACCCTGATGGGAGAGCCGTCGCGTTTGCAATCGGCCCCGAGCAAAGGGGGCACTCGCCATATTTAGTGTTGTCAACAATAAGTCCCTGAGGGTGTGGTTTGAGAAGCTTTGGAGGTGGGATCTGCGGACCCGAAGGCGTGGCTGCGACAGTTCGCGCTGGAGATGATGGTGAATACCACCATTCAAGGAATTTAATGAAGAAAATCGCGGTCGGTAAAAGCACTTTGAGCGATTCGAGAACTAGTCTGGGAGACCGCCAAATCAGACGGCGCAAGAGCGATAAGAATGTCTTTGGTCGGGGAAGTGAAGGTGACTGATTTTGAATGACTTTACGAATAGGCTGCTGCTTTCGATGAGTAAATCCGGAGTGTGGATAGAACCCAGTACATCACATACCATATCATCTGGGCCGATCCTTCGCAGATCGGTGCCTATCCACGACAGCCAGGGACGATAAAATGCAGAACGGTCGAATAAATAGGCGACGTTGTAACACATTAGCCATGTTTCAAACGCAACATTCAGCCATGGATATGCTTTCTTGTATGCTTCTTGAAAGCGAGCATGAATGTTCTGTAATAAGAAGTAAACGGACAAACCACGATAGGTAGCAAGAGTGGACATACGTTTTCACGATTTCGAGGATGGGAACGGTGGTCAGTTCCATCTTCGAATAGTGACGAGTCTACACCGCCTCCTACAGCCTCATAATAATCTTGAGACTTGGCCCGGAGATATGGGACAGCAACCTGGAAGAAATGAATTATAATGGATTTCCTTCAAGGCATACGTTCTCTTACCAGGAAGAAAAGAGAGCGACGAATGTCCTTTTCTCTCAGTTTACCCTCTCCAGTCGTGGAACCAACAGCTACCTTCGCTCGCGGAGTATCATAGAGTGGTCTTCGCCTACGTTTCAGCCCGTAGAAATTTTCGGCAAAAGAGGCAGCTATTTTAAAACGTCAATTAAGAACACCGAGTTAATGGTCTGCGCTTACCGTGAGTTCGCAGGTAATGCTTCTCGACAAAAAACATGAGCAACGCATAGAACTCTTCATGTCGATTAACAATGCGCAATAGGTAACGTGGATATCTTTGTGCGAAAACCTATATTCATAAGTCAGGGGTGTACATTGTATAGAAAATTAAATACACGTACGGACAGTACGTATTTCAAGGCGGGTTGGAGAAGATCCCTGAGCTGTTCCTGGGCAACGAGTTCGAAGAGAGAAGGTCTCGAAGGATCCGTTCCAATATCGTTGAAAAACTCCATGGCTTACAGCTTGAGTGGAATGAAGTCGTGTTCGTCTGTTAAGTCCGCTGTCCAGGGTTGCGGAAAAGAAATAGCATGTGCAGTGCACAACGTAAGAGCAGGTGCTTCCTTATTGAGAGCCCGAGACAAGTTTGCTTCCGTCGTTGAGCATTCCAGACTCGCAATGACTATGGTTACGGACTGCGTCAAACTCGGACGTCTGACAATTTGAATGATTTACAACTGTTGTGCTCGGACTCAGAGAATCAGATGAAACAAGCTTCGTAGTGCGCTTCCTTGTCTTGTGTTTGGCTTCCGTTCAGGCATACAAACGCGTGGCTGCCGCAAGGCCCGGCTCTCCCCACCTTTACCTTTGCTCGATACGAGGACGACGCAAGATGTTCAACGGTCTTTATTCACAACATGTATCACCTAGCGAAGCTGAAATGGCTGCACAGACATTATCCGAAGAGACGGTGAGTGTATTGGTTTAATTTTCTTTTTTTCTGTTTTTGTCACTCATGACCAATCTGCACACTAGACATACCGGTTTCCTGCTTTTTCTTCCAACGATGCCGTTACTCTTGGTCTATCTATTCGTAAACGCTTTCGAGGCTCTTCCAGACACGCTGCAAAAGGTCGTGGACTCGTGATAAAAATACAAACTATTGCTGGGCACGAGCTCTTTTCATGTACAGTTGGCGAGTTGGGTGCAGCGAGTTCGTTGGGTGATGTCAGCCTTGATGCATGGGCGAGCATCGAGGGCATGATAAATGTTGTGAGGCGCACAGGGCATTCAAGCTTTTATGTCGAAAAGGGAATTGGTGCAATGGGTGCGTTTTGTATGAATGACAATCATATTGGGATATGATCGCCAGGGTTCATCATCACTTTGAATTCTTGTCCGTAGGGAAAACACCGAAGGATATGGGCATTCGGGGTGATTATTCTGTTAATGGCGGTGGTCCGTATATCTTTCTGTCCTTGTTGAAGATTATCTGACATGTTTGGGAAAAGCATTTCCAATATGGCTTCAGGTAACCGAACTTTTCAAGACCTGAGTGCATGACCAATTTTTAATTATGCGTGTAGAACTCGCTTGTATGTCCCGTAGCCATTGTTGCTGCATATGGGGGGTCTAGTATCGATGACCATCGAGTGAGTGTTCTGCTATCGGCTTTTGCGTTGGGTACTGAGCCGCTGAGTTATCATTATTATTTTTGTTTTCTCCAGTTGGTCGTCACTTCAATTCGGGACTACCTTACTAAAACATTCAACTTCAAGGGCGAGCTAACACAGTCTCCGACAACTTCAGTGAATCCGTCAATGGGTCGTCGTGGAAGCATGGTACGATAGCCAGTTTCACTGTCTTGCTCGTTTGTATCATTGTTGTATTCATGTCGCATTTTTCTAAACCTTCTTTCAATTGCTGCAGGAGTGGGTTCAGAATCATGCGATGACGGAAGCATATCCCGTGCAAAGTATGCGGGCGCACTCTCCTTTTGAACCTAATGATTACGGAGAATAATCAAGTCTTGGGTTTTCTAAGGGTTTATATTTAGAAGAAATTACTCTGCAACTTTGAAAATACTCATCCGAATCAAAACACGACTGATGAACGAACTAAACGATTAAGTGAAGTTTACATAGATCAAATAAAACCAGTCAAAAAATCATTATTCAGGAGATTCTGCCTCTGCATCTGCCTCTGTGTCGTGACGTTTCGGGGACCTCAACAAGCGGATTGTCTCTGTTTTGCATTGTCAAAGATAGACTATGCACTATACTCAAAATGCTCACCATGACGAAGGAAGATTTGGCGTTGTCCTTGAAAAGATCCAGGCTCAGCCGCGGCATCTGGCTCACGCAGCTCGTAGTTTGCTTCAACATAAACATGGGCACCCCTTTGAAGAGTCCGCAGGTACTCGAAACTCTGAGGCATGAAGCAGTAAACGTGATGCCAGCTGGTCCTGGCAGACGGACGAGCTAAAATAAACAATTATCACCAGACATTATCATCTATGGACCATTCAGCACAACGATCTGCTTACAGCCATCGGGATTTGGCGGCGGAGGCGGGTAATTCGTTGTCGCAACGACGTACCTTTAGAAACAAAGATCGTCAGTGTGAAGCACAGTTTAGACACCACCAACAGCAAAAATACACGTACGTGACGTACTCCTTGTTGGTAGCAGTAAGCTTAGTCTCGGGTTCTCTGCCAAGACGACCAACGAGTGTTAATTTCGCAACATCATGAGAGCGACGCGCGGTGGTCGAAAACAGCTACAGAATTAGCTGTCAGAACGCGTCAAAAGTCCGCTAGTAACAAGCATACGCGCTGAGATGCACCATCGACGCGTGCGGCACGAAGTAGATTGAACATTGTCGACGTAGGTATTGAGGTCTCACTTTGTCGTTGTCGAGTTGAAGATAGTAGCGTAGTAATAAATTGTGTGTCGCATTTTCTACAGCTGACGTAACAGAATCTCACGTGACACCAAACCTCAACGCTTCGTGCCATGCACCGACTTCCTTCTTGTAGACCACTTCCGTGCACAGCTCTTTGTCTTGTGTCTCGCCGACATTCTTTAGTGTACATACGCCCATTTTGTTCCTTCCTTGTGCATCAATATGTCTCGTCACCGGGCAGTTAGAAACATGAACATTGAGGGTGAGCCTCTCAAACGTGCATACACTGACCTTGCTAAATCCTGTATAGAGGAACTCAATGACGACGCCTTCTCCGAAGAGGAGGGATTTGAAATGACCCCAGATGAGCAAGGTTGGATATTTGTCTTGTTTAGTGCTACATTCTGCCTATTAAAGCCTATTTTTTTGTCAGTGCAATTCGAGGACGCCTTGGATAAGGTCTACGAGATCGTGGGAGACGAAGCGACCACAGGGGTTCCTGATTCTTTCGTGAAGCAAGTTGTATACGATTGTTTCTTTGATGTTAATCAGAGCATAGATATAATACTGCGTAAGTTGCACTAGGGACATCTGGACAAATTTGACAGCTAATTTCATCCACAGAGGAGAAAGCGCGGATAGATGCAGCTAGAGAGCGAAGAGGTGAGCTCTCGGTCCTTCCTTTCCCATTTCCTTTCGGATTTCCCCTCCCCGCTCCTGGTTCCCATGCGTTGTCCACCATATAAGGTGTGTGTATGTGGTGGACTCGCCGCACGATAGAGCGAAGGTGCTTGTTATCTTCTATACAATCCCAATAATTTCGTATACCACCCCTTCGCTGATACACTTGCGGATTATCAAGATGACAGAGGACTTCCCATACGTCCTCCGGGTGAAGAGGGCTACGAGGAGTATTACGCGGAACTTGGTGGCCAAGCATCTGATTATCTTGTACCGCAATCTACTGGATTCACTAGGCGGCTGTCAACGATTTCCGAGAGGACGGAGGGGACGGAGAGAACTCCTAGAACTCAGAACAGTGGGCCCTGGCCGTCCCGTCAGGAACTCCTTGCAAGCCGACGTCCTCCGTCAACACCAACGACTAGTTCATATGGCCAAGTTCTGCATCCGTCTGCTAGTACGTTTGGACTTCGTCGGAAAAGTGGCGTAGAGGGAGGTGATGCACGCTCGGACTTGACTACGTCCGAAGATTATGGCCAGGTCATAGGTAAGCAAGCCAGCTGCGTATATTTTCCGATCTTCCCATCGACCCCATTCATTTTCTTCGCCTATAGATAACGAGCGAACAATCGATCCAAACGACATTCATCCGTCGCCGTCGCTCTCAGCTATTCGTCACTTAGAAATTAGGACGCCGAGCCCATCGCCCTCAGGTGTGAGCAGTGTTCCAACAGTTCAAGCTCCGCCACAAGGAAAACCATATCAAACACCCGGCCCTAGGGTCCGTGGTCATGGGACTAGATCGTCTTCATCCATCAGCTCACTCTCTGCTCTTCGCCAGGCTCCTCCGGTTGCCACTGAGCGCAGTCTGCCCAAGATACCGTCTTCCAAACACAGTCAATCCGAATTAGGACATTCACAAGCTTCATCCAAGGGCGGAATGTCACAGATGGAAGCTTCCCCAAAGAAGTCGAAGCTTGCTTCTCTTGCGAGCTCGCGCAAGTCAAAGCCGCCTCCCAGCGAGTCGAGCGCTTCATACACTACAACGGAGACGATGGCAACATATCCAGAGCTGCGCCCGAGATCATTAACAACTGGATACACGTCTATCCCTGGCTCCTCCCTGGAGCGACAAGGCGATGCTGCTAGCCGCGGGAGTGCATCGGGTAGCCCTGGACAGAAGATAGATAAGGCAAGGATGAGTAGAGAAGCTGTGACACATAGTTCCTTCGCATTGCCAGTCCAATCGCGGCTGTCACCCACGGCTCATAAGACAGCATCGTTGCAATCCATACCATCAGAAGCACCTTCAACACCAACTCGGCCCCTTTTAGCAGTCGACCCCGGAAAGATAGAAGCGCCAGAACATCCCGAGGACGAACCACACCTTACAGAGATACCAACATCGGTGGCCGACAAACCACCTCTGTCCAAGTTGGCCCAGTTAGCTCAGGCTAAAGCAGCAAACCGCGAGCATACTACACGAAAAATACAAAAGCCGCGTATTCTGAATCCGCCGTTTGCAGAGACACAGTACCTTAAGCCTGCTTACAGTAACTCCTCCATGACCACTGCGATCACGACATATACTCAGACTGTAGACAATATGGTTGCAATGTCGCGTGCGGACCTGCCACCCTCATACCCGCCGGACGGGAAACAATCTAAGTTAGCCCAAAAGGCAAAGAATTCTAATACCAAGCAGAAATCTTCACCTGCTAAAGACGCACAACGTGAGGCATTGGAGAGAGCGAGAAGTCATGCGCAAACGCTGCTTCACAATGGGAACCTGTCAGCCGAACCATCACAATTTGCTTCACTTCTTGTGAATGATCGCGGGTTGGTCAAGCAGCCAGGTCCTGATGGCGATGGAACTTACGGACAGAGAGCGGAACAGAAAGCAGAGAAGAAGACCCAGGAACGTCTACTTAGACGGATGCGCAAAGAGGCTTTACTACCTATGCATCTGCTGAATCCAACCGTGCTGAAGTCGACAGCTTTTACATTCGACGTTCCTAGTCCAGATGATGTCGTCCTGAATGCACGAAAAGGGACGGCGCTTGATGCAGCTCGTCGCAGCCAGCCTCGTTCTAGACAGCCTTCACAGCCAGCAAGTGAAGCACGCAGCCATGCCGCGGTAGCATCGGCTCGGTGACAATGGAGCGGGGATTTTACGTTTCGCTTAGATTATCTTTTTTTTTTCGCCGTTCACCCATTTTGTTGTATTGACCTACAGACGATTTCGCTTTCTATTGACTTTTTATCTTGATGTTATTTGTGCTGATTTATTTTACAAGCTATCCGAGAGCGAGAGAAAGCTGAGAAGGCGAAGAATAAGCAAGTGCAAGGTGTGAAGTCTGGTGCATCCTCTGTTGCGACATCGCGTGCAGCGTCGCCTATCCCGCCTTCTCCGACTCCAAAAGCTGCGAATAAAGCTGGCATCAAGAAGGGGCAGTCATCAAAGCTTCCACAACAGAAGTCGCATTTGGACCAGCAAGCACTTGACATATCATCTCTTAATTTGGACTCGGGGGATGTGGACGAGCAGGTCTCCGAACCACCACCTAAAATATCGCTTGCACGAGAGAAAGTCCTTGAGGAAGCACGGAAGGCGCTGGATGCCAGCCCGAAGAAAGCTGTTAGCCTTGTGGTCATTGGTAAGTATTTTGGACAACACCGGTCACTGCAGTCTATTCAATAATTGATCTTGTTGTTGTAGGTCATGTTGATGCAGGGAAGTCCACGTTGATGGGCAGGTTGTTGTACGAACTTGGACTTTTGGATGAGCGAAAACGGCTAGCGAACGAACGCGAGAGTAATAAAATGGGCAAGGGAAGCTTTACGTGGGCCTGGGAGATGGATGGGACCCTCGAGGAGCGCGCAAGGTGACTCTGATCCCTTACTGTCTATCTTGTTCCATTCTTATTCGTACTTGCAGAGGGGTCACTATGGACATCGCACAACAGGTCTTAGAGACGCCGAATAGACACATCACGATTCTGGATGCTCCTGGGCACAAGGACTTCATCCCGAATATGATATCCGGCGCTACGCAAGCAGACTGTGCTCTACTCGTCGTGGACGCAGCGACCGGAGAATTCGAGGCAGGCTTCGATCGTGGTGGACAAACAAGAGAACACCTTGTATTGGTCCGTAGCCTTGGTGTTAGTCAGGTGGTTGTAGCAATTAACAAGCTGGACCAAGTAAGGCGCCAAGCACAATTTCCTGACATGATTTCTGAATCTTGTTTCTTCTTCTAGGTGAACTGGGAGAAAGACCGGTTCGACGAAATCTGCGAAGCACTCAAGCCGTTCCTTACACAGACAGGCTTTAATGCCGCGAAAGCGGGATTCGTTCCCGTAGGCGCTCTCAGTGGTGTAAATCTTGCCCATAGGGATGGCAAAGACGCGAAGGCTTTGAAGACTTGGTATAAGGGCCCAACCCTTGTAGATTTCTTGGGTGAGTATGAAGTAATCCGAATACGAGACGAGCCCCTAATAAGATATGCTTAGATAAATTGGAACCGCCAAGTCGAGCGCTCACGGGGCCTCTGCGTTTTCCAATTTCAAATGTCTTCAGGGGAATCACTAGTGGCACCGCAGTGTCAGGGAGACTATGCAGTGGTGTTGTCCAGGTAGGGGAGCAACTTCGCATTCTTCCAGGTGACGAAACAGCAATTGTTAAATGTAAGTTAATTTCTTCATGCATTGTAAAGTATTCTTAAGTGTTATTTTCTTTTTTAAAGCGATTGAAGTGGATGACGAAAACAAACCATGGGCCGCCGCCGGCTCCAACGCCACTCTATACCTCACCAACGTCGACCCAATCAACCTGACAATCGGTTCCATTCTATGTCCTCCATCTGACTTAGTCCCTCTCACGACGTCCTTTACGGCACGGATCATTGTCTTCGACATCGAGCTCCCAATAACCATCGGTGCACCCGTTGAGCTCTTCCACCACTCGTACAATGTGCCTGCGACGATCGCGGCGTTCCTCGTAACGCTCGATCGTTCGACTGGAGCAGTGGTGAAGAGGAATCCTAGGGTGTTGACGCGTGGTGTGTCAGCTGAGGTGAAGATTGCTTTAAGAGGGCAAAGCATATCGGGACCTGCTGCACGCGCGCAGCCGATTCCACTCGAGCCGTTTGCGGCCAATAAGGATATGGGGCGGTTGCTTTTGAGAAGGGGTGGTGAGACGATAGCAGCAGGTATGCATACTTAATTCTCTTCTTTGCAGTGCTTGAGTACTAAGCTGACGACTTCACATCTCAGGTATCGTCCTTGACGCCAATCCTAAATAAATTCGATCACGCGGGGAAGGAATAAAATTAGATATACGTTGTGGGCGGGGAGAGTAGATATATTAAAAAACAAAAATTCCAATGTAACGTGTAGACACCAATACATACACGGGTTTACTACACGAAACTAACGAGAACAGACCAAATAACCTACTTACAAAACGAGTCAACCAAACAAAACGAGAAAGGACTACTAGAAGTCTATGGAGGAGAGGAAACAGAGACACCTGACTAAGACAACGGCGACCACAACAAAATATAGCATATAAAGCAAAGGAATAAAGCGACGAAAAGTAGAAGACATGAGAGCATGAGACGTAACGAGAATAGTTCGAGTTGTGGGGAAATGGTGCCTTACACCAAATTCCAAATTTCGAATAGATAGATGCAGGACGATGTCATTTCAAGGGTTTGGATGTGTCGCGATGGATCGAAAGGAAAAAGAAAATTGGGAATAGAAGTCATTACTATCACTGATTTCAACAATTACTTCCTAGGACTTGGTGAAGGGGTCGGCGAAGCGCTCCTGGGCGACGCGCTTCCAAGCCGAGCCTTGTCTTTCTTCTCCTTCCCCGGAGTGAGTCTTTTCTTAAGTCTACCAAAGATAGACAAACGCTTTTCACGTCCAATGCTACCAAATCGCGAGTCGGGACTCGCGTCTTTCTCGCCTGGACTCATACTAGGGAAGGTGCTCTGCGTCTTGGGTGTAGACGGTGCAGAAGAGGATGGTGCAGTCGTAGTGCTTGTAGAAGTACGTGTATGCCCGTTCGTCTTGATTGGCGTAACAGGCGCCACGGGTGAAGTTGTCACCGGGAGCTCGGATCTTGTTTGCGGAGGTGTAGATGGTGTGGGCTCTGCAGATGTAGTCGGAGCTGGGACAGGTGCCGTGGTAGCTGGCTCGGACGCAGAAGGTGCCTCGGTAACAGTTTCTACAGCAGGAGTGTGCGTAGAGGGTCCTGCCTCTGAATCGACAGGCTTCGACTCCACCTACAGCAAGAAAGAAGAAAATGAATATTTGAAATAAAGGTAATCAAAGCAAGACCGCGTACTGATTTGGCAGCGCTGTCATCAACAATAGGTTGAATTGCGACTGGGACGTCAGATGCAACTTCCACTGGGACTTCGGCCTACGTGGACAAAATGATAAATTTTACTGTACGACCAACGTCCAGAACACCACAGGACTCACCTTTTCGCCGGGCTGCTTATCGTCAATAGCCTCCTTACTAGGAGCCACCACCCCTGCGCCTTCAGTCGGCGGAGGAACAGCTGGTTTTGTCGGAGTGTGTAGGACATTATTCACATTTCCATTAGAATCCGTCTCAATTGGCTGGTTCGGATGATTGAGCCAGTTGCCATCAACAATGAACTTGTAGAGGATCTTGCTATCCCAAGGGACCGCCACTGACGTCGTGAACCCTGTATCTGATTTGTTGAGGTGCACAGACGAGGTCCACTTAGGGTCAACGCGTGAGTACAGGCGCTGGTAGGGTGATAAGGGTCAAAAAGATACGCACGTTGTCGAAAGTGCCAGTGACTATGACGGAGTGGGCGTCCGAGTGCGGCCTGTTGCACAAATCATGGTCACGGTTAGGTCAGGGATCTTGTTTTAATATAGCTAATAGTACGGTACTTGCCAATCCAAAGCGAGGTTGTAGAAGTCTGCCATGAATGCAAGACGTGTGTGGGTCGTCAGAATAGGAACGATAGATTACAGGACTCGTAGGGGGTCGTAAGCAATAAGTGGCAGTAATGAACTGAAGAAAAAAATGTGCAAAGTTGGCGCTGGCTGAGTAAAGATGATTGGACGAATGGGGATTGAGCAAAGCACTTTGGACCGGGTGAAAAATAAATATGATACCTGGCCTGCGACAAAATGTGCTAGGGACGCAACTCGTTGAGGTGGCGTGGGTCGTGGGCGTTTATGAAGAAGAGAGGGCGTTCCGAGTGCCCGAGTGCGAAGCTTGGAAGAAGAAATACAGCAGGCAGGCTACTCGGAGCACGAGGCCGCGAAGCGTCGTTTGGCGAGGAACAAGCCGACGCGCATTTCTCGACTCTTGCCTTTCTTGGTAATCTATCTTATGTGCTTCCACTCAGTCTTACATGTAAATTTTGTAATTCAATCAGTGCCTACCTGTCTACCTCTCTGCCTTCTGCGAAAAGCAACGTACAAAGAATTACCGATGGCCGATGTCAGAAAATATGCAAAAAGGATGATGGACCGTCCCAGGCCGGCGCATGTCACAATCGAAGCTTCTCAATTCACGCTCAGGTATCAAAAATGGGAATTAAACTGAACAGTGATAGACGCAGAGCTAAGATTGAGACATAGCGCAATTCAACACTCGTGCCGACCGAGTCGCCCGCGAATCGCGATTATCCGCATGTCAGTCATCATCCCTCATAGCTTATCTCCTTTCGTCTGTCTGCATTCCTCGCCCTCTCCATCTTTCCCCCTAACTCGACTCAATCATGGTTGTCCATCCTCCTTTCACAAAGGACTCTGCTCTCTACAATATGCCTAGCTTCTCCGCGTTCAAAGCGACATTTAAAGGCGACATTGTCATCCCTGGTCATCCGGACTACGAATCTGCTATCAAACGTTGGGCAAAGAACGCGACGCGACGCGCAAAGATTGTCGCCTTCGTCAGAAATGCGGACGACGTGTCGCTTGCAGTCAAATATGCCCAAGACGCCCAACTGCCACTGGCCATTCGGGGCGGAGGCCATAACCCAGGAGGCTCCTCGTCTTCCGAAGGGATTGTCATTGATCTTTCTAGATATATGAACGATTGTCGCATCGACACTGAAAATAAACTAGCATATGTCGGCGGAGGCGCGCTCTGGAAGACCGTAGATGATACCGCAATCAAGTACAATCTCGCAACAGTTGGAGGAACTGTGAACCATGTTAGTATACTCTCTGTTTATCGACAATTTGGATTTGACATGTGCTATTATGACAGACTGGTGTCGGCGGGTATGCTTTTCCAAATCCTCTTCCTAGAGTATGTGCTCACCTTTCCTAGTCTTACTCTGGGCGGAGGATACGGTTGGCTCAGTGCTTCACATGGTCTCGCTATCGACAACCTAGTCCAGGTATATGCGCACAGAAGCAAACCAGTCAATCTAGACTGATGAGTCCTATATTGACAGGCAACTATGGTCGTCGCAGACGGGTCAATCTTGACAGCTTCCGACTCAGAGAATAACGATCTATTTTGGGCAGTTCGGGGCGGCGGATGCAATTTCGGAATCTGCTGCGAGTTCGTCTACCGATTACACGAACAGCGACCAACGGTTTACGCTGGCGTCCTGATTTACCCTCCGCCTCTCGTCGATAAAGTCATTGAAGTCACTGCCGAATGGTGGAAAAATAAACCAAGCTCAAGAACATCATTACTTCAGGTTGTCACACGAGGACCACCTCCCGATTATTGTGTGCGTCCACATCACAGAATCAATAAACCAATCTAGGCTTAGATGACTATTAAGCCGTGCATCGTTGTTAATCCGTTTTTCAATGGAACCGTGGAAGAAGGCAGACGAGAATTCAAAGCATTTCTTGATCTTGGTAACATAGCTTACTTCCCTTTTCAGCCTGCAGCAACACTAATATTGTTGATAGATCCTATTGACTTGACTGGAGAAACGCCGTACGAAGCTGTAAATGGACTCCAGAATCCATATGTACGACACGGTCAGAATGTTTATATGCGGGGTGTCACCCAGTATGAGTATTCACCAGCATGCGTGAAAAGGGTATGTAACTCCACTACTTCTATTCAGATCTCTTGTCCAAACCTTTCACAAGGTATTCGAACGAATGTGCGAGGTGTCATCGAAGGACTTACGAATTTCTGTCATATTTGAACTCTTTCCACTTGACAAGATCAATAGCGTCGCAAACGACGCAACTGCATTCAACTTGCGCGGACCAGATAGCAATGTCTTGACCGTCACCTTTTGGGATGACGATGACTTGGAGAGTAGTGTGCAAGGCAAAGATGCAGCCTATGCCATGACAGATATCGTTTCCAACGCAGAAAAGGAACCTGAAAAATCAAAAACGCGGGCATACGGTAACTATGGTGAGATACACTTTACCAGAATTCTCATTGTCTTTTTCATGTGCTAAACTTGGTCGGATGCCAGTTGGTGACGAGATACTGGGATCCGACCGAGCACGAAGAGTGTTCGGCGATAACTATCCACGGCTGCAGCAGATCAAGAAGAAGTATGATCCGTATGTGCTCTTTTCCAAGTGGTTCACTATTGTTCCGGCTTGAGCAGATCGTTCCCCACCGTTTCATGTATTTTTGAGCTTTGCACTGTACTATACTGTATACACGCAAATCTTGCGGATCTTCACATTGTAGTAACAAATTGTCCTTTGCAGTGGAGCTAGAAGTCGGAAGTCTAAGAAACTCAGAAGAGGAAAGTTGACAGACGCTGGCAGAATGGCCTTTTTTTGTTCCTGCCGATCAGGAATGAGTGATTACCAGGCGTAGTTTGTGCTCTATTTGTGCTCTCCTTCCTTTTTCGGCCGAGAACAAGCCATTTTCTTGTTGTTCATTGACTTCTAGTGTTGCTCACTTGGAAACGGGAAGCTCTGGCCTGGCTATTCTTTGAGAGATTTCGGAAGACTTCTCTCACCGCTTTAGGTGATCAATGTGCGCTGTTGGGCGGAAGAGAACAATAGGCGTGGTCAAACCTCGCGATTCTCTGTGCAATTCACCTTGCGATTCTAGAGGGTGAATCGCAAGGTGAATCGTGCGTGCAGGTTTGACCAGCACACTTGTACATGTGTGATTCACCTCAATATACCGACCCTTGATCTTAAAATTACATAATATAAAATTAAAGAAATAGTTTTTTTTTGTGCTATGCCTTAAGAAGGACGACAAGACAGAGCAAGACAATTGAGAAGAGCCGCGCCGCAACGGCAGCTATGTTTCCGCTCACGGCCAGCAACGCAACCGAGTTATTAGGCGTGGTCAAACCTCGCGATTCAGTGCGCGATTCACCTGCGCGATTCACTTTCATGCAAAGTGAATCGCGGACCCCGGAACCCCAGCGATTCGGGGTGAATCGCGCTGAAAGGTGAATCGCACTTTGACGCGATTCGCCTTGCGATTCACCCCTGCGATTCACCTCTACTCATATCTATTTCCAAATATGTACATGTATTACAAAAATAAAACTAAGCTTCTTTTCACCTCTAAATTCCAAAAACAATAAGATGATTTGCCTCTTCCTCGTGAGCACTACAGTATACATACTGTCCTCTGTTCTGCAAAAAATCCTTGTGTTCTCTGCTACCAAGCTCTGTTGTCTTCTTGCACATCACTGCACACATATCAAGTCCTTCTTGACATGGCCAAATGTATATTATAAGATAAAACAACTGAGGTGCGATGTCGTCGTGTTCCAACCAACCCCGCCACTGTTGGATCCTTCCGAAGTGGCCGTCGCTGCTTAGCCCTCCTCACGACTATTTAACTAGACCCCTCACTCTACTAGCCTTAATATTTTCTCTCGTCTGTGACGACTGTATATTTCTCCACCTCATTTTACGCTCTACGCATACCGCTCTACACACAAACCACCCTACTAGCATACTCGTCGTCTCACTCCTATAATTGGTTATCTGCACAATTCATCATGGCTACTACTATGTACACCACCACTACCGCCGCGCCCTCATACACGCCCTACTCGCAGAGCAAGGCAGCACTCTTCTTCCAAGATCCTTCTTTCCTCCCTATGACTGTGACGGCGAGGTGAGCTAGTTCTTCATGTCTCCTTCCGGAACTATCTATATTATTCTCATACTGACCATTTTGTCTTGTTTTTCGTTTTAATTATGATTAGGTCCGGAAAACGATACCCGTTGAGCAAGATCTACGTGAAGTACATCCGACGAGTTTGGAAGCGCGTCTCTCGTGCAACGCGTAAGCCTGAACGGGCGTCGATATTGCCTGATGGATTCGTGTTGATCAATAATGCGAGGCTTAGCGCTGCTGCGAAGCGGAAGAGCGTTTTATTTGGTTGACTTGTCATTACGCCGCTGCTGATGATGTGAAAAGAACAGGCACATCACGCGAGGTTAGTTTCAGATGGTCACAAACTTCCCCGCCTTCCCGGTTTACAATAATATACTAGTTACAACATATACCCCGCATTCCTCGCTCAATCCTTGATCCCTATAATCCCTATATATCCACCCTAGTTCCTATCACTATCACTCTCCACGTTCACGTTTGTTTCACGCTCATACTCACATGGACTCATCCAATCACTTCATCACCTCATCTCCGCACCTTGTCACGTATTCACTGCATTCCCTATCCTTTGCATTAACGGACTTCTTCATTGCAATATTAATGTGTTACACCACTTTATATCTTGACGGACATTCACATTAGTTTCACGTTATTATCACTATTATTATTCCTTTATCTTACCGATAATCAATCTAATTCTCGCATGTTCAAGCTCATATTTGGTATATCACACCTATTCACACTCATGATCCTTCCGTTTATCATCATATCATCATAAATACCCGTCGATTTACTTCCGGAGAATGATCAAATCATATGATTTGTTTCAATGTTCCCTTCCACGAGTATTGCGGATCTACTCGCTCTTCGAGAATCAAGAAGTGATAGTAGTGTTCATTGTCTAGTAGGACCCCCTCATGTTCAGAAGTGAAGTTTCGTGAATTACGTGTTGTGTTCCTGCTCCACTAGAAGCCATTCGCACCCCTTCGTACCAACCATTCACAAGGTCGTGTGCCAGGGGTATGAGTAACAAACAACCTGACTTCGATGATTGGGTTTTATGCGTGTCCACCGAAATAATTTAATTGACAGATACCCAATACAAAGCTATCGAAATGTCCTCGATAAAGTAGACCCAACCAAAAAGGAATAAACAAAATATTATCGTACAAGCAAACTGCAACGAACGGTGTGTTACAACATACATATGTGGGGACGAAAATGCACGATCAACAATGCAGATAAGATTCAAACCCTTTTTGCTAACATGTTACAAAAAATTAAGTGGTGGTGGTACACAGTGAAGGAGCGTAACAATAGCAACAACACAACGAGGTAAAACTGCGGGACGAATGCGTATGAGTTCCGCGAGTAGAGCCTGTTAATATGAGAAGAATAGATAGGTGTGATAGGGGGTCTTGGGGCGTAGGGTGCGGGATGGGCAGGGGTCATGAGAGTTACCCATGGGAGTGCAAGCACAATCACAAGAGGTTTACTCTGTCAGACCATCACATTGCATGAAACCTGAACGTTGGTTTGACGTTTGTCCGTTTAATACTGCCTCACAGTAAGCTGAGGCTGCCACGTTCCGTACATGACTTCCTCAATCGAGTAGATCTTAATCATGTCCCAGGAAGTATTGATGCTGTTCGACTATGCAGGAAAAGGGGTATCACGTTCATTCAATGTGCAAGGGCGAATACAGAGTGAAGAGCGCTTACCTGTAAGTAGTGGATACATGCGCGTGCGACGCGCCGTACGAGGGAGGACAGCCTCACACGACCATCATACCAGTCAACGGGCACCCTGTACGTGATGGTTCTGTACCCGTTCCACTAAAGTGCAGCCATTGAGAGCAAGTTCCAAATACCCTAGCGTTATACGTACCGCAACTCTCAGGAAGATCTCTCCATTCCTGTCTGCATGGAGATCGTGCCATTTGTAGCTATCTCCACCAACAGGACGCTCGCCGCCGACTGCCTCTGACAGAGACATGCCGGAGGTCGAGTACTTAGAGCGGAACTTGATGCGCGGAACCCCTCGGCCGCGGTGATCATAACCGTAGCTGCTGTTATGCGAAGTACTTAGCTGCTGGCCTGAAGTCGATGGGAGTTGGAAGGATACGGACGAGGATCGGCGGGATCGAGATGGTGTCAACGCTCCCGCGGTGTAAGGAGTTCCCGTGTATGGGACATTGTAGTCGAGATCAGTTCCGTAGTAAGACGAGCGTCTGTTCAGTGCCATATCGTCGTATGCTAGAATTTTGCGATTAGTTGGAAGCTGAGTGTTCTGTATAAATCTGAGATTCACCACCACTTCCGTAATAACTACTGGTGCGAGGAGTCGCGTAGGACGAGTAGCCATTGGAATAGTGCGACTAGCGTAAAATAAGCATAAATTTTATATAATTTATGGGTGTCTCAACTTACGTCTCCGTACCCGTTGTAGTCCGCATCGTCGTAAACTGGATCTCCGTATGGGTAGTGTCCGTAATCATTATAACCAGGTCCTGGAGTGCGCGGTGTCTGGTAGCCTCTGCTCGAGTACGAGTGCGAAAGTGCTTGAGATGGATAGGTTGCTGCGTATGCCATAGTTGCAAAGATTTCCACAGAGTAAGGACGTAAAGAAAGGCGAAAGAGGAGTCGCAAGACTGGGTCTTGAAGGGTATACACCCCCTTTATACCCGATTACCACAACATGGCGTATAGTTCGCGGCCTGTAATCCATGGAAAGGTAGACAGGCATGAGCAAGTTTGGTGTACTAGCAGCCTCGCTGTGGCCATGAGGCGGCTCGAATCGTTCCAAAGAAGCACCCGCCGGAAGAATCGGTTTTAATTAGATGCGGCGATGAGTCGTAGGTTGGTAATAGTAATTCCCGCAATGTGTATAGAAGATCATGAGGATGGCAATAGCCTGAGCATCTGTTCATTGAGAGTATGAACCCTAAGATGCTGAAACCTTCGAGACTGCCGAGTACACGTATAAGTGGAGAGTCGGCATCCTTAAAGATGCGCGCAGTATCAGCAGACGCTGGCCAGACTGAGTTCACCCCTGAGTCCCATCCCAGCAAAGCATTCTCGCCGCTATCTTTGCTTCTGAGACTTGGACGATAGCTATAGCTGATTCGTGACTTGAAGGAACAATCCAAGTTACCATTGGCTAGTGGACAGGACCGGACCGCAAGCGCTTTCTAAAACTGGCCATCAGCTACGGTTGTCCGAGTGCTAACTCTGAACAAGTTTCTCCGCGTTCACAGACAGACCGCATCATTTACTCAAGCGTCCGCGGCCAATGAGGTGTTCAGTTGGAGGATCGTGCATGCAGCCTTCGTTTTGCACGTACAATGTCATCCCTCGTCGCGTCATTAGGTTCCAGTTCCAGGACTTTCCAACCGCTCTCAACGGAACTTCGTCTCTTGAGTTCTCACGCTCTGATCGTTTGTTCTGTGCGGTACTATCACAGTCAGAAGAAGTGTTTTATGCCAACACTTTTAGCTTTTACTCCGACCCTAGAGATGGCGGTCGCTATCGCTCTTTACACGTGATCCCGAATCTCCAAAATGGGGACTTTATGATAACCTCTTGGCGTTTGTCTCAGTCAAGAAAATTACTGCGCTTGATCGGTGCTCAAACTGGGCGCATCATGGAACACTCTTGCTCGATGTGCCGGCAATCAACGCGTCGTCTACCCCGCTTCAAGACAATATAAATACCTCCATACAAGCCAGTCCATAAGCACAATCTGCCTGCAAGTGATTTTACCTCCGTCTCGACATGTCCACATTCGAATCATTCAAGTCTGCCTTCAAGGGTGATATTGTCACCCCGTCTGATGTGGATTATGACAAGGCTCTAAAGCGCTGGGCAAAAAATGCCGAAAGGCCTGCCAAATATGTTGCTTTCGTCAAAGACGCAGAAGACATCAAGCTCGCTCTAGAGTTTGCGAAGGCAGAGAAGCTGCCAATTGCTATTAGGGGAGGCGGACACAATGCTGCCGGTGCATCTTCAAAAGAAGGAGGTCTCATTATCGATCTCTCGAGACACCTCGCTGGCGTCACGATTGACCCAGTGAAGAAGCTCGGTTATGCCGGAGGAGGTGCTATCTGGGAGACGGTTGATAAGGCGGCGATTGAACATGGTCTTGCGACTGTAGGCGGAACAGTCAACCATGTGTGTATACTTCAATTAAGCAATCGAAGAAACTTTACTTACAAGCAAATGAATAGACTGGCGTCGGAGGGTAAGCATCGTCGTAATTGAATTGACTTGAACGTCAATTTATTATTTGTTTAATGATTAGTCTAACACTTGGAGGTGGATACGGGTGGCTTTCAGGAGAGCATGGGTTGACAATTGACAATCTAGTGCAGGTATGTCATTAATGTCTGCTTCAAATACTTTGTGTTCATTAATTTGTTGTAGGCAACTGTAGTCGTGGCTAATGGAACTATCTTAACGGCTAATAAGACGGAGAACAGTGATCTATTCTGGGCTATTAGGGGTGGTGGTTGCAACTTCGGCGTTGTCACAGAATTTGTGTTCCAGCTGCACGACCAACGAAGGACCGTTTACGCAGGAACTTTGATCTTCCCAGCAGCTCTTATCAAATCGGTGATGCAAGCTGCCAACGATTGGTGGGACAAAGGGCCCTCAAAGAAGGAAGCTGTCGCAGTGGTTCTCACCCGCGGTCCACCACCTGAGCGCTATGTAACGTTTCCATTTAGACTCTGCAATCTAGTTGTGATCTGATTGTACCCTCTCAGCCCTGTGTTATCTGCAGCCTGTTCTTCAATGGCTCGGAAGAAGAAGGGAGGGAAATATACAAGCCATTCTTCGACTTGAGTAAGTTCCACAATTGTCCGTAACGAACCAAGTGTGCTAAACTCGGTTAGACCCGGTCGACCATACGTCGGAAATCCCGTATGAAAATATGAACGCACTCATGGTATGTCCACTTTCGCAACGGGCCTAAATAGATGATATATTCATATTATTGATGCGACAGAATCATGTTGTTCATCCTGGGCAATCGGTTTATCTGAAGGGTGCCAAGTTTTCTGCAATACAACCGGATCAGGCAACCGATGTTCTCGAGAAGATTGCGGAACTCACCACAGATGGAAACTTCCGGTTTGCATGTATCCTGGAGATGGTCCCTACTGCAGTGGTTAACTCCGTTCCGGGTAATGCGACCGCAATGCCCAATCGGACCTTCCAGAAGAATGTCTTGCTCATGTGTCTATGGGATGATAATACCCCAGAAAATCAAAAGGCTGGGAAGGAAAAGGTGTACATAATAGGGAATCTATTTACAAACTTTTCCGAGGAGAAAGACTTGGTTAAACAGGGTGCTTACAGTAATTATGGTAAGAGACACTTTGTACTTCTGACATGTGACACTTCTAATTCTCTTGATTACTCTGCAGTTGACGAATATTTGGGTAACAAGCATTCAGCCCTCCTGTTTGGAGATAACTATCCGAAACTGCAACAGCTGAAGCGAAAGTACGACCCGGAGGTGATTTTCAACACTTGGTTCCCCATTGTTCCCGCATGAAGTTAGGAATAAGGTCGCAGACGAGCATGCGCTAGAGTATCTCTTTCATCTGAGTCTACCATCTACTACAAATGCAAGCTATGTGGTTTTTTGTATGTTTCGGGTCCCTGTCTACTCATTCATACATAGGAGGCCTTTCTGAAATAAGAAGCCCCATTAAATACAAAGAATTTGTAATAATATTTATTGAAACCTTACTCACAGGGCTAGGCAATTGTGTGAAACAAAGATAGTCACAGTTACTAGTCGATTACAATTATCACGAGTGTTGCTCCACAGATTGGGTTACAAGGCAATGTCGGCTATTGCATCCATATCTTCTCAAATCATCGTTCCGATCCACCGGGATACACGTAGAAGGAAGCGTAGAGCAAAGGTGTGTCCCTGGCTATTGTCTCACCATAGCGATTTCCCATGCAACTACACCGTTTCGCACAGTGAGTCATGACAAGGCGCTTGCGCGCTGGGCGAAAATCGCGGTGATGCGAGTGATGTACGTTGCCTTCGTCAAAGACGCAGAAGACGTCAAGCTGGCCTTGAAGTTGGCAAAGGCAGAAAAGCTCGCGATTGCTATCAAGGGAGGTGAGCACCATTCTGCTGGTGCATCATCTTCGGAAGGTGACCTAGGCATCGATCTCTCAAGATATCTTGCTGGCGTCACTATTGATCCAGCCAAAAAGCTTGGTTATGTTGGAGGAGGGGCGATTTAGGAAACAGTTGATAAAGCGGCGATAGAACATAGCCTAGCAACTGTGGGCGGGGTAGTGAACTATGTGTGTACACTTCATTGAATTTTCATGCAATGTGACTTACAAGATAATTAATATTCCGGAGTTGGAGGGTAAGGGTTGCTTTACATTACATTACTATCTTACACTGAGAACCGTCAATGTTCAGACTAACATTAGGCGAGGGATATGGGCGGCTGTCAGGAGAGCACGGACTGACTATTGGCAACCTCGTGCAAGTACGTTCTTCATCATTGACAGTGCATACCTCACGACTCATTAATTTTTGACAGGCAACTGTGGTCGTGGCAGACGGATCTATCTTGACGGCTAATGAAACGGAAAATGGTGATCTATTCTGGGCTATTAGGGGTGGTGGCTGTAACTTCGGTGTCGTCACTGAGTTCGTCTTCAAATTGTACGAGCAGCGAAGGACCATCTATGCAGGAGTTTTGATTTATCCACCGTCTCTCGTGAACACACTGATACAGGCTCTCAACAACTGGTGGCAAAAGGGTCCGTCGAAGAAGGAGGGTATTACGCTGGTTCTTACCTGTGATTCTCCGCCTGAATGCTATGTGAATACCCTCTTAGGCTCGGACCCAGTACTCTGAACAGAAACTAATCACCCTCCGCCCAGCCGTGCGCTATCATCATGCTCTTTTATAACGGCTCGGAACAGGGCGGGAGAACAGTATTCAAGGCATTCCTTGACCTAAGTAAGTCGCCTCGGGCTGGTTCGCAACGAAGTGTGTTGGCTAAACCCGACCCAGAACCGCTTGATCAAACATCGGAAATGCCGTATGAGAACTTGAATACACTCATGGTATATCCTCGCTCACAGGAAGACCTGGAAAACGCACGTTCATTGCTTTGAATTGACAGAATCCCAATGTTTACCACGACCAATCGATCTACTTGAAAGGTGTCAAATTTTCAATGATACAACCAGACGAGGCATGTGCAATCCTTGGAAAAGTCGCAGAGGTCACCGCGGACGGCTCTTTCCGGATGATTAGTGCGTTCGGGTTCTTCCCTCATGAAAGAATCAGCTCTGTCCCGAAGGACGCGACTGCAATGCACAAACGAGCCTTCCAGAAAAACGTCCTGACAACTTGCCTTGGGATGCAAACACGCCAGAGAATTTGAAGATTGGGAAGGAGAAAGTGTATGCGATCACGAACCTCATTTTAAGCTTTTCGAAGCATCCGAGAAGAAGGCTTTTGGGAATTATGGTGAGAAAAAAACGCAGTAACTTGACACCCATCGTTTCCAGAATCTCATTTCACATGTCTACAGCAGATGGAAGCAGAACTCTTGATCAGGCAGCCATTCTTTTTGGGGATAAATATCCGAGGCTACAGAGTCTGAAAAAGTATGATCCGGAACTGATGTTTAGAGACTGGTTCCCAATCACTCCTGCTTGAACTAAGTTGAACTAAGGATGAAGTTGTACAATTATTCTGATCAGTGTTTACGTCTGGAGTTGGCCATTACATAAGCAATGTATGTAATTGCAAATTATTAATTATATCACAAGTTCTCTTGATGGCAATGACTGATACTGTCCTCGACCTGGTTGAACTCAATGACCGCAAACGCCGCATGTGCCGACTCGGACTGGACAAAAATACTTCAGACGTGAAAGACTTTGATCATGCTTTTAAAGAGGTACAGTATCTCGTTTGATAGGTCAAAGTCTAAGGCGAAAAGATGGGCATCAGACAAAGTGTGTAATACCATATATCTATGATCACTTGCATCCGTGATCGGCACCTCCATATTGTCTAGTCTCTATGAGCTCTGGTGCCTTTTATCCCAGGATTTCCGATCTCGGGCCTCCATGCTCTTGGTACTTAACGTCACAGATCCTGTCCTTCGCCAATATCGACCGTCCTCCACTTCTCATAGTGTTCTCCGAATCAGTCATAGAACTTGGCTTCAGCTTCAAAGTTTCGAATGTCTTCATTCGAGTCCTTAAAAGCGTCATTCAAAGGTGACATAGTCACTGCATCTGACCCCGATTACGGGACGGCTATCTCCCGCTGGGCGAAGAACGCTGAGAGAAGCGCCAAATTTGTTGCGTTTGTGAAAGATGCAGAAGATGTCAAGCTGGCTCTTGACTTCGCGAAGACCGAGAAACTACCTATCGCTGTCAGAGGAGGTGGACACAATCCGGCTGGTGCTTCCTCATCAGAGGGCGGTCTTGTCATCGATCTTTCTAGATATCTTGCTGGAGTCACAGTAGACCCGGAGAAGAAGCTCGGCTATGTTGGAGGAGGTGCTATTTGGGAAACGGTCGATAAAGCGGCGATTACACATGGTCTTGCGACCGTGGGCGGTACAGTTAATCATGTGAGTAACTCAAATGTGCTTCTGTTGATGCGGAACAAGGGTGGCTTAAGGCATTTATAGACTGGAGTCGCTGGGTATGGTATATCTTACTTGAGAACTTCTTCCGATTCTGAAATTTAGTCACTATCTACGCATCTTAGCCTGACTTTAGGAGGAGGATACGGTTGGCTTTCAGGAGAACATGGCCTAACTATCGATAACCTCGTCCAAGTTCGTTCCGCTCGTATATGATTATTGTTTACCTTACGACCTCGATTTTAGGCTACCGTGGTGATAGCAGATGGTTCTATCGTGACAGCCAATGCAGACGAGAACAGTGACTTGTTCTGGGCTATCAGAGGAGGTGGCTGCAATTTCGGAGTTGTCACTGAATTTGTGTTCCGACTACACGACCAGCGAAAGACTGTCTATGCCGGCCATTTAATATTTCCAGGACCCCTCGTTAAGCAATTAATTCAAGTTACGAATGAGTGGCAGAAAAACCAACCGAAGAATGCAGGCATGATGCAAGCTCTGACACGCAGTCCTCCGCCCGAGTGCCTTGTATGTGCCTGACAGTGTTTCATGAGCTTATTTAGAAAGTGTCTCACTCTTTTTCTAGCCATGTTGCATCTGCGTCGTGTTCTTCAATGGATCTGAGGAGGAGGGGAGAAAGGAATTCAAATCGTTCCTGGATCTCAGTAAGTCATCTTAGGTGCATCGTTGTCAATGGTCTGGTCTGACTTGTATCTCTATAGACCCAATTGATCTTACTTCCGAGATACCCTACGAGAAACTGAACACAACGCAGGTACTACCCCTACACAGGAGTCACACTAAATGCATGCTCATTACTTCCGTTTGACAGAATGCCCGTCTCTATCATGGCCAGTCTGTATTCTTCAAGGGTGTCAAATTTTCGCAATTGCAACCAGAAGATGTAGTTGCAGTTCTGGATACAGCTTCTCAACTCACTGAGGACGGTTCCTGCAGAATGTTGTGCATATTTGAGTATTTCTCTGGGAAGACGATTGACGCTGTGCCGAGCAAGGCTACCGCGATGTACAACCGATCGTTCCAGAAGAATTCGCTAGCTGTCTGTCTCTGGGATGTGAACACGCCGGAAAACCAGACAATCGGGAGGCAGAATTGCTATACAATCAGTGATCTCGTATCGAGTTTCACAAAGGATACTGAGTTGGCGAGGAAACGTGCATATGGTAATTACGGTGAGTAAGGATAAGCTGCTCTGGACTCATCGTATTGATCCATGGCTCATCTCCTAGTTGTGGAGAACTTGAGTCCCGATCACTCGGCAGTACTGTTTGGAGACAACTATCCGAAGTTACAGAAAGTAAAGCAAAAATACGACCCGGAGATGCTCTTCAAGAACTGGTTCCCGATCACTCCTGCCTAGATCTAGAGAAAGGTCGTATTTGTTATTCATGGATGGAAAGTTGGAGATTTAGAACGACTAATCCGGAGTCAGATGGCACTGTCGTTCCTAGGTTGTCCATGGTCCCTGTATAAACGTATATTCGTTCTGTCAGCATCGTAATACCCTAATATGTGTTTTCTAATAATGGAATGAATTATATTCTTGTTTATTATTTTCTTGTTCGGGCGGAAATCCAAGTGCCGATCCTTCGGCTGCTCCGGCTGCTGTGCGAAATGCTGATCGTCTTGGTCTTGGTATCACTCTGCCAGCTACTAAGAGAATGTAAATTTCACACTCTACCATTCGCAACGAGTGGTTCGGTGGGTGTCTCACGCAGTTCAAGATTTCGTCTCATTATCTCAGGCTGCTTTTCTTCATAATCAAGCTGATAAACACCGATTCATTGATAATTCTGGGACTTACACACGATCTCAGGTTCAAGGGTTCTGTACTTACTACTGTTCATCTGCTCCTCGGCTTCTCCATATGTCTTCGCTCGAGTCACTCAAAGCAACTTTCAAAGGCGACATTGTCACGCCTTCTGATCCGGGCTACGAAGAAGCCATCTCCCGCTGGGCAAAAAATGCCGAGAGACGTGCTAAATATGTCGCATTTGTCAAGGATGCAGAAGATGTCAGGCTGGCTCTTGACCTCGCGAAATCAGAGAAGATTCCGCTTGCCATCAAGGGAGGTGGACACAATGCTGCAGGGGCATCGTCATCGGAGGGTGGTCTCATTATAGATCTATCAAGGTACCTCGCCAGAGTCACAGTAGACCCCGTGAAGAAGCTAGGTTATGTCGGCGGAGGTGCGGTTTGGAAGACAGTAGATGAAGCAGGTATTGAGCATGGGCTTGCCACCGTCGGTGGAACAGTAAACCATGTGCGTCTCATACGGTTTATGAATCAATGTAAGATTACACAGTTAATAAATGTAATGAGTAGACTGGAGTAGGAGGGTATGCATATACGTACTTTACCTCGTTCATTACACCACATTCACGCACTTTAGATTGACCTTGGGAGGAGGGTACGGATGGCTCTCGGGTGAACATGGACTGGCGATTGATAACCTTGTTCAAGTCAGTTGTATCAATACGTTGGATATTCGTACCATCTGATACATTTGAGCAGGCAAATGTGGTGACAGGGGACGGTTCTATTTTGACTGCCAATAAAGACGAGAATAGCGACTTATTCTGGGCGATACGGGGTGGAGGATGCAACTTCGGTGTTGTCACTGAATTTGTGTTCCAACTGCATGATCAACGCAGGACAGTTTACTCTGGACCTATGATATTTCCGGGTCCGCTCATCAAGGGGTTGATTCAAACCACGAATGAATGGTGGCGAAAGCACCCGTCAAAGAAGGAAGGCATGCTTCAAGTATTGACTCGTGGCCCTCCACCTAAGAGCCAGGTGTGTTGGTTTATGACGCTATCAGATCTGTGAAGATGGGCTTATACCACTTGCCCAGCCGTGTGCTGTATGCTTCATGTTCTTCAACGGATCCGAGCAAGAAGGAAGGGAAGCCTTCAAGTCGTTCCTAGATCTAAGCAAGTCGTTCATAACGCGTTAAGTAAATGTGCTGAGACTAAATATAGAGCCGATCGACTTAACGTCCGAGATGCCGTATGAGAAAGTTAATTCATTACAGGTATGAATTCACTTCCACTGTCGAGATGAGGTACGCATGAATAATGGTTTCATTCAACAGAATGAAGTTGCCACGCCCGGTCAATGTGTTTATATGAAAGGGGTTAATTTCTCCCTTCTACAACCCGATGAAGCGAGAATACTCCTGGATAAGATTGCGGAGCTGACTGAGGATAGCACTTTTCGAGTGGCATCTATTTTCGAGTTCTTCCCGCCGGATAAGATCAACTCAGTACCGAACGACGCAACAGCCATGAACAACCGGTCTTTCCAGAAGAATGTGTTAACGTCTTCTTTTTGGGACGAGAATACTCCGGTGAACCAGAAGACTGGGAGGCAGAAAGTGTATACGATAACAGAGCTTATTACGAACGTAGCTAAGGATGCGGACGTACTGGAGAAACGCGGTTACGGAAATTACTGTGAGCAAAGCGCATTCACTCACTTGTCTCTGCCGTTGTTAATGAATCATTTGCTTCACAGCTGACGAGAGCTCGACGTCCGATCGCTCAGCGGTGCTCTTCGGGGCGAATTACCCTAGACTACAGGACCTGAAGCGAAAGTATGATCCCGACCTACTCTTCAGGAGCTGGTTCCCCATAACCCCTGCTAAGATGTAGTCCGATTGGCTCTTCAAAGCAAACGATATCATATAAATAATTTCACGAGATTAAGTATACAGGGATGTACTAGTAGAATGTGATAGGTACAATGGAAGTGGAGTGGATAGCTACATTTTCGCTTATTTTTAGGGCGTGATAATTTGCATGTGTTTGCCACAAAGATCTGTGCTAAATCAGGCTTACCCCTCTTGTACACGGGTGTGACCATAGGGTATTCACGACTTTTGACGACTCTTCACGACACGGTCATGTCCACAATAAAATCTGTTTCTTCTCTAACCTCAGTGCTCAAGGTATGGGTTCTGAAATGAGAAAGGCAGAATGGAGTTGTGTAACTATTTGTTTTTGTAGAAGCCGAAGATATCACGGAAGCATCTCAGTCGCGTTCGTCTCGATGCTATACCGCTGCTTGGACTTTGCTTTGACGCGCCCATACTTTTCAGTACTCTTGGCTCCCTGACGTACTCAGGATTGAAGGCAGTGTAAGTGTCTTACTTATAATTGAAGCATCAATGACTGATGACGCTCATTCTGGACGCGCCACACATCACCAGATCGCTCTTCGCATTGCAGGTCCAGTGTTAACGGTCACTGTTTTCGCGTCCGCTGTCGCATATGCCTGGTACGAGGGCCACAACGTCAAGCTTTCCAATAACGTCTCTCCTCTACTTGCTGTTGTTGTGCGTAATGTTTTCAGTTTTGGTTATGAACGTAGATTCTGAATTGGCGTGTAGGTTGGTCTAATCCTGGTATTCCGGTGAGTTTTAATTTATTTTAGTTTGATTTGAAACTCTCAACGCTCGTTACAGAAATTCGTAAGTCTTGTTGACTTAAAAAGACGTGTCCGTTTGTGCCAACTTGTTCGCTACAGGACTTCTTACGACCGTTTCTACGAGGGACGGAAGGACTTTGGTCAACTCACTGCAGAGGTGCGTGTTACCAGTTTAGCATTGTGTCCCAATTTTAATATTGGATCCAGATCAGGAATTTGACTCGTTCCGTCTGGATAAATGTCGCAGTCCCGCCTGACTCCGGTAGTGCAACTGGCCAGAAAGGTATTTCCGAATTTCTGCACCCTCCAACTTTAATTAACGAAGTCGCGAAAGGTTCTACAGGAGGTAAAATGACGTCTAGTCAGCTCCGCAGGAAAAAAATCGAGGCCCTCCAACTTGCCATGGCTTTTGCATATGCAGTAAAGCATCGGCTGCGAGGCGAATTTGGATTCGACTACGATGATTATCGAGGTATTCTCCCTCGCTCAATAGTACAATACGAAATAAATGGCATCAGCACTGCTGCTTCGTCACCAGCCTCCGGTAACGGTCATGAGTCATATCAGGCGACTGGGTCTTTAACTCCAAAGATGAAGAAACGGCGGGAGAGTGATTCGACCAAGTCCGATGACGACGCTAGTCCTAAGGACACTAAGCCTAGTCCCAGCCGCAATAACTCACAGCAATCTCATATGCACTTCCATTCAGCGAGTGTAACGCTTGATAGCCAAAGTGCTACTACGCCGCTCTTGAGCGGTACTCACCGTACTGTGCAGTTCCACGCATACCCCACCGTATTAAAAACACCCTTGCCTCTTGTGTAAGCACACTGATCTGATATATAAAGAGCCATGCTTATCCCCAGACCATAGGATCGCACATGAACTATCTCATATGATATTCCGTTTCAAACGAGATGGATACTTGGAAACTGTAGGGCCAGCCGGTACTAATGCCATGAACGCCCAGTATGCACTCTCTTAAAGTGTTGTTTGATATAGAATTTCTAATGCTCAACGACATAGGGTTCAGTCAATGGTCGTGCAAATGACAAACATGGAGCGTATCGCAACAACACCTATTCCCGCGTCCTGTTAGTCCAATGTCGATTTCTTTTGATGCGTAGTCTGATACGAGATTTGTAGACGGCATACATCTCAAGCAATGTGTCACACTCTATCTATTTGCACTACCATTCGTTCTGGTGGCCGATTTGCAATGGAAAATGATACCCGTTGTTACTGTTGTCGCTTTCACACTCATGGGTATTGAAGGGATTGCGAATGAGATTGAAATGCCGTTTGGTGAGTTTTTAAAGGAAATTCCTTAACTTACAAGTGATATATGGGTTGACTTGGGCAGGACATGACAAAACTGACCTTCCGTTGGGTATGTGTTGCGTTTGAGCAATTATCGTAAACTTCTAACTAATGGTGCTTGTAGATAACTTCTGTGCCGAAATAAAGGAAGAAATTGAGTAAGGACTTAATCTCCGCTCGCTTCATGACGATTTCCTAATGATTCCTTTGTTTATAGCTTCACTATAGCAAGATTGCCTGAGGGAGGAGAGGGCGTGGCGGGACTTGATGACGGAGAGGGAGATGATTGAACATATGTTGGAGAGGACACTCAAAAACACTGACATTTTGATATTCTGACATTATTGTCTTGGTTTGACCTTTGCATGAGGCTGCGACCTCACAATGTATACCAAGTGGAAAACAAATTGGTTATATTAACAAGTATTACTTCTATGCGAACTCTGGTTGGCAAAACTCTCCCGGTCCGTAAGGCTAAAGACGTGAAACAGGATGTCAGTATCGCTTTAGAGCCAAGGCACGAGCCTCACCTTTGAAGTCAAAGCCGTAAGTCCAGCCGAGTTCTCAGACGTCTTCCTTCCGCTCTGCGGTCCCGGCGTAGGCGTCTGTCCCTTCGCGAACGTATCAAGAATTTTGACCGTCGATTCGGCCGTGAGGTCCTCGTAATACTCGTCATTGACGACCATCATAGGTGCATTACTACATGCACCCTGGCATTCGACCTCTATTACGGTGAACTTGCCGTCTTTTGTCGTTTCGCCCGGTTTGATGCCTCCGAGGTGTTGGCAGACGGTGTTGAGGATCTCGGTTGAACCGCGCAGCATGCATGGTGTCGTCGTGCAGACTTGAACGAAATTCTTGCCTATTGGAGAGCTATACGACGCATAAAAAAATAAAAAGATAAAATAATATACAGTCAAAATACAAAAAAAATCAATTCTATGCATAGGTAAGGAAGTAGGAATGACGTACCGGTTGAACATAGTGTAGAACGTAGCAACCTCATATACCCGCATAGGTGGCATCTCCAACAACTGCGCAACGTAATTCATCACGCTAATACTAGTCCATCCATCGTTTTGCCGTTGCCCGAGATCTAACAAAGGGATAACGGCGGCTTTCTTGTATTGAGGTGGATAGTGCGAGATGATTTCTTTTGCGCGTTTGAGGTTCTCTGCGTTGAATTCGAAGGGAATCTACAATATGCCCATGTGAGTTTTGGGCTTTCGCATCTAAGGAAGCATAAAGCATATCTGTTTACTTTTGGGTTGTTAAAGCTGGTGTCACGGTGCTAAAATGGAGGACGTTGAGTGCTGGATCTGAAATGACGAGGATAAATGGCCTACTCACAACGAACAGCGCATCTGACCGACGTGCCACGGACGAGGAGAGTAGTCTCCGCGAAGCGAATGCGCGCGATGTGCTTGCGCGACTCGCCGCTCTCCGTGCTGCACTGAACATATTGAATGAAGTTACTAACGTTGAGTAGGAACTCAAAGCGTACACTGATGATGTGAAGGTCCAAAAGAGGTAATTCTCACAACCAATCATAGTACGCAAATTGGGTCATTTTAAAGTCTGAGACTCTCTCACTTGCAATTCTACAGCCCACATAATTGAGGCCGTGAGGGATTTATTGGCAAAATGAATGAACGACACGTATATACATGCCCCTACTACATTACGATATGCCAGTCAGGAAAGGACAAACAGAAAACCAGGAGAAAGGAAGTAAAAGAGAAATTTTGGCCTCTAACGGCCACATATGTTATCTAATATGCAAGTAAGCTGGACCAGCACCATGCAAAGCGCCTTCGAGGCGTCAGTACCACCCAAGTGTGTTTATGTGATAAAAATGAGGAAATGAGTTTATATGCAAAGATGCAGTAGTGTTCAGTGATGCAATGCTTTTCGTTTCTTCCAGACGATATATTTTATCCATCCATAGCGCGGTAAGCGCCTTTCTTCCCACTTCGGCTCTTCCGTGCGCGCAAGAGGCTTGCGTCACGTTTCTCCGGTGGCGGTAAGAATCCGAGCATAGGCTTCATTTCCTTCGCTTCGTCCTTTGAAATACTGGACTCTTCAATATCACGATTCACGGATGCAGGAGATGCAGGAGCGAAGCCGCCCTCATTGGCACCTGCCCACGTGAGTGGCATAGGAGACAGGTAGTACGTGATGTCGAGTTGTCGGCAATAATATGTTGCTGCTGCGTAGAAGGCCGTCTTTCTGGTGTTTCGAAGGCCCCAGTCTTGCCAATTACTGTAACACATTCAGTACTACGTACGAAAATTCAATAAGGAGTGATGAAAGAGGTACCTGTTATGAGGAATCCCGATCGTGACTTTCATGTACCGCATAAACTCAATCTCTTGAATGGCGATGCTCGTTGAGGGGTCGTACATTCTGTTCTCTTCGGTCTCAAGCCAATCATTTAGGGATTTCTCCAGTGCATCGAGTTTATCCAGCGAAGTCCGCCAGTCAATGAACAGCGTGCACAGCTCGGTGCTTTTCTAAGGCAAAGGAGTAAATGAGAAAGGTATTCGCAAGTACAAATGGCTAGACGTACATCACTCCGACGGGCATTCGTGCTACGGGAAGAAATTGAGGATATTGGACAGGACATGCGATTAATGTCGTGACTTACATAAATTTGGCAAACAATTGGCTGTTGAAGTAATATGTTTCTGTGCCGTCCGCCCGAGTAAAGACCGTCTGTATGATCGTTAGTGCAAAGTTCTGGAGCTCAATAGCGGGCCCACTGACAGCAAATAGACCCATCTTCTTGACGACAAGGTTTTCCTCTACAAGTGCATCAATAAGTGGACCAAGAGAGGTGGATGTCGAAACTAACCATCAATGAAACAACGGTCACCAGTGTCATAAGGACTTATAAAGAGTGCAGGTAAGTATTACAGCTAGCCGCTCACGGAGAAACCACGTACTGCGTAACAAACAAGAACATGATCGCGTCGAACAAATTTGCTGCTGTGTTCTTGAAAATGAAACTAGCGGCAATACCAATCGAATATACTGATGAAAGGGATTTGCCAATATTGACCTGGAATACGGAAAGAGAAATGAAGAAGAGAATGATCAAGGCGAATGCCAGGAGAACTTGGTTGAGTGAACGAAGGGCTTCTCCGACGTCGCGCATGCTCCTGCTGAGGAAGCGGCGTTCGCGATATGTCCTAACTACCACGCGTTTGATTTCTACGCGAGCAATGTCACTGGGGGTGTGAAATTGAATCAGTTAAGAGTCTACTAAAGACGTGATTTAGAGACTCAACCCGTTATGGTCAATGTCGAACACTCGGAACGCTGCTAATGCTTCATCGGAACTCGGATAGGCTGGATAAAGGTCCTCGGGTACGAGATAATTGCGTTTCTTATCCCCTTTGAAAGCCAGGAAAATTGATCGAGCGATTCTCTACAAACACGAAGGTAATTCGACACACGTTCATGATCAATGAATGAATACTCGCCTTTGCCTCTTGGGTAGAACCTACAGTCCAGCCGAGACCCGTGAGGTCATCTTCTTCTCCCTGGCCTGTGATGTTCCGGGCGTCAGATAACACAGCCTTCTTTAAGGCCTTTCCGGCCTGCACAACAGCAAGCTCATCCGAAGGGTCTGAATTCCTCCGCACGGGGGTGATGGGTCTGGATTCAGGACTCCTTGGTGGGTACGTGTGGCCTTCATGTGCGTTCGTGACAAGTTGACCGGACAGTGCGTTTGCCGGAGAATCGGGTCTGGACTCCCCAGGTGAAGTGGTCGCACTTGGAGACTTCACGCGTGAATGCTTTTGCTTTCCCTTGCCTTTCTTAGATGATGTCGAGTTATCTTCGGTGTCACCCGCGTGTCCGTCATCGTATGGGTCGGGTGTACCAACACGAGATGTTCCGGCCATGAAATGGGATTTTTCATCATACGGCGTGGAACCACCAGATCGGAAACCGAAAGCTCCCCTGGGAGTAAAGCCACCAAATATTTTCGCTGACGAACGATGATGCCTCGGCTTGAAGTTTTTGAGGTGGTCTATCGTTTTCAACGCAAACTTGAGCTCATCCAAACGGTCCTTGAATGCCGTTTCATGGAAGGCAAAAGCTGAACAACGACAATACTGAGAAGGAGCTTGGTCAAAAAAAAGGTAAATTATCATACCTATCAGATGAGACAACATCCTCTGTATGCTTATTACAAGTGCAAGGAAGAACACAAATTGAACGACTTGATACACCTAGGAGCAAAATTAATCAGATGAATGAACCGCAGAGCACAAAAACAACGTACTCTTGGCGTGTAAGATGCTCGGCTTTCAGACTCATTATCTGCATCGTACAAATGGTAGATATGTTGGAACAATATGACCCAGCTGAGCCACCCAGACGCGCCATAAAAGGCGGGCTTGATCGTATCTTTTACGGAGATGTACAGCTCCACTCGAGATTTCATAGACTCTGAAATATGGCCCCAAACGATAAAAATAGCCCAGGTGACGACGCCGGGAATGATATTAATCAGAAAGGCTAGGAACCATGAAACCAAGAGGTTGGAGGCAGCCCAGAAGAGCCATGCTTCGACATTTTGGGTCACGAAGCGTCTGTGATCGCGGTTGCTGTCGTTGCTGCGTTCAAAATAGAGAAAATGAACTGCGAGGGCGACGCCGACAATGACCGAGGCTGTTATGAAAGAGCCAAGTAAGGTGGATAGGAAAAAGGAGATGATTCTTCGCGAAGACGTTACGGCAGTTAAGCGAGAGCGATTAGTCAAAAAAAGCAAAACAAATCGACGTACTTGACAAAGCGGCCTCTCTCATGCCTCAAACCCATCTGCTTTTCGAACTTCTTTTCCTCCTCGTCGACAAGGTCATCCTCGGTTGACCAATCATAGTCGTCATCTAACTCGTCCTCAGAAGGGGCTAGTGAAGGAGCTCTTGATGGCGGATCGGACGAGTCAAATCGAACTGGCTTGGTCTCGTGAACGTGAACATGTTCTGGGCTGTGAGAGATGTCGTCTGGGTAATGGACGGAGGCTTTTTGGTGGGACTGCTTTGAATTGTCGTGCTTCTCATCGGGGGAGGGGGGGCGTTGCTTGTCGTTGTCGTCCATGAAGGAGACCTGGGAACGGGACTGGTACGGCGGGGCAGAGTTAAGGCTTGTCGGATAACGTCTGTATGGGGGAGTGGGAGGAGGATCGTCGGCTGCATTTGCACTAAGGAAGTCATCCAGGCGTGGATTTGTCGCCATATGTCTGGCACTCGAGGTCTGCTGCAGATGACACGACAAAAGGCTTTGGCTGGTCACAATCACCCCAGACCTGCCTTTTTTACCATCTCATCTTTTCAGTTGCCCACGAACCGGACAGGCAACGCAACTCCCGATATGAGCATATGCACGTCACTTGTGCCTGACACAGGAGCGACCCTCTTTCTTTTTCGGTTCCCAGAGAATCCGCATTTCTCCTGTTCTTTCCCCATTCGCTGCATATGTTATTTCTCTCGTTTTGCCGCATATCTCTCTGTGGTGTTTATCCACTCTCCATCCCATCAGCTCACCATCCTGCCTGCTGTAGATTGCGACGATATATCAATTGATCTTATCACACACGGTTACTAGCGCCGATTACTTCTGGATCCGGATCAGCGATCCTCGGGATGGATTTAATTTATATCACGTGATATTTATTACAAAAGCATGTTACATAAGTCTCGCTTACCAATTGCATGTTCTTTGTTTGTCGTCCGTCCGCCTTTGGTCTGGAAGTTGCTCGTCGCTGCTGCTCCTGACACCTGGTCCACTGTCGTCTGCGATGCACAAAAATCCATTCGTCCCGTCACCATCTTATCCGACTGTTCAGCAGCCACCACTGCCTCCAGGTCCTCCCCCACCTCAGCCAGCAGCTCAGCCAGATTACTCTGCGTACTGGGCGGCTCAACAGCAACCCGCTGCTCAGCCTGCATTCAACCCACAATGGGCGGGCACAAATCCTCAATGGCCTGCCGCTCAGTCTACTCAAGTATCTGTACAAGCTAAGCCGTCTACGGATCAATCGGCAGCTCTTTATGCGAATTATGGCTACGGCGGCCACCAAGCTGCTCATTGGCAGCAACACCAGCACGCACACCAGCAACAACACCACTATGCGCAACCTCCCGCTGCTGTTGCACCATCTGTTGCACCTCAGCCCTACAATCCGTATCAACCTCAAAATGCCGCTACCTATGCCCAGCCAGCGCAGCCATATAGCATCCCCCAGGCACTTCCTCCACCTCAAACGCCTGCTCAGCAACAGTACCGCCCACCTCAAGCTCCACAGCAGCCTTACTTCCAGCAACAGCAACAACAGCAGCCCAGAGGTCCAGCAAGCACACTGCAGCGAACGGCACCGCAGCAGCAGCAGATGCCTCCGGCGAAACGGCCTCGCTTTGACAACACACACCAATCTCCACCTCAACAACCCCGCTTCCAGCAAGCCGTGCAGCCGATGTCAATGCAAGGTGTGCCTGTGGGTCCAAGCAAGCAATCTGGAATGTCTGGACTACCTTCCCAGCCTAGCCAAATGCAATCGCAGGGCAAATTCTCGGGTGGCATGGGAAGGGGTGGCATGGGTGGAAGAGGGCCTAATATGAACAGAGGAGGCCGAGGAGGGAACATGGGGTCAAATCGAGGCATGGGTATGAATCGTGGACATGGTGGAATGCATGGCGGAGGTCGCGGTGGTGGATCCGGCCATTCCAGCAATGCATCGATGCGCAATCATCAATCGCGCGATCGCGGCGGCTTTGGTAACTTCAATCGGAGAGGCGGAAGCTCGTTTAATAACGGGCCGCAGCATCACCAAGGAGGTTCTGCTCGCAGTGGTCACGGAAACCGTTCCGGAGGCTCAATGCATGGTGGGCACGGCGGACGTAGCGGACGATCAGATGGATTCCATCAGCACCGTGCTCTTTCAAACGCTACAAATACTAGTGGCGGCATAGGTAAGCGCGAGGAGAACAGGCGGACTTTGACGGATTTCAAGATTGTTGGTTTGGAAGTCCGAAGCTTGGATTGGCACTGGGGTTACATTCCACCTCAATCTGGTTCCGAGACGATAAAATCCGAAGAGAATGTGAAAGCTGAGGAGTCTGAGCAGATTCTCGAGGCAGCGGCAGCGGAAACGCAGGAAGTTTCTGCCGATACTGATAAATATGCTGTTAAGGAGACGCAGACCGCGCACTCTGCCTCTAACGGAGCTACAGCTGCGCGAATGCGAATTTACTTCCACACACCTCCCTCTGCTGATGATGCTCGTCCTATTCTCCCGACTCCCTCCGTGTCTGATCTGCGTAAAGGGAAACGTAAAAAAGTGGATGATGATGAGGGTGACATAGAGGATGGTATAAGGGCTCCTCCGCCCCCACCCCGCCCACGTGGACACGAAAGTGAGGACAGTCACGCGAATGAGACAGAACAGACGGCCGAATCTGGAGAACATGATAAAAACATTGAACGCGAAAGTGTCGCGCCGAGCGTTGCTGAGACCGGTAGTGAGGCAGACTGGTTAATGGCTGCTATCGTGGATGGTGATGCGGACGCGGATGGCGAAATGGATATATATGAGCAGACTCAAGTTGAGGCTGATGTTAGTGTTCATGACGATGGTGAGCTTCATACCGCCACTGGTGACATGGCTAGAAGTGGACGTCTCGGCGAGATTGTTCAAAACATGTTACCAGTAGACGTCCACACAGACTCACACATTCCTTTCTTCTCTTCTCAAGGTCACTATGAGGCTAATGAATCATTGGTTGAGCCAAAGACTCAGGAGGATAACACTGCTGATACTCAGGTAGCTGACAACGTCACTGGTGACGGTAATGATGAGGCCCCTACTCAGATTGAGTCCCCGGCTGCCTCAATGGTCCCTCCAGAGCCTACTGGGATTCAGTCTGTAAAAGCGGAGGAGGCTGATTCGTCTGTCCCAAGGGAAGTGGCCCATACAGAATCTTCTGTTGCAGAGGCTGGACAAAAGAACGACGGAGCTAGCGATCTGTCTCAAATGAAAGAGGAGAGCATTGAACTGATTGTTTCTTCTATTATTCCCAATGATCCGTCCGAGAACGATGATGGAAAGCCTCAGCCTTCTGACTCCGCCGTTAAGGAGGATATTGGGACTGCCGAGAAACCTGTGACGATGGATGCTGAACATCTTCCGGAGCCCCCAGCGTCTCCAACCTCCAATACGGCGTTTTCTGGTACTTCTACGGGTACTTCCACTGCCAATCCTGATCTTCCTGCCAAGCCCGCTGCTAGCAGCACCAGAGTAGCTTCTGCAAACCGCGTCTCTATTGCATATGCAGCTGGGACCAGGAGGCTTATAGTTGACGCTGATGTCGTGGAGAAGATGACCATTTTCCGTGCTGAAGGCCGGATTGACATCGACATGACGATCGAGCGAACTACGGGTGGATTCAAAGGGATATTGGTACATTTGTCTGCGCTCTCCCATTTCCTTCTCTTAATTTCCCTTTTCCTCAGATTGAAACGCTCAATGAGAGCAAGGCCTATTCGGCCATCACAGACCTTTCTGAAGCTCTGGAATCTGATTCTACTCTTCCGCCGTTTTGGAAGGCGGAATCTGGCACAAAGGTTGTCATAAATGTTCATCTGGACAAGGATCGTCCGCTTTCTGAACCAAAGTGGATAAAAACGGGTGATGTACAAGATTGGTTGAAAGATATGTTTGGCGGGCGGTTCTGGGTTGCTGGCGAAGCTGTCGGTTGGGAGAAAAAGATTGAAGTACGGTACCCCGATCCGGTGAGTATCTTTGCAGTCGAGATCTTGACCACGTCTCACGTCAAAATTCTTAGGCCCCAACTATCCAAACTGTTTTAACAAGTTGGTCTACCAACTCACCAGTCGGTGTAGCTTCAGAGCGATCTCGCTTCTTGAAGACACATATGACAGATGCGGATAATGTGCTTGAAATCTTTTTAAGGCTAGTGAGAGGTGAGAGGGCGACGCCATTCTCACAGAACGCGTCAAGCATCTCTACACCATCGATCCAAGGCCCTTTGTTGGCAGCTCTGGATACATCCTCGCCTCATGCAGCCCAGCAGACGCATGTCTCTTTAGCTGTCATGGCGCTTGTCCGTCTTGCGACCCAGTATGCGGAGCAAGCACTTGGTGAGGGGAAAGGAAAGGAGCAGGTTGATGAGCGAGTGGGCGAGATTATTCGATGCTTGCCTTCGCATCTTTTGTATAAAAGCTTGGATGGGATGTTCAAAGAATGGCGAGCAGAGAAAAAGAGCGGCAGGTAGACAAAAAACGACTTATACTAACTTGAATGGCCTTTTATCCTTTGTAGCTGGTCCGTTTCCCATCCATAGATAGACATTGTTCTTGGGCGTGCCATGTTTGTAGGATACCACGCGAAACATAATGCAATATTCTTTCTTTTCTTGATGAATTACAGAATTACATAAGCGACCGTGTTGTGAGTCCTGACGCGCGTCGAAGGACGCGTCACGCATCCAGCTTGAACACAGACAGCCATGGTGAGTATTCTCTTTCGCGTTTATTATTGAATACAAGAAATAATGCAGAGCGTAGTTTAGGAACACCTACGACTCTGACAATACCGTCTTCTCCCCTCAAGGCCGTATCCACCAGGTGGAATACTCCCTTGAAGCAGTTAAGCAGGGTTCTGCTGTAGTGGGGCTTCGGTCAAAGACTCATGCAATCCTTCTCGCGTTGAAGGTACTGTATTCCATTTTCCCACCTGAAACTCAAGTCTGATTCTCTTCAAATCTTCTAGCGTTCAACGGGCGAGCTGTCTTCATACCAGCAGAAGATGTTCAGAATCGATGACCATGTTGGTATTGGGATTGCAGGATTGACTTCTGACGCAAGGGTGCTGAGGTTCGTAAATAGCTTTTGCTTTAGTTGAGATGATCGAAATCTCACTAAAGGGTATTCTACGCAGTAACTTTATGCGACAGCAGGCTATGTCGGAGCGCATGGTGTTCAACCGTCCAATACCCGTGAATCGTATTGTAACTTCCATTGCAGACAGTATGCGTCCATCTTATGTTTCTACATTCTGGATTTGTGTTTTTCTGATTGTGGTTTAGAGGCTCAGGTTAACACGCAAGAATATGGACGACGTCCCTACGGAGTTGGATTCCTCATTATCGGTCAGGATTCGTCGGGCCCACATCTCTTCGAGTTCTCGCCTTCCGGACTCTCCTTTGAATACTTTGCCATGTCAATCGGCGCACGTAGTCAAAGTGCGAAGACTTATCTCGAACGACACTTTGAGGAGTTTGCGGAATGTAATTCCAGATCATACCCCTTTCCCACTTTATGCTAACAACTCTTAAATCCAGGCACTCTCGAAAAACTGATCGTACACGGCCTACATGCACTCCGAGAGACACTTCAGCAAGACAAGGAACTGACGATTCACAATACGACTATCGGCATTATCGGTCCTGCTGGTGAACTTGAAACCGGTGTACCTCCAGAGGGCCCATTCAGGATGCTTGAGGAAGAGAAAGTAGATCCATATATTCAGATGTTGCCTGCTAGAACGCCATCAACACGGACGGCGGTCTCTACCACAATGGATACCCAGGCGGCGGCTGGTTCAACTCAACCTCCACCAGGAGACGAAGACGTGCAGATGTCCGAGTAGATGCGTATATATTTGTTCCACTTCAATATAAAAACCTTGCAATTCTATTCTTCAAGCTTTTTTTTTTTTGAGAAGGGTGTGTGTGGTATTATGACAAACTAAAATACAAAAGGTGACAACTAGAACCCTTGTTAAGATAGTTCGAAAATGGTTTACGGTTTAGATTGTTTTGAAGCCATTGTCTGCGCTCTCCGCCTCCAAAGCTGAGCAACGGCTCCCGGTTTACGAAGTGTCAAAGCCAGCACGATCGCCATCGAAAGAAGTGCCACGCTCCCAGCCTGGTGTGCAGCAGCAAGAGGGACAGGTACAAGGTACAATAACGTGCTTATTCCAAGCAAAACCTGAAGGTTCGCAACAGCAAATGTTCCCGTAGCAACGCGGAGAGCTGCAGGTGGGAGTGCAGCCCTAAGCGCAGGCCTGCGTGATAGAGCGTACAGAATCCCGGTTGCAGTGTATGTTGTTATCGCGAGCACGCGGTGGTTGAACTGTACGGTCGTCGGGTTTTCGAAGATGTTTCGCCACCACATGTCCGACTTGTCTGGGCGAGTTGCATATGAGGGATTCATGAGCTCGTCGCTTGGAGGAGCAAGGCGGCCGCCCATTAGTGGAAATTCATTGTAGAGGAGTCCTGCGTCGAGACCAGCAACGAAGGCACCTATAAATAATCACGCGTAAATATTCGTGTCCTCTCGAAGAAAGGCAGAAAATAATACCAGAAATAGCTGTCAAGAAGACCAGTGCAGCAAGTGCCCAAGCCTTCGTTCTGAAGCTCCTGACCAGCGGCTGGTGGAGTACGTTCTCCCAAGCAGATCCACTAAGTCCACTCCACGTTCCCATTTGCACGAACTTCCAATCCCGGATGATATTATGCCCAGTAATAAACATCGCTGCATACAACACGAAAGCTGCGCCTAGATGAGCCGCAAGCCTGTAATGCGAAACGCGCGGGACAGCTCCTGGAGTATGCATAATTGAATCTTCTAGGCCGGATTTCACCATGAACCAACCCAGCGCGCCTTGAAGTCCGAGTAACACGGCTAAGCCGGAGAAGTGTTTCGTCATACTTGGCGTTATTTTCCTTCGTAATGCGAAATATGCTAGAGGTCCGACGAAAGCAATGCCTATTAGCCGTCCGAGAACGCGATGACCCCATTCCATGTAGAATATGCGCTTGAAGTCATCCACGGTAAAGTTCGAGTTGAGCCTATCGTCATCATACATATAGAAGTGTGACATTTATAGTAAGTGTAAGACATACAATTTAAATTCCGGAGTCTCCTTGTACTTCGCAAATTCTTCTTCCCATTCTTGTTCAGACAACGGTGGTATAATCCCAGAAACGGGTTTCCATTCGGTGATGCTCAGACCAGATTCGGTGAGTCTGGTAACTCCTCCAACGACGATGACGCCATAGATCATAAGAGTAGTAAACATAAGCCAGTATCCGACGGATGGAGGGGTAAGGACGGGAGGGTCAGACGCGTTCTCAGTGCCGGATTGGGATTGGATGGTCGGATTAGCAGAGAAGAATCGCGGTTGCATAATGCGTCCAGGAATTGTGGTCGGTACGCGTATGGCAGAATATCCTCTGCGAAGGCTAAGAATTTTACTATTGTTGCCTGAATGAGTATTCCATGTCCGTGAAGCAAGTGAAGAGAGTGACGGTGTTGACCGCGAGAGACCTTGCAAAAGCTTTCCAGACGCGGTGCTAAATGAGAAAGATGACCGTTGGTGCAAGAAGCCGTTCCGCAGAGCGCTTGAGCGAGTGCATGGCCTCGCCAGCGTCACCAATAGCGACGCCGACATGGGCATGGTTTCGTTAGTATGTCGTACAACTCTGAAGCGTCGCATGGCTTCGGAACCGATCGCCTTTGCGTCCCGTGACCGCCCGCACTCCGAATCCTTGCACGTTTTGTCAGCGACAACCATTCATTCGTTGAAGCCCTCGGACTCTTGTTCTACCCGTCAGCCTACCATGTATCGGATAGCAAGACATCTGAGGCCTTCAATTGCTAGATTACAACAAAGCCAGACACCCATTGTTCAATGGCGATACTATTCTGTTCCCCCGCGGGAACTCAAACTCGAAGGCGAACGATTGATATATTCCAAACTTCATGAACGTTTCAATCCATCGCGGTTACAGGTACAAGACGTATCAGGTCCGGCATTCACGTTTTGGAAGCCTCACTTTGTTACTGAATAAAACTCTTCGTTTTTGTTCAGGCGGTTGTGGCACGTTCTACGCGATAACAATCGCAAGCAAAGCATTCGCAGACATTCCTATGGTGCAGCAACACCGATTAGTAAACAAAACATTAAAGGAGGAGATTGAAGGAATCCATGGTTTACAGGTAAGTTTGATGTACCTGTGTCGTTGGTGATGTTAAGAGTATTGACGATCATGGTACTCAGCTAAAAACGATACATGACACCGAATCAAGTTAAAATCCCATAAATATCGCCCCTTACCTTTCAGCAGTAACATTATTTGTTCACAACACCACGACTCATGCTTGCAATACAACTTTATCGCGCTCCTTCCGCTTTCCTCCAAAAGGTGGTTCCATTTTAAGGATCACACACGTGGATTACTCCTTGCGTACGGAGTCAAGCGTTGGATTAATCAAGATGAACTAGAAGACAAGACGGATGCGCTGGAACGATACACCACAAGAATGGTCCATTTTCACTCAAGAAGCAAAGGGTTGGATTATGTTCATTTCGCCTCTGGATTTTTCTTTCTACTCCACCGAGCACAAAGGAGTCTTCGTAACTACACACACCGAGATCGAATTCATTTCGTTACAAATCTCGACCTCGACAAGGTCGTCCAGAACGGATCGACTGAACTGGTTAGAAAGACTCGCGTTTACCGAGATCGTTCTCGGCGAGGATGCTTCCAAGGAAAATTCTACCCGGTCGTCAACAGACAAAAACAAAGGCGTCGAAACACGCGTCGGTAGTTACGCATGCAATTGCAATAGTCGTCGACGAAAGGAGCTACAACGCAGCACTAAGCACTTCATTCCTCGAAACTGACCGAGAAGTCCATGACCCCGTTCGTCTTGTTCTTTGGCCAGCTTAATCGACTCGTGTTACGTATCACTTGCTCCTGGTATTCCTTGGGAAATAAAGCTGCCTCGTTTACGATCTTGCGAAATGAGGGTGAAAAGAAACAATTAACGCGATGGATCTTTTGTTTTTCGCCAGTAAACGTATAGAATTTAAACATTTGGTCAAAAGAATCCGAAAAAAATGGACCCTGTGGAGGAGGCCAAGCTGCAAGCGTGGTATGATGTTCGATACCATTTTTTATTTATGGTACAAACCCGAAGAATACTTTTGTCTGCGTCAATATTAGTGTTGCGGCAGACACCGAAATTGTCATACAGCGAACAGCAAACGTACCTTTGATAACCTCGGCATTCTCGGGCACGCTCGCCACATGGGCGGCTTAGAAGTGCTGTCGTCAAGCAATTGCCGCTCTCACATTTTAGACACCAATTCCAATGAGTTCCGATTAACATTTTTCTTCGAGAAAACGTACCGTAGCACTTAACGACGACATAAAAGACATGTGAACACGATGAGTAGCACATTTAGATTGACATAAGGCGCGCCGACGCCGCAGCTGCTCGTAAGTGTCCGCCGGAACCGTATTCATTTTCTTCCGGAAGCCAGTTCACGGGAGTTACCTGCACGTAGAGAGGCATAAGTAGAGATCAAGTTTTACCACTGACTGACATGGAGTGAAAGCAAGAATGGACAGTGGCACGCCGAGCGAATCATGTTCACAAAGTTACGTCTATGTGCACGGTATTCACGCAAGAAGAGCATTTAAGCAACCGCGGAGTTGGCTCGAATCCCTCAATTTGGGGAAATAGCGGAATAGGAACGACGCACGAAGCATATGGTTCCAATTATACGCTCGTAAATTGGTGTGAAAGGCGGGTAAAACTGTAAAAGGGGCCATATGACTATAGACTGCGGCGAAGTGCTCTTAGAATCCAAAGCATGCGCTAATAGAAGCTCGAAGCATAGAGAACGACGAAGCTCCGAGCTCATCGGATAGCCGGTGTCTGCGTGCTGGCCAAGGACTTACACAAGCCTAGATACTCGCGGACCGCCGTAAGCAAAACGGACAGTGGAAGAGCCCAAACTTACCACTCAAGTCGATAAAAATGGAAAAATGGCAAACGCGAGTTACTGGATTTGGAAGTCTCTGCCAAAGAGCATGTGCATTATGAAGTGTGAGTGTGCCTTTGCCGAATAGGTTCCCTGCTACTGAAATTGCACATCCTCAGTTACGAGCAGACAAGCAAATAGAATATCTCAAGTCCTATTTTCGGAACGCCAGTTGCGAAGACGTAGCTCGTGGAATCTGGATGACATTCTCGGCCCAGCCTTGGCAGGGTCTGCATTCAGCAAGTGAGATAGAATGGGCTTTTCAGCTTCCGTTATGCAATGGATGCATAGCGACCTGTCCGGACGAAGCATAATGACAACTGTGAGTTAGCTGCGTTTTCGCGAGCATGGGATGCTTCGTTCCGTCTTTGTGCCGTCTGTCGTCAATCATCTATCAGTGACCAACCGACTCCCACCAGCACCAGAAGACCCGAAGGGCAAAAGAAATCCGAGTCGGTGTATGGTAGTTTTCTTCGCACAATATGTTACTGTCGTTTTCTGTGTCCGAGTCGCAGTCAGTAGTATTAGCGCCCGCCGGAAGCCCGACTCGGGTTATCGGCGGAAGCATTCTTTATCAGCTAACGGCAGGTTCGCCAATTGGGATGGAAATGCACTCTCCTTGGGTATTGAGTAGCATATAGGCGCCACTGCGTCGCCGTCATATTGGTATACGCCGCTACTAGTACTAGTGATGAAACTCACGACCATGACTTAATCCACTAAGCTGGAGGTAGTACATCGGAGGCTGATCGGTAACTTTGCCTGCCCGGCATTCTAAAGGATAAGGTTTGAAGAGCCGCCTCGGGATCTACGTCTCGGAGGATTAATTATTTGCAAGCCTCCACCTCGCACGGAGCTTCTGCAAAACCTTCTGCACATGTGTGCATATATTCGTGCATTCGTCGTTAGCTCCTAGGCCTATGCGGATACTCGAGGCATGGAGCTATTTGGATAACAATTAACAACTTCATTCTGAGTATATGATAGCGGTCAAGTGAGGTATCATCTCATTCGATGGATGCACCTGTGTAGGGCCCATGCCCATCGATTAGCCCGCCGCAATTATTATTGTACTGGGAAACGCATACCTGTGCCACTTCGGCGGCGCTCCTTTCGCGCCGTGCTTCCTCGTTCCTCCTGTCCTTATCAAGTCAAAAGAGGGTATCTTCTTCAGTACCAAAGCACCTCCCACCGGAGTCAACGACGTTCAGAATAGAGAGAAGAGAAGGCAAGGACTACCACTAGATCTGTTTCGCTCCAACAGGAGAATCAAACCACCAACGTCGGAATGCCTTTATATGTTGAATCGCTGGTAGTGAGGACGGAGTGGTCCTTAGTACATCAGCTACTCGATATGTATGCAATACAGTAATTCCGCAAAGTTCAGACTCGGGTGGTTTCGAACCCAGTCCGGTAAGTTCTTCATATTTATGTGCATATACCGGGTCCATCGGAGGATACACGCGCCGCATATACTACTTTAGTTACGAGTACATGTATGGGTGTAGTCTCTTACACAGCTTTCCGGTCGCAGATAGTGGTGTGCTATTTCAGGCCAGTAAGGCTGAATGCGCACGTCAGGGGGAAGAATTATCTTCATTTCCGAACATAAGAAGGCATGATCACAAATCGATGTATCTTAAAATTTGTGCGACTGACCTAGTACATGCAGCAATACTGTATAGGATTAGCAGTACAAGGAGCCACATGTCGCTTTAATCAATGCTGTGACAGAGGCTCTGTTAAATTTACTTCACTGGTACCCAAAAGAATAAGTAAAAAACTTTTACAAGCGCTGGTATGTATACACCGCATCGATTCCATCGCCGAGTCTTCCGTTTCTTCGCTTCATTCTAGTCTCTAAGCAAACCTATCCTCTGCTTCCATGCACCGGAAAGTCCGTCTTGCCAGATAGGTTGAACGCGAATCCACCGAGTATCTGCTGCGCGTTACATATGAAAGCGCTAACGTTTCCTCGTCAGACTTAATAGAGAAATTGCATCGCGGGAATAGATAGAAAAATCCGGGTCGTCATCAACCTGCAAAAGAAATACATGCACTCACGGTTAGCATTGTCATATGTTAATCATAGCCACTCAGGAACTTTTAAGGAAGGAATGCAGCAAGTCAGGAAAATGATTGCATATGGGTTAATTTGAATTTCTTGTTGATTGCCTTGAAGGACGCAATGTGCAAGGCACGAACCCGACGTTAAATAAGCCGAAGTAGTCCCGGATATAATGCAACATAATCCAGCACCGATCAGATATCCGCCTCCGATGGAGCGGTGATAGCATCAAGCCGTACTCATGCCTGCCACTAATTGGCGGTAAGGTACCGGAGAATCCGTATCACGATTGTGGGTGTAGTTGATTATGCTGGGTTTTCTCCATAAACTGGCTCGGCCGTATGCGAGTATTGCGAAGTGAAACATGTTGCATCAGGACGTCGAGACGACGGTTGTCCGGGCAGCATTCAACGTCGTTTGAGCGGGGAAAGCGAGGCATAGAAAGAAATTGTATGAAGAAATTGTAATATACTCACCTGCTTCCACTCGAAATGTTTTTTTAGAAGTGTGAAGAATCGTTTGTCAGCCTGCAAGGAGAACATGATGTTTCAGAAACAGTGGCCAACGATTCGGAAGATTCGGTTATTTCGAAGCGAAACAGAATGCGCCCAGTGGCGGGCGCGTTATTCAGTTCAAGATCGGCGCTGCATAAGCACGGTGATCTCGCATTGATGTCGGCATACGATGCGAGTCCATGTGCTCGCTACGCACGAGATCATAGTGTAGAGCGGTGCAGTACTGATCATCAAAAGCTTCCTGTGATTGAAAGCGTACCTTTCTTCGTTTCTTGTAGCAAAATAGGACCTCCGTGCAGGAACCACACACTGGGACTAGGTCGCAGAGCGTCGCGACAAGAAGCGGGAAAGCGGGCTATGTCCGATAAAAAGTGCGCGTTTCAGGAATAGTATGCGTCCGGATGCATAGAATGGAGCAAGAAATGTGGGTGAGTATCACGATTGGTTTAGTGGGTGCGCTGACCTCGAAGTAGACGCAGTCTGCCGCGAGAATGAGGTCAGCGCGGGAAGGAAGCGCATCGGGCTTTGGAAAGCCCCTGCCGTTTGGATATACGCGCCACGGTTGTGAACGGAATCGAGCAAAGGTCGAGTGTGATCGACGGTATGCAATTAAATAGGTAATTGAAACGCGCCGACCAGCGCGTCCATTCGGCGAATTTATAAAATCAATATGGATTATTGAGCCATTGAAATGAAGCGAGGAGAAAAGTAAAGTGAATTAACCAATTATATTCAACTACGTGAGTAGTGTCGCCGAGACCATTCAATGTGACGTTTTCGCGCATAATGTCGAGCATGGGGCTGACAAAGGCGGTTTGGACAGGTTAGTGAGGTTGCAGGCGTAAGCAGGCTCAGGATGCGACATGGAGATTGGAAAGCAGACGAGCGACACGTGTTGGATACATACGCCTGATCTGTAATCCAGACACGGCTGGCTCCGGATGACGCGGCGACAAGTCCAACGAGCCCTGTCCCACTGCCGAGTTCGATGACATTCTTGCCAAGGAGACTGCTTCGAGGACGTCGTGCGATGTATCTACTCAACACCTGGAAGCCCGATCGGGCGGTTGCAATTAGGATCTACGCTTAGCGCGGGAGAATACAAGGGAGAAAAGAGAGAATAAGAACCTCGCCTGCAGGCCATGCAATTCCTCCGCACCCTGAATTTTAAAGCAAGCGAGAAAAGAAAAGCGGGCATGAAAAGAAAAAAGGAAAGGGCGCGGAAAGAAGGAAAGAGAGAAAGAAAGAGAGAGGAATAAGTTACATAATAAAGGATAAAGGAATTACGGAACTAGATTGACCTGGTGACGCATCTACTCGGAGAGAGACGCGAAGAACGTCCCGTAGCTGCTGCGACTTGTCCGCGAACGAGTCATCGCGACAGAGGGTACGATTGGATGGAAACTCAAGCTGTGTAATGTGGTTTATGAGCCCGGGAGGGGCTGACGGAGCAAGCCGGTCGAGGATTCTGAGCTGGCTGAAAGCGTCGTTGTCTGACTCGTTGTCTGACTCTTTCATCGAGGGCTGCTTGTGCTAAGTGCGAAAAAGGCGAAAGGGCTGTATGCAGATTGAGAACCCAAGGTCCAAAAGAAGCCCCGTTCACATCGGTATCGGCGTTACCTAATCAACTAACCGGCAACTAAAGGTTTCTCGTCTCTTTTGTCCGTTCAGCACGGTGTCCGATCTTGGTTTATTATCTCTCAATTGGACACCCATGCCTGCACTACAAATACCGCCACTCCTCCTCCAGTTCCTCCCCGCATTCCCCTCCCGTCAGCAATGGCCTGTCCACGCACGTATCCCGCCATGACAATCTCATACGACCCATACTCTTACTACTGTCCGCCGACTGGCGACGATGATCGCTTCCTTCACATCTCCCGCGGCGCTGCTCGCCCTGCATCCAGCTGCGACCCCCGCCGCGCATCCATCTGGTCGACATCCTCTATCTGCTCTGATGGCTCCTCTCTCGACCTCGATGACCGCGCACATGACTTTGACGACGACGACGACCTGCTCGTAACCCCCATCTCACCCGCAGAGTCCAGCTCAAGTCGGACGTCATGGTCGTCCATGGCCTCGTCATCCTCCAGCACTAGCCGCTGCAGTGCGACTGCTCAGGAGCCTTCCGAGCGCTTCAGACGGACAAGCTCCGGTAAGCCTCGAGGTCCGCGCCCGCTGCCGGCACTACCCACCAGCCAACCTTCCTCACCCTGCTCCATGCCCTCCTCCCTGCCGACGACCCTGCCAGTAAAGGTCACACCTCCGCTCCGTCTCAGTCTCAAGTTTGTTGCCCCTCCCCCTTCGTATGAAGAAGCGATAAGCGCTGGCGCACAAACACCAGTATCAACGTCTTCACAGGAGTCGGAACGGTTACGGCGACCAGCGAGCTATCCAGGACCGTTTCCGTTCGATGCAGAAACAGAAATCGATGCTTCACCTGCAGAATTTCTGACTTCGCCTACGGAAGAGACAATCATTGATTGGGAGCGCATAGAGGAGTACATTGCACGCTGTGACGGGTGATTCGGCATGACGATTCTGCACTGGGAATCTACATGAACGGCTAGAGGCGGGACACGTTTCGAATCGGTCGCTCGGACATCCCGAAGCTACTCCAAAAAGCTGTTTCATACTCTTATCGGACGCGCTCGCATTGTCGCGCACTCGATTATTCCGACGTGTTTAAACCAAAAAGGAGACTTATTGCGCATGCCAAACGCATCGACACCCGAGGCATTCTATGCGCCGTCGCTTGGTAGAGACGGTTGACTCAATAATACGCCACGCGAAAGTTCGCGTTGGGATACGTCAATGGCGGTCAGAATTCATTGGCTTGGTCTGTGATTGGCCAACACCGTCTCCTTCCCGACATCAACGATCTACTGGTGTATTTCACACGCCAGACACATGCAACACGACGATTGTTGCCAACGAACGTAGGATGCCGTCGACGGCACATTCGAGCTTATTCCGACGGTTCATCACATCTCAATCTCAACCTTTTCCGTTCGCCGCTGAGGCACCTTCCATGGAACTCCTTTTGATTTCTTTCTCATCCAAAATTATCAGTTCATGACCGTCACACTTTCATTTCGACTTTCTTCTGCAATTTACCCCAATTCCCTGGCCCTCAACTTCACTCCACTCTCAGATTCATTTCAATTTTTGTCTTCCCTTTCACGCGCTCAGGTCTCACTCCTGGCTTGTCCCTTTCTTCGACTTCCTTATCGCGACTTCCTTGCCTTTTTCGTCGCCTTGCCAATTTTTCTGTTCGATTCCTCTCACTTGAGTTCATAGCGCATTTCAACTCAGCAATTGTAGCATTTTTACCCTCATCCTCAATTTTCCATTGTTAGTCTCCTTCCCGCACTCTTGATGACGACGTAAACATACAATTGTCCCTTAAATACTTGCACACATATATCGGTACCTGCACAGCTGTAATCGTGAAATTGAATAAATCCAGACAAAAATGTCTTAATCTGCTATTCCCTGCCTGCCTGCCTGCCTGCCTTCAACGTGAGCTGTGAGCTGTGCAGTGAAGAATCGAGTCAGATGTCCTCGATAGCGCTAGAAGGTATTCGTATGTACTCGTGCTGAACTGCCTTAAGACGCCTTTGCAGGGAAGAGTCGACCTAAAACGTCGCACATGTCGGATAGCCGACATGCCCGAATGGGAAGATTCCGGCTCCCCAAGGCCTGATACAAACCATGTCCATCCTAGTATCCGTTTTTGGATAAAGGGTGAAATTGCAGGCTCGGTATGAACAAAGAAAACTCAGCCGCAGGATTGAATGAATTGAAGGGGACATCGGGCCTGAGAGACTTTGGCACATGCACAGTTGCGCAGAAACTTTGGAAGGGAGCGCTAGCGCGCATAGCCCGGAACTCTGAAAGCTGCTGCGTAACTACGTGTAATGGTGTACATGCTTCTCAGGTTCATATAGTTCGTATGTGCTCATCGGACGTATCTCAACACAGTTGTATTAGGATTAAATGTAGGGACGTTGTAATGACTCCGCTGCGGGCCTGCGGCGCAGCTGGGACCAACGTACCTACGTGAAAATAATCTTGTCTGTGCGTTGGGGATTTTTTGATCAGTCGCGGCGCTCTGTGCCGATAAGTGGAAGCGGCGCACATGGCTCCATTTCGTTCTTGGAGTCTATTCACAACTTGTCCTTGCTCCCTTTGCAACTAGCCTATTTTCGGCGTTGAAGAGTAATGGAAAGCATGTGCAAAATGTATGCGCGCGAGCGCCGCTCCTTCGCCTTATCCCACGGTTGATAATTGGCTTCGACTCTCTGTCCTTGGTCTCGTCAGATAATCTTACATGGCACAGTCTCGCGTACGCGTCCGATTCCGATTCACGTCGAGTCGGAGTGACGAATCGATCGTCATATTTATTCTTGCTGACTGAAGGCGACCGACGAGCAGGAAATGTGAAATATTAACGAACTGAAGAGTCAAATCCTGTCACGAAGTGCGACTGCAGCGGCGCTGGACACTCTTTTGGACTGCAAGGATGGATAGTCGCCAGGTCTCGCCGATTAAGCTCTCATCCTTCCTAGGCAGGAAATATGACTCGACGGGTGCAGTGCTAAATTTTTCATGACAGCCATGCTCTCTGTCTTGCTTCCATGGATTCTCAGCCATTCTCGTACGAATCCTATTACAGACACAAATAGTACGGCAGCAGAGTCAAGCTTCTCCACTCAGTCCTTAGCCGAGTCGAGCTGCTACCTTCCGGTGTATCCCAAATACTGCAAATGCCCACTGGTTTTATCAAACCTTGTATGGACGAAGATACAACGTATTGACACCGCCTCGGAGCTCACAGTCACACGCCTTCAAGACATCGCCTTTTAGGCAGCATCGCTCTCCTCAGGTAGTTGGCTAGTTTGGCAATCAACATGCCTCTTACACGTGTAGCTAGGTTCATGACCAAGTCTTGTTACCTATGGTTGTAATAGGAGGCCTGAGCTTGTGTACTTCTTTCGAGCCGAGTAGCAATCCGAAAGCAATCACTACTTGCACACTCCGCGGTCCCAGCCAAAGTATCAGAAGCCTTCAGAGGCTTTGATGTACACCTTCTACGCACGCATCAAGTGGGGTGTGTCAATGAAAATAAATATAGGGGTCACAGGATACTTCGTTGTCTGTATCCATAGAGTGAGGATTCGAGGAGAAGACCTGATTTGGTTTGATGGAAGTGTAAGTCAACAAGTACAAATATGATCATTCCTATATTTGTCGACATTCGTTATCCTGATGTTTTCTCACTCAGGCCGGTCGGTGGTTCAATGTGCGCGAGTATTCTCTAGCTTCACACTATTGGAGAAAGACAGATTATTATTGCGATCAGCGCCGGGAGAAACGGCATTCTTATCTCCGAATAAACAAAAGTGAGTGACCACGTTGAGCACCGTTTGTCCTACGTGTTCAACTGAAGATGGAAGATGAGAAGTCTATCGGGAAGCATGTACGCGTCCTCTGGAAAGGCCGTAGAAGCGTGATCCAGCTAACGTATTTGAAATCGCGGAAGGAGACAATCAACGATCCTATGTTACTGCCCGTTGTTGAGAAGTGTCCTCACGTTACCCAACTTCTTGCAATGGGAACCATCTTCAACCGAATCAATGACACCAGGATAACTTTACCGTGTTCACGGTGTCCAGTCTGTTGTCCGATTCTCTCTCTTTGGCCGGCTATCAATTGATCGCGGTGACGTCCATCTTAGCATCCATCCTCTTGTCTATGCAAGGTTAATCAATGCATCACTGCCTGTGCCTTCATCACGTATCAAGACTATATGTACCTCTCCTGGCGACTCAGGAGAAGAAATCGCTCTCCTTCTAGTTCCATTCAACTGATCGGGTCCTCTTGGGCGATATTTACACTTTGCATCTTGTTCTTGCCAATATCCATCACTTTCACTTGCATCTGTGGCGCAGCGCTCTAGTACTTTTCCCTTGGGATTTCTATTTTCTCCTATTTGTAACCTTCACCATATCTATGCCTACTTAGCACTGATCTGATGTTAATCTACCAGTATTCCATGCCCTCGATGGTGATACAACCGCACAAAGGATGATTGTGGCGTATACATACCCGTCTCATCCATCTTATTGATTGAGGCATGTTCACTAACTCCTCGTCTCTCGAAAGCCAAAACACGCGGTCGAAGGCTACAATCAAAAGCATATGAGTTCAGACTTATTTGAACAACCAGCGATCAATGTTCTCGGAGCGGCGAAGTGCGGAGTGATGAAGGGTCGGGAAACAGACTCGAAACCGGTGGGCAAAGAGACAGGAGGATCTACATGCGCCGACGCTTCTCCCGTTGACCATCAAGATGTCGGAGGCCTCTCCATGGGCTTCTCTTTCATCGTCGGAGAAGACGTGGTGTTGTCTATGGCCGGAGAGTGATCGCGCCGAGAGGCACAGAGAATCGTATATTCTTAACTCCGAGCCTGTAGGTCCTGTTTCATGGGTAGACTCACAGGTACAGTTGCAGCAATTAAAGTCAGGGCTTTAAAGTTCATTGCTACTGAAAAGTCACTATTTAGCCAAATCATCTAAGCATTTTTTTCTTGTCATCTGGGTTGTCTCGGTGAGTGTGTGCAAAAGCAATATTCAGCTGATCGGACTCAAATGTCGTGATTCGCACAGAAAGGATGTAGAACTCTACGGTTACGATTAATGGACCCTGTATCCGGACATCTACTACTTTGGCCGCTCGTGGCAGGAATATAGCCTCAGTTGCCGTAGATCCGCTCGCATCTGCGGATAAAGAGAGATTGATGACTTTGTAAGTGCCCGGCGCAATCTGCAGGCAGCACTCTAATATGATGATCATCTGAATCCCGTCCTTGCGATGGCGGATTTGCCGTTCTAAAGCGCAAGCTGTAAAATTATTTTCTTTTACAGAGATCGGTCTTCCTGTTCATTGGACCCGGTGTATGTCGGCTTTACAGTTTTCTGTTCATAGTACATTCTGATATAGCTATTCAGAGATATCAGACATTTTGATATTCATCTACCGGCAGAATATATGTCTACCACACTTAGTGCAATCATAATCACTGATCTGTCATAACTGGGGGGTATTGATACATTGCCTTGATATCAAACAAATACAAGGTTACAGGATGTTTTCGTCTGTCATCGTTCATGTAAAATGGTAATATAAGCTACTGGTATAGTGATAGTATAAACGCTTGAGAGTATGTGGCGAGCTAAATATCATCGCGGAGACTGAGCTCAGTAACGCCTCGATTGACCGAGGCGAGAACGAGAATTCTTCGAGCGGATCCCGAAAAGGTGCCTGAGACGAGACTTCAAGCTTGGATGTCCATGAGCTTCATTGCCGCGGCCCTAGTTCGCAGACAGAATTTGTCAATATACGAGTTATTTTTATGATACGCCGGGTACCTACCATCGTGCGAAGTTCGTGTTTGGCATTTCTACGGCCATCATGCGTAGTGTTGGGATTATGGAGGGCGGCTCTAGAAAGAAAGCAAACAGGTTTAATAACTTCGTTACTAAGTGAACAGTGGATGTAACTTACTTGTATCCGCCGGCAACGCGATCAGGATCCCTGCGATGGAAGAACCTGCGCCGAGTGCCGCTTCTTTCTGTGCGGTTTCGGTTAGGGCTGAAAAAGCCACGACGACGTTGAGTGCCGGTGGGGTGGTGGGAGCGCGAAGAACCGAACATGTTTCAGTGAAGTGATATGAGTTGTAAATGTGGGTAACGTTGTCCTTTTGATATTTTTTTGAAAATGTGCTGGGGACTTTGGGCTTTTTATGCGCTGGGACGGGGTAGATATATTGGACATACGTCATAATTCATTGAACATAAAACCACAATGAATAGGATTCGTGGTGCCCTGACAGGGGGCTCGCGTGGATAACTTTCATTGAAATCATATCAAGTTGGAGTACGAGTCGGCGAAGGTTCATGAAATCATAGCATTCGCGTCACTGAGCGCTGCCGATGCCCGAAACGAGAAGTGTGGGTCCCTTGTCTGGACTTGGAAGGCTAAATGTAAGCGAGCACTATACGCGCAGCACTGCCACCAACACACCAACTTTGATGATGCCCTCCATCTCCAACCAGGTTGATACACTCGTCACACGTGTCCACGCGCGCTATACTGCCTGCTACTTCAAGCAATCGGATAACTATCAGTATACTGTCTTAGCGGCTTTCGTGCTTGAATCCCCTTACGCGCCGTCGACTGGTTACTTTTCACATCCAGACAACTACAAGGTCGTAGCACTGGCCACGGGCGTCAAATGTCTACCCACTGATCGTTACCCACTTCGCGGCGACGCATTGCATGACAGCCATGCGGAGGTACTCGCTCGACGCGCATTCATTAGGTGGCTCCATGAAGAAGTTCAACGAGCAGTTCACGCGTCGAAGGGATCCATGTGGATCAAGCAGCGCACTGATGGGAAGTGGGAGTTGGGTGAGGGCGTGAAGCTGCATATGTATATATCAACAGTCTCATGTAAGAAACGCATCTACCATATTCGAAGTAGAGTGACTATATGCGCCCCGACGTTTTCCTCTGTGCCTGCTCCTGAGTGTGCAATGAGTTGCTAACCTCTTAATGTTCGATGTTCATCCAGGTGGTGACGCATCAATGCGCTTTCTCGCGTCATCTCAAGATCCAGCAATGGCAGCGCTGAAGGACGCTGCTCCTCCTGCATCCCCTCCACCTGGAGCTGCATCACGCGGACGAAATAACTACGCTTTACATACTGTACTTCGTACCAAACCAGGACGGGCAGACTCACCTCCAACGATCTGTATGTCATGCAGTGACAAGATTGCGTAAGCCGCCACCGTCTGTTTCTCTTTCCCCGAAAGGTCATCTAATGACGAGCTCTACAGAGTGTACAATGTCCTTGGCGTTCAAGGTGCCTTGGCGGCGAATCTGTTCGCCCCTATCTACTTGAGCCGCATTATCATCGGCGACGTCCCAGAGCATATGCAAGACGTCGTGCGGCTTGACTGCGAACGAGCGTTCTACAGACGACTAGATAGCATACAAGGTGAGAGACACCTATGTGCGTTGCTTCGTGTGGTTCATCAAATACAAACAGGTCTCCCAGATTCATATCACTTAACAAGGCCGACTATATACTTCACGCATGTTGACTTTGAAAACTCGCGAACGGCGTTACAAGGAAAATACCCGAAGCGCCCACTGCCTCAGTCTAGCAACGAATGTAGCTCAACTCCTCACTCTCATGCACATCCGGCATTTTTCGTCTGACATTCTTTTAGCTCTTTGTTGGTTTGCAGATTCTGTAGGAGGAAAGGGCCAAGAAGTGATCATCAATGGAATTCGTCGAGGTGTTGGACCTAAACAGCTCGGATTGGAGAGGTTTCGGTTTGTTTATATTGACCTTTACTCGTACCAGTCGTGCAGTACTAAGAAGCTCATAGACCACTGCTATGCAAGCTCCAATTGTTCAGACTACACGAGCAAACGAAGAATGTACTTGGTCTTCCGCCCACTCCGTATGTCTCCCATCCATCTTCATTTATCTACTCTACTTTCACTAAAATGAGCATGTTAATCAGGCTAGGAAGGTCATATCATACTGCAAAGCAGTCGGATCCGGCGTATACAAGGGCGCGGTCATTAGTGAAGGGACCAGGAGGCCCGTTCGCAGGCTGGATAGTCAGCGGAGAACAGTACGAAGCCTTCGATGTTGACGGTGACATTCTTGGCGAGATTCCAACAGAGGGCACACCTAACGTACTCGGCACTCGGACGATTGACTAGTTATATCAATTATACCTTGAAGTAGCATTCATGTGATACCCCACAGAAACGTATCATCGAGAATATGAGTTATACAATTTTGGTATATAACGACCTTCCTCTAGCGGAAGGTGGTGTGAGGAGGACAATATAAGGTAAAAGGTAAAGGCGCGAGTGTAGACAATGCATGTATAATGAGACTAATCAGAATCGGAAAACTAAACGTTAAAGTGGAAGAACCGTTTTAATTACGCGGAATGAACAGCGAAAGCATGAACGCGACAATGTGAAAGGGCGTCATAAAAGTTCGTAACGTAACAACATATTAGACTGGGAAAAGACTAGGAATAAAAAGAAAACGGAAAATAAGCAGGCGACACCATGTATACGGGTTACCGGTCCTTCTTCGGCTCGAGTGATATAGAGGACGGCGGAGAAACGATCCCGCTGACCGGACTGGCAGACAGTTCAGTTGGCGGAAGGTCCTGCGCAACGAATACCGGAGACTCCGTTGATACTGAAGAGAAGTTATCTTCGCTGGCGTTCCGCGAATGTGCGAGACCTCCTTGTGAATCAACGGGTGTCGCTCTTCCTGAGCGCGTGGCTGCCGCTTCGGCGAGTTCCTTTCTCAATGCTTCAAGTTCTCGTTCAAACCTAGTAAAAGGAGATCAGATAAAAATTTTGGAGTATGGGGAATTAGACGTACTTTCGACCAAAGACTTCGATGTAAAACCCTGCACCGTTCCATACACTCACGGAAAATATGGCAAGCAGGAATGCTGAACTGAAGAAAGAACTTCGGTATAACAGGGGAACTGGAAGTTCTACAAGTAGTGTATAGACTGTCATTTCAACTAGTCAGCCAAGTTAATTGCTGAAACGAAATTGATAAACGTACAGAGTTGTCCCGTGATAAAGGAGAGTTCTCTATAATGCTGTGGGACATGTCCGAGCATACGTCCTATGACGCCTCTCTTGTCGTTTAACATCCATGAGAAAGACGTTGTACGCTCTCCTGATTCAATCTTCTTGCGACGATCGACTAAGACGAACTTGTATAGAACTTAGTATGATACAAGGCATGTTTTAGACCAAATTTTAAATCACCTTCCAATACAGAATTTGCCAGATGATGTCTGTATACAAAAAAGTGTTATAAGAACATCATTTATACACAGATGAATGCATCTTACAGATTAAAGCGCTGAGACCAAATGCTTTGGCCGGATTCAGGTGAGGAACCTTTGTGACCGCAGGGAATCGAGTTTCTACGTTCGGGTAGTGGTGTCTAGGAGCATCATAAACAATTTCATCCCTTACTGAAAAGAAAGGGAACACACCTAATGACAGTGAATACCAACGGGGCATACATGTGCACAAAGAGCGAGGTGACTTTGTCAGAATCATGGAAGACAAGACTATTCCTCCATGTAATGACCGCACTAGCAAGGGACCCATGTGACATGCAATAGCACGCAATCCAAAGCGTCGCACTTCCAGGTGCAATCCAGATATACATGAAGTTGAGAATCGTCGCATAGTAACACAAATCAAACAAGAAATAGTGCCAAGCGCGTTTCTTGTAATTATACGCGCGAAGCGGAAGGAGATATAGAGCTTGGATCGTATATGAGATATGCAGCCACCTGGAAACGCGTGCGGTTGGTATGTATGTATGTGGCTTGTCAATGAGGCGACTGCATGTACGTACTGCGGAGCCATGCCGAATAGGAGTGCAGTCAGGAGAAGAGACATAACACCGAAGAAAAACGATATCTTCTCCCGCGTTCGAATGACCTTCGAAGATTGCCATGCATTGGACAGGGACGCCATTTGACTTGATACCTGTGCAGCGACATTGACGCGTTAATTGGTGTAACGTTTCGCGTCATATATGAAATGTCTTGCGTGCCTTCAACTTGAATTTTTGCACCTCCTTATCCAGATCCTTTGCAACAAAGAGCTCTCCTGCAGGAGTCTTAAACTTGAATGCCTCTTCAGCACGCATCTTGAGTTTATCGGAGTGCTTCTTCAACCGCCTCTCGAGCAAATCCATACGAGAGTCGAAGAACGTCTCGATGGTGTCTAAGTTTTTTGAACATCAAGCAACTCAGCTTTGTAATGGATATTGGGAATGACAAACACGCACCGAGAAGTGTAAAAGCGCCCGTCCACTCAGAGATATCATCGCGAACGAAGCGTTCGAACGGTACAGAGAAGAAACCCATGCTAACAGCGGAAGTAAGTCCCGGGGTATCTGGTCGCTGTGAAGGGCTTGGTGGTCTTGACTGTTCGTTAGAAGAATCGTTCCCCATCTTAATAGTGGCTCAGTGAAAAAGGCAGACAGTGGCTGAGAAGAATGTGGTCCATGCAAAAGTGTTGTTGTAGTGGCCACGCGCAGGTAGGGACGCGGCATGCTCAAAACGGTTTCGTCCGTCGTAACAGTGCTACGTCAGACGTGTTCATTGCTCTCCCGCTCATTTTCGATTTCAAAAAGTGGCGATAAGGAAAATTGAGTTGGAGAACAAGATAAAGCGGTCTGCAAGTCACTCAAGTCACTAACACGGGACCTGAACAACCTTAGTTCTTTTACGTTTTCTTCACTCAATACTCTTAGCACGAAAACTAATTTAATAGTGTTAATCACGACCGTAATTGACGTACAGCCGCTGTTCGTTGGCAGCCGATCAAGGATCGAGAAGACAGCGGACACAAGGTTCATCGTGCCTGCAACAATTACGCGTAGCGTTTAACGCTTTTAGAATTTATTGGCATCTAAGAGAAAGAAACCATTTTGTCTACATCAAAGACAAGTCGCCGAACTTCTCCTTGTAGCCTAGGTAGCAAGATCAGTAAGGTTGAATAAAATCATAATTTAAGTCTACTTACCAGGTACTGTCCATTTGCCCTTCTTGATCATAGTCTCGACAGCCTTGGTGATTTCAGGATGTGCGTTTCCAACATCCTCCACCTTGAGCAGAAAATTAGCCACGAAGTCCACGAAGCCAAGAATACAGGTCACTTACAGAAAGGTCCTCGAATGGCCGCACTTTCTCAATGTTTGCAAGAGTAGCTTGCAGGTCCTTCAGCTCCTCTTCAATCTTCACCTCAGTCTCTTTGGCGTTCTCCACCTATAAAGGCTTTGAATTGTTTGTCTTTGGAAAAATAGGTGGGCAGCCTTACCGCCTTTGCCTCAAATGCCTCAATCGCCTTCACGTGTGAGCCGACATCATATGTCACCGGCTTGAAGTCTTTGAAAATCTTCTCAGCTTCATCTACGATGGCCTTATTCTTCAGCACGGAACGATAATGTGCAAAGTCGACTTCAGTGGACTGCGACTTCAGCGTACTGCTTATTCGTTGGGCATCGTTGTGCCGCTTTCGGAAAGCATTGAGGGCAGCAATGGTCTCTGCAAGCCATATAAACATATAGAATAAACGCAAAATACGAGGCTCGCACCCTTCCCGAGACCAAGTTTTGAATAAACACGCGCGAAATCCTACAACGAAATGAAATGAAACGATGACCTGACGAGGATGCAGGAAGTGCAACATACGACCGCGACAGCTGCTCCTTTAGCTGCCATGACGCTCTATACCATGGCAAGCCAAAAGCTTATTAGTATTCTGAATATTAAAACGTCATAGAGGAACTATTCTAACCTCAAAGCGTGTTGAAATGAGCGAATGGGATGGATGAAGTGCAGACTAGTGAGCGGTCAGTGACAAGTGAGAAAGCGTGAGAATCATTTCGGAGAATCCCGGATAGCATTTCATAATCTGCTTTGCATAAACATGGATGTGACAAACATATATAAATTTGTATGTTCCATATTGTATAGTAGCAACATGCTATAGATGAAATGTATGCCGTGTAAAAGTGCCGAAGTATCATACAGTGTCGTTAAATGCTGGTCCAGTAAAATTACAATGCGTATAGTACGTCTATGTCGTGACCTGCCTCGCCGAACATGTATAAGGCAGTTTTCTATGATGTTAGATTGCTTTGCTAATTGCCTTAAAGTTATTTCCAATCAACCCAGCAACCTGACCCGCCCGCCATTCTGCTCTTCCAATCACGATGAGCAGCATCGAATGAGTAAGGCAGGACGTAGTTCTCATTGTTTGACGGAAGAAGTTTGAAAAGGCTAGTACGTGCTTCGATACCCTTGAGTCTCTCCATCATGTCTGTGTGGTCCGGATATGGCATTCCGAGAGTGCTCATCTCTGGAGGGTAAGGCTGGAGTAGCAGTTCTACTAAAGTGGGAGGGAGGCGAGGTGCTGGTGCGACTCGCGTCGTTCCGTCGGGATAACGCTCCAGCGGCATGGCGAGCGACTCTGGATCGTATTTGGTCATTCCAAACGCCACCTCGAAGGATTGGGCTAGAATTCCACCAGATAGGATGCATGATAATGGTTCCGTAATGCGAATATGGGTGAGGCTTGGACAGCCGTTCGCTAGCGAAGAGAAGGAAGCCCATGGATTGGGCATGTCGCCAGCTGCCAGATGTAACCGCTTGAGTCTCGGTAGGTAAAGATTTTTGGGTAATGGTGGATAGTCCCCCCTGATAGTGAGTTCTTCTAATACCGGAAAAGGGAACATAAGAATATCTTTGAGTGTCTTGATGCTATGTTCGTAGTGAAGGAGGGTCAGAGTTTCGAGCTGGCTCGATATGAGGGCTAGAATGTGGCGCAGAGCTGTTCGAAATGTTGATAGTTCCTTATCGCGATCCATCAGCCATTCGCGGATGCGCTGTCTGCGAATCATACGTTCCGAATGCGTTTGCGGCCAGTAAACGATGAAGTCAGGCAAGACGACGTGGAATTCGTCACGATTGCGGTCCGAGATAAGAACATGACGAACATGGGCCGAGAGCAAGGGGTTCCTGAGAAGCGCATTCTGAAAGGAAATTACGCGGCGACGTGTAGGAAGATAGACGGTTTTATACATGACAGGGGCTGCTAGCTCATAGAAGTATTTGTTGACGAGAACGAGGCTTCTTCTTGTTTCTTGCGGAACATATTCACAGATCAAGAGATGAATTTCTGGAGGAAGATCATGGAGGAACATCTAGAAGGTTTAATTCCGAAGAGTACAGAGGAGAAGGGGCTGCGGTGAAGTGTGGCGTGAACAGCGAGAGGACAGGGCGGCCTCTGAGAGAAGACCCTCAAGACGATGCAGATTTGTACGCAACATACTTTGCGAAACGGTTTTCCAGCCCCATGGAGGGGAAACAACGGGTTTGCAGGTTACATCGAGACCAATGAGCAGGACGGATGCAAAGGTGGCAAACTCATCCAACTGCGAAATCGACTTCGGCTGACGGTCTGTAATAAGCAAATCTCCGTCGGACGTCTTTCTATTACAACTATCCGCTACTCACGCATGGTTATTTAATGCAAAGCAGATTCCTAAGTGGCATGAGGACGCCGAAGAGCAATTACCCGGACCTGAAAAATATTCTGCAGTGACCGAGACTGTTGTGGCACTTCCGAGAACACGCCGCCGCCATCGCCAGCTTAAAGACAGAACATGCTGGTACCAGTGTACACACTTCTTGTTAATTACCAGTCATAAGTGCAGTTCCGCTTGAGATCACGATAGCAGGGTGAATGAGAATTAGAATTACAATGGGAAGAGTCGGGTTGACGGAGGAAATTGTGCGAAGACGCGTCAAGAAAAATCCATACGGTCGATAAATAAGGCAAGACACGATCGCCGCCTTCATCTTGGACTTGCGTCACAGGATACAGCAGTCAGCCATGTCTACTGGACCATCCGAGTTGACCCTCACTATTCTTCCTTGCACTCTGCCTCTCATCCCGCTTTACCATTGGCACTCCCGTTCGCTGTTATTTAAAAATGTCAACAGTGTCTAATATTTCTTCCATCTTCTTCTACAACGTTCCCGACGCCACGCGATCCCACCTCGATAGCATACAGAGGCAATTCGATCTGACTGATGCACGCCTCCTCGAGATCACTCGACAGTTCGTCGATGACTTTGCTTTGGGACTCTCAGAATACAATAAACCAATGGCCATGATGTGAGGAGCTGCTTGCATGGTAATTACGCGTAACTGACTAGGCTGAATGCACCTCAAGACCGACGTTCGTTACTGGTGTCCCCGACGGCACAGAAAAGGGGTTAGCATATCATACCTGCTCTGAGGTATTCAATTCATCTCATGAGCGCTCTCAGGACGTTCCTTGCTTTGGATCTTGGCGGGACAAATTTGTAAGTTTGATTGATTGCTGCTCTCTGTTCCAAGCACTCACTCTAGATTAGACGTGTCTGCGAGGTCCAGCTGCATGGTAATCAGCAGTTTACTCTTCGACAACAGAAATACAAACTGTCAGAGGTTTTGAAAACTGGCGAGGCTACTGTGCTATTTGGTATGCTATGGTTGCCAAGGACGAGGTGGAACTCCGCTGATGCGCTTGTGCAGATTACCTCGCGGACTCCGTTGATGAGTTCCTGACGTCTATGGGCCACGAGATTACCGATGATGAGGCATTACACCTTGGCCTCACTTTTAGCTTCCCGGTCGAACAGACGGCACTGGACAAAGGTGTGCTTTTGACGTGGACGAAAGGGTTTTCTGCAAAGAATGCTGTTGGCAAGGACGTTGTGAAACTGCTTCAAGACGCTTTTGATAGGAAGCATATCCATGTCAAATGCGCCGCCCTAGTCAACGACGTACGCTCCCCTTTATTACTGTGATTGCAAATAAATAAAACAAATATCTGGCTTGCAGACCGTTGGCGCCCTTTTATCACGAGCATATACGTCTGGAGGTTGCATACTTGGCGCCATTTTTGGAACCGGGACAAACGGAGCCTTCGTTGAAGATGTACAAAAAATTCGGAAGCTATCAGACTCTGCAGCATTAAAACATGTGCAGACAATGGTCGTGAATACTGAATGGGGCGCGTTCAATAATACAGTTCGCATGCGTTTCTATTGCCTTTTGGAAGCGCAGCGTTGACGAATAATTCTAGCGTACCGTCCTTCCCACTACGCCATTCGACAATAAGCTCGACAGAGAATCAATCAACCCAAGGTATCAGGCATACGAAAAATTCATCAGTGGAATGTACCTTGGCGAAATTTGTCGTAATATTCTATTATCTCTCGTTGATGCTGTTCCACCTGTACTCTTTGGCGGCCTCTCAACCCCAATTCTCAACAGCCAGTATGGTTTTGATACCGCATACATGTCGGATATTGAAAATGCACAGGCATTGGACGATATTAAGAAGGTCCTTGTCGAGAAAGTTGACTTCGAGGCCGGCGCCATCTCGGACCAAGATGCTGAGATTGTACGCTGGGTATGCCGGCTCGTGGCTACAAGGGCAGCGAAGCTCAGTGGATGTGCGGTCGCAGCTGTATTAGTACAAACAGGACGTGCTGCTCTCGGCGGAGGACACTCTTCGGGCGAGAAGTTTGCCGTTGGCGTAGATGGAAGGTGAGGCCTCGGTGGACTTTACGTATGGCGATTTGAAAACTGAATTGGGATTTACTTTTTAGCCTTATACAATTCTATCCCAACTTCGAGACACACCTTCGGGAAAGTCTGCGTGCGATTGTCGGCGAAGAGGCTGAGAGAAAGGTGGAGATCGGATTGGCGAAGGATGGGAGTGGTGTGGGAGGTGAGTTGCTCTCGAGCGAATAATCTCAGGTCTCGGAGTCTCATGCGATCCTGCAGCCGCGCTTTGTGCGCTTCAAGCTCTTAAGCAATCCCAGGGTGATACGGTTGTAAGCGCGAATAAATCTGTTCCTAATGGACCAGGGAAAGCATAAGATGCCAATACTTAGAAACGATCGACCCTCCGAGCTGAGTAAAAGCATAATTTGTTGTATAACTTACAGTGTATTACGAATAGACGGTTGCATGTGGTTCCCCTCCAACTCCGCAGCTCGTGCACAGCTCCCATGTGTTTATTCACCGTGTTAGACGTGGAAATTATTGGTTAGGCAAGAGCGGTAGAAGAAACAGAGTCTATTTATTTCTCCGAGGTTCTTCCGTACCCGCTTTTATTCGCTTAGGGGATATTACTTGAATAAGTTTCGCTCACTCAATAAGTCGCTAACTTTCCCCGCAGGTTTTACGTTCCAACAGGTGGGATGAGTCACATAAAAAGCGCTTATCTCGACGTTGGGGCTTGACTATACGTTTCCAACCTCTATACAAGTGATTGAAGCCTCTACGCACTCACAGACAGCTCTGCTTCCCTTATGCTGCTAGATCAACTTCCGATAGAAGTCCACTCCATTATCTGCAAGTTCGTATGCTTAGCAGGTATAGAGTCAACCCCGCGTACCTATCAAGCGGTGTACAGCCTCTGCCTCGTCTCGCGCCACTTTTACTCGATCGCGGTTCCGATCATGTACCAAACTCTGCTTGTCGATGGGCGTACGAAGATTTCACTTCTTGCGCGTACTCTTCAGACACGATCAGATCTAGGAGAGTGTGCCATGCATATGTTTCTCAGTGATTACAGTCAGAGGACAAGTGCAGGGAGAAGTTCTGGCGAGGAGGAGGAAGATGCGTTTGAGATGCCTCCATCGTTTGCATTCGAACGGCCTTTTTCGAGAGAAGGACGAATTGAAAGGCTGCAGAGGCTGCAGAATTGGTTGCATGAACGTGCGCAGAGAGTCGCTGCGTTCCGTTCCGCTGTTCAGAGTATTTTAAGTAGGTGCTATTTTCACTTCCTCTTTGTTTAATCTCCTTTTTCCATCGTCTATCTTCTTGAACTAAATTTATACGGTTTTTGTACCATATTTAGATGCCGTGTCGCCAAATTTGCGTACACTGTCAATTTGCCTGTATGGCCATTATGACGAGAATGCGGATAGTGGGCTGGCGGACGCACTCGCACGTCCGTTTCCTTTTCTATCAGAGGTTCGTATGCATCGTGAAAATTGACCAATTCTACGATTGAAAATAATTATTCTGGGCTGATCATTATCTCGGTATTTACTTAAACAGCTCACGATTCGAGATAACGTACACCCCTTCCCCTCCACTCGAATTGAATTACCAGTACTGGAGAACTTGCATCTAGCAGGTGGGAGCTTGCTGGATCCGTTAACGACTCTCGATGCACTTGTGAAAGGATGTCCATCTCTTAAGTGTATTCGCCTTACTGAGCCGTTCTTGAACGATCTGGCTGTAAACTCGCTGGAACGGATTGTTGACGACATTACGACCTCACACATATATACGCACGAACAATCGGATTCAACGTCGAAATCGAAGTTGAAGTCAAAGCTGGACAAAGGTGTGGACCGGGTTGCTCCCCATCGACGAGTCCCTCTGCGTATAATCCTTGAACCGTGTCCGTACAACTATACGACGTCTGTGTCATCTACCAACGTAAACGCAAACACCATGCACACTATCCTCAGCACTAGTAGCTCCAGCACAAGCATAATGAGTGGACACGCTTTGTCGAACTCAACGGCGCTATACAATGGGCTCACAGCACTTTCTGCACGTTCTCAAGGCGTGTTTGACTTAAACGGTGGTTGGCCGGAGTTGACACAGCAGCACCAACGACAACACACTACGAGTGAAGGTAATAGCCATCGTGAAGGAAGAGGGTCAAACCTGCAGCGTGAGGATCGGTATCCTCTCGAAAGGGCACTAAATGATTGGGTAAGGCATATAATGACACATGGGGAGTAAGAAGGCGGCTTTTTTTAAATGAGGTTCTACAGGAAGAAGATGTACTATAGTAGGAAACAATGCTAAACTTGCAAAGCATTGTAAGATATTACTGTAACGTTGTTGTATTTGTTATTCAGATACTCCTGTATATTAACTATTATTTGGTCGGAAGGATGTGGAACCCGAACTAATAATATGGTTTTCCTGACATAATCTGTATTTAGACATGAAGACAACTGTTTAATATCCTGTTAGTGCCCTATGCCTCACCTCACACTAAATAAGTTTTACTTCTTAACACTGATGCAGTGTACACTAGTGTAGAGTAGCCCCCTCTCAAACAGGCTTGAGCTCGAAACATACATTCAGCATTAATGGTATTATTTTTATTTTATTTAAGAATGACCTAGTTTGGCTCATAATAAAACAATCTTTGAACCACCTGAACAGGAGAAACAATGCTAAAAACAACAGCAAAAGTCAAGATAAATGTAGCAAAAAAAGACGAGTAGAGATAAAATAACCTACACTGCATTTAGAGCCAGTAGTACTCTTGTACAGTGTTTAGGTAACACGAAGAAAAATGAAGAGGAAGTTAATTGGCCTATCAAGAGCAAAGACATCTTCTGTACCGTCGCAAGCATAAGTCATTCGGCCCCGCCAATAAGCAATCCTCTCAAAGGCCCCAGCCTCTTCACTAGTCTTCTCCTTATATGGAGCATTGAGTCAAGTGTCAATACATGACTTCAGCAAAGTAAAAGTTGAGGGTTGCGGGCAACGTATGAACAGAGACAGGACAGGACCCGACACGTAAGGGTCTACTATGACAAGTCAAGTAGACCTACAATATATATGTCCCGGAATACAGTAGACTTGACAACTAAACAGAAAGATGACTTCACAAGTATGACGTTCCCCTTCCTGGAACTTCCCAGTCGGACCGACAAAGAACTGGACTAAAGGCAATAGACAGGCTAGGACAGGCGTCATCACACGGAGCCACAAACCTCTAGCTTCGCGGGAACACAGTGTTAGCTTCTAAAACGTCTTCCGAGTACCTTCTACCCCTAAGTGCCTGAGTTCATAGATGGATGGAAGACATGCCGGGAAAAACTTCGGGACATTAGCCGAATAACGGCATAGCGCACCACCCAGCTTGAGCATATAGCCGAAGGAAAAACACGAAATCAATGCAGACAGTACCTGGACGACGGTCGAGAGTAGCAGAGGAAAAATTCGCAACAAGAGTATGCCGTGGTGGAATTCTGAGTCTAGTCTCTCGGTCTGGCCAGTCTCTCAAATCGATGTCCATTTATATCTTTTCTTGGTTGATGTCGGTAGTCGGAGATCTATGATCCAAATAGGTAAATCAGGAAAACAGCATTGATTAGACTTTATGGCAATGCGCGATCGGCGCGATCCATCACCAGATTTCATGCAGCAGATACGTATACCATGGCCATGAAAAATATCGGAGCAACGACGCAAGCACTTGCGTCGTTTCGCCAGCTGCTCACTCAGCACATACGTCGATTGTGACGTGTATCATAAGTCGGAAACCGGGAGAAGCCTGATAAGCTTAACAATATGCGCCCATGTGTTCAGCGTGGGGAATCGGTAGTACCTCTAGAGAGGTCCGAACGCACTCGGGGTCGCTCATTGGTGGCCAAATTTCGTCAACCACGAGGGGAGGAGATGAGTTACGGCATTGCGCAACGCATGATTTGTAGAGTTGTGTGGGTAAATATGTCGCGATAGAGCAACGGAGAGGTGTGCACGTCGCGTGTTGAGACCAATAACTAGTGTATACCGGAAACGGATTGAACAGATGATAAGTGGCTTTTTTGTCATTGTGTGTTAAGTGTGTACCCGGGGCTCGGAGGATTGGGAAGCAGAATGGTACGATGGAGCGAGATATAGCTCGAGACGCTCAGGAAGAGGCACAGCGGCAACGAGGCAGGGCGGCGGGCGAGACTGCAGAAGGGCTGAGAAAGAAGAAGTCGGCCATCGATTGCGGGAAACTGGGGTCAGGATGAATGAATGAGTGAACAGTTGCAAGTGACTCTCGCCAATAACCAGGTTAAGATATAGGAAGTGCGAGTTCGTATGTATGAAATGATAAGAAATGAAGAGGGCGGAGATGCTTCTCTGAAAGTTTGCAACGAGGCAGGGCAGCTCGGAGGGAGATACCGAACTGCTTGAGCAGAGAAGGGAAATCGAACGGGTGGCGGCTGAACATCGGTCCGGCGCGTGACAAGCCGCGGACGGGGTACGATACGCGAAACAGCTGACTGGCTGGGGACCATGGCTGAGACAGATGCGCGCTGAGTAATTCAGTAAAAAGACAAAGGACGATCAAAAAAACACGAAAACTCAAGGGGGAATTTGATGTTCCTGGCAGCACTTGACGTCGGGGTCTCTGTGTGTCGGGGTGAGTGGGATGCGCAGATGCGTAAAAGTGAGCGAGCGGGCTCGACAGCCAGGCGGACGCTGTGAGGGAGGGATGAATGAATTGGAAGGGAGAGATGTGCACGGACGTGAGCGGCAAGTGGGCAGAGTTTCGGAGGGCGGATGTCGAGATGCAGACGCGATGCATGACGCCATTAGGACTGGTGTCAGGGGGCTGTCTGCACGCGTGGGAAGAGGGATATGAGTATGAGGTCGTGTCTACGTAGTGCATCGTCACTTTCGCCTCTCCCGTGCCCGGCCTGGCTCTGGTCCATCCATACTACTCTACACCACTGCACTCGCTATGCCTTCTCCACTCAATCCAGCAGCTGGCCAATCCTCTGACAACTCCCTCCACTCAAAGCACTCCGCTACAGCCCATCCCACCGACGCCGCCGCCGACCGCGATCGCCAGTCCGACGCAAAGAACGGCTCTGCGACAAAGCTCCAGCAGCAGAACAATCCACCCGCTCGTCCTCCGCTTCGTAGCAACTTCGAGCTAGAGCCAAACCCGTTTGAGCAGTCCTTTTCCGCCTCCTCCTCATCCCTCTCCTCCCTGCGACACAGTGCAAATCAGAGAAATGGCGGCGACCCGTCCCCGTCCTCATCGCGCAACAAGTCGCCCACAGGCGGTTCCAGCTCGACGAACGGCTCTTCAAACTCGCGCAAGAACTCGCTGAGCAATGCCTCCCACCCGAATAGCGACACCCCGAAGCCGATCCTGCCCCCGCTCGCGTCAATCACTTCCCCATCCGACCCGAGTTACGCTTGGGCTTTCTCCTCCGCTAGCCTCACAAATTCTCTCCGCGCTGGTCCACTGTCGCCTGCCATGCTCGCTGGTCCGCAGACACAACAGCCAACGACGACGTCCCAATCGGCATCATCAATCGCAGCACTCGCTGCCAGCGCTGGCTCTATGCACCCACCGCTGTTCGCATTTGACCCGTCAGGATCCTTCCGAACGGGTCTCACCCCGTCCACCGGCCTAACTCCCCTCGTCGGTGGTCCCGTTGCGTTCCCTCCGCCGTCGCCTAATACCGCGGCATTTCTGGCTATGGTCAACTCGGGGTCTGCAGGCAGCGCCGCTGCTGCGACGATAACGCCCAATACCCTAAGCGCATTGACCAGCGTGCTTCAGCAATCCTCTGCTACGGCTTCTCAAACGGGTCAACAGGCCGCCGGTGGCACCTCCAACAACACTAATAATGCAGGTGCTCAGCAGTCTTCATCACAGTCGCAAGTGGTTGTCCCGACATCTGTGGCTCCATCGCAGGTAGCTGCTCCCGCATCGTCGGCTTATCAAAGCAGTCCTCTAGCTTCTCAATCACGGTATGTGTACCTACCTTCTCCTGCATATGTTAGTACACTCAATTGGGGCTCGATCTGGATAGGACTAATAATGGCAGTTCTGGCAATAGTAACAATTACCCAGATGCCACGGGTGCTGCAAACCACGCTGCAAACGGACTTTTCCTTCTTTCTCAAGCGCACCAGGAACTCACCAAGCGCGAGGAAGCCCAGAAGCAGAGCTTGGCCCAGGCAAATGGTGCCGCTGCAAAAGGATCCGTGTCACAGAGCCAGACAGTTCAGTCCACGACGAATGGTGCGAATAATGCCAAGCGAGGTACAAAGCGCAAGAGCGACAATGCGAGTATTTCATCGGCTGCGTCCACGAAAACAAGTTCGTCAAAGAAGTCGAAATCGTCGCCCACCAGCACACGCGCCCCTGCAGCCCGTCGCGGGAGTACAGTTAGCAATCCAGACGGGGAGGATGAAGGTGGATTAGACGAAGATGAAGAGTCCGAAGACGAACAGCAACAGCTGCCGCCTCCATCGTCAGGCAATAACAAGAATAAGAAGCCTGAGACAGAAGAAGAAAAAAGAAAGAATTTCTTGGAACGAAACCGTCAAGGTAGTTACGATTTCTTTTTCTTTCCCGTGCATACAATCGCTCACCATCGGATTTTGTAGCCGCACTAAAATGTCGTCAGCGAAAGAAGCAATGGTTAGCACAACTACAGGCCAAGAACGAATTCTTGCAAAACGAGAACGAACGGCTCACGGCTGCATTAGTGGCCTCGCGAGAGGAAATCTCCCGACTTTCTCAGCTTGTTGGCGGCGCTGGCGTGGGCCTTCCCTCCGGTGTTGTGCCCATGGTAGGTGTAACGGGAATGGGGGTTCAGCAACAGCAAGTTCACCACGCGCCATATATGACCCATCAACAGCAGCATCATCCTATCGCAGTACCAGTAAGCCTGCCACAGGGCTCGGCGAGTATCAACGCAACTGCCACCTCACCGTCGATGGCTACCAAGCCATCGCCGCACATGCAGCAGCATCACCAGGTCCATCAGGTCCATCACTCGCCGAATCCGCACAGTCCAGCCAGTGACGGACGGAGCAGCCGTAGCAGCCTGCGTGATGTGCGAGATTATGCGAACGGCGCGGTGGTGACCACTCGTGACAATGGTGCACGGGAATACGCTCGGGACATGCGTGAGCGGGAGTTAGGGCACGTTCACGGGCATGCACCTCAGGCGGTCGCGGTGAATGGACGAGGGTATGGATATTGAATGGAGTGGAAGAGTAGGGGCAAGAGAGGTGAGGTAGTAAAACAAGAAACGAATTTCTTGGTGGAACTCGATGCAATACCTAGGGTGGTAACATAGGAGAAGGAGGTTGGGGTGTGTTTGACGATTCCCAATGGGCAGCAAGGTAAAGAGCTCAAAGGCGGTGTTTATCCGGATATCGCAACACCTGCTTTCGATAAACTCTTACGCTTCGTGGTCGGATACAGGTTCGATATCTTTTCCCAAGAGATTGGGACATTGTTGCTTTACAAGGATTGACATCGGCTGGACCTGTATTCAAATCGGAGTGTTCGTCTTGCGCATGCTACCCTATCTTCACGCTTGAATTGCACAGGACGATTCTGACGGTCTCGCGAGCCGATCAGCCGTGCACGAGCGTAAATGACTTCTTGAACGGGAATTCGATGAGTCACTCCCTGGTTGAAGAAGCCCATGCATACGTGTTCGGCGCGAGGCTGACGTGTCAGGCGGGACGCGGTGGGCTTCTTTAACAGCGTTATCTACCGCGTTTACAAGGAGAAGAAAAAAGGACTAATTTACCGTTTGAAATTGTATTATATTCTCCTTTCCCCTTTTTTTTTACTCTGGCTCCTGCTGTGAATGTTGGACTTCGACTTGACTGACGGAGTCCACTCGTGCTCTGTCTTTTTTCTCTTTACTTTACAAGCATGCATACACGATCATCATCTCTTACGCAACACACGTGCAATTCGTTCTATAATCTTTTTTACTCTCCTTTTCCTTCTCTTTCCTTTGTGCATTCGTCTTTCTCCGAGGACCCTCCGTCCCGTAGTCAGCGCCAGCGCCTGACTTTTCATCTTCGTTTCTGTTACTCTTTTTGACCTGTCCATCGTGACTTTGTCCTTCCTCCCCCTTTTCTTGCGCCTCCTGCTTTGCTTCTTCGTTTCTTCTATTCACGAATTCGATGATCCGGATCCTTCTATGAACTCCGAGGTTCTTTGACTCAAACACAATGAAGTAAGTAATATTACGCAAAGTCCCAAATCCATGGTATTTTTCAACATCGATACTACGGGATTGAGGGGCAAAATTCGAGTGTCCAAATAACTGGTTTCCATGTATTGTTATTTCTTCCCTTTTGTAATTCCTTTTGACCCTCCTTGTACATACAGAAATTATATTGTAGTCGATAAACGTGCTTTAACATCTGATATTCGACAAATATCGAGATGTCTTTCTCTAAGTTGCTATTGAAAATCGTAAGGGGAAAATCTCGTTGACGATCATTCTGGAGGTGGAGAATGTGGTCGATCGACGTTTGGTCGAAATCAGAAAAGAGGTATGTATAATCACCTCCTTTACAGTGACTATGTCTCTTTATCTCTGATTATTGAATTGTAGTCATGGGATCTGAATGCAGATACGTGATACGTGATAAGTATAGGTTAAAATCTGTACCCTCGTTTAGCGCGTGTGGGCAATGTTAAATGCAGAGAGTTTAAATGCGTTTGTGAGATTAGGCTAAGACATAGGAAGGAAAGGAAGGAGAAGGAAGCAACGAAGGAAACGGAGTACGGACTGCGGAGAGGTTTCCGGGGTAATTGCAACGAGAAGCTTCTCTTGCATTACTTTCATATCTCTCCCCCGCCTGACTATATGCTGAATGTGACCCAGGGAACGAAGAGGACGTGGCATGTGGTCAGGATCATGATAAAATCAGGTCGACAGAGACGGATGCTGATTTACTGCATGTGTGAGAAGTCGCGGGTAGATTTAGGGAAAGGGTATGGCATGGTACGGGTAGCGGGTTCGAGACCGAGCTCTGGGTAATTAATGGGTGCTGCAATGGAGAGAGTGTACAGAAGAGAGAAGAGATACGTACGTGAAGAGAACGGAGGAGATGGCCGGGGACCCTTCGGAAGGTGGAGCAGTGAGACGTTCTCTGTCACCTGCAGTGATTCTAAGTGAAGCTGCTATACTCACTCGTCTGGATCATCCTGATCATGTGTTGTTCTGTGCGAACCCGCAGACAAATTCGAAAGAAGATGAAGTGGAAGTGGAATTGAATCCGGAATGAAACTCGCACCGACTTCTGCAAGTAACTAGTTCTCTTGAGTCTCTAGCTCTTCATGGTTAATAAATAACATGGTTAATAGATAACAAGATTACGGAATCACGTAATTCCGAGCAACGAGCCTTTCCGGCGGAACTGGACTTGAGCTATAACCGAAGCAGCGCCAAGATGAACTCGCATAGTCGTGCTGTTGTTACATTGATGAATAGTAGTAGGTGAAGCAGCAACGATCCGGAGCGACATAGACCTAGAATCTCGGCCACATGAAGAAGAGTGGGCTTCAGAATTTCAGATTCAGAACTTCACAGGGCGATTCCATTTCTCCACGACCACTCGTGACAGTAAGCTGACTTGGCTTGAGGTCTGTCGGCCGACAAGAAACGAAACGATCTAGCTTCGGAGCGGGGATCTACAACTTGTGTACTTCTAAACGGCATGCATCTGGTAGACGAAGGTCCTCTATCAGCAACGTGGGGACAGACTTTTAGATCTGAAGTCCCGTGAACGGTGTCTATCAGTTCATAAGGAGTCACGCGAGCGCGGCGACCTGCCTTGGACAGAAAGTGGTAAACGCGTGGACATACGGGCACTGCGGAGGGATCACCACTCTGGATAGGATGCACAAGCAGTCATGCGACATTGGTCTAGACAGACAGTCGCCGTGTAGTTTACTCGTCGGAGGAGGTTTACAACCGTCCAACGATGTTGCCCGCTCGTTCCTAAAATGGTAAATATTCCCTTATCTGTACATGTAGCTTTACGCTTTAGCCATGATACTGGAACTCCGCACTGTCTTTAATACGGGTAATTCGCGGTTGTATCATCCTCTGCAATAATGCCATTCCTTATCTGCTCCGCATGCTTCTGGTCAAGATAAGGTAGTATCGTTGGCCCGTACAACCCCTCCCCTTTGTACCTGCCCGGAGCATGAGCATTGAGCATTAGTCAGATTGTACAGACTCACATCTGTACCTCCTCTGGCCAGCTCCTGATTGCACTCGCCATCCGCCCCGGAACTCCGGGTTCTTCGGCTAGGTCGACGACATTGAAGATGTACGCTAATAATGATATGAGCCAAGACAACAATACCGCTGGGGATTTCTCTACGTACTCCTGATGGTGAAGGCAATCGCGCCGCTCTTTGGGAGACGACGCAGAGTCTGCCTTTCAGTCCTGAAACGAATACAATCAACGGTGTCTGTCCCAAGAGGTTGCTTCTGTGCCCTCAGGCTGAGCTTGTTGACCACCGGTGGCGGCTCGAGAGAATTTCCATCCTCGTTGGACTGATTTCCGCTTGCTGTTCCTCCTGCAGGATGTACAAAGTGGTCCTCATCACCGTTAGTAGTGTCGGACCAAGCAAGCTCATCTGGATCGATGGAAGTAGCCCGAGCAGGATCATCTGCCGGACGTACGATCTGGAAGAAATAGTTGTTGCGGATCACAGGTTTGTCTACCGAGAGCTTGCTAAAGAAGCGTGACATGCTGTACTGTAGCTTTTCACGAACTACGCAAGTCAGACCCTGGGTGGTTCATGATAATGCATACAACTCACATTGAGGAACAGATCCACTGATATGAATGTCTTCCAGAGGCATTCCGAGCTTGTCGGACATGCGCCAAAACCCTACGGAAGATCAATATCTATGTACTGGCCGAAGAAACTTGTCTTACCAGGTACGAGAATTGCGCCTGCCTGGAAGTAATACCTTCCATCGTCACCTGAAATCAGGTTGAAGCATGAGTAGGTGTTAGTGCCTTAAGCTCGGAATACAGTTGCTTCGCCCTTACCCTCTACCATCAAGGCGAGGTCGTCCTCGACGCTTCAGTCTTGTTAGTTAAATCGTAGAACAGACGCATACAGGAACTTACAGTAGGCCAGACACTTTCATAGGATCTTCATCGTCAAGGTTGTAAGTGACGTCAATTGGAACAATCGTTATCTCCTTCACTTGGCCTTCCCCATACCATCCATAATCGTTAGGGCTTGGGCTATGCCGAGTGACACGATAAGTATCCGGATAACGTCTCGAGAGGTATTCAGCTAGTTCGTATACCAGTTCCTTTGCTGGAACAACATGAGCGGAGCAGTAGACCGTCTTAGGTAAAACGTAAACATACCTGCTGAACCTCCACCTGGCACACCTGAACGTGCCGGCAAGGTTCTAATCGCTTTGTCACCTCGTCTTGCAAGTCGGTCTACTCGAATTGCATGGTATCTCGACAACTGATTGTCGACCTATCGAATTGCAAAGCATTTATTGTAAGCTGAATGTTCGAGCGGCGATAGTTTTATTAACCTCCACCCATTCTTCCCATGGCATACTACGAATACCCATTGTAATACTGTCGGAGGATCATCAGAAACTACTTGATATTCGAGTAGTAATATTTTGATACTGACTTATACTTTCCCCATCTAAAAGGTCGGTACGGCGGAGGGAGTCTATCTTGAATGGCTTTCTCACATGTCGAAAATTTCGGATAAGCAAATTCCACAGGAATCCATTCTAAAGACATGACGGTCAGATGACATAAGTCCTTGCTAATCGATAGGGAGTTTTACCTCCTGCCTTTCTTTTCGAGTTTGGGGAGAGATTAACCGTGCTTTCGTCGACTCGTACCGCCGGCGAGAGTGCCGATCGAGATATCAGTTTCTTGCTTATTTTAATAACAAGCAGCCAAAGTACGAGTGAAGAGCCTGCTACTAGAATAGCGGATGAATGATCCAACATCTTGAGGGTGGGAGAGAGAGCGTCTTGGGAAACGAGATCTAGTACTTATTGCATTACCCTTTCTTATTGACCATGTGATGTACATTTTCCTAATTGCGTCTTCGTTATCAGCCTCTCTCGTAAAAGAAGATCGGAAAGACTTAACATTGTATATTATTTTACCGTCAAGAGTCCCACGATACAGGTGGATATATATAATCCCTGGTAAAGAAGTCAAATTTACGGATGGAGTGAACAGTAATTTATGATACCAGTTCTAAGCATTGTGTTGGCTCGATACTTGATACTATGCTGGCATCATATTGGTGGTCAATGTCTTTTTGCAAAGAATGCGTAAATTGCCCTCTAAACTTTTCACTAGTAGAGCATAGCCATGTCCAGCATCTAATTCTTGTCAGTAGCAGCGTGAAAGACGCAGACACCAAGCGACAGTAGTACAGGTTCTTGTATCAAAACCACAGTGAGGCTTACCAATGGTTACCCTCGCCAACTATAGTCCCACGGCACAAGAAATACAATCACATACAAGACATATCAATTTCATGGGATAGACAGCAGCTTACAACGTTAAGCATACAGACTGCTCAAAAATAGTCATGCATGTCTTTACAAAAATCGACATCAAGTCGATGACAAAATCACCTGAAAAGGGAGAAGCATAAAGACAAGATAATTAATAAAATAGAAATATAGACATAGAACGTAATAAGTGTGGCAAGGAGCAAATAATACTGATGTCATAAACAGAAGCCGTGACATAGGTCTGGGCGTGGTGATAACAAAAACAATGGATAGACACAAAGAGTCCAAAAAGTAAAAGGGAACAGGCAAGACGTTCAAGATTTGCAGCCAAAGGGACTAAGATACTTGTCAAAGCGATATCAAATCACCCCGACATTTACTACATCCCTTAGCCACATTACATTGATTCCCTCCATGTTGATGAACAGTCCGTAATTTGGCAAGTTGTACCTCGCGTGACACGTAGACAGGAGCGCGAGTAGGTGACACACTGGGCTGCGAACGATTGCTAGCCCAAAGGAAGGAGGGAAGAGGAAGCAACTTCGTGAATGTTTGGAACAAAGGTTGAGAGGGCTTTCCGGAGATATTCTCTGGATGATTATCGTTCACAAATCGAGGAACATCGCGATTGGTAGTGGAAGCGTCTATCGCCGACTGCTGAGATTCTGAGCTATAGGGAGACGAGGCGTTCATGTCTATTATGACGAAAGAGAAGAATGAGCCAGCCTACTCGTATTTTTGAGGTGAGGGATAAAAGTCGAACCATGAACCAACTGTGGCACAGGTTTCTTCGTCCTCTGTGGAGATCCTACGGCTACTCCTAACGGCTTGATTCTCGACGGTGAAGCCGGAACCACATTCACAGTTGGGGCTGGCACAGGCTTACGCTTAGGTGGACTAGGAGAAGCACCAAGCCCGGAAGTCTTCGCTTGAATAAACATAGGAGGAGATGGCGGTGGAATACGGGACGGAGGCGCCGAGCGGCGTACCGAGCTTTGGGGTGGAGCGACGACACTTGGACGATCAGGGACACGGAACCCGTTCATATCAGAATGTTCATTGCGGGATTGGACTGGAGCAGGTTTGCACTCGCTTCGTTGGGCCTTCATCTGAGGGAACACGAATGGCACAGAGTTTGTATGCACATGATCCTCGAATATGGGCGATGCCATTCTGCTCGAGGAGTCCTCCGTGACGGAGATAGGGAACGAAGGTTTACGTCTGCTATTCGCGGCATCAAAATGCAATATATCTTCGTCTTCTTCAAGTACCACATCAAGTAAACTGTGGACAGAATCCTGTACTGTCTTTTGAGCAGGAAGGACAAAAGGCGGAAAATCCTCGTCCTCGACATTATTGAACTGCAGGCGTTGACTAAAAATGCTTCTGTTATCCATCGAACATCGAGCGGCAGAAAGTTGACTTTCAACGTCCTCCAAGCATTCGAAAAATCTATCAACTTCTTCATGCGGTGGCCTCGGCGTAGTTGCTTGTCCACCACGAGGGAATGTCCAAGTTTTGCTCAATGAAGCATTTTTTACATGCTCAGAGCTCCGCACTTCAGGCATGAGTGGAGGAATCGGAGTAGGACAGGGAGAAGTCGTTGGTGAAGGAGTTGAGGAAAGGGATCTTGGCGACGATGCCAAGCCATTCCCAAATCCAGAAGGTACTGGTGTGCTGTTCGCAGCAAGGCGAAGATGGGCCAATGAACGAGGTAGGTCATCATCAGAATTGGCAGAAGACATTGAGCGCGTCGGACTCGCAAAACTGAGATCCAAATCGTCCTCATCCTCGTATCGTGCTAGTTCATCTTCGTCGTCAGACAATGATGTACTACACGAACTCGTTTCTTCCTCTACCGCTTTTAGCGTGAATGGGGCCCTGAGCAGCTGCTGGCTGTCTTCGTCTGCATCAACCGTCGTGCAAGATGAATCAACACTCTGGAACCCAAGGCCATTGCCCCGAGATTGGTTGTAATTAACCATCCGAGACGAGTTACTAGTAGCTAAGTCATCGGTAGCCTTGGGCGTTGCGAGGATTCCAGCAGCATCTAACTGGGCAATAAGATTCCTCCTGTAATTTTGCTCAGCAGCCAGTGCCTCGCGAAGCCTAGCGAGCTCGGCCTCGGTGTCTTTCCGCGCTTCAATAAGGGCTTGGGCTTCAGCTAACTGCCGCTTTGCAACCTGTGCGTCTTCCTTCAAAGAGCGGCATTCCAACACAGCTTGCCGTAGCTGAGCTTGAGAAGATTCAAGTCGACGGCTGACACTGGAGAGATCTTCTTCCTTTGTCTTAAGCTGACGACTCAAAGTACCTTTTTCCATCTCCAATAGGCTGAGCTTCTCGTCCCTAAGCCATGCCTCGCGCTTTTCAGCTTCCAAACGACGTTCCAAAACAGCCTTTTCGTGCCCAAGTAGGGTTTTTGTGTGCTCTAGATCCTTTACGCGCTGCCGCCATCCGTCTATATCTCTGTTCAACTCGTCTCGTTCGGACTTCAAATCTGCCACCAACTGCAGCATTTCATCAGGTGGAGGATGAGATGCATCCGCACTACTGTCCGAGTGCATAGACGAGGGTCGTGACCGAGAACGCGATAGTAAGGCGTGCTCGAGCTCAGCAATTCGCGCCAATAGCGATGCGTGGGACTGGTGTAAAAACATGTCCTCGCTGGCGGTACGCCTATCCTGGCCGTTCGGACTGCCAAAGCTGCTAATCGAGGAAGCAGACTGCCTTCTTTCCGACGTCGGGGTAGCACCCGGCGTTGGGAGACTAGCAAAGGTGAATGATGTGGGCTGCGACTGGGTAGAACCCGAACGAATGTACGATATGCTACTTTGCCTCTTGGGACAGGGAGACGTGCTCGGAAACGAGCCGCTAACCGACGTGGACGACGAAATGCTTGAGGACGTCGAGTGAAGGTCAGAAGTCTGCTTCCCAACATGGTTTGCAGTCTTCATGTCTATACTCTCAGAGCCGCTTGCTAAATGCGAATCCGGTTGGGGAGTCAAGGAGAATGGCCTAAGTCCAGCTCGTAAGTTTGGGGTGAGGGATGTAATTGGCAAGCTGGGATTGGAGGCACTGTGTATTAGAGATAGAGGCCTAAGAGTCAAATTGGCGGGTCTGTGACGACTCGAGACAGAGACGAGAGTTTTCGACATATCGGGTATGTCGAGATTCCGAGAAGGCAACCGTTGGGAAACATGATGCATATCGAGACCTGGTGAACCGGCTTTATCTTCGCAAGCAGAAGATGAATTTGGTTCACGATCAAAGGCGCTCGTCGATTCGATCCCATTTTCCTCCTCCTCCTCTTCCTCCTCCATAAGAGTGTGAAGTTGATCCTTCAAGGAGCTGGCAGAGGAGAGAAACTTCCCAAACGAGTCCCTTTTGCCTGACAAGGACGACGGTATCCCGAATGACGGTGAACTCATGGGTAATTTTACTGATGCAGAATGGTGATCAGCCTTTTCCTATTAAGGAAATAACAGAAATACACACGTTCACGATCAGAAGGTTTCTGCAGGAGCCCTTGGCTTGTGAAGTCTGGGATCTCCACAATGTTATTATACGAGCCAAGGTCGTTTCGTCCCTCAAGAGCTTGCAAAGCTCTGCGTCGGACGGAGTCCTTATCGCCAAAATTGATGTTGTCATCCGAAGAGGACGATGGCAGATCAGGAAGGTTAACTCCCATCATTTCAGCAGATTCAACCCGCGTGGAAACCGAGGAACGCCTGCGATGATGGGAAGAGGGTCGAGGACGACCAACTAATGAAGAGGGGCGCGAGTCGGACGAAGGTATGGAGGACTGGGCGGACGTCGTGAGAAGGGAGTTGGCTGAAGTTGAAGTTGAAAACGAGACTGATGAAACAGAGCCGTGACGTGAATGCGGTCGTCCAACCGAAGAGGTCGGTGAGAGTGGTGCTGAAGCTATGGGTCCACTTGACCGATTGAATCGGAACGAATCAAGCTACGAGGCAAAATAAAAACAGTTTTCTTTAGAGCTTTCGTTCATCCATCAAGCACGAGATATGTACACACCCTCTTCTTTGTGGAGATCATCTCCTGCTCCCTGGTCATTTCCGAGCCAAACTGTGCAAAATCCATAGTGAAGTCGTGGTAAATAGTAAAGAACGTGGTTGCTGAAAAGCTGGAAGGGGAAGAAAAGAAGGGAAGAGCACAGCGGCGGGGGGGAGGAAGTGATAGCGTCTCAAAGGGAGAAGAGTGAGGTTCGAAAGGGCAACGACGGGCGCCACGGCCTCAGTTCCCACGCGTACCTAACTGTCCTTGTTGGGCAGCGCCGATCACAATGATCTCTCATCCTCGCTAGACCCAACAACACTTGCCGACGCACGGCTTCAGCTTAAATATATCCTACACCTTCACCTCGCTCTTCAGAACACATACAAAATGCCATCCAAAGTTAATAGACTATTGCCAGGTCACACTATATTCTTTGTTCTGGATCTCCAAACACGGTTCCGTAAGTGCCTATCGCAGATTGATACTCCATGCATCGCTGACACGAATTGCAAGACAGGTCCTGCTATTTACCAATTCGATCATGTCGTATCTGTAGCAAATAAAATGTTCAAGGTTGCAAAGGTGAGTTGGTCTTGCATGTCGACGGAAAGAGGAACTGACGATAGTGATCGAATGGTTTAGCTGTTAGACATCCCCGTCATTGTATCTGAACAGAATCCATCGAGTACGAAGGTTCATTAATTCAGATCGACTCAGCACGCTAACGCAATCTTAAAGAACTTGGGAAGTCAGTAGAAACTTTAAACTTCAATCTCCTTGGCCAATTGCATCGCAAGACCATTGAGAAGAGCCTCTTCTCTCTCGTGACTCCAGAACTAGATGCCATAATGAAATCCATGGAATATGCCCATATTAAATCAGTCGTCCTCATGGGTATTGAGGTATGAGTACAGATCTTCAGACGTGTCCCTGTACTGCTGTCTCTTACTGACCTGAGCTTTCTAGTCCCATATATGCGTACTACAGACGGCTTTCGACTTGCTAGATCGGGATTTCAGCGTCCACGTACTTGCTGATGGAGTTTCCAGCTGCAATAAAGAGGAGGTTCCTCTAGCATTAGAACGAATGAGACAGGCAAATGTCCATGTCACCACAAGTGAAAGTGCTATTTATCAGCTCATAGGTAACTGTTCTATTTTATTTAGTGTTTTCCCTCGGTACCTGATGTCTTCAACCAGCCGACGCAGGAAAGCCAGAATTCAAAGCGTTTGCTCAAATTGTCAAGGAGGAGTCCGATTCGAACCAGAAAGCTTTGCAAGTACTTCCTGGTACCTCATTATCGAATAAATAAATGCAAAATCGTCTCAATTGAACGTGGAATAGACGCATTTCCTGAACACATGTTGTCGTTATTGCCAACTTTAGAAAAACATCATTGTTTGTTCTAGTTTATCCCGTAGTTTAAGTGCTGTCACGTGCAAATTAGGAACTCAGTGCGTACTGTGCGTGGTACATGCCCTTCACCTGGTCCCCACTGCAACAGATTCGTCGACCTCCGAGCAGCAATAAACCGAGCTCTCACAGGTAGACTACAAACTGAATATTTGCCATGTTTGGGAAACTCGTCCACCTAACGTTTGACGCCCTCCTGATATCTGCCTTCCTGGCTGGTGTGAAGCGCTCAACAGGACTTACGTGCGTGTACCACCTTGATCTCGTCCCCTAGCCGCCCCTAAAAGCTCTTGTATAGACCTGCCTTATCGCAAGTACCCAACAAAGACGTTCGACGTGAGTATTCCTGTCACTAGAATTGCGTTGCGGATCATGACATGCAGACGCTTCAGAACTCCTAAGATCTTATTTGGAAATGGGTATGTTTCTACCTTGTTAATTTCTTCTATGACATCTGATTTATGTGTGGATATCAATAGGGGAATACGCCTTCGACTTTGCTGTCGTCGTTTTCGGCGTAAGACTGGCATTGTTCAGCTTTACTCTTATATCATTAACAAGCCATTTCAGCGATCGCCGTCCTTCGAGCGGAAACACTAAAGACTCGTCTTTCGAGTGATACTCATCGTACAAATCGTTTGGTCCATATTTAATGCAAGTCTTGCCGAAATAGTCTTGGTAGTTGGATGAAGGCTGACATTCGATCACTGGTCAGGACTACTCTCTCCTCAGTGTATATCAACGCATTCTAGCAGTTTTCAACTCGTCCAGCAATATATATAGTTACTACCCTTCTTCGGTCGAAATCATCCTAAGAAGTTAAATACAAAGAAGTGGAGAATGATGGAACCAAATGCAAAGTCCGCGAAAGCTCTGGGTGACGGATAAGTTGGGATTATGTAAAGATTAGCCATGATACTTACCTTTCCGGCGAGACGTCTGCGAAGCTCTGCTTGTTTTCGGGGTTAACTTGCGAGCGGAGGGATGCCGTTAAGACAAATTGACCGACAGAACTCGCAAAACTAGGTAGTGATACCAGTCAATGTACGATCAATAGCCTTTAGACTAAGAAACGACCAACCCGGCAAGGAATGCATTGAATGGGAAATTGGTGACAAGAATGCAGTACAGAAATTGTGCAATGCCAGTAAGCATGATGAACACCAGGAAGGCGTCAATAAGCTTCAGTCGAGGCGATGTGTCGACATTGTAGGACTTCCAGAGCGACTGGATAGCAGGGTTTAGAGACGCTGTCGAGCCTTTAGGTGTTGCTGATGCAGTGCTGCCGCTAGTTTTGGGTGGTGCCATGGCTGGTGAACGCGTCTGAAGTGAATGCTGCGCGTCGTGTGTTCCGTTTCCGTGACGTGGAGACCTGCTGGTGGCTGTGCTGTGGCCAAAAACAGGGATCGACAACTTTTTAGTTTCTGCGCCCAGCCAGCGTTTTCCATCGCGTCTCTATTCCTTTGGCTTTACGCCAAACATCGTATTCGTCATGAATACTCTCTTTCGCCAGCTATCGGCGGTGCCAACGCGGGCTTCAACCGTGGTGCGAAGGAGGAGATGGAATACTTGTGCAGCGACACTGCAAAGTCGACGTTCGACACATACTGTGCACACCCGAAGAGAACTCAGATATCCAATTGAAAATGGCCTTGGTGACTTTCTCCCTCCAAGTGCCCTCAAAACTGTAGTAGAGTGGCAAGACGGGTTATTAGAGAGACTTAATGAGCAAGTGAGAGGTGAGTTAAGCACTGATTATCAACAGTGCATGTTATACAACTCATGGATGTCGAATTTCAGGTACACCGCTTGCGAAACCAAACGTATTGCAGATTATTATTGACTCCGCTGGTGATCAGAAGAACGTCGGGGCTTTTAACTATGCGTGTCTGGCAGCGAATAATAGCTTTTTCTTGGATTGTTTGGTTGGTCCTATCTGCAATACCTGTTATGTCCAAATCTAAGTCTCCATTTCTTTGACAGAAACCTCCCAGCGAAGACCCAAGCGAAGACGAACCTCCTCCAGAACTCATGGCCGCAATCACACCTGCGTTCAAGGACGTAAACATGCTCAAAGAGCGCTTCGTCGCATCGGCGTCGGGCATGATATCGTCGGGCTGGTTATGGCTAGTCACGGATGGTCAGGGTCATTTGGCAGTCGTACCGACCTTCGCCTCGGGAACACTTCTTGTCCGATCTAGCAACTACTTTGCGGAAGTACAGCAGAATACCTTGGCCAGACAGCCTTTGGACTCGTCTGCAGAACCAGACGACCGGCCAAAAGACCAGCCACCTTCCCAACCTGGTGTTTTCCCTCCCCTACAGGATGGATTATCACCATCTTCACCCGTGTCCGGTGTCAAGGCCCCGCTCTCGCAGCTTAATCCGAACACTCCTGCTCGTTCTTTCTATTCTTCCGCCGTGACCTTTAGCAATCCATCTGTACGGGAAGAAGACACCGCCTATACGACAAACATTCCTGTAAAGCGTAAACAAATGCACGCGATGGGTAGCAGATTGTATCCTCTGCTCTGCTTGTCATTGTTCGAACACACATGGATATCTGCTGGTCTCGGAGTATGGGGGAAGGAGGAATATGTTCGCCGGTTCTTTACAGTGGTTGACTGGAAGAAGGTTTCCGATACTTATGGTAAATTCACCTCAGTGCCGAAGTATAGAGGGGCGCAGCGGTTCAAATAGAGACTGGGACCAAAACTTACATTAATATATATTAGCAAATAACACTATCTGCATAGTCGCTGAATGCCATGAATTGCATAATGTCATCTCCATCTCCACTCAATTTGTCCGTAGGAACGTCCCCTCACACCTTTGAATGGCTTGTATGACTCATGTGAAATACGCAACTGATCTATCTTCAAACCAGAGAAAGTGGACTGGTTATTCTCGAAGGATATCTGGAAGGCCCTTGATATTTCAGGTCGAGGTTTCCTGCCAGAGAGATTCAGTACATGCTGTCACAAGAGAGTGCGAAAGAACCAACGAGCAAGAGAAGGAGCCTCGCAAATTATGGGATGCCCCTTGAGGCGCCTTCAAGATTTCCCACCTCAGCTTCTACAGAAGGCAAGGGTTAGGCAGAATCTTGATGGAGCAGACCAGAGACGCACCCGAGTTTTTGGATCAAACCCCCACGAGGCTCCAGATGAAACAGTACAGTTTGCTCCCGTCGCACTGTCTCCGAGGCACAACTCCACAGTCAACCGATCAATGACACGGGTAGACAACCTGGATGTCAAAACAAAATCAAATGATCCTACGTAACCGAAGTTAGATGCAACCGAAATGGCGGAGAAAAAGGAGATGGCCTTACCCCCGTTCTCGTCAATCTTGATTGTCGGTAAGAGGGAAAAAGGGACAGGAAGAGGTCGTGCATTTATTGCACCTGAGGACGGAACAGGTATATATTGATAATCCATGAGCACAAAGCGACCATCTGGCGGTACGAACGATACAGCTTTGTCTCGCAACCATCGCTGCAGTCTAGAAATTTGTAGACATCAGCGGGCTGTTCTCAAATTGTCGTTCTGTGACCTACCGCACACACTGGTGAAACGAACAGTCTTGTAGGAACTTGTTATCCGTGAACAGAAGCAGTAAATCAGGAATTCCTGCAGAACACCTGTATTCAACCAAGACTGAAACGTAATTGCGATGAAGGAATGTACCAGAAAGCTTAGAGTTTGTTTCAATTCTCCCCCATACTTGGCTGGATATGACCGAGCCATTTCTAAACAAATAAAAGCTCAGTAGATGAACCTGGCCGAAAGAGATGGAATCTAACTTGTCAACGATTGCTTGCATCTCCTCTGACATATCAAAGAAAATTTCATTAGCAGTATGCTTAACACCAAGTTTCCTCCATGGTATCGGAGATGCGAACGGGTTCGTGCTGGCCTTGTGCGTATTAGCACCCGTTGCTGACAATATCTTATTGAGCAGAGATGGTGGAAGTACGATATCTCGCAGCGCACTGCGTTCCGTCGTCAAGGGATGGCCGTTGTTGAGCATCTCTTCCACTAGCTAACTAGATCAACTGCGTGCTGTGGAAAGTTGCACTGCTAAATCAACATACTTGATATACGATGTCAAAGTGGTCCCGTAAGGTAGAACCCGATAGTTCACCGAGATAATCTTGTAGCGTCTCGACGAATAGTTGCATGAAAGCAAAAATATACAGCGCATCGACTACGGCCATTAAGCAAATTGATCATCTCCACGAATTGACAGATGTATACTCACCATCTCCTCTGACTGGGCAAAGCAACGTTAACCCTATCCCGCATTCCGTGTGGCAGCATACCGACGGGCCTTGATCTGAATGGACATATAGCACTGGATCTATCTGACTGCGTTCAGAATCCGCAATCGCGTTGTTGAACGCTTCGATATGGAGAAGTGGATAAGCCGGCGACGTTGACTTGAAGTTCGTCTGGATGATTGGTCGTCTTCGAGAGGATTGAATAACTGAATGGAATAAACTACAAACAAATAATTTGTACTTACCCGTTAGATTCGAGTATGATGAGTCCGTCAATTGCCATGCTCACTTGCGAATGCGTGCTGAAAGCTAGATGGTCCAAAATGGCATGCTGAGCGGAATGCGTGTCCCGTGATCGACGCGTCTTCGGTCACGGAGAGAATTTGAAATTCTAAGTCCGAGACTGACTTTCTTTCTGGCTTGTACGTTCCTATACTATGCTAACAACCGATTTGAGTATGAGCCCCCTACATGTCTTCGCGGAGTTACTACGATTCTCAGCCTTCTGTTTTGCTGTAGACCCTTGTTCTTAGTCATGAGTCATGACCAGGCCCTGCACTGAACAACTCAAAACTCTTGAATGAAAAATCTTTGACTAGCGCTAGGCCCAATTCGACGTCTTGTGATGCCCTCAATCCATTTAAAAGTGCCTCAAGTTCTATAGGATTGCTGTGATCGTGTATGAAGTGAAGACGTCTTGATACTGAGAGATTGAAACCCCGTTCCTAAACATGGGACGTAGTGCGGCCGTCATAATTGCCTTTGGCCTGTCTGCTGTAGCCGAGATTTAAAACGTGGATTCCTAGACCCCATACATGCAGATCAAGCATGCACACATCCTTTTAGTGCCCAAGACGGGTCAAAGGACTATTTATGTGAAACGTCTATGCCAAACATTGTACTCGTCCAATCCATGACGGACGGCTGTTTCATAAGGTCGTTCCATTCGTCATCAGATATGCAAGTGCTATGTTCGGCAGAGCACCGAAGCGACGTCACCCAAGTAAAAGGTGAGGGAAAATTGCACATCTGAGCCACAAGCTGGACAAGACGAGAGGTTTGTAAGGCCTTGAGTCGATATTTAGACTTTCGAGGACTCCCGAAATCTAAACCGAAGCACGAACAGGACAAAGGTTATTATTTCATGATTGTATGACGAAAAACTCCTTCGTGTGCCCAGACACGAACTCTTCGGGTTAGCAAAGACACAACGTGTGGGGAAGGGGGTAATTAATCGCTGCAACATGTTTAAGCTAAACCGCTATCGGACTACTAAATGGAGTTCTTGAGGAAATTGTATCATGTCTCCGAGTGGCTCACCATGAACCGAGCCGATTCGATACCGGTACTGGTACGAAATAAGAAAATGACTGGCCTTTGTGTTGCATGCAACGGATTTCTGGTAGGACGCAGGGACAACAACATGAGTGAATGGGCGGGCAGGATAAATTTCGTAAGAAGCAAGAATGCCTAAATTTCAATCAGCACAGCTACATGTCAACAGGAATGAATTGCTCGTGTTGCAACCGGACCCTGACGTTTCAGGACGTGAAACGCCACAGTGTCTTTGGACCGACCCTTGCATGTGCTCGGACATACCTTTCCGACAGCAAGTATAAGTCAAGCAGACAAGTGCATGACAAAAACACAGTCATGTCAATCCGTCTGAGGTGGAGGAGCATCGGTTTCCGCTAGCTAGTATGTCCCTTGGCATGTTCACGAGACGTAGGCCGAACAATGAGTCAGCGATGGTAAATACAAAACTTGCAGTCCGGCAACGTCTCGGGAAAGGTTGCTGGTTCGGCAAACGTAGACTCGCTTAAGAATTGATATTATCGGAGGAGATTAGACTCACTCTCCTTCGGCACTTTCCAGTCCCTTCTTTACGCCTTGCTTCGCCGCACGGTTCCGTGCCTGGTACTATACTTTCTTATTTCGTCTCTAGCTAGTTTATTTCTGGACGTTCGCGGTCCTTTGTTGACGACGGGCTGACCATGTCAGAAAAATCCAATTTACAAACATCACAGAAATTGCAGCGCAATCTAATTCAATCCACATCGGGTGAACTCGCCGACTGATCAGGCGCACATGAAGTCCGCATGGCAGATTGCTTGGAGTGATTTGGCGGAGGACGGTCCGCAGACCGAGGCAAGCGAGACAGGGAAAAGTAGGCGATGGTCGACGTAAAATTGGACACACAAAATGCATTGTTGCCGCCGCAGAAATAACAGAACATTCAGGTAAGGAAGACTAAGGCGTAGTGCGATGCTTCGCATCAAATGAACATTAAGCCGCGGTGGACTGCGCAGGGCGCAGTGGATACACAGATGCACCGCACACCGCACAATCCGAGGAGCACGCAACAGGGGATTACCTAATTAAATGTGTGGAGAAAGGGACCCACGACGCATATGAACCCAGAAAATAGCCGTCTGGGAACACGGCACAACCTGCCTGCTCAAACGAGTCGCTAAACGGCAGACCCGACGTGCTTCCGGCGGAAGAAACAAGCAAACGCAAAGGATAAAGCAATTGGCAACGGATACCAAGCGCGGTGCCTTGCCGGCAAACGTGTGAGAGAAATCTTACGTACGTGAGCCGTGGGAACAAGTTCTCCCTTTTACTCTCCTCCCAACTTCCCGTCTTCGCTGGTCAACAACATCCACGCCTGACGGACGACTGCCAGGGAAGACCTGCCCTGTGGCTTTCTGCTCCTCTTTCTCTCTCTTAATCCTCGCTCTCATCCGTACATTTACCATTCTATCTTACTTATCTAGCCCCTCCCCTCTTCACTTATCCCTGTAATTCCTCCCCACCCTCATCACCAACGCGATGCCTGAAGACACCCAACAAGGTGGTGCACCAGGTGCCTCTTCGTCCCATATGATGAAGACCACGAAACGTGGTCGTCCATTTCTTAAGGTACTATACTTATTCACCCGTCAATAGTTGTGGTTTTTTGGTCTGACTCGTGGCGACCTGCCTCTCTTCTAGGATACGCTGGACCTGTTCGCTACCCTAGTCGTCTCGCTCGATCTTACGACCCACAAACAGTTTTTCAAGTCGTTCAATAATTCCTTTACCACGTACGTTACTTTCAGGCTGTGTCGTTCTTGTTGCATCATTTTGATACACGTTCTTTTTTTTCGCTCCATCAGCGACGAGGCAGCCGCTAACCTTGCCGCGTTGAAGTTCTCGCAATCCAATCGCGGGCCGGATCCTCGCGACCCTTCGCGCATTGTAACCACAACGACGACCACGACCTTCTCGATGACTCGCGACATGGCGAAAGCAATGTGCCAACACTTCATGGATGCTCGGCTCATTGAGAATGCGGCTGATAGGAGCTCGAACTTGTTCAAGGAGCGTGGTGTGTTCGTCCTCACTCCGAAGGGCCTTCACGTCTTGGAGCGGTTCATTTCCAAGAACGGAATCAGTGCAGAACCTTTGGCAAAGGTTTTCTCTTCTCAACCGATTTGTTTGAAGCTACTGCACCTTGAACGACGGTCCTCTGATGATGAGATCATCATCTCTCAGGCCGTAGTAACAGCCCTGTTCCGTCGCTTCGCCGGTCGAAATGCGAATTACATGCCTGAGTCAACTGTACCATTAGACCCGTCACAAGAGTACCATGAACGCTCAAAGGGCATTCCTCTAATGGATGTCTCTGAGCGCCAACAGGGTATTCTTGGGCGCAGTAATGTAAGTGTGTTCAAGTACTGCTTCCAGGCAGTCACTGCGCTTGAGTGGCTTTGCGATTTCACTTCGATTGTTGGTCGCGACGAAGCTGCAGAAATGGCTGCGCATTTCGTCCGTTTCGGACTGATTGCAATTGTAAGCGACAAGCGCAAGGGCAACGATTCAGCCATCATCTTCACCGTACGTGGAAGCGCACCCGCAGGAAATTCATCAGTGTCGGTATGTACATCCTTTCTCCTATTAAAGTACCTCCTTTTCAACAAAATTTCTTTTTCTGTCTTTCAGCAACAAGGTGAATTCCGTTGCACATCTAAAGCTATCTACCGTATTACGGATGAGGGACGTCGTGTTGCTCGCTGGGATTCGCCTCATGGGCGCCGCGATTCGCCCAACGCATCCACAACGAACGTTTCCAGGGAGGAAAGACCGTCATTGGATAGGAGAGAAGATTCCAGTGTCGCTGGACATACTTCTACTGCGAGGACGGAATCGACAACAGATGTTCGCCCACAGCGCCGTGCCTCCCTATCCGAGCGCCCTGCCGATGTTACCAGGCGTAGCGTGAAAGAGAGTAATACCGATCGCCTCAGATACATTTTGAATGAACCTGCAGTCCGGTCGCTCTTTCGAGATTTCCTTCGTACCAACTTCTGCGAGGAGAACCTGTCTTTCTGGCTTGAGGTCGAGGATTTCAAGCGGAAATTCAACACGACATCTAGCGCAAGAGGTGGAGGTGATGCTCGTGTGAAGGCCACTCCAGGTCAAGCAGCGATGGAAAAACATCACGAAGGTCTTATTCAGATGGCTTTCGTCATATACAACACTTATCTGGCTCCATCGAGTCAGTGCGAGTTAAACATTGATCATGGCCTGCGAGGCGAATTGGTTGGGTACCTCAGCCAAGTGATGACCGACATTACTGGCAAGTCGTTCCAGGGACGTGTGGAGCCGGAGCAAGCTGCAGCGCTGAACGCGACGCAGCTTCAAACAATGATTCGTCTATACGATCGTATCCAGACCCATGTTTTCCGTCTGATGGCCACGGATTCCGTTCCCAAGGTAAGAATTTAATTTGTGCAGAGTGGCGATTGAAGCTTAGCGTCCCTCGACAGTTTATCAAGACGTCCGAATTTAAGGCACTGAAGGCCTGGGTTGAGGATGATGGATCAACAGATGATGACTCTCCAGAGCAAGGTCGTGCGAATCCTGTTCATCCGCCGGGACTTGAGAGCGATGAGGTTGGACGTGTCCATGTGACAAAATCTGAAGCTGCGAACGACCACCCTCGCCGACAACCTAATGAGCGTCAGGGCGGAAAGCAATGATCCCGCTAGACATGTCCTGTGATCTATTTCTTTGGCTTCATCTGTCTTTCCTGCGTTGCTGCTTGGAGGCTGCATTGTGTTCTCGACGATATCAGTGCTCCAGGTTTTTGTTATGTGCGTCTAGTTTACCGACGATGAACTTCTCTTTAGCTTCGTCATTTTTGCACCTCTTTTGACCTCGTATATAAAATAATGGTCCACGCGTCCTTTCTCCCCATTATCATCATTGCTGATCTACATGTTCTCCATATTAGCTGTACTTTTACTTTATACCTTACCCTTACTCCATCCCAACCATTCTCAGGCAGGTATACTTGAGCTTGGGAGTTGACTAATTTGCATTCTTCGCATTGTCTCATCCTGTCGTACAATCTTCTTTTTTTTTTGCGCTTCTTCTGTGTTACTTTTATCTTCGTCTTCTCTTTCTCTTGAATGATCATGGTAGTCTGTATTGGTATGCAGGCTGTGACGCTTTGGGGCTGTATATGAATTTTAATATCGTAGGGAAAGAAAGTAATGGAGACTGCAAGACATATATGTACATATATGTATCTTGTGCAGCCTGATCTTGGGTTTGCATGTGCATGCTGGTTGACTTCGTAGCACGCCATAATAATAGGAGAGTGAATCCGTAGAGGTATTTCAAAATGATTACACGGTACGGAGATTTGCTCACTCGGAATATCAATGATGGCAGTGAAAAATTGAAGATTACAGCGGCTCATCCTGTTTGCGACGAAGGCTTCAAGTCATCATTGACATCAAATTGATCAATTCGTAATTCATATTGCACGTGCACTACAAAGCTCTCACTGAGTCTCAGTGACACGCCCGTGAGAATCTGTCGTGTGTATATCACTCCCAAACAGAATCCCAGCATTATTCTCTCCCTTGCTCTGTCTTGCATCTGCATTCGTCACCATGTCGTGGCTTTTCAACCCTACTGGTGAACACCCACCTCGAGCGGAAGCACAACAACCGGAAGAAGAGATGGTGCTTTGACCGCTTGATACCCATGTCGAACAGCATTGACGCATCTACATAACCTTACATTTCACAGGCTGAAGATTACTCCGGTCGAAAGGTGTCGACCAGGACTGCTAACCAGCCTTTTCTCGCGTATGTCCTCCCCTCCTTGAGATTTGAGATCTGAAGCTCCTGTTGGTATTCACGGGTCTCACTTGCGTTATGCAGTTACACGCGCTACAGACAGGAGCAGAAGCGCCTTCATGAAGAGTGGTTAGAGCGCAAGAAACAGCGTGAAGAGAAGATAGCGAGAGGTGAAGAAGTTGGCCCTGAAGAAAAGGATCCCACAGCCCAGGAAGAGGTCGGATTGCTCGGACTGCTTAAGTTCATCGTCTATTGCCTCCTCTTCCTTGCCCTTGTCGGGAAGTTCTTCACCGGAAGCTTCCTTTTTGATTACGAGGCAAAGCTTCCGGCCTTGAAGAAGCTCTGGCCAGTTAGTTAGTTACTTGCTCCTATGTGTAACCTTGCCTAACGGTTCAAACGCTCTAGACGAACGATCGTCTCTTTTCGGAGGAGGGTCTCTCAAAATTCGATGGAACTGACAAGACTAAACCAATCTATCTCGCCGTAAGCAATGAATTTAAAATTTTAAAAAACTTTTCTTCATCGCGAGATCTCACTCTTAAATAGATTGATGGCATTGTGTATGATGTCACCGAGGGTCGACGAACCTATGGTCCAGGCGGTTCATATAACTTTATGTTCGTCAACGAAGCAAGATAATCGGCTCCTCTCACTAATGAAACTCTATCTTATAGGGCAGGCCACGACGCTGCGAGAGCATTTGCTACAGGATGTTTTGCAACTCACAGAACGCACGACATCAGAGGTCTCAGCGAGCGAGAATTAAAGGCTCGTCCCCATACTTGGTTATTTTTGTCGGGTCATTTTAACATAATACATAGAGCCTTGAACATTGGAAGAACTTCTTTGCTAATCACAAGAAATATTTCAAGGTTGGGCGAGTATTACACCATCCAATAGACCCACTGAGCCCCATTCCTGAGCCATGCAAAGAAGAAAAGCCAAAGGCTGGGAATAATGAAAAGCCGAAGGACGAAGGAGGATCCACGAAGTCAGATACACGCTCCGCACACACAGAGCTATGATACTATATTCTACAATGCCATTGTCCATGTACATACTGACGCGTGCTACCAGGCGTCCCGAAATTAAACAAAACATATGATAATTATAAAGGAGTGGACAACCATCAAAAAGGTCACTGAGAATAACCGAGAATGAGTGCCGCGGTCTTAAATTGCGGATGACGGATCGCCTGGTGTCGGAACTTGAGCATTCACTGCTAGTCAGAGAAAGATGTCAGGGAACTCAACTCGAATCACTGGACCAGAGCCCACCTGTCCGGATGGACCCCGATTCAAGAAGTAATTCTTCAAGATTGGGAAATCGGCCATGCTGATGTCGATGAGCGACATGAAAGGGTCGTTTCCACCTCCGCGGTATTTCGCAACTATGATATTACCTCTCCATGCGGTGCTCTCATTAAAGAATGAACCTTGAATTTCGCGAATTGCCCTGTTGACGGGAAAAGGTGCTCCCGTCCGTGACACTGGTGGTGAGCATTAAAAAATCAGTATTCATTCTTGTCTACGTGGATACGATTGCACTAACTGGTAGGGTAAAATATGATGTACGGATTGGCGAAGTTCATGGTCATGCCGTCAAGTGACTCAACTACCTGGTGGCGTTGTGAGCCAGTCTTCGTCTGGCTGAAGAATATAAGCTCACCTGCACTCTCCACGCTCGCTGATTAGGCGTGTCAGTAATAGTATCCATATGTACTTCCGGATGCGGCATCACGGAGACCAGGATGAGTTGGCCGGTTTGTGGGTTCGTGCGCGTTAATGGGCTAATACAACATCAACACAAGGCCAGATTAGGGTCGGCTGAAGGCCAGGCATACCTAGTGGGAAGTTCGACAACCTGAGGCGGTCGTCCGTCCGCAGGGAAAAGAATCGCGTCGTAAGAAAGAAGGTCGTCCATGGCAAGCAAGAAAAAGAGAAATGTAGCTGCAATACATTTTGACATGAATACCAGCCAAGTCTGCAGATCAAGCCTATGCTTACAGTCAAGAATTAAAAGGATTTAGCAATAAAAGAGAAGGTAAAGAAATGTAGAAACTAAGAGCTTGACTGGAACACTGGGTCCTAACCCATAACTATCGTTCCGAATTTATACTTGTGCAACGTCCGCTGCAGGCCACCAACATGCCGACTCGGTACTGATGCACGCGTCGTTGGGCTGAAGGGGTTGCGCACGAGGCACCACTACCCTTGTTCCCTTTGCTGTCGGTTAGTAGGCAATACCGCGATAATTTCAAGAATCTACTAACACTAACTTTGATTCTTCACACTAATCCAGATGACGACAATGCGCTAAATGGATGCACAGATTATGAACCTAGACCGGTTGCTGATGGCAAGCAATCCGCGGGCGAAGCTGTGCTGTACCACTACCTGCCCCAAGGTTTGGTTCCCCAATACCCTAGGTACTGGCTAACGGTGCTTCTCCTCGTGCATAACAGTCTACTGGTTTTTTTATTAACCGGAGTCTGATTAACTTGTCCACTTCATGCATCACGCACTATCGGTTGTCCAGTGAAATAACAGGTTCACGCATCTTCAAATTGCACGCTAGAAATCTAGACAGCCAGGACGAATACCCGAATTCCGAACACCCAGTCTGGGAATCTCGCCTGAGCGTCGATCTTGGTCCGTGCCGTCGTCAGACTCGTCACTATTACTTCTGTATTCTGTCATAAGACTCACTGGCGCGTACGATTTGCAAACTGATACTCCGGGAAAATTGATTTGGATTAGAGATGCTGCTGCAACACCACGTTTGCGACACACGTCCGTCCATCGGCGCGCTCATATCTAAATCCGAGATGGGGTACGACGGGAGGAAATGAGGCTTACGGAGTGAGGCCTAGGTCATGATTTCACAGGCATGTCCTCCAGATGTTTGGTAGCAATGCAAATGATATCAGCCACGGTCGATCGTAGTTCAATAGAGCCCCAATTTTAGTAACCATCACTCAGAGTCGTGAGATCTAGTACCCCTTGTGGAAATTAAACTCATCGGAATCAAAATGTGAGGAGGATCATGGGGGGACGGGAGCAAGTCGTCAGGCGCCCTGGTTGTATCGGGTCGAGACCTTGCTAGGATTACCGTGCAGAGATGGGTCCTCCAGTCTTGATGCGAGAGGATGCAGAGTTGCATAGTTCGCAACAGCTTTCTGCTACGCCACGACGTGTGAACCGTCATGTAGAGGCATGATTTGACGGGCATACTCGTGTTCGAGAAGTAGTCTCCAGTAAATTTTGGCTCGGAAAATGAGACGGATGAATTTATCCGCACAGCACAGTAGCGCAAGCAATGAATGCAACTTTTATGTCTTCGTTCCGTAACTTTGACGAACAACACAGCGAGAAGTCAGCATAGCAATTTGTAGTCCCATTGAGAAACCTGGGTTGTTTGTAATGATGAGCAGTGGATTACCAGAGTTGTAGCTCGGAGAACTTCAAATTTTCATAAGAGCTATATGCGCGAAAGAACCTTCCTATTTCATATTCTGTAATAGGAAGGTGTGAAGCACGTGAGCGAAAACATGGTTTGTACGTGACGCGCTGAATCTCAAAGTGTTCCGCCAAACTACAGCCACTACTGCTCCGTGCCCTTGCTGGAGGCTAGCTCTACTTCGCAACCCCCGTCATTTCCTCGGCCTTACCTGTCAGGCTGATACAACAGGCTCGGGAAGATGGATAATTTTATCCTACCTGCTGTGCACCTTTCATCTGTGTTTGCTTCGTCCGAGCATGTTCCAACCCATGCCGTACAGACGGAGCAGCGCGATGTCCCCCTTGCGATGGGGCGCTCGGATATGCCAGACGACCATGCATCTATTTCATCTCTTTTTCATTCCGCCGAGACCGGTCATGTTCTGATACGCGTCGTTCAAGGCGGCCTTGCTGTAGAGTTGGTGTCGCTTTCATACGATGTCGCTCCAATCCGCTTCGTTTTCCCTGCCGCGGCTGTTCCCAATCCAGCTCTCACTATATTCAACGGTCGTGTTTATCTCATCGTTGTTACTGTCCTTGGGATCCTGTTTAGAATCAACTTACCGTGCTCAGCCGACGGTCAACTTTGGCATGGGCCACTGTCCAACAAGTGGTGCAAAGAATGGCAGATCAAGAAACTCAGCGGAGCTGAGGCCAAGCTAGTACATGTCCATGATGCGCACGATATCGCCATTTCCTTATCCACAGGAGGATATTTACGACTCGAGAATAAAATCATCAATGGCCGTGAAAATAGTAAGATTATTCAGACGTTTTATCAAGGTGTATTGAATTGTTCACCATTACATTGTTAGACCAGTGGACTGAAACTGAGTGGAGATCCTCAAGCTGGTACTCCGCACTGTTTCCTGCCATCGCAGCGGGCCATGATAGCCCTGGAGCGATTGTCTCTATGGCGTCTGCGCCATCGCCTACGGATATATCGGATTTGTTTTCAGTCTCACGCGATCGTATATTACGACGATGGACAGTAGCAAAGGGTTGCCGAACTGAAATCGCCCTAGATGCACCTAAGAGTGGAAGCGAAGCCCCAACCTCTCTTCTTGATATGCACCCTCAAAAGCTCCTACAAGTTATCAGGGCAACAGTGGACACTCGTGGAGACCTTGAAGACGAGGAATCCCTAAATGTGCTGGTTTTCTTACCCAACCCAGCCTCCCATACGTCCTGTGGATCCTTCCGGATTTACAACACTGACCACTACCAATGGAGGCTACTCTCTTCCTTTGAATCCTCCCCCGAAAGTGCATATTGCAAACTGCAGGACTTTCGCATAAGCGGCAACACGCTATACGTACTATGGGAAAAACAGGGAGAGTCATTGCTCGAAATGACCTATGTCAATTTAGAGAACCTGTCTCAGAGGCCGCACTCCATCGTGCAGACCGTCGCTTGGAGCAGAGCAAGGCTTGATCAGTACAGCAAGCTCAATCAGGATGCCATGAATGAATTGCTTCTACAACCTGGTTCTCTTACAAATAAATTTTTGCAGTCGATCTTGCGTCCTGGTCTATTCTCAGTTGTGACATTGCGGGCTGCCCTGAAGGAGTACAAAGAACATTATCTTTCTTTACCCGGCCCGCACCCAACACCACTATTGGCCGAATATACCTCGCTCGGAGAAAGCATCGCTGCTGTTGTCGGCTGCACCGTGGCGTTGTCTCGCGACCCTCAAACGGGCGCAACTTTACATAACCAATACTGGAACGCATTGCGGCGTGATTGGGAGGGCTTTGTGGCGCGCTGTACGGAGATTGAACGTAGTGCTCGTTGGCCTGTTTGCTTAGGTTTGGACGTAAATGGGCAGGTGCTGGTAGTGGAACGCGAGCGCATTAGTCAATGTGTCGAGGAAGATACGTCCATGCGCGTACATCGACAAGTTTCTTCGGCGGCAAATACCGACACTTATCATCTGCTCGAGACTTGCTGGGGATTAAGGACGAAATTGCCAGAGCCTCTTGTCCGACAAATAGAGAGAGAAACTGGGGATATTCTTCATCAAGAAGTTGCCTTTCCCCTTGCCGATGTCCTTATCAAAGCTGCCAACAAAGTCTTTTATAAGGACGATTTAGACGAAGATATCGAAGTATGGGTGCATGAGCGAGTATCCTCTCTCGAAGACTTCGAAACCGCTCTGCGCGATGTTCTGGAAGTCATTGCCGGCCTGGATAAAGCGGTGAAGCAGGAAGAAGACGAGGTCGAGCTCATTATTCCACCGGCAATAGTCGATTGGACAAGGGCACTGGCTACATCATACATCACGGAAACGATCGAAATTCGATACGATCTATGCCTTGCACTTGCTGCTCTGCTTTTCTTCATTAGTGATGACCTTAAACAGAAAGACCCGGCTCTTATTGCCGAAGTTTTCGCCATAATACGGGGTGTCGCCATGTGTCGTTACTTATGCAGACAGCCTGCTGGGGATTCAATGGGAGCCCGGCCTATGGCGCAGGAATCCAGCACAACGGACGACGTTGTCACTCGCCTGAGCAGCATGCATGTCTCGAGGGAGACAAAGGCACCTCCAACTTATTCGTTGACCCACCAGTTACTCATAGAATACGGCCATCCGCCGATACTACCGGCAGCCGCTCATCATTTCCTTAACCAGCTCGGGCTTCTCAACAGCATATCACCGGCTCATGTAACTAGGAACGAAGTCTTGATATGTGAAAAGCTTCGTCATATGGGTTATTATGAAAGCTCAAGGTATCTTCTTACATGGCTTCCTCGAAGTCCTGCCGTGTGCTATGTCTTTGGCCGTTTGTGGATTGACGTAGGTAGGGAGGACGAAGCTGTCGCTCTTTTACAGGGTGTTTCAGGTAGCTTTGGTAAGCTTTAATGTCTCTATATCTCGGTCTGGTTTACGATTTGTTTATAGTTACGGGTAATGTCCTACTATCAGATGATCTACAGACACTCGATGCCGTCTTTCCGAACGGTTGCTGCCGTTCTGACTGTGAATATTACTTGCATATTGCGGAGCTTTTTAAAAAAGCTTCCATGACTGCGCAAGAACTTCATTTTCTTCGGTTAGCTCTGTCGGTATGGCCAGAAGGAGCGGAGCTGGATGAAATTTCTTTGAACACGTGGGCGGCAATCATCAAAGGTTATTCAGACTTAGGCCTTTATGAAGATGCATACTGCTATCTCATTTCCTCTCCCCATCACGATCAGTACGTAACTTTCTTCTAAATCGTTGTCGTGTCTAATCCGTACGTCCAACAGGAGGCATCAATATGTTTCTAACCTTGTTTACAAAATGTGCGAAAACGATGCGCTTAATCGCCTTCTTTCAATGAATTTCCGCGGACTTGTGCAAGAAGTCGAGTCGGCTCTTTCGTTCAAAGCACGCAACGCGGATCCTCGAAGTCTTCCGAACTGGTCTCAGATTCTTTATACCTGGTATACAGTACGAGGGGACTACCGTAATGGTAAGTAGACAGTTTTCCTTCTGAACAGGAGACTTAGGTACTACTTGTTTGTCTAGCGGCTTTGACAATGTACATTCGCTATCGAAATCTATCCGAGCTTCCGGTCGATTCGACAATGCCCTTGGCACTTTTGGAGCAACAAGCAGAAACATTGAGCGTCGCAATGAACGCCCTTGGGCTTGTAGAAACCAAGAATGCGTTCATTGTCGTTCCTACCCATGAGTCTAGCCTGCCGGTCAGTGGCTCGCTTTCGATTCCTGATTCCAGCTGATACCCTATTGCAGCCACGCAAGCGTCGAAAAATCGGAAGTTATCTTCCTAAAGAGCAGTTGTCTGCGAGTCAGCGAAATGTTGACATTGTTAGGCTTCCGGACATCGAACGAGAGTACGCCCACCTCACAGCTAACTTGGAATTGATACGCCGAGACCCGACGCTTGTACGTCACGGAGGTATGTACTAATTTCCCGCTAGATTCGAATTTTGCTAAAATAAAGACAGAGCCACATCTTACACCATGGCTCACTGTTTCAAAGTTGACTCAAGCGGGACTATTTGACTTGGCAATGCATACCGCAAAGACATTGTCTATTGACATGTCAGAAGTGTTCCAGCGATTATCATTGCAGTGTCTACATTTATCAGCGTCTTTGGACACAGACATGTGAGTATCTAGTTAAACTCCTCCGGATCTGTTAATGATGTCATTGCACCAGGGCGGAATTCGTGCCGTCAGACTGGCTTCTAACAGATAAGGTCTCATCATGGCCAGGATCGCCTGCTGATCGGGGATGGAGATATCTTCGTCAATGCTTAGAACGATATGATTCGGCTGAGACCGATTATAGCTACAGCAAAGCTGTATTAGAAACGGTGCTAGCGAATGACTCGTCTTCGCCACCATCGTGGTTGCTACAGATCATCGAGGTATGCATGTATGATTTCCGTTAATGGTCACTATAGCTTATCTGTATCTGCCTGCTACTAGGAACATCACCCCGAGCATCTTATCAGGACATACTTGCGCTTCGGAGACATCGAAGAGGCGCTTGAACAAACCTTGAAATTGATTCGAAAGGTGACGCGTGATTTAATTTTACAATGACGTGATTCTCGTTAACCTTGTTCTTTAGGCCACTAAAGCATTGGATAACTCGACTCCCAAACATTCATCCTGTACATGGCTTCCATATATGGTTGTTGATGCTGTCTTGAAATCGAGCGAAGAGAACGTGTCGGCCAAGGCTCAGACACTCCGTCAGTCCGTGCAGTCCGAGCTGTCAAATCGCGATTCTCGTTTACAAAAACAGACTGCTGCTATTCCTGCTCACTGAAAATAGAGTTTGTGTGCTAGTATGATGTATATTGTTTATCTCGTTTATCTGTATCGCAATATTAGCACCTTTTTGATTCCATCAATCGCCGGTCGTAAGTAAGGGTGGAGAAAAGGAACGGAACAAAGACAAAGAACGAAGACTACACAAGTACAAAGCGTTAAAGCAAAGCGAAACATACGAGACGAACGAGATGAGGCAAGCAATACGAGAACAGGCAGACAAGCAACACAGCAGTGGTATACGCTCTAAAATAACAGAGATCCTAATATCCTACAGAGAAAAATGAGAATTTACATGTGCGAAGAGGTATCCGGTCTCTCCATGACATCCAAGAATCGAACCCATTCTCCTTGTCCAAATCCAACGGAAGCACCCCACATCGAATCGTTTGCACCTTGCACATAAGCCGCTTCCCCATATTCAGGCGGCTGCACTGGATATGGCTGGTGAGGAGGTGGTCGAGGTTGATGTAATTGTGGCACGTATTGCGGTACACCCGTGGTAGAACCGAACTGAGGTGATTGAGAGACATGGGAGGGCGTGAAGTGCAAAGATGGTGGGGTGTTGTGAGGCGTAGCACCACGTACTGCCTGCTGCACATGTGGGGCAGCTTGTGCATATGAAGGGTGATGCTGCGTTGGTGATGGGCGTCCGTCTATTGGCGTGCCCAAAGATTCGCCCATGTTATGTGGCAGGTGTAATTGAGTAGTGGGAGGCTGCATGCCAGCTTGTGCTACCAAAGGCATGTTCTGAGATGCTGACGGCGGTGATACAGAACTGGAATGCAACGGTGAATCCATTGGTGCCCGACGACCAGGTGAGTCAACGTGTGATCGAGGATAAGCGGGAGAGTCATGATAAGGAAATGCAAGCCCTTTGACCCGATCCAACACTTGTTTTTTCTTCACTTCGCGTTGTTCTGGCGATTCGCCTGGTGGCGCCGGTTCATATAAAGGTGCCAGAACAGTAAGCATGTCCATGGCCTTATCTGCGATTGCAACTCCGCTAGACATCTTGAGAATGTCCATGACACGATGTACATTGGAGCGGAAGAGGTTGGCACCTGGCTGGTCAGGATTCGCGATAAGCTGAAATGAGAAAAACATGGCGGCGCTGAAACAGTGGAAAGGACCCCAGTGCACATGCCCAGGAACAGCGAGTGCGTTGTTAGCGAGGAGGTCAGGACGCGCTTGTCCGACAAGTTGGATCAGTTTGTCTGCGGCGTTCACAGCAGTATCCAAGGACTGTGACATGTGCTCGCTCATCACGCTGTTCCCTTTCTTCTTGCTCGAGCGTCGCTGTACATCGTGTGCGGCGGCGGCGTACGGTCTGTGCAGAGTGAAGCGAATGTGGTAATAGCTTGTCCGAACGATAATACTTTGAACACCAAGCCTCATCTGCTCGGGTAGAGGGCTAGCCAAAGAACGCGCCAGTCGGTATTCGTCAAGATCGAGTTCCTTGGGTAGATCTTCCATCCACACAAGAAGTTCGCGATCCCGCTCCTGAACACGCTCGTAAGGGACGGGCCGTACTGACACCGCGTCGTCCACAATACCTCCTAGTATGAATGCTAAACGGAAGAAATGCAAATTTGGTAGGAACAGACGCCCGTTGGGATCAATTTCGGTGTCGATGTGCGAAGGCATACGCGTATCGAAGTGATGGGACGCTATTGACAGTGGACGACCAAAAAGAAAACTTTGCCATCTGTCATAAAAGATATTAGTTCGCGGCATGAAATATTCACCAGGTAAAACAAACCGGTCGAGATGGACGATATGCCACCAAGCCCAACGGCGCCTCTCTGCCAAATCCCGGGGAAATTTCCATTTGTCGGGATCACGATGCAGGCCCATTGCAGTGCCAATGCTGACTAACTCGCCGCGTATTGACCAAATTTCTTCCGCTTCGTCCTTGGACAGTGTAAGGTAATGTGTACGAACGAGGAGCAGCTCCACCAGCTCAAGGGATAGTGAGCGCGACTCTGAACGGTAGCGATTTAGAGCTTCTCGAGAAAGCTCATAATACCGCCCGCATAATTCATCATGCTGAGGCGGTAGCGAGGCCAGCAGCGCGTGGCGTGCCGGAATGTAGCGGATAGCAAGAGCCATAATGACACATAGTGTAGCTAGAACCAAACGATCCGAAGATTGGCCAGTCTTGAATTTTCCCCACGCATTCATGAATGCTTGAGGGTGCACATGCCGATATATCCAATTACAGTATTCAAAATAAAAGTCAACGAGACCTAGATCAAAAGTTTAAAAATAGAATGAATAAGGAAGTTGCAATGCCGAAACAAATGACACTTGCCATCAATGATGTGCAATTGGGGCAGTAATTCCAGAAGGTCATTATCATATGAACGGGACTGATCGTGTAGGAGTGGCGGTGGTCCCTCATCGCCAGACCGAGCGGAATCGTCACCACTTGTGTCAACGTCCTTGCCCTCCCGTTGTTCTGGAGATTTAAAACTCAATAAATGCGTCACCATTGAAGTGGGACCTGCATAAAGACCGCCCTGGCCCTTTTGTGCCAACATGCCAGGTACGGACTTGTTAGATGTTTCATCGCCATCTATAAGCGACTTTTCCGGAGGTTCAGTAGATGCAGCCTGCCTGAACGAAGTGGAAGATACAACGGGATGGGACGGGGTTGAACCAGAGCGGACGATATATGCTTCAAGAGTAGCAAGCGACTGCCTAATGTGTGCAATTTCGTGATGGGGGTCTATTCTGTTTCCGCTAAGAGCATTCGGCGTTCAGTGCGCGGCAATATGTGAGAGGAGCAGGCGGAGACAAACCGATTGTCCTCCGCTGGCTCGTTTGCGGCACCCTGGTAACAGGACATTACGGTACCTTCGAAGAAGAAGTAAGAGCAGTAAGCGCCGGAGAAGAACGGACATCTCGAGCGAGAAACACACCTCTGAGGACGCATGAGGAGCACGGTCTCCCCCTAGAAAATGGAGGAGGCTTCCAGATGAGCTCCCAGGGCTTGGAGAATGTGGAGAAGGACGGACCTGTCACATTTGAGCTTGCTCGCACGGCATGGCTCACAGTTTATGGCCTTCCGAGCTCTCTTCGCTGGCGGCTTTTGTTGAGAAGCATCTCGCTCAGCGGTGGGAGAGCGCGTGGTATCGTCTCCGGAAGCTATATTTGCGTCGTTGTGTTCGAGTTTAAGGCGCTGGGTGGGACGAGGATTCGGAGGCAGGCGGGGCTGAATGTGGGCTGGGACGTTTTCTGTTGTGGGCATGACCCTGCTCACTTGGAGGGCAGAGTGGCGGTAGAAGACAGGTCTCGGACTGAGCGTTGAGTGCCAGAGTGTGCCAGTGGGCCCTGTATATCAGTCTGCCGGTTCTATTTAGAACGTGATCCAAACTCTATTTGCAGTCACGCTTATCAACATCACCCCCGTCACACAAAGGCGGAAGCATCCGCGATGGTCCGGTTTGGGTTAGACGCGCATACACCAAGTTTGTAGGCACACCCGCGACTGCGTCTAGAACATTCCGTAGGCTGCGAGCACTGTTTGTCCGCCCGTCAAAACGCATAAAGCGCCCCTTTGGACGTCGACGTATTCCTGTTCCTTCAACACTTACATACATCACCGATATGTCAGACGTCAACGCACTCAAGGACGAGGGAAACAAGGCCTTCGCCGCAAAGAACTACGACAAGGCAATCGAACTTTTCTCAAAGGCAATTGACCTCGACCCAAAGAATCATGTTCTCTATAGCAATCGCAGCGCCGCACATGCTGGCAAAAAAGAATGGCAAACAGCACTAGAAGACGCTGAGGCTGTATGTATCATGTCTGACCCCATTTGTGCTTCGCAGTGCGGGACTCACGACGTCTACTTTAATTAGTGCATAAAAGTCAATCCAGCATGGACCAAAGGCTATGCCCGTAAGGGTGCCGCTTTGCATGGTGCGCATAGATATGACGAGGCTATCGCCGCATACAAGGAAGGCATCGAACTCGAGGACAGTCCGGCCCTTCAGAAAGGCCTGAAGGAAGTCGAGGAAGCTAAAGCTCTCGATGCAGCCAATCCAGACGTGTACCCCCTCGCCAAGATGTTCTCCGACCCAGCCGCATTGGGCAAGATTGCGGCACACCCAAAAACATCAAAATACCTCTCGGATCCAAGCTTCATGAATATGGTATGACAATCACATTTGCGGTTGCAAGGTTTCATTGCTGATGAATGGATACGATCCTTCAGTTCCAAGCCATTCAAAAGAATCCGAAATTGGCACAGGGTGCTTTGCAGGATCCCCGCATGATCGAGGTCATGGGCGTTTTAATGGGCATTGACTTGCAGGCCTTTGAGCGCCCAGAGGGTTCAGGGGATAGTGGTCCATCTCAATTTAATCAGGCACCCTCATCTACACCTCCGGAACCATCGGCATCATCCTCAGCCGAGCCCCAATCATCGTCTTCTGCAAAGATTGAGGAAGACGTCCCGATGGAAGAACCCGAACCAGAAGATGAGACCCCTGAGGCGATCGAGGAGAAGAAAGCTAAAGCAGCTGCTGAGGAGCAAAAGAAGATTGGCAATGATGCATATCGTAAGCGTGACTTCGATGCAGCGGGCGCAGCGTTTGAAAAGGCTTGGGAACTGTGGCCCAAAGACGCTACTTTCCTGACTAACCTAAGCGGTATGTGATTCGATTCGATTCGATGTTTGAGTTCAGATTAGTGCTGAGACGCACTTTAGCCACCCAATTTGAGCAAAAGGATTATGATAAATGCATTGCCACCTGCGAAAAGGCAATCGAAGAAGGTCGCTCGTTACGCGCAGATTACAAGCTTATCGCCAAAGCGTATGGACGAATAGGCTCCGCGTACCACCGCAAAGGAGACCTAGAGTCCGCGATCCGCTTCTTCAATAAATCACTCACAGAGCATCGCACCCCGGATATTCTAAACAAGCTGCGCGATGCGGAACGTGACAAGGCAGCCGCGGATGCTGCAGCGTATGTCAACCCCGAACTTAGTGAGAAGGCTCGCGAAGAAGGCAATAATTATTTCAAAGCCGGCAACTTTGCTGAGGCGGTAAAAAGTTACTCGGAAAGCATAAAACGCAACCCGCAGGATCCGAGAGGATACAATAACCGGGCCTTGTGCTATACAAAGCTTGCAGCCTTTCCTGAAGCACTCAAGGATGCAGAAGAAGCAATCAAGGTTGACCCGACTTTCGGTATGTCGCGGTGCCCTTTTATACTAGCGGGACTTATAGCTGATTAGTCTCATGATATAGTGAAAGCTTACATCCGCAAGAGCAATGTCCTCTTTGCCATGCGTGAATACACCAAGGCCATTGAGGCGGTCCAGGCCGCCGCGGAGCACGATGAAAACGGCGCCAATACAAAAGAGATCCAGCAACAACTAATCAAGTGTAACCAGGCCCTGTACTCGCAACGTTCAAATGAATCAGAACAGGAGACGATTGAGCGTGCAATGCGTGACCCGGAGGTTGCGGTGCGTCTTTCATTTATCATGACAGAACCTAAGTTTCGTTACTGATTACCTTTATTTTGACTACTTCCAGAAAATAATGAACGACCCAGTGATGCAGCAGATTCTGCAACAGGCACAGAATGACCCTGGCGCATTGCAGGATCATATGAAGAATCCAGCAGTGCGGGAAAACATAATGAAACTTGTCAGTGCGGGCATCATCAAAACCCGGTGATTAAGTGGCATTACATTGTATCGGTACAATTTCTTGCTCTTTCCTTTCTTCCGGTAATGGTAGACCTCATTCAATTGTATTTACATTCTTACATAGCAAGAATTTTCTTTCAAATATATCACGCATCCAACTTCCCGTACAATTCGATGCACTACAAGAATAGCCCTATACAAAGAGAAAGCCAAAGGACCCAGTAGAAAAACCGACTAAGCTAATGATGTACTGCGGGAAGTCAGTCTTTCTGCGGCGGTGACGGCGGTGAAGACCATGCCCAACCAAAGTATCCAGATTCTTTAAAAATGCCAATCACTGTGTTCTCCACATATTCCCTTCTCGAATCAGATGAACTATCAATGTTTTGCACATCTCGCCATACCCGTATAGCTTCATGCACCTCTCCTGGATTGCTTAGACCAATAACGACAGGAACCTCCCCACCTGGTAAGGTCTTCTCTTTCATCGCGTAACCCAACGCAACATCCGCCAGTCCTCCGGGCCAATCAATTGTCTCGCACACTTCATACGCATGCTTTACTGCAGAACGTAGCGCGGGAGGTGCGGGGTGCCAAACAGGAGGCTTCGAAGTGAGTAAACCCATATTAAACGGCGATGCTGAGATTAGCTGAGCGACGCGTGCGCGCTCACGAAACGCGGGTGCAAAGGCAGCGAAGGCAGAATTCTGCAAGTTCGACTGTGAATAGGAAAGAAGAACATCAACCGGTTTGAACGGTGGCGAATGAAGAATAAGAAGCGCGAGTCGCAAGAGCGTCGGAAGCGGGTAGCCTAATTATTACGATGTTTTAGTTCCTAGCAGGGTTTATATCCTTCCTTTTAGCTCACCAGTAATGCCGATGCACCGTATAACACCCTCTGATTGAAGCTTCTGGAGTTCTTTGTAAGCGCCTAATACACGCTGGTCGCCTTCGCCCCAGATTTTGGCTTCCTGCCCTTCCTTCAAGCCGTATTGTTCGGCCTCTGTACCCAGAGCCCCCATATGGTCGCCCAATCTTCTAGGCATAATCTCTTCAGCGACGAATTCAACATCGTGTAGGTATACAACATCAAGATAATCCGTATTGAGCCGCGAAAGACTGCGTTCAACACTACGCCGGATAGTCTTCGGAGAATAATCAAACGCCTCTCGGTCTGTTCCGTACCGGCCGCATTTTGTTATCTTAGGGACAATATGTTAGCTCAAAGCAGCAGCTATATGAGTTAAACCGGTACCAATTGGTATGATGCGCGAGGAAATTCAGGTTCCAGGCCCTTCAAGACGGTGCCAAGGACAATCTCTGATGGGCCATAATATGCAGACGTATCAAAGGCGTTTATTCCATATCTTGCATCAACAGTCGATCAGTACGAAACCTACTAGCACAGAGAAACAACGCCCACCGGAGAGCGGTCCTAACGGTCCTTAATGGAATGAGACTAACAATAGCAAAAGTTACTTTGCCTGCAACCTGAGGTAAGCAGCTGACCGGTACCTTTCCAAGTGGCTGTCATTGTTATATTGGTTTGATAGAGATCCGCCACCGAAAATTAAAGCGGGAAGGCCAGAGGGTCCCACTCGACTCTATCGGGAAGGATTAAACACGAGCGTTGAAACGTCTATTAAAAAAAGCAAGTACCAATAGTAAACCTTCCTCGGGAGCTTCCTCGGGAGTGGCTGAGATATTTGCGGAAGGTGGAAGAATGAAGGTAGGCTGTGGTGAGTCCAGTGGCATAACCATGTCGAGAGCGATTGGGCTGACAAAACGGACAGAAGTGAGTGGAAGAGATCAAGCAGGTCTACGTAGCCTTGTAAGCCGAGTCGGAAGTAAAACGTGTTCGCGGGCCGGGGAACACAAATCACGCAGGAAAAGGAGAGAAATGACAATTTAGAATTCAATGCGATTGCGCGATAATAGATACATTGGCAGTACTATCACAGCTTGTCACGAGACCAACTGCGTGTATATTCAAAAAATGCGACTCGAGCCGTAGGAGTAAAGAATGCACTAACTTCTTTTCCAGCTTTTCATTCACATTGATAAGCTTCGTACTTTGATTCGGCTGAATGGTATTCCACGGTTCCTGGTTGTTCTTGGACCAGACAACTATAGAGATATATATTCAATATTTGACTAAATGATGTCGTACTTTGAGCTAAACGAACCGTTTGGACCACGGGCCAGACGCGTCAGATACCAGCCGGCACCACCCATAGCAATTCCAATAATTGCATAGCTAAGAGAGCGAGAAATATAAATGTGAATACGCAAGAGCGAATCAAGTTCAACGTACAGAGGAATGGCCTAATATAACATTTAGTCAATTAAGCGAGACAATCAAACGAAAATAACAGGCCAGTTACTAACTTCAATGGCGAACCAATGCTTCATGAATCCACGAGGAGCACGAGGAGCAGACATTGTGACGAACGATGGTGAGGTGGTGATGTACTGAAGTAAAGTGCAAGTCGACGCTGGTGGACAAACGATGTGTTGCCGACGACGCTAGCCCGGTTGTTCCCGAATTCGGTCACTCCAACTTGCACCCGCTGCCTTCAACTTCCACTGCTTCAGCGATGGTCTCCTTTCATCGGTATATTCGTATGCGCCTATTCTTCCTTTATTTCGTGTTTCTACTGATGCTGTGTCGTCCTCAGGCCATATTCGACAAACCGGGTTGAGAGAATGGTGGCGGAACCTGCAATATATCGGTGACGCCAAAGCTGGCACTTTGGTCGGCACAGACCAGTTCGTTTGCCCTGCTACATTGTTTGACCTTTAACTTGGGTATTAAGCAAAGAAATACACAGATTCGGGAATAGGTATTTTGAGAATTTGAATGCGGAGGAAGAAGTTCCAGGTACCTTTCAATATGGTTTACTTGGACTTGTTAGCTTATAATTCACATACAGGTCGTCACCGATGGGTTGACTACGCTCAAGTAGGAGCCTGTCTCGTTCGTTAGTAGAAGATACTGAATGGTGTTACTCAGCATGACTTCAACGGATCCCAAACTCCTCCCGAATGGCACTCGTGGCTCACGCACATTCGCAAGGATCCTCCTACACAAGACCCTGTTGTGCAGAGCTTTACTCCGACTTGGAAAGCGGTACGTTTTAATTTACTTCTGTTCTGGCCAGTTTTTCTGACAGCTTTGTAGCCTTATATCGAGAATCTGACTGGTACGCGAGGTGCTTACCGATCATACAATACTGCAGCGCCAAAAATCAAAGCTTGGGAGCCAACCCGTTTCTGCTAGAAGATAGATGTCAGACCCAACCTGTGTCTTTCCATAGTATCCAAAAACGATTGCATTTGATAAAATGTTCTATTCACAGTCTAATTACCTCCATCCTCTTTAAGCATTGCTCCAACTTTCTCTGCGATAGCAAGGCTCGCAGTTAGCCCAGGAGACTCGATGCCCAGTAGGCTAATCATCTCTCCGCCCTTACCGCCATACGCATTCGTGCTACTCAAGAATTCTGATGATCTATTTACTCGGAATACGAAATCTTGGAACCCACCCCAAGGTGGGACGAGTTTCGGTCGAATTCCTGATGTCACTTTATGAATTGACATTACATCCTACAGAGTATTCAGAACTTACCAACGTAATCTGGTCTGAATGAGGATCTCTCTACTCCAGGGAGGTATGACTTGACGGCTTCCGCCATCGCAACTAACTGTGAATTGTCGGGTATTAAGTGCTGCTTCCAGAAGTCAATATCGTCTTTGTTGTCAGAGAAAGACTCGTCAGTCTGAGAACCCTGAACGGGTGAAGGTCCAGCTGTTGGTTCCGATGCACCGCTTGGGGAGATCCATTGAATGTCCGGACCAAATTTGATATTACCGTTCAAGTCAAGTGTCAGATGTGTTCCCAATGACTGGAAGGCATGATTGCTTTTACTTCCGGTTTCCGGGCAAGGATAAAGAAGACGTTTGACGTTACTGACACCCGGACCATTGTACGCGGCGTACGAGCCTCGAGCGTAATACATCGGAATGCGCTCCTCTGGAGGCAAAAGTGAATTCAATGTGAGGCTACCGGACAGGCCAGAAGCATTGATAATTCTTCGCGCAAACAACGTGTCAACCTCTTCACGACTTCCGTTTTCTATGCCGCGAGTGACCATCTGAGCAACCCAGCCGCCTTCTTTGAAGGCGTTATCCGCAGTACCGGAAGGCCGCCGTGATCGGTCGTAGGGGTCTACCCTCACAACTGACGTTGAGTAAACAAGCTCTCCATTTTCCGATTCCATGATATCCCGCTCAAGGCTCTCCATAAAGGAGTGTGAGTCAATTATACCAGTCTCATGGCTTAAGAGAGCGGCTGAAATTTCTGGAGACAGGTCCGGCTCAAGCTCCCTTGCAGCCGAGCCAGATATAAGGTCTGCAGGTATCGGAGGTCCCTCGGGTGGGTAGTCTGTGCTCTGTACAGCTTCTGGCCAACTAAGAGACTGGACTTTCTTGTAAAGAGATTCGATGTACCCCCGTTGACTCTCTTTGGCGACAACGAGCTTTCCGGTCTTCCGGTACGGTACTGAGGATACATCGCAATATTGATAGAGGAGACATCTGCCACGAATGCATAAGGACTCCTTGAGTGAGTTCGGAGGGTAATAGAGTCCTATCAGTATGTAAATAATTCTATCTGACAATTAAATTCGTTGAACAAACCAGCATGTATGACTTCTGAGTTCCGTGAACTGATATTAAACAGAAATGAATAATTTGTTTTTCCCGGCCCTGGATCTTTACTTGCCTGGTTTCTTCGCCTGCAGAACCATTCCGCTCTACAAGGTAGGTTGTCTTATTCGGAAAATTCAAGGTAAGAGCACGGGCGACAGCCAAGCCAACGACCCCTGGAGTTCAGTGAACAGACGGTAATGAGGTTTAATTTCACTGCCTACCCCCGCCAATGACTAAATGGTCAACTGCAAGTTCTGGCGACTGAGTATATTAGATTCGGGAGTAAAGGCAACATACATGTATTTAAAAGATAACGCTTACGCACCCTGTACTTGTAGCGATTGCTCGCGTTCAATGCTGCCTTCAGACCGCGGATTTGCATCACAGGAACGCTCAGTCAAGTAAAAGCTGCAGTGGTAGTGTCAGTTTTAAGCAGCTACATGGAGTTGAGGAAACTCTGGATGGAGAGGCTGTTCACATCGGAATGACGTCAGCATCAATCATGGTCGTGAGCGCGCCGCGCTCGCCGTATCGAACACTGCGCTTCACTTTAGACTGGTTGCATCCTTTCCATCTGTGCGTCAATCATGGCGACGCCAAGGACAAATCGTCGTCTGTCTACCCCTCAGAGACGCTTTATTGGAGATTCGGCTCTGCACAGTGATAATGGCACCCCAGGCTCGAACGATGGTGCGACTCCGACGAAATCACGCCAGTCATTCACTTCGCGTCTACATCGCGTCAGTCGTGGCTCGCTTTGGAGAAATCTGTCCGATGAAGAGCTGGCATCACCATCTGCTGCGGAAAGACCACCTATCCCGAGCGCTTTAGCACCTTCGGGAGAGACAATGAGCTCCCCCTTGCCTGCCTTACCTATGGCTGTTCTTTCAATTGTGAACATCAACACTTTTACAGCCCAATCACCATATTACTGACCTGGGTCTATAGGTCATGCTAGGAGAATTCTTAACAGCCAATGTAGCTACCCCTTTCTTGCTGTTCATGGTCGAAGGTGTGTACAGCGAATCGTGACCTCCTGACTACTAAACTAAAAGTGCACAGGATTCGGTGTCTTCAAGGAAGAAGCAGATGTTGGTTATTGGACTGGAATACTTGGTACTCCACATTCGACTGTTAACTGTGCGCATATCTAACAGGACATACAGTGTCGTGTTTCTTCATAACACAGTTCTTGACTTCCTTGCTTTGGGTTCGTGTGTTTCCTTTGTTGTGCACTGAGACCTGGATCTGGATCTTTAACTTTTTCCAAGGCCACAGCGGCAGAGAAGCACGGAACAAGAGCCGTGCTCTTCGTATCTCTACTTGGGAGCTCTCTAACGTGTTTCGCTTTTGGGACGTCAACATCACTACCTCAGGCTATGACCATCCGACTCCTCCAAGGCGTATTCGCTGGAGCTATCGGAGTTGGACGAGGAAACATAGCAACTATCACTGATCCTAGTAATGAAGGTCGTGCATACGCCATTCTCGGGTAAGTGATTGATATCTATATCTAAAAATAGCAGCGATAACGAATCGAGTCTATGTTAGTTTCGCTTGGGGGTTTGGAGGTGTAGCGGGCGCAATTGTAGGCGGTAGCTGTGAGTTCTGCTCATTTTATACGTGTAACCAACAGATTCACTGAACCATTTATCAAGTTGAGAACCCGGCAAAGAAGTGGCCAGGCATGTTTGCAGACGTCCCTTTGTTCGTCAAGTATCCGTACCTTTTGCCCACGGCTATTGCAGCATCAATAACATTCATTGGTGAGCTACAGTATATTATCCGAGGAAATATCTAATTTGTCGATTAGGCGCGATACTAAGTCTTTTTCTTGCTCCTGACGGAGGTCCCCGGGAGGGTGCTATTCGCCTTCCACCAGAAAAGGTTACAGCGCACGAGACTATCCCAGAGGAGCCTTCCACACCTGTGGAAGAATCTGCGGGTGCAGCAAAGTCGTTGAAGCAGCGCTTATCGAATAAGCTGTCTGGTTACTTCGCTAAGCGCGTCCGGGATGCACACGAAGTGTCTTCTCTGACGGAGGACAACAACAACACGCCAGTGCCGTTATCTCCGTCATTCAGACGTGGCAGTAACAATCGCTTTCGTACTCAGTCACGGACTTCGCGCACGGATGGTTCTGCATATGGATACGGTGCTGGGTACAGAAATAGACTGGCCAGTAACGTGAGCCAAAGTTTAGCGGGACGTCGGGGGAGTTTAGCAAGTACTATTGCTCGTCGACGTCAGAGCAACGCTATTGCTGGAGGGGCTTCAGGAAATGAGCAAGTACAGGAAGGCGGAGAACTCAACTTTGCTCAACGCCTTTTGATGGCTAACGAGCTCGCGGTGACGAATATTGCCGATCTCTGGGTGGCTGCTGCTATCAACGCGGACAATGAAGATGTGTTCCTGTCCGATTCTGAGGTCAATGATGAGGACGACGATCCATTCCAAGACGACGATGATGATGAAGAAGCACAGCCCCCTACTCTTGCGGCACGTTCTTCTTTGAATGTGCCCGCTCCGCGGACGCTTGGGCCTTCTTCACCTGGCCGAACGGGTCGAATGTCAACCATTCATCGACCTTCTGATGCTAGTGTCCTTCGTCTCGGTTCCCCTCGCCGTCCTTCGCATCGACAGTCTGTCGGCCAAGTTATCGGTGCTTCAGCTGGATCACCTAGGAAGGTATCTGGTTCTGTGCCCGCCATTTTCTCCCATACGGGTGTACGCACTCCTTCAATGCTTGAACATCAAGCCCCTCCGCCGCAACCCTTGCTTCCTCGTGAATCCGGTGATGTGGAAGCGGGTCTTGGTGATAGTCTCGTACCAATTTTGGAAGGCGAACGACAGACAACTTTTGCTCGACCCGACCAGCCAACCACCGACGAACCGCTAAACGTGATAACCGAGAAACAGCCATCTATTCTTTCTCAGTTGCCAGCTATGATAATATTCCAGTGAGTAGCTACCTGACCCATGACAACCGTGAGTTTCATGTATTTCATCATTTAGATATGGTCTGCTGGCGCTCCATTCGACCACACACGACCAGGTCTTCTTATCGTACTTAGTATCGTGAGCAGGATATACTTTCGTTATCATATTTACGTGGTCTTTATCAACTTTATTTTCTAGAAAATATCCTGCAGGTGGTCTGAACTTAAATGCGGGTCATTTTGCTCAGCTCAGTGAGGTTTTCCTTATCTCGTTGCGATTATTAGCTTTAAATACGGTATTAGTTGCATTAATGAGCCTCGCATCTATCGCATATCAGTTCTATCTCTATCCGTAAGTGTGTCTATATCTTTTTTCAATACATACTTAACACGATTTATACTGCTAGGAACATGGGGTATGCTTTCAACTTCAGTAACACCAGGTGGTAGTGCTTATGATGTGTTCTAGTCCGCCTCGTGGCCGATTCTCTCATCTCGCAATGTTCCGGATTGGTTCACTCCTTTACATTCCAGCGTATCTCACGGTTATCCTATATCGACCCTTGGCAAGTGCTGAAGACGACGGAAACTTCTTCCTTATGGCTGGTAAGCTTAAGATAAAGAGTCATTACACTCACAGACGATAACATTACCTCGTATATAGCTTTGGTATTTAGCACGTACGTCTAGAACCTGATTCGTTTCAGGGCACGACTGAATACTAATGCGGCGTATCTATGCAGTGCATTGCGTTATGCCGGGATAACGTTCACGTATACGGCGGTGGCAATACTATTGAACTATAGTATGTGGTCCTTCTCACGACTGCTTCACGTAACCTAACGTCTATGTTAGTGTCTCCGCCACATATCCTGGGCTACGCAAACGGTGTTGCGCAGAGCATCGTTAGTTTTGCCCGATTCTTGGGTCCTGTTCTCGGTGGATATGTAAGAGTTTTTTCTATCTTTTCCGGGATTTATTATTGATATCTATCGTAGCTGTGGTCCGTAAGTGTTGACGGGAACCCTTCTGGGTATCCCTTCGGTTTTATAGTCTGCGCTGGTGTCACCGCGGTTGCCATTGCCCTCAGCTTCTTTATACGCTAGTTTGAATTGCCTGCATTTTCTTTACCTCAACCCCTACATGTCTTTAGTTTCTCAGGTCAGCGCAATCATTCACTTCGATACGTAAGATTAGACAGCGAGTCGTGCGTGCTTAGAGTTTAACTATTTTATGTTCTTTATCACACTCTGTTATACCTCATCCTTTAACTTGCATGTAAATTGTAATAATCGCATCAATTCAGCATAGTTTTGACTTCTACTATTTTGGCACATGATCGGCGTTGATCGACGGAAGAAATTTGAAGCACCAAGTTCATCACCATCGCAGCATCTGTAAGATTTGGGCTTTAGCCGTCACCTTGCCTAACAATGGCGTTTCCACAGCCAGCTTCAAATGAAGAAAAGCTTAAAGAGCTTGACTCTGTTCCACTGTTCATGCGGTCTCTTCCCGGTCCGGACGAGATAGTTGACGACACTGCCATTAGTGCTCTTCAGAGCCTAGCTTACGAAGGGACGCCGGACGGTGGGTAAGAACGTCATTTCGCTGCCTTTGACGACTCTTTTAATCAAGTTATACCATTAGAAACTGCGCAGAACTTTAAGGAACAAGGCAATGGATATTACAAGGGCAAGCGCTATAAGGAGGCACTTGGTTTCTACAACCAAGGTGTCGATGCAAAACCCGATGACCAAAAACTCTTGGAAATGATTCTTTGTAACAGGGCTGCCTGTAATCTTGAGCTTCGTAAGCATATTTTTTCGGGCTTATCGAGCTGTATCTAAGAGAAGGGTTTAGAGAACTACAGATCAGTCCTTCGTGACTGCGGAGCAGCATTATCGTTGAACCCGAATTGCTCGAAGGCGTATTATCGTTCTGCACAGGCTCTCTTGGCACTTGAGCGACCGGACGAAGCTATTGATGCCTGCCAACGATGTCTAAGCTTCGATCCCAGCAACTCCGGAGTGAAATCGCTTCTTGACCGAGCGACAACGGTGAAAAGTGCGAAGGAAAGCAAGGAAAGTGCACGATTGGAAAGACTGAGGAAGGAAGCCGAGGAAAAATTTCGATTACGAAAGGCTTTCGAAGTAGGTACTCTGCTTTGAGTGTAAAATCATCGGCTGATGAGATGCTGCAACTTAGGAGCGAGGCTTAATCAACGTGCCAAATCCTTCGGGCTCATCCGACAGCGACCACAAACCATATTTTGAAGATGACAGCGCATCAGCTTCGTTGATATTACCTTCGTTCTTCCTATACCCTCAGTATGCACAGACTGACGTCGTGCCGAACTTTCACGAGGATACGATGTTCGGCGATCAGCTTTCAAGCATGTTCCCTCCGAATGCACCCGCTCCCAGCTGGGACGAGAAACACGAATATGTTGTCGGCAAGCTCTCTGTTTACGGTATCACGCGTACAAAGAGGCTCTTGAAAGTCGGTATGAAAATGACCCTTAGAGATTTGTTTAAAATCGCGAAGACGAAGGACGGGAAGCTTGACGGATTAGAGGTTCGCGACGGGTACTTGAGCTTTATCGTCGTGCCGAAGGGTGAGGCGGAGCAAACTTGGGTGAATGAATTTAAAAGTGGTCGAGACAAAGACGTTTAAGTAAGCAGTTCTGATAAAATACGAGCGAACAGATGTATTCATCCAGTTGTAACCATGTCTACATATATATTCTTTTGGAATCCTCGCTGCACATGGCATTACTTAGAAACGGCCCCTCGAAAGCTAATGGTGCCCACAGTCCCATATCACTCCTTCCCTCAGTCGTGTGACCATATGCGGAGCCTATCACATTTGTCGTTAACGACTTCGGAGGATCTCCGAATTGGACAACGGAGAAATCCCGAAAGCGACCGCTCTTATTTTATACCCAAGGACTGTTGAATGCTCTCCTCCCTCTGTACTCTTCCTACCCCCGACGACGTTCTGTTCTTCACTAGTACTGTCTGGTCCAGTAGGGTGCTGGTCCCACCCATTCGTTTTCTGCTCTACCTTAAAGGCTTTCCATTTGCTCATGGCAGGAACCATTTTGGAATTAATAGGGACAGGTATGCCGCAATTGCCATTGACAGAAGCAAATGGAGATTGAACCACTGGAATCGAAAGCTACCAACGGAACCAACCCAGAGACAAAACAGGTTGTACAAGCGAATGCCGCTGCACGTATAGCTTGGCTCGTACTAAACATCTGGCCCTCGCATCTTGGTCTGCCGCTTTTAATTGGTACGATTTTCCTGGCGAAGAATATCAAGCGACATGCTACGTTTATCAACCTTTGCGTAACCTGGATCATCGTTGGAGTATCGTCCTCATTGCTGTGAGTTTTTTAAAAATTGAAAGCCGAATTTCTGGGCCTCGAGCTCACTGTTCAACAACACCCTATTGCAGCTTATATGCGGGTCATCAGACGGGTCCGGAACCTCCGAGAACGCTGTGCCTAATCCAAGCTTCCCTTCTCTACGGTCAACCAGGCTTGTAAGTCGCCTATGTTATTCAAAGTCACTCGGTGCTGTTTACTTGACGAATGGTGAAAGAACTTCGGTGTCCGCTTTCGCACTCGTTTTCCAAGTATTTTACGTGATTCGTGCTGCTTTCCACGAGAAAGACCCAGAGTACCGTGAAACGCTGCGTAAATGGATTGTATGTTCGATTAATTATTTGTTGGATCTTGGGAAACACTGACTATGGAGTAGCTTCTCGTGGCACCGTACATCGCATTCCTATCTTTTGCGACTTGGACTGTCTTTGTATGTATTAATCTATTTCTGTGTTGCACCCTCTAATAACGTCGATCAGGTGGGCTTTGCGAACCCCAATCTTGTGAGCCGTGAACGAAGGTTCTTCTATTGTTCTGTCAAGGATTCGTCACTGTACGAGTTTGATGATCTCTGCATCAGCAATTTTTTTGAACTTGATAACGCAGGACAAACTCAATAACTGCCTTCTCTCTGGGAGTGCTAACTTTGACTGTATGCCTTGAGAGTGAGTTTAGTTCCCAGTGTACTTACGACGGAGTCAAGCTGATGCTCATACAAGTATGGATCGCATACATAATTTTTTCGCACTGGCGTGTGATTCGTGCCAACGACCTGGGCCCGAGGACAGGTGTGGACTTGAATCTGATCTGCCGGATCGCAGCGTTTAGTCTATGGATCTTCCTTGGCATGGGGTGAGATAGCTTTCAAGAGGAAAAGGTGTCTTGTTCATTTAATTCTCTTCTTTAGGCTGAGTGCTTTGTCTATCAAAGCCCCTCGGAGTCCGGTACCCGATATGGCTTTGGCAACGAGTGAGTTCATTCTTTTTGCCTTCTGTATCTTCCCTTTGCTGATTCTTCCTGACCCTTAGTGGGGACTGCGGTCGTCCTTGTGTTCGGCACCCAACGCGACATCTTGCGTGCATGGATGTGTTGCAGGTGGCGAAGGAAAGGCGGGAATGACGGTGGGAATGGTGGTGCTGGTGCTCGCAGGTCGTCGATATCGTCATTCGGTAGAACCGATTCACCTGCGTCGGACCACTCTGTCAAACGGGCAGATCTGTCTCCTTTGAGCTGGAACAGCAAACATGAAATACCAATCCAGTTCGAACCACAGCCACCAATCATCCATCCTCCTCCGGCTTATGAGCGCAAGACTAAGGTGGGGCTGTCGACTCGAGACATCTCCCAACCAATACTGCGGGAGGATCTAACGTTCCCAGTTTACGGTCAGGCTATCTGATTCCGGAGAGGTACGGAACTTTTTGTGGTACCACAACTTAGTATAATTGTATCTCGCTGGCATTGCCATGCCTACATATATACCGACTTGGCAAATCGTAAGGACTTCGGTCCAAATTTATATCTCATGTATTTTCTTCAAGTTTTATGTAGTTATGCAATATCCAAGTGTAGCAGTATGATCCGCGTCGATTACGTTACTTCCTGTTCCGTTCGTTACGATTTTCGCCAGCACAAGAAAGTGTGTTCTTCCCAATTTCCAGTATGGCGGTGAGCGTGTCCTGTACATACCTGACATACCAAAGAGCTTATTTAAACTTGCCATGACTCCAGTCACGTACAATGGCTTCTCTTCGCGCACTTTCAAGGCGGAGGGTACAATCATCGTAAGAATGTTAGCCGCGCACTGGTTCTCTGTTCTAAGTGTCCGTTCCAGCTTCCCTTCAAGTCTTGTCGTCTGCCGGAGCCTTGCAACTGCCACCTCCGGAACGAGCACCTCGGAAGCTGCAGCTCCTCCTCCGGCTGGGCCCTCAGATCCCAAAATATCAAAAATAGTCGATGACATTGCGGGACTGACCCTTCTTCAGGCGGCGAACTTGGTTTCTTCGTTGAAGGTGCGTTCCTATACAGAATCGAGACGTCAAAACCCATACTTAGTTGCATTTTAGTCAAGACTGAACATACAGGAGATTGCTATGCCGGCCGCTTCTGCCGCACCCGTAGCCGCCGCTCCTGAAGCCTCAGAAGAGGCGCCAGCTGAGGTGAGCCTGTTTTCCTCTGCTACTATTTTTATGTGTATTAAAACATGTATACAGGAGAAGCCGAAGGAGAAGACCATTTTCAATGTCAAGCTTGAATCCTTCGACGCCTCTGCAAAGCCGAAGATGATTCGCGAGGTTAAGGCCTTGAACCCAACTTTTACTCTCGTTGCCGTGCGTTTCTCTTTTTTCTATGCCCAATCCGAAGTGCTTATGAACTTAATAACGTTCTTCATTAGGCCAAAAACTTTGTAGAATCATTACCCAAGGTCCTAAAAGAGAACCTGCCTAAAGAAGAAGCAGAGAAGATGAAGAAAGCGTTCGAGGCATTAGGCGGAGTAGTTTCTTTAGAGTAGATGTCTCCATATACGGCGCTTTGATTACAAGTACTTCATATTCACCTTACTCCCAATGCACACTTTGATCCGAGTAGTGCCTAATGGTACCTTGGTCTGCATCAAAAAAAGAAAGAGGCCTTGTTCATACATAACATGCGAAAGAATAGACAATGAGACTTGGCTGATGCAAAGCGCCGTAAAACCTCACAGGGAATTCACGGCACTGATAATGAAGGGATAATGGACTGTTCAATCTTCAGACAGGTATCTGTACTCAAATCGGAAATCACTCTTCTTCCTTTGACACCATGAGCCTTCCCAATCGAAGTATACGTATACCCCTTGTTCATATTCATCGGTGATTGCCTGTGGCTCTGAATGCCTCTGGAACCAAGTCAGATACTTGACGTGGAATCGCCAGGATTGACGTTTGAGCTCCTTTGCAGCAAGGAACCTAAGCGAAATAGATTGTTTATTAATACAGCCTGCTAATTCCCAAAGTAAATTTCACTTACTGTTGATATGTCCCAGGAAGATAGTAGAAGACATAGAAGAGTGTTTCTATATCCAGATTCTGGAACAGTGTTGGAGAGCTTAGCACTGGATGAGGCGACTGAGGATAGTACGGCGGAGTGGGGAACGGGTTCTTGGGAATGTAGTACTTTGGCCTGGCCATAGGTGAGATACACTCGCACACTGAAATGGAGAAAATACATACTTTTCTGTGTCCATTGGCTGAGGCATACCCTGATAACTACCGTCAAGTAGCTTGTGTACCTGGTCCAAATTAGTCATGCGGTGCGGAGCTGCTTAGACCGAAAGCACATGAGTAATTGAAGTACACAATAAGAGCAACCTCACCTTTCTGCTTGACATTCTCAAACGATGCTACGAGATCGGACAGAGAACCAGGGAATGCTGAAGGTGTCCCGCGATGTTGTTGTTGTTGCAATTGTGCACCGAACGATTGTTGCTGCTGCACCGACGGAGAGGTTGAAGCTATCCGTTGTGGTACAGGCATTCCCGGAGCAGGTGCAGCTAGCCCTTGGCCCTGTTCTACCTTGACGCCTGGAGCGAAAGCGGGAGCTTGCGCTGAAGTGGGTTGTGGAGACGTTGAAGATCCTGGGGCCAAAGGTTTGTTGAACTGCTGCAATTGTTGCGGTAATGGTGAGGCAGCAGGTAACTGCTGTTGAGATGTCGTGGCAGCTAGAGTTTGCGGCTCCGATTGGGCATTTTGCTGAACTGTAGCCGTTGGTTGTATTTCGCTCGGTACAACACCCTGCTATTGTGTATCATTAAAATTATGTTCCTTCCACTAGAAGCGTAAATGCACTAACATCTGGTAAGGGTGAAGGAACGGAATTCGAAGGTTGTATCGGGGCTATAAACGAAGTAAGCTTCGTAAACAACCAGGAAGATCAATCTTTGTACCAGTCGCTTGTTCCGACCTCTTTGGAGAGGATTGAGAAACCTCAGGTGAAGCTACAGCCTCAGAGATGGCAGGCGAATGCGTAGGTGAGTGAACCGAACTATCTGCTGCAAGGCCCGATACAGACGCAGACGACATCATGGGACTCGGTCCAGACACCGACGCTTGCGTCAGGCTAGGCGAGGATGATGCTGTATCATGTAAACTCTGTTGTGCAGTAGAGGAAGGCACTTGTCCATTGCTTGATGTGGCTACAGAAGGGGCAGAAGGTCCTACAGCTCCTGTTGTTTGCGCTGTGGGCGCTCCTGAAGACCCTGAAGACCCGCCTCCAACAGCGGCGGCAGCGGCAGTTGCATACCGTACTGGCAGTGTTACTGGTGGCCGAGAAGGTAAGCCGTTCTTTACCACGCTGGACATGGGTTGAGAAGAGGCAGATATTGGCGGCGGTGGTTTTGGTGCTGGTAAATGGTTTCAGCAAATGTAGCAAGCAATCCTTCGTGCAAATCACCTTCAGTAGTTGATGTTTCTACGGTTATGTTGTAGTCAGCATAACTGATTAATCGGGTCACGAGAAATGGGCAACTTACTCCGTATGTTCATAGCAATACCGGCCCTTCTCTGAACAGGGCTATGTTCTTCCCGTTTATGGTTGGTTGGTGAATCGTCATCTACTTTCTTCGAAGGTGTCCGGGGAGGTATGTCTGAAAATGCAACAGCATTATCGGATTGAGGCCGCGAAATTGCGAGCGCGTCGTTCGCACCTTCACTTTCGTCTTCTGATTCACCGTTACTTTCTCCTTCATCAGCAACCAAACCGAACTTCTCTTCCTCTTCGTCCAGATTAAGGTCGTCATATATACTGTCAAAATCTCCGCAATTATCCTCCTGTATCTGAGAGTATGAGTAAATTCACGTAATATATTAGACATAGACGAACATTATTGTTTTCAACAAAGTCTTCCACATCCTCCTTAAACTCCTGAACCGTTTCAACTGCGAGTGAGCCATTGTCCAGTAACCGTAATATAATCTCCAATCGGCTTATATGCCACTTTCGACGGTCGTTAAGGTGTTCTAAGGCTTCTAAACGGCTATTGGCGTTACCAGACCGCTTCTTCTTTCCACCTCCTTGTAATGTTTCGATCTCTGCTTCGGCTTGCTCGACCTTCAATAACAGTTCTTCGACCTGAGTCTGTAACCATTGCGTTATTTCGAGCTTCTCCTGTGCTTTGGGGTCCAGCTTCGATGCTTGAATGAGACCCTCCTTCGAGAACGCCTTGGTCTTCATTTCCTTCTCACAAGCCTTGAACCTTTCCATTTGCTGCAAATATGCGCGAAACGACGTGCTCGTCAGTTCTCCAATGATTAAAAAAAGTTCCAAGTAAAAGAAAAGGCGGAAGGAGGGCGTACCGTCTCAATGATCTTGCGATTCTCCAGTAAGTGCGACTTGTCCTTGATGTCGCTGCTAGCAACCCAAGTCTTGATCTGGTCCCTAAGGCGTTGAAGCTTCTTAATCTGCGTCTTCAAGTCTGCCTCCAGCTTCTCCTTCTGGGTCAAGTTTGTCGACTGTTCCATTTTCTTGTAGGTATTGTCGAAGGCCTCAACGCCTTCGGTAACCCTCTTGAGTACTCGATCAATTTCGGCTGAGGCACAAGGGGGCGGCGAAGGTACGTCAGGGCACATAAAGAGCGCGAACACAAAGGAATACTGACCTTGTAGCTTTCGCGCTGCCATGGCGGATGCAGCTGGCGAAGGAGAACGACAATAATAGGCAGGTTGTCGAAGATGTTTGGCGAATGGCTTCAAGCAAGAATGGCGACGGACGTGACTTCCCCATGATTACATAACAGATAATGCACGTGACTTATGTAACGTCCATCACGCGTACGTCCACAGCCGAAGCAACGGCCCGTGTCGGGATGCGGCCGGTTGGGAACCGCGATAATATCTCTGAGTCTGAGTTTGAGCTGTGTTCTCTCAGTCCTAGTTTCTCTCCATTCCTGCTCTTCTCTGGCGTTCACGATCTCTTCACGATTTCTGCTCTCTTTCTCTTTCTGTTTCTCTGACTACTAGTAGTACGGCCGTCATGGACTTTCTGCGCAGGTCTATTCACGGTGGCAAGGATGGTCCGCACATGCCTCTCATCTCGACGCCGATCCCCGCTGTGTCAAAACCGACATCTGCCATCCAGCCTCCCAAGAAAGTCATCCGCGCCCTGGATGATCACAGACCACCACATCCACTCAACGAACTCAGCTTTTCGAAAGGCGACTTCTTCTATGTCATTAACGAGATTGACCAGGGCCCTGGCTGGTACGAGGCAAACAACCCTATGACCGGTGCCCGAGGACTTGTCCCCAGGTCAAAGTTCGAGGTCTTCAACAAATCCAACGCTGCGTGAGTCTTCTCGGTCCTTTTCCCGTTCCATATCCACTCTGCGCTTCCTCTCTTTGTCGCTTCTGTTGCAACCCTATGAAATGCCCGGGAATATTGCCGTATCCTTCGTCAGGTGGCAGGGTTGCAAAGGTCATTCGTGGCGGTCCTTCGTTCTGCCATGTAGCGTAAATAGGCTTTCAGATTACCTTTTGTTCTTTCTGTGTGGAATATAGCAATTGTTTCTGACATGAATATTGTTTTTCTGCATAGTCTCCAAATGGCACAAGCCGCTGGCCGGTCGCCCTTTCCCAAATCTCCCGGACTGACATCTCCACCGCCAACGTCTCCGCGTCCACCCGTATTTCACGCGATTGTCCAGCATGATTTCCTCGCAGAACGTGCGGACGAGCTGGACGCCAAGGCTGGAGATCACATATCCGTTGTCGCGCAATCCAACTTCGAGTGGTTTGTTGCAAAGCCGATCAGTCGCCTGGGAAGGCCTGGTCTCATCCCGGTCTCTTTCGTGGCTGTCTCTGACCCAGCTACTGGCAGAGCGATGACAGAGTCCGAGGTAACTTCGCTTATGGAGAGTGGCGAAGTACCGGGTGTGGAAGATTGGAAAAAATCGATTCTTGAATACAAAGCAACCAGCATTTCTCTAGGCACGCTGGATGACGATTTTACTCGTGGATCCGTAGCCAACAGCCCTTATGTACCTCCGCAACCTCAGCAAACGAAGCCACTCGAAACGATTCCTGAACCGGAACCAGAACCTCAGAGAACAAAAACCCCTGTTCTTCCTCTGTCTCGTGGGATCATCCTATCGGGAGAAGTACTCTCATGGCACTTCGAGATGGACGAGTACTGGTTCCGAATCCACGCACTCTTCCAACCGGATGGCGATCCGGGCTCTAATCGTCTTCCTCCGGCAAAGCAGCTCCTTCTGTTCAGGGCTTACAATGATTTCTACGACTTACAAGTAAACTTATTGGAAAAGTTCCCTCTGGAAGCCGGGAGGGTTGCATCGGGGAGTGGCGAAGAGCCGAAACGAATCTTGCCTTATATGCCTGGTCCATCTCAGCATGTTGACGACAAAGTCACTCAGTTGCGCAAGGATGAGCTTGACCAATATCTATTCCAATTATGTGCGCTTTGGGAAGTTGGTGGCGAACACGTCCTTCGTTCTCGGCTGGTTTTGGACTTTTTCACACCCAGAACGGGAGACAACGAGGAGGATGTAGAGCCGGCTTACAGAATTCTTGAGGAACGTGCACCAGCACAGCGATATGCAACAGGCCAAGAGGATATAGACCAGATGAAAGAATCTTTCTTGCGCATGAATATGCAGGAATCTGGAAACAGATACAGTGACGGGTCAAATTACGACGAACGAGGATATGCGAGTTCCTCCAAAGGCGTGAACGGCATGGCCTCCCGACGTCGATCCGGAACGACGTCACCTACTTCAGAACGTATGCGTTATCGCCAAAACGATCAGCAGGATACGGCATACCCTCGGGATTATTCTCCGTATCCGACTAATCACAAGTACACCGGGTCAAGTGCATCAGCTTTATCACGGTCAACATCAACTCGTCGTAACGAGTACGAGGAGCCTGTCGCAATAAATGGTCTGGGAAACATTGAAGCTAGCAGCCCTCAATCCTATGCATCAGGTCAGGCACAACCACTCAGTGCGGCACCCAGTACTGGTTCCGCGGTGAGTCGGGCTCGCTCAGGTTCAAATGCATTGAACAGCCCGCCGATATCCGCGAACAATCCAAATACTGCTTTCATCAAGATAAAAATCTTTGATCGTCTCACGCAGGACCTCATTGCTATCCGCGTGAGTCCACGCGTGACGCACGACCAACTTATGGACAAAGTTCGCCTACGATTAGGCGACGATGTACATCACCTTGCGTACCGCAACAGTATCAGCAACACATTTGTAGGTCTCAACGACGATGTATCCCTGAAAGAATGGCTGGAAGGGACAGATAAGCATACGTTATATGCGGACTGATGGAATGTATATAGTTCTTCAGGCACAAGAAGTTGTAATGGAACGGCTGGTCTGGATTGGATGTATGCTGTGTTGGGTTTATTGGACAGAGAATTATGTCTTTCTATACTTTATTCGTTATTCATGCTTCTGTACTTTCGCCAATCAGGCCTTAGTCTATTCCTACTGGGTTGTTTTTCATATTATGTATTTGACTCAAGCTCTTGGCTTATGAATCACGAAATCTCGTATCTCTTTACTGCAATAGAATGTAATGTTTTATGGCGACTTGTTGCTTCCTGAATGATCATCATTATGTGGCAAAATGGATGAGCTTTCTGCAGTCCATCGTGGTATTCTGTATGTACAACATAACTATACACATCCGAAAACAACTCTGCGTAAAGGCGTTATCTCCAAGAAGGGTTGATCAAAAGGTGTCATCTACGGGGCCTTTTTTGTTTTGTGCATGTCGTAAAAGCAATATGAAAGTCTAGGTGATGCAGGTTTTGTTCAAAAGAATACAACTGAAAATAAAGGACTATAAGACGTTTGCATGTTTTATTCGAAAAAAGAGAACTTACCAACTATCCACAAGAATGTGAAAGAACATGGGAAATCACGACCAGAAGAAAAGACGTTTGATAACACCCGCATCTCTGGAATGACCGGAATGATCGAGATGGGGAGGTAGTGGAGTGGAATACATATCCCCATCACTCTCAGGGGGCGGCCCTAGACGATCTTGTTGCAACTAAACAAACAAAGCAAGGTCAGAAACAGACGGATAGAAAAGATGGATGATCTCAACGTACGTCGTAATCCATATTGGGAACATCAAAGAGTTGTCCGATCTGAGCATTTTCGGAGAAGTTATACCCATCAGGCCCTCGGCACTGATCCTGCAGCTCCGTCGTTGTGCTTATGAACTTGCCAATCATATTGAATTTCGCCCAGTGGATTTTAGAGGGGTCGTCGGGTTTGAAGTCAGGGTTTCCCTCGTGCGCTCGTCGGAGGTCAGATGTATGCACTTCCCTGTACAGAAATTGTTAGTTGCACGAATTCGTAGTCGTCCATCAAATGCAATACGTACAGACAAGGGATGCACGGTCCCTTAGTATTTCGTAGTGCGAGACGGTAAGATTGATGGGCACCAGCAGTCCGCATCAGTATGTCAGAACTGAGATACTTTTTATGTAAGTCAATCTTGGTCTTGAAAATCTCCATGACCTCGTCGTTAGGGTATGTCGACTGAGTAATTGCCGTAATGATGGCTCGTAATCCAGAATAGTTGTTCATGTTGCGCAGTCTCACAGCCACCTCGGCGAGCTTCTCGACGACTTTAGCCCGTTTATTGGCCTTGTCGTGACAAAGAATCATGGACGCCGCCCTGTGGTCGAATAACGTAAGTCCCAATGTGACCGCGACGCCGATCACCAGATCGAACGGAGTAAGAAACTTACCAATCATGTAGATCATTATAGGAAGCATTGAATCGCGCTATTCGATCGGAATTTGGGTCCTTCTTCCCAGACACGAGAGTATGCCGAAGCCAGTCTCGAGGTTCTATTTTCATGTAAAGCTCCAGCTCCTGTCTTGTGATTTCTTTTGCAATGTCATCCGAATCGAAATGCAGCAAATTGTTGGAGGCTTTCACAAGCCGTGACATATTGTCCCTTCCTGGTGTATTGGTTCCACTGGGGCCTGGAGCACGAACGCTTCCTTGTAGGGTACCTTGTAGGAAGTTCTTAGCAGATAGGGGGATGCTTGACTTTCGCTCCCGTGTTGATGGTCGTGTGGCATGTTCTGATTTCTCGACTGCACTCGGAGGCTGTGAGGACGCCTGTGGTACCTCGTAGGCAAAATCGCTATCGTAGTTGCTATCCTCGTCACTTTCATCGATAGACGTTTCTGCTTTCACAGCCCACGCACTATCTAGGTCTTGAAGAGTGTGCAAAGATTCGAGGAAGGGAAGAAAATCCGTGCCGTAGTAAAGTGTATGTGGCTGCTTGAGGATCTGCCTAATGAGCGCGTTGAGTGCTCCCGCTGTACCAGGAACTGCAAAATCAGAACGATATTTTTGTATCCAGTCTTCAAGGAGGTTGCAGACCCTGGAGGAGGAGGTGGAGACAATCAGTGAAGATTAAGTCATGTCAGCGACGTTTACTTACCGCATCTGCGCAAACGCTGCGAGGGTGAAATCTGTCGTTGGTTGGTTTAATTCGATCATCCGCTTCTGCATAGCCAAAAGGATGCGACGTGGAGTGGTGAATCGCCGATAAGTCAAAAAGAAGTGAGAAATGAATGACGGATCTGTCGAGGAACAATAAGTATATAATAAATATACAAAGCAAAGGGTAACAGACCGTCTCCGCTGATAGCCAAGAAGAATAGCTTCTCTAGAAGTTCGTCTAAGGTTGACCAAGGTGATGCTGGTCTGCAGGTATTAGTTTGTCAGCTAACCGTGGACAATCATTCGCTGCATGGAGTTGGCTTACTCCTGCTTCGTGTCTTTCTTAAACGGATTAACTGGTTCAAAATCCGTATGTTGACTTCCATCACGAGACGATTTGACACTCTCATTGCTCTTATTAGACGTGCGCGCAAGGTCGACAATACTCTTCGACCTGTTGAGCTCTGGTCCGGACTCGTTCCCTTGCCTAGCCGCATCTGGACCTTTCTTCTGCCCGGAGATCATGTTCATGTCTCCCATCGAGCGCGCTCGAGTAGGCGATGCAGGTGACAACGGAGATCGGCTTTGGAATGCATTTAGTGGGTTGGGTGAAGCACTCGCAGAGCCTGCAGGGGGTGTCATAGGAAGCGCTGTTGCAGCAGCCAGGGATGTTATACTCGGATAGGAGGGAGGCTGAGGGAGGGGGACTGATGGAGGAGGGTGTTGTCGCATTGCTTCACTTGCAGAATGGCTGGGCGCGAGTGCCGGAGAGGGTGCAGCTGCGGTGGTCGGGGTACTCGTTCTTGCACTAAGGGCGCCATTGCTCGCGTTGTTCGTGGTCGAAGATAAAGATTCTGAAACCGAGGGAGCGTTGTACAACACCGGTGAACAAGGATTTTTCTGAGGAAGAACATCCCCGCCTTATTTGTTGTCAGCTAAATAAGAGGGAGAGCCGTGTGAGAGGAGCTTACATCTTCTTCTAATGACGCCCCGAAGAAGTACCCCAACACACCGTCTTGCTTTATCCCTTCCCGATTCGTTGCTGGATATCTCAACTATGCCTCCTTCATAAAGGTTGACAATTTTGATGGCATCCGAGGGGTTTATTTGTCGGTCGAGGTCAGACTTGCAGGCCAGAACAATGTACGGGACTTCATTGTTGTAATAGTTACCTGTTGCAAGTTGATTAGAATCGTCTGTATTAAACGATTGATGTATGAGCTTACGAATGAGTTCTTCCGTGTGAATGAAGGACGACCGATCTGAGGCATCATACAAGACGAACGCGCCGTCAATCCTAGGCAGGACCGCCGGCCACACATCGCCGTGTAACTCGCTATCAGCATACTCAAGTTCCTGAACGGATATCTCGATCAAGGTCAAGTAGTAATCACGGCCTTCATGAGCTTGCATGTATACTTTCTGAGTAATGTCTGAAAAGGAGGAATAGGATATAAGCAATGATGTCGATGAGGAGGAAATGCTTGATTAGAAAGAACGTGTAACATACAGTTGATAACTCTGCTTCCGTTTTTGCCTTCCGCCCGTACGGAATGTTGTGCGGGTTTGGTAACTAGCGAGTTTCTCCATCCTCTGCGGATGAAAGCCGACTTCCCACAGTTTCGTGAACCGATAACAGCCAAGGTCATTAAGATAGCATCCCTCTTCAAAACAAATCTATCAATGATGGAAAGGAGACATCACAAAAAGTATGGCGCACCGGTGGACGCTCAGTATCAATGTGCAAAGGCAATGAAGGTTTCGCTTTGTTTGTAATGGAATCGTCAGATTGCGTACCGACACTGAACGATCGACCACGTCTTGTAGCTTCGAGCGGTGTTGGTGCCGAAGCCTTCGCGCGTAGTTGGGGGGAACGCTCGTGTACAGGAGTCGCGTGAGTTATAGTTGTGTTCAATTTTGTGAGATTAGGACCGGGCATAACCGCTGGCACTTTTCGCGGTCGGGAGCCCTGTAATTGTGATGATGCCCTCGAGACGGGCATTGACCCGGAACGCTTTGGTGTTGTCAGACGACTGCGCATGCTTAATGCTTTAGTCATTACCTTGCCGCCCTCTGGGCGACCCTGCTCAAACTCAGAGTCCTCGTATGGTGAGCTTTCAACTTCGTCTTCTGATATGTTCGCATATCCTGGACCGCCCTGGCGGGACCGCCGCTTAACTTGTTGAGCGAATGTTCGCAACGCAGGGGCACCAGCATTCCTCGGGGGCACAGGGGGTGGGGGTTCTGACGATAAGCGTACCGAAATCTGCTCACTTTGCAACCGCTGCATTTTAGGATCTAGGGACTGAAGGCGGGAATGGCTCTTGGACGTGCCGACGATACGCGGTGGTTCATTAGCATCGTCGCGCTGGTGCTGCTGTTCCCTCACGAACGAATCAACAGAAAGCGATTTTGGTAGGCTGCGCATGGATGGTGATTGTGGTGCGGTGGGAGTCTGTGTAGAGCTCTGTCCGTCGACCAACGGAGTGTCGGCGGCGTTCGCGGGGAGCAAAGGAGACGAGCACGCAGTTGTAAACGACTCTACAGAAAGCTGGCCGGAACTGAGGAGGGCATCATCATTCTCGGAGGCACGCAGCGTGATGTTGTTATCATCAAGATTGTTGAGCGAAGACTGGAAGTTCGACCGCGGAATTTCGAGAGGAGGGAGAGTCGGGATGGACGGGAGTCGATGGTTTCCCGACCCGGGACGTGACGGTGACGGGCCGAGGTGTTCAGGCATTGGAGGACATAAAGACGCAAGGGGGACAAGAAATCAAGCGAAATGATAGCGAAGTGGGAGGAGGGAGACGCGGGGTAATCTCGCAAGGTTGGGACGGGCAGCGAGGAGGGCTGCAAAGGAGGCAAGAACAGACGGGCTCAAACCGGCTGTGCAAACAAACTACATGTACTGCAAGCCGACCGCTTCGGACAGCCTCCCCGTTTATTATTTCTTTACTAGTCACCAGCTTATGCCGCATCCTGTTAGCCTCTCTCTTCGCGTTGTATTTCTCCTTAACTTAACCGTACTAATGGCTGCCGAACAGTCATATTGTAAATTTATAAATTCCAGTCCATTTCCTGCGGTTCACCGCATCTACCCTCTCTCTCATCCCCACTCCATCTCCGTTCTCATATAGCTATACGTATGCAAGCAGACTTCTATCCTCGGTGAAACGGGCACAGCAACTAAATCTCACACATATCTTTGGACGTGCTCATCCCGTCTCTAAATACTAAAATAGTGCTGAATAAAACATTAGTGAACACTCCACCTGACTGAACAACGAGACGATCCACTCCGTGATGCCCATGCATATGCTTTATTCAGATCATTGTATTTATCTGTAATGCGAATACCAGGATCGGTGCTCGATTGCTCCGGTCCAAGCATTATTGTTCAAAGGCTACTAGGCAATGTTTACTCAATCTGTTATGACCATTAGTCCGGTTTTGGACACCGGCGGCTTCAGGAGCACCACTCTCTAAGTATCCACAATACCACTTTCCGCTCGCACGAGCTTTTATACCTTAAGCCATTCTTGTTTTCACACCTCTGCATCTTCAAATCAAACTTCGAGTTCCTGATGATCAGTCTAAGTAACTTCTTCCGGATCGTGCTTCTCCCTGGGCGCTTGATAGGCCCCTCTCACTAAAGCTTATGCTGTGGAATGTGAAGTGTGTGGACTAGAATTCCTGTCTCGGATTTTCCATATCCCTCTCTCTGTTTCACCGGCGCCGGTAATATCTCTTGGTATATGTTGTGTTACTACAACTGTGCACAAAATTGGAATACATCCGCTATTCCAGTAGCTACAACCTAGGGGTGCAAAACGTGGGTTACCACGTGGATCATGCGTGTATAAATGTAAGTTGGAGGGGACGTCAGGGTGCGTAATGTTGATTGGATGAGTCTGTATGCACTCAAATCGTAAAGACGTTTGAGCTCAATGTATAAATGAAGTGAGGAAATGAAAATGAAGGGAGAAGACAATAAGTAAAATCAACTAAAGGTAAAATACACCAGAAGAAGCCAAGAATGAAGCCAAGATGTGACGGATGAGTGGGGAGTGATCGTAAGTGGCATGAACATCGGGTAAACCGTCTGTATTCCATTTCCCAAGAAGCACTGCGAGCCCAGGCCGCAGTCGGGCTAATTGTCGAACAACAGACAGGATATTTAGCAGGAACGGAGGAGGGCTTTTGCGCGGCCAGCGTTAATTTTATCGACCTGTGCGATTGTAAATCAGCAAGGAAAAGCGCTGTACAGTTGTATGCGAAACTCACAAGAAGGTTGGCAGTCTTATAAGTCGAACTGTACATGTGATTTATTCCGTTCTCCTCGAGCACACGCGAGAAACGGTTGACCAGTCCATATTTGTCTGTAGGTGTTTCAATTAATCAAAGTGAAGCAAAGCTCAATCAAATAGGCGTACCGAGACCAAATTTCTGTAAATCGATCTGTAGGCATTTCATCGTTCCAGGCGCAGGTTCGTCTTCGTCAAGCGAATCGCTCCCTTCTAGGTTAAAGACCCTCTGTTTGTCACCTACACCAAATTGCTGCTCGGCAGCTCCACATGCGTTAAGGTCATCGCCCACTTCGAGTAATGTCCCAGAGCATATAACCATGTGACGGTCATCAAGTCCGAATAGCGAAGATAGTACGCAAATGTCAGTTGTGAGTGATGATCCCTCAGCGGTACGCGTGAACGAGAAGAAAGGTACACGTAGGGCCTTATTTCTGGTTGATCTGCTTGCACGAAAGGCGTCCCTGAGTTCAGCCGAAGGCACGTTAGATGGAAGAGGACCAGCGGTTGTTGATATCTTGTTCAGATGCGGACGTTCGATTTTTTGAAGCTCGTCCAGATGCTCTGGGAGAGACCGCGCGGATGACTGTGAGGTTGTACTGGCGAGCGACGGAGTCGAGTCCAAATCAATTCTCGTCCTGTTATAAGGGGAAGAAGACGAGAAGTACTCTTCGTCATCGCTACTTGAGCACGATGACAAGCTGTCGTGGCAGAATGGCTTTGGGCTTGATGATAGTCTAAGGAATTTTGGTTCTTCTTCCAAACGCTTCCCTCCTGCTTCTAAATCTTCCTCATCATGACTAAACACGGCGCTAGGTGAGAGAGGACCAGCGATTGGACTGGAGCATCTATCGTGAGGTGCGACATCGGAATGCGACCCGTACAGAGAATCGGTCAATGAATTTCGTCGCATATCATGCCATGTCTGAGCCTGCATGCCAGGTAAGGGGATAAGTTCAGGGTATCCAACCAGTGTAAGAATTTTAAGTGTCCAGAAATCAGCTGCACTTTCGTTGAGCCCGACGCAAGCGAGATCGGGAGCGAGGACTTCGACAGGAGCAGCCGTGGGGCTCATCGACTTTTTTGGAGTGCGCGAAGCACGAGAGGTTACTGAAGAGCTAATAGGAGAATCGTCTGTCTTCGGATCGTGCGTCATCGATGTGTACGATGAACATCCTTCAATTGTGCCTGACTTCGAGATAACCTTCGAGAGCACAGCGATGGACGCGACAGACGGGCTTCGAGTGCGTGATAAGACAGCCGGGGACATGGCTCCTGGCGATCCCGGCTGACTTAATGAAAAGCTGTTCATCTCATCTTGGAGATGCGCGAATTGTTTGTCGCCGTCGCCAAACCTTTCACGCACGCTTTGCGGTAAGTTTGAAGATAGTTCCTGGTATGGGTTTGCATTGTACAACGTGAATCCACTATCGCCTAGAAGATTGAGAACCTCGGGTAATCGTGAAGCCTTCACGAAGATAAAGTCACTCAGATACGAGGACTGATAAAGAATTGAAATGCCAGCTGCAGCAAGAGGTGCAGAGAGCTCCCGTACGCGGTTACCGGAATCACCTGTTTCAGAATGCGAAGACTTAATGTAAGCAAGCGTAACAAAGGCTATCACCGCGCCAATTCCAGTAAGCGCTTCGGCACGCTTCCCAGAAGGCATACAGCACAATGGAGGCACGTACTGTGGCTGTCGTCGTGTGAGTCAATTTGCAGCACCTTCCACCTCTCGAAGGAGATCTCGACGGGTTCCGGGACGTCGAGCAAACGGGTCGAGCGTTTGCGACGGCGGCTGGCTGAACTGGACGCAGAATCCGCCCTGTCTAAAAGACGTTGCTTTTGACGGTCTTTACGTGCTATTGGCTCGAAGTCGCTCAGCTCGTCCTCCTCTGCGAAAATGCTGAGCTCTATCTCGTTAGCGGTGAGGTTGAGAAACTTTGGGTTTTTGCGAAGGAGTTGCTTGAGGATAGGACGGTTGAGCTCCACAAGGCGGGAGCGGGGTATATGCACAAGGGAGAGAGTGACGTCAAGGATAGTGATAGTCGTGGCATTATGGCTCTCAAGGTCCATTGACGATGGGGCAAGCGAAGAGGAGGTACTCAGACGTAGGGAGACACGTCGAGGGATAGGTCGAGTGAGAGTAGGGAGAGAGCGAGACAAGGCAGAGAGGGAAATACAGTGCTAAAAGCGTGCTAAAATTGTACGGCATTTGCGCAAGGCAAGGGATTTGCCCAGCTGATGACTCGAACCTTATTCACGAAACCTTGTATAAATCGAGTAAGTCGGTCCGAGGAGCTCATCAGCCCTGCAAAATCGTTACTGTATTGAACATGCCAGGCAGGATGAAGAATTCAACTCTACAATGTTGAAATGCACAGGCTGTACGCCTCCCGAATCTGATGCACTTGTCTCGACTCGGTTGCGACCTCGATGCAGCGGGCAGGTGCTGTCGTCATCGGCATTCCATCTGGTATTTCCACCGCATCAAGCACTATAGAAGAGAAGCAAACCTTCTAGCGCGTGAGACTCTGAGACTTGTGCGAACGTGCCGCGCACATCTCCTGCCTGGGATTCGTACACGTTCTCTATCTCGTTCAAATGCAGGGTGTTTGCTCTCATAGGTTTACAATCGCTCAGGAACTCGATTGCGTAGCTTGTCCTCGTCTCGCGCGTACGGCACAACACTAGTGCTCTAGGCAGCAACTACAACTCTCGCAACTCTCCCGTTCCGCGTCCGCCAAGCGGCCGCATGGCCAACTTGTTGCACTGGGATGTAATCGGAGCTCTCCAAAAAGCAAAGTTGTGAAGAAGCACTTCCGTTTGTCATGTAGGCATCCAACGGCATTGTGCCCTGCTACCCTAGTCCACATACCCGAGGTGATGCCACGTTCCGAGGCCCTCAGCAAGTTGCGTCTCCCAGAGTTAGTACGACAGCATTGACACGACCTTCTAAAAAGGTTTCTCTTACTTCCCTCATGTCCACGGCTTTGTCGCTGCCTAATTCCGTTGCATCAGCTGATGTGCACGTCTAACTGCATACGCAACAAGCTTTAAGAATTGTACTAACACTTGATTCTTCCATACACTTGATGAATGTGGCGTACCTAGTGCAGTGCAATAGATGACACAGTGACCTGCACAAAACAAGCGACATCCAGCCCTCATCCAACCCACAAAATTGTTCCGAAGTAGCCAGGCCTGCCTTAAGTTGTGGAGAAGGGATCTGATGGTTCTGGATCCAAGGCTGAACGGGAGGCAAAACTAGTGCACCAAGACCCATTTCCCAAAAGCTGCGAACGCTTCAAGTTGTGGCACCTTTTTTCCCTACCCTTGAATTTGTTACACAGATGATCATGCAGGTCTAGGCAAGAAGGTTGGAGCAGCCATGCCCAGTATAGCTCTTCGTGTTATCGATAAGTAGCACGTCGATGAAACGGGGAATCTACAACTCTACTCCACTGTACTTACAATATCTTTTGGAGCCTGATGGTTACAGTTGACTGGCTGGTGTTGGAGTATATATATGAATAGTTTACTCCATCTACGCCTTTATGCGGATCTATTGCGAGACCTATCAAACAGATAGTTGTATGGCCCGAGAAAATATTGGTGGCCCTCGTCCATGCCATTTTGCGTAGTCTTGATCGATGTTAGCACTATTGTAGCCATTGGGAATTTATTGCCTGTTCAAGTTCTAGTTTTAGAGGCCCGGAGAAATGATTTCAAAATCAAATGAGTTTATTTGACCGAAAGTTACGTACCGCATAAATTGTGACGTCTGCGGATACAGATGCGCTTCTCGGTTCATCCATCCGAACTTTAGGTTTGGCTCCTTTCAGTACTTTGGCCGTGAACTCAGCAGTTTTCGAACAACTTACACCGAGCCAATATCTCTTAGCCGTGATTTTGCTTCCTTACTGTTGTGCGTTGACTTTTGAGCAGTCGCCACTTGCTACACACCCTCGACAATGGGCAACAACCGAACTACCTTTGACCCACAACCAGTGCTCAACCGCGATCCATGGCTTGAGCCCTTCTTGCCTGCTATCGCCCATCGCCACGGACGCTTTCAGCAATGGAAAAACACCATCTCGCAGTATGAAGGCGGCTACGAAAAGTTCTCGAGAGGATATGAGAAGTTTGGCTTGAATGTTGATGAAAATGGCGAGATCACGTATCGCGAATGGGCTCCAAATGCAAAGGAAGCAGTCCTAATCGGCGATTTCAGTGAGAGTTATGTTTTTCATGAAGCATGTCATCTCCGGGTGTCATGCCATAGCGCATATACCCTGCTAATTTGGATTGGACTTAGACGAATGGAACAGGACGACGCATCCAATGAAAAAGGACCAGTATGGCGTCTGGGAGATCAAACTCCCTCCCAAGGCTCCTGGACAGCCCTCGATTCCGCATGATTCTAAAATAAAGGTGAGTTATCAGGCTTTGTCCTTAGGCTTCTGGTGTTGACTGCGATTTTTTTCTGTGGATAATTTCTGAATATATGCACCGTAACATCTAGATCTCGATGATACTTCCGAATGGAGAGCGAATTGAACGTCTGCCTGCTTGGATCAAACGGGCTACACAAGACCTTTCCGTGTCCCCAGTATATGATGCACGATTCTGGAACCCGCCTGCTGGTGAAAAATACATATTCAAAAATAGAGCTCCTCCCAAGCCCGCGAGCGCAAAAATCTACGAGGCACATGTTGGCATTTCGACCACGGAAGGAAGAGTTGGAACGTACAAGGAGTTTACACAAAACGTCCTCCCTCGAATCAAGGAGCTGGGTTATAACACAATCCAATTGATGGCAATAATGGAGCACGCATATTATGCATGTCAGTGACAAGTTTCTTTCATGTCCGACGAGCTGGAAAGTAACACCAACTTGCACCAGCTTTCGGATACCAGGTCACAAGCTTCTTCGCAGCAAGCTCGCGCTATGGAACTCCAGAAGAGTTAAAGGAGCTCGTCGACACAGCACACGGAATGGGCTTGACTGTTCTTCTCGATATTGTTCACTCGCATGCATGCAAGAACGTACTTGACGGTCTCAACAACTTTGATGGTACAGATCACTTGTATTTCCACGAAGGTGGAAAGGGTCGCCATGAACTCTGGGACAGCCGTCTCTTCAATTATGGCAATCATGAGGTTATGCGTTTCCTGCTCAGCAATTTGAGATTCTACGTGGAGGAGTACCAATTTGATGGCTTCCGTTTCGACGGGGTCACGAGTATGATGTACATCCATCACGGAATAGGAACCGGATTTTCTGGTGGCTATCATGAATACTTCGGGGGTTCTGTTGACGAGGAGGGCGTCGTATACTTGATGATCGTTTGTGCTCCTCAGTCATCTGTTCGCGAGCCATACTGATAATCTTATAGGCAAATGATATGATCCATGAACTCTATCCACATGCAGTAACGATTGCTGAGGATGTCTCCGGCATGCCCCTCTTGGGTGTCCCTGCCGAGGTCGGTGGTGTGGGCTTCGATTACAGGCTCCAGATGGCAATTCCCGACATGTGGATCAAGTTGCTCAAGCACAAGAAGGACGACGAATGGGACATGGCGAACATCGTACATACTCTTATTAACAGACGCCATGGCGAGAAGAGTATTGCCTATGCTGAAAGTCACGATCAAGCACTCGTCGGTGACAAGACAATTGCGTTTTGGCTTATGGACAAGGAGATGTGTACGTGCATGCAACACTGAAAGTTATATTATGCAAGCTTAAGGATTTGCTAGACACTAACATGTCTGATATGACGGAACTCACCCCTGTCATTGATCGCGGGCTTGCCCTTCACAAGATGATCCGGTATGTCCTAATCCTATAGCTGTCTCTGAGTCTGACCTTGTGTTCTCCCTTACCTACAGTTTCCTTGTCCACGCACTTGGTGGAGAGGGCTACTTAAACTTTGAGGGAAATGAGTTCGGACACCCTGAAGTATGTCGTCCATATTTAACTTCACACTCGCCCTTAACGGACGTTGCAGTGGCTTGACTTCCCCCGTGCCGGGAACAACAACTCTTTCCATTATGCACGTAGACAATGGAATGTTGTCGATGATGATCTCTTGCGCTACAAGTACCTGAACAACTTCGACGCTGCGATGAATAACATGGAGACGAAGTACGGCTGGCTGGCTGCTCCCCAGGTACTTATTAATTATAAAGTTGTGGGGTACTCTTCTTATACATGATCATACGTGTAGGCGTATGTCTCCCTGAAACATGAAGTCGACAAGGTGGTCGTCTTCGAGCGTGCCGGGTGCCTTTTCATCTTTAACTTCCACCCAACCGAATCATTCGTGGACTACCGTGTCGGAGTGGATCAGGCTGGCGAATACCACGTCGTGCTATCGAGCGACGAAAAAGGCTTCGGTGGACACGATCGTATTGACATGAACGTCAAACACTACACGACGCCACTCGAGTGGAACAACAGAAAGAACTGGCTTCAGGTAAGTATTAGTTACGTCCTTCATCGTGTCTGCTAGTGTGATATATATGCGCATTAGGTGTACGTTCCTTGTCGGACCTGCCTCCTTCTGGCGACGCACTAAGGAGTAAGGCGCCAGACGTCGGCAGTCACACTCTAACGGACCACAGAATAATAGATTCGGCTCACGGACTATGTGTCAGAATATATGCTATCCATTGCGGAAGTTGAGCTCTGTTTGTAGAATCCAAACCTCCAGTTATTTTTTAAATATAGACTTCCCCAAAGAAGCTTGTCATAAGACAGATGTGAAACAATGAAATTGCAGCAGAAGTTTTTGTAAACTACATGAAACGATACATGATGAAACTCGGTGCGAGGGGTCGAGTATAAATTATGTACTGTCCGAACACTTGATACTTGCACATATAATAAAGGGGTAATAATCGTCGTGAACGGTGTAAAAAAAAGTACAAGCTGATGATTTAAATCTGAATGCAGGAGTGCGGTTGGAAGAATGAGGACGAGAAACGCAGGACCACAGACGTAACAAACAAGCAAACAAAGAGAAGCACAGCAAATCTAGTCCAAGAACCAAATTCTATAGTCTACGGGCTGGCCATGAGCCTATCCCCGTCTACTGATGAGTCCGCCGAGGTCGGAGCGCTGGCCCACCTGTGGAAGGATGGACGAGGTTGCCTCGTCGAACGGCGGTCGTTATTCGTCGAATCTTCTTCTCCGTCATCGTCATCATCGCCACCTTCCTCACTCGCATCATTGCTAAAGAGGCTTTGCGTATCGGATGAGCAACAAGAATGTGCTGGTCGAATCGTCGGTTCATCGTCTGTCTCCGCATCCGTGTCCGTCTCGGAACACACGCTACTCTCTTGGTCACGTTCTTCGTGTTCGTTGGTTACTTCAGCGACAGCAGGCATATTGTAGGACGAACGCTTCGGTGTCGTGTTTCGTGGTGCCGTCTGAGTAGGGTACGGCGTATTATCACTAGCCATAGCGCCACCGTACGCATCAAACGCTCCCATGCTCTGTAGAGGTCGTGACGCAGGTGCAGGAACTTGCGCTGAAGAAGCGCTCCTTTGGATTTGAGTCGACTCTGCACCAACCTGGCCCTGATCGAACCGCATAAGCTGTTCCCAATAACGCTGCATCTCGTCCGTCGAAATAGACAGGCGGAAGTCGTTCAATAGAAGGAACTGTAGTTCAAGCTGGTTTAGCTCTGCTTGAGGAAGTCCTCCGACCTAGCGAAGAGTGATTATTAGCAATCATTATCGCAAAGAATATGAAAACGAGTGGAGCATCAAGGGTGGCTTCGCACGCGACGGAGCTCAAGATGTTACTCCAGGGTAGGGACTGAAAACTAAGACATGAAAATTGAGCTCACCCTAGCATAACGGGAATTCGTGTAAAATACGTCGCTGAAAAACTTGCTCGCTACAGTTACTCCTGCGATCACAAGTCGGTGGACATTGTACGAATCAATGACGAAGCGGTTGCCGGTGGCCTCCTGAGCAAGTTTCGACATCCGATCAAAGTAGACCAAAAGCGACAGGAAAACTTCGTTTGTCGTCGGACAGTAACGAAGAATTCGGAGTAAATACGCTTGCAATGAAATGGACGGAACATTGCGTGCATGAAAGGTCAAATGCGACGTAGGAGTGGAAAGGGCGGTACGGGAGGCCGTGAATAGTGTTTGCCATATTGGTGGATGGTCAGAGTTGGGTGGCTGATGCGAATTCGTTGAGTTCGTCTGTGATTGTGCCGATGTTGACAACCCATCGTTCGCAGTCGCAATCTGAGTGAGAAGAGATGCAAGCAAGCGCAGGAGGTCGGGAGTGGGGTACGAATTTATGTCATAAACCGACTCGCTTTCTGCGGGCGGGGTAGCCGGCATAAATGTTGAAGGTATTGATGAAGGCTTCTGTGGTGCCTCCGCATCTACCAACTTCGGTTGAGAAGACTTGGGAGACAGAGATTCGCGTTTTGCTCCAAGGGCTGGCTCTGAGCGGATGTGTGGTACAGCCGCGCTGGAGCGTGAGAGTGCAGGTGGAACCAGAGTACTGGTCGACGAAGAGGATGATGACGACGATGAAGATGAAGTCAAGGTAGCAGAGCCCAGCGTCGCGGAGGACGGAGCGCGACGAGCAGCCGGTTTTGACCGTACGATGGGTGTTTTACCTGCAGCGACGGAGACAGTATGCGCAGACGAGTGATCATGCAGGGACGGTGCTGCGAGGGCGAGCATGATGAATTTCAGGACGTCGTCGAGCTTTGCTGCCGCAAAATGTTTTTCGGTAGTGGCAAAGGCGTGCTGTCGACGAGACCGGGAATCGGAGGCGGATGTTTGTAGCAGAAGATGCAAAACGAAGAGAAGATTAAGTGCAAAACGGGGAAGGCCACGTGATACAGAGGCTGTGACCACAACCACACTGCTTCCTTTTTGTAACCCCTATCACTTGTTCCCCATTTAATAATTGCGTCCAATAATACACCCACGTTTCACAGAGATACGTCACTGCTACAGTTTACATGGAGTCGTGCCGTCTTCTGCAACAATTGCATCTAGACACAACTTGTTGTATATCTGAGTCATGGAGCGGTGGTAGTACTATTGCTAAGAATAATAATTGACTGCAGGGCCTCGAACGTCTCACATCGAAACAAAAGGCTTTGACATTAGACAATCAATCCCACTTCGCATGCCCATTTACCGTCTCTGCAGCGGGTTCACCTGCTCCAATTGGCGGTGGTCGTCCTTCGTCAGGTCTCCTTCCCGACATTTTAACAAATCCTTCCATTGCATAATCAGCACCGGACATCTAGTAGATTAAACAAAAAAGTTTTAGCTAATGAAAGAGATAGCCGAGGAAAGGTCACTCACCCATTGGAACAAGTCTCGAAGATAACTCGGCAGAATTGTCACCCATCGGACAAAGTGCGTATAGAACGGCAAGAAAATGGTTCTTGACTCTTGCTCGTCGATCGCGGCAATCACTGCTTTCGCAACCGCGTAAGCAGGCAGTGAAGGCGTAAAGAACTTGTAAAACGATGATGATGGCAAGCTCATCCTGGAGAACATCGGTGTCATAGTATGACCCGCAAGAACAAGTGTTGTTCTGATCTTTGGAGTTTTGTATCTGATTGAAAGTGGCGTTAGCCAGAATGGTCATTAGTACGGTCGGAAGCGATCTTACCGCTTGTCAAGTTCATAGCGAAGGGACTCGGATAGGTTTACGAGTGCTGCTTTGGATGCAGAGTAATCGGCTTCAAATTGCACCGTTCAGTAGTGAATTAGTGTGTTCTCTTATTAATGCCAACCTACTCATTTGTGCGACCCCGACCAAACCAAGGACGGACGACATAGTTACCTATGAGTAAAGGAATTAATCATCTAAGTGTGCTGGAGGGAATTAACAACACACAATGTGTCCTGTCCCTCGTTTAATCATTTCCGGGAGGAAAGCCTTGAGAGTCCAGAAGGAGGATAAAACATTCGTATTGAAGGTCCTTGGTTAATGTATGTTATTTAGGCTTTTTGAAACTTGATAGACATGACGCACTGTTTCACGTCTTCGGGGTCTAGGTCAACCAGACATTTGCCCTGAACGACACCAGCATTGTTGATGAGGATAGTTGGATGTCCAACCTAAACACATTAATGTTGGCTGATTTACACATACATAAATACAAGTATGATCTTTCCTCTTCAACAATTTGCTTCGCAACAGCTTCGACTTCTTCCCATTTTGAAACGTCGCATTTGTAATAAGTGATATTATCTTGTTAAGAAAAGCAAGGTTACTTATTGACTGTGCTAGTATGAATTCAAACATGGCTCACAGTTCTCTGTCACAATGGGATTCACGTCCAAAACAACGGTCGTAACACTGCGCACAGCTAGTGTGTTTGCGATCAGTTCTCCTATACCCGATGCTCCTGGAAATGATTATTAGGTGGGGGAGCTGGAGCACAAGCACAGAACGCACCGCCTGTAATAAGTACAATCTGCTCTCCCCAATCAAAGCGTTCTGGCGCGAAAAATAGGTTGCTTCCGTTTCTGTATAAGCGTGAAATCCATTTGAGGCCCCCTTTGAAACTCCTTAAGAGATAAGTTCTTTGAAGCGAGACTTGCATACTCACAGAATACCGAGACGATGGTGAAATAGATAGCGGAATAGATAAACACTGGCGAGTCGAACTCAAGGCCTTGGAACCTGTAGAATACTGGGATGAAGAAAATAAAGAAAGGACCTGTCGATGTGATGACGATGGTCAGTCGTGCTCAAATGTAGATGAAGAAACGCCTAACTAAAGACGGTATGAATGAGTACTTTGACAACAAGGTCGACGTCAAAGTTGTCAAATACTTGAGAGGGGACACCCTGGTCAACAGAGGCCATCTGAGAGTAACTCGTTCAGGTGAGAAAGCGAAAAATATTTTCGAGACGAGGCGCAGCCTGTTCGTGTCACCTTTCTGAAATTCTGATCCAGAGTTGATGTCAATGATGATGAATCAGATGATGCAACGCGACGTTGGCAGACTTGCGAACCGATTAGATAAGCGATACATTTAATGTGGCAAACAAAGTTATCCACGACCGCGTCTCGGCACCCGCACTACCTCGCAACCCGGTCGGCGCCTTCATCTCCGCTATGATGGATGACGCACAAGAGGACCCAGGGACTGTCGCAGGAGTGCCGAAGGAAACTACTACCAAGGTCAAGAGGACATACGGAAGGAAGAAGGAGTCTACTGACGCGTCTGGTGAATCATCATTTGCCCAAACATCGTCTCGGACGCGCTTTGAGTCGCTTGACGAAGGTGGAATAACGGAGGGCGCGCGCTTCTCCAAGTTCTTGCAAAATGACGCGTCGGACGCGTTTGGTTGGAGAGAAAAACTCGCTTTAATCGACAAGCAGTTTGACGAGAAGGAATCGGAAGCAACGAGTAAACTCACTGACGAACTCACAGACGACCGCACAAACAGGGATAATAGCTCTGCAAAATCAGTATCTACTGAAGACGATTCCGTCGGATTACATGATGAGTCGCTTTTATCTGGTTCAATTCATCCACCATCGTCACAATCCGACCCCCCTTCGTCTGGCTCTATTGAAGCCGACAACGCGAAACTAAAATCAAGTAGCACCAACGCTACCACGACCGAGCTTGAAAAGACTACTGAAGGTGAACACTTGAATTCTGCGTTATCAATAGCCCTCTCTAACGACGTCACAGAATTCCCGGCAATGACGGTTTCGGACGAACATCAAAAGGCACAAAATGCTTTATCTGTTTTCCAAGACGATGATGATTCTAGTGACGCACTAGATGAACCTGCTCTTCGACGGAAACAGCCCAAAGCTGCCGCAAAGAAACCTAAGGAGAAAGCGAACAAGATAAAGGTGATAATTATTATTATTATACTTTTTTCTTTATTTCTTATATGACATAGAAACTGAGCAAGAAAGAGGAGAACGAATCCAAAAAAGCACACGCCCGTATTATGGCAGACCAGAGAGTGTCCATAACCAAGCGGGCAGAACAATATACTGTCGAGCATTTATTGAGAAGCGTTCGGTGAGGCTTTATTTGAGGTTAAGTTGGAACGACTTGTTCTAACTTTGTCAGACAAAAACAGGACAAGTCTGAAGTTAAGCCAAGCTGTGTTTCGTCTGATCCCATTCAGGACTTCACCTCATCGCCTAAGCTGAATTCCAGGGGCACCTCTACAGAACGAGAGCCGAAAGCGGGACCATCCAATCTCCGTGAGACCTCGGATAGTGACATGCCTGACACGCATGGGTCTCTCGATGCAAGGCTTGGAGAGACGCTGAAGGGAGAAGACACTCAGCGCAAGAAAAACTTGATTGCAGCAAAGCGTCTTGCGCTTGAGTCATCGAAGGCTCATGCAATTTCGGACGAGTCTGATTCTGATGATCTCGAGGTAGTGGAAACAGGTCATGATGGTATCGCAAAGCAGCTGATGGTCTCGAGTACCTATGAGAAGAAACTTGCCGGTGTAGCCGGCTTTCGCGCAGGCTCGAGTAGGCATTCTCTGTCCAAACAGCTAGAAGGTAGTCAGGGTGATAGAATGCTGACACTGGCGGCTAAATCGACGTTCGCTGACAGAGACTCGCGGCGACACAACAATGCTCTGGGTCATCGAGATTTGCAGGCTGCTATTCTCAATAAGGCTGCCAAGCAAAGTATGCAAATGACAAAGGAGAAAGAGGAGGAATGGAAGAGACGTGGAGGAAAGCTTTCTGGCAAACTACGCGCTGCTGCTGCTGCTGCTAATCAGTCACTTTCTCTTGACCGCCTTGTTGACGAGATAACTTCGAGACAACGAAACTCCGCGGAGAATGATCAAGCGGAAGTCGTCGACGGCGGTAGTTCAGACGCGGAATACGACAGCGACGGGGAATGGATGCCTGATGATCGTGGTTCTGCAAGCCCTGTGCGACACCAGACCATGGATGACTCCGGAGAAGATGAACTTGGCGGTTCGGGCCGCGATCTGGGTGACTCGGATGTCGAGGGCGAGAAGATCCTTGTGAAGCTGGAACAACAAATCGATACCGATGAAGATGAAACGAGCCGGCCACCTCGTCCGTCACGACGTTCGGCGGGCATGCTAGTAGTCACGGACTCTGATGGCGAGGAGACTCGCACCCTCCCTTCAAAGGGACGGGTCCTCGTGCCGGATACGTCTGTAATTATCGGTGATCGAGGCCGGGCGAGTGTGGTCTCTTCAGAGGGTGGACCGGAAGAATGGAACAAGGAAAATGAGATCACCATGCCCGTTGATAGTGGTGACGATAAGGAAAACGTTATGGTTATTTCTCCGACCGCACGTAATAGAACACAAGTTCCACGGAGCCGGTCACCCAGAGGAATCAATCGCACTAATGAGGGAGCTCAGCGAGTGTCTTCGCCTCCCGGTGTAGACGCGGAACATGGTGCTTCTCGAAGCGCTCGTGTGCCTCTGCAGGCAAGAAGAATGAGCAGTTTTGACGATCCATTTCTCTCGCGTTCTCCGTCCTTGGGTACAAGTTTTGGGACACCGAAGTCGAACGGAGCACTGTCCGCCGTCGCAAGCCCAGTTTCCCTTCGACCAGCGTTCGACGGAAATTCCGGGGGCTTTACTCAATTCTTCAACGATGAAGAAGGGTTCACACCCTCTAATATGGATTCGCACACTAAAGGAGTTCTTCAACCGGCGTTTCGCCTTCAAGTGGGTAATGACGCAGAGGATTCACCATTCAACTTTTCACCTGATCCGAAGTCAGTGAAGTTGAATGCTCCATTCACCAGAAGAGAGGTGTGTTGTTTCTTTATTGTCTATTGCACAGTATCATAGATTACTAACTGCATTAAGGATTCTGATTTCCTGAACCGCTCGAAGCACCTGACGAATGACGATGAGCTCTCCCTTACCCTCGACACATCAAGGCTTCAGCCAGCGCTCGACGTTGCGACCCAAGTCCGTCGGAAGGCAGACGCAGTTTTCGAGAAGGAGCAAGAATTCGTTATTGAGGAAGCTGGTAAAAACACTGCGTCTTCTCGGGGTAAACAAGAGCTTTATATCTCTGAGAACGGGTAAGGCAGTTTCGTACAGCAAGTGACAGATCGAAATCATCTTACAAAACACCACCAGATTGTTGACACAAACCAGACCAGACGGCTCAACTCCAATTGTGTATCGGTCTGGTGTGCTACCGCAAACGTCAGATCTTGTCGGTTCTAAGATTCCGACCCCACCCACAACAACCCAGCGGTTGCCCCTAAGTACTCTCTCACTCGCGACGGAGTCTGTTAGCCCGTCGAAAAGACTAACTCGTCTAGCCAAGGGCAAGGCTAGGGCGTCATTGTCCGATGACGAGAATGACTTACCTGCTAATGCATTCACCAGACTGCTAGCAGGAGCAAAGCAGCAACAAAACAGAGAGAAAAAGCGTCTTGGTAAATCACTTTTCGTAGAAGGCGAGGCGCAAGAGTCCGATGAGGACGAAATGTTTGGATTCGGAGCCCCCAAGGCGAAGGATGATGAAGAGGAAAGTGAAAATGAGGATCCCGATGCAGTTGTCGAGAATCTTGTTGACGATGCTACGATGGATGCGGAGCAACTGGCGGAGGAAAGGGTACTAGAGAAAGTCAAGTAGGTCTTGATTCGTGGTTAGCCCTTCTAGAATATATAGCTAATTCCGCTATCTAAAGAGATCAACTTGAAGAAGAAGATGCCGCTCTAGAAAAGTACCATCAAGCAGCAATTGAGGGTAAATATCGTGGCAAACGGCGGGGCGGTGGGATCGCCATGGATGATAGTGAATCGGATGAGGACGAAGATGAAGAGGCGCGCAGACTCCGAAGGAGGATGCATAAGAAGCGCAGAATTCAGGGCGATAAACTCGAGGATCTTGGTGAGCATTGCCCATAATGTTTGGATCGTGTAAATTAAACGCGTCTTATAGGCAAGGATGAGAAATCTCGTGCTTTCTATGATGCTTATCAACGTGATATCTTAGAGGATGATAGCGAGGACTTCGCGCATCTGGCAAGTGACGACATGGATGTAGAGGACGAAAACGGCGAGGAAGAAGAGCCTGAGACTGTTACAACATCAGAGATACAAGCACAACTGCGCGAAGTTGCACGTCAACAGAAGGGAAAGGCAAAGGTATATCATATGAACCTGTGTTTACTTTCTAGCTACTAACATCTTTCCAGGAAACTCGTTTCTTTGACGCCGCAGACGTCGAATGGGCTGTATCTCAAAGGAGCAGCGATGATGAATTCGATGTAAGGGAAATTGAGGACCAGCCGAAGAAAGCTCCGCGCAAACGTCCGGTCTTTGGACAAGCAGATGTCCCCGATCTCGATGATTCAGTATGCTACGCCTATTATTCACGGAATCAGCTCTTCTGACTAATTATTTCCAAATTAGCTTCTTCGAATGCCAAAGAAAATCAGTGATGAGCAAGCCGCTCAGCTCGCTGCGTGGAGAAAAGAGCAGAGCGGGCGTAACTTGGGAACTGGAGGGATGAGAGGTGCAGTCACTGGTACAAGTCATGGTTCTAGGTCCGCAGGGCGTAAAGGTACATCCATGTCAAAGAAGGTAGCAGGTGATAGTCAGGAAGATCAAGGGCGTCGGAAAGTGAAGAAGACGGCAAGTGTCCTCGCATCCGTATCTGATAGGAGGAGCGGGTTTGGACTTTAGAATGGTCACTTTTCTGTTCTCGGCCATCCGTAATCTGTGCTTGTCTACCCTTATATAATGTTATTTCAGGCTTGGTTAAATGTTTTCTGTATACAAAAACATGGAATAAATGAAATATATGAATGGGCCATAACTTGCATAACTCATAAACCAAAACCAGATCGATCCCTATATAATCCAACACATTTTATAATAAGATAATGCTCTTCGAACGCTGGCTCGGGGTATAAAATGGGTAATCCCAACGAGCAAAGGCTAGCGCATCTGCTTTCCAAACTTCATCCATGCAAAAGTGCGCGGTCGCTGGGGGAATAGCATGTTTGTGCGCGAGGGAGAACGGGTATGGCGGGGTCGACTTCGCTTTTTTTGTCCACTCTGGTTTATCTACACGAATTGTCTCAGCTCGAAATCGACGTGAATAAGGGAAACAGGACAGGCGTACCTTATGTCTCAGCATGATCAGCTTTGCCATGCAAATAGGAGGCCCGGATTCGTGCACGGGAATCCCTGAAGAAACAGAAGTGGTGAGTAAGTGTCTGTCCGACGCGAATGACCTGGCAACGTGCAAGAACAGGCGTGTTTGCCTAGACTTGCATAGCAGCTCAGGCTTTAAAAGGAAGACATACCGAGTGCGACAAGATTGATTTTATGCAAGCCGAAGTTATTTGTATCATCGCCAACGTTAAACGCCTTCCAGACTTGTTCGGGCATGAGAATGCATGGCAAAAGGAAGAGGGCGAGGAGGAAGGCGAGGAACATGACGACCATTTTGTTGTGATGAATATATCCGCCTCTGCAGGGCGCAATGGGGGACGACCAGCAGGACGGATGCGAGGGAGTAGGAATTGTTTAGGATATGGTCGGTAAAGATGGGAATGAGTTGGACTTCGAAACGAACGACTGGGGTAAGATATATACTGATTCCGCGCGCTGTTTTAGACTCAAATCACTTCCATCCCAAGCGGCGGGCAACGACTGGCCGATCCGCTGACAAATCAACTCAGACAATCCTTGGCTTATGAAATCACCCATCCATCATTAATTGTACTCGCGTCATAACTTCTCTTCGATTTTACATTACATTTACAGCAGCACAGTTACACAGCCTAGTCCAGCCTCTGTACTCCAGCCTCTGTCCCAGTAATTGTAGTAATTGTAGTATAATTGTTTACAAAAGTTCCTTCAGTGCCGAGACCACACTGTCTCCAATTTCAGTTGTCGTACTCTCTCCACCGAGGTCCTTCGACCGTAATCCCAATCCACCACTTGCCTTATCGTCCAGCACTTTGCGCACAGCCGCTTCAACTGCCTGTGCTTGCTTCTCGAGACCAAGCGAATACCGCAGTAACATCGCCGCGCTAAGAATGGTACCAATTGGATTTGCTATACCCTGTCCCGCTATGTCCGGTGCCGATCCATGAATGGGTTCGTACAGCCCTGCTGGCGGTTTTACCCCAGGTGCAAATTCAGTTATTGGTTCTCCAGCAAGAGATGCAGAAGGGAGTAAACCCAGGGATCCCGCTAGGACACTGGTTTCGTCGGAGAGGCTACAGCGATGATCGTCAGATTTGAGTTCGCAAACTTATGTATCAAACCCACATATCTCCGAACATGTTCTCCGTAAGGATAACACCGTTCAGCTTCCGCGGGTTCGCGACGAGGATCATAGCAGCTGAATCAACAAGCTGGTGTTCTAATTTGAGCTGCGGGAACTCTTCAGTGAGCGTCTCTGTGACGGCTTTCCTCCACAAGCGCGAGCTTGCAAGTACGTTTGCCTTGTCGACTGAGACAATCTTGCGAGGAGGGCTTGTTGCAAGTGCAATTTTCGCAGCTACGCGGGTGATACGCTTTACTTCGTCAACACTGTAAATCATCGTATCCCAGGCGGAATTTGGCTTGGGTTCCACGCCGGGTTCTTTTCGTTCTCCAAAATACAGCCCACCGACGAGTTCACGGACAACGATAAGGTCGGTTCCTTCTGCAATTTCACGCTTCAAAGGAGAACATTCGACGAGTGATTTGGATGGAAAAGAAGCTGGACGGATGTTGGCATAAAGGTCCAGATTCTTGCGGAGAGTCAGCAGACCAAGTTCAGGACGGACGGGACCCGATGGCCATTTAGGTCCACCAACGGAACCTGAAAAAATATACATTTCGTTTTTGATAAAATAGACAGACGAGATACTTACCAAGAAGAATTGCATCTGCTTCCTTGCATGCCTTCAAAGTAGAATCCGGCAACGATTGGCCAGTCTTGTCAATGGCACACCCGCCAATGTCATAGTATTCGAGCTTTAGTTCAAAATCTTGTGCGGATGCATTGAGCGTCTCCAGTACGCGCACGGCTTGTCCGACGACTTCCGGGCCTGATAAAATGCTGATGAATTACTAGCGAAGTTCTTTGAGCAGATTGTGTAATATACCAATGCCGTCACCTGGAAGCACGGCGATATTGAACCTGAGACGAGTGTTTGTCAACTTCTGTCTTGTCCACTTAGTAGCTTGCGACCTACAATTTCTTCGTCATATCAAAATACCACTATCAGGAGTTGGTGGGGGAAAGAGATGAGGAAGGGCGGAAACTGTATGCAACCCTTCCTGGCTGTATGCGCAATTCCTTCGGATTTGCAAGCCGAAGTCCCAAAAATATAGTCTTGCCCATATGAGGAGCGTGTTTCGCACACGTGCTATAATCAGATCCTTCGTATTCAAAATTTCGACACTTGAGTTTACTCTAACGCTTCCTCCGCCAGCCTTTTAATCATGGAGACAAAACCGGCTTGCAGGAGCCTTGTGCTCGACGCTGGGCCTCTTCTATCTCTTTCTCCACTACGTGGCCTTGCAGAGCACTATTTGACAGTTCCTCAAGTCCTCTCCGAACTCAAGGACAAGAATGCTCGCGAGCACTTTGAGAGACTTGGTCTGTCAGCAGGTGTTAAAATAGAGTTGCGGGAGCCCGATGCTGCTTCGCTCTCACAAGGTACGTATGACTCGGACTACTTTGAATGGTGCTTTATTGAGTTGGTATTTGTGTATGCTATAGTTATACAGGCTGCGAAGAAGACAGGAGACTATTCCGTGCTTTCGCATGCGGATATGTGTGTTATTGCCTTGACGCTTGCGCTGGACAGGCAAGATAAGGAGATTCAGGCGAAGGAGAGTGCGGAGGAGCCGAGTTCGGGTAGTACAGCGCTAGAGGCAACTGAGACTGTGTCCACTCACAATAATCTCGAGAACGGCGGGTTCGATGAGCCTTCAACCGGATCCGAACCTTCAACGAAGGACTCGAGTAGCAGTGCAGCTCCTGTCGAGAATGAGGATGTTGTGCCTTCTATCGTGCAAGACGAAAGCGGTGAAGCCCCTCCACTACCAGCTTCTGAAGAGGAAGACGTTGGCGACAATGCAGAACGCGAGCCTCTTGATGTTGTACTTGAACCCATCAAGAGCACTCCGGACAGTTTACAGCCCGAACACGGAAACTCAGAGGATACAACGCTCTCGCGATCTCAACCAAGTCAAAATAGCCCTCTTTATGATAATCCATCAGACGAAGACGACGGTGAAGGCGAATGGATCACGCCTGACAATGTGGATTTGCATAAATCTCGCGCGCTTGACCTATTCCCATCCACTGACTCCTCCGATCCATTCATCACTGTCTCTGGGAAGAAGAGTAAAGGAAAACGGAGACAGGCGGAGCAGAGCAGTGGAAATAATACAGGTGGTGGACCGAAGCAACAGATTGGTGTAGGCTGCATGACCGCAGATTTCGCAATGCAGAATGTTTTACTTCAGATGAATCTTAACCTGGTCGGAGTTGAGGGAAAGAGGATCGAAAAAGTCAAATCCTGGGTGTTAAGGTGTCACGCTTGCTTCAAGTACGTGGTATATCAGACCCTCACAGCCTAGTCTGCTTACGCTTGATTGTTCAGAATTTGCAAAGATTCGTCAAAGAAGTTCTGCCCTTCCTGTGGTAATCCATCACTTTTACGGACTTCAGTCACTGCAAAGGCACCTAATTCGGACGATTCTTCTCCAGCACTGGAAGTGCATCTGAAAAAGAACTTCGTCTATCGAACGCGAGGAACGATCTACCCTATTCCCGCGTCAAAACCTGGTTCCTCAAAGAAGGGATCTGGTGAGGGTCTCATCCTGCGGGAAGATCAATCCGAGTATATGCGTGCTCAGAAACGCGAAGAGGGGCGACGCCAACGAGAAGAGAAGAAGATCATGCACCAGACTTTGGCCGCTGCTAAAGGTGGCGAGGTGACTGGGATCAAGTTGGGTAACTGGATGGATCCAGATTGGGTTCCTGAGATGCTTAGTGTTGGGATTGGTGGTAAAGGAAGAAAAGTTCCGGATGGTCGAACTCCTCTTGGAGCCGATGGGATGCCTATCATTGGCTATGGGAAGAAGAACCCGAATGAGAGACGACGAAAGAGGTGAATACATTTTGTTGTTCGTCGACAGTCTGTAGATAGATTTCAGCATTGCTATCACGTTGTACCTGCAATTCATGTAGACTACGCTCATTGATTACTACATCTGTATAGAATGCTATCTGCCAGGATTACACATTTAAGCTAAGCTTCTGTTCATGAATCTTCTTTTTTGGAATGACAGCCACCACTTGCTCGGTTTGCCCGTACCATCAGCGTAAAGTCTTTCGACGACTCTTGCCGCAAGTTCCTGGCGTGTTTGTACGAGGTATCCACGGAGATAATCTGAGCGCGGTCAGTCGGGCACGTCCCCTCGCATTTTTTAACTATGGTCATTACGTACCGGCGTCTGCTCTACTTGCGGGTGGTGCATAATGTGCATTGAGTGGGAAGCCTGCATCGCCGGGTATAGAGAAGTTGTCCACAGCAAGCGTATTGAGCGATTTGCCAGCTTCAATTAGTGATGGTGGCACGCGAGCTGTGCCAATCTTCGCGAGACAGTCTGAGACGAAGAGAATTAGGACGATGAGGAGACGATCGGCAGGCCCTTTGATCTCGAAGTTGCGGAAGAGGGAGTTGGCGCGAAATAGATCGAGAGTCTCGTCGATAATGTCTGCTTCATCAGGTCCAGCTGTAGAAATATGTTAGGCCTACGCACAAGCTATATGCAAGAGACGGGTGGTACGGACCTAATGGTGCAGGCCCTCGAATCTTTGTCCTGATGGGAAGGATAGACATATTGCCCACCTGACGCACATCAGGGACTTCATTGAAGGATGAATGGTACGCCTGAACAGCATATTAGACGGTAACTTCGTAACACCACGAGGTGTACTTACAGGCATTCTGGTGTCGTGTTGGTGGAAATTGATTAAATTCAGAGCAAGCTGCAAGCAGCAAGCGCAGCAAGAAATGCGATGGGATAAGTCACGTGCTGAAAACGCGTCGCGTGTTTCGGTACCTAATCACCTAATGGCAGTGTCTATGTATGTCATGAGTGACCTCTGTTTCTTACTGACGATTGTTTTCTCTTGTGACCATACTTATTCCTGAACGTGCATTTTAAGTAGAAATTCAGAAGAAAACTGGCGTAAACATGGATGGTGCTGACGAAAATGCATCTCTACTGTCTAACAAATCTTTGCATGCTTCTCCCGACACGGTTACCAGTGAGCTCGTGGCGTACTGTAATATCTGTGCTGCCTCCGACTTATGTCTCGCGTGCAGAACTCATCAAGCGCCTTCGAGCGCTAACTTTGAAGCTTATTCCTGTTGAGGTTGAGCTCAAGGAACTTACAACACCAGCTAGCAGGATCATATCGTCGCATGTTATAAGCACATATGAACGGGCAGCTGGAGATTTCCATGAAGCTGTACGCTCTAGCCTTTTTTATAAACCTCAAATATCACTGTACTTACGGCCTGTTTCCTCTAGCTTCCGTACTGTTTGCTTCAGGCACGACAGTCGTTCATGTGGGATGCAAATCACAACGCAGCCGACTATGACGAATATTATGGCCGAGGTTTGCTCATATCATTCTTGGATAATGGCAGGTAACTCAGGCTTTCACAGCCATTGCTTGCGAAGTTTTAGCAAGGCGTATTGTGCATAGGGCGCCGCCAGACCGCCTGACTACAACCATGTCAAAAAGATACTGCCGTCTGGAATGGGATGGGGATAAAAGTGAGCTCCAGAGTGCATTGGAGCTGGCTATCGACACACATTGGTGAATAAAGCATGCTATTCATATACAATACGTATCTACTCATGATGTTGCCACAGCACAATTTTCCTGTCGTCCACCGAGGCGCAGCACGGTGAGTAGGGTGTGCGTCGCTGTATTCACCTCTCTGACTGGCAGTCTTTTAGTCGTCAACTGCCTGTGGAGAGGAGACTGGGTGCAAAAAAATAATGAGCATCATGATATCGATTGTGAGCAATCTTTCTTGAAAATTTCTTTGAATTCACAGGAGTTCTTATTCGCTTCAATGAAGATGTTCCCTTTAACGAGTCGCGCGAGAGGCATTTCCGTGACCATCTCGATCCTTCCCGTATATCTGTGCCACGGTGCCGTATCATCTTGTCTCCCACAATATGCTCTTGTATTGAACCGACTCTGCACAAGGTACCAGAATTTCTTCCGGGTTGCAATTTGGCTGGTTTTCCTGGTCAATTATTCCCAAGCAGGTGCGCGACTTTCTGTCATCTTGGATCCTGAACTCACGATCCTTTCAGTAAGGCAGCCCCTTGAGCGCCTGAACAGCACTCATCAGGCTCTGGATGGCTGGGAAATTGCACTGTATATATTTGCACTGTCGTTCGCGATAGAAGGTACGCGGTTTTCCGTCTTTCAACGCTGAAAGGTTGATACTGACTTTTTGTCGAAGACTTGCTTAAGGTGAGGCAATTGGAACATTTACTAATATTCCAATCTAAGTCTCTCCCAGTTGTACAAAATGCTTCGTTTCGTAACCTGGCGTGCTTTCGGGTTCTGGAGTGTAGTGTCTTTAGTCACGGACGCCTTACTGGTTGCTGCATTCGTTCTGCGGGTAGTCGGAATATACCTTCCAGATAATGACCCGAGATCGGACCTCTATCACTACAAGAGCTTTCAAGTACTATCCCATGTTGCTCCATTTATCTGGTAAGTTTCGTTACTCCGCTTTCTTGCTATCAGATCTTGACAGTCTTTTGTAGGATGAGTCAGTTCTGGTCTATTACTGACCATCCTGCCAAGTAACTGATACGTTGGTCCCGCAGAATTAATCACAATCGTTGACGGCTTCAAGTGGGTGCTTCGCTTAACTCGATGATTGACAAAACTAAATTGGATATAGATGGGTCGGGACGATGCAGATATGCGTTGCACGCATGCTACAGGAGTCAGGCATTTTCTTCGCGGTCAGTTAGTCTTTGTCTCACAAACATTTCAATTGACTCACTCACATTCTTAAAGCTTTTATCAGTTCTTGCCATCGGGTTTGCCCAGGGCTTGTACGCCATTGATGCTGCCGACGGTGAGACGGAACATGGGCCATTAGTGATCAATGCCTTGATACAGGCGTTGCTCCAGTGAGCATTCAAATCATCGTTTACATTTATAAATTCTAAACGCAGCCTTTCAAAGATCACCAGACTTCGGAAGTCAGGTTACAAAGTATGTCGTAATCGATTCATATCCCATAATATGCTTATTCCTTTCGTTATTAGCGGGGAGAGCCTCATTCTCTTTTACATGTATGCAATCAAACAACTGTCATCTGCCATTGTGCATTAACCTTGGTTAAAGGTGGAACTTTGTGACGACTGTCATCTTGTTGAACGTGTTGATTTCACTCTTCGCTTCAGCCTATGAAGATGTAAGTAATTGATGGGGCAGAATGCTGTCCTCTTGTTTCTGATATGTGTTTTTCCTACGTAGGTCGTGGATGATGCAGAAGCTCAATATTTAGCATATTTTGCCGGAAAAACGGTTGGTATGATACGTGCTCCGGATTCCTACGTCTATCCTGGTTAGCATGTCGAGTCTCTTCATCCCTAACCTGGCGCAGATCTCACATGTCTGAATTTTTACTAGCGCCGTTCAATCTCATTGAAGTGGTATTTGTCGCACCTCTTGAGTACGTCCCTGTCAAGCCACTTAAAGACGATCTCGGAAGCTTCAACTAATTGACCCTCGTCTAGACCATTTATGAGCCAGGAAGCTTACGCAAAGTATAACCGTTGGGTAATGTCGACATTCTTCTTCATTCCCCTCCTCGTCATCGCGTTGTGGGAGACATCGCTTGATACGAGCACCAATCGCTTCATGAAGAGTTGGTTTAGCCCTGCAGACGAAGGAGAAGAAGACGATCCTGCAAACCAAGATCCTGAAGTCAGCGAGCCGGACGACTTGAAGATATGTGTCGTTCCATTCAAGGAACTTGTGGCGAAGTTTCCTGACGCTGCTGTTGTGCGTTAATCTTATTTTGATACTGAGGCTAGCTGTGCCAACATTTTTGTTTGCAGAGTCCGGAAACAAACATTCTTCACGAAGTTGCCTCGTTGCGCGAGCAAATTCAGCTCCTAACACAAAGTTTGGCTATCGCCGGAAAGGAGTAAGCGATCGCGCCGGGCCGTGATCTTCAACCAAACACTCGTATTGAACCATGACCTTGACTTTACGAGCATCTTGATTATGGGTAAACGGACACACGCCTAACATTATCTCATATTTTTTTTCGGTTTGGGTATTGGTAGCCTCCTAGTTATGTACATAAGTCTGTACCGATCATATGCCAATGGATTGTTCAACACTGCCCTCCGGTACGGATGGCAAAGTGACGCGGAAGACCATGAATTGGTTGTCTACATCAATACCAGTGTCAAAAGATTGTCCATCAAAGCTTCCTTGCGTGCTGAGGAAATCGTTATCCGACTATTTGTTGCAGCTGCATTAGTCGTCTGTAAGGCTTTTCAAATCATATTGTGAACTCACGGCAGTAAATAGGAAGTAGTCGTCTGGGAAGTCTGGATCATCACATGGAGCAAGTGCGAGTGACTCCCATTTGGCGTTGATAAGCGTCTGGTCTGCTGGTTTACCATTGTGAAGGCCAAACCGTGCAAGCTGATCAGAATCCAAGAAGTTCACGAACGAGACATATTGAGCTGGCGTGATACTTGAATTAAGCACCCCGTCAACGGCGATCGGATTAGCAGGATCGTCAAATACTGTGTTGTGTATATCCGTTGCGCTGCTGATGTCGATAAGGTCGGCCTGCTTGTAGCTGGACTTGTTGTCGTCGCCTCCATGTCCATCTCCGTCCCGAGCAAGGACAAAGAAGATGTTCGGGCTCACGAAATGTACCTCGCTTTGAGCAAGCGTGTTGCCTTTCTTTGACTGAGGCAACGGCACTACCCATTCGCCGATGAGCGGCGGCGACTGACTGGACGAATCGGAAACATCGTATGCAAGCATTCGGGTGAATCGGCTCGTCGACTTTGAAGATCCGCCATCCTGTATTGTCGCACTTTGCAGGAGTGCATAGATAGTATTCCCGTCAGGTGAAGCCGTTAGTCCCTCGAAGCCTATAAAGTCGATATGAATAAAGGTGAGCTTAAATATGAAGACAGGAAAGGACGTACCCTGATTAGCAGCCCGGCCAGTATCGGGATCGGTCTCTGAGGTGAAGTTGAGGGTACCATCAATAAACGGAAGGAAAGCATTCGGAGGTTGGATAGCCTGGAGAAGGTGCCCAGACGGCGAGAAGCTGTAAATATAAGGTCCGTATTCGTCACTCATGAAGAAGCTATAAAAGTTATTTAGCGGAGTTTATCCCAGGAAAGAAGCAAAGTCGTGCGTACGAGCCGTCGGCGTTAAGGACAAGTCCTTCACAATCCACGGAGAGGTGGTTGAAGACTTCCGACGGGACGGGTAAGACAGGAAACCCGCCCCCCGCGGGTTGCACACCAAGTGCATCCAGACCAGTGGTTTTGTTATTGAATTCATCCACGTAGAGCAGAGTTTGTTGATATTGCAACTGGAGCGTCTCCTGTGCCTCGCTGAAGTTCAAATCCGCGTCCCCGTAGTACGGCTGGAGCACAAAGTCGATTTCTTGTTGCCTGCCTTGATAGTCGATCGTCCCGTCACTGCCAACCATACCAACCCGTTCACAAATGCACGATGTTTATGGGAATCACCTTGACTCACATATTGAAACCTCGATCAGGTTGGACAATGAAGGTTCCAGAAAATGTGCTGTTCGAGAGCTTCTGAAAAGTGCCTCGTTTTAATGCAATACCACTTCCAATGCCACCCAGCGTGTCACCTTTCAGAGGTGTTCAGCACAACTGAGGATTAATCCTGTCAGACGATAAATATCTTCACCAGTGGATTCCGTGAAATTTGAGGGTATCAAACCGAAGGCCACTAAGCCCTGTCAGATTCAGAGGGTTTGGTCAAATGCGCAATACATCAGGGTGGGAATTGGAATACTTTGTTGACGAATGTCGTTCCATTGAGTACAGCTTGATCAGGTGGCGCTGCCCGAGGTGCCGTCGGTGTGCTAAGAGGACTGGCAGAACACAGAAAGGCGGAGACGACGAGGACGAACAGTTCCATCATACTGCTCCCGACTGAGAGCTAGGATCGACAGCATATTTATATTCGTGCGACGAGAAAAGCACATATCTATTTCAAACGGCGAATCGGCATTTATGCGAAGTGTTGATTCGCCTAGAATCGTCTCCACATGATTGATGCCTGCCACCCTGTCTTTGCATGCGACAACATGCGCACGTTCGTCATGTCAAGTAATTATAGCCGTGATCCGCGCTATGCTTAGCCTATAGTCTCCTACGAACGTCGAGTTTGGTTGATTCATAATTCTCCCTGCTGCCACGCAACGGTAATCAATGCTTATCATAGAATAACTGCCGCTTAATCGTACACGGTTCATGCATACTCTCCATCAGGTCCTTGTTCTGTACTTGTGCTCTCCGGTTTGAGTTGAATAAGGGTGCCCATCGCTTTTGAGAAGAAAGGCCGCACTTCGTTGATCTCCATCGCCGAGACTCCTGTCATCTATCGAAGTACGTCAAATTTTTCAACAGAGATCTAAATAAGGATCCAGTCGAGAGCTCACCTGCAGTGCCGTGGGGTTGAGCCTTAACAGGGTTTCCCGAATTTTTGCCTGCCTCGTCTCGCGTATGTCTTTAAGTAGTTTCCGTATCTTGTCTGGCTGGTCGAGGTCATCAGCAGCTCTGAAGTAGAATATGTGACCGGTTTAAACAGAGAAGAAGAATCTGAGACTTACACGTCTAAAAGTACTTTTGCGATTTCAGTATACCGAAACGGAAAATGAGCAAGTCCGTCTTTCAACCTCTCGTCGGTCTCTTCAGCTAGCTTGTTTTGGAGGGATTCTAATAAAGAATAGCAGCTTGATTAGACCTACGCATGATCGTGAATAGGTCCTATAAGAAGTTGTAACATACCAACATTAAGCCAGGAAGGTGCAACAATATTGCACTTCTTTTTTAGCTTCAAATTGACCGCGATCCATAAAGGAATATTGCTCGAACGTCCTCCAGTAAAGGGTCCGTATAATCCCTAAGTGAGTACACTTAGCTTAATATTTAGCCGCAACTAAAGCGATATGACACGGACTGAAATGAACTGTATTTTGTCCATTTTCACGGCGGGTTTGATCTCTATGAGCTCATCCGACGCAATGAACTCAAGTTCAGGTGGGAACATGGAATTTCGTAGCTGAAGTGGAATCGCCATCGTGAATGCAGACTATATATGATCGTGAAGTCGAAGTTCTGCATGAACTGTAGAGGTGGAGTCTGAATCACGCGCGACTAGCAACGCGGCAGGTAACGTCATGTGCTGATCGTCACACTAACGATTGATTACAAGTTACATATACACATAACTAGTGTAGTGTGTTTCATTGCTCTATCCAAAGCCCGATGGCAAACATGCAGTGTATCAGGAAATTATCGAACCCATCCCTTTCGTTTCCCCAGATGGAGGACATCAGCTGCACTTTTGACAATTCCCCCTGCCTGATCTGGACTATCTGAAGAAGTAGTGTCCTTCGCGACCAAAGACTTTCTCTTCAGATTTACCCCGACGGTACGTGCGATCGGTGCAATGGAAACCTGTAGGATCCGGTCAACTTCCAACAGGCACTCGTAAGCACGTTTGTCCGCTTCCGCCACTGTTCTATTCCCGTCAATTCGACTCGTCTTTCGACTCTGCTGAGTAGGACGCATCGGGAAACGAAGACCCTTGTGCCTTATAAGTCTATCTGCAAGATAATGGAGCCACTGCGGATACATACACAATTGTTAGCAAACAGATCAGACTCTAAACATCTGACGTACCATCACGTTCGTAAGGGGTCTGAAAGATTCCCATTCATCCTTATTATGTTTCCGCATCATCCGATATATATCGTATTGGTAGTCTCCTTCTCCTTCAAATATATCATCTGTAAAGGGTGTCCAGAACGCATCTCCCTGGCCTTGATCGATACGGGAGAGGCCGAGATCAATAACAGTGGATTGAATGCCGTGCGACGGGTCGTCCAACGCAACCGTACCGGGCGGAGCAGTAACCAATGTCCTTGAAGGCTGCATGGTTTTGCGCACAAGGATTTGGCCCCAATGTAAATCACGATGCTAGAGTGATCACTCGTGGTTAGCATTTGTCACCGACAAATAAGCAGATGGCTAACCTCAAATCGGACGAGCTCTTCAGCGTGCCCTAGACTACGCACGACTTGCCAGAACACACTACAGGCCTGTCTCCAGCCCGAAGTGCCAGGCGAACTGAAGGAGAAGTTCTCCAAATCAGGTCCACCGTTCGGTAGTATGATAATTGCATATGTCTGTGTTGAACCAAAGCGGTCTTATAATATCAATTAGTCTTGGTCCTCATACTCGAAGTAAAGATTTTGCTCACCAGGCCGTACACTTTCTGAACCCTTCTTCTTGTGATATTTGTCCCATAGGTCAAGCAGTATCTGCGGGTACGGTCCTTGCACGACATGCGCTTTGAGTAGTTTTATGAACCCCTTACAGATTTCCCCCATAGCTCTTGTCACTACTATCTCTTTCAACACGTCTTTCGCCTCGGTCATAGGGGGTGGATCCCAATCTGTTGTACACGTGCTCTCAGGATTATCCTCTTCGTCATGCAGTGGTATTACTTTAAGGACAACATTTCCTATTCCAAAGACCTCCGAATATGACGCCTCACCGACCTTTCGGAAGGATTGAAAAGACTCTCTAGTAGCGTCACCGTCGAGCAGGCCGAAATGTCCTGAGAATCCAACTAATGAGTCCACAGGAAAAGTTTCGATGAAATGCTCGAAATCGAAGGGCGAGATTTGCCCGCATTCAGAGAGAAGAGGTCGCAAGAACGACGGAATGTGTCGTTTCCGCAATCCATTCAGAGAGCTAGATAATGATGGCTGCTCCGTTTTCGGATTAGATATTCGCTCTTTATTTGAAGGTGGATGACAGATGAAGGGATTTGTTGAGGGATGGGATGATTTTGCAAGCTGGAGGTCCGCAACATGTAGGGCGAGTTCCAATTCTTCGTCTATGGTGAGTGAAGTGTCATCATCGGACAACACGATTAACTGCGAGGGACTAAACCTGACGGGAGGTTGCTTCATGAACGGTACCTTTGATCGTGAAGGTTTTACAGGTGTGAGTTGGCGAGGACGCGCGTGAGACGTATCATAGTTAACATGCGTCTGTGATGTTACGTCTGTGCTATTCTCCCTGTGAGCACTCGTGTCTAGATTTTGATCGGATAGATTCCGGCTCTTAGTACTCGATTGTCGAGATCCTGCTCGACCATCCTCCGATCTCCAAGGTATTGCAATAGACTCACGGGCGGTATCCTCCCCGGCTCCCTTGAAAGCTGTGGATTTAGTTGTTTGTCTTGAATGAACGTTATTGACTTTCCCATCCACCTTCGTCGTTTGATTCCGTTCGGACTCTGAGGGCACATTGATTTCGACCTCCGACTCTGAGTCAGAAACAACAATGGTACGGACGGCTTGTCTAGATATGCGAGGTTTAAGTGGAACATCAGAGTCGGAGTCACCGAGCGAAAGATGCTCCTTTCGTGCATTCGATTCCCTCGACTTCTTCGTGCCTTTATTGGACTTGCGTGAGTGAGAGTCAAGTGTAGCACCCTTGGCGTTCCGCCTGACCTTTAGAGGTTCCGGTGACGGTACATATTCCTCGCCAAGGTCTTCCTCCTCAGACGCAAACGATGCGTAGCTTTTCACTGCGGCCGATCTGTGCGGTCGATTAATAGCTTTACATGTAACATCATTAATGTCGTTCGCTAGCACATTCGTCTTCGTCACACGTCGCTCTTCGTTGATTCGGCGTCCCGCACCATCAGTAACAATGATGTCGATTTCGACATGTGGAGAAGCGTTAGACACCTTTCGCAGCGTATGCGGGGTGCTCTTCACTACTCCTGCACGTGCTTTCACAGCTTTAAAGCGAGCAGCTGGTGAGTTGGGAATATTTGGAGAATAGGATGCCAATGGTGTACGTATTGGTGTCTCCTTCACTTTGGCCTTCCTTCCCTTTACCTTCTGATGGTTTGGGGACATAATGGACCGTCGAGGCAGCTTGTGGTCGGCCAAGGGTAGTTTGGGCTCCGCGAGTTTAGACGGAAAGGCATATATGTCCTCAACGGCCTCCTTCACTGGAGAACAAGGCGAGTCACCTGTGTCTGAGTCCGACACCTTTGGAGGGGAAACGCTGAAACTGAGTCGCCTGTCGCCCGTGACTGCCACAACACGATGAGCACGTCGTCCATACGAAGCCACCTTCTTCGTCCTTGCGTGGTACATGATAATTTGTATGTATAGTAGTCGATAGCCTCCAGTGCTGATGCTAATGAGTCGAAAACGCACCTTGAGGCTCTTGAAGGGACGGACAGTTCTAATGCGTGTCGTACGCGTGCTGTTCATGTTGTATCTGCTGTATTTCAACGTCACGTGATGCTGTTGCAGCCATTTTTTGTCAAATTTTTGATGATGCGCTTTCTCTGAGTCAAATCTGACTAACGATACTTAGTCGAACTGCTAATGCAGATAGTTTATAATGGAATTTCGTGGTGTTAGCTCGTTTAAATTTCACTGATCAAGCTTGTGCTGCTGTGTATGCGGTGCTATAGAAGTAGCACTAATGAAGGGAATTGCAAGTCTACTATTGCCAAATATGGATATCGTGTATTACTAACAGTGCATGGGATTGGACCGCGGGCGGTGTGGCACGGAGCTAGCAACTACTCACCCGTCCATGTAACATCTTTTCTTTCCTCTAAACGCGCCTCGGAATGGACAAAACTGACGTCGAGGTGATTGACCTTACTGGTTCTACACCTAAATCTCCAACACTCCCAACAACCAGAACAGGCGTCAGATCTTTACGGAAGCAGAAACGACCACACACAGACCTGAACCTGACTCAAGGAGCTGCAAACGAAACGATAATCATTCTAGATGGAGACGAAGAACCATCGTCGGTGCCATCTTCCGGACCCGAGAAAAAGCGAAGAACCAGGAAAAAGAGGAAGAAACCGTTGCTGCCAGAGAACGAAATCGCAGACGATGCTGAAGACGGAGAAATAGTGCAATTGCCACGAGAGGGGCAGACCACGTAGGTACTACGTAGATTCTATTGTAGGATTAAGCACTAATTCTTCACATCCGCAACGCAGCTCATCCTCTTCTCTGTTCTATCTCGATGACAAACCGGATACACTGCCAGAAGCATCACACGAGCATGGAGCTACTTCCAATTCTATGGCTCTGGAAGTAGCTGAAACGGAAGCTCTTCTGCTTCTTGATCATGTTACTCTCAGCGTTGCTCAGAATAACAGCGTTGCGTTGAAAATGAAAGAAGCGGCTATGATTGACTCGGACACCGATGACTTCATTCACTTCGCTGACGCCGAGCTAAATGTTTGTCACTTTGCGCATATATGTGACGTTTTCCACTGAAAATAAATTCCAGCTGTTTACAAGGTACTACGAAGAACAGAAAGATGATCATGTCAGGAAAGCACACTTAGTTTGTGGTCAATGTGGTGCAGAAGGGGATCATAGACAAGCAGACTGTCCAGTTGTAGTCGTGAGTGACGTGACTTAGCCTTTTCCTTCTTTTAACTGATTATACGGTTGCAGTGCCTTACATGCGGAGCACACAATGAACACTCGACTCGGCAGTGTCCTATTGTCAAAACGTGCTTTTCATGCGGCATGAAAGGCCATATAAACAAAGTCAGTTTATGCGAACATTCTTCCTTGCTCCTGACCTATTAACTGTTCTTCAGGACTGTCCGAATAAGTTTATGTCTCGCCAGATGACGGATAGATACTATGATTGCAGCCGGTGTGGCTCGATTCTGCATAAAACAAGGGTGAGCTCAGTCAATGTGTATCGGTTAATGGTACTCATTTTATTGATAAGGAATGTCCAACGTTGTGGAGAATGTATGACTACATGGACGATACAGATCGCGATGTGACGCTAAAGATGAGAAGAGAAAAGGAGAATCTCCCGGTTGGACAAGGCGGCGAGGGCTACATCGGCGAAGATTATTGGTGCTATAATTGTGGAGCCTCAGGTCATCTTGGCGACGTGCGTTTCAAAAAAGTAATATTGAACTACGCAACTGACCCTTTTCCAGGACTGTCACGTAGAACCGCTTAATCCTGATGCAAAAGAACCCTCTGCATTTGGCTCGTACAACACAATGTCTGGACCTTTCGCGGATAAAGAATTTGCGCCGTCAGACCGGCGTAAACTCCGACGAGAATGGGAATTGAAGGGTAATTTCGATGACGGATATGGTTTTGCTGGCCCAAGCGACGTCGGGAAACGTGGACGTGATAAAGAAAGGAACCGGATGCGCCGTCGGGAAAAGGAGACCCAGGAAGTCGACGATGTCTACGATGGCGACGACTGGTTCGGTAGTCGACAACGTTCCGAGACTCGACAGCGACTCTCGCAGAATGCGAAACGCGGAGAACCTACTGGGAAAATTGTTTTAAAGCTCGGCAGTGCAAGCGGTTCCTACAAGGACGAGCAAAGGCCTGCTGATAGACTCCTAGACCGCATTTCCGACCATGCGAAAAGGGATAGTAGAGTGGCTCGGATAGAAGACCGAAGGTCTGCATCCCCAAGCAGTGACCATACCTCCAGGCGGCGGCGACAGGATGATGCGTTAAGACGCGAGCGTGGTCAGAAAGGTGATCGGGAACGAGGAGATAGAAATAGAGCTAGAGACAAAGGGAGGGATGAAGGCAGACACAGGGAGAGATACATTCAGAACTCTGAAGGAAACGCATTTCGACAACGAGTGGAGAGCAAGAAACGTGACCAAGATAAATCAGGTCGTCAATACTACGGCGGCTATGCTCGATGACCACCTGCCCGTTTGTGTATTGTCTTGTTTGAATTGGCAAGGCCTTGATGCGTACGGATTTTGACTGGGCTGACTACCTAATTGCAGAAATCTATATGACGTTGACGCATCGGTTTCTGAGAATATTGCTTCATGTCATTGACTTGGACTAAGTCCACCAAATCATAGGGTGATAAATCAAGTCAAGTACAGTTTCTGCGATCCAAAGTTGAATGGTCATTTGGTATATGTATCCGTTTTATGCAAGTACCTGTTGTCAGCTTTCAAGTAATAGGCTGACGCAGCCTACTTGCACCGTCAGCCAGTCGCCTAGCCCTTATAACAATTTGCCTTTTCAAACTACCGCGGAATTATATCCTTGTCTCTTACTCGTATTACATCCCCTACAATCCCCAATTACCCCTGCATATACCATGATTATTATACCTTCCGCCTTTTTCGTATGCTTTCTCCCCTCCGTCGTTGCATCTCATGTCTCCATGTTCCCATCAATTGCCTCCCCAATCCAGAGCTCTTCAACTTTCGTGTTGAAGCATAACATTGTTGGAGATGATTTCTACAAATACTTTATCTGGGATACTTTTGATGACCCAACGCAGGGCAGAGTCAATTACGTTGACCAGGCCACGGCTAGAAAACGCAACCTCGCCTCAGGTACGCACTCAACGTTAAGTGCATGTGTCCATTCCTCAACTATCGAGCTTGACTTGTATTAGCGACTGCAAGTTCATTCATCATGAAAGTAGACGATACGAATATCGCCCCGAAGAACTCGAGAGGCCGCGACAGCAATCGGATTAGGTCTAATGAGACTTACACTGATTCAATACTTGTTCTTGATGTCAAGCATATGCCGTGGGGTTGCGGCGTCTGGCCGGCATTTTGGACCGTGACTAATGGCGAATGGCCTAACGGTGGAGAAATAGATATTATTGAGTCAGTTTTCCTCCAAGGAATAAAGTTTCTTAGTAGCTCATTCTCAAACCCCAGAGGAGTAAATCGGAAATTTGAGAACCAATGTACTCTTCATACGACTCCCGGGTGTCTTATGGACCACGATCGAAAGCAAACCGGGTCAGTCATCTTTTCCGTGTTGTGCTTCTGTACTTACGCTATTCGGCAGCATCTCGGTTGGGGACGACTGCAGCACACTCTCGGGTTGTGGAACAGCTTTCAAGAGTATCAGCTCTTATGGTCGCGTTTTCAATGAAAACAATGGCGGGTATTTCGTCATGAAGAGGACGCAGTCAGAGGGTGTATTCATCTGGTTCTTCGAGAGAAACGATCCAAGTACACCACTTGAGGTCAGAGATGGCAAATACGCTGGTCCTAATAGTTATTGGCCCACTCCAGATGCAAGCTTTCCATCATCAGACAAATGCGACTTTGCATCGCATTTTAGTGAACATGCGATTATACTCAACACAGATTTTTGCGTGAGTGAGATCCACCGACGTTTTTGTTCTACGTCGTGGTACTGACAAGTCACACTACTTAGGGAGATTGGGCTGAAAAAAGTTTTTCGCTGAACTGTGGTACAGGCTCGTGTGCAGCGTGTAAGTGACTAAGATCGATCTGATTCATAAAGTATCTTACGATGTATGTCCGGTTTCAGTCGTGGACAACAATCCTGAGCAATTCAAAGTTAGTAGTCTTTCTTTGGAAGACAGGATTGGATATTGATATTTCAACTGAACCTGCAGGATGCATACTGGGAGATACACAGCCTTCGAATTTATGTGCCTGCAAATCCGATTATTTGACTGAGGGATTGGCAACTGAGTTTGTGCGGATTTCGCGTATGATTGTCCAAGATCTTTAACCAACGTCAATTCAGAACAAAATTATGATACGGCGAGTGTAGTATTGGACGCGAAACGAAGCGTTGTAATACCAGGACTCAAGCCACAGTTGCTGCATCTCTTCCAGTCATTCGATTATAAAGGGATAGCATAATATTTTCCGCTGTGTCGTTCAGATACTCACATTCAAGAGTGACTGCCACACGTCTAGGCTTGATTGACATCAAAAAGTGTCAAGCTACAAACATGGTCAAACAACGGGATTGAGAACAAGACAGTACGACGAGACTAGGGGTGAAGCAGACGATGACGCACAACTTAGGACCGGAAGTTTCGATGTGAAGCACAAATCAAAACTGTAATCAAGACTGTCGTAAATATAATCCACGGTTTCTCGTCTCCTCGAAGTTGTCGATTCGGCATGGCTTTGCTGACATTTTAATTCCAACTGGGCTGACCAGCCGATCACGGGACCGTATCATACGGCGGTGGATAAGTCAAACAAACCAAACACCGTCGTTCATAAGTTTGAGTCCGGCAAATCAAATGGCAGCTGCCCAAAAGTCCTTGTGCAACTTCTGCGGACAGGGGACTGGACAGTTGATCTAGTACGTCCAATGCAATAAGAACGTGCGTGTACTCATCCAGCCACCTTGTCAGCCTCCTACCAGGACGCCGATCGGCACTGATTTCTCTCAATGTCAGCCCCTTGTCTAGCTTTAAAATGGCTTGGTTTTTAGAGGTTTTACGATAACACTCCTTTCATCCCTCCGATCATTACCACTCCAAAGTATCCATCCACGAAAAAGAACACTCCACAAGATGATGACTATACCGTCTGGTCTTCTTCTCGCATGTCTCCTTCCTGGTGCTACTGCATCTCTTGCCGCCAACTTGAGTAACATCCTTGGACAGCCCCCTTTGTCGCGCAATCCTTCAGCATTCATGTTGAAGCACAACATTGTTGGAAACGACTTCTTTAAAGAGTTCGAATGGGACGCCTCTGACGACCCAACACACGGTAGAGTCAATTATGTTGACAAAGCCACAGCTATAAAACGAAAGCTCGCCTCGGGTATGTATCCTCAATGTTGTTTGCATGTAACAACCCCCCATCTATTAAACATAACATATTAGCAACCGCGAATTCATTCATCATGAAGGTAGACGATACGAATATCGTCCCAAAGAATACTAGAGGCCGCGACAGCAATCGCATTAGGTCGTATGAGAGTTACACCGATTCTGTACATGTTCTCGACGTCAAGCATGTGCCATGGGGTTGCGGTACCTGGCCGGCGTTTTGGACTGTAGCTGAGAAAGACTGGCCGCATGGTGGAGAGATAGATATTATTGAGTCAGTTTCCTTCAACGGATCATAATTATTGTCGGCTAATTCCCTACGTTTCAGAGGAGTTAATAAAGAGCCTGTCAATCAGGCAACCCTTCACACGTCTCCCGGATGTCAGATGCCGCAGAACAGACCGCAGACTGGGTCAGCCGCATTCTTCGTACTAGAACATTCTACTCACATCGCGCTATAGGAATACCGTTTCGACAGATTGCAATGCCTTCGATAATGGCAATCAAGGTTGTGCGACCAGTTTCCAGAAGTCCAGTTCTTATGGCCCGGGTCTTAACAACAACGGTGGTGGGTATTTCATCATGAAGAGAACACAGGAAGACGGCGTATCGGTATGGCATTTCGGGAGGAACGACCCGAATACTCCACCCGAAGTCAAAGCTGGTGAATACATTAATCCTGGCAGTCACTGGGGTACGCCAGACGCTCGCTTTCCATCGACAGACAAATGCAACTTTGCGTCGCATTTTACGGCACACAAAACCATCTTTGATACCACACTATGCGTGAGTTATACTGTTCAACTTTCCCAAGGCGTTTCGGACTTTGAACCCACATTATAGGGAGATTGGGCTGGTAATGTTTTCTCGTCAACCTGTGGCAAAGGGTCATGTGAAGACTGTAAGTGGCTGAGCCCTTAACGCATTAATTGACCATTTAGTGATGTAATGTTCATACAAATTTTTAGTCGTCGATAAAAATCCTAAGGCGTTCGAGGTGGGTAGTTACCTTTAGAAAACGAGATTTAATTCTAATTACTTATACAAAAACTGCAGGACGCGTACTGGGAAATTAACTCCCTTAAAATCTATACACCCGGGGGGATGTGATCGAAGCGACGGGTACCGAATTCATTTGGGCTTTATGTATACTTATCTGAGGTTTTGGCCGACGCCAATTCAAACGAAGTGCATGTACGAGATGATGTACGATATGTTCCTAAAAGCAGACAACACGTTCCCGTGACCTGACTGAGTTTACACGCGTTGTTTACGCTTTCCATATAAGGCATAGTGGCCAAACAGTTCGAGTTAGCGTGCTGTCTGGCGATCGTCGTCAGTTGACTCTGAGTTGAGCACCGTGAGTTGTCTACCTTAAGACATGGCTGCCTCAAGAACCTGTTAACGACGCACGGCATGATAAAAAAAACAATAAAACATCATAGAAATTATCAATTGACGACCTCTAGCACCTCACGACTCTTGACGCTGGTTTCACGCTCACTGGCACACACACAAAAATGATCCCACTTATCCCAGCACTTGCCCTCTCCATTTTATCCTTGCTTTGCTCAGCATTCTCTATTTTCCGTATCCTGGTGCCCCTTATTCCGTATAATCGCATCCATCCGGTAATTTTTATGCATCCGTTGTTTATTCCGTTTCATTGACTGCCGCCTTCAATTTAGACTAGGAAGATACGTAAGACACTTTCCTTGTCACATGCAGATAAAGCACACCTCTGGCTCTCAGGCCTCGACATCATCTCTTTGCTGGTTTTTGTTTGGGAGGTATTCAACCAGAATCTCGCACAGACTACCAATCGCAGCGTTGGCACGGACACGGCGGCGTCTGCTCGCCTATTCCTCGTCCTGACATTGAGACAAATTTTTCTGCTCGGTATTTCCGCCGTCTCCCTCATTCAGGTCCGTAGGTCCCTACAAAGCTCATTTGGCATTTTTCACTGGCGCGTTTGGGTACCGCCATCCACTGTGACTGCCATCTCGACTGCCATCACTGGTATTTATGCTAGCAAGGGGATACAAAGCTTCCGGATTGGAGTTACCGCCTACATAATCTTCCTTGCTATATCTACCACAGCTGCAATCATCTTCCTCGTCGTGTCCCTCCGCGTTATTCAAGATAAACTCATGTCAAATAGCGAGTGGTATGATTCGTGGTATGATGCTATAACGGATGTGAAATCGAGTTACTCCTTCCCGACTGAGGATGTTGAAGCTCTCAAAGATGGAAGCTCGTGGATCACATCCGACGCAGGATCACGTCGCGACTCGATTTCATCATTTTCCTTCGAATCCACTGCACGCTCCGCGGAGACCAGTCACGATGTGAACAATCAGCAACAAGTCGGTGAAAGCTCGCAGCAGGATAGTTCGTGGCTAACAGAACCATCAGTTCCGCCTCGAACTATAACTGATTGGTCATTTTCAACAAATCCCGAAGTCAATATGGCGCATGCCAGTACTACGATGGATAACCATACTCAACTAGGGGTTAACCGAGCATCATGTCCTCTTACTCCGGCTCTATCAAGTACACAGTTTATTGGTCATTCCGATCTTCATCATCGTGGCGTTGGTGATAGAAATGACAGTTTCCAGACTTTTAACAAGATGTACACAAAGGACGACAGGGCACGTTGGATACGCATGGCTGGATGGCTTGCTTATATCTGGCTACCATTAGTGAGTATAATCTGTCTTCCCTGTTCACGCTTAGCTGATAGTCTTGCGACGTTTTAGAGCCTTGCTTTGCCTTTCATGGTTTCGACCTCACTTCACGGCCCGACTCCTGTGCTGTTTATCATTTCAATGACAGTTTCTGCTCCGTTACTCGCGTTTAACGTTTTGATTTCACCGTTGCCTATCACGACCAGCCTTATGGAAGATGTCTCGAATCTACCTAAGCTATCACAACTTGAAGGTGGCTACAAACGTAGCGCAAGTATCACTATTGTTGAAGGTCGTCGAAGTGGAGATGTTTGGCTTTCCAAAGGCGACGCTTTTGATGGTAAGAACAGGTTGAGCCGTGGGATCAGTCTCCTCTCCAAGGCTCCCAAGCTGGCCGTTCTTCCGGCGAAAGCAAGCAACTTCGAAGTCGATAACTACTGTAACATCAACAAATCTAGTACAGCCGAGTATCCTGTATGGGGAAATTCGGTAGCTACTTCTGCCTTTGTTGCTATTGATCCTTATCGCGGCGACGAAGTTGGTCAGTTATACGGTCCACATGCAACGAACGACAGGAATGACTTCTTAGTACGAAGTGGGAACTCGATGCGGTCGTTTTCAGGCACTAATTCGATGCCTGTAAGCAGAAGTTCCAGCATAAGCTCTGGCAGTTCGAAGGGAGATAGGATTCGGAAATTCCCCTTTACGACTAATTTGGAGACCATACTTGATACGAGCTTGAATACACCACAACGAGCAGTTCGTACGGACAACGAAGGTGGAATTTTCTTTCCCAGATCAGAAATGCCAAGTCATCCACATATACTGGCCTTGCAAGGTGCCGGAACTGCGTCCGACCAGACTCAGGAGGGTCTAATAGCTTCTGTGCGACTTTGCGATCAGCAGGACTCACCCAACGAAAGCGACAGCCTTTCGGCGGGACTACTTCCGCTCCTTGTACCTGGACTTAAAATCGGTTCTGCCAGTGAAGCCTATAAAACGCCTGAGAATAAACGGGAACGACCAAGCACACTCCTACCCTTTCCGTCTCCCGAAGACATGTCTACGCCAAAGCCACAAAGGTTGTGGATGGACGGCGTTGATGTTCCGGAGCAAACCGAGGATGTCTTCGGTGGAACTGACAACTGCAAGGTTCAGAGGAGCAGAATCCCGCGATGGTCGCAGGGATTGCAGAGGCCTACGTCGTCGATCGCACCTATCGGCGAAATGGTGAACCAAGGTCGGACTGGATATGCGTTGCATACTGCCATTGATGACGGACAGACTCGGCCTTACAGACCATCAATGATCCCCGTACCCGTACGCCTGCAAGGAGCTGATGTCGAGTACACCATTGAACGTGCACCATATGCTTCTCGCTACAGGGGTAACAGTTTGGTCTCTGAAGGTCAAAATCTACCTTTGTCCCGTCTGCCAAGGTTGGCTAGATCAGCATCTGATAAGAGGGCACCAGTTGTCCGTCACCAGCCAGTATAGCCCATAGAACTTTGATGGCTATCACATTCTTGGCTAGTACAAACGTATAAATCCAACCTCAACACTTCATTAAATGCCCAAGGTATTGCTTTTTCATGACTTCATGACCGTAACGTCGTATCTATATGTAAGCTTATGTCTATTTCGCCTTTTTGCTTTGCTACGTGCCTTGCTTTGAATTGCTCTCCGCCTAATCCTTGCTGTTCCATAAATCCCATAGACTTTGTCCCTTGTTTTGTTTGAGTATTTATCCACGTTGATCGTCGATGCTATCCGGTTTCGTTCCGTTTCATTGTACATTGCTCGCTTTTGACGTTTTGAAAGAAACTAGCTCAGTTGATGTAAATTAGCCGTTTGCGAAGTATAAAAGTGCCTCAGTCCTAGTATAGTCCCTTGCTTCGTCATGCTTTCCAACATCCATCCTGCAGATTTATTACAGCGATATGATAAAAGTTTACACGCCAGGTCCGAATAAACTCAAATACGCTATCTGCGGAGCACCCTCTCGGACCTGCTGTCCACAATACGCCAACACGTGTTTTGAGGGGTGCCATGTAACTGCAGAAGCAGGACCAATGGATTGTATGCGATGTAGGGGTAAGCCAGTTTCCACAGCACACTGAAGAAGCGTTGAGAATGAATCATTTTGAGATAGAGATACGAGTAGCCGTACTCACCACGTCAATATACGAGCCTTGACTCGCTACTGCAAGGTATTCCCCATCATGCGAGAAACTTAGTGACGTGATTGAGTGGCTACAATTAGGACAAAATCATAAATATCAGACGGAGAGAAGTTGTTTAGTCGTATATGACACGCACTCGCAGCATGTAATGGTGTTCACGCAGATCCATTCAGTCATGTCGAAAATGTCGATTATAGAGTCGTTTCCACCTGACGCGAGATATCTGTGCACGGAAATTCGATCATTCTGAGAATTGGTGAATGGTTTCTATGACCAGGACACTGACCTTCCGCGAGGATCCAATGCGACAGCCAAACAACCTCCAACATGTGCAGCGGGTTGTTCACGAATTTGTAGGGACGGATAATCCACAATCATCACCGTGTTCTGACGGAAATGGCTTAGAACCAATCCGTTCCCTGCGTGATTGAATAAAGCTGTTGAAGCGCTGAGCTAGCTGCCCGTTAGCCTATTATTCCCAATTCGCATGATTTATTGCTGCATGTGGGGATACGTACAGGTTCACTTTTGATGACACTCCATTGAGGTTTTGCCTCGCCTGCGGCATGTCCGTGGGTCATGAAACTCAATTGGTTGTTTGTCAAGACGAAACAAATGGTCTTCCCATCGGGTGCATAGTTAATCTGCGACGGGGCGTAACTGCTACTCGGAGTGATAACTTGAACTGGTCGGCTTTCTGGAAGTTCAAGCGGCTGTTGCGTTAGATCAGAGAAGAAGGGCAGAACGTATAGATAATCGAATAGACATACGCCGGGCATCCCAGAAGACGATCTTGCGATCTCTTTGGCTTGAAGTACAGAAGAGCTCTGGATGAGTCGGATTCCATGTCACATAGTCAACGTCGTAGTCGTGTCCTCCGACATATTGGACGGCACTAAAAGGAAATGTTCCGGTATTGAGAAACGAGTCGTAGATGCCGAGCAGCTGGATGAGCACTTCACCTACGGGATTCAAGCTGATAGACATTAACAACTCTGCCTTAAGGTATAAGAGAAAGACTTACACTCTTCTCGGGAGTCCATATCCTCACGGCTTTGTCAATCCCAACAGACGCTAATCTGCGTCCATCACAGCTCCAAGCGACATGTGTTACAGGATGAATCGACGTGAATCGGAGATCTCGTGGTTGAAATGAAGAGAACGAAGGAGTCTGACATCAGAAATAAGCACCAGGGCAAGGTGAAAGATATGGAATTGGATATCGCACATGGACACCGCGTGAAATATGCGTTATGTGAGGCGGTGGAGAAGGATACCGAGCAGGCTCTACGAACTCGTCGACATCTTCAGGCTTGTTGCCTTTGGACGCTCTGTTGGCCATCTATGCAGCTTTATCGTGTGAAGAGGTGAGCGCGTCAGAAACAAAGCCTCGAGAGTGATCTGCGTCTTTGATCAAAGCTTCAAGTTCAACAAATCATTTGACTTCCGTCGCCTGAAATGGCTGCCCGAAACCTTGCCTTTCGTCTCTCACTTCAGGTGCGGAACACCGCAAGTCCTCCGTGAGTCTCATTAATCCTGAAACTTAATCTTGCGTTGCGTTCATCTCGACCATACACATGAATACTTACTTTTACCTCGTACATTAGGATACCTCAAGCATACAAATGGGCTGAATCATATGTACAATCAAAGGACAGGCCACTTCTCGATATGTCCCAAGGTGTACCGGGCATACCACCGCCTACTAAACTCCTCGAAGCCCTTGGTAAAGCTGCATCGGATCCCCGATCTTGTGGATATTGCCCTATGACCGGGGAACCATTACTCAGAGCTTCTCTTGCACAAGAAATGCGGCTTGTCTACGGAAAGAATAGCGATATCATTCCTGATGATGTTGCTCTGACCGCCGGTTGTAACATGGCTTTCACCACAGCTATTATGGCTGTTGCAGATGCGGGGGACGAGGTTATTCTTCCAGTTCCTTGGTATGCCTATTCTTCTTAGAGCATTAGGCAATAGGATAGAACTGAGCTTCTGACCGTAGGTATTTCAATCACGAGTCTGTTATTTTCCTTAACACCACGGTATCATTACATCCTCATAGTATTTCGAGCGCAGGATGACACTTCAAATGCTAGGAATAAGCCCTGTACCTCTTCAAACGACTTCACGCGAAGGCTTCCAGCCATCACCAGAGAGGTGTGCAAAACTAATCACGGAGAAGACGAAGGCAATTATACTCGTGTCTCCTAACAATCCCGTATGTTCCATTTGCCGATACTCCGTGTATAAGTCCTCATGATGAGGTAGACTGGTGCTATCTATCCTCCATCGTTAATTTCCTCGTTTGCTCGTCTTGCGAGACAGCGGAACGTGGCACTGATAATAGACGAAACGTACCGCGATTTCATTTTGGATGAGGTACCACACCGTCTTTTCGTTCCTGGACCGTTACAGTCGTCACCGGGGTTGCCATCGGACTGGACCTGGAGGAGACACTTCATTCATCTTTTCTCATTCTCTAAAAGCTATTGCATCCCTGGACATCGTTTGGGTGCCATAGTCGCTTCGAGCGGAGTTCTGGAGCAAGTGAAGACGGTCCTTGACTGCATACAAATATGCCCGCCAAGACATGTCCAGTTGGCGTTATACCCTTTACTCTCGGAGCTTCGCCCCTTTATTCGTGAAACTGCTCAGTCACTGGTACACCGACACGAGTTATTCAGGTCCTTACTTCCTCCAAGGTGGAAGATTGGATCTCAAGGAGCCTACTACGCATTTGTTCAGCATCCTTTCAAGGATGTATCAGCTACGGAGGTAAGCCGAAGAATGGCGATCGAAGGAGGGATAGTCACGCTTCCTGCGGGATTTTTCATGCCTCTGCAGCCTTTGACAAAGGAAGAGGAGCTAGTCAAGGACAACAGCAGGTGGATTCGCTTCTCAGTCGCTAATGTGGACGATGACAAGATCAGGAAGGTCTGTACTAGACTAAGGGAGTTAGAGGACACGTTCGGTTGGGCACTTCACGAATAGATGGGAAGTTTGACCTCGTGTTCATTGTTGACAGGATAACAATGATATGGTTTAATCGTCTGCATATCTGATAAAAGATGCTGTTGATTTGCTTGATGACATCTGCGTTGTAGGTATTGACTGGGGCTGTCCTCCTTTCCCCCTGACTCTAGGTTGCACGGATCTGAATGTTGTCGTTTCACCCTCTTGCCCACCAGTGTCTCGAAAGCAAGTTGTATGGACTGAATGTAACCATCCGTTATATATTACACTACCCAGGAAGTTGTTATCTGTGCATATACGTTTTCCCTGGGCTGTACGATCGCGTGTTTGAGTGTATGCATCGTGGCCAAAATAAGAATGTGCTACTGCGTGAAATGCATACATAAGCTGAATATCGGAATGGGCCGCCGCTCATAAGGAACGTCACCCAGGCCGCTAAACGAGCACGATATCGCTTCGTCCCCAAGTCCATCGTCTCGCATGACGACGACCAAGTAGCTTCAGAGCTCGTCTACTGGAGGTAAGTTATTTGTTGTCTATGCTCTTTCAAATGCTGTGCCTGGGCCCTTTGGCCATGGCCTTCGTACTCCGATAAGTCGCTGACCGTGGCTCGTAGCTTATTGGGAAGCTTGACACAGGAGTCCAGCCATGATGGCCAGCGGTCAGGCGTTGAACCCCACCTCAGTACCTTTCTTCCCATCTGCCTTGGGCTCGAACGGTGCTGAGCAAGCAGGTGGAGGTACTGGCCTAGGCTTCAAAGTCTCTCCAATGGATAGGGACCGAGAGCCATCGCGTGCATCCTCCATCACGTTCACCACCTCAGACTACCGTTCCGTCAGTTCATCACCTATTGGGTCGACATTGACGACGGACAGTGGTGACGGTCTCGTACGAACTGGTTCGGGATCAAGCTCTCCCGGTTCGTCCGCGCCGGGCCAGCAGACAATGACAGAAGAGAAGGATAAAAAGTCGTTCAATTTGTCGCGTCCCTTTCAACCCCAGCGTGACGGTGAATCCGTTATTGCACCACCCAGCGGCAATTTTGATGGCGAAGAAACTCCGGGGCCTCGTGCAATTCATCAGTGGGTTAAGGCGCAGGCGCCAGTCAACCCAGGAAATGACGCTGTCGACTTCGCGACATCTACTCAAGCGTCTCTCCAAGACTTTCACTTTAGCCAACCCACTGTGCCGACTCCGAATAGGTCATTGACTAACTCTACGTCCCATTCGTTTAATATGCCATTCAAGTCAACCTCCCCGGTATCCTCTATCGGCTCTGCTAGTATCAACACGTCCAGCATTGACCATCCTATGAGTTTCGAGGCACAAATCAAAAGTTCACCGACTATTCGAGATCTCTTGGAACGTCTTACTAGATGCGAGTTCTCTAACCGAGAAATCCAGCGAGAGCTTGCTGAAATGCACATCAAGGTTAATTTCCTTGTTGAACGATCTCTTGGCTCTTTCTCGTCTGAGCCGGAGTTCAAAAATCCATTTGCTCCATCGAATTCCATGTCGCGAAGCTTGACGCCCTCAGGAGGCCCAGGTCCGCTGCAACCGGCGGCCCCTCATTCCGGTCCGCCTGGCAAACCGGATGAGCTTGCGCAGTTGTCTAATAGGATCAACAACCTTACTACTTCTGTCGGTCAACTGCTTGCTTTGCAAACTCAGCAGCATATGTCAGGCCTTCAGCAAAGCTTTGGTCAACCTCCCGGGTTTGTAACGACCCCTAACAACCTCGAAATCGCCCCGAACCAAAGTATCCCTCATGCCGTGAACAATCAGGGCATACCTGGACACGGGCTTCCAAACAGGCCGGATCTACGTCCGTCCCCGCGCGTTCCAAATCCTCCTATGCGTACCTGGTCGGCAGGAACGTTGGAATTACCAATGCGCCCGACGGATATGGGTCTGGGAAGACCAGATAATATGTCCCGTGACAAACGGAGGTCAGTGGCCGGCTTGATGAGACGGGATTCGGCTGGTGTGAGTATCAGAAGTTTAACATTCATTGTTGCGTCGCTGACTCGCTTGAAGATACCCGATTCTCCTAGTGAACAATGGCTTGGACAGGGAGCATCACCTCGGGAGTCTGGACCAGTTGCTACAAAGTGGGAACATCTCCCTCTTGCCCCCGAATTATTGCGTTCGTTGAACAAATTTGGGTGCGTTCAGTTGCAAGCGGGTTCTCTTTGTTCTTTATCTCACGCCGCTCCAGTGTTGGGCCGCCCAACAAAATCCAGCAAAGAGCTTTACCATTCCTTCTCAGAGGTTCCGACATTATAGCCCAAGCACCGCCGACACAAGAGCGAATTGCGGCATACGTGATTCCTGCAATTCATGTTGCCGTTACGCATATGAATCAAAGAGCAGTCAGCCGCGGACCCATCGCCGTCCTCATTTCTACCACGGTAGACCAGGCGACGCAATCACAGCGCATCATTCGAGATCTCGGCGGTGCCATTGGTGTGAGATCAGCTTTAGGCGTGGGCTCAGTTGGACCGAACGGCGATGTTTCGCAGGAGCTCCGTCTACTTCAACAGAGCATGCCTCACATTATTTGTGGAACTCCGCAGAAACTCCATTCACTCTTTACTTCACCCGGAGGACTATCTGGTTCCGAGGTCCGCTTCCTTGTGTTGGACGAAGTTGACCAGTTGATAGCTCGCAACCTCCATGAATTCGTTTTCAACATTGTCAAATTGCTCCCTCCACCACGCTCTCGTGGGACAGCTTCAACAGCTTCAGGACCTAGTCCAGCAACCCCCTCGCAACCACAACTGACCACCCCAGACGTAGGTGGAAGCAACTTATCTGCATCGCCGTTCCCCCTGAACAACGGAAGACGTTTCTCGGCTATCAGTGTTACAGGATCTAATGAGGCGACTGCTTCCAACGCCGGAAATACCCCGCAGATCGAGCGACAGACAGCTTTATTCTCCAATACAGTTCCACAGGACGTTTTGAACTTGGCGAACACCATTCAACTACGCGAGCCCGTCCGCGTGCTTGTTAGGCGCGATGGCAACGTCACTCACGCTGACACAAGTCAAGGTACTAAAGGCCTTCGTCAGTTTTATTTGTATCTTGCCTTCACAGCTTCCGGCGCTCGTTCTGACCCATCGACGATGAATGCTGGTGGTGGACACGGCATTATTGGGTCTGGAAGAAGTGTCTCTACAAGCGCCGTAGCTAATCAAGCGAGAGAATGGAAGTTGGATGCACTTGCAGATTTGTTGGATGATCTTGAAGTGCTACAAATCATTGTCCACGTAGGTGGACTCACTGCTCTCGACGCTGTTGTCTATAAACTTGTTAGCAAAGGTCATGAGGCAGTCCCTCTGGTTCGTATAACGCATGATTGTTTGTACGTTTGTTTCCTGACGTATGCTTTACAGCACAGCGATATGAACGCAGGTGCCAAACTAGCGGCTTTGAATAAGTTTAGGAACTCTACTGGCACAATGATGAGACAACCTTCGACGAAGGTGCTGGTTGTCTATGATGTACAAGTTAAAGCTCCGGATGTGTTCCAAGTCCCGCTGGTTATAAACTATGGTAATGTCACTGTTCGACGTCATTTAAAGGGATGACACTGACGACAATTTTGCAGATCTTCCGCAAGCAGTGGAAGAATATGCGCATCGGTAAGGATCCATTCTCATATGGTAACAATGTTCTGACAGTGCTTCAAACAGTGTCGCCCCAGCAATTGCTAACAATTACTCAAAGGCTGGAGTAGTTGTTAATTTCGTCACTGCCACTGGAGGGGATGTTGAAATGTTGCGTTCTATTGAATGTTTCTATAAGTAAGCTTTGTCTTCTTCTTGTGTGCTAACGCGTCACTGACTCGATTTTCAAATAGAATCAAATGCGTAAGTCCTCGTAGCATACGTCAAATTCTAAGCTAATATCTTTCTTTGGATAGCCCGAAGTCCCTCTCAGTCTCCGCGATCTATTCTAATGGTTCCTTGACTCCTTGCTTCTGTATCAGTAACTCCTTGCTCTGTGTCATTGTTGACTCTTATCTCCAAGCCACCTATATTGGACATCTACTCAAATATCTGTTTCATACCCTTGTCACGGCCCCATGCCTCATTGTGTTATTAACTTGGTAGCTTTCTAACTGTGGATTACTGAACTGACTTCTTAGCCTCCCATGTACACCATATAGCTTTACCTTTGTTTGTCTGCATTTTTGGAATATAGTTGTTTCATATGTTGTCCGGAAAGAAAAGGTCTAGTTATAGTTGAATACGTATGATACGGAGAGTGCCGTCTTCGCTACATGTTGCTAGTTGGTATGAAGAGGAATCATCCTTCTTTTGTCTGGGTCGCCAGCTCATGCGGTTAATCTGGCCAACGTGGGCAACACTGGTTGGTATCCTTTATCAGACCGCGCAACTAGTCATTTCGCGGAAATATACTGACCTGTTATTCAAATGAAGCCGTTCATGCCACTTGTCTGGCTCCTGTGTTGACCCGGAATAAATCACGACCTCGCCGTTTTCCAAGCCTACAGCCAATAATCGCCTGAATTCGCAAGTCAATATAAAAGATTGAACGCAGATTATCGACGAATGCGATCTACCTCTTGTCCATTGAAGCTGGGGCAAGTGCTACGGCAGTTGTGGCTTCTTTTGTTTTTATGGTTAGTCGCGGAGTTTGCTTCTTAGATGGAAGGTCTTGCAGGTGCCAGATCTTAACCTGGATTGAAAGTCATGTAAAAACAATCAGTTGTTGCAACAGCAGTAGGAAGCAGGCCTTACAGTTTTATCTCGTGATGCAGTAACGAAGATGTCATTTTCCGGTGCCCATGCACAATCCCAGATTATTCGTGCATGAGATTTGTCTGCTTTCTTTGTGACATATCCGCCTGGTGAACAAATAAACATTAATTCCAGAAATAATAATCAGGTGTGCTGTTCACACACCATCCGTAAGTTCGTACATGCACCATGTCCGATCTCGAGAAACAGACAGGATATAGCGATCATCTGGGCTGAACGCGATGCGCGTTATCGTTAGCTGGTGTCCGGTCAAAGTCTGACCAAATGGCTGCCAGGTCTTAGTGTCATAGATTTTAATCCCTGCGTGTTCGGGCGACGTCGCTCGACATGATGTTGCAACGAATTTCCCGGAATGCGAAGCTGCGATTGCATGGAGCTACACTTGCGTTAGAGATCAAATGAAATTAAGCAGAGGGAATGAGCGAGTGCTTACTTCGTATCCATGACCGAACACCTTCTCTATTTCGGGCCAAAGAGTAGATACGGCGAGTTCACCTTCGAAAGGTCGGCGTTGTGTCATGAACACAGATGGCATTGGGAAATGAGCTTCGGTAGAATCAGCTGTGGACCGGTCAGTGAACTGTACATCACAATAGAGATATCAATTACCTCCAGTTACTGCTTTATTGGACAAGCCTAGAGGGGGAACGGAAGCTGCCTCGGGCCTCTATGCACGATATTCTTCAGTATAAGCATACTGATTCAAATTAAAATGAACCTTACCTCGCTTTCGTCTCCATAAGCTGATTCCGACAATATCCCAAGGTGTTTGCTTAACGAGATGAAGCTGCGCGGAGCATCAAATACTCGAGCAACCTTCTCATCAGCGATACTGACAAAACGCGTCGGACCCAGGAAGACTGCATCGACCAGATCGTACCCGTGCACTTGCGGACGGCAAATTTCATGCCAAGACTCAAATTCATCTCGTGAACCTGACTTGGTATCTCCGTGGATGCGCGTCGTCTGGTCCGGTCTATCGAGAAACGATTATCGTACTCAGCTCTGAAAACAACTATCATATCTATCTTACCCAGTCGAGATTAAAAATTCCCCACCGGGACTCCAAGAAACGCTCCGAACCGGTCCGTTGTGCCCAGTGATCGCGTTCACTTCTCTCCAGGTTTCCCGGCCAATTGATTGCGATTCAGCTCTCCACCGTCTCCATCCGCATGCCCAACCCCAAGCAAGCGCGTCAGCTCCATTTCGCGCCCAAACCGCACCAACAAAGCCGCCTAGTCTCTGTCCACCGATATCACCAAAGCGCTGTTGATTAATCCACAAAGACGTAGACTCGCTCGCTGTTGCTTTGACAGATGTTGGAGCCCATAGGATAAGCGATGAATCTGTTGAAGTTGATAATAGCATCGGACGGGAGGGCTCGGAAGGTCTCCAAGCCAATGAGGTTATGCCGGCTTCATGGCCAATTAGGAGGGCGTCGAATGTAATTGAGTATTGTACGGAGCTGGATACACGATCGATGGGAATGTGAAAATCTGCAGTATGAATTTCTTTACATACCTTCCGTTTTTATTTTTAGTCGCAAACACATGGCGTTTCAAAGAGATTTGCCTTCCGCCTTCCTCACCTTCTGCTACCTCCCCAAGCGCAGCTTCGAATGAGTCAAGCAGGTCATCGCTAAGAACATCGGATGGTTGGTCGGAGAGTTTTGTTTTGACAACAGGCTCAATGTTCCATAATCGAATTGTTCCATCTTGTGAACCAGATGCAAGAGTAAGAGTTGAAGGACCAGACATGTCATGTGTAAATGCAAGACTCTTGACCCAGCCTTCGTGGCCTGGTAATGATGCCGCTCGCACAAACTATTTCAAATGCTTAGTTATTCACAACGAGTAGAAAACAAGAGGAGCTTACTTTGTCTTCAGATAGACTGAATATCGAAACGTCCTGCTCCGTCCCAGACACAGCCAGTATGACACCTTGGGGGGTAATCAACAACGGAGATACCGGTACGTTGACAAGTACTCACCATCAGATCCAGGGAGACTCGTCATCTGAATGTCGAGAGGAAACCTGCCCTTCAAGCCTATCTTTTGAATACCCTGGAACTCGTCTGAATGAAATCAGTTCCGACAATATGAACCTTTCCGGATTGTTCTTACCTTTTGCATCTTCTGGAGTAAAGACGTGTTTCCAAATCACAATTGTTGCGTCCGAGGATCCTGTGATAACATAATCTCCATGAACAGCTAACGCAGAAATTCCATTAGGATGTGCTTGCTCGACCCTCGTACATGACCACTTGGGACGAGATGCAATCATCAGGGAGTGCGATTGATGCAGGTACTGGAAGCATACCTTGTTATCCACAAGTCTCCAACAACTTAGGAACCCTTTATCATCCGCACTCAATAAACAATTTCCTCTAGACTTGAAACGGACGCAGGTAACGAGACTGTCATGTCCTGGTAAAGTTTGGAAGACACCTGTACTATCATCTTCCTGAGAAATTTGTCAATCAAGACATACCTAGGCATAAAATAAAAATAAGAGAACGCACTTCAGCAGACCACAAAGCTACGAGGTTTGACGATCCAAAAGCAACCAAAGACGAGTCGGATGAATGTGCAACGCGAGAATAACGGTTCGCAGCTGCGCTAATGTAGTCGATCAATACACTTGCAGTAGGGCTATTAAATTAACACTGTTAGAAGGCTCTAATCTAAAGACGAAATTGTTGCTTCGCACCTGTCGGCCAGCTGGCTTGAAGTCATCGGAACCTTCTGTTTGCGCGTCCTCTGACTACTGTAATTCAATCCAATTATTTTTCATTTCCTGTGAGCAAAAGAGATTACCAACGCTTCTCTAGGATATCCTAAATTCTTCCGCAAATAATTTCTACGCGTGGAACTTGATATCCAAGTGCTTGAGGGTCCTAGTCAAGAAGCAGGAGACCGAAGTGGTTATATGCAGAAGCAGAAAAATGCGACGCGTCTTGCGCCTTCGCTTCCGAACTCATCATCACTCATTTGCTGCTGTCTCTTCTCCATCCTCCCTAAATCTCCCGCTAGTACATGATCCTCGGAGTTGGCATTGATATCGTGCATCTGCCTCGAATTGCATCTTTGGTTGCTCGAAGAGGGTCTGAACGGCTTGCGCAACGTATCCTTAGTCCTAGAGAACTGCCGCATTGGCGGTTAGAAAGCAAGGATGCTGTTCGATATCTTGCCGTAAGGTGAGTTGGATTCACCAATGCTACGTATTTATGGTTTCTTACTCGTCCAAGATTCAGCGTGAAGGAGGCAGCATATAAGGCATTGTATCCTGTTCGTCCCACATGGAAGGAGCTATCATACCTCAGCTTCGGAAATCCTGTCCCTGACTGTAAACCATCGCTATTGTACGAGCCCGCCAGTCCTTCAACAAATGACCAAATTGGAAAATTACACGTCTCCGTCAGTCATGACGGCGAATACGTTGTGTCTACTGTCATCGCCGAGGCACCACGATAAACAAGATTATTATCCATTGATTGTATTTTATTCCAACGTTCCGCCCTAACTACTAGTATTGCTTCATTCCTGTCGTGGCCACCAATCCGGCCACCAATGTGATATTCTCCAAGTTTCATCTATATGGAACTTCAAGATCCCTTTCTCTACAAGTTCGACCTGTTCCATTCGCAGAAGCGCTAAACCTACACCTTGCGTCGAGCTCAGCAGCTTTCCGGTCCCGCGTACTCTCGGTTTTGGCTCGGTGGAGTTCTCGTGGTACTCGGTTCGTATGTCGCTGTTAATAGGTAGTGGGGAGATTGCACTTCCCTCTTTCCCGCTTCTGGTCAAATTGTTAGTATACACTAATTCTGTACGATACGGCAAGTTTCACGGTTACCTAGTAATATGTACGGGCAAGATTCGTTTACGCAGGACACCAGTGTGATACGTTCGGACCGTCAACTCCTGTCCAACATAGCAGCCTTTCCTGAAATCCACTATTAAATTGGTGAGTGGATATTGGCAGCATAAACGACTGATTTCTTACAACCGCCCATAACGTCGAGATTCGATTCCATCGGGAACGCATGCATAGGAGGTATGTCGTCGACGCCCTCTGGTACGTCATGCAATATTCGATGAAGAGTATAAGCATCATGGCCAACAGCGTCATGTGTCGATGCTTGTGCTGCTACAGCGATATTTCAGTACATTCACCCGGTCGTTGGCAATGACTACTCACGTTTGTCCCGGTTGCGAACCAGTACTCTGCATCCCATCCCCACAGCCCTCCTATCTCGTAACGAGAGGCTTTCTACATCCCCATCCTTCCAAGGCCATTCCTCAAAAGCGTCCCAGACAGGTTCAATGACCCCACTTCGTGCCCAATTCCATTGTCGCGGAGTCTCCCATTTCTTCGTGTCTTCGGAACCCCAAACAGACCAAACATCATATTCACTCGACACGTCCTCAACTCTGACTTTCGATCTTAGGATAAAGCGTTTCAGAGTTTGCAAGAGCGGAGGTGCCTCTGATTGTCGAGAGTCGTATTCAATAAAGTAACCATCGTTGCCTCGGGCGTTCTTCTTAGGATAAACAAAAATATCATAGAGTACTCGCCCCTGACATCGAAATAGCGTATTCAGTGACGATACTAGAAATGTTAGATTAAGGCTGCACCTGTGCGTGAAGTAATGCTGAGAAGAACGGTCCGCGAGGTGGACTCGGAACAGTAGACGATACGACGCCGTTGAGGAATTCAGTCGCCTGCGAGCCAGAAAGGTAAAGAAGTGCTCTGTGGGGTACAGGAGCAACTGTGGGTGTTAGGCGCAAGAGATGGCGCACAGCTGCTGGCGGCATGGATTGAAGAGGCAGACGCGCTCGGACACGGGACGTGCGTCAGAGTCGGCTTCCAAAGTTCAAGTGAGTGTCTACTGCTTACTGTTACCACCATGTCCTCTTCATGCCAGGACCTCGTCGTCTTACTCAAGGAATGCCTCATGCGCTCGGACTGCGTTGTCAAAGATGGTCGGCTACCATCTGACTGTCTACGACACCACACGGATGAGTTACCTGACGAATGCAAGTCTGTTCGGACGGCACTATTCAACTGCAAACGCGGGATGGTACGTGCACTGAAATTTCATAAGGTCTTACATCAGATATAATCGAAGTGTTATCTTGTTTGCTATATAGTTGGATATGCGAAGACGATTTAGAGGGAACAACCCTGGATATGTTCCTCCTCCGAGTACGACAGGACAAAACCCGGTAGTTCCGGCGAGCGTTTCGTAAAGCCAAAGCCAACTTCAAACCGAAGGGTATCTGAACGGGATTTTTTTTCCTGGTGAGCCCTATCCTTAGTTTTGTTCGACAAGTACTAAATTGCTAAAATACTGCACTGTAGCTTTATTGATTATACGCACTAGGCAGAATAGATTGTGGACATATTTTCGCTGGAGTTCTACACTGGATATTTTATCATGCGTTTTATCCTGTATTATACTTAATAATATGTTTGTACTGGTACGATACTTATATGCATGTGTCCCAAAGTTTTACGAATATTCAAAACATCAGCGTTTCGTTGAATGTCCGATCTACTCCGCAAACGCGTTTCGCGTCGCAGACGTCTCTTTCTCACTCTCCCACTGTCTTGCTTGTGCTACCGAAACAACCGCCAGTCAATCTGAATGGTTCTACTCTAGGACTCTCACTTCTTCTCCGGAATAACTGTAGTTCAATCATGCCTAAAGTACCTCCAAGCACTATTGCCGTCCTTGGAGGCGGCATCACTGGCCTGAGTGCTGCTTTTCATCTCACGCGTCGGTTCCCTCAAGCGCGCATAATTATCTTTGAGAAATCTAGTCGGCTAGGCGGATGGATACGAAGTCGACGTGTCGAGGTCAAGGATTCAGTTGGCAGCACGGCACAGATGTTGTTGGAGGCAGGTCCGAGGACGCTTAAGCCAAACAGCCCAGCATTATTAGAGTTGGTGAGATGCATCGAACATACCTAGGCTAAACTAATGACCTGGAAGGTGTAGACAAACCTGCTTGGCCTAAATTCCTCCTTACTTACCGTCCCTAAATCATCCCCGGCCGCCAAGGATCGATACTTACATAGGCCTGGAACTCGCGGCCTGCTTTCCCTACCATCCTCGCCATTCTCCGTCTTTACTTCGCCTGGGGCCACTGCGCACCTTTTACAAGGCATCTTAATCGATTTAATACGAATTAAAAACAGGAATAAGGACGTGATCGATGAAACTGTAGGCCGCTTTCTGCAGCGTCGCTTTGGTCCGAATTTTGAACGGATGTTTGGTTCTGCTTTGGTTCATGGTATATACGCTGCAGATGACAGGAGGCTCAGCGTCAATGCGGCGTTCCCTAGTCTATATGAAGCAGAAGAGCGTGGCAATGGTATTGTCACTATGGGACTGTTTTCGAAAATGATGGACCGTTTCAGGTTCAATGAGGCGTCTCAAGAGGTATCACAAGACGACTACGACGTTGGCGAATTGCGAGACTTGATGAAGGATACGTCTGTATTCTCGTATGTTGACGGGATTGAAACACTCCCGAGAGCGCTATCCACTTATTTACGCAACTCTGGGAAGGTGACAATACGCACTAATGCTCCTATGAAAGAGTATTATCTGAAGGCCGACTTAGCAGGCATTAGGGTGATTGTGTCTTGATTGTAAACCAGATCAGCCTTCTCACTGTTCTTCTAGATCGTGCTGGAGAATGGCGAGGTAGTTGATGTTTCACATGTGGTTGCGGCTATGCCGCCACCACTATACTCCAGGCGTGGAGAAACGACTCCCCCATTCGCTCGTAGTGTTCAGGTTGAAGTCCCTACGTCGTCTGTCACTGTCATCAACATTGTCTTCCCTCCTTCAAAGCATCCCATAATCCCTCCAGGATTTGGTTACCTCGTACCCCGTCATAGAGATGGATATGAGAAACATAATATCGGTTTCCTTGGCACGGTTTTCGACTCAAACATGCTGTCTGACCAAGACCAAGGTGCTAGTGGTTTTATAAAACTTACGGTGATGATGGGAGGACCGTACAGCCTCACACCATCGCATACGAAGATAGAGAATGTCTTGGCGCAGCTACAACTTCATCTATCCCCGATAAATCATCGACACCAAGGTACACGCTTACCATGGCCCGTTTACTACGAAGTGGTGGAAAATAAGAAATGTATTCCGATACCTGAGATCGGGCATCTTGTTAGGAGAAAGCACTTGAGGGAAGCACTACAGCGGTCTCCGTGGTTTGGCCGTATGGAAGTCATAGGAGCTAGTTACGACGGTGTCAGCGTCGCTGATTGCGTTGAAGCAGGTAGAAATGCTGGAAAGGATTGGTGAAAGATAAGTGGTTCATTTCACGTTTCTATGGCCTAGCCTACTAGGATCGTGCGTAGCGATAGTGCTTGTTCGTCAATTAATATCGGTGCTATAGCATTAATATTATTGTACAAGTATTACTGCCATTTTGACTCGAATTTACATGTTATTTGTGCCACTTTAAAACAAAGTTTGCGATGACGTAACCAGAAACTTTACACACACCAATTTCCTTCAATCCCTTGTCGTCCCGCACGAACGGAACACACTGCGCAACCGCCATGCGATATGCTGTTCTCGTTACGGGTCCAGCAGGAGCTGGAAAATCGACGTTCTGTCGGTCGTTTATGACCCATCTTCAAGCTGCAAAGCGGACAGGGCATCTTGTCAACCTTGATCCAGCTACTGACCCCGAGTCATTTGAGTACGAGCCGAGCATAGACATTCGCGATCTCATTAGTCTGGAGGATGTCATGAGTGAGCTTGGATATGGGCCGAATGGGGGATTGTTGTATTGCTTCGAGTGAGTGAGTGTGTCTTCGTGTGATATGACTTCTTGCAACAAGTGATTATTCACATATCTGACTGCCTTGCCTGGTAGGTATCTTCTAAGTAACATGGACTGGTTCGAGGAGGAAATCGGCGATTACGACAACGATTATCTTATTTTTGACTGTCCTGGTGTGCTGCTTCGTTCCTTCTAGTGCAAATGTACGCGTATTCGTTTCTGACGAGTGGGTGCAATTCGGACGGACAGGTCAGATCGAACTCTACACGCACCACCGGTTCTTCCCCACCCTCGTGTCCAACCTAAGCCGCCTTGGGATTCGTACATGCGCAGTGTACCTCATCGAATCTCAATTCATGGAGGACAAGTACAAGTTCTTCAGGTCAGCCGGTAGCGGCCTTTTTTCATATCACAAGCCATAGCGCTAACTGAACTGAATTCATCATCTTCATATGAACGGCATCATGTCGGTTTGCTCCGTACTTGACTCATTTGATACTCATCACGCCAATACAGTGGCGTATTGTCCGCTATGTCTTCAATGGTGAACCTCGAGGTCCCGTGGATTAATATTATGACGAAAATGGATCTAGTGACTGGAAATGCGAATGACCCGAGTGCGGGGCGAAATGGTATTCGCAAGCGTCGGAACATTGCGAGGTGCGTTCATGTCTCTATCTAATACGTCGTGTCGGGCGTAAATGACGCGTAAACTTTTCCAAATATCACTGCCTGTCTGCTATCTGTTAGATACCTTGACCCCGATCCGCTGCTGTTAGCAACAACCCCTGGGCAGGCAGATAACTCGAATCCGCGATTTCACTCTCTAAATCAGGCAATTGTACAGCTGGTACGGCGATTATCTCTCGTTCATGCACTGCCCTCCTCGAGACATGAAACACTCACTCAAGATCTCCGTCTGCCCTAGATTGAGGAACACCCTTTAGTGTCGTTCCTTCCTTTAGATCTAACGTCCACGGAGTCGCTTGAAAATATCGTGTCGCATGTAGACTATGTGATGCAGTATGGAGAAGACGAAGAACCCAAAGAGGTTTGTCTTTCTCTGCCCTCTTTTTACTGTTTAGATAGCCGGGCTTATCGTGCTTTGAATAAACGTACACTCGTTTAGCCGCATGATCTAGACGAAGGAGATTTTGCGGACATGGAATAAAAATAGGGAATAGGTGATCAATCCTACCACCCTCGTTCTCTTCTACGGATGCATCTATTACCTGTGGACGGGGCTTCCGGCGGGCATCGAGACGGTTCTGAGAGTAAATTGCATATGGAAGGGGATAGAATTCGGAAGTTGATAAAATTGTAAAGTAGGTTTTTAGGAAGTGGAGAGGCTCCGTATGACTCTACTATGAGCGCCATCTGCTTCCTGTCGTGTGTTATTCCGCTGTTGAATTGATTCCCTCCTCGGCCGCCTTATGACCCCCATTGTGCATCTTATGATCTGCGCGCGACTCATTTAGTTGACTCATTATACGAAGTCGCAGCAAAACACGGAACTGTATTCCGGTCGTGCAGGTCCATTATGTTTTGGAAAAGCGACTAGTTTGGACATGTCTTGCTGACAAAACATACGAATGATGTACTTGGAGCAAAGTGACAGTTTGTTACGAGAGGTACGGGCTTTTACTCCAGCAGTGTTGTACAGCGTAGGAGTGTACCCAGTCATGTTGTAGAATGGAGGTGTGCCTTGGCTATGTTGTTGGAGAATAAACATGTGGCTCTCGCCGATCACGCTCCACCTCACAATTTGAATATTTCCACAGTGAATTCAAAAAGTAACCGTGGATGCGGTCTCAACGGCTCAACGGCTCAACGGCTCAACGGCTCAACGGCTCAATGGACTCAATGGACCCACGGGCTCACGGATCCCGGAAGCCTTCTTCAGAAACACGTTGCACAGCTACTGAGCTAGAGGTAAGAAAATGCATTGCACACTGAAACGAATATCAATGAATGATCATACTTAATCCCGCACTGGTTCTTTCGCGCAAGCGACGCGTCTCATGACACTGACTGCGCACTAAGTAGAACTCTGTTACAGGCAAGGAACAGAAGGGAGAAGCGAAGTTTCGAGTGAGTAGTAAGTGCGAAATGAGAGAAGAGCGGATTCGTATCGCCGAGTCGGCGGATCCTTAGACCTCAACTTAGACCTTTCTTTAGACGCTGTCTCCTAAGCGGACCAGTAAAGAAATTTGACAACAGTAAATAAACAGTACCTTTAACTTCCTTTGTAGACACGGACGGCTCCAACTCCGTTTCTCCGGCTGACGCAAGGCGGATGCGGAGCGTGGTGTTATAGGTATTATATAGACCCATCGATTCATCCCATTCTCACTTCTCCCTCCAAATTCACTCACTTGCATCCGCTCTGAGATTACTGCAGTTAACCCATACCACACGTATCGCTATCACATAAACACACTTACTTACTTGACATCGACGACGAAAATGCCGACGTATACAGTGTACCCGTCCTCTTCCCACTCGCGTTCCTCGAGACGTTCATATCACTCTCACGGTCACTCACCGACGTACTCGGGTTCCTCCCACCACCACCATTCTTACTCGCCATCCTATGGTAGTGGATATTATGGTGACAGCGGCGTGCGCCGACACCACACGACGGGTCGTGGATACGGTTCATCCGGGTATTATTACCCGCATTCTTCATCCCACTCGCACTCGTACTCCCCGCAGTACTACAGCACGTCCTCTTCCGGACATCGAGGTTACGGTGGAGGTCACGGTTACAGTCAGCCCCAGTACTATGACTCGGGAAGACATGGAAATTACTACTCCTCTAGCTATGTAAGTTAACGTTTTGAGAATCAGGATTCGTAAAGCCAGAGAGAACTTACGAGAAATTTCAGAAACCCACCCTCGGTCAACGGTTAAAGTGGATGTTCGGAATGGGCCATAATAGTTATCATGATAGCGGGAAAGGGTACCACGGCAGGAGTAGCTTCCACGACAGTGCCAGAAGACACGACAACCGGGGACGACATATTTACACCGTTTAAACACCTCACTCATCTTCTTGGACTCACTTTATTTCTTCACCGTCTTGATTATCTTGCCGTTTTTCTTTTCTTTTTTTCGATCATGATTGTATAATTTCTTTGTTGACATACCCGCTGCGAGACCTTTTTCTCCGAACGGTTTTTATTCCCGATGTTGTATCGTACACTGTATCAATAGTTTGACTTGTTAAATTTCGTCTGCTCCACCGAAGCCCTTGTCCTTGGAGTGCTGTTCGCCTCCCGTGTGGAAGTCGTCAGAAATGAAGAATGCATAAGCATAAGAAGCAGAGAAAGTTCACGTAGCACGTAGACGAGGAGTCATTCAATCAATGATGCAAGGATGCAAGTCAAATCCAAACAAATCAATGACTTCAATACAGTCAACATGATCGTGAGAGTTCTTTCCCCGGATTGACCTCAATGTGCAGATCACCGCAAGCATACTCTTAAATACATACCGCCACTTAATTCTTCGCCATCTCGCCTCTGGCGCTTTCAGCCCGGCCGTACTCATCCTTCCTGCACCATGTCCAAGCCAGACATAAACCCCAAGCAGTCTGTGTCGGGTATCGCAGTAGATCCAAAGACACTTGAACGCGTTATCCCAGAGTCAAAACGCCCAGACGGATCGTACGTCCTTGAGCCCATAACTTGTTTCTGTATGAGCAATGAACTCATAGATCCTTGATTCATGCTTTATCGCCATGATTATTCGTCTATACTAAACATCCACGCCTTATATTGGTGTTATTCAATGAATGAAGAGTCCGCAAGCAACTAAAGGTCCGACCAGGGTTCACGCCTCAAGAGGACATCTCTCGGTTCCGTGGCTCGCGACAACAACAACTCGATCGGAATCAGCTACCAAAAGGACACATCCTAGGCTGGGTCGCACCTTCCTCAGAAACAACAGCGAAACGCGTCAGCGCCCCGGGTGCAGCAGCTGGTGCGGCGAATAAGGACGGGGGGCAGCCACTAACGAAGAGCGCGGCGAAGAACGCGAAGCGGAGAGCGAAGAAACAGGTGGAGAAGGAGAAGGTTATTAAGGATAGTTGGGAGGATTCGGATGAGGAGGAGAAATCTGCGGAACCTAAGGCTGCGGTGAAGGAATCGTCGAACGTGAAGGGTGGTGATGGCTCGCAATTAGGAGAACGAGAGAACACCACGACTAGTACGCCGAGTACAACTGCGCCCGCAACTACTACAAACGCAGATGATGACGCCCTTGCAGACGAGCTCGAAAAGAAACTCGACGTGCATTAATTCCGGGCAACATAGGCATTTAATTTGGGTTGGTTATTATTAGGGCAAATGTATTCGCTATTAAGTTCTTCTATCTATGTATGTTACCTTAACGTCGTTCCCTTGCTGTAGAATTACATGTGTCGTTATATCCTTCTACATCTCTATCCATATAAATTGGAACATCAGATTGAGAGCAGGTGCGAGCGGGGTCGTCATGTCATCTGTCCTTCTAAACCGTCCAGAACTTCGTTCTGCTTTGGACCTGGTAGAGGCTCAGGCGGACCTTCAGCGGTTTTCTTCTTCGCTTGTGGTCTATGGTTGAACTCGAACGTTACGATAATTGAAACCGCGAAAAAGCCCAGAGCCACTATTGATATTCATGTGTATAAGCCAAACACGGTTCTGTGAAGAAATGGTGAAACAAGCATATACTCACAGACGGCTCGATACATATTCTCCCACTTCATTTGTTCTGTCATGGTCTTCATTTCACCAATCGATACGATAGCTTTGTTCAAGACTTCCTAAAATAGAGAGTCAAGATGAATCTCTGCAGTTTATGAATCGTTATGTGTAAAGACAAACCTCGATCTGGATATCCATTTGTTTGAGGTCTGTCTTGGATTCAGTCTTCCGATTATCTACATCCATCTGTAGTCTGAAAAAAACTGTGAACAATGTGAATGACATCCATTAAGCAATTCTCTTACTCGTGCTTGAGGTTTGCAATGTCCGACTTCATTCTCCCGTCCAAGCTATCAATTTCACGTCGTAACGCAGCTAAGGACGTGCGTATGGTTGCAGAATCATTTCGCTGACGTAGGGAGATCTCATTCCTGGCTTCTGACAATGCGGCTCGAAACAAATAGGCTTGCTTGAGACCAGAAGAACATGATCATTAGAACATGATCATTCGTTCAAGGCAATACCATTCGTTGTGTTAATTGTGTATTTTGCAAGGGTCATAGTACACATACATACATTCTCAAGATTCTTCACACTCAACGCTTCCCTCTTCACTCGACCTATCCTATCCACCAATAAAGCACGTGTCGCACGCATCAAACTATTCGCAATAGATTCAGGGAAGGTCTTCTCCAGAGCGGTATAAAACCGATGGGTATCAAAGGGCGGGGTTGCATACGTATAGATATGCCCAGAATTATTTTGTCGCTCTTGTTGGAGGAGTGCTGGGAGGTTCGATTGGATGACGGCGTTCTTTGCGGACTCTTGGTTGTCTGCGTATTCCTTCGCACCGGCGTATGGATGGGCTTGTGTTTCGCTTTGGGGTGGTGGCGGAGGTGGAGGAGAAGCAGCCGCGCTCGGAACTGGGGATGCATGAAGTTTCTGCTGTTCAGAGGAGGGAGTGTTGTCGGTCGGTGGTGGTGGTGGTTGGTCTGTGCTGCTGGGTTTGGGATCCGAAATGATCTGTGCTTTGGATCCCGAAGCACTAGGAAACCTAGCATTTGTTGATTTAAGTCTGCATGGGCTGCATCGCGTCGCGTGTCGCGAGGCTGTTCGAATGGTCGTCAGTAACATCGGGTAGAGTGAGTGTTGGTGAGTACGGTAAGTCCGAAGAGTGTAACAGTGTACTACAGTAGGTCGGAACGCGTCGATCGTCAGGAGTTACTCTGAGGCAGTGCTACTTTTACTCAACGCGTCTACCGTCTGTCCTTCTCACCCCCAATCTACAACATGACCCACGTTTCACGAGACTCAGAGGAATCGGACAAGGATGATTTGCTAGCTCTACTCCAAGCTCATGGCCAAAACTTCCTATCTTCATTTAGGACTCTACCAGAGTCGACAAACGAACGAAAACGGAAGCGTCGAAAACTCGACACTGTTGTACTTGAGGAAACTGTTGAAGAGGACAACTCCGACAATGAATGGACGGGATTCGACTCATCAGGGTCTGAACACTCGGAATCTGGAGCCTCTGGCTCCGACCATTCCGAGAGTGCGGGTGATGAGGAATTAGATGATGGTATGTGCTTGCAATTTGTTTGTCATGTCTTAATACTGACTGTAACTAGTTCAAGATGACGACTTCCGAAGTGACCACCCCGCTCAAAAGGAGCCCGAAGTCGTAGTATTTTCCTCTCCATCTCAGTCGGAAAGTACGAGAGTGTCTAAGTCCTTAGCAAAATCATTTATGGTGAGCACTTGCTTAAATAATAATACGAATCCCCGCTAATTCGTGCTTAGTCTTCAAAAGTATCTAAACTACGCCAAGAAATAACAAATCCTGGTGTTGACAACTCACGGAATGATGACAATGAAGACGAAGATGAAAGGTTCGTTAGCAATACATACCACTACGACAACGCTGAAAACTAATGTAAACTTCCAGAACGAACTTACAAAACGATGCACTACTCCACAAACTCGTGCACACGAAACTTCTCTCAGGTTCACTAAACTCCGAACTCAATCTCACCCCAGCACAACGAAGAAGAGCACTAGAGGGCCGCGTTCTCGAACTCGCTGCCGGAGCAAAACTCGGCAAGGGTGAAGTGGCTGTGAAACAGGAGGAGCGGAGCAAAGCTAGTAAGAAGGTTCGGATGGGTTTGGAACGAAAAGTTGAGGAAAGGAGACAAAAGGCTGTAGAGGAGGTTTGTTATTTCAAATTTCGACCATATCTTCATGTCTTATAGATGTACTTTATTCAGGCGAAAGAATTGGGAAACTACCACCCCAGTATCAAGCGCCTATACGATGCCAACGCCGACAAGAAGCCAGACCGTAAGAAAAGAGACCGTGGTCTCAAGCTAGGCGTAGGCAAATTTGCTGGTGGAGTCCTTAAACTCAGGAAGAGCGATATTGCTTCTGTGCAAGGTGACTCTAGACCATCAAGAGGCGGGTTTAGAGGCGGTAGAAGGGGTTCTGGTAGAAATTGATGTCGCTGATATCTTCATTAGATATGCAAAAAATTACCGACCTCCTTCCCGCCTTAATTTTTCTGTTTATGTCATTATTGATACAGTGAGACCGCACAGCGGCCTCGGTCATATTGCTAACTAGACAGTAAAAATGCACAGAATCCGACATAAATGCGCAATGCTCAAAAATACATACTATGAGTGGGACATGGATATTGCATGAGAAGTGTACAAATGCATCACAAAAAAGTCATGAGTTACGAAACCGACAGAATAAAAGAAAGAAAAGAAAATTGAAGGAACAGTATTATTCATGAGTTAAATATACCCGGCTCGAGGACGTCGCTGGGAGCCATCATACGTGTCGTCGCTTTCGGTGCTTGCTGCACCCCAAGGATATTCGACCGGAGGTTGATAGTCCCTAAGAAGAGCACCATAAAGTTATCATCAACAAGTGGCACGATAAATCAAGCTATCTACTCACTCATCAAGAGTGCGACCATACTCATCAACAAACGCAGCCTCAGATCTGTTCGGGTAGGATATCTCCGTTGCATATCCAGACCTCGTATATGGAGATCGAGCTTGCATCTCAGCATCGCGGGAACTGCGGACGGAAGAATTCCAGAGTACAGGTCAAAACGGGAGAGAAAACTACTCCAGAAGATAAAGAAGGGATTATATCTACATACTGGAAGATTCGTTCACCATCTTCATTCATAACAACGATATCAGGGCCAACAGAAGGCGTCGAATCCGTTCTTTCTTCGTCATCTTCAAAAAGTGCACTTCTATTGAACGGCGTCGGGGTATAACCGTTGTAGTATTGACGAGCGTCTCGAGGACGTCTTCTACTAGAAGTAGCAGCGTAACTAGCGGTAGTACTAGTAGTATTCTTGTAATACTCGTGACGGTGCGTACTACGAACGGACGATGAAAAATAATTATACAGATATATAGAGAAGAAAAAGAAAAACCCAAAGTTAATAGAAGTGGAAAAAGGGGATTAAAGGGGGAGGATATTCCGCGCTTGCCTTCCTCGTTCTGCGTTGACGTAGACTACCTTGGGCGATCGGGAACGTGAAGAGTAAGTGTCGGAAGAGTTCTCGCCGAAATGTCCAATTCTGTCATGAACAAGAAACATTAGTTTTTTGTACTCCCGCCGATTGTATGAGACCGTAAACATACCTGCATAATTCATTCCCGTACTCATCCTCAACTATGTACCTATTGCGTCTTAAATAGGACGTGTTGTATTTCTGTGCATCCACTCTGCGATATATCTTTGTTAGGCAGTTTCACCCAAAGCAGTGATATCGATTCCTTACCTGTACAGCTCCCGCCCATTTTCGTCGTTAAAAATGACTGGCGTACTTCCAGGAATGATATAATACGTATGCTCTTCTGTTCGACGTAAGTGGGCAGTAGCGAGGTATTCCTGGTAAGGCATGAACCCGTCCTCATCGTTCCCAACCTAGTCGGCAGCAATTTGTCGCCGTTTTATCAAGGAAGTGTAATTCTTACCTCAAGACCGTGTCCTTGATCTACAAAGATCATATAAGGAAGCTTCTGTTGGTAATAACCCTCGCGTCGTGGGGCTCTGTGAAGACTCGGCAAGTATTCTGGGATCTGTCGGCGAGGTCGATTATAATCTGATCTGTGAGACTGGAAAGAGTTCTAGTTAAATTTTACGGATTACTAAAAAAAGAATTTGTCGTACAGAAGTCACGTATGGAGCTCTTGGTCGGTCGCCAGCCATACTTCGTGAAGTCGCACTGAGCGACTTGGAATGTGACATTGGCATTCCACGAGGTCTGCTCGGAGCATCACCGAGAAAAGTGACTTTCTGGCTGCCTGACTGAGTCGAAGCAGATCGTTCCGAGGACGGTGCTATGAGAATAGGTCGATCATGTCCAGACCTGTCGGTATTAGTGTAGCCCAACTCGTTCGTCAAGTCTGTTTGATGGACATCTGGATAATCATCGAGATGCCGTTGGTGGTGAAGAGGCTCATCAGCGTAAGAACCAGGAACGTGATGAAGATGTGCATCCTCGTCGTCCTCTCGTACAACCATGGGTACTGGTGGCCGACTGTCCTCCGACATGGTAAAGGTTTCATACAGTCGACTATGTGGTTCATGAAGGTCGTCATGATAGTCGTCGTGATGTCCATAATCACTTGGATGTGCTGAAAAATGTTGAGGTGGTGGAACAGGTCGCGGTGCGTCGCTCGCTGGCACAGAGATGACGGAGTGCTCAGACACAGGACTCAGTACTCGAGATGCAACGACAGGCGGTTGCTTCTTCGACCGTCGACCCGAGTTCTTTCGAGTAAACTAGATACATGAATGAACGAGGTCAGATATGGCATACAACTTGGTAGACGATTAGAATTACGAACGAATTTTGGAATCTGTTGTAAAGGGCACGTCGATCAAAATCTACTTTTTCTCGAGAATTTGGATACGGACGTACTCCTAGCGGCATGATTGGCGCGTTGAGATCAGGGAGAAATTTTACTCAGGGTAGGCCAGCTACGAGACAAAGAGATAGACTTCGAGAGGGAGACAGAGACAAGCCAGTCGAAACCAGCGTGCGTGCCACCAATAAGTAGTAAGTACTCATGCCTGAGGCAAGGTCGCTATTTGGCCTGACCGAAGCCATGATGTTTCTATCGAAGAATCTTTCGGAACGTTGCGTGCAAACGTGTTTGTTTGCATATCTCGGAGGCATAATATGAGGCTATGAGCGTGGGAAGAGTGGATTTACATTTTAATACGCCTTGATTCAGTAACTGAGTTACAAGTGAGTAAGACACCTGATCAGTCAAATTGAAGTAGATTCAGTGTAAGATAGATGGGTGCAATTACAGAACTCTGGATATAACACAAGAAGCTGGCTTGGCGCATTTTACGTCGCTCGCGCTGCGGGCAATTGAGAAATCAAAAGCACGTTGCAAGACTTCGTGACTTCGATCGGAGGCAAACATTAACATATGTACAAAATAGAAACATGAACGATGAATCACATCGTGGTCGGGTTAGTCATGATCCACTACCACCGCGCAATTTGCCGACCTGAGCCAGTGCTTGCAGAACTTTGCTCATAGCTTCCGCCGTATTTCCTATCGCGCTTGGTTCTATTGTAGCTGGATGACTAGCAAGTGACGTTAGCCTCTGCGACAAAGATTGCAGTGCAAGTTCAAGTGATGTCCCAGATGCTTCCAATACCTAATCAGACACGATTAGAATCCAAGGCCCGTTTGAACTTGAACAGCGACCTACATTTTCTCGAATGTCCAGGCCCAATGCCTAAGAATGACGAAAACTCGTAAGCCAGTTTATAATATCGAGGGCAGAGACTTACTGTCCCATTCACCTCACGTGAATTATTGGCCTTATCATATTTGTTAGGATTCACGAGTTGCAGGCAATTCTGAAGCAATACTTACCGCTTTCATAGAGATTTTCCCTTTATCTGGTTTTGGTTCTCGGATTGGTGTCGAAGCAGGGTTTGTATTGCCTAGACTAGGACCAGCAATGGCGGTCGAAACAGACGACCTCCGCTGTCCTGCAACAACTAAACGCTCCCACCCAGATGCATCCTTTTCTTCCACATAAACGGTACCACAGGCTACACATTCCTATTAAATTTGTACATTTAATATCTGCAACGGACGTGACGATGCTTTGGTTTCACGTACCTTCCTCGGGTCTCTGCCTCCGACAAGCGGAGGCCTCACCAAGGGAACACCGTAGCATCGTTCATTAGGACATTCATCTGCGAGCATTGCCCATCCCTATCAGAAATGAAGTATTCCCAGTTCAGACGATTACCGTCTCGCTTGTATTTTAATCATACCTTCAGTAGCCGTACACCGATCTCTGCAGACGCGGCGTCAGACTGTTGTCGTCTACGGACACTTTCGGCGGTTTCAACTGGCAAGGCAAAAGTCGGAGAGCTGAGATCGCTTGCTATATCCGTCGGAGGTGTCGAAGATCTTGAAACATGTGTACTTGAACTAACTGTACTTGGGGAGAGCAACTGAGGGACGGATGTTGGTTGTGCGCGACCTGAAGCACTGCTTCTTTTGTCTATGTGTATTCCGTCAGAAAGTATGTGCTATAAGAATAGAAAAGAAGTTACTTTTAGGATCACCATCACAGTTTGCACAGAACATGGTCACTGGAGTATGTCCTTTTGGTGAGCGCATAAGAGGAACGGGACAATTTTCATTTGGGCAGGTCTCGTCTGTCAGCACCCATCCCTTCAGCATATATTCACCCAGCTTGCTAGACACGTCGATTGCAGACATGGCACTCCTCGTGCTCGCGTGCAGATGATGGAGGACTGAACGGAGATCAATTTCAGAATTTGTCCGGAATCTACAGGGCCGTCCAATTTGGTAACGACGATCCTGATCACTCTAACGGTCCGCCTATTTCTCCACGTCAACGACCCCGACACGTCCCATTGCACCTTAATCCACCTTCTCCCAGAGGCACTGCATCGGCCTCGAATGCACTGGCATAGGGCATGGCGCCAAGCTGCACTCACCGTTCTTCTCACTGGCCTCGAGATCTCGAAATGGTCGACGTCGACAGGACCCGTACTTTACGCACATGCCAAAAGCTGGTCGTCACGGCGGCTGTTAGATGCTAGGGAGAAAACAAGGGATCTTTGGAATCATGGATTTAATAATTATATGGAGAATGGTATGAGATTAATGCGCTCCGCCACCAACTGTCATTAATACAATTATATATTTCAGCGTTTCCTTATGATGAAGTTAGTGATACATCTTGTACTCGGGATACCATTCCTCACGCGTCGCTATACAGCTTATGCCTCTGTCATGCGCTGGGAGGGGACCAGATTGGGAAAATCCGTACGTTCAGCTCTCATCCCTCGTCAGAAAGTTGAAACCAATTCTCCATCTAGCCACAACTTCGCAAATAACGATGTGGCGGGAAATTTCTCGTTAACGCTCATTGACGTTTTGGATACTTTCGTCGTTTTGGGCGATACAAGTGGATTTGAGAAAGCTGTGCGCAATACTATAAACTGGGTATCTTTCGATGTCAATACAAGACCGCAAGTGTTTGAGACGACCATTCGAGTTCTGGGTGGTTTACTATCGGGCCATATATTTGCTTCCGACCCAACTGGTCAGTTTTACCTAGTGAGTAAAGACATTGTTAGCCTTTGTATTTGACTCCGTGTCTTATATGGACCTTGCAACTCAGCCATGGTACAGAGACGAGCTGTTAATTTTAGCAAAGGACTTGGGCCAGGTAAGACCTTCAGAAAATGCTGTCTTCTGCTGGACTAAGCCTAGGAATGTAACAGCGATTATTACCTGCTTTCAACACACCGACTGGAATACCATATAGCCGAGTAAGGCGTATTTGATCGCGAATGTCCACAGTATAGTCTCAACAATATTATTTCGGTCTATTATAGTTAAACCTTCGACAAGGCGTGCCTCTTGGAGAACCACATGACACTTGTAAATACAAACGGTACTATGGAAAAAGCAAGGTTGACTGACTTAAAGCTATGCGAGCCAGGTACTGCAGGAGCAGGATCTTTAATTCTAGAGTTCGGGACCCTCAGTCGCCTGACTGGTGATGATCGTTTCGAAAAGGCTGCGTACAAAGCCTTCTTCGCGCTATGGAATAGGAAATCGGACATTGGACTTGTTGGGAACACAATAAATCATTTCACTGGAGTGCGAATATCAACCTCCTCTGAATTGCACCTAGCTGACTGCTCGCCTTAGAAATGGTTAATTCCTGAAGTAACGGGCATTGGTGCTGGAGTCGATTCATTCTATGAATATGCCTTCAAGTGGTTCGTTTTGAGTGGTAGGTTTTCTGCTTCGGGCATTTGAGTTCTTTGCTTAATCGTCTTTAGGCGAAGTGGAGTTTCTAGACGTATGGCATGAAGCCTATGCAGCGGTGATGCGATACGTAAGAGGGCTGGACGGATTCTGGGTGTGCTTTCTTTATGCTTCTGCTTCAGTTCATTATTAAAGTTACTCAGTTCAGACAAGTCAACATACACTCGGGTGATGCTGTTTATAATACGATTGATTCACTTTCTGCCTTTTGGCCGGGCCTTCAGGTTATTGCTGGGGATATTGAGAATGCTATCAAATCACACTTAATCTGTATGTCTCTCTCCTTTGTAGTAGTTGTCTCTCAGACTAATTCAAATTAGTCTGGAACCTCTGGAAAAGACACTCTGGCCTTCCAGAGGTATGGGACATCAATTTCATGCAGGCTGTGGCAACACAGTATCCGTTAAGACCAGGTGTGTTGGAGTCTGCTTGGCGATATCAATTGAATTCTGACGATATTGACAAATTTACAGAGTTCGTCGAGTCTACGTACTACCTTTACAGAGTGAATATGCCCTTGCTATTGACTTGGCCGCTCAGATATTGATGCACATTTTAAAAGGCCACCCGAGACCCGTTCTATCTGGACGTTGGAGAAAGAGTTCTGCATGATCTGATACTACGATCGAAGGTTGCATGTGGACTCGCTGGCATAGCCGACTTACGGATCAACAAACGAGACGATAGAATGGAGTCTTTCGTGTTATCAGAAACATTGAAGGTGGTATTGCATTGGTTAAAGCATGATATTCGATGACTTACTGTACTGTTTCAGTACCTTTACCTGCTTTTCGACGAGGAAAACCCACTGCACAAGGACGACTCTAATTACGTGTTCACCACGGAGGGCCACATTTTAACCCTCGGGAAGCAGCATCTAAAGCCGTTGTCCCGGATTCGTAGGAAACTACGGCGCGTAGAAAACTTACAGTGTCCCGTCTACGAGCCAGTTCGCGTCGGTGCTGGCGCTGATGGCGAGAATCTGGGGTTAACTACTGGTATCTTGTTCCGACCAGACGTAGACTATGCAAGGGCGTTAGTAGGTGCAGCTCCTACAGAGTTGGAGGAAGAATGGTACTCGGAATATGGCACTTGCCAGGTCCCTACCGCGGAACTCTACGTTCGTCGCGTTCTACATTTATTAAAATAGTAACCAACTTGACACGCTTCAATAGTCGTACGACTTCGTCCTTTCTGCTAGTGGTCAACTCGCCGAAGAAGACCCTAGTCCCAGCCTTCAGAAGCTCTATGAAGTCAGCGATGGTTTCATACTGCAAAACGTCACTGGTATAAGGACGCATATTGTCAGTCGTCTAGACGGGAAAGGGTACGATATTGTCAAGCGTACGCATCTCTTCCCTTTTGCTTTCTTTCTCAATCCCTAACTTCTCCCTCTAGTTGCACAATATCCCGTTCGCCGGGGGCAAACCGTATATGTGAACGACTCTACATTGCAACTGGTAGCCCTGAAGAATCTAAGCTCCATGGATGAAATCTATGATAATGAGGGTTTCCCGTCAGGGCGGCCCAGAGACGTACCATTGCGCTTTTCTCTCGATATAGAGCCTGCTCTACTTGTCCAACCCGGTGTACCAGAAATCGAGTTCAAGACTATCGCGTTCTCAGCGTCGTTTGGTGGCGATCCCATAGCTCAGACTCGACGGGTGTCTGGTATGGGTAGTGGGTTCGGAAGCAGAGTCACTCGAGTGCCGTCTGATCGATTAGGCTGCGAACCGTACAAAAGAGATACGGAAACCGCCATCACCGATGCAGTTGTGCTGGTGCACCGTGGGACATGTACGTTCCTTGAGAAGTTCATTCATGCTAAGCGTGCTGGTGCAAGAGGTGTCTTGGTGGCTAGTGACAGCGACATGCCACTCAATCCGTCGGCTGAGATCGTTGAGCTGGAGGAGTTCGCAGGCGACTCTTTAGATGACGCAGTGATCGTTGCCATCACGCAAACCGCGGGCGAGGAGATCTCAAAATTACTGGACGCGGCGGAGAGACTCAGTGGTGCTGACCTTCTTGTGACTGTTGAGCCAGAAGGTCTTCCAGGAAAGACGGATACGCAACCGTCTAATGACTCTACAGGGAAAGAAAGGACGAAACCTCCAGACATCACGAGGGTCCTGTACTTGAATGGCCACCCTCTTTTGAATACGAGGTTACTTATTTAATGTTTAAATGTTATTTTGCTGTCGTAACAAGGAATATCGGATAGACATTGGAATCTAATTCAAAGCATACAGAGCTAATGAAGTGGAAGTTTTGGTATCTACTCTGGCAAACAGACAAATAACCCATTAACAAAACGTGGAACCGGTATCTTGACACACATGCGATGGAATATTTTCAGTCCTCGGCTTCGATAATCCAATATGACGGGGCGTCAAGCTTTTCGTGGCCCTTCAAAAACGCCAAGCCGATGACAAACAGGTAGCCCACTGTTCGTCCGCCTTGCTTCGCTACGAGCTCGCCAGCAGCTTTCGCGGATCCGCCTTATACAAAAATACAGAATTGGGTGATAATATAAGATTATGTACGCGTGGATTTTGCGTTCGAAACATACCAGTAGCGATAAGGTCGTCAACGACCAACACAGTTTGCCCTGGCTTGATGCTATCTGCTTGCATTTCAAAGATATCCTGCAAGATGAATATGGCAAATGGTGTTCGGTCATTCACGTCCGAGAAAATAGAGTGGCAGTAATAGGATAGCTCGGTGTAAGACTTACTTCACCATATTCCTTCTCATACACAGCCTGCACACACGCACCAGGGAGTTTACCTTTCTTGCGAACTGGGACGAACGCAGCGCCGAGGCGGAGTGCAAGGGGAGGTCCGATGAGGAACCCGCGCGCATCTAGGCCAACAATCACGTCTATCTTCTTGTTCGGTGCATCTTCTGGGATACGCGGGATGACAGTGGTTGTGATATGATGGCTGAAGTGAGTCAGGAGAGTCTCGAAAGCGAGAGGTGAACGAAGGATGGGGAGGAAGTCTTGGAAGACGATTCCCTATGTTTTCAAGTCAAGATAACGAGCTACCGTCGGTATGAAGGTTTTTCATGGTGAAGAGAGATCTTCGTGCACCTTCTTAGGGAAATCCGGATGTACGCCTAGATGGCTCTTGAGGAACTCGACGTCTGCCATCGGGTTTGTTGTGGAAGAGAGTTCACGGACAAGATGTGGTGCTACTGCGCCCAATGCGCTGACTTTTGAAAGATTTGCCTATGACGATTATAGCACTGTCGATCCATGGTTTTGACAGGTGATCGGTGCATGTAGAAAAGATCAATTGCCCATACAAATTTTACTTTCTCAGGAGGAACTACATGAACGAGTTTTGAAGCGCATTGCCTATTGACTTATCGGCGGCAGACAGTACTTCCTCCACGGTTTTGTTTGCGTATTATATAATGAGGAAATGCATATCGCTCATGTATTCATGGGTGACCTTGCGGCATAAAATGATGCATGTAGAAACAGGACGACAAAGTACACAACAAGCGATTATACAGATTCCTGGATCTCCGGCTCCTTGAACTCCTTCGCGACTCGCGTACCGGTCTCCTGAAGGAAATAAAAATAAGTCAGTATGATACCATATAAAATCCAGAATAACAGATACGCACGTCCGTTGACTCGCCGTGGAGCTCCATCAGTTTCGACACATCGAATTTTGGTGCTTTAATAATCTTTGCTTTGCGGACGTAGACGTTCTGCAGCGGGTAGATTTTACGAGTCGCCTTCTCGATCTCACGGCCAATCGCCTCAGGAATGAACTTCAACACGAGCTCCTTCAGGTCACAGGATGATGCCTCGCGGGTCATGATCTCGAACATCTTCTTTCGGATCTCACGAATCTGGGCGGTTTGAGCGTAGGTGGTCTTCTTGACCTGGGTAGGCCGCCGCTTGGTGAAAGCGATGGCAAATAGACGGAGGAGATAGCCGTCGGTCGTCTTCACGTCGACATGTGCTTCAATAAGCGTCTGCCACTTTCGGACGAGCGAACGCAGCTTGTCGGAGGTGAAGTCCATTCCGTGGAAGTTGGTTAAGCAGTTCTTCCCCTGGATTTCGTCGATTCGGAGCTTGATTTTACGGAAAGCCTGCTCCTCATCCTTGGCAAGATCGGCCAGGGAGACCTCGACGATACGACCCCTCAACGAATCATTGGCATTTTCTGGTAAATTTGCATGATGAACAAGGGTGAAGGAAATGGCGGCTGCGGATTGTTACTCACTAAGACCCTGTGAACGATTGGCTAATGTCTTTCCAACATCTCGTACTTCAAAGAGTGAAGGTGCTTTGATATTGTACCAGTCTGCGATGGTACTAGTCAGCAAGCAGTTCAGAAGGCCCTGTGTTTGATGCCTTACCTTTGCGAGAGAATGGGTCTACGACCTTCTTCTTGATACCCTTTTTGCCCTTCGAGAGACGCTTGTTCTGTAGACCAATGAGACGCAGTCCATGCGCCTGATGCGAAGCAAAGACATACCTTGCCGACGGCCATGGTGTTTTTGGGCGGATAAGGTGGACCGCGACGATGGACTTATAGGACTGGATGGCGAGCGTGCATGCGATGGGCGGAATTTGGTACTGTACAGTAGCTCACGCCGTATCTGGTTTCAAATTCTCACGATTTCAATCTCATTTCCTAATCGAAAGACTCCTGTTTAGTTCCGTCATGATATCTCGCGATGACTTTGAGAGCTCTTGCAAAGACTTTGTAGAAAAGCATGCGACCTCTAATGACAATATTTTCGGAGGCTGGTCATGGAACGAGCATGCCGTGTGTACCTTGGTCCTATCCCTACACAAACCGCCTCTGAAGATTCCTAAATCAGTATCTGCCTCGACTGGGTTATCTGTCGCGCAAGAAGCGTGCTCATACATTCGTGAATGTGACAAATGATGCGGAAGACGACTTTGATGTTGTGGCGGAAAGGGACGGCGATACGGCTACTGCATCGATCCCGCCCGAAGACAGTCTGCTAGAGGTCTGGCAATACACTGTATATTCAGCAACTTTTCAAGTCCCGGCACTCTATTTTTCTATGCATACAACAAGTGCGTTTACTGTCGCCAATACGCAATCGTGTTTCTAAGCATTTTCCAGGCGGTTCGCCACTATCGCTAGATGGAATACTTGCGTCATCCCTCTTCCGTCGCAACGTCTTCCCCAATGCACAGAAGACCGGGTTCGCATTACAAACCCCCAGCAATACATTTCCTCTACTTTCGCAAGGCGAACATCCTACGTTGGGCACGCCATGTTGGTTCTTCCATCCGTGTGAGACTCCTAGTGCGCTTGCAGAGTTGGTCCAAGCGGATGGCAACGCAGATGTATCGTCGGCGCGGATTTTGGAATTGTGGCTGTTACTCGTCGGAAACGTCATTAATTTTCAGGAACAGTAAATAAGCGTTTCCTGTACTTTTTTATTATATGTTACGGACCAACAAAATGATCCGATTTGCTTGGGGGCATGTCTGATGCGAGCGAATCGAGTGAGCTTTTCACATGCTCCGTGAACGACGCGTTATATGCAGCCCGGGCTTAGTTATGCGCTGACTGTCGCTCGGTCTCCCCAACGTCTGTCCGGACTGTTTCACTGGAGTGATTGGAAGAGAATCCCCCAAAGACACGGCATCTAAGTGCGAAACACAATCACCAATCGATCGTACGATCCAGATATCGGGTAACAAGAACACTGAACACGCCATAACAATAATAATATTCCACCTTGCCTGGACGGGTATAAGTATTCATGTTCGCTGCTCGTTCACTCTCTTCCTCCATCGCCTCCGCCTCCTCTCGCTCAACCGTCCTACTCAACCACTTGCGCAAAATGGTCAGTATACGCTTCCTCTTATGCATGATTACTGTCCTAATTATTTTTGTAGTCTTCCGCTCCTCACGAAGTTGTGATCGTCGCTGCCTCGCGCACTCCTGTTGGCTCACTCAATGGGGTACTGAAGACCCTCACCGCTCCTCAACTCGGCATTGTCGCTCTCAAACATGCCCTTGAGACCAGCAAGGTCCCTCCAGCGGCTGTTGAGGAGATCTACATGGGCAACGTTGTCCAGGCCGGTATCGGACAGTCACCTGCGCGCCAGGTTGCTCTTGGTGCCGGACTCAGCGAGAACAGCGATGCGACCACGGTCAACAAAGTTTGCGCTAGCGGCCTCAAGGCAATTATGATTGCTTCTCAGAGCATCTCATCCGGATACAAGAGTGTCGTGGCTGCTGGTGGAATGGAGAGTATGAGCAATGCTCCGTATGTTCCGAGTTAATACACAAATCTACAACCGAATTTACACGTTCTATTTGTTTAGCTTCTTGTTGCCGCGAACCAACCCGGTCTTCGGCAAGATTGAGGTGAAGGATTCCGTCGAGGTCGACGGTCTCTTCGATGTGTACAACAAGTTCGCGATGGGCAACTGCGCAGAGAACACTGCTGAGAAACACGGCATCTCTCGGGAGTCTCAAGATAGCCACGCAATTGAGTCATACAAGCGTTCAGCGAAGGCTTGGGAAACTGGCGCATTCACTGCTGAGGTCGCACCTGTAACGATCAAGGGCAAGAAGGGTGACACAATCGTGAAGGAGGATGAGGAGTTCAGGAAGGTCATCTTTGAGAAGATTCCTTCGCTAACCCCTACCTTCAAGAAAAACGGCGGTACCGTCACTGCTGCTAATTCGTCGAACTTGAACGATGGCGCTTCTGCACTCATCCTCATGTCTGCGGAGAAAGCTAAAGAGCTCGGCGTCAAGCCCCTAGCGAAGATTATCTGTAAGCTGCCGCCCTAGAACAACATAAAAGTTAGAAATTTATATAAATTTCACTAGCGTACGCGGATGCGGGTCTCGCACCTATTGACTTCCCATTGGCACCAACTGTCGCCTTACCGAAGGCTCTTGAATCAGCAAACCTCACCATAAACGACATCTCGCTTTTCGAGATTAACGAAGCGTTCTCTGTTGTCGTACGTGCCGCCGAGAAGCTTCTTAACATCCCGTCAGAAAAGATCAACGTAAATGGGTACGTGTTTTGCTTTCATGCAGTTAAATCTACTTGTATGTTGATCGGAAGCATTATGGTAGTGGTGCTGTCGCCCTTGGTCATGCTATCGGAAACTCCGGATCGCGCATTATCGTATCGCTTGTCCACGCTCTCAAGTCTGGACAATATGGTGCGGCCGGTATCTGCAATGGGGTGAGTTTCGGCTTTGTTGCTTCTTGCTGGTGTCTTGCTCATTTTCTTCGGTTCAGGGAGGTGCAGCTTCTGCACTCGTCATCCAGAAGCTATAAAGATAGCTACCTTATCTTTGGGCAGAGCGAAAGGAGAGGAGGCGCACACGACAGTACTTGTATAGATACGCATGCATTGCAGTTTTCGATTACCTTCCTTCCCAACATAGCTTTGTTATGACATCGATTTTTAGCTTGCTAAGAGACGGTGCGTTTTGAATAGGTTTGCTGTAAGATATTGGAAATAGGATATGACCTCCCTGATAATGACTCCGCGAGGCTTTCTAGCTTGGGAAGAAGAGAATGGCATGCAGGGCTAATCTGGAAGAGGCGTCTCACACTCACCAATGGAAAGCAGCCAAATTATAGTCGAGGCAGTGCTAATGGCCGCGTAGTCTCCCCCCCAGTGGATGCCTTCTGACCATCATCAAACGCCGAACCTTGTGTCCTACTCGGTGCATTCAATTATCAACTGCACGCGCTCCCAATATGACTGTCCGGTCCGTGAAAAAAGTCTCGGCGCCAACAACATTCGTACTGGCTGCTCCAGGACCTTACTTCTCGTTCATGTGCACTGTTCTCTTTTATCGTCTATTTTTAACTTGCTTTCCCACAATGAGGACCGCCGCTCGGAAGGTGTATATATGCTGTCTATGCTATCTGGAGGAATGCTATTCCCAGCTCTGGGTTTATCTCCGTCCTGGAATCGTCTGTAGTCTTGTCTTGCACGACACTGGGTTTGAGGTCAAATGGCTCTCATTGAAGAAAAGAACGTGACGCACATCGAGGATGGACGCTCATCTGTGGAGAAGGCTGGACTGGGCTCTCCAGTTGATGAGAAGAGTCCAAACGTAGAAGTATCGTCTGACGAGGTGTCTTTTGATGCGAGAGACGGTGATGAGGCGCTCGAGCTTGTGGGGATGCGCCGGACCGCCCAGTTCAGCGAGGAATATAATAATAAACTGCGCAGGAAACTCGTATGTCTATCTCTGATGGTGTACTCAAGCTCTCAGTCGAGCTCGTATTGACCTGGACGGTGCAGGATTATACTATTCCTCCGCTGTGTGCTGCGGTGTACTTCACGCAGTTTTTGTGAGCAAAAATGTTTTGATATGTCTGGCTTGGGAATAGAATATAACCGATAGCCGGCAGAGATAAGAACTCACTGAACTACGCAAGGCACGGAACTTCTTCTATCTGCGCTCCGTGACTTTACTGATATGCGTACAGTATTATGGGGTTGCCTATCACTGGCCAGGTGAGCCTGCTCTGTCGGCTGTTCGGCATGCATTTGCAACTGACAAATTTGCACGCAGGAGTACAACCTTGTTGCATTGGCTTTCTATCTCGGTACTTGTGATAATACGTAAATGCCAACTTGCCCTTATCAGATTTTGCACTCTAGGCTTCTTGCTCTGGGAGTTCCCGACGGTCTACATATCGCAGAAACTGAGACTTGCGAAGTATCTTGGTATGATCATTTTCGCTGAGACCTAAAAATCAATCTATCTAATCATTCCCATCTACAAGGCTGTAATGTAGTGCTCTGGGGAGTGGTTTTGATGCTCCAAGCGGTTCCTAATACGTTCGGTCCGTTCTTTGCACTGCGTATCCTTCTAGGTGAGCCGTTTACTTCATCGTCTGGTCGGATCGCTATTGACGAGACCGTGCGCATTGACAAACAGGAATGCTTGAGAGTTGTGTCGCCCCAATCCTTATTCTTATCATTTCTATGTTTTACAAGAAGAATGAACAGGTATGCCCTCATCCTAGGTTATGCAGAATAATCATTGAACACCCTTGGTAGACTCGGAGGATATCTTGGTTTTATGTCATGGTGCGTCTTGCTCGGCTCGTAACTTCTTGTGTAAACTCACGTCTCTCGGAAGAACGGCCTCACAAACATATTCGGAGGCTTTGTTGCTTATGTAGGATTCCTCTCGCTGAATCTCCGCAAAGTCCCGCCTAACTTGATTAATTCAGGGAATCTCATTCGACCAAACAAAAGGCTTCGCGCCATATAAGATCCTTTTTCTCTTACTCGGAGCACTTGCTATTGTCGTCGGCGTGGCTGTTTTAATATGGATGCCCGACTCACCGGTACACGCGCCGATGCTAACGCGTGAGGAGCGTATTGCTGCGATCGAACGGGTTCGAGACGATCAAGGTGGAACTGAAAACAAGACCATCAAGAAGGCACAGATCATTGAAGCATTATTGGATATTAGGACGTGGTTGATTGTGATTTCAACCCTCGTCAGTGAGTATATTTGCGCTATTCGATTGTATACCACGGCATAACTTATGCATTCTTTTAGCTAGTATTCCGAACGGAGGTCTGAGCAACTGTAAGCCCTCATTTAGACTACGTTTGATATATAGTTCTTAAGGAGTCTTCGTTGTTCAGTCAGCGCTATTATCGTCAAGGTGAGTATAATAAGTACTTGTCAATTAAATACGGCAATTTAATCAACTTTTTGTATGCATTTAGAGTTTCGGATATACGCAAGTTCACAAGACTATCATTTTTGTCTATACCAGACATTTATTATGCAATCTGTAGGTCTAGGCAAGCCCTGATATTAAGTGCGCCTGGAGGGGCAATCGCAGCCTTTGCCACATTAACGCTAGGCTGGTACTCGGATAAGAGGGTAAGTATGCATGCTTCTAAACGTAAGATTTCCAAAAGAACTTGATGTTCTTTATCTGGTAGAATGAACGTATGGTCCCCATTGTGCTATCAATGATTCCTACAATCGTCGGTACGGCCATGCTAGTTGGACTCAATGATTCAGACAAGAAGGGTGCTCTTCTATTTGGTTTGTGATTCTTCGCCAAGATTTACATGAGAGCTTATACCCCTTCCGCTCAGCTTCTTGGATCGTCGGATTCTACGGCTGCTCGCTTGCAATACTATACGCGTACAACGCGAGCAACACAAGTGGACATACCAAGAAAGCCACTGTAAATGCTATGACGCTCGCGTCTTTCGCCCTAGGAAACGTCATTGGAACAGAAACTTTCCTTCCAAAAGACGCACCCGGTGAGTCGATGCCCAGAGCACTGAGGACGTTCCAGAAGTGTACGTGCTTATGGCAATACCTTAGATTATTTGCCCGGGAAAATCTCGATCCTCGTCTTGCTTGGTTCTCAATTCATTCTTTGCTTCATCATTCGCTTCATCAATTTGCGGCTCAACAAGAAGAAGCGAGCTCACATCGCCGCATTGAAAGAGCGAAACGGGTGGACAGACGAAGATATCCAGAGGGAACGCGAAAAGCATGCGTTCTTGGATCTAACGGATATTCAGTAAGCCAAAAAAAACCATCTCCCTCAACCCGCAGATTTACCTATATTTAATTTCGTAGGAATCCATACTTCGTTTACACTGCTTAGTGAATGTACTTCCGCTAACGTAAAGCAACTGCAAAGCTCGTGTTTATCTGCTGTCTTGATGTTATGAGCGTCATGACTACGTAATAGCATGATCGACGCGGTTGAACTTGAGGTGGCACATTGACACAACTTGGATTGTTGATTCTCTACCAGTAACCAAAACAAAGGAAGTAACCGTCTGCTATGATGGTTCCTGTCCCTTTCTCTGGTTCTTGTCTTTAATATGGCGACCTCTTTCGAAACACGAGGATTGACTGCTGATGCTCTGTCGAAACTACCGCTTGCTGGTTCTCATAAGGATTCTTTGACCAAAGCTTTTGTCGCTTCACAAAGGCAGCACGTATCTGCGTATGCGAAGGAAGGAAAGCAGATAATTTCTCGTTGGAATGAGGACTCTTCGATAAAGTCTCAACTGGACGGAGTTAGCCCTAAAGCGAGTAACCCAAATCTTGTCACTGGTGGATTCTCTAGTCCTATTCTGAAGCCACGCAATCCGAAAGCACCAAGTTTAATCGAAGGAGCGCTCGACGTTTCGCCTGCAACTAGAGAGAATGATACCAGCAAAGACCTGAACAAAGGTAAAAGACGAACTGAAGAGCGAAGCAAGGTTGACCCAAAGCGGGACAACGAAGTGACCGCACGCCAGTCAGAGACGAAGGGTAAAGAGAAAAGCAAACCGGCTGCAAAAGACGAGAAAAAGAGGCGCAGGATGTCTGAAAGTGATGATGAGCGTGAAGAACGTAAGTCTTTCTAATTGACTAGTTCCGCTTTTCAATGACTATCTTTGTAGGTTTGGCACAACGTCGAGAGCGGAGGCGCCGTAAAAAAGAGATAACAGCGCCTAAAGAGAAGAGACAGACAGAGGATTCTGATCAGGACGGCAACGCGGAAGATCCGAACGCTTTCAATAAGAAGAAACCAACGAGCAAGAATACCAAGAGTAAGCTACCTGCGGGCCTTGCTCTAATGCACGGTTTCAGCGCGAAAAACATTGGCAGCCGCAGGTTGACGGTACGTGTCCTTTACTTGCCGTTTTAATTGGTGAAGTTGATGGTGTCAGGTCGGACCCATGGTAACGTCTGGCGTATTTAATAAAGGGCGAGCTTCAATCAAGACGAAAGTGCAGAAACAAAAATCGAAAGGTGAGAGTTCATTTCCGACGGTCGTTGTATTCTAAAGCTCCAACAGTGTCAACTACATTCGATGAAGTAAATTTCCTCAACAAGGTCAAACCCCCCTCTGCTAGCTGCGGACGCCCGAAATCGCCAAAGCCGTCTAGTTCTACTGCTTCAAGTGATACAGGCGATTTGTCTGTCGGCCTTGGTGGCTCCGCACGTCAAAAAAGCAAGCTGCCAAAGAATTCCATGCCACATTCTTCGACGGATTCAAAGACGTCCGCTGAGTCTGTAACTGACCCCTCCGTCTCTGAAGACAAATCAAACTATGCATCAGAAGTCTGGGAAATTGAAAAAGAATTTATGTGTAGCGAAGTCAATGGTCAGGCAACTACGGCTTTATCGAAACAAAGGAGCATCATTATCGATAGTAGAACTTGGGACTGGGGTGTTCCTGAAGCATCTAAACGCGTTGACAATGGGCCTGGGGTTCCTGTTGTAACTTATGAACGTCGAGAGATTGACATAACGGCTTCCAAAAGGTCCTGCGTGGCAAGCGTTATCTCGTTGACACCCTCACAATCTGCCTCTCAGATGCACATTAGACCAGTCCCCGTGGTAGATTGTCGTCAACTAAGATCAAAGTTCTTTGCGTCGCCAAGGCAGAGTAAATACCCCGAAGAGAACCTTTCTACCGATCAGCAGGATCTACCTCCTACTGCCGAAAGAGACATCACACCACGTCCGAGAGGGGAACAGAACAGGTGCAGTGATTCTTCTGTCAAAAATAGCCAAGTCGAAGTTACGGCGAAAATTACCTCTCATGGAGAAGCTGAGCTTCAGGCACCCAATCTTCAATGCGAAGGCTCGAACGTTACTGATTCCTGGCTCAACGATGCTATACAACAGCTGGAGGCGGACGATGAAGGAATGTTAAACATTGGGGGCGCCGTTTTACCCAGCACTGCCCGCTTATCTGTGCTTGGCACAGACCTCTCGTTGTGGGACTGCCTTGAGACTAATCAGACATCCGTATGCGATGTCGGTCTTCGAGAATTGGATGCTACTTTGATACACTCTGGTTTGGACTTCCACGCTCCCTCTGTTGGACTTGACATACTCGACATTTGTTCGGAATATGCTATGGAACATGCAAGGACCGAAGAACTCATATACTATGACGACGATTCTGGAGCTTGGTATTCTGATGTCAATGACCCTGAGGAACATTGGTTCGAGAAAAGAGAAAGCTATGTTCTACAGGACGTCTACAGCGCTAGCTCTAACAACGACAACGAACATCTTGCGTTCACCGGAGATCAAGTTACCGGCTCCCTGTCTGGGCAAGAGGAACTCTTTCAGTTACAGACCTGGGACTATACCGATCAGTATTCGGAGTTTGATAAGACACCATGGTCTCCGCCACTGGACACTGATGATTGGGAAGAGTCTAGCTTCTCGCAGACTTGCGATGAGTATCACCATTTAGCGATTGATGTCGAGATTAACGAAAGTCCTTTCAACTCGGACGTGCCGGTTGCGAGGAACTCCATTCTTCGAAGTACATTGAGTCACTTGTATCCTTTGACAGTATCGACAACGCAGATTGGATCATTGGAGGAGGCGGAAGCCACAGTGGCCAAGGACTTCCAAAAGAGCTTCTATCCTGTAAAATATTGATTTTCTTGTGCCTCATTCAATCCGCACTGGTCTGGGAACGCGGTGTTACAGTGGTCTTGATGTGGGTAGGCATTATTAATATTTACTAAAAGCGGTTGATGATATTAATGATGGTGCGTGACATGAACGCGTGACATCACGCGACAAGCCACTAGAAGACTTGCCTCAATGAATGAATGGGACGGTTTAATGAATGAAAGACGCAAAAAAATGAGGTCCTTTGAGCAAAAAGGACATCCAATTGAATAAATTATAGAACAATGCAAACAAGGCGAACCCCAATTGTACTTAAACCCCCGTCATAGCGAGTCAGAACGCCAGTTGACAGCCACGAGTTCTGGGCGTCGTTTATTTGTCCCTGTTTTCACCGCTTAAAACGCGAGACCCGCGCTGTCTTACTTTCTCTTCATCCACTATTCCGTATCCTGGACATCGAGCATCCACCTGTACTGCATGCCCCAGGAATTTCGATTTAAGTTCGTGAGTTTTAACGAGTATAACGTGAGTGGCGTTTTACTCTGTCATGGACAGCAGTTTACACTAACGCTCTCCAAGCCTTCCATCATGGGCAGCCAGACCGCCCCTGTTGTCAAAATGGAGCCAGCAGAAAGTGCTATGCTCCCTTTTACGAATGCACAGAGTAGAGAGAATATTATTTCGCGTAATGCGGATGCACCGGTGTGTTTACATGCTTGTTAGCTTCATTTGTATGAATTTCATCGTAAAATTTAGCCCGCGCCGCGCAAGGTAGTCAAAACAGAGAGCCAGGCCGTAAAAATGGAGGACATCGAGACAGAGAGAGTCGAGCCTGTCAAGAAGGAAGAGCCTGAGCCAGCGAAGCCAGCCGGGCCACAAGGGATTCCCGGTATTCCAACGATCTACACGATCTATAAGGCTGCTGAGGACATACAGTATACTCCTGAGGGTTTCCTCAAGGAGGGAATAAAAATGGTAAAGAATATTAAGGCACATGTCAACCGTCTTGAGCTTGGGAATAAGCTTCGTAAGGAAGTTTGGTTACGCGAGATTACAAGGTATTTCCCTTATTACGATTAGTAAAATTGCTGTTGTATTGATTATCATTCTAGCCTTGAGGCGCAATGCTCACCTAGTACCATGATAGCCGTGTGTGGAGGTACGAACTGGTTCAGACTTTCTTGAGTCGATATACTAACCCCCCTCCTTGCAGCAACGGGTGCCGGCAAGTCTTCGGCGTTGAACGCGATTCTGGATGGTATGCCTAAATTATTTCTTGACCTTTCCCGTCAGTTTAATGTTCTTGTTAGATAATATTGTCCCAACAAGCGGAATGCGAGGTTCGTCATGCGCCCGAATTGGTTCTTATTGAAACTTATCTTGTGAATCAATTCAGCTTGCACGGCTGTGGTAACCGAGATTTCCTACCACAAGAACAAGACTATTGAGGCCGATGTTTCCTTCCTCTCCGAAAAAGAATGGAGAGATGAACTCGAGGTCCTCTTGGATGACCTGTTGGACGAAGACGGCCAATTCCGGCGAACGTCTGACTTAAGGAGTGAGGCCGGGGTCGCTTGGCATAAAGTATGCATTATTTATGGCATGGAGTGCGGTCATTAATTCCGATAAATAGGTTCATGCACTGTACCCGACACTCACACAAGATCGTCTTGCTACTATTGCTCGCCGTGCTGGGCCGGATCGTATTGATGCTATCCTCAAGGTCGATCCAAGTAGGACAAACTATTCCAACCTGAACCTGAGTGTACAGCTGATGTCTTCTTAGAAATTTTGCAACTGATGGGCAGTACGAAGAAGATAGTAACAAATCACTCTAGGGAGTTCTCCAAGGAAATTGCGTAAGTTACAGTGAGGATTAACTCATTGAGAGACGAAATCTCACTTGTTTCAGGAAATACATTGACTCCAAAGACCAGAAACGGGGTGAGAAAAAGGACAAAGAAAAGAAGGATAATGGTCCCGCCTTGTGGCCACTTATTCGACAGGTCAATGTACGTTGCAACAGTCATGCATTGAGTACCGGGGCTATTCTCGTGGATCTTCCTGGAGTTGCGGATGCGAACGCTGCACGTTCTAGTATTGCCCGTGATTACATGAAGAAAGCCAACTGCATCTGGATTCTGGCACCAATCACGAGAGCTGTTGATGATAAAACGGCCAAAGGTTTGACTATACTGCGAAATCTTCGCATGCGTTTCATTAAACTACGATCATAGATCTTCTCGGCGATGCTTTCAAATCACAGCTCATGAGTACGTTCACCCTTCTTTCGGTTGTCTGGTACGCGGGCTGATAATCGTTTTTTAGTGGGTAGGTCTGGCGTCTGAAAAAGGAGAATGCCCTTCTGACACTCTACCTAGATGGCAGCTTTGCTGATGTCGAAAGCACAATTACATTTATTGCCACAAAGTGTGACGATATCTCTTGTTCAGAGGTTATAGGTAGCCTTTCTCTTGAGGTATGTGGGAGTGTGCGTCTCGAACCTCTGGATGCACTGACGCCTGTTCAGGATGACCCAGTTCTTGAGGAGATCGAAGAGCGGCTCAGTCAAGTTCGCAGTGACAACAAGGAATGGAAGCAAAAGAAGACTGACGCTGAAAAAGCTGCCAAGCGTATGATCTACATCCACTTCCATATCCTTATGCAGCAGTTCTTACTCACAGTGATTTTAAGGCGTGACTGAGGAATTAAAAACGATCCGTGAAGACATTGCTGAACACAACGAACATCTGAAGGCTCTAGAGGAAGGAAGAACATTCACTCCGAGAAAACCAGAAAAGAGTAAGAAAAACACCAAGAAACGTAAGAACTCTCGTGGTGGGAAAGGTGGCTCTCCAAAGCGCAGACGAGAAGATTTCGACCTTGAGGAAGAAGAAGAGGAGGAGATGGCTCTTGACCCAGATGCCGACGAGGACTCTGATCTTGACGATTTCATTGATGACAGTTCTATTAAGAATGCTGACTCGGATAACGAGGATCAGTCGGGAAGTGATGCCGACGAAGACAACAATTCAGACAGTGAATCGGAAGCTGCCATCCTGGCGGTCGAAGGTTTCTCAGTCGACGACATAAAGGCGAAGATCGAAGAGAAGAAAGGAGAGCTCAAGAACGCGCGAGAGAGACTATCGGAGAGTCGCAGACTCCGCAAAGAAGCGTCAGATATGCTTGCCAACCTGAAGGAGAAACAGGACAAGGCACAAAAAGACAAGAACGCATTCTGTTCCTCAAAGCGATCCGAGGTATGTTCTGAATTCTAGGCTGAATGGATGTACTTGACAATTTCTATAGTTCTCCCGTGACGTGCTGAAGGAAGATTTCCGATGCGGTCTGAAGGTAAACTTGAGTCTGAAGCATTCTGGATTTGAACTGACAGTGACCTAGGAACTCGATGACGCCGCAGAAGAAAAGCGCAATCCGGCTGGATTCAACCCATCTGATAACTTGCGCGACTACGAAAGTATCAACTTGCCTGTATTCACGGTTTCTTCCCGCGACTATATCCGAATCACAAGTGCGTTCAAAAAATCGTGATGCCCTTGCATACTAATCTAACTTGTCATTCAGAGCAAGTTAGAGGAGATGGAGAGCCGTCATGCTTCAGCAACGTTGAGGAGACTGGCATTCCTGAATTGCAGCAATGGTGCCACACTCTCACGATAAAATCGCGTGAAAGGTCCGCGAAGAGCTTCAGAAGCCATTTAAAAGTATTCGCTACTTCCATCAAGAGCTATATTGACAGCTTCGATGCAGTCAGCGAGGCCGACAGAGAAGCGCTTCGCCGGAAATGGGACAGTGATCTTGAAGACGACCTTTACACAATCAACTCTGATAGTGACGACTTGCACACGTGCGATGATGACGATGACGATGACGATGACGATGACGATGACTTCGACTGGATATATGAACGCGGTAGATTGATTAAGGTACTTAAAGCTCGGCGAAGTGAACCACGGGCGAATGAGATACCCATTGCTCGCCGTAGAAACGGGCCTGGTATCACTGGAAGGCTGTCAGATGTTTGTCATGAATTCCAGCTTGTAGTGACACTTACTGACAGCAAATATAAAGGAATTCCATGATATCATTGCATCTAGCGTTCGAGGGATGCAACAGTGGTTCAAGGACGGACTAGAGGAGAAATGTCAGACTGGAGCAGACGCAGTACGTTTCCTGTATGGCCTTTGCGGTAATTAATGACTGATACCCTGTATAGGCAGCGAAAACTGCAACTGGGACTTCTGACACATTCGCGGCGTCCATGCACTGGGCAACCTACAGAGCTAGTAAGATCTCAACATAATCTGTGTATTATCCTCGCTGAATTCTTTGTCTCAAGCATTACGCCGCGAGGGTGTCTGGCGCAGGAATCTCAACGAGGAGTTGCTCAATCCCATGACAAGGACGATAGCATCCTCATGGGCGAAGACCTTCGAGAACAACCTCTTTGCCGACTTTGAAACCAAGACTTTGGCTGCAATATCGGAGCTGGTTGAAGAAGTTGAAAAGTCTTGCCCAGACGGACTTAGCGATCGGGCTCATCATCAGGGTCAACTTTGTTCTGAAGAAGTCAAAGTGACACTAAAGACTACTATCGATGTTGTGAGCGAAGGCTTGACTTCCGGACAGAAAGAAGTGTCTCGCTGCCTCGAACCACATGTTAGAGAACAATTGTCCGAGGGCTATTATCGAGCAATGGAGGAACGGGGACGCGGAAGTGTGGCTCGGCAAAAGGTAAAGTCGAATAGCCACTAGCTATTTTTAAACCTTTACTGACTAGTATCTTAAACAGGCCGTTTTCAGGAATTATGTCGACACAAACAAGGATGACCTTTTCGAACATGGTGCAGATATCATAATTCAGAAGCTCGACAAGGTTGCCGAGGATGTGGGTAAGGCATTGAAAGAATCTATGACTAATCTGGCGGAGCAAGTGAGTGATCGTGTTCTCGGACGATTACCTTTATCTGACATTACTGTGTAGGTCGAAGTGAACCTTGCCGTCCTTTGGGAGACGGCTAGCAATAACACCCACCTTATAAGGGAACGTGCGGAGGCTGTTGCATGTGTCAACTCGATCCTCCAGCAACTGACCCTTTGGGAGATTGCTAACGCGCTCAGGAAAGGTTTGATAGACCAGCGCGATTTACATTGACGTACATCTCCTGGCTCTTCAGGTTTAAAGGACGTTTTAGCCTTGAACAAAGATAACAGTAGAATCAACTTATAGCCTCACTTATTCTTGGTATCGTACGGTTCGTATTTTCTTGAAAGGTCGTTCTAATTAAAAAAACGTAAATACCCAGTCGTATTGTCTTCTGTACCTGTACCCATCTTTTTAAAGGTGTTAGTCTTGTAGCTCCAATTTATGATGATTTCTTTCGACTAAGTAATCGGTGTTTGTTCTTATGCTGCAAGAATTGACGCATTTGTCTATTTCAATGCCGATCAATGCGCCGATCATGCACGCGTAGTGCTGCTGAACACGCACACAAACCTACACGGTTACACCCATGGCCAAGCGCAAGCAGAAGGCTACGACTCAAACACAAGCACCGCAAATTGAGGATATACCAGAAAGTGAACAATGGCGTATCATTGAAGAAACTGGCGTACTCAAGAAGGTGCCTCGAGAATGGCGCGAGTCGGGTGGCTCTAGTGTGCTGAAGGAACGGGAGGGAGAAGCTAATCCGGAAGACGACGAGCCATTCTCTCCTCTCTGCAACGAAATATTCAACGCGATTTTCTTTGCTATACCGTTCTCTACGCTTTATATCACGATGGATGTGTACGTTCTGCTTGTAGTTTCTTGTTTCTCCACTTGATGAGTTGACGGTGTGTTGTTTGGTAGAATGGCACACCGTCAGTATTCGCAACCAATTACAACACTTGGACTGTTGGAGAAAATAGTATGGGGCATACCCTGTAAGCTGGTTTAAAACTAGTCGTATCTCTGCTTCGGACTCATCACGTCGTTTACTAATTCTGTTATAGTCCTATTTGCGTTCATCTTCTATAGTGAGTACTCCTTACCTCATCGTTTTGTATGTTATTAATAATATATATTTCCCTAGCACTGCGACATAAGGCGGACCGACGAACACAGGCACTGCTGTTCTTCCTCTCGATTGCCTGCGGTGCAAGGCTCATATACATAGTCAACTGGGAGAGCTGGAGAGTAGTTGTCAACCAGGTCAGTAGTGCTAACTCAAACTATCACAGGTTCAAATTGAACTCACGAAATATCCCTCTCATGCTTGATTTTGAACTTCCAGTGTGCTCCACTGGGAACGATCTGGGTATACACAGTCGCACAGCTCAATCTCATACCCGCAGTCGCTGCTTTGGCAGTCGTTGCAGCATACGTTAAATGGAAGGAATTAAAAATCGTATTCTAATTTTCTTAATCACTCCCGTATGCAATTTCAAACGGACAAAAGGACTAGGACTAGCTCGCTATTGAGTATTAAGCGTTTTATGTAGACTACTTTAATATTTAATATTTAATATTAATGTCTCCCTTCTCAATCAAGTTCATTGACTCGCTCCGAAATAGTGGGAATCCCTGTGAAGGGGCTACTTCGACACGTAAGGTCAAGTAATGTTTGAGGGATTTAAGAATTAATATTCGCTCGATGATACGCCACTTCGAGTTGAGATCTTTTACTCGTGCGGCACCTTATACGAGCGTGTGATGAGGATACAAATGGATTGAAAATCAAGCACCCCGAGAGAGCATGTGATGAAGACGTCGAAGCCAAGGAGGGCATTTCACGGGATTCATTGCTAAAAAGAATAAAGTTATGCCGTGTGTGTATCATACATCTAGACCTTCGTCCAATTCGTTAGCTAATAACTCAATCTTTTTCTGCGGAGGACTTTCAGCAGCCAGTAAGTAGAAGGAGGCGAACAACACTTACTCGAAACGTATCATGTCTCCCTTCAAGCACCTTTTCTAAGACCCTAATCTGCCACTTTAGACGTCGATTAATGCGGGCGAGGCTTCCACGGCACTCGTTCAGTCGTTCTTGAAACGCATTGAAGACTCGCGTATCCCGTGCGAAGTAATACGTCTGTTGGTATGTCAGTACACGTTGTTCTTTGCCATTCTAGTATCGTCTTCACGCACTGGGATAGGTTCGCCTTGAATCGAGTCGAGCATGCATGACCATGCTGCTAAGACTAATAAATCCGCCGTAGCGTTAGCTATGCTGGAGAACCAAAAATAAGAGGGAAAAACATTAACGCCAAACAACACACGATCGGCAGATACGAAGTCCAAAAGGGTTACTCACTAATCCTCCAACGAAGCAATCAACTCAGCCTTACCCAGCTCCCTCGTCGCGAACTTCCTCACGATAGTCTCAGCCGTCCGAACAGGTTTCCCCTCCGTCCCTGCACGCAGAGCAAGTGCAACGAGGTGTGTTTGGTCGATTACCCATCGTTCACCTTCGCTCATGATGAGTGTCTGCATGAAGGATGCGATGAGGTCGGATTGGGAGCGTTGGAGGCCGTAGTCTATTGCGAGTTTTAGGTTCGTGCCTATGTGGTGTTTCGTATTCGTATTCGGTAATTAGATACTTAAGAAAAGAGAGAGAAATGTAGTGTGGTGGACGCACGTAATGCTTTGAGCAGTGGTTTAGTTCTCTTGTCAGCCATGTCACTGTCCTCGAGATGATTGACCCATCGAGACATGGCGCCAACGATGAGGATCGCGACGTCGCTGTGTGAATCTCCAATTCGCATCGCGTGCACTAGTGGTGTCGTGTCTCCGTTTTTCCTGAGTAATAGCTGCGGATGCAGTCATATCGTGTTAGAGAAACAGAGTGTTTAAAGGGTCTGTAGGGAATGCTTTCTTACATGAAAAGCCCGATCCCGAACTTCCATAAGAAACATGATGTCTTTCCTCTCTATCGCTCGGAAGACCTCGTACGGCTATTAGCAAGCAATAGATCAATTAATAGACATAAGTACTCATAATCGTAATGACCAATAATAAACGACCAAATGTACCTGTGGTTCTCTCCAACCAGCGGCCATCTTAGGAGTAGCAGCCCTTAACGAGAACCAGCTCTTCTTCTTCGACGAGGTACTACTCTCCCCATCATCTGACTTGCTCGTACTCTTCCGACCGTCTTGAGAATCGTTGGTGCTGTCTGTTGGAGAAGTGGGTGGTGATGGACTACGTGTAAGTTGGTCTTGTAACGATTTTGGTGCGCTGGATTCGCCTTCTCGTTCTAGGAAACCTATAGTATAACGCCGTAAGAGAAGGCATAAGTCAGCATCCACCACGAAGTAAAATCCACGATATTACGCACTTGTTGAAGGTAACCTCGACAAGAGACACAAGTCGGAAGGTAGACTCTCCTTTACCACAGGTTTCCTCTCCTCTTCTTCCTGTATCAGCTCGTTATCCAGCTGTGCGGCCAAGTCGTGTACGCGGTAGGCGTTGTTGAACATATCCCGTGTCTATACAGACAATTACAATGCGGTCGTTCCTACGTCCACACGTTCTTCAGTGTACGTGTACGTGTACTTTGCGTCTCAAGGCAAGAGTCAAGAATGGTGATGTGATGCAAGTATGGGTATGGACGTTGTGTAATGTGCATACGTGTAAGCCAGCCTACATATTAATATTAGGTTACCAGGATGAGGAAAAGGATGCTGTGGTTTCGGTTATTTTGAGTGAGTCGGGACGCGGAAGGTAGAGTCATGAGCTAAGAGAAAGCATGCACGGCGCAGGAAAGCTGTGTGCGGAAGTGTTCCGAGCACAGGATTTCAGCCCGACATTTTATGTGGCACTAGAACGCCTCACAACACAATACACATGGAAACTAAAGTTTCTGCTGTGCACTGAGAACCGTGCAATCTAACATTTCGTCTCACTTTGCTTCTAAATGTGTATCCAAAATCTAATTTACTTGTTTATAAATCCTTCACCCTTTCTTCTTCAACCTCGACGAATTCTTCCTACTCTCATCCAGTGGCGCGTCTAAGTACCCTCCAAGATCCAAAGCGTTCCGAGCAGCTTGGTTGATATGTTTGAAACGGTCTGGACCTAGATGGATTCCGCCGAAGTATCTGGTGACGATTACGAGCACGTCGGTTACGTCCTTTAACCCTCTAGTAAATATCATTCCAGTCTAGGAGTCTGAGTGTATTGTATTGTGCGTACTAGTATTTGTAGGAGGTGAGCTAGACGGCCGCCTGCGGCGGTTTCTCCGTCGTCGTCGTTGTCTGCATAGGAGTAGAATTATTGAATCCGGTTAGAGTAAAGCAACATGACTCTGATACGAGACGCACCTTGGTGAAGTGTTCCGTTTACTTTACATCTCCAAGCGTTAATTATTGGATGGGCAGCTCGCGCTATTCGTTTATCAGACATCAGGTGCGTTAAGACTGCAGTGACCTGTAAAACAAACTCAGTTCATGCAAAAGACATGACCACAGCCTTCGAAAGAAACCAGAACTTACCTGAGACGGATCCGATATTCGACACGCCCTCCCAACAAACACGCTCTTCCGGTCCACAATCGGCTCTGACACGCTCAAGACAAGGCCCTTGGGTAACGGCTCGGGCTCCTTAGAGGCGATTCCAACAATCTTTCTGGCGTTCGTTGAAGTAGAAGGCTTACTCTCGTTAATCCTTTCTGCTTCATCCTCCCTGACAAAGTTGAGTGCCGCCTCTTCACTAACACGCCCCTCAAACCACTTCGCCACGCGTTCACGAACATTTTCTAATCCGTCAAAGATACACTCTGTTCCGGGTGTCCACTCTACGCCATCCTGCGAGGAGATGAACGTACGGAGGACGGAGCCGAAGAGGTTTGAGTCTACGCTGAATGGGCCGATGTATTTTGATAAGAGTTGGAGCTGGGGACGGGAAGAGGAGGGGTAGGTTGATGGGAGGGAGACGAGGACTTTGAATTTGTTTTCTGGGGAGGAGTGGGGTGGTGGTAAGCTGTAAAGATTTGAGTACGATGTTGGTTGTAGACAAGCAGGGAAGAGGAAGACGCGCCTTAGGTGAACCTCGTATCGCACCGACGCTTTATCGTCTGGACTGAGTGCACCGTTCCGGTCACCATTAGTAGGCTTCCAGACTCTTATGGAGTCGTTACTGCCTTCGCCGTAGATAGATCGTAGAGCTTATGGAGATTGAGGATCAGATGATGCATACGTGCGGATGAGTGCGCACCACCGATTTCCGTGACGATCTGATCGTATGCAGGATCCAAGGATAAGTTAGCTAATAGATCATCGAGTTCTTGTTCATCGTCTTGGATGTCGTTCGAATTAGAGGACATTATTTTGTTGTATGCGCATATGAGGAAAGGATCGATGGATGCGAAACTCTAGATTCTGCACTGCAGATCTCTTCTCTCTATTCTAAACCACGACGATGACCGCGTCCGCGACTGAACAGTTCACTAGTTGAGCACCGACGCGACAAATCTCCTCACAACATGCCTTTACCAGCGCCGCCACCGCCTGTTCGCGTCATTATTCGCTTGCCTTACAACCGTCCACACGAAGGTTACGAGAATCCGCCTCAGGTATGCTCGTTCACTTCAGTACACTCCTTTCCCCTATTCACCTGCATTTGTGTATTGCAGATAGAATGGACCCCGAAGAAAGAGAGTATATTATGGGAGGTCATTGCCAAGTCAAGAGCCTCCGATAGCGGTGGAACAGATTGTCAGTGCGGTTTGTTCCTTTTCGCTAACACGAAGCTGATGATTATGTACTTGCAGGGCAAGGACTCGCTTTACATTTAGAAGTACCACTCCCATATCTGCTATTCAGAGCACAAACGCGCTACGAAGAAGACCTCAAGGGCATACAACATCTCCAAGGACCCTTTGCACCGGCCGCAGGACCGCCTTCAGCTAAAGCTGTCGATGAAGATGGGAAGGGTCAAGATCAGGTTGGACTTGCTAGGAAGACATCGTCCCGCGCTACGTGCAGTACAAAGTTACCCGCTTCTGGTCGTCTCAACACACCGCTCGGGATCCGTGCGAGATTGAATTCGCTAGGCTATGACTCTGGTTCGAGACACTCAAAGGCTTCCTCATCCTCTGTACTTACACTCCAGGGCCCTAAGCCACCTCCAATACGGACATCGACTTCCTCATTACCATACCCCGACTCAAATTCAGAATCGGAAGAAGAAGCGGAGAAAGCGGAAGAGGAGGAACGTCGATTGGAGGAACAGGAGGCGCTTGACAAGAAGTTGAAGCATTTGCAGTCTATAATGACAAGCAATACTCTCGGACTTGTTAAGGAGGCTCAACCCAAGAAGAAGGGTAAGGAGGTCCAACGGGGACGTGATGTCAGGTCACCGACATCACCCTCGCCACTACGTCAAACATTTGCTGGGAGTTTTCGTAGAGACCTGAGTTCTAGCGATCTTAATTCCAACACAAGCTCCCCTCAAGGGTCTATTCCGTCCATTCCTTCCCCGCCCCCTGAGAACGAACCGCGTTCACCTGTTGCGAGACATTTTCAGCACACGAAGTCATCTAGTCCGCCTGCTATCTCAAGGGTCCAAGCGCATGTGCCGTACAGACCGATGACAGTCGGGTTGACGCATACAAGCGATAGGAGTAGTACGCATGGATCAAGTGCGTCGAGTTTTACAGATATTAGTGGTGCGAGCTAGCATTCCTTTTTCTTTCTTTGCAACATGATCGATTCTAATTGCACTCTAGATATGAGCCTGTCCTCCGCGGAGGCGCTAGAGAATGCGTTACAGTCAAACTTCCCCGGAACGGGTTCTCGAATGTAAGTGACACTTGTCTTCCATCCGCACATGAAACAACTACTGAGACTGGAACGGGAACTATCCACAGGTCAGCATTCCGGAGCCAATTTGTGCGACGAACGTCGAGAGGCCCAGGGAATGCATCCTTAGATTGAGTGTAGATTTAGTGTAGGCGATGTATTAGTATAAATAATTAGTTTGGTGACTAAATGCGAGTCAGACGCGTGCGTGTATCACTGTATGCTTTATTCGTGTACCTAGCTGTACGCGTCAGGACGTTCTTGTCTGCACACGCAATCCCCGAGGTCTGCTTCATAATACCATTCACAGCAACCGCATACGCAAGCCCTCGTTATTATATTCTGACGACCGGGTTGACCAAAAGGGAGACTGTCACAAAACAAGCCACAGGCACAGCTTCCTGTCCTGTATAAATAGAGCTCTCTTCCTTTCCTTCCTCCACACCGCAGTCGATCCTCTTCTTCTCCTCTCCTTCCTCTCTTCTATTCTCGCACTTGATTGAATTTCGGAGAACACGATGCGACTAACGTTCGTGAACGACATGGGCCAGTCGTTCGTTATCGAGATCGACCCCCAGATGAGTTTGGAGGATATCATGGCGCTGCTCGAAGCTGAGGTGCGTTCCCCCTCTCCTAGCTCTCCTGCCTCACATCAAATAAAGGCATTGTCTGAACACGTATATGGTTGGTTCTTCCGAATGCTAGTCAGACATCCCGGCGAACGAACAGAGTATCTCGTTCGAAGGGATCGATCTGAATAGACCAAAGTCGACGATGGCTGAGCTGGGTGTGGGGAACGATGCGGTGTTGGTGTTACGACGGAAAGTGACAGTGGCGGGACGGTATGTTCCTCTTTATACTGTCTATATCCATATCATTAGAGCTCATGGCTAATGTAATTGAATGCTTTGTGCTGGACAGAGCAGCAGAACAGGATTCAGAGATGATGCGATTACAGATCCTCGGTGACCCAGAGCTTATGCGTCAACTACAAGAGGTCCGTCCCTCTCCTCCCTCTTCTCCCACTCCAACACCCAGGCTTAACACCAACTACTCAAACAAACAAACAAATACAGTCCCAACCAGAAATAGCCAACGCAGCCCTCAACGACCCCCTCCGCTTCGGCGAACTCCTCCGCCAAACTCGACAACGACAAGCCGAAGCCGAACTCGAACAACAACGTGAAATTCAACGCCTGAATGCAGATCCGTTTGACGTGGAGGCGCAGCAACGGATCGAGGAGGCTATTCGACAGCAGGCTGTTATGGAGAATATGGCGCATGCGTTGGAGTATTCGCCTGAGAGCTTTGGGAGGGTTACTATGCTTTAGTGAGTATTTAATTGTTCGAGGCGAGGAAGACGAAGCTGAATTACTATTATGACTATGCAGCATCCCTGTTGAGGTGAATGGAACGCCCATAAAAGCTTTCGTAGATAGCGGAGCCCAACAAACAATCAGTAAGCTCTACATCCCTCCTCACGCTCACCCGAGAATTCTTACAAACAAACCTAATTCAAAACTCAAATTAAAGTGAGCCCTGAATGCGCCGAGCGCTGCGGAATCATGCGTCTCCTCGACCGTCGTTTCGCAGGCGTCGCACGAGGAGTAGGAACAGCAAACATCCTCGGTCGAGTCCACTCAGCGCAACTCAAACTATCCGACTTACACCTCGCGTGTGCATTCACGATCATGGAAGGACGGGACGTCGACCTGCTTTTTGGACTTGATATGTTGAAGGCACACCAAGCGGTTATTGATTTGAGTAAGAATGTTTTGAGGATTGGAGGGAGGGAGGTAGCTTTCTTGGCGGAGCATGAGTTGCCTGCGCAGGCTAGGGCTTTTGAGAACCCACAGAATCCGGGTCAGCAGTTGTTATCGGGCTCGCCGTCGACTACTGGTGCTGGTAATAGCTCCGGGGCACCCTCCGGAGGACCGCCGACCCAGCCACGATTCCCTGGTTCAGGGAATACTCTGGGCTCACCACCTTCGTCATCTGGTGTTCGACCAATACCTGCACAAGCGACTAGACCAACAAGCTCCCATCCTGAGTCGAGTATCGAGACTTTGATGAACCTTGGAGCGACGCGCGAGGCGGCGATTCAAGCGTTGGATGCTATGGGCGGGAACGTGGACTATGCTGCGTCTATGTTGTTCCAATTCTAATTAGCTCTGAATATTCTGAAATCCTCCTTGCGACCGAAATATCCGCGCTCCCCCCCTTTTCTCGACAACTTCTTGCACGAACCTTTGATGAACTTTTTTCGATTTGACTTTCGAAGCAACTCCGCCCACTGCAATACTTTTCTTTTTTACTTTTAAATTTTTTGTTCCCTGTTTTTGCTTTGATACAAGTACAAAAGGCCTGTTGTTTTACATGTAAGTACATAGAGATGGTATGGATACATGCAGCAAAAGAAGCAATAGCAATTGTAAAGCAAGCAAACGAATTCCCAGTGGCAGACGTCAAAGAACCAAAGGTAAAAAGGTCAGAAAGACAGAAAGACAGAAAGACAGAAAGACAGAAAGACAGAAAGACAGAAAGACAGAAAGACTCCCATAAAAACACAACCCCTCAAATAAGGCTAACACCAGTCCGCACAAGCCCTCCCCTCCAATTCCTCATCCCCGCCGACCGATGATGCGCCCAATCATTCTGCATCTTCGCAAACGCATCCTGAATATGTTCAGACATCAACGCCGTCCTCGCCTCCGGAGGGGGTAAAAACAACGACGAAACAGGTAAAGGTGCGTCTTCCCTATTATCATCCTCATCTTCTGCTCCTCCCCCTACTCTTCTTCGTTTCGACCCACCGGATTCGAGAGCCGCCATGGGCATGCCAGGTTTACGTTTACCGAGGATTGGGGAGGTGTGGTCTTCTAGGACTTGAGCTTCTTCGAGTGATTTCTTTACTTCGAGACCGCCGATTGTTAGGGCTCGGACCATCTCGAAGGCGAGGAAGCCTACGATGTCGACTGTGTCGTCTGCGTTTTTGAGGTCTAGGGCTGGGGGGAGGTTGAGGAATTCGCGGAATCGCTTGGCTGTTTATTGTTATTATTTGAAGGGGAAAGGTTCAGAGTTAAGAGAATCAGCCACCCAACCCATGTTTGTATACCTGAAAGGAAGAAGTCGACATACCTTTCCGCCAAGTAAACGATGCCTGCCGACACTCGGAATAATGCTGATACTCCTCCCTCGTCATCTGCCTCGTCGCGTCGTCTGCTTCTTTTAATCGTTGAATCGACGCTTCGTGCGCTTCGATGTCGTCTTCGTCTTCTTCGTCGTCGGATTGATGACCTGCTTGTTTGAGCACTTCGGAGTAGATGGCGGTGATTTCCCAGGGAAGCTTCACTGTGATCTTTTGTGCCTTGGCGGCTAACTTGTCTGCAGAAGTTCGAAATGGATGAGATTAATTCGAAGATGATGGTGAGAGTTTGAAATGGACGCACCGTCTGCGCCATCTTCGAGGTTCTCAACTTCGACCGGCCCACCCCCATCGCCGCCCGAGTCCTTTGCGTGTTTTCGTACGTCTTTCCAGGAGAGGTACGTTCGTAATCGGTTGACCTTTCCTCGGTCGTGGCGAATGAGGAAGATAAGGTCTTCGGCGGTCAGGTATTTTGCACCGCGTTTGGTGGCTAAAGCTCGGGCTTGGATAATCTGCATATATACAACGGGAATGGGTTGGAAGAGGGAAGATATGAGTCCGGAGCAAATTACTATCGAAATGAATAACGCAAGAGTTGACGCACGAGTTCGATAATCTGGCTTCGCACTATATCTTCGACGAGATTGACTGTGTCTTGGTTGGGGTCTTGTACTTCTCCAAAGACAAACATCTGTAAAAGCGTGTAAAGGTGTATGAGTCCTACTGCTCCGAATGGCATTGATAGCTGCAGGTGGTAGATGAACTACCACTGGAAGTAAAATGACTAACCATCTGAGATATTTCCTGAGTATACTTGTACTCCCTCATACCGCGCTCCTCTTGGCCGGTCGAGAGCACCTTCTTGATAGCTATAGGAGCCGCCATACGAAAGTTGTAGTGTTATCCAGTGTGTACGTGAATAAGGTAGGAGTAGGAAGTAAACGAACGCGTCTTCTCTTGTGTAGAACGTGGATTTGGATGATGAATGTCGATCCCCAAATAAGGTGGTATATTCTCACGTGCTCAATTTGCCTCCCTCCGACTCTATGTTAAAGCCAAGCACGCCATTCTTGCCTTACGCCAGCAGTATCAATTTATAAGAATTCAAGATGCTCTCCTCGTTGTACCGCTCGTCTCTGAGGCCATCTGGTGCATTGAACGATCACCGGATTCTCTTAATTTTTCGCACAAAGGATGGTGGCTATAGCTGAACCTGATCACCCGAAGCCTCTGCAACATCCTATCGATTCTCAACTGCTTGAAAGTATAAACGCATACCTACGCACGCTGTCAGCACAGGAGATTCTCAAATGGGGTCTAAACAACCTTCCAAAGTTATATCAAACTACTGCATTTGGCCTGACCGGGCTAGTTCAGCTGGACATGTTGAGCAAGCTGACCTCGAATTCGCCTCCACTAATCTTCATCGATACTTTATATCATTTCCGAGAAACTTTGGACTTGGTTGAGGAAGTGAAGAAGAGGTATGGACGTGAAGTACATGTGTACAAACCAGAAGGATGTGAGACGACAACGGAGTTCGAGGCGAAGCATGGTGAACGGTTATGGGAACGCGATGAAACGACGTATGATTACCTTGTCAAGGTAATTTTGTCCTTAACCGCGAACATCTAGATCTATCTGACAAATTCTATCTTTATCACTTCTGTCTACCAATTACCAGGTCGAGCCAGCCAGGAGAGCATATTCAGAGCTCCATGTGCAATCCGTCATCACGGGTCGACGTGCCTCACAGGGCGCAGCACGGAAGTCTCTTCAGCCCCTTGAAGTCGACAACACGGGGCTGTTCAAACTTAACCCACTCTTCTCTTGGAACTTCGCCGCGGTCCAGGCGTATGTTGATGAACACAATGTCCCAAGGAATGCGCTTCTTGCTCAGGGTTACAAGAGCGTGGGCGACTGGCACAGCACGCAGAAGTCTGGCGGGGGAGAGGAGGGCGAGCGTGCAGGGAGGTGGGCGGGGAGGACGGATAAGTCTGAATGTGGACTTCATGAGGATTATTTGGCGATGCGGATGAAGATGCTGCAGAAGAAAGTGGGTGTTTTAAGAGGTTAGAAGTCGGATGTCGACTTATTGCTATTAATTTATCTAGCGTGAAGTGGAGCTGCGGGAGAAGGAGGAAGCCAGGGGGAGTGATGCACAGGGAGAGATACCCGGACACAAATTGCAGGAGACAGTTGCTTAATGAGCCACGAAAGGGAATAATTTGTCTGTGGGAATTAGAGTAATAATAAATATTTCTGAAAGAGTAGATGATGTACATCAGGAAGGCCATTGATAGAATGCAGAACTTGATTGAAACTGTCATACGCGTCTTCCGAACAAACGACTGGTGGTCGGTAGCCAACACCCCCGACACGCCGCTCCGTCGCCTCTTGCCAAACTCATCACTCTTTTTCTCAGTGTCTTGTATCTGTGGCTGCTCTCTTACGGCACACGTCAACCTCCTTTGGACCATCGTCACTCCTTCGTCCGTCTTCCTCACGTTTCATTTTCCCTCGGCGACTATTCAGCTGCTTACAGGTGGCTCTCATCCTAATTCTGTTGCTTTTGAATACTCGTCACGAAAGGACCTATGAGATCCCAACTTCGTCGTGTCCCGTTCCGCGCTCTCACCTCACGCGCTACTAGGGCCAGTGCACTGCATCGGCGTTTCACAACGTCAGATCAGTCGTCGCAGGTGTGTACAGCACAATTATACAGGCGAATACCAGGACGCGAGAGAACAGGGCTCATCGAAACCAGGCGGAGTTTGTCGGAGACTCTCAACGGAAGCTTCGTCGACATTCAGCATCATCAGCGGGCAAGCCCCCGCTTGTATTCATCCTCATCCTCCCCTCAGTCCGATCCCGGTCCTAGTTCCGCCTCTCTTGATAGTGCTCCTCCTCCGCCTCCTCTTGCTAGCGAGTTTGAAGACTTCCTACCTCCGCCAGAGCCAGACGAGATCGTCGTTCTAGGCGACGTCGAGACAATCTTCGACCCAAGCATGTTAGCGCTCAAGTGAGTAGGCGACGATCCCGTTGACATTGCTTTGCGTTACCAAACCAACTCTTTCTCCCTCGAATTTCATTTTCTCTCCCAAATTCCGTTTGTGCTGTGCAAAAGGCCGGACTTAGACGCGACTGGTGGGCTCCCGCCTCTGCCAACAATTCGAGACGAGGCACTTCGTCGACAAGCCTTCACCCATCGTTCCGTCTACGCACGCTCCCGTCATGACTTTGAGGACTCACACAGTGACCCGGCACCGGACAACGAACTGTGCGTGTTTCGCCTTCTATATGCGAAACTTTACCATACAATCATGTTGACATCAGTCCCCGTCTTCGCCGCGCGATTCTTGATTCGTGATGATATCTGATGTGCTTGACTCACTTCGCTTCTCCTTCTTCAATTCATCGGCTTTGGATTTTCTGCGTTGGTCTTTGCCTTTTGGCAAACTCCGTATATAGATTGGAATATCAAGGAGACGCTGTCCTCGGACTTGTGATCACTGACCTTGTCCGCGATTGCTACCGATATCTGCGAGTCGGACCTGCGACTGTGCGTAAATCCTTCCTCTGATTGATGTATTAGTTTCGCTCATGTGACCTTGCAATACCTCGACAGAAAGTGAGGTCTCTAGTCGTCGGAAACGCAACCCTTGCAGACATGTACGTTTGTTTCTTCCCTTCTTGTCTCGTGCCCCGTTCGTTCGTAGTGCGGCCGTCAACCTGACCAACTCTAATTCCCTACAAAAAACGAACGTCTTCTCAACTTCTTGACTTGAATCAGTTCCGTCAAATACGCGCTCCCACAAAAGCTTCGATTCCATCGAGCGAACGCGAGCACTAATAAAATTTCGATCAACATCCAAGGCAAGTTCCGTCTCAAGTTCCGTCTATTAGACGCCATTAGGCTCCGTGTTGATCCTCACTTTTCGTTTTTGGTGCCTTTCTTTTCTTCCCTATTTAGCGGATGTATTTGAGGTGCGGGGTTCTTTTATCTTATGAGTGAATTCTTGCAAGTATAACTCACGTTGATGATGTGCATTTTCTTCCTTAGGCGTACGTCGGCGGTCTATACAAAGATCAAGGATTGGAAGTTGTCAGGAGGTGGCTTAACCCTCTTTTCCTACCATACGTGAAAGAAGCCTATCGTGTCTGTCGGGACCAGCATGGTCTTCCCTCTCCGCCTCCGTCTCCAACTCTACCGGATGCACAAAACGATGGTTCTACAACTTCCACACCCGATACACTTGATTCAAGTGCAAGTGCAAGCCAAGAATCCGTTTCGGACCAGCTTGCCTCACTTCAAATCTCTAACGGCAATAATACAATCGGTCACCTAGCCCTATTCAACCAATACCTCCAACAAAAGCGAATGACGGTTGAGTGGGTGTTTCATGCCGTGCAAGATGAAGGGACGAAGGTTACGCCGATTTGGGAGGTGAGAGCGATGGTTGAAGGAGAACAAGTTTCTGTTGGACGGGCGAGTACGAAGAAAGGTGCGCAGAGTGAGGCTGCGAGGGAGGGGCTTGTTCAATTGGGTATTTCGAACCCTTGTGAGTTCGATCTGCTTTGTTTGTTTTGTTTGAAGTGTGGGAAGCTTAATCTGCTTTCTGATAGTGGAATGAGCCTGTTGTATGTCTCTAACATGGTACAAGTGCTTGGTGGTCTCGACCATCAAGCGCCTGTAGGCAGGATACTCTTTGCAGTCTTCCTTTGCCTTTCGAGTGTCGTTGCCTTCTAGATTTTGGTCTTCTCATATAAAAGTGATCTATCTACCTTGTGGTCTGTTTTACCTGCTGTGTTGCTCATTTCCTTCCACATTTGCTTGATTGGTCGTGATGAAATCCGACTTGGAAACGTTGTATATAGCATGTATTATAGAAAGCGGGGATGCTATTCTGTACGCATTCGTTTAGCGTCTGTCTTGCTTAGAATAAGTGAGGAAAAATACGTACTTTATCTCGTGAAATATAATAATGACTCTCTGATTATGATGGTCTGTCGTTTTTGTCTCCCAGCCGACCTATCCGATCTACAGGAGGTGCGCCCCATACTAGACTTCTTGAAGCAGGGTCCAAAACTTGAGGGAAATGTCGATGAAGGTGGGCTGCCAGTACGCCTCGGGGAGACTTGTCGCCAGCTGGTACAGTCGTGCTCGGACTTGAAGGTGAAGTCAATTTCTCCACGTCGCCTTTCACGCTCGCTGTAACACTTGTTGACGAACTCGTCGACGAAGGCGATGAAGGCGCCGCCAAACTCGAACCCGAACCCTGCGCTACCGTCCCCATCCCCGTAGCCGTCGTCCCACTACCAGTACTATTCCTAATCCTCTCATCCTTCATCCTCGCAGCTAACAACTCTTTCGCCTCCTCATCCAAGTCTTCAAACGTATCCTGTTTAACAGCGCTAATGGAGTACGCCCATACGCCAACGACGAACGCGCCGATTGTGAGGCCTGTTATTGCGTTACGGGTGCGGAAGGGTGCGCGGGCGCGTTGGAGGCCTGGGGAGAGTCCCTACACACGGATGCATTGTTATGTTTTAGGATATAACGGATAACGGAGTACGCGTTTTTATAAGTTGAAGGTGAACATACATATCCCCTTGGGCGGTATTGTTTGTCTACTTGTTTTCGGGAGAGGAAGGAGCTTGGGTCGGACATCGTAGTCTTGTGGACGAAGTTGTTGAAGCGACCTTGTCTACTTGCTGGATGTAGCCGCGCTTCCAGTCCGTTCCTCACGATATTTCTTTTCTCCTCAAATCATCTCCCTTCCTCAATACAAACCGTATGAATACATTACGACACGTAAGGTGGTTTGAAATAGCTTTCAACCCTCACAAATAGCGTAGACTCAGGCAGAAGTCAGGCAGAATCTGCCATTACGCACAACCAATCATGCAACACTCATGGTTCTAACTTAAACAAAGTAAATAAAGAAAATATTTTGCATGTATTATGCACTTTGTGAAGACACGCAATTTAAGGTGTTTATTGCTAGAGTACGTCTAGCCCAGTTCGCCGCATTGGCATTATTATTTGTAAAGAGAGAAAGCACGTTTTTGACACTGCTTATGCTTCAGTAGGCTTGCCCTGTAGGCGTATCCATAAATACCACCATCCATATTTATATATTCTTACAAAAAGACGAAAGACGAACCTTGATCATCTGAACGGCACCCCACGCAACTCCACCAAGCCCAACGGCCAAGCCAGTGAACCACAAGTCTATAATACACGTCGATTATACTTAGCGAACTAGGTCAATGACGGGATAATAAGAAACGCACTGTTGTAAAGCTTAGCGCGTGGAGAACGCCAATAGATTGGTCTTGGGTCATTCTAACAAGTCAAAGGTTTATGTCAGTATGTCGCAATCAGAATGCGTGGACGGATGGATGGGATGTTGGACAAGAAAGGTATACGTACTTGGAATTGTCTCTGCTTCTGAGGTACTTTGTTTTGGACTGCAAAGGAAATTTGGTGAGAAATGAGTCCTGAAGTGCTGAAGAAATTACATACGCTTCACGAGGAAATCCATGGCGGCGAAGAGGAAGGATAAACGTTGAGGTGAAGGACAAGACGAGGCGTGACGGTGATCTGACTGTCCGGGTTGTCCCGAACACTCAACCCGTCCCAAATCTCCCGAGTTTACCGTTTCAGAATGTCAAACGAACGTGTTCGCGTCAGGGTACGTCCTTATATCTCAAATCCCCTTCCTTTCCTAAGTATTTGTTTATCTTATATGTTGCGTAAAGGGCTTGAGCATATACAGACCCATCATCTACGGCAACACAGCAGTCGTCCTCACACCCGAAGAACGCTCCACCTTTACAGGCTCACAAGCAGATCATACGCACAGATGGACAGTCGCTGTTCGTAGCGCTGCTTCTGTCCCTGGGTCGGATATCGTTGGTGGGGCGGATGATATTAGTTATTTTATTAAGAGGGTGACGTTTAAGCTGCACGAGACGTATCCGAATCCTACTAGAGGTGAGTATAGACGAATGTTCTTTGTTTGCTACGTTAAGGTATGAGTTGCTGAACTGTGAACGTGTTAAAGTAGTGGACAAGCCTCCGTTCGAGGTGACCGAGACAGGGTACGCATACACGTTCTTCCATGACTGACATTATTCCTCAAACTCTTTGTTACAACAGATGGGGTGAATTCGAGATCCAAATCCGCATCAACTTCGTCCCCGAAGCAGGCGAAAAACAATACCTCCTCTACCACCACCTCAAACTCCACCCCTGGACAGCAATCGGCAGCGGAGAGCCCGAGATCCCTCCCCCAGAAGTTGCAGCAAAGTCCGGACCAGTCCACTCCTGGCAATACGATGAAGTCGTCTTCAACGACCCCTTTCAATCCTTCCTTAACATCCTCATAGCGCATCCTCCTACACCGTTACCGAAAACGAAGACTAGGCCGGTGCCGTTTAATATCGCGCACCCTGAGTCGATTAAGGATGCGAAAGCGGGTGGGACGCCGGAGTTTACGCAGATGATGGTTACGGAGGAACATGAAAGGTTGGAGAAGGCACGGAAGGATGTTATTGCTGAGCAGGATAAGTGGAGGGCGATACTTATTGAGAAGGAGAATGAGTTGAAGAGGCTGCAGAAGCGACTCGAGAGTGCGTGAGGTGTTGTCTTGTTTTGTGTCCATGATGCATGTATTATTAGAGTATGGTAATTTATTACATTTCTGGTATGATACATGTTGATACGAATAACGATACATTGCAATTTTTTAGTAGGTCATAAGTCATCAATGCCAAGGTGCCCAACCAGGATACATCTTAGACTATACATTAAACATTAGACTCGTTTTTCGCATCTGTCATACATGCCAGAGACTCACCAAATTGCGAAGGTCGGTGGCTTCTTCAATCAACATCTGAACAAGATTACTCGTAGAGATTTCTTTATCTTTTCGGTCATTCCGATTCGTGTCTTTGCTATACATGCCTCTCAACTTCCTCTCAATCGGCGTAAGTGCTGTCTTGGCGAGGTTCCGCAAGTTGACGGATTCTTTCACTGCGTTTATGTCACCGGTTCGTCGAGCTTTCCTTTCCTAGAATCAAATACGAATCAATACACGACTCGGGTCGAAGAGAACAAGAGCAGAACGAACCATCTTGCGTTTCTCATCTTCCCATTCTACCAGTGGGTCGTGGATGAATGCGTCCAAGACACTCATGAGAATGTCCTTGTTGTCACGGAGGAGTTGTAACGTGATTTCCGAGGCGTTGCGGAAGACGCCTTCGACACCGGTTACCCCAAGCGCGTCAATTAGGTTGCTCGTAAGTCTGAAGGGTACTCGTTCCGGGATCTCGAGCGTTTTGCCCTACCAGATGGGTTAGAATGAGTGAACAATGCGAGTTTTAGGACTCACCTTTTCGAAGAGACAGTTGAAGTCGACATGAACGGCATCACCCGAGTTCACATCGAGCAGTATGTTTTCGAGATGACGATCTCCCAACCTACTGGATGATTGGCATAGTTTCAAAGCAAAACCCGGGGAACTTACCCAAGGATAAAACCAACCATAGACATCACAGCCAGTGTCCGCCCGTACGCTAGTCTACTGGACAACCATGCAGTGGGTTCTGGGAAAGTGTCCAGGAACCACTCGTGGAACAACGGCGGGTATCTGTAATTCGAGTGTCGGTATTGTTTATGATATGCTAAATACAGAACATACGTGTTGAGAACCTTCTCTTTGAAAATCTTTGCAGCTTCTTTATCTGTGGCATCCTTAATCTTCTGGAAGTTAGTCGTCATATCACGGGTCTAAATTTAATTGTTAGTTGTAGAATGTAATCATGTCATCGGCGGCATTACCCAGTGCTCGATTCCTCGCGCGGAGTAATACTTCAGAAGAATAGGTCGAATTGGTGTTGTATTCGGCACCCATTGTATAAAGCCGCACTCTTCATTCAAGGTAACGACACTGTAAGTTCGGATGCCTGTGGGTACACTTTGGTCAGACGACTGATTGCAAAAGGTATACTTCAACTCACGAAGCTGCCTCCTACGAGACTCCGAGTTTGTCCTGAGCAGCTTGTTGATGATCGAGTTGAAGTCCATGAGCCGAGCATCTTTCCGAAGATCGTCTTTCGGTTTCCCCAAGAACATGTATACTCTGCCGTTACTACCCTTCAACGTGATCTTTCTTGGCTTCGCGAGAGACTTCAAAACGTCGATCTCGTCAAAGAAAGCTGGGATAAACACGTCAGTCACGAGTCATTAAACGCGGAAACGTGAAAGGCAGTCATACCAGATATTGTTGGGGCATCAGGTGGGAATGGCTGGTGGCCTGATTGTGAACTGGAGGTTGCCGGTAAACTCACAATCATGGACTCTTGCAGCGGAATAATGAGAGGTGAAGGAACCAGTTTAGCTAGCGTAGGGAAGTCCTTTGACATGCTGAGAGACTTCGTCGCTTCATCCCTTATTGGATGATCACAGAGCTTCAGCAGTTCAGTCGACATCGTGATTGCGTGATTTATGAGGCTAGGAACGGCGGTGCTGGCATTCTTCGGATTGTTCTAGAAGTCTAGATATGAGAGCATCGTCTTCAAGATTGCATTTGAAGCTCACCTTCAATTGCTCAAGGATGGCCCGGCCCCTCTTCTCTCGCCTGCTCTTGGTGGATTGTACCACTGACACGAACAACCACAGGCCCTGCTGCGGGTATTCTTGAAGAACAGTGACAATCAAGTTTGATAAAACACTGAAGACTTGGGGGTTCTTGTGATCGACGCGAGAGACGATTTGTGGGAATGCGGTTAACCACTGTCAAAACTTCGGTCAATAACTATCATAACGAGACGTATTGTGAGAGCGAACCTTGTACACCGGAGTACGATTTATTGCCTTCTGGACTTCCTCGTTGATCTTTGAAAATGAGTCGCAGGATGCGAAGACGTCATCCTCACCCATGTCGAGCCAGATTGTAAGAAGGCGGGGAATCGTTTGGTAAGCATACTTTGAACCCAGGCGCATTGCAATTGCGTAACTCTTCACAGTGTACAGGTTCATTTTCGGACCTTGACTGAGTATGAAATTGAGTATTGCATTCAAGTCCATATCTTAATTGAAGCACGTACTTAGTCCGTTTCTCTGCAGTGCTCAATGCCTTGAAGCACTCGTCTTGGAAATGTCCGGCATGGAAGTGAGCACTCTCGTACCTAGAAGGGATTAGAACGATTTAAAGGACGTCACACGGTGCACTTACTCCGATAAGGTCCTCGCTAAATCAGAAAGCTCTTTAGCCACGAACGTCACGTCGAATCGCTCTGACTCTATCATCCATTTTGCGCGGAGAAGCTTTGCCTACATCCGTTGTCAGACTACGTAAGTAAGAATAATATTGTACACACCTTTGCCTCACCGCGTTTCCGTTCACTATCGTCAATGGAAGCATCCTCTGTTAGATCAATAACGCCCTGAGTAAGGAACTGGCGGCGCTCTTCGGATGTCTTCAACGCATTCTCTAATTCATACAACGCGCGCAGCGGTTCCCCGGAGGCCTTCACCAGTTTGGCGCTCTGGTAGAATGTCAACGGCGCTCGACACTCCTGTGCCTGCAAAATGGCGCTGTATGCGGTTTGCCAATGACCAGCTTTCCTAGCAATTTTTGCACTGTCCAACCAAGCTCGTCCTATAGATCTCTTGAATAGACCCGTGGCTACTTGGCTGTTAGTATAGTATGTATCAGCAACCCTTCATCACCTTCTTTCTATACGGAGTGAAAATTGCTGACCTCAAAGAGAACGCAGTCCTATGAATACTTAGGATCGGTTCACGAGTCCGAAATGTTGGTAAGGTAGCGTCAAGACGGGTTGATAGAGTTGAGAACAGCTCCGGTAGAACCTGCACCTTGGAACCCCCATTGTTCAGTCGAACGATCGAGTTTCGAATCGTCTCGATATCCCGAACTAAGTGCAATTGAAGAATGGCATCGTAAGCTCGTCGATAACCTCTTTCTCCGGCTGCCGAAACAGGAACCCCGAGCTGCAGTCGTGTTGCGGAGATGATGCCGGCAAACTCCTCATCATCTGCAGATCTCAGCGCAAGCAGGAGGCGGGCAACTGCCGTTTCCCAAGTATCCTCCTGTCCCTCCACAATGCGTTGCACTTCATCCCAATCGCCACTCATCCAAGCACCCTCAACGCGAAAGCCAGATAAGGCATTCTCCCATTCTGGATTTCGCACCAGTATACCTTGAATATGAGTACGAAGACTGTCTGCAATACTATTATACGTTATCCAAAAATAGAATTCGGGTGGGTAGACACACCATAATGCCCTAGGTTACGGAGACAACGTAGGAGACCTAGATGGTAGTCCAAGTTGTCTGGCGACTGTTGCAAACGCACCTCCCAACAACTCTGTGCGGATGTCCATCTCCCTGTGCTTTCATGCTGTCGAATTTGATGTTCGATGGATGGTAGCGTGACGTACGCCGCTATCCCTTCCATGCCGTCTGGTTCGTCGAGATGTGCATAGATCTCATGTAATCGATCGTAGTGGGCCTGAAGATCATCTCGAGATGTCCCTGAATTAGTTAATGAGATTATTTGTTTTTCAAAATTCATCAAGGAGCGAGCATATGCTTTGCATTGAAAAGCAGCTTTCGCAATCAAGTCCTGATCAATGCTTGTTAGAACAGAGTCCACTCGTGTCACCTCCAACTCGGCTTCGCTTGGACCAGGATCGTGATGAGTGCGTCTCCTCTCGTTTCGTTTCATGTTGATTTGTTGGCGCTTTACTCGGATCCATTTGTTCAGATGGTCCATGAGCATGAAGATTGCCTGTAGCGTATTCAGTCAAGATATCTTGAATGCAATGTAAAGTATACCTGTGCACTGAGTAGTCGCTTATCAGAAGAAGAGCTGCTTGCTGCATCGAGCTGATCATTTAATACTGCGACAATTTCAGCCTGTATTTTCTGTGTCGCGTCGTCGGGACCGGATATGAGAATATTCAGAACAAGATGAGGCAGCAGCTGATGCGCAACTCCGACGTCTTTGTTACGGACAGTAAGTCGAAAAGAATTGAAAATGGCTTTTGCCATCTCTCCAGTAGCTTGCGTTATCAGGTACGCCGTCCAAAGCTGTAGCCATTCCCGATAGGTTGCCTGTCCAGGGTAGATAGGATGTTGGAGATTAACGGCAATGTTCGTATTGCTAACGGCGAATTTCCCGTCAAGAAGGGGCGTAACCGTTTCCAGAACATGCTTGGGTAAAGATGTCCATCTGTTACGAATTTTCAAGGGGACTGCTGCTCCCGGAATTGCGAGATCAGGCGTAAATTTGCAGAATCTAAGAAGCTCCTGGATTGCAAAAGCTAGATGGCCCTGGTATTTCAGGTCACTCGTCGACCTGAATGCTCCAACAAGAGTGTTCTGGATAAGGTGCTTAGCGAAATTCATTGCCTCGTTCTCGTCCTTGTAATTGCCGAGCACGATCATTTCGTCGTCCGGGAACTGAATATCAAATCTGTCCGGATCAGCAGCACCGAGAATCCCTAGGCATTCAAATGCCAGAAGTCTTAGTGCCTCAATATTTTCCCCGTCTCGACATGTTACTGCGAGTAGCGCCCTCATAATATGTCCCACGAGAGGATCAAACACGTCTCCAGATGCGAGATTCTGCACGAAGTTCCCGTGTTGATTTTGCAAGAACGATTTGAGTTCTTGAAGGGCTTGGACCACGACGGTGTTATTGTCCGAGTACGATCGTTCAAGGATTCGCTCAAGTCGTTCTTTCGCTGAGGCACCTCTTTTGATTGATCGCAATTTGTTAGCTCGTGTCTGAATCTCCGGAATAATCGAGAAGTCGACGATATCATTTGCGTACTCTCCAAGACTATTGTAAGCATCGTATAAAATGTAGTCAATCGTTCGTTTGGCTACGGCCTGCTCCTCAGGCCTGAGTGAAGGCCAGATATTGACCAGTGTTGCAGTGGTAGGTCCGACGTGAGGGCCAAGGTCCTTCAGTGAGAGTGTTACGACAAAGGAATGCCAGGTCTGAAGGGCAGCGTGCGACAGCGGCACCAAAGACACTGTCGTTTGCAGTGTCGCCATTATCTTTTCGTCAAATTACCGTCAGGCAATTTATTTCTACGGAAAAATAGGAGATGTACTCACTTGAGGGGCTACAGCACTGATCGATGTGCCAACTTCTTTAATTAAGGCATTGAGCCCGAATAGAACCTTGCGTTTCATATCGTCGGTTTTGCGCCCCTGCACATCCTGCAGAACGTCGTTCAATTGCGCAATGATTCCTAGCATGTAAGCCTTAAGAAAAATCCCAATGTGCTGAACTGAACTATGGCGAGTATTTGCTGGAGGGCTCAGTGTGCGCTCTACTTTTCGAATGGCTTGTGTAGCCTACGCCAAACAATCATAAGTCAGGAGCTTCCCGAAGAAAAGAGTAACTTACATTTTCTGCTTCTTCGAGGTTTTCGTCGCCCATCGCTATGACGAGCTTTCCGAGGAGAGGAACAATGCAACTTTTGACCACATTCGCCAAACCAATTTTCGCGTTGTTTGCCGCGCTGCTGAGAGTACGTAGTATGAAAGACAGCGCCTTGTCAGTTTCGCTGGATGTTTTCAGAAGAAACCCACGCGCAAGGATATCCGGAGAGGTGTTCAAGAATAAAGTGGACACCGATTTCCCCAGCTCCCCTTGGATGCTTTCTAGTGCTGCTGAATTGCTTGCGGCAAATAAAGGAGGTAGAGTGTATTGCAAAGTCATAGACAGAAAGTCATTTGGGGATTGTGACAGGAATTGACACGTCTCGTGCAATGCGTTGGGTCGTTGTGGCATAATTGATACAACGTAGGTGGATATCTGCTCCATGAACGGGGAAATAAGTAGGTAAGGTGTTTTCTTATGAAATTTCGACAATCCCAGAAGCTGCAGGATCGTAACATCATTAAACGGGCGCTTGATATCATTGCCAAATGAAATTACATACCTGCAAGTATGCTGAACCCCTCAACAAAATACTGTTCTGATCTAACTGCGTAACCAGGACAAAGAGTACTTTTCCAAGTACCTCCATATCTGCTGTTTTCCCTATTATGCCAAGGGAAACAAGGGCGGTTTCCTTCACGCTGTCTCTCTTGTGAGAAAAGAGAGTCGAGATTATCTCGAATGCGGCATTCAAACGCTTGCTCACGCCACGTCCCAAGCCGATTCTTTTGCACAAGCGAATAAGTTCCACAACGGCACGTCTATAAGAAAGAACGTGAGAACTGAGCAATGGATATCATAAATCCGACAGACCCCGCCGCAAGCCTTGTTAACCTATCTTGATTCGTCATTCCCTGACGTATGAGGTCGCCAACAACGTCGAACTTTTCTTCACTAAAACCTTGCGTATGATGTCTGAGGCAGACAGCCAGCGTGTCTTGTGCAGACCTCGTTACCAGTGGAGTGACCTCATTGTCTGTGCCATTTAGGAGACACGATAGACAAGCAACACATGTTGGGATGAGGGCCAACAAGGGTGGCTGGTGTGAAGATGTGCTCTTCAAACAATCTTCTTCACTTGGATGTGCGAAAATACATGCGACTGCCTTCAAGGCTTCCATGGCCTTTACCTTTACAGATGCTGAAGCGTCCGCAAGTGGTCTGGGAGGAAGAAATTGGTTGAAATACACACTTGGGTCAGTTACTTGACGTACTCTGTTAAGTTCCTGCGTAGTATATCCAGGACGTTAGTAATCCAAATTGTATCGTTGGAATCGTCCCCCGGAATCCAGCATTGCTCGCTGCCAAAGATATTCGCTTGAAGAATCTGGATAGTACGCTGCTTCCACGAGTCATCATCCCATTTTCTCTTGCCAAGCACAGCATCATGTGCCGGAAGAGCTGGCGGATGCAAAGCAGCATCGAGAGCTCTCAATAAATCACCAAATGAATCCGTAGCTTCTTTCCCTCTTAACAATTGTCGGAGAGCTTCGATATTACGATGCTCAAGTTCGTTCAAAGAAGCTTGAATGGCCGAAGTCGACGCATCCTAGTGATCGGTGAGGAAACGAAAGAGAGAATATCATCAAAGTACTGACAATAAGTGACTGGTTATCTTCTGTTGCATCCTCACGGAGGACCAATTCCAATATTAGCATGGTTGAGTTTTGTGGATGCACAGAGATTGAACCGGATCGAAAGCAATCACGAAGAGAAGTATCAACTAGTTGCCAGTCCACATTTGCACCTTCCCTCAGCCGAAAGATGAGTATGGTGGTTAAGACGGAACATAAGATATCTCGCCCAGAGCTGTTGCAAGAATGCAGCCGGCAGACACTTTGAATGAGAGATGCTATCGCTTCGAAGCGCTGCGGCTTCGCCAAGGGAGTTTCTGAGGATAAAAGCAAGTCTAGCAGACTCCGAGATGTGGCTACAATCTCCCTGTCAACCACGGATATATTGAAGTGACTCTGTTTGTTTACTTCGTAACTAGCGACGGCGAGGCTGAGCAGATCTGTCAGGACGATGCACGACATAGCAAAGTCGGAAATCTCAATTCGTGCTTCTAGCTTAGAATCATCCTGTTTTTTTTTAGATCATGGAGCGTAAGCTGATTTTGTTAAGACACTTATAAAGGAGATGAAACTGCATTACCATGTTCGCTAGGTGTGAAAGATCAAGGTAATCCAGTTTCAATGGCCACATCGCCGCTGAAATTTGGCTAAGTACATCTAAGACAGATTAGATAAATGTCATGAGTAATGGAGGGATAGCGTACCATTAATCACGGTAAGAGAACTGTCCAATATGAGCTTTAGTACATTAGACTCTGGCGCACTCGATGCGAACGACTTGAGGACGGATTTGATTGTTCCAACAGCCTTATTTCGCAGTGCATACGGGCTATCGAGTTTGTTGCAATTAGGCAAAGGAGGTGAACTCCATGATTGTAATGCAAGAACCAGGCTAAGCAACCAATACAGAATGACAATGGAACGTTTATCCGTTTCCTCGAACAGTGTCTCGACACGCTGTGCGGCTCGCTCAATAACCACCAAGCTTGCACTGCATAACTTGATCTTTTCATGCAGCGTATTCCATGGCAACGATCTCGCTCCCGGAAACTTTGAAATAAAGTGAACGGAAAGACCGTCAACTATCGTTATCCAGTTTTCCTTGTCTGAAGCAGGGATGCGATCTGTGCTATTGTCGTTTAAGTGTTCCGCTATAAGTGTTTCAAGATGCTTGAGGAGTTCTGCAGGAGATGCTTCCTCGCCACGACCATTGTGAAGCGAGCCGTTCGTAAAGGGCGTCGAAGGGACGCTTGGAGGCATCCAAAATCGTTCGCGGATGAAAAAGCGGGCACCTTCAGCTTGAAATGTGCCCGTATCGCGTGCACGTGGTTCTGTCGCGGTTTAGCCGGCCCTGATGTGGGTATAGTTTAGACAATGTCTACATTCGGTTATTTTCAATAAATAAATTGCTCGGTGAGCGGATGATTTGACTTCAATTTGGCTATGGTTTCGCGTTTTCTTTTTTACTTTATTTTGTATGTGTGCGTTTGTATGTATGGGATACAAACGATCAAACCATCACTTCCTACCAGCTCATCTCTTCTCCTTCACCTTCTCTCTATCCATCTTCTTCTGTTCCGCCCTCTCACTCTCAAGCGTCGAAAATACCTTCTTCATCCTATCCCCATACTGTTTATCCTTCTCCATCTGCCCCTTCTCCTTCACAGCAGACAAAAACCGCGCATCCTTGCGCAACTCTCGAATCGCGCCCTTCCGTTCTTGTTTATACTGGTATCGTAACTTCGACGCGGCAGCGCGCTCGTGGTCTGGGTCGTTCTTCCGTAAGTAACTTGAGGAGTTGTTTTCGAATTTGGGGATGTAGGTTGCTATTGGTATGGGCTTGTGTGCTTGTAGAGTGAGTGGCTTCCGTGATTGTCGAGAGAACTTGAGTAGTCGGTTGATCATGTCTTTTGTGCTTATGTATTTTGTCTGCCGAGAAACTGAGTCAGACACCAATTATTCAAGAAGTCGCTAGTCAATACGTACCTTGACACCCTCGGATGCCCATGAAATGTTAACACTGTCTAAGATTGCCAGCGCAGGCTGGAACAATTCTATGAACGCGTCTGAACTCTTGTAGAGGTCTGCAAAACTCCGGAGTAGTTCGAGAGATACTACAAACAAGTCTAGCTTGTCTTGCTCTGTATCACCAGTGTCTCTTGCAAGTAACCGAACTAAATTAGGCGCCTGTGCCTGTAAATCCTTCGCTCCCTTTTTGCTTATTCGAAGTGGACGACACAGTGCACTGTTGAAATCCGGACAAGGGAAAGAACCGGGGAGGGAGTTCACATTCTTGAAAGAGTGAGGAGCGAGGTGTAGGATCGCGTTACAAAGGAAGACTACAACTTCTGGGACGAGCCGCTTTGAATACTCTTCATAGCGAAGAAAGAGAGTGCACAAGAATAGTCCGCTCGCAATGTCTTTGAGTGACCTTACACGCCCCAGTCCAAGATAAGCACCCATCAATAAACGTGCGGGTGAAACGACGGCATGATTCATATCACTGGTCGGCCAGATATGACTGATCATCCATAATAAGGCTAGCTCAGAAGGTCCTGGCCATGTTTTAGCATCCACCAACGTTGCGCCCTTCCCAAGTCCGCGAGTCAGGTTCTTCTGCATCAGCTTGAGTTTCGAATTAAAATGGTCGGCAGACTCGATTGGGTATGATTTTGACAGGGTATGGAGATGGGGTAGGAGGAGAGGAAGGAGCGTAAAGGAGGGGTCAGGCAGCGACGTAATGTGAAGAATATAGTCAATCAAGACACCAATCAAAGCCTTAAAAAATCGAAAGATCAGCGTCATTCAACGCAGAATGTGTTCTATGTACCTGAAGCTTGTATTTGTTGTCTTGACCCAGGCTGGGATGATATAGTGCACGTATCCGTTGAACAACTGTAGGGATATCCTTCTCGTCGATGTCTTCAATAATTTCAAGGAAGTCGTTAAAGGTTTCTGGACAGGGAAACATGAACGGCAATTCTTTTGCAACAGCCTTTCCTTTCCCTTTTGAAGCTGTAGTTGACTTTGCCCGCGAAGCCAGTTCTTCAGTGTCTGATTCTTCAGAGTCTGACTCATCTGTGTCGTCAACGTCTTCATCTGAGCCGGAATCCTCTGCATTGTCCTCTGGCAGCTCCTCTGACAGCTCCTCGGCACTCTGTTCATCATCTCCGCTGTCCGAATCTAGTTCTTCATCTGCATCACCTCCCAACCCTGCACCGAGGCCATCCCATACCATATCACCTTCTTCGTTGAAATCATCCTCTAAATCATCACCTGTGGCTATACGTCGAGCTTTCTTCTTCGATCCTGCTCTTTCGTCATCGCTACTCTCATCATCCTCGCCCATCATCCGCTTCTGCCGTTTGCGTTCGGCTTTCTCAAGTGCTTCCTTCGCTTCCAGGGCTAACTCCTCTTCCGTTTTTGTCCTGTCCTTAGGCTGCGCTCGTTTGTCCAGAGCTAATTCGCGTACCAGTTGATCGTAATTCACGTCTTCGTCTTTGGTTTCATTTGTAAGTTTGGAAGATATAGCATCAGTACTGCCATCGGTGAAGAGAAGACCGCGAATATCGTCCAGCTCTTGATCAAGCTGATGGCGAGTCTCAGCATCCTGCTGTCGTTGGACTTGTCGCTCAAACTGTTGGGTGGGTTAGAAAGGAACTGTCTCCAAAACAAGCAAACTTCATGACCTTATGCTGCTTGCTCTTTGCAATGACCTCTGCCATAACTTCTGCTTTGGATTTTTTCCGCGATGGCTAAACGACGCGTTGTGAGTTATCCTGACTAACGGCTGAAACAGGATATCTACGTACCTCACCGTCCTTTTCATCGTCTTCCCCATCACCGAAACCTCCAAAGTGCACTGACTTCACTGTCTGTCTGTCAATTTTTCCTGATTAAAGCCATCAGCATAGTAATACTCAGTAGGGAAACCAGAACGCACCGTCCGACTCATCGTCGTCCTCATCCAAACCTAGTCCTGTATCCTCAAAGTCATCAAGTCTGGATAGACTCTGACCATAATGTGTCAGGTCATCTTCATCTTCTAAGTTGAAGTCGACGCCTCTAGAAGCACGCTGCCGCTCCTTCGTAAATCGTTCTAGCATACGCTCTTCTGGAGTCATGGTAGGATCGTTTTCACCGAAACGTCTGTCAATAATGCCTCCTGCATGATTTCGCTTTTCATACTCCTTAAGAAGAGTTTTCTTCCGCTAAAGCAAATCCTTAGATGTTTGCATGCTTAGAGAGGATTGACGACCAACCTGTTCGATGCCAGTCTGTTTGCTCTCTTGTGGACGACCGGTCACACCCTTGAGTTTCCTTCCAACCACATCGTGCTTTAACTTCGTGACCTTTACATCAAATGGATTTAATTTCCGGTGTATTTCCTCAATTTTCTGCGCTTTCTTGTCCTTGTCTGTGTCTCGTGAGGACGCAGTACGTTTTCGCTTTTTGCCAGAAGGGGGTTGTCTGTTTAGTCCAGCCTGAGAAAGAGCAGACTTGAGCTGCGTCAACTGGGAACCCTTCGCCATTCAGGTTTGCAGGGGGATGTGGTGGACAGCTGCCAGGGAGAGAAGACTCAGAGAAGGTTGAGACTTCAAAAGTTTGAGAGTTTCCTATTTGGAAAGTTCGGGATTTGCGTTGCAAGACGCATGTTTCCGGCCAGCTGCCTCTAGCTGCCCTTGTCGACACGTGGTCCTCAGACGTCGCTCACGCTCTTATACCCTTACCGCGACAACACCTGGGGCGGTAGGGCAGTCGCAGGTCTACTTGCAAGAATGATGTCGCTCCTCAGCTTCGTCAAACCACTTGCATACCTCTCTGTTCCTTTCTTCTTATTGCGTACAGCAAGTAATTCCTCTCCGTCGGCACGTTATTATATTCGACTAGGATTATACCTTTCAACATTTGGTGTGTGCTCAGTATGGGGCATCCTCGTTTCGATAGGCATGACAGCGGTAGGGAAACGATTTGACATCAACTGGGTCGTTGCGCGTTCTTTCTATCATCTCACGAGCCGAGTTTTGGGGATATATGTTGAGGTGGAGGGCGAGGAGCATCTATCAGTGAAACCGGCCATACTGGTTGCAAATCATCAAAGCATGCTTGATATTCTCTACACGGCACGGTATGTCTTGTAAGCTCATGTCATGCGTCACATTGACAAACTTTTATTTCGTCTGCAGGGTCTTTCCTAAGCAGGCGTCCATAACCTCAAAGAAAGAGCTTCAATGGATGCCGTTATTAGGGCAGTATATGACTTTATCCGGTGCTATATTTATCGATCGCAAAAACAACGCTCGCGCAATAAAGTCTGTTGCAGATGCGGGTCTGGCGATGAAGCAGCGGCAAATATCGGTATGGGTGTATCCCGAAGGGACTCGCACTCTCAGCGAGAAATTGGACATGTTGCCTTTCAAAAAAGGCGCTTTCCATATGGCAGTTCAAGCCGGAGTACCGATTACGCCGATAATCTGCCAAAATTACTGGAATCTCTATCACGGGGGCACATTCGAGAGCGGGATAATCAAGGTCAAGGGTATGTGCCTTTCCATTCTACAATGTCTTTCCCATATCTAATTTTGACATTTTGTAGTCCTCCCACCCATACCAACCGCCGGCTTGACGGCATCCGATGTGGGAGAACTGGCTGCTTCAGTGAGGGAGAAGATGCTGGAGGCACTTCACGAAATTTCTGGCGATGCTACGGACACGGAACCATCCACAGAAGCGAAGGTCCCTACTACCGAAGAGCCTAAATCCAGCCAGGAACCTATTGAGCCTAGTCCAGCTGATGCATCGACCCCGAGAGCTGAGCCGGCAGAAGAAACTACTGACAGTCCCGCACCTACAGCACCCACGCTCGCAGTCGATACGTCAACGCCACAACAGCCCAGGCGAAACGGCAGCGATAGAGGGCCAGAAACAGAATCGGATGACGGGATGGTACTTGTCGATAGACCAGAGACGCCTTCAGATGCACGAGGATTCTGACGTGGGCCTGCTTCTCCGGCTTTAGACATGTGTTTTACGTGCGCATTTTCCAAACATACGAAACATAGTCTTCTTTGAGAACATTTAGCATGTAGTGCGATGTTGGATATCCGATTGCACCTAAACCTTATGCTCCCGAACTATTCTCGCAATTTGATCCTGGTACTGGGAACACATGCTGGATTCCTAATGTTTTGGTAGCTATTGGCTGCGCACTGTCGTCCCTGCCCCCTTTATGGCTGTTTTCCTGTCAGTCATGTATAATTCTTAGATGTCGAAGAACTTCAAGAAATGGCAATGTTGAGAGTAGCGGTAGATCTAAATTTCCTTATTTTTCCCTTGTAAGGGTCCTCGGCCGATTAGCCGACGGATCCGACAATTCGAAACTTGTTTCTTCCGCGTGAGGACTCGTGCCAAATGGTGGCCAACTGATGCTTCTGCTCCGCAAATAAACAGGAGTGCCCACACGAACATAGCATAATAGGCCGAGGATGGCTGCTGCGGTTGTCTAGATGGGCACGAGTTCCCCACAGACATGGCGAGCTGTGCTATTATAGGACCGGCGTCGTACGCCGAAGGTTCTTGCGCCATGCGCTCTGGTAACGTCCATGCAAACCTGAGAGACCATGCATATGCTCCAACACATCCTCCGGCGTTCGTTTCGCTGCTGCTTCCATCATCCTGTCCGACGAACGCGCGGGTGTTTTGCTCCTGCTGCTATCCCACATCTCCTCTTATATAAGACTGCTCCCTGCCCACCGACACTCGGGCAGCCACTTCGACCATGTCAACTAGCACTGCTAGTTTGCCGTCCTATCATTACGAACCAAGAGAAACGGAGCATCTGCTTGCTCAAAGACTGCGAGTGCATAGACCCCGAAGTGACTTTGTGAAGAACTCGCGCAACGGCGGCGTTGTGCTACGACTGACTGGGCAACGTGATGATGCTACACTCCCAGAGTATGGCCGTGGAGCCCTTGTAGAGGGCATAGTAGAGCTCAAGAATGTCGATACTGTCCTGAGTGTCGACGTCAAGGTATGAGTCCATCCTCAGCGAGATTATTTATTAGTAATCACTATTATTATTATTATTTGTCTTGTGTAGATCGAGGGGTCACTAAGATTGAAGGAGATTGCTGAGGGTGGGACGAATACCTCCTCACTGTGCCTAGATGTCAAGAATCTCTGGAACCGCAATACTTCAAGCGAACGATGTCCAGAATGTCTCCCGTTTCTTCTCGCCCTTCCCTCGACTTTCTCCGACGGGAAAGCAACATTCCCTTTGTGCGCATAAATTGATCAGCGCCCTTGGAACAATAATGCTTATTAGCTTAATCGTTGATTATAGACCTCCATCATATGAAGCACACCTTTCTGGTGTTCCTGGATTTACGGCCAATATTGACTATGAAGTTTCCGCAACAGTTACAAGACACAAAGTCAGCCTATTTGGACTAGCAAACACGTATGCCTTGGTTTGCTACTAAGCTTAGGTCGTCGTATTGATAAGATAATTGCCAGGACTGTATCTACGCCTATTAATGTCCGTCCTCGCTCACGTCCGGCACTGCCTTTACCATCATCCTTGACAAGTAATTTCACTCACCCTTCATCCATACACACTGAAGACTGGGCTGTCCACCAAGCAACAATCAAGACCAAGGCGGCCTCTCGGGGCGACAATATTCATGTTAAAGTATGTTGCATAAATAAGTTCTCTCGCTGCCTGTATTTCTTATATCCATCGTTTCAGTTATATCTACCTGCATTGCATGTGTACTCTTTGACAGAAGCAATACCGTTCCATCTGTTCCTCACGTCGTCTGCCTTCTCCCTTGCATCCTATCTTCCTTATGCTCCGGCTGTGGTTCGCGGGTCTAGAAGTCCTTCTGACCAGAGTGATCTAGACTTGTCGAGATCCGGTGCGACACGGATTCAACTCCTTCGTCAAACGAGTGTAGACGTCCGGAGCATAACGAAACGGACAACGCCAACCCGTGGGAACAACACTGACATTTGGAAGACGGTCAGTTTTTTTGGTGTTTCGCGTTCCGAACTAAGTGTTGGTATTTGCAGGTCCAAATTGGTGAGGCGGCGTTTAGGCGCTATGGTGCCGACGCAGGACGCGCAAGCCTCGGAGGAGGAGGTAAAGATTGGGTAGCATGGTTTGGCGAAGTAAGAGTGGACAGGAGCGTCAAAGTTGGGAGCTTCAAGGCAAGCGGACTAAACGTCAAGGTAATGACTCATAATTCTTTTCTTCCCTTGTCATTACTTAACCGCCGACTTCTCAGGACTTCATCGTCCTTTCCATGCATCCACCGGATCCTGCGAAATCGCCCTTTATGGATGTTCGCTTGGTAGTTCCTATTAAGCTGACAACCGATCCATGGTCTGCAGACGAGTATGGACCCGACGTTGGTATTGCGGGGTATTCAGATTCAAGCGACCCTGGGTTAGAGGACCACGAACCGCCGGAGTTGACGTACAATGGCCGAGCATTTTGAGGATGAGATGCTGCAGTGTGCGATAGTTTGGACGGTTAGGGTAGGTAGAAATCAGCTTCTGGTGTTCTGTCAGGAATGAAAGCCCGATTTACTGGGAACGAAGCATGGATGACTCCGGAGTGATGGTAATGTGCGAAATTATCCGTTTGTTTTTCAGGTCTGCAGATATTTGTACGTCAGTACGAGTGCGTGCCACAGATGGCGATGTATTATTTGAATTAGCGCCAGCCTCGTGAGCAAGTGGGGTTGCCTCAAGCACGGGCCTAGGTATGAATTATTATTTGTACCGGCGGATCGGGACGTGCAGATCCAGGACGTGCAGGCCAATCGGATCTCGTGCATGCATGGGATTGAATGGAACGTGCAGCAAAGTCTAACGACTAATTTGGGACTCTTCGACTTTCATCGTTTGCGCACGCGCAGGGCAACACGTTCGCTAGGCAGTACCCTCCATTCGACCCTCGTTCCGATTCAGCGAGCGTTGTATAAGATGCGTGGGCCGTTGGAGCAATATGTACATCACGTAAGCGGCTAGGGACGGATTCAACGGGCTCACTATCCTAATTTGTACCACCATTACCATATTCTGTCGAGTACCTTTACCTCGAACTCCAGAAGTCCTCGCTTGAGCAACTGGGGTACTTATACCCCTCTCTCTACATGTTACTATTCCCCACGGTTCGTCTTGGACGACTACCTCCTCCAACTATCTCTCTTGCATCTCGTCTTCGCTGGCAGTCTGCACCCCTTTTGCGGAGCTCGCTGCGTCCGTTCCTTACTAATACTATTGCTGCATGTCTTACTCTCGGCACAGAACTAAGCCGACAAACTGGACACTATCACCATCATTCCACCAACATTAGTGTAGACATGTCCACCTTTCCCTCGAGATTTCTTATGCAGGGAGACAGGCGTCTTCCGGGTTAGCGTCTTTTTCCTTTGGCAACGTGTCGTGAGACATTTTGGCTGACTGTTTTTTATCCCTTTGATGCAGACTGCTGGGGCCATCGAGGCGTGAGTCTTGACCAAAGGTATTACTCAGGAATCAATGCTAATACTACTTGTCTTATCCGCTATTTCCGGGTCCGCTCTACTTTCGTTTTATAATGCCACCTCATCCTTTTCCGGTATCTGTTGCTACTTTGTTCAAATGAATTGACACCGGTCCTGGTCCTCCGCTGATGTAGGCTTCTGCTGCATACCCCGAGAACAGCTTGTCAAGCTTCGAGAAGGCCATCCGAGACGGCAGCGAGGGCATTGAGAGCGGTAACGTTTCTCTCAAGTAGAATGCGCCTTTTGTTCCCGTAACCCAGACTCGCGCAGACGTCCACGTCAGCCTCGACAACGTCGTCATTATGTTTCACGACCCGAGTATGATATTCATTGCTAGTCATCATGCAGTCATCAGTGTTGTAATTAGTTATTTTTAGGTTTGGACCGTACGACTGATATGACTGGTAAGTGTTTTTAATGCGCATTTCTCGCTAACTTGTATTAATATAGGCAATAGGACTGATCCGCGAGAAGGAGTGGTACGGACCTGAAGGGATGGAGAAGGCCAGGACAAAGAAGCAACCTTCACAGTCCATCCCGACGTTTGCCGAAACTATAGAGCTTCTTATGAAGGTTCGTAGAGTTAAACTTCCACAAAAACTTCTGGAGCTTACTTGCTCGTTTCAGGAGGAGAATCGCCATGCTCTCTTTAATATTGATATCAAAGTTTGGAACGAGCCGATGCGTCTTTTCACACTTATGAATGCTATTATAACCTCGTACGAAGGCTGGGAGACTCTTCTTGCACCTCGTATCGTTCTTGGCCTTTGGCATCCTAAGTTTATCGAACCAGCAAAGGAGATATTGCCTTATTGCCGTCGCTCACATATCGGGAAGAGCCCTTACATTGCGCGCAAGTTTTTCTGGGATGGATGTGATGCGTTCTCGATACATTTCGATGCATTGCAGACATTTGAGGGAGAGAGGTTGGCTTTCCTTGTGCTTTGTATAATCACAAACTCTCGCTCATCAAGTATGCTATTATGTACAGGTTCAGGAAAGAATGCAAGGCGGCAGGGAAGAAACTTATGGTATGGACGGTTAACGATCCAAGACAGATGATGGAGGTATGTTGACGACGTATATCACGGGACCCTTTTCCTGACTGTCGCCTGTAGTGCATTCGATGGGGAGTAGAAGCGATCATTACGGACGTGACGAAATCCTATCTGGACTTGCGTGGATCTGTCGAATGTAATTTCTTTTTGCTACGCTACTTTACTCCGCGACTTTACTCCGCGATATTAATTTTCTGATGCTACAGTGGACTACGCCAAGGCCGACGCTGAACACTCGCGTCTTTTCATGTGGACAACACTCAACTATTACATGCCCATGCAGTTGATACAGTGGAGGATCCTCCACACAAATCTAGAAATCATCGGTGGTCCGTTTACTTTGTACGAATCAGCTATGTCTTCTACGACTCCCGCGCCTGTTGCGTCTGTTCGCACGTCGGTCACTGCTTGATAAACTTGTTCGGGATCTCAATCAACGAAGTTGACGTTCTTGTATCATATTTTCTGGACCTTTCATTGTTACTGCTCTTAGAGATATACGAGTAGCTAGCACATAGACTGTTGGTTATTGGAGTAGGATAGTTTATTACAAACAAACCCCGATTGATGATTTCACCGAAGGACGACTGATGAGAAAGGAGCACCGAGTACACTGCTAGATACGAAATAGTTTCTGCGAATTCGCTGGGCTGTTACTCATGACGGGATGAGTTGGCCAGTCTGTTCAATAACTGAGTATTCAAAGCTGAGTATACGGTCTCAACTGCAAGTTTCTTTGACCGCCCCATTCTCAGACGGGTACATTCTCCCTCGAGGGACGCGAGTAATCGACCCATTCCGGGTAGTCGAGACGTACTGTTTTCCTATTCTACAGGAAGTCGCGGGACGAGCGTCCCGGTTGGAAGGCATGGTCACACCTTTCTTGTGTCGGTGCATTGATTAGTTGGCGGTGATATTTATACCTCGCTGATTTCTTCGCGTAGTATGGTAAACGTGGAGCACGAGACAGGGGGAGAAGCGAGCAGGCGGTTCCTCGATATGTTTTGGTCGTCGCGAGTGAGAGATTTTGAGCAAGGCCAGAACTGCAATGTGTGAAAGAGATGATCAGCATTTCTTATCACAGACGCGTGGGTACACGCGTTATTTGCCCATATTTGCGTGAAGCCAAATTTGGTAGGTCATGTTCACGATCATAGGCGACGTCTTGAGTGATGCCATTCACGGATACAGAGACAAGACCCTGCCATATGCTCATGACCAACGGTGCCGCTCGTCCTTCCACCTGAGCTCTGACTCGTTCTCCTCCTTCAATATACCCCGGCCATCATGGCCGCCCCGTTCTCGTCCCCACTTCCTCCACTTCAGTCAACCCCGCACCGACATCGGAAACGCGTCTCAGTTTCCAGACTTTCTTCCGATACAATCGCATCTCTCCCCCCTTACAGGTCCATTGCCTTAAGTCGTGACTCGTCAGAACAGCCGCCAGATTATCCGGATAGCGCTGAAGAAGCAGACGAGGAGACAGACGACCAGGTCCCTCAGTTGCTTTCGCCACCCATTTCGCCCCGACCGAGGCGGCGTAAACTCCTAAGAACTGTCTCACAGCCACGGACAGCTAATTTCTACGGAAATCCGTCGAGTCAATCTGATATATTTCTGGATGTGAGTTGATTTGTATTCGTTGGCTGTGTATTTAGATTCTGAAGCGGATTTGTCTCAGAGAATACTTGAGCGATCTGTTGCTGCGCTCGAGCTGAGTAACAGCTTGCTCCAGTCGTCTATGTCCACACAATCCTCTCTGAGTACTGTCTTCTCGCCGGAGCTGTCATCACCAGAACAACTGCTCGATTACCGTGCACGTCAATTAACGGATCGCATACACAACAACCACGGGATGCACGAGCGGTGGATGGATGACTTAGATATTCTCACACGAGACGTTGAAGCACTCCATGACGAAGAGCCGCATTATAGTACAGGGGTGGGACGAGTAAATGTGCCCGGACGTCTTAAAGTCCCGCATGATACGTCGGATGCGGCAGTCAGCAGGAGTTTACCTTCTGCCTCTTGTTTACCACGAAAATCGCGACGTCGATCTTCCTTTGACCTGCGCAACCGCGGAACCTCAGACTGCGGACGACTGCGCCTAACTTCAGATCAACGTGCATTGTCGGCCCCGGCTCCTCGAGCGATGACGCAGTATGTTAACGCGAATGCCGATCTTGGAGACTTGCTCGAGTCTTCCTCCGACGTGTCATCAATCCTTCTCCCGTCCACGAACGGACTTCGGTCCTCTTCTACAGTGTCCAACTTCAGTTCTCCCTCATTAACAACCCTTTCACCACCTCCTGCTTGTTCTTCCGCATATGCATCTTTAGCTCGGCAAGCAAGTCGATCCCCGTCCCGGTCTCCGTAAGTTCTATTTCTTTTCCCTGCTCAAATACGTAACCTCGTGCATATGGATTGGCTGATGCGCCGGGATTGATTTTTACGTTCTAGAAGCGCATCTGGGTCGTCCAGCAGGACATATCGCCAGCGTTCTCGTTCTCGTTCCTCCAACCAACCACCATCGCCGCATTTGTTACCCCGTATCATCCCACCACCAATTCTTGAGTTGCCATCGCAATCCGATTCATCGAGCTCTGATAGTCCACATCCCTCACGTACACTGGAGTCGCTGCGCAAGATATTAGACGAACAACCCCCAATGTCTTCAGAATCGAAAGATGCAAAGGGTAAACACCCTGAGGGAAAGTCGTCTCGCCCACCCCCAGCTTTCTTGCCCCGGTCTCCGCCTGTCGGGCCGGTATCAAGTACATCTACGACGACGACGAGCATCTCTCGACTTTACACGAAAGGATCACACTCTACTTCCACCCGACCACGCTCCCCTCCACGTCAATCGTCTCTTAAACATCGGCCGCCTCCTTTGGACACTGTCCCAAGTGCATCTACAACAAGTATATCATCGCTGCGTAGTCCAGTATCAAAATTGTCGAGTACAACGTCCTCGGGTCGTTCAACGCCTCGGTCTGTTGCGTTTGGCCCATTACCAGAACCGATTCGGCCTGAAGGCGCTCCAAGTCGATTTAAGGAACAGCGTGAAGCCAAGGCAAAATCAAAAGCGCGCTCTCGATCGGGTTCACGAAGTGGGAAGGACCGGAAAGGAAGCGGGAAAAATTCGAGTGGAAAGGAGAAGGACGAGGAAAGTAGTTGGTGGACGACGTGGTTGACTGGTGGGAGTGCGTTGAGCATGAGTGCGTCGAGGAATGAGGAGCGAGTTGAGGATCGGATGGCGAGATCGTGGGGACGGCCGGGTATGGGAGTTGGGTTTGATGATTGGCCTGTCTAAAATGGCTGAGATCGAGGACGGATTTAATTAAAGAGGAAGGAGGTCTGCTGGCTGGACATAAATTTTGTGTCTTTATGCACTGTATGCATGAAGGTATAGCTTTTTCTGTTAAAATTCATCTTTATCTGGACGATAATGATTTGTTTTTGCTTTACGACGTGACATGACCTATCTCTCGTCCACTATTCTCTATTCCTGTTTCTTTCATTATTTGTATCACTATACTCCATTACATGTTTCTCTCACTCTTATATTCGATTCTGTTTCTTGATTTTCAGACTCTCTCTTTCGTCTGATTCCTCTTTGTTTCTTGTCTCTGTCTCGATAAAAACATTCCTTTTGTTCATTTTCTTTTTGGACGTTCAATTCGACATGATCACATCACAATCTATAGTGATAAAATTCCTTCTTGTTTTTGCGGACAGGCAATTGGATTGGTCTTCGTATTGTTTTTATTACCCAGGTGTAGGTGTAGCACTCTCAGTCTTTCTTTTGTTTGTCCTTTATTTGTGTAACGCTGACGACCGAGACTCAAGACAGTCACATTGAGTCAATAAAACGTGTCTTCTCTTCACACTTCGGAAGAAACTTGTTGAATCCGAAACAATAAAACTTGCAAGTGTATCTGATGGTCTCCAGGTGTTTCCAATGCAGGGACGCACAATGGGACGAGGAATTATTCATTTTTTTTTCATTTAACACACGCCAGATCTGCATGGTTTCTTTAAGATTACCTACTCCATGACGCCATATACAAACAAAGCAAAATATACCCGACTGACTCGCCCAGGGTTAAAAGGTTAATTGGAGTAATGTTATGCATCCCATATCAGATCATGCATTGCCATTGTATAGTTATAGTTACAATAGAAAGTTTAGAAAAATAAACGGATAGATGAGACCGAAACCATTCATTGATCGAGTAAAAAAAGTAAGTGAATGAGTTAGAGAAAAGACGTGAAAATAATAGAAATGGGAGGAAAAGTTAGTGTATAAGCGTACACACAGTCCTATGAGGATTGGCACAGAAAGAACAGACACAGGTAGACAAACAAACAACAGATTAAATTTCGAGACGAAAGAGAAGAAAAGTACAGAAATAACACACAGACTAGAAGAAACACAGAATGAATCGAATAACGGACTATAGATGAATAAGAGAAAAGAAGAGACCAAAAACACACCGATGCAAGATACACGCAGGAACGGAGGAAGAAGAAAGAGAAATGATGAGATGAGAAAGATAAGAGAGATGAGGTAAATATATGGGGTTGGAAATACGGGTGGCCTAAATGCACAAAGACGTGAAAATTGCTTTGTTGTTTGAGATACGTGTGCTAACTAAACCGCTTGTGAGACAGGGCACGCAACCACGTATCCTTGGTGCGCCTCTTTGGTTCTTGTTTAACTTCTTTTTTGCTCTACACTGCCCTTCACCTCACTTCTTCGTGACGTGATATCTCCTCTCTCCCGAAGCTGAAGCTCAGACTGGCGAAATCCCCTACAGATCCTTTGAAAGAAGTGAATCAACGTGAAAATCGACCGGATCTGCGTGAAGGCTCTAGATCCGGACTGGCTTGATTTTTAACTTCATCTCGGGAGCGGGTGGTGCCAGTGCTACCAGAAGAATATCCCGTACAAGTGATAGTACAGGAAGAACGCGCGGAGGGAGAGAAATTATCACTCCGGCGCACGCGCGAAAATGACCAAGACTCCGATGAGTGCAAAGAGTAAGACAACGACGGCGGCCACGGTCACGGTAATCGTAAGACAGAACGATCTCCACGAACTCAGTTGTGGTTGAGGTTGGACGGCTGATGCTGGAGGAGGATACGGGAGACCAGGTTGAGGTGTAGGGTACGGACTTTGGAAGTGCGGAGGGTGAGGCGGCTGAGGAGAATAAAAATGTGCTTGCGGGTCGCCTACGATGGATCGCGTTCGGTTTCGCATTTGTCTGCTAGGACCTGGAAGCGCCGAACTTTGACGAGCGACCCGTCGAGTGACTTGCTTCAAAGCAGCTTCGTCCCGTCCGAGTACAATCCGTACATTTCCAGGTTCTCGTGAACTCTTTTTTCGTCGCCCATTCTCATCCATCACGTCTTCTTGCGAGCCAGGTACAACATGTAGCGCATACCCTCTTCGTCTTGCTCGATCACGTAAAAAGGGAACATACTTCGCGCCAACTTCATAAGCCGTGTATAATTGGGAAGCCCCGCTTCCACGGACGAGAGCGCCAAATGACGGTGCACTACTAAGACCCGCTGTTGAAAACGTCCCGGCGTCTGACTCAGAAGCATAATACGATGAAGCCGATGCGCCTCCGCCTACAACAGAGCCATCCGAGGGATAAGCAGGATCTGATCCGCTCTCCTCCCCGTCTTCAAAACTATGATCAAGTTCGTACATACCATCGTCGTCATAATCGTCGTTATCAGCACCCTCGTATCCGTCAGTCTCGTACCCACCAAGACGATCTGCTAGTCGGTTTGGGAACTGATTGGGCCCTTCACTTGTTGCTCGATCGTGTCGAATAAAACGGTGCGATATACTGTGTTCAGGCATAACAATAGTCGACGACGAACCATACGCTGATCCAGACGCGGACGCGGCGTAACCGGTCGATCCTCCAATAATCATCGTTGGATAACTTTCTAGCGGTGCAGAAACACGTCTTGGATATTGCGCATTATGCATCTCACTAGTATAAGGCGGTAGGACAGCGCTCTCTTCTTCAATTTTGGCGCCGATACGGTCCCGTAGAGAACGCGTGGGAGATGGTCCAGATGGTCCGGGTGATCCAGAGATTTCACTCGGACGGTCGTTCCCGTACGAGCCAGGCATGATAGGACGCGTATTCGGCGCGGGTAAACGCGCGCCAATTTGCGACGGACCTGGCATTGTCGTGTCCGGTGGCGGCATAAGGGATGACGATGTTTGCTGGTGCATGCTGTGCGATGGTATGCAGGTGGAGCGCTGGTGACCTTTCATCGGCAACCCGCACGTCCTACATGTACGCGGTTTTCTCTGCGGACCTGGAGAGGGTGACGGGGAATGGGCGGACATGGATACGCGAATTTGGTGTGTTTTGTGGGTGAAGACGAGTCTATAGGGGGCTATCAGTTAAAGCGACGTTCTGACTGCATCGCGAGTCACGACGCGAACGCACCGAGCACAGGCAAAATAGCAGAGTAAGGTACAGACAGAGCGCACACGGAAGTAATCTGGAGGAGTGGCGAGGGCGAGGAGGGTAGAAATCAGGTTGAGGACTAGGAGAGAGGTCGAGGAAGACGACTCTATTCGTGAATCACATATGCCATATATGGCAATCGACCGACTGCTCTGCTACAACTCCGTTTAAGAAAGTGCACATATGGATACATACAGCTAACTACCCCGCCTACTATTAAGATATATACTGCCACAAAAAAGAGCTCTATCCGTCGTTTCTTCAAGCTAACCTCATGAAAATGCTAGGTACGTCCAGGCTACCACTATACCAGTTGCGACAGTGCCTAGGGTCGCCATGTAGCTGTGTCCGCTCTTCACATCCCCTTCTACCTCAGAAAACAGCTTCTTTACACTATCTTCGTCTTTTCCAACTACAAGCCAACCAAGTCCAGTAGTCCCATCAGCATACTCGGGAGCAATGACGCGGGCATGAAAGTTGAGACGCCTTGCGTGCTGCTCCAATTCCCGGATTTCTTTCATATCTATCGTGAACACGCCAGCAATCGGCTTCTTTGATTTTTGCACGAGCTGGCTGAAAAATTGCTCTCGTTCTGTCACACTCGATGTCCGTTCCAACATATATGCAGTGTTCGGAAGCCGGTGGGACTTTGTAATTGCACTCTTCTGCTGCTGCTGCGGCAAATCAATCATAGCATCGAAATCGCGCGGTGGTTCCACAGGAGGAACAGACAGCCGTTTCCGGCGGCTTCCTTTCAAACATTCCGCCGCAGGAACGCCCTCAAGCCAGTGCTGAATTTTTGAGCTGGTATCTGGATCTGCGATGACGTCCCGAGACTGTGCGCCACGTTTTACCCCAGATTTTCGAGCAGTATTGCCTTCGGAAGTATGCGAGGCAGGCTCGGGGGTCTCCACATTTGTCGGTTCTTGAAACCCCTCCGAGAAATGCCTCCGCCTGTCGCACTCGTCCACCTTATCAGCCTTGTTGTTTCCGTCGATTTCTTCACTGCCATCAGGATCACCGATGCGTAGTGTGGCGAGTTGCTCGCTGACGCCGCACGGTTCATCCATAGTTACAACTTTGTTAGTCGTATCTACAGAGCATTGTCCGCGCTTATGGCCGAGCATCGGCTTCCCACATTTCTTGCAGCAATGCCTTTTGCGTGTGCCAGGCGACTGAGTTTCATCCGCTCTGGCTGCAGTAACTTTGGCAGAAGTAGTGTCGCGTTTAGCAGAGTCGGGAGGCGCCATTAATAACAAGTAAATGACAAGGCCAGAGTAGAGCACTGTTGAAAGGGGTTAAAAGGCGCAGAGATAGGAGAAAGCCACGCATGGGCCGTGAAGTGAATTTACGTTGCTCCGCCGCAGGACGGAGTCATCGCCGGCTCAATAAGAAAGCGACAACCAAGCCACAGCAGGCGCGCGCACACAAAAGGACGCGTCACGTACGTAAGCAGGCGTCGATCTCTTCAAAATTTGAGCCCTGATTTCTTGGGCATTTTTCTGGAGCCATCTGGTACTTCACGCATGTCAAGATGAACGCAACTCTAGGAGATCCGTTCCTACTAGCAAGCTATGGTCTTCCATCCATCTCAAAGAAAGGGAAAGGAAAGGAAAAGGCATCCGACGAACGGCACTTCATCTTCGCGAGTCATTCCAGTGTACCAAATAGTGACGACGGACAGGTAACACTTGCTGTTCAAGGCGATGGTATACACATATTTGAGGTGTGCACTATATCCATCTGTCGTTTCGCATTTTTTACGAGTGATTCTCACTAGCTTGGAGACCTACACCCAGTCTCTTCCCATGCACTCGGTCCCTCCACAAGTTTCGCGTCTTCACCTGTTACCCAGACCTGCTCAGAAGGAGAGGGCAGTGTACGATGGACATATGCAGCTATTCAATCCGCTCAAGACTTGAAGAAAGAAGATTCAGGCCGAGTAGTTTGGGCATGGAAGGAGCAGGTGGCCGGCGATGTCGGCTCGTCGCAAGACAAACTGTCAACGAAGGTGTGTGCAATTCTGGGACAGCTCAGCTGCGTTCGAATAATTGGTTGGTTCTTTCCCTACCTAGCTATCGCACGACGTTTCCCACCTTGTTGCCCTACGCGAATTAAATTCTATCGTCGCGGTATCCGGCACCGGCAGTTTCACGCGTTTGGACTTGGACCTGAATGTGAAGAACTCCTGGTCGCCGGAAAATGATTCACGAAGATTAATTAAATTATTCGAGTTTCCGCGACGAGATTGCCGATTCATCCCGGGAGAGAACCAACCAAACGGATCTGTCCTGGTCGTGTTCGTTGAAGATAACGCAAATATATTCCTGCAAAGCTTTGTTCTGGGACCCGAGGAAGAGATGAGCATTTCGGATCCGCTCGAGTTACCATTGGAAAATGCGAAGGATATCATTGACATCTCATGCAGTTCTGTCGGGAACATGAGCATACTTAGTGCGTCATATTTCGAAGCAATCAGTTCTTGATACTAAAACGACTCCCAGCGTCCAATGGGACGTGGATGTTCTACCTTCTCGAAGTCAGAGATGGCTTGACGAGTATATCACCCGGATCTTCGCCCTTGCAACTACGCTCCCTAACCTTTACTTCCGGAAGCAGTAATAAGGTGGCGGGACAAGTGTCTTTGCTGAGTCTCAGGTCATCGTTTGTTTTACTTGCTGGTATCACCTCAAAAGAAATTGCTCTTTTATTATGGGATATCCAATACGGCGTACTCCTTCACTCCGTAATGCTTCCTATCCCTGCAGGTCTCGAGAACTCTGCAAATGCATTATCAGTGCATCTCTCGCCAGGCAGCACATCTCAGGCAATTTTAGTGCTCTCACCGACATCGACGAATACAAAGCGCAATAGTCAATTTCGTTCAAACGTGTGGCTAGTCCCATTTTCCGTTCCTGAACGTTCAACTATTGCTCTCGCTATGGGCAAGGCAGCTCAGGGTTCACCGTGGCTCGCATCTAATGATTTACATTCTCCATCGAAAGACGGGGAGTCGCAAGGAAAGGAAGCGATGCTAAGGGACTTGCGAGAAGCAGTAGAGATGGAACAGTGGGAAACTGCCAATGACGTTTTCTTTAATTGGCTCAAACGTCACGAGCCAAAGGCGCAGAATCAAGATCCTTCTCATGCAGCTGCGGACGGCACTGCCACCAACGAACAGCGAGATGTGGAAATGACAGAAGGAGAAGTAGTGAAAGGTCAAGATAGCAAGGTTCGTACCGTCTTAACATCCTACTGTGCCGTGTATATTAACACAGACGAAACGTAGCGTCCTCCGTTGAAAAGTATTCTTGACCATGCATTTGTCGCCCGTATATTGTCGATCATTCTTCAATCCGAAGGACAAAAGAAACACTATTCACCGAAAATCGTTCGGTGTCTCGTAACCAGGTATCTTGTTAGCCATAGTATGGTGGCGTGTGGATTATTACAAGTTCTGGTTGAGCTGAATGATTGGGTAAGTGGACATATCAGGGCCAGGACACGAGTACTTATTATACCCTGGCCAGGAAACTATACGCGAATGCTTTACATATGTCGTGGACCTTCCCGAAAACGAGCTGATACGACTACTGCAACTCGTGGTTAAGCATCATCGGAATCAGGCTACCCCAGATGATGACATTATGCTCGTGGACAAGCCTAAGAAAAAATCGCGAGGTCCCTGGAATGAGATCCCCTCAGTCATTACCTTCCTGACTCGCGTCGTGGATTGCCCAGCGGCACCAGCTGCATGGCGTGTAGCACTCCGTGAACATTTTGCAGACGTTGAAAATCTTATGGTCTTGCTGACTATCTGTGACGAATGGTTGCGCGTGTTCACAGAGAAGGACTTGTCACTTGCACTTGGTGAGGTATCATTGAATGAACACAGCATTCCTGTTCCGGTCCAACCAAAAGCGAAGAAGTCGTCTCGCCAGAAGATACCTTCACTAGAGAATGTACGTGTAGCATTCATTTTCTTAGTCGCGGAGAGCTTCCTTCTGACTACGTCGCTCATACAGTTACTCACCTTCCTCCAAGCCATCCTAGACTCCTCCTTCCTCACCCTCCTTCAAAATCCCGCATCCCACGCTCTTCTCCAAAGTATCTCAGAAAACGTCTCACTAATCCAAGCCGAGAACCTCGGCCTAGTTGGGCTATGTGGACCACTCGACCCATTTGCTCGTGTACAACGAAAGTCGTTGGCAGATGCTGCTTCAGGAGGGAAGAAGCGCGATGAGGTTGATTGGCAGAAACGTCGGAAACAAGCGCATGAGCAGGCTGCGATTAGTTTAGGGCCTTATCAGGTGGAGGAGCTTGTGTTCTGATGTTGTGCTGTGCAAATGTAGGATATAGACCTTTTCTTCGTCAATAGCCTGTAAGCTTGATACAGGAGCGTGGGACGCAAACAGTCATTCTGTAATGGAACGGACTTTGCACAGAGATCCTAGCGTCGATCAATCTCGTTATCTTATCTCATCTAATGCGCCATTTAGGCATTATTTCGTCATTGCAATTTACAATTTCATTGAGTCAACTGAAGCCGGTAGGTCACCGGAACTACACAATTCGTCCTGAGTGAGATTGTTCTCTTTGTTCATACGATGGCGTATCGCGTTGCGATACTCACAGGTAGCTATACACCGCACATAATTCTTTGCAAACTAAGCCATTCGAACTAACCGATCTATAAATAGTCAGCGACACTGCGTCGAGAGATGCCTCTGCAGACAAGTCAGGTCCACTTGTTAAAGAACTCGTTACAGGAAAAGGCTTTGAAGTCGTCAATACGCTGATCGTATCAGATGAAGAGCAAGAAATCAGGCAAGCTGTCGTACGCTGGAGTGCATCTGGAGACGTGGATTGGATAATAACTACTGGAGGAACTGGATTTGGCGTCAGAGATCGAACTCCTGAAGTAAGCTACGCATTCTACGTACATATAAGAATGGCATAATTGAAATCTTTGGCTAGGCGATAAAGCCTTTGATAGAACGCGAAGCAGCTGGGATAATCCACTTGCTTCTCTCCGCATCACTTTCGCATACTCCACTTGCAGCTCTATCTCGTCCTATCGCTGGTACGGTGCGTGGTAGCAATACCCTCGTGGTCACACTTCCGGGGAGCACAAAAGCAGTACGTGAAAACATTAGCGCACTGATCGGGACCGAAGGCCCTGGGATTGGCGTCATTGGGCATGCACTCGAGCTGCTACGAGGCGGTTCAGGAAGAGAAGTACATTCGGCGTTGGCTCGAGGCGAGAACCCTGTCTCGCCCTTGAAACAGGAAACCAGTGGAATAGCTCAAGAACATGACTGTGGTCATCATCACCATCATCATGAGCACCGCTCACAATCGTCGTATGTTCAGGCCGATCCAAGTTCTTCAGGTGAGTATATGCACGTTTTGAATCAACAGGCCCAGGATACTAGCTTCACATTTAGTGGCTGCAAGGCATAGGATCTCGCCATTCCCTTTGATATCTTACGAAGCCGCATTGGGAGCTATATTCCATCACATACCGGTTACAGACGTCGTGAAACAAACGGTCAGCCAAAATTATGTATTCATCTAAGGATAGGGAACGATGAATGATTATTTTACAGGTTACATCGGCTTTGAAAGGATCCGTACTCGCCGAAGATGTATATGCATCTCATGATATCCCAGCGACACAGACGACGAACATGGATGGTTACGCGGTACGATGTATGCTCGTTGCATTTACTCCTCTCATTCAGAAACATCTAACTCGACACCTCAGCATCTGATGCACCTGGTGTCTATCAAGTTCTCACTCCTCAAACGCATGCGCTTGCGATCCCTCTTCCAACTGGAAATATTTACCGCATAAACACAGGGGCTCCGCTACCAGCTGGCACAGATAGCATCGTCATAGTCGAAGACACTCAACTAGTCTCTTCGACAGCGGACAACGAGGAGAAAGAAGTACGAACTTTGGCACAAGTCAAATCTGGGGAGAACGTTCGCGCCCCCGGTTCGGACGTGAGGAAAGGCGATCTAGTACTATCTAAAGGTGAGATAATCAGTGGGACTGGGGGTGAAATCGGGACGCTTGCGTTCGTAGGACGTAAGGAGGTTAGTCTCGATATACGGGGCCAGATTTCTCCGCTGAAGTGAGCAATACTGTCTTGTAGGTATCTGTTTTCCGTCGACCAGTTATCGCGGTCATGAGCACAGGCAATGAGCTAGTGGATCTTCAAGGTTCTTTGGAGGGGAAATCGCAATCGTATAATGCACAAGAAAGCTGGAGTGGAATCTGGGATACGAACCGTCCGTCCTTGAAAGCCGCTCTAGAAACAATGGGATATGAAGTTATAGATTTAGGAATCGTCAAGGACGAGTAAGGAGATCATTCTGCGGTGCTGACTAGTGCTAATTATCGTACGGATTCAACAGCACGCAATCGCACATCGAAACGCTGAGGAGTGGCCTCCAGCGAGCAGATTTAGTACTGACGACGGGTGGCACGTCAATGGGCGCCTCGGACTTGCTCAAACCTGTCATCGAGAAGCATCTCGGCGGGACAATTCATTTCGGACGCGTGACTATCAAACCGGGAAAGCCAACGACGTTTGCAACTATACCCGTAGGAAATGAAGAGAAACAGCGTTTCAAGCCCGTCTTCGCACTTCCCGGAAACCCTGCATCGGCACTTGTATGCTTCTACATATTCGTCGTTCCTGCGTTGAGAAAGCTGGGTGGCTGGCCCATATCGAAATGTCAGCTTCCGCGAGTGCGCGTTCAGGCAAGTAGAATAAATCTTTAAATTGCTTTCTTGCTTTACCTGATTCATATCCCATTGTCTTCAGCTCGCAGACTCGATGCGCCTAGATCCGCGGACAGAATTTCATCGCGTAGTGATTGGTGCTGGACCGGATGGGTTATTGGCAAGGAGCACGGGTGGACAACGATCAAGTCGTGTGGCAAGCCTAAGTGGAGCAAATGGACTAGTCGTGCTGCCACAGAAGAAAGAAGGCGGACCGGCCGAGTTGAAGGCTGGGGAAATAGCAGAAGCCATTTTGATTGGAGAAATTGTAATGGATTGATTGATTCTTGAAAGCGCAAGTGAGTATCTACATTAACAGAACAAATGTATCTCTGCTTTTCTACTTGCTGGAGGGAAAAATAAGAGTCCGTCAATTAATCAGCCTGCATTATTCGCATGAGTTGATTACCCTTCTGTTTGGTCAACTCTGTCATAAAACCATATGGCAAACTGAAGAATAGTAGTGGTACAACAATGTATGTAACTCTATGCTCGGGTACGAAGGGCGTCCACGTCATTCCCACGAGTATATTACCTTTTACGGCTCCATGTGTGCCTTCGTTTGACCGCAGCGCAACCCGAGCGTCATCGACTGCGACGCGTCTTTGTGGTCTACACTCTTCCCCGGCTCTCTGAGACTCCCTCTGTAAAGCTGTCTCAAGAATCGATGTGCTAAATAACACCAATCATGCTTAATTCTGGAAAACCAACCGTGCTTGATGAGCCTCTTGGCTCAGGAGCAGGTTCCTCACTTCCATTGCCTGTACTCGTCTCTTCAGGAATATGCACACTATTCGCCGTCTTCCTCTCGACCATGTCAATATTTCTGCATCTCAAGAACTATAGGAAGCCTATGCTTCAAAGGTACGTAACCGACTTGAATTGACCACGGTCGCCCCGAGACACGTTTCCGCTATACTTACATTCGCAATAGGATGGTTATTCGGATTATGGTCATGGTTCCTTTATACGCCGTTTCGTCCCTTATCTCTCTCTTTTCCCTGAACGCGGCCTTTGTAATTGATGCTATTCGTGACATATATGAGGTGCGGATTGCATTCCTTTGCTATTGATGATTAGCGTAACAGACTCCTGAATTCTACAGGCTTTCGTCATTTATTGCTTTTTCAATCTTCTACTCGGTTATCTCGGCGGAGAACGTTCCCTTCTTATCCTTTTGCATGGGCGCGAACCAAAACACACGGTATTTCCGATTAGTCTCTTCAAGAGGGAGATAGACGTCAGTGATCCCTATGTATTCCTCTTTCTCAAGAGGGGCATTATCCGTGAGTGGATTAGACTCTAGTCGTTGAAGTGGCCTTATCCTTGTTCTTATATTTCGTAATGCCTAAAGAATACGTCGAGGTGAAACCCGTACTCGCTGCCGCTACTCTCATCTTGAAAGCTGCTGGCAAATACAATGAAGGTCATTTCCGGGCCGACTCTGGATATCTGTACATCAGCATTGTGTATAATGTTAGCATATGCCTCAGCTTATATTGTCTTGCGATGTTTTGGGTGGTTGTAAACGATGACCTTAAGCCATTTCGGTAGGTGCCAAAGTACTTTCGTATTGTCGGCGTTAATCCGTTCTCTAGACCCATGCCCAAGTTCCTCTGTATCAAAGGCATCCTATTCTTCTCCTTCTGGCAGGCCATCTTCATTTCCATCCTTGTCAGCGCTGGGGCCATCCAGAAACTTGGGCCGTACACGGATCAAGAACATATATCTCTTGGTCTCACCGATACTCTCATTTGCTTTGAAATGCCGTTGTTTGCCATCGCGCACATGTATGCGTTCTCGCATACAGATTACATTGACCGTGACCTTATGTACGCGGCACGTATGCCAATGTACTATGCCTTCCGAGATGCATTTGGCTTGAAGGATGTTGTGGAAGATGCCAAGACGACGTTGAGGGGTGAGGGGATGGATTATAGGGAATTTGAGCCGGCAGAGGGGTTCATTCATCAAGGCAGTGGGCGAGACAGGCGAATAAAGGCTGGACTGCGCTACGCACAAGGAGGACAAAAGAAATACTGGTTACCGATGCCAGCAGACGTGACGGAGCGCGATGGAACTTCCAGTCGAGCTAGACATGTCGGCGTTCAAGAAGATGATGAAGAGGTCTACGCTCCTCTTTTGGAGGACCAGGCTGCTGACGTGGTCCATGAGGCTAGCAACACACGCAGAGAGAAGGCAATGATAGAACACCGAGGCTTTGAGCTTCCTTTCGGTGATCCAGATCCTGAGGAAGAAATGCTGTACGAGCAGAGTCGGAAATATCTGTTTGGCGACTATATGTACCCATGCATCGATGCGAGCTCCGAAATTGCTCGCAAAGCTATGTGGGAGGAAGAAGAACGTGTATTGCGTGACGAGCGGAATGCTTACTTCTCACCGTTGCGCAGCTCGACGAACTTGCTTCCTGGCGAGAAACGACCTTCTGGATACGGTGCTGTCCGTGGTGGACCGACCCTCATTAGTCGGCATTCCTCTACGAGTACTACTAGCGATTCAAGTGGAGGGAAGGGGAAAGGGAAACTTCGACGCGATCCCTACCCACGGGATGCATGGACAAACAATGGTCCAGTAATAGACAAGTCTGAATTACATATACCTCCACCCGAAGACGGCGTGAGGTTAACATGGACAAAGGACTCGCGACAAGCCAGTAGGTCGAGAAACGTGCGCTCTCCGCCAGCCTCATCCTCTCCCTACCTCCGTCAGACGCACAGTTCTTTATCATCCTCAGACCGATCTAGTCCATCATCTCCAGGCGCAAGACGGAATCTGCCAACGGATGCGGTAGATCTCATAGTGGAGAACGAACCAGCGGCTGTGCAAGAGATGTCCCGGGAGCGACAGCATGGGGAGCCTGCTGTAAGAGGTTCAGGCTGGCGAAAGGCCTACACGAAAGGTCATTTTATCCCAGACGGCAAGGTTGAACAGGAGGGACTTGAGGGAACTCGAGGCGTCGAACCTACGAGTGAAGCTGTAGAGCATCCCGAAAGTTGGCACAAAGATACAGTCATCGAAGTCGCCGGTGACGAGGTTTCTCGCGCTACAACACCACCTCCACATGCACAAGTCTCTATGCCACATTCACCTCCTCATGAGGAGAATCCTTGGGCTTGAACACTTTTTTTGGATAGGCACACATTTGTTCCGTTTGATTCCGTTTTTATTCGCTTTTGTTCTGTGACACGACGCATTGTACAAACATTTCAGGTGACTTATCGCGCAATTTCGGCATTCTGTTAGCACTTTGGAATACCATACATCTTTGTATTAGTACATGGTACACGTTTAATAGTACACGGTATGCAAGCTCTACGGGTGTGTCGTCAGTGGTCATATCGCAGGGTCGTATTCGGCTTCCTATAAGCGCATTAAGTTTAGCAATATGAAAGAGATGAAAGGAGGCATACTAAGCCATCCAACTCGGCCTGGAGAGCTTGAAGTTCCCGTTCCAAGTTTTGTCGCTGCCCAGTAAGTAATCGGCGCTTTCGCTCTTCCATTCTACCCTGAAAGGTTCGTTGTGTCGCAGCTTTCGTGACATGCGCGTGGTCCGCCTAGTTCACCATCCATAAACATTCTTTTCTTATGGACGTAGGCTATGAGCGTACCTTCGTCTTCAAAGAGTGCTGTTTCCGCTCAAGCGCTTTGAGGCCTTTCTTTGCGCGCTCGATGAGCTCTAGGATTTGCGGCTCGATCTCCTCCGTTAGATCTTCTTTATACTTCTTCACCATAGACTCGTTCACGAATAGATACACCTATAGTAAATCATTATAGTTAAGCCATAGCGTCTTACTACCAACGGAAGGTCGCTGCGTACCCGTTGGCTCTCAAGAACACGTTGCATGCGTTTGAGGTCGAACGTGCCATTCCGGAGGAGCTGTTGCGTGTCGTACGTCTCTGTGCATACGTCCCGGAGGTTGTTTACACAGTCAAATAAGCTTGGACTGCACACGGCACCAGAATCCCTGACTGCATGGCTTCCGCCGGTGAATATCGATTCGCGCGGAACGCGAGACATGATTTTGTTTTGTTTAGTCCACTTGAACGCTTCGAGTCTAAGTGCCAAACACGCGAAAGAATGGATCACGTGAACTCGGCACCCGCCCATTTGCCAAACGTATAAATTCACCCAAAAATTTCGAAGCAAGTTTCTTTCTTCATGGTGTCTGTCCGAACGTCCTGAAGCTCCCGCCCTCTCCTGGGCACAGTGCTCCTTCACGGGTAGCTCTGCATGGTGTTATGCATTCTGTTCGGCAGAGCGAGGTGTCCCCTGGTCTTTCGGGGTTGGGGTTGACGCTCACCAGAACGACGGTCCTCCACGCGTGCCAACTCTTCAACTCGTTTGTATCTCGTATTGCGGCTGAGTCTGCTCTTCGGAGTGTTGATTCGTTGCTTGCGGGAGAGAGTTATTGAGGATACGTGTTGGAGCACCGGGCGTCATATTCCTGTACCTCCCGTATACAGCTACTATGTGGCCTTGACGGTCTGGTTAAACCATGACGCTTACATAATTTTCTTCAACTTATCGGGACCTTTGTCCTCTTACGGGTACAATATCTATGTGCAATGCTTGCCAATGAAATAACGCTAGAATGAAGTCCGAAAAGTGCAAGATCTATGTACACTAACTAGACTAGACCTGGTACAATCTACTTCCGTCGCCGTTCATCGACATCCCGGTATTCACTCTCGTCATCACTTCCCTCGCCGACATCAAATATCGCCTCACCCTCCATAGCTCGGCTTTTACCCTTATAATTTCCGTTCTCTCCATGCCCATCCATATCGTGCCCGTTGATATTTTGACTCAGTGGTATCGCTTCCTCTGAGTTGCCAATTTTGAGCTTCCCTATCCTTCGTCGTCGTCGACAGAATAAGAATAGTCCGATAGCCAGTGCGATGAGTACGAGTACGAGAGCAGCTGATCCAGCGTTGTAGTATGCTACAAAGCACAACATTAGGCATCGGCAACCTAGATGGAATAAGGCGACACTCACCTTCCCACATCGCTTTATCTTGCTCCGGAGTCTTACCAGGAGGTACCGGTATTTTCGAGTCACCATCTTCTTCACCCTCCAAGACGACCGGTACAGGCTTTTCCTCATCACCGACTTTACTCGGTATGCGCGCCGAACCGTCAGCAATAGCAGAGAAGTTGACACCCATGAATCGCAAGATCATATCGTGTGCTATTAATGGAACGTCGTATGGTACCATGTGCGACGAGTTGAAAATCTTCACGTAGGTAAGCCCTCGCGACTCCACCCACGTTCCGGCTGGTGTACCATCTACGGACCATTGTTCGGTTTTCACAGTCTATTGCACAATAAATAAATAAATTGAAAGTGGGTGTTCCGTTGATGGAGTGAACTCACCCCTAAGCCCTTCTCACCATTCCATTCCATGTCCTGAATGAGAGCCTCGATACCCATGTAATTGCATATGAAGTCCTGGTCGCCCGCAAAGAGCATGACAGGGACTTTCTCGACAAGTTTCGGGAGGATAGTTATTGACGATGGAGATTCGCGATTCCGCAATTCACGGCCGACTCGACCGCTGCACTCAACCCATGACTCTGATTTAGCATCGGCGTGGAATGCGTGGACAACTTCTTTACGCTACGTGAAAAGTAAGAATCAAGATTCCTGTGCCAATTGGTAAAACGAACTTACACCGAGATACGCCTTCACGTCTGGTAGAGGCGGTGGCCAATTCATACCACAAGCACCTTCATCATCCACTAAACGAACGTCATAGACATTCATACATTTCTTCTTCCCATCAACACTTTTCTGACGGTTAGTAATCATGCAAGCTTGTAAGAGGTAGAATGGCTCACACAATGTCTCGCGACATTGCAACAGAAGTGACGAGGCTCTCGCATTTTGATATTTGTATCGGAACCGGTCCAGTAACCTTGTCGAGGTCAGCTATACAGTCATCTGTGTCCTGTTTTATTTTTTTCCATATCTGAAGGGGACACTGTGAGGAGCGAGTATTGTAGGGCAGTGCATGAAAACCTACGTCAGAATTTTCCTCTATGAGAGCGTGTTTGACTGCATAGTCGAGATAGGCGGGGTATTGATGATGTGCATCGATCCATCCATTACCAATTGCTAGTCCGTTTAAACTAATGCCCAAGTTTGAAGAAATAATAGCATCGCCTGAAGGGACAAGTTTCAGCATTCAACGCCTCTCTGATTAAAATTTGGACGCACCAATGTAAGGAATGTATTGACCAGCGTAGCTTTCGCCACCAATATAAGTCTACGGTTAAAGCGACTAAGACTCAACTGAACAAAGTAGAGACGCAATACTTACATCCATTACTTTGTATTCCGGAAATACCTGATAGAAATTACGCATGAACTCTACCACCTGATCCGCAGCCTATATCCGAACTTGGGTCAATATTGGAGACAAGGGCGCAGATACCCAAGAACTTACATCGGACAATTCGTGAACGTATCGGTCCGTGCTCGTATACGAATAACCGGTGCCAGCTGGCTGATCGACTTGGAACAATACAAAGGTTACAAAAAAGATGAAGGATAATTACACATAAAGCTCACCATATACTATGTTCGTATACTCTTCCCAACCTCCCTCTACAGTTTCCAAGCCCCCATTCCCGTCAGGCCGGAACGGCCCAGTCTCCATCATTAATCCGTCAAATGACGAGCAACCCGGTCCGCCCTGTACACATCTCGCCCGTCAGCCGTCCGTAGAAGATATTCAAGACATACAAGATACAGCTCGAAGGGGAACAGACTTACATTGAACCAGAAAAGTATTCGCTCCTTGTCAGCAGTGCGCCGTGCTTTGATGAGTACGAAGAACAGATGCGCGGTCACGGTTGTTGAAGGAAGGTGTTCGGCGTCTGGGTCGGATGATAAATGTCCCGAGTAGATGTGTAAAGGATGTGCCTCATCCTGATGTAAATCCGGCAGCGATTGAACGTAGAAAGCTGCGGCGGAGGGTACTATGCGAACCCAGGTCATCGTGTGAGCAGGACAATAACCAATGCAACCTAGACAATGCAGACTCACTGTCCGTTGGTGCTGCCCATACCGAGAATAGCTGTATCAGCAGCCCAAAGGTTGAGAAAAGAAATCCTAAGGATAGCTCTCGCATAGCGAGCTGTACCGGAAAGTCTCCCAGGGTCGAGATAGAATAGGAAGACGAAGAGGAGGGTGAGATGCCGAGCAAACTTTGAGCAACTTTGCTCGTTGTTCTAGTATTTAGTGGCGCACTGTGCTCTATACACTTCCCGGAGGGTATTGAGGGGGATAGCTAGCGTCTGGCACCGTGATGGTGCCGTACAAAGCGGAGGTACTTGACAGTGAGTACGTGGACAGAGCAACGAGACGCGGCGCAGATCGACGCGCAGCTGCATGTCTTCCACCGAAGCAAATATTCAAAACTTAAAATTAAATTCCATCAACCAGATATCCAATCATTCAAATAAATACATCCATAATATCATCAAGGCTATTCAAAAGCAAGAAAGAGTACGACAATCCAAAACGCGTAATGTTATTTCTTCCCTCCTTTTCTCTTTTTCGGCCCAGACGCCGCTGCCTGCGGTTGCACATTCGTTGGCGGAGAAGCTGCCTCTGCAGAGCGAGGAGGCTGGGGAGTATTAGCCTGAGTTGTCCGCTTCGCTTTGGTGGAAGGCCATAGAGACTTGGTATTGTGCATGATATTGACGATTAACGATGCCACGGAGCCAGATATGACAAGCAGGAGCCAACGTGGTACCATGACAGTGATATCATATACTTTCGCTAAGGCCGCCGCGAAGTAGTCCATGATGAACTCCCTGCAGCATTCATGATTAGAATTTCCTTCAATATAAGATTACCAAAAGTTCATACCTGCTGCCTCCAGGTCCAAAAGGCGAACGCCAGGGTTCGGTCTGCTCCCACGCGTCGACCTTCAGGAACTCGTGGAGTATTTCTCCCTGCAGGCGAATCTGCCCCGGTCGATAAAAGCGCAGAGTTTGCCCTCTATCTTTGGCTACAACGAGGAACGGTCCCCTGGAACACCTCAATCTCAATCAGACAAAAAATGTTTGCCAAAGGCTTACCTCCATACATTCCATTTCGTCGTGATCCTCGTAACATTCATATAGTCGATTCGTCCCCAGCGCACGTGAGGTAAGTCTCCGGCATTCTGAGTAAGGTTAAACGCCAAGTCAAATTGCTCGTCGACAAATTTCGAGATTCCCTCTCTCTGTGCAGCCGTCAGAGAGCTGTTGGAATATCATAACAGTCAGTAAGAGCCTCTCATGCAGAATGCAGTAGGACAAACATGACAATGAACCAGATTCGATCCTTCTCTTCCTCCAGTGTCTCAAACTTTTCCTCGACAACCAAATCCTCGTAGTTATCATCGGTAAGCAGTGGGATTCTCTCATCCCATATTTTCTCTTGAGCGCGAGCGGCCTCTAGCTTCTCCGTAATGTTCACACCAGCCCGACCAAATAACGCCTGCACTGGTCCGGACTCAAGAAGAGACTCGAGACTAAGCAACGATGAAAGTCTCTTCACTGATGCCTTGACATCCGAGTTTACCCGCCGCTGCTGTGCGCTTGGTGTATCTGTTGCAGCTGGAGGAACAGGTCCTGTTTCAACAGTTTGATAAGTGTATCCCGTCTGACCCTTAACAACAGGCTCTCCAGGCTTCCATCCCTCAGAAATGTACTGTGCTGAGACGAAGCTTAGAGCAGGGAGGACAGCAGTCAGAAAGGAGGACAACCTCATCGTCGTAGAATAAAGAGAGAGGAGAGCCAGAGGTCGAATAATAAGAACACGCGCCTAATGTCCCAAGTTGTCGATCTCCCATGTGGGCGGGCGAGACCCTTAGATAAGATAAACAAACAGTCCAAATAGAGATCCACATCTATTTCCTGTTTTGCCGTTAAAAGATTACATTTGCAGCAGTCAAACGAAATGTCTCCGTACCAAGGCATATAGCCGAGGCTTGATGGGACGAATCGATTCTCTTGTTTCGATAAATACATAGTACAGTTCATGGGCTGCGCATATATTATTTCGGATTTGATCTGGGCAATTGCGATTTACTCCCAGACTCCTAAAGTGTCCCAGTCACCCTTCGCTTGACCTTCCCTCACCCACCCAAGCCGATCCATCGTCAACCCGGCAACTCTCACGAACACTGTTCCATCCAGAAGTTCTGCACCTTCAAGCTCAGTTCCCTTCCAAATTCCAGCCGGGCTGTCGCCGTATTGTTGGGCGTACTGAGCAAAAGCGCGCTGAAGCTTCGGAAGGTGCTCATTCGGATGCAAGATCGTGCTTTGAAGAAGGGCGAACCATGCATTCGGCGTCAGGACATCCTTTACAAGTGTCTCTTTATCAGGTGAGAGCTTCGGTCCCGGAGCAGTCAAGGTGGGAGAAGTGCGCGAGTAGAAGCTCGCGATGGGAATCGCCGGACGTCCTCGGGCCACCCAAACAGTAAGAGCAGATGCCAAGAACGAACGGAAAAGAATTGCCTGAGCTTGAGGAGATAGATGCTCAATGAACATCGGCAAGAATAGCGACGAAGTAACAAGGTGCATCCTGTAGACACGTTACTATTTGTCTGAATCCCAGAAAGAGGATAAACTCACGTAAAGAAATCAGCTTGATATTCTTTACCCTCTTGCAAACCAGCTACCCCATACAAGAGGGTCACAAGGTAAAACAGCTCCACGACTTTTGCCTTCACTTCGGCCTTGTCGTTCGTGTTGACAGCCCATTGCTCGGCGTACTTCCTGATGAGGTCTCCTCGTCTACCAAGCACTTCCATCATTGGGAACACCCTTACGTTCCTCCTATACTCCATCTCGGACTCGTTACCCCTCTTTCTGGGTATCGTGCAGGCAGATCCAGGCGCGAGCTCTGGGTCCTTCAACATCTTTGCAATAATAGAAAAGGAGTGGATTCCAGCGGGCTTTCCGGATAATGTCAGTGCGGATGACAAGCGTGATGTGAGTGAGTCGGAAGTAAACAGAGATCTTGGCAGTAAAGCATCAACGTCGCTACCCCTCTGGACACAAGCCATGGCCAAACCTGTTAAGACAATGTTGATTACTGACCCCGCAATAAAGCATATTAACGGTACAAACCTTCCGCGATCATACCAGGTGAATCAAACTCGAGGCCATACCCAACATGGATGTATGGATGGAAGACTCCAGACACGAACCGGTTGACCATCTGGGGCTGCTTCTTGTCATCCGTAATACTATTGACCCAGTTCGCACTTGTTGCAAAGACGTATTTATCGAGCACTGCATCTACGCTCGAACTCATCATAGCCTTAGTGAAGAATGCGACGTATGCTCGAAAGTATCTTAAGGTCGCGGTAAATCCATCACCAATCTAGTGAATGACCAACAAATCTAACAATTACCTCTCATCGTTGAAATATTCCATCCAGTTCGATTCCGTAATTTCGTTAGGAGGTTCGATTGCATTTCTCTGGTAATTTGCGTTCGCTTCGAACGCTGCCTCCAAAACCTTCGGAGGAGCACCCAGTGTATAAATAGCATATAAGTGATGCGTCAAATGGCTATAACACAATTATATTAGTATCATTCCGCATTAAACCTTGGCGTTATAAGGGCCATACTTATGGAAACCCATCTCGTTAAAGAAAATGTGATAGCGGTCATGATTTTCTTTCAACAGTTTGACAAGCGACTTTGCAGAATCGGAAGAGAAACCAGGGAATTGCGTAGGTGCAAGACCTACTACCGTGGGTGGTTTTGGCAACGGGAACAAAGCGTCAAGAGTCTTCTCTGGAGTGGAGGTCACCATTATTGCAGCTTTCGAAGGCGAAATGTCGATCAATGTACGATGTGAGTAGAGTCTGCTCTGAGCACATGTACTGCAGCCACTTTTATACGACACCAATCCAATGGTGTTTGGGACATTATGGACACGAGACTTGCGTGGCGAAACACAGGAGTAGATGGATTTGCTCCCATACTTGCGAGTGAGCCGGAGTAAGCATGTGACCGCCATGTGATGACACGTGCTAGATTACTGCGAAAGATGCGTCATGAACCATTTCATTTAGCGTCGTGGAAGCTTCCACACTCACCACGTACGCTGACTATGGGCGGGAGATTGTCCACGTTGAGCTTACTCAGCCGAGGTCTTCCTGCGACTCGGACTTCCCCCTTCTTCAGTCGTAATGAGCGCATTCGATTCCTAAGTCTTTATAATGTCTAGCGCCCAGTAGGCTCCGTTTGAGGGTCACGCAATCGTGCCGTCAGGCTTGTCAGTGAATTTAAGATTAATGCATCACACCCAATTGGTTTGCATATTGACCTTGTTCAGGCGTTGACTGTCAGCAGTCACACAGTCTCCTCTCTGAGACCATAACTTCCATCACAATGAACAATTACTGCATGCACTCGCTGTGCAAGCACTAGCAATTGACATGTGTGTTAGCAGAAAGAGAGAAGGTCCTTTGTAAAAGGCAATCTCTGAGAAAGTAATCCAGCAGGTGGAGCCTGACTAGTACAGTCAATGGGTGTTGGATAAAAGCTAATTAGAGACTATCACCTTGAGCACGGTGGTTGGTGCTAACATGCCTCAATTCACAATGCAAGAAAATTTTACGATTTAGAATGTGATTGTTTTCAGAGAAAGCATACAAAGTTCACAAATTAATAATGGAATAGGGGCATCTGCTTCTCCTCACTTTGTTCTTCCAACACTAACAATATTTATTCTTCATGGTAGTCTTGACTCTCAAGTTCAGTACAAGACAAATTACTACATATGTAGGCATAATTAAAACTTCACAAAGCTCCCCGATCTTGTTTTTCACTCTTTCGTGTTCATACCCTCTGGTCTCATCTTAACCATCCGAGCCATTTTAGCTGTGAGTGCTGTAACTTGGCCAAAGAGCGTACAATCCAATAGTTCTGACCCCTCAAGCACTATTTCACCTGAGATTCTAAAAGAACAGTTGCTACAATTCTTTTGGATGCACTGAGCTTGTATGTGCCAGTGTGTACCTTCCGAACATTGCATTTCTCTTTATTGCTGTGCTGTAAAGGTTCAGTAGATACATGTGAAACATTGTACTGATGCAGACACCTCGGCACCAAGCATATGGGATAAGAGTGGTACAAAATTTGGAGATCATTCAATAGGAAGAAATAACTTTCATTTCAATGAACATATAGGACGGTCCCTAGACTAGTAGTATACACATGCTATTTTGAATTCTTGGATTCGTTTTCTGCACTCACAATCTACTCCCAGAAACCAGAACGATCCCATCCACCTTTCTCTTGACCTTCCCTCAGCCAACCATGACGATCCATCGTCAACGCAGCAACTCTTACGAACACCGTTCCGTCAAGCAGCTCTGCATCTTCAAGCTCAGTTCCCTTAAATATTCCGGCTGAGCGGTCGCCATACAGTTGCGCAAAGTGCGCAAGCGCACGTTGAGCCTTTGGAAGGTGTTCATTAGGATGCAAGATTGTGCTTTGAAGAAGAGCGAGCCAGGCGTTGGGAGTCGGGACGTCTTCCACAAGCGTCTCTTTATCGGGTGTGGGGTGAGGTCCTGGGGCAGTTAAGTTGGGTGAAGTGCGCGAGAAGAAACTCGCAATCGGAATCACCGGGCGTCCCCGTGATACCCAGACAACGAGCGCAGATGCGAGATACGAATGTAAAAGGATTGACTGGGCGTGAGGAGCCAGATGTTCAATGAAAACATGCAGGAATAGCGATGATGTGACAAGATGCATGCTGAAGAAACGGCACCATTAAATAATATTCTTGTGAATCGTAACAGATTAACAAAGACTCACGTGAAGAAATCAGCATTGAAGTCCTTACCCTCTTGCAGACCAGCTACTCCGTACAGGAGGGTCACAAGGAAAGAGAGTTCGTCGACTTTGGCTTTCACTTCCGCTTTGTCATTCATGTTGACAGTCCATTGCTCGGCATACTTCCTGATGAGCTCCCCTCGTTTGCCAAGTACTTCCATCATCGGAAACACTCTTACTGCATTTCTATATGCAATCTCGTCTTCGGACTCACCCCTCTTTCTGGGTACCGTGCAGACTGAGCCGGGTGCAAGCTCGGGGTCCTTCAGCATTTTTGCAACGATGGTGAAGGAGTGAGTTCCAGCAGGCTTTGATAATGTCAATGCAGATGACAGGCGCGACGTGAGTGAGTCAGCAGCAAACAGCGACCTTGGTAGGAGAGCATCGAAGTCCGTTCCCCTCTGGACACAAGCCATGGCCAAACCTAATCGACCATGTTGACAAATAAAGTTAGATTAGCATGTACCAGTGCGTACCTCCCACGACCATTCCAGGTGAATCAAACTCGATTCCATATCCTACATGAATGAATGGATGCAAGACACCGGATAGCAACCGATTGACCATTTGAGGCTGCTTCTTGTCATCCGTAATACTACTGACCCAGTTTGCATTCGTCGCAAAGACGTATTTATCGAGGACTGCATCCACGCTCGACTTCATGATAACCTTGGTGAAAAATGCGACATATGCTCGGAAGTATCTTGGGGTAATGATAAGTCCAGCGTCACTTCAACTAATGATTGTGGACCTGAAAATTACCTCTCATCGTCGAAATGTTCAATCCAGTTCGATTCCGTGATTTCATTAGGAGGTTCGATTGCTTCTCTCTGGTAAACTGCATGCGATTCGAAGGCTGCCTCCAAAACCTTCGGGGGTGACCCTAAAGTATAAATAGCGTACAAGTGATGCGTCAAATGGCTATAACATAATCCCCTCAGTATCACCGTCCGTTAAACCTCGAAAACTCTAGGAGAATCATACTTATGGAAATTCTTTTCGTTGAAGAATATGTGGAAGCGTTCATGGTTTTCTTTTAATAATTTGACGAGCGATTTTGCGGAATCAGAGGTGAAACCGGGAAAATGGGTAGGTGCATAACCAACTACCGTAGGCGGCGTCGGCAACGGAAACAGTGCATCAAGAGTCTTCTCTGGAGTAGGGGTCACCATTGTTGAAGCTTTTGGAGACGGGATATTAATCACTGTATGAAGTGGGATGGGTCTTTGGACGAGCGCCGGTGAGCGCATGTACTTGAGGCACTTTTATACAATGCCGGACCAATGGTATATGAGACATTGCAGACACGGGACTTGCGTCGTAGGAAACGAAGTCATGGATGACTGAATACGAATGTAAAGGGATGTGCATTCATGCACAGATGAGCCCAGAGTTCACATGTGGGCACGTGCTTTGAGCGTCATTCCAATCCATAACCCCTCAAATGCAATTGATCCGTGACAGTATCGACACTCGCTTTCTACAACGCAACGAGAACTTCACTCAGACTAGGTCAAATCCATTCGGTTGAACTTTGCGCGCAATCGAGATGATCGCCGGACTCCTAAATGTCTGATGTACAGTCCAGTAACATGAGCTCCATTCTTGGCTGCACACGCTGCATCACATCAGACTCAGTTCAAATTCAGACCACCTGGCCTTCTTATCGACCCCGTTCGGGCATCGACTGTTGGCAGTCACACAGGCTCCTCTTCGACTTCCATCACGACTGCCAGAGGTGCTCGACGCGCAGTACTTTTAATTGAAATTGACTGTTAAGAGTATTTACTGAAGGTCTTTTGTAAATGGCAATCTCTGAAGAGGTTAAACGCCAGATTGGCCAGGTCCGAGGCTAATTTAGCACATTTGATGGGTGCTAAAATATTATGTCTGCTTTACAATAGCACTTCGTTTTCGGATTTGAAGGTTATGAGCCAAATGAACACATCACCAAGCTAATTCGCGATTATTATGTTGGGTAAGTTTCCGAGACTACCTTGACCCGATTTATAATATGTATATGCTAACCTCGCGGTTAGGAATGTGATTATTTTTAGAAGAAATATCCGCAGTTCGCATCATAAAGTTCATGTTTTCTTTCTCGTGTCTCTGACATAGAATCTATCAAGGTATCCCTCAGCTTCACAATTTGATTCAAAGACTACAACAACTTGCCAAAGACTCTGGACACGCTCAGCCACTCTTGATAGGTATAGACCAGGAAAATGGTCTTGTCTCTGCGTTTAGCTCAACATCCAAACCCGATGCTGGCACTCAGTTGTAAGTCCGTGCCTTAATTAATGTTTCTTCGACATGAAAGTCCGTCTCGTGAATTAGCCCGGGAGCAATGGCGGTTGGCTCGACTGGTGATCCGGAAAATGCAAGAAAGGTGTCGAATTCGAGCGGTCGTGAAATGCACCTTGCAGGTATCAGTTGGGCATACAGTCCAGTCGCTGATGTAAACTCCGACATCCGAAATCCCGTCATAGGTATGTCATCTACCAATGTATGATGCTATTGATTCTGACGTGCGACCGTTGATTAGGCGTCCGTTCATACGGAGAAGGTATGTTATTCTAAGTCGCAGTCTTTATTCCGACTTCGTTCTGAGTACAGCCAAGATGCGAGAGCAGTTTCGTCATTTGTCTGTGCACTGTCGGATGGTTATGTTTCTGCCGGAATTGCGTCCTGCGCAAAGCACTTTCCTGGACATGGGGATACGCATGTCGATTCGCACCTTGCACTACCGGTAGTCACTAAGGACCTGGCCACTCTGGAGCAGACCGAGCTAGTTCCTTTCCAAGATGCAATTGCGAATGGTATTCCTAGCATTATGACGGGGCATATAGCACTCCCACCTCTCATCAAAGCACTCGGTGCAGACAAAGACGAGAGAGTTCCCGCTTCGCTCTCCCGAGGAATCGTCACGATATTACTACGAGAAAAGATGGGATTCAAAGGTGTTGTCGTTACCGACTGTTTCGAAATGAATGCTATTTCCAAGGGGTACGGTATTGGACCTGGTGCTGTTCTTGCCCTTCAGGCGGATACGGATATTGTCATGTGCTGCCATGTCTTCGAAAACCAAGTTGCTGCGGTTGAGACGACTTACACCGCCGTGGAGAGGGGTGACCTGGGATCTGACTTCCTCCGCCGAAGCGGAGAACGCATCGCGGCTATGAAGGAGAAATTCTGTGGGAAGTGGGAGGACATCCTCGGAAAGCCGCTTGACACAAATGCGCTCTCAATTCTCAAGAAAGATAATGAGCGTATCAGCAGAGAAATCTATGCACGTACATCAAAATGGCTTTCTAGGCCTACGGACGATAAATTATTGTATATTTCTCCACACTCGGATGTACTCGTCCTTACGCCGCAAATGGAAAGCATCAATGCTGCGGTAGATGATCCTCAGGATCTATTGCGGAGTGAAGAGGGACGCATAAGAAACACTGCAGGCCCGTCCTACCTTGCATTCGCGACTGCAATAGCACGTCGTGCACCCTTCTCCTCGCATATCGTGTACACACCGCTTGAGGCTGTTGAAGGTGGCACTCTCTCCTCAACGCTATTGCAGTCCATCTTGTCTGTACATGCGATTGTCTTCGCGACACGTAATGCCCATCAATCTGCGTGGCAATTGGCTGTACTTAGGCGTGTTGTGGATGTCGTAGGAAAGGCGGCGGGTGCTGGGAAGGAACAACCGATTAAAATAATCGTCGTCGCAAGTTGTGCCCCATACGATCATGCCTTATTACAGGCAGACGAAGCAACAAAAGCATTACCCTGCCTGTGCACTTACGAGTTTACCAAACCGGCCTTAGAAGAGGCAGCAACGAAACTCTACGGAGAAAAATTTGTGGAATAAGAGAATTGATACCTCTTGCGGGACCGTTTCTCTGGGCATGAATGGCCTTTCAAATCAAGCTAATGTACTTTTCGTAGCCGACTTTGCAACAACAGAACGCATTTGTGTCCATGAACGTGATATCAATTATCTCTGGCTAATGCATGCGGAGGTGTGATGAGATGACATTTAATCCAAGGGAACATCGGAAAGTATTCATCTATGCTGATTCTTCTACTCCTTCCACGGATACTCGAATTTGGGCTGATCCCTCCGCCTCCACAACTTCTTTCTGTTGGTTGGTCCTAAATTAGTAACTGTTCACCAATGCAGTGAGCTATACATACTTCCTTTTGGTGGTAGCATTCTCCGCAAATACTTCAACACAGTACTTTGACTTGAACTCGCGAATGAAGCGAGGATCCCTATACGCATCAATTAGTCGATGTGCTGAGACAGTGTTAGAGCTACACACCAAAGTTCACTGGCAACGCCGAGGTCCTTACAGCATCGCATTAAAGCGTTGCTCTTGCACGCCTCTGTTGCAGTCGCGATACCAGAAGGGTCGAAGTATTCTTGTTCTCCTCGAGAAACAGCCACAAGTCTGTTATCCAAACGTTTGTCAAGTATAAATAGCTTGAAAAGAATTAAAGCAACTACTGACCTGCCGAGGCATACTAATGCGTATTCTCTGCTGACAACTTTGGGACCTACGTTCGTTTCGCTTCTCGGCGCTAAACCCCATCCTCCAGGGCCAAAGGCTTTGTTCAGAATTCGCCGATACTTTATCTCGGGCAAATAAATGAGGCCCTCTAGACAATGCATTAACTTGTTATGCAGAAACTGGGGGTAAAAAACACTCACCTGGCTTGATCTCAATGTCAATTGGGTTTAAAGGTGCCTGAAGGACCTCAGCAGCCTCTTTGGAGAAGGGCTGGACAGAGAGGCCAGAATAACTTCTAGACCAGTCTGTCTTATTCTCGTCTCCAGAATAACTGTTCTGAGCCTCATTTATGGGTGGGATGGGCGAAGGGGCTGCACCGCCTGCCTTTTGTGCGACCTCCTCACTTACTTGGACTTCATTTGCAGTGTCTGGAAGAGAATTGACGATCGAAGGGTTGCCCTGTCCTGGCGTTCCATTAGTCGCATAGCGCAGCCAAAGTGGTGAAGCTCGGAACCTGGCAGGAGAGAAGTGCGTTGACGCGGATGGCTTTGCGAGGAAGGACGCTTGCTTTGCAAGCAACCTGAACGCCATGATGGACGATTCAGAGGCACTCACTTGTGCACGGTTTCACTTGCAGCCACGAGAAAAAGCGCGTCACGCGACAGACACGACATTTAGTACGTAACGTGATTACAGACGCGCTTAGAGCTAGCGCTGCTAATAGTAAGTGCTTGCCCGCTTGATAGGTTCCGTAAATCATAGACAGTTGGGACAGCAAGCATGTCGCAGCGTCCGTCTTCTGCAGTCCCACCTCGTCCATCATCGAGCTTGTCGCGCCCGTCTTCGGTAGCATCCCACCGAACGGCTTCGCGTGTTTCCAACAGACCACTCTCGCGCCTTTCGCAGCGATCCTCGACACGTCAGACGCGTGCTCTAATCCAAACATTAGTCTCTCAAGTCACCGGTCTCACCCCGGACGTAGATGATGAATTTGACGAAGCCTATGACACCGCTATCCGTCGAATAGACAGCCTCGCAAAGCATGCAGTCTCACCAGATCTGCAAACTGCCTTACGACGGCTTAGAGGGTGAGATCATAGCTGCTTGGCGTTTTAAGGCATTAACGAACATTTAAAAGGAAGGTTCTCGAAGAAAGCACGCATACAATCCAATGATGAACTGGCAGACGCTTTTGACATCGTCGAAAGAAAGCTCCAAGAAGAGATTCAGAAAAAAAGTGACCTTGATAATGAAATCAGCACGGCGAAACTTTCCGACCATTTACAGTTGCTTGTAAGTCTCGCTGAAGCTCCATATTTGAATTTGAACATAGTTGACTTCGATTACAGTACCTCCTTGCTTCTCCACCTTCTAGCTCGACGAATGAGTTTGCTGCCAGGCTCGTTGACGGTGTACAGAGCCCGAGCGCCCCCGCAACCTTAACTTGGGCGGACATTTTAAAGGAAGAGCCCTTTGAAGGGCAACACTGGCAGGGAGCCTATGGACTTCCACCAGGTAGCATTGCTGAACAATGGGAAGAAGGCAGCACAGACTCAAGCCCGCTATTATCTCCTGTCAACGACTCCGAACTAGATGAACGAGAAGATCTCTTCAGCACTCTTGAATATGACAACTCTACAGATGCTTCTGAGCGAGTTCTCACGCCTCCGTTAGACGGAAACACCAGACCAACGACTCAGGATCGCCTTGTAGAGTCTCTTCGATTACGCCTAGAGCTGGATGCACTTCAGAAACAACAATTCTGGAAGAAGTCATGGAGGACTGATGCCCAGCTTGACCGGGAATTTGATTTGGGCGAGCCATCAACTCTAGGTTTCACAACTATTTTATTGTTAAAGTGTTTACTCATTAGAAATATACAGGACCTTCATTTCACAGGGCAACAGATAAAAGCCATTACGTGAAGCCCGAAAATGAGGTGGGTTGTGGCGGAGTTTCCTCATAGCCGTGCTTATATTAAGTATACATGCACTCCCTGTAGCGGTATATCAACGAGCACGACGCCGTTCGCGAGGTACTCATTTCCTTACAAGGTCGAACAAGCATTCTATTTGAACAAGAAGTTAATAAGGATGGTGTTCCTTCTATGAAGGTAAGTCTCTTTTATTACCTAGCAATTTGGGAAGCTCCTTGCACCTAACGTCTCAAATGTGATACCCCAGGTATCTAGAGATGTTCCGAAACTACTGCACCTCACACCCTCAGCACAGCAATCGATTCTATCCAAATTCGCCCTCCTCGCTACGACACTCAACAGATTAAGAATATTCTTGGCTGCGGTTGTTCACGATGTCGTGGATGCTTCTTCAAAGAACAGCTCAAGGACACTAGAGGCTTTTGCTGAAGCTTTGGAACTTCAGGTTATTAGTTTTGAAGCATGCATGGCTCGGAAGGAAGAGACGATGCTTCGTGCACATACACAGACAGGTCGAAGCACTGTTGTGAGCTTGCTGAGTCTCGAGAAAGATGTCCGGCACGAGTTTTCCGATAGTTTCGACGAGCTCCTCGGAATCATCGATTCAATCTTTCTAGATACGGCATGGCTAAGTAGAGATAGGATACTTAGCCGCGTTAAACTTTCGCCGTCTTCGTTTACATCGCGATTATTGGACTCGCTTTTCGATTCGATTCAAAGAAAGGAATCATTCGGGGATACGACAAGTGCGACGCTGCTGATGCAGGTCTTCTGCAGGACGGCTGAACCTGTCTGGAAAATGCTTGGCGATTGGCTTCACAACGGCATATTCATGCCGGAAGTTAGTGATTCCATTTCGGCTCAGGATACCGTACCTCAGGAGTTCTTTATTGAATCCAATGGACTCGATCTTATGGACATCGATTTCTGGGACTATGGATATAGCCTTCGATTCTGTTCATCGGACGAGGACACGTCCTCCGATTTAACAAGTGTACCGATCTTTCTCCGGCCCCTCGCAAATAAGGTATTGAGCGCAGGAAAATCCATTGGTTTACTACGTATTCTCGGACATAGCCCCAGTCTTAATGAGCAAGGGAAGCTTTCAGCCAGAGAATGGACGTCCTTTGGGGCTTTCATGCTGAAACTTGTCAGAGGAGAGCACCTTTTTGTCGCAAGTGAGGCGGACATACATACTACCAACATAACCGCAGACAATGTATCTCTTTCACTCTCTGACTATCTCTTGCCCATCTGCGCTGATGCGGAAAAGACGCTCAAGGATCTCCTTTATACGGAGTGCGATCTCCTGCGTCACCTTCATACAACAGAAGATCTCTTCCTGTCGCGAAAAGGAGACATCATTGCTGACTTTTGTGATGCATTGTTTACCGCAGTAAGGGAGACGCAAAGACTGCACCTTTTAACCAGCTAATTCCCTTTACCAGATTGATGCGAAGAAGATCTGGACAGACTATCACTTTTTGAATACAGCATTTCGTGAGGCGGTCAGTTCTCGTTACTCGCACCAAATAGACTCGAGCCTCGTACGTCTATCGTATAAATCTAGTAGTAAAGTCGCGCTACTTCGTTCCGTGAAATGCTTTGATGGCCTCACCGTCGACTATGCTGCACCCTTCCCACTGGCTTTCGTCATCAGCAGCAACGCGTCGCGGGTGTATAATGCCGTCTTTGTTCTACTAATAAAGATCAGACGTGCAAAGACGTTTCTAGATAACATCCTTCTACGGATCTCCGCGGCAGACACAACACGTTCTCGAGATGAGCTAAAGACTTTCTATGTAACTCGAAGCAAGCTATCGTGGTTTGTGAAGTGAGTGATATTTATCCTCATGTCAATTCAATGACTTCTTATAATCGAAATGATGTAGCATTTTCTTGGACTTCGTTTGTTCATACGTGCGTTGTTAGCATTCTGACGTTGCGTTTAATAAAACTAACGGCTTTCTAGGTCTTGCATGTCGAGATTCAACGACTTCATGCTTCCTTACAAGGAGCTGACTCTCTTGACGATATCATCGGCCTGCACCAAAAACAGTGAGTTTATCATATGTAATATCTTGTGCTGTATTAAAAATGTTTGTGCAGCCTTTCCACAATCGAAAGACTCTGTTTTCTTGACGATAAGGTAGGCGACGTCGATTTCTTGGTTACATGTAGACTGTGCTGATAACGATGTAGACGTCATCCCTTCAGCGTGCATTAATATCAATATTCGACATGTGTATCTCTTTCAGCGACTGCTTCGTTGCCTTCGCTGGGGATACAACATTGAATACCTCCCGCCTTTCCATGTCTCGTCCGAACCGTCACAGAAGCCGTCGACAACGCCGAGCAAAACTAGATATCGTATCACACGAACCCATCTCGTCGTTCCGGGACGAAGAATCTGAGAGTTCCGATTCCGATCTCGACGAGTCGTTGATTCTCCAGGAAATCATGGGAGATGCGAGTCCGTCATCTGCAGCGGCTCCAGCAACGTACGAATCGTTCTATGCAGGAGAAGAGGACTTCTTTGATCATAATGAGAAGATATTGAAGGATCTTGATTCGTTGGTTAGGTATATGCGTCGAGAGGTCGAGAAGCTTGCGCTGACTTCCAACGGACATCAATTTGGTGTACTTGCCTTTTCGTTACAGGATTGGGATCTTTGAGTCTATGTAGGGTATTAGATTGGTTAAGTGTACGAGTACAATGTATAAATACAGAAGGTCATAACTATTCGTAAGTAGTATATAATGGAGATACAACATGTAGAATGCAGCATACAACAAGAATACAGTCAGATAAAGCAGCCTATAACTCATGCCCAAGAAAACGAAAAAGAACGGCGGCACTACGACAGAACGCTACTAGCTCCCTTCTTGTCTACACGGCGATTAATCCCTCCGAGGAGAATCTTGATCAATAGTTCGCAATCCAAGGGACCCCCACTGTACGGGGTGGTATCTACCATATCCTTAAAAAAAAATTCACAAAACATTATGATTAACGACTGCCCATCTCGGCTCCTGAGCATGGAACAGCTTACTCGTATTCCGTATTCCTTTGCTATTTCATCATCTAGCTCTCGTAATGATTCGGTCGCCCTCGGATCATCGCCTACTTGAACGAATTGGATTCCAACCTAAGAGACAAAAGTCAGATGAACAGGATGATTAGTGCTGCTAATGAGAATCACACATACTTGAGAAACGGGCAAATTCCCTCGATCCAGGCGTCTGGCAGCCTGAATTATGACAGCCTCCGGATCATCCGCTGAAAGAAAGTCAGGAATCTGTCAGCCATTCCAATTCCGGAATACAAGATGGACACATACTTGGCACACCATCTGTGATGATAATGTAGTTCACTGGCTTGATACGTCGTAATGCATTTAGGTCACCCCTCCGTATCTCTTGCTGTGCCCTCTCGAGGTCGGATATATAATCATGTAGAAGTTCTTCTAGTTTTCTTGCAAGAAGGGATATACCCTGGGGATGTACACTGTCGAATTGACGTTTCACCGATGCTGCGCTCTGCAAAATAAACCCATATCAATATATAGATACCAGGTAATAATATATTCGTGAGAGACTTACGCGCATGTTGTTGGCCGATCTGTTTGCGTTGAGGAAATATGCATCGAAGCCGTCTGTATCATACTTGGCAGCAACATCAGCTAGCGAAGCCAGTGCTTCTCTCGTCTAAAGGTAGAGAATCAATAATAGTGCATCGGAAGAACACAGTAATGGCAAGGATACGGATACGAACCTCTGCCCATCTCTCTCCTGCCATCGAAGCCGAGTCGTCAATAATAAATATAGTCTTGTACTGCTTAAGTAGCTCCAAAGGGTCTTCTTTGTATGGTAGTGGCGGTAATGGCGGTGAAGGTCTTCTTGGGCTGGTTACAGCATCACCTCGGGGCGATGAAGACAGACTCGATGAAGTAGAAGGAAGAGGCATCGCCATATGAGTAGGGCTCGAGCCAACTGCCATTGCCATTCCATTCCCCACACCATATCCGTATTCCTCAGGCAACTCTCCTCCATAGTCGCTCCTCGAATCTGGTCCCAATGAACGATCTCGTCGATCGCCAGATGTCAAGTCAGACGCACTCCTCCGATGGCCCTTCGATGAAAGTGAGAAACCCGGAACGTTAAGAAACCCATCATAGGGAGTACTGGTGTGAGGTTGAGGGAAATGGATGTTTGAACTGGAAGGGTCGTTAGCGGAATATGGCGGCGGCGCCACCCCTAAGAATTCCGAGGTCCTATCCGTTCTACTCGGGCCCGTGGCATTCGCGGACCTCGACCGCCGTACATCCGTAGCGCTCACTTCTTGCGATCGCAGGCTTACCTGTGATGCGGCCAACGTCTGTGACCTCCTGTGTGTTAGGGTATGTGGTGCAGGGGGTGCAGGAGTTAGTCGGCCAGCGACTTGGTCGGCATCATGATAATGATTTGAGGTATGATTTGAAGACACAGTGTCCGCAGCAGACGAGCCTATGTATTCCGGTCCAAGGGGATGCGCACGCGACCGAGGAGGACTGTGAAGCTTTCCAAGCGCTCGAGGTCGAGATATCTGTGACGAGTCTCTCCTCAGAGTGGACCTCGTCGGCGACGAGGGAGTGTTGCCCATAGATCGTGGTGGAAGGACAAAGAAATAATTACTTAGTCCTAGCAGGCGACTCTGAGCGGTCTACATATGCGGAATACCGTGGCAAGCGGTGAGCTTACGAGAAGCCTTCGAAACGAGAGTGCTTAAAGTTCATGACTCGAGTCAAATATACAAGGCCGTCTATTTGTCCGTATGTATATACAAGTATGTCTATATTTATATATCATATCATGAGATAAACGGATTCTTGCGATCAGCCACCCTAGGAAAGGGTCCGTTTGCAGCTAAAACGACCGTCTGCTTTTCATGCGAAATGTATCCCCTGATAAATCCCTTGTAAATCATATTCGCAAGGTAACACTCCACCTCTTCTACTTCAACATCTTCGCCAACTACGCGAGTTGCGCAGTGAAACATATTGATCGGGATACGTGTATTACGGTCAAGTAATATCCAACTGCGAACAGCCAGTCAAGAATAGGATAAACTCAGATGAGAGGGGACTTACACTTTTCGGAAGAGCCCTCGTATCGCAAGTTCACGCGCTCGCTCAAAAATTAGCCAAGCATTTAGCTCTAATAATTTCTTCTCCCACTTGGCCATTGCAGCATCATAAGCCTTGATGTCTGCCTTGCGTATTGCGGAAATGAAAGGCGAATAAACCTCCGACAATACAGGAAAGCGATCCAGAAGCTCGTCTGAAGGTAGATGTCCACGCAGAATACGCATTGGAATCAAGCAGGACAATATTCGTCTATGTTTCCGGGACAGTGTCAATGCGATGCTTCAAACGGATTGGCGGTACATACTGTCGATTCGCGTCTGCATTGATATGACAGTTGTAAAATGCCCACGTTAGCTCTTGCTCGGCCTGTATTTCAATGAGTAAACATAATTCTTGATACGCACAATAATCGCTCTCACCTTTTCGAAGTCTTCATTGAGGAACGCTATCACGCCAATATAATACCTGTAAGTAACCTGAATACACGTCATCAACATTTAGCTTAACCATTTTCATTATACTGCCCTACCTGGTGCGCTCTCGGGTAAGACGATAGAGGAGGTATATCTCTGTTTGCTTCTAGTGCTCGAAGAATGTTACGTGACAGAGCTATTCGTTTTACCTTGAAGCTCGTCAGAAGGAGCCTTTAAGATATGCAAAAGGCTACTCACTCGGAAGTAACATTTCATCACCAATCCGACAACATAATAAATACCCCACTTCCGCGACTCGGCGGGAGGCGAGGTCCTAACCACAACTTTGAATCATTTTCACAAACAAATGTGGATGTCATACCTGTCTGTTACGCAATGTGTAAATGCCTTCGTTAAAATACGGGCCGCCTCCTCCATACATTCGGTTTGGTTGTTCGCAGTGTCTGCCTGGAAATTCATTCAATATACTGCAACCGGAGGAACAACAATGCGACATACGTCATAAGCGATATCACGCAGGTCTCTCAAGATTGCGAACAACGCAGGTAAAGTCCACCCAGTATTGTTAGTAAAGAATCGGAAGAATGAGCTGCAATAGAAATAAAATTAGCTTTTCTTGTGGTTATTTCAAGTTGGTATTTAGACTGCACACGAGACGAGTGATGAATGCTCCTTAAATGCATCGGCCGGCCTGTCATTTGCAACGTGGTTCACAACGATGACATAGGAAATAGCGATTTCGTCCCAGGGAGAAACTAAGGAACCTTCGTACGCTGAAAGCGACTGACGCTGTAAACGCACAGTACTGTAAACACCGTCGAGAATCATACGTGGAAGAGAGCGACTGACTGTAGGGTTTCTGAAAGCTTTAACCATGTCTTTCGCGTGTGGGCTTGTCGGTCGTAGCAGGTATGCTAGATGAAGACCATTTTGCTCAACAAGAGCTTCAGAAAGCATCTTCAGGAAGTCCGAGAATGCAACCATCTTTCGTCAACTCCGTCTTCAAATTGCGTCGTTTATGATAGTGATGGCCGGTTGTGACTTTTAACAGTGAACACTGTAGGCAAAATGTGGTGGCCAGGAATGGCTGATGGTAAGATGGAAAACAAAGATAAACAGCACGCACGCGTCATGCATGTGAGACGCGTCTCGTCAAGTCTTACCTGCATCATCTTTCACTTAAACTGTAGCTGTTTTTAATATGGCTCTTCAACCGACCTTGAAACCTCAGTTGATCGCTGGAAGGCCTGATGCGCCTCATACTCTCGACATCTTTCGTAAGCTTACTTATTACAAAGTGGTACAACTCATCAAACTAATGCGCATATATGCGGCAGTGGACTATGTCTGTCCTTTCAGGTATCTATATAGCAATACAAACAACAGAGGGATAATTCAGCACTCTATATAGTGCGAAAATGTCTTTGACTATTGACAAAGTCGTCAAGCCACTCCTTGACGCTGGAGGTAAATATGATGGCAAAGTCAAAGCAATCATCCGCTTGCAAGTCCAGCCGTGGCACGTTGCCTCGACCTTGACGCATGAGTCTGCGTTGGCTGTCAGTAGTGCCTCGTCCCGGATTATTTTAGTATTTATGTTCTCTCAAGGTCGCTCGCGTCGCCCCAGAGAAATTCTGGCCCTACTCGGTTGAGGCAGGTCTTCCATTCATTGGGCATGATACATTGCATCATAAGTCATTACTTAATCCCCCACTATTCTAGTTATTTAAACACCAGCAAGATTTCTTCGACAAATCCATCGCGAATCTCACTGTAACACAAATTCGCGAGAAGCTTGTCAACCTCGCGCTGCCTATTGTTGGATCCAACGAGAAGGAGAGGCTAATTGATAATCTCACATACAATTCTACCCCGAACGGCGGAGTAGCCGTGACGGATGACTTGAAGTACAACAGTACGTCGATTTCGTCCATCGAATGCATTGGAATGGTATGCTTATATGCGTCTTGTTGGGTCCACCAAGTCAAATTCGGAAGACAGAACGGAATCCATGTCTCGCCAACCGTCCTATGGGACGGTCTAGTTGCGAATGAAATATCAAGCTCGTGGGGTGAGCAGGATTGGAATGACTTCTTAAAGGCGAAGATCGTCGTTTAGATGAGACCAAATAAAAATGAACTGTAAAATAGTATTGTACCAATTGAAATCATGTACTTCAATTAGGCTTATCAATAAGAAGTTTCTTGAGATGGGTTTGAACTGTCTGTGCGTCTACGCGTCCTTTACTCGCTCTCATGATGTAGCCCACTAGCTTGTTAAGCACCCTAGTATTGCCGTTTCGTATCACCTCTGCTTCCTCTGGTAACGCCTTGACGGCTTCGTCGCAATATTTGTCAATGAGATTGCCGACGTTCCTATCTCCAACGACCAACGCGAGTAATGACAATTCTTGAGCTATATGGGCAGGTGGATCCCTGGACTTCTTCTCAATAATGTATCGTAGTATTTGCTTTGCGGCCGTTCCTAATATAAATTTAGCACAGATAGATAGAGAAAATCTCTTCACTTACCGGTCACCTTATTGCTTTCGACTAAGTCTATGAGGTCACGAAGCTGTTCAACGGAAACAACATTCTCTCGGAAGGTCTCCTTTCGTGCAACAAGAAGTCCGTAGAGGTCATGTGTGATCCTGAATACATCGCATTAGCGAGGTAGCAATTACGATGACAGACACCATTTACGAACCAATTCATTGCAGCTTTAGGATCTCTTTTCTTCGCTACTGCATCAAAATATGAAACTAAACCGCTACCTATCCGACCGTCAAAGCCTACTTCGCGCCCCTCGTCGATAGACATAAGGAAGTTGACATCTCTTTCACTGAGGCCCCTGGATAGTAGGCGAGCACGTGTTTGCTCTGGGAGTTCGGGCATCGTGGATCGCACTGATTCAATGTAACTCTATGGACAGTCAATGGATATCATTGTCTTTACGAAAAAGAGTCGTACGTCTTCAAGAAGTAAGGGCGGTAAGTTCGGGTCGGGCATGTATCGATAGTCTGGTGCATCTTCCTTGCTTCTCAGCAAATATGTCTCAGCCCTTTGTTCATCGAATCCTCTAGTTTCTTGAGCGACAGTACCGCCCTTCTCCAGCAAGGATATATGCCTCAGAATTTCTGATTCTGCGATACAACCGTCAGAACTACGGCAGACAATTGTGAGCGGGAACAGTCCTTACTGATGGCAATGGTCATGAATTTCACGCTGTTCAGGTTTTTAATCTCACATCGAGTACCTCTCGATTCTCCGATGCGGTTAACCGAAACATTAGCGTCGCATCGAAGAGAACCCTATAAAGTAGTGATTAAACGAAGAAAATAAGATGATTTAGAATAGAATACCTCATCCATGTTACCGTCGCTCGAGCCGATAGTTCTTAGTAAGGCTTGTAAGGTTCTAAGATATTCACCCGCTTGTTCAGGCGTTCTGTAGACTGATTCAACAAATGTCCCATTCAATGACATTACACATACGTCATGTCAGGATCAGAGACTATTTCCATCAATGCCGTTCCAGCTCTATTTAAGTCTATGGCAGACTGCTTTTTCTTGTCGTCAAAAGTAGACTTGGCAGTATCCTGGAAAGGTCAAAGCTTAGTATAAAACGTCTTTGTAGTAGACTATTAGCGGTCGCCTCAACTTGTTCTAGCTGGATTTGCTTTATCTTTACAGATAATCCACATTTTTGTAGCTTGAGGTAACCGCCTTTAGCCAATGGCGCTGTTTAAAGCCTTGAGCTACAGGGAAAGTCAAATAAATCAGAGTGATATACCATATTGCTGAGTGATCTGGTAGCCCGCAGGAAGATCCGAGTAGAAATAATGTTTCCGATCAAAAGCAGAGTGGCGCTGAATCTTCGCGTTTAAGGCGAGCGCAGCCCTCACGGCGAGGTCAACGCAGGACGAATTCAATTTCTATGTACACGTTATTAAACTTCATAGAGGTAGATAGAATAAGCGCAACTTACTGGCAGTGTACCAGGAAAGGACGCGTCAAATAGATCAACATGCGTATTTGGAGGCTCATCGTATTTCGAAGTCCATGCGTCTTGCCTAAAATCAGTCGAGTGTCGGAATAGACAAGGCTATACGAACAGGAAAACAGTTTTGCACGGGACTTGATCTGTGCGTGTACTTCTAGGCCGATAACGACTTCCCAGCCCGGCCACTGGCTTATAGAAGCTGATCCAGCCTTCGTTGATAGGCTGAAACGCCTATACGTCCTTTCATGCCGTAGAATCGATTTTGAACATCGCCTGAGCATGAGAAAAAGGGGAAGGAGGTCAGCCTGGATCCCGTCTCACGTGCAGACGCGTCGTGCATGATCGACGCGACGCGTTCCTGTGTTTGCCACTTGCTCCCGTCCTCCTGCGCCGTTCACGCCTTACCCGATTCATACTTGTACACTCGTTTAATACTGTATCATACTCAAGATGCGCAGCCTTTCTTTCATCTCAGCCCTTGTCTTGCTTCCTTCTTTCACTTCCTATCTTGTATCCGCCACCTCTATTACGCGCAATTCCGACGTCGATCTACGGAAGTACTATACCCGCTATCGCTCGCTGGGCGACGACTATCATTTCGATCCTAGAGAATGGCAAAACGTTAATGTTACCGATCTCTCGTACAAATATGAAAAGGTGCCTTCACCTGCGAAACCCAATCCGAGGGCACCACCCAAGAGATCCCACGGTGGCCTTGCGCAAGTGCTCAAAGAAATGAAAGGATTGGGTACTCCAGAGCAGGTCAAGATCACTTGGTACGCATGGTGGACGTCTTCAAAAAAGACCTGCTCATGCTTGTTAAGGTACACTGGACATGATCTCGAGAACCCGAGCTGCTGGGCTAAGCCGACCTGGGCACCCACCGTGAGCTGTTTCTGAAGAGAATCAATTCTTTCATGTTGACGGTAATTAGGACGAATCCTTTGCTTGCGCTCTGACTCTGGAAGGCTGGAACTCGCAGCCGAAATGCTTCAAGTTTCTCGAGCGTAAGCTATCCTTGTGTTGACCGAGACACTATGCTCATTTCGGCGAACTTCAGTTTGCAACGGTCCCTTGAAATGCGTCTTTGTCCGTGTGGTCGACTCCTGTGCAGGATGTGCGCCCGGCTCAAAGCACGTAGACTTAACCAAAGGGGCATTTTCTCAACTTACCGATCCCGACGAGGGCGTCTTGAATGTACAGATGAGACACGCAACGGACCCGGTGACTTGGTTTGAAGATTTATGGGGACCAGAAAATAACTGAAATAACAAGACCATCTCACATTCTCTGAGAGTTCTATGTATTATAACAATGGTCCAAGACATGTACAGTTTAGATTGTAGACTAGCCAACACAATGTATTAATACTATGTACTACGAATTTCTATGCCTTTACCAACACAGATGTAAATTAATCAGTACATTGTAGTCTGAATTTAGGCATCAGGCATTGATTGTGACCCTCTTTCTCTTTTTGACATCGCCTACTACGACTTGATCTCGGAGTTCCTTGATCTTGTCCTCGTCAACGATGTTTTCTTCCAGAAATAAAGCAGTTCGTGTTGCCTCATCCTGTCGCTTCATGTAACGCAAGGCAGCAAGGTTGTACGCGACCATGTCCTTCTGTTTCATCAATGCGTCGCGAAGGTGTTTGCGTAAAGGGATTAACGAAGAACGGAGAGCTCTATGCGTGACTATCTGTCGATGGTGTGTCCGTAGAAGGAATACCATAATGCGCGACACTAGCGAGATATTTTGATTCTACTCGTATTTTGGCATTAATAACATTAAATTAAATTAAAAAATGGTGATCGTACCCTCCTAGCCCATTCATTGAGGTACACCATCAAGCTCAAGACTTTACTGAAGGGTAACACGAGAACAGCGTCCATCAAGGCAGTGTTGTGTATTTTCTCGATAATCATGAGCACGTATTGATCCGGTTCCATATTGTACGCCGCAAGAACTGCATTTCTTGGTGGAGGTTGGAGTTTCTCTGCCTCGTGAGCAGGAAGTTTAGCCATTGCGTCGCGGTATTCTGCGAACACGAAACGTTCGCTATCGGCGAGCTCGAGGGCTTCCATTATTCGTTCTCCTGCCATCAGTGTTTCGGTCGTTTGTTTTGATACACCTGTTGCTTCTGCTGGCTGCTCTACGCCTTCTGCATCGGGTGCTCCTGATCCTATTGGCTCGTCTGTTCTATTCATCATTTCGGCGATTCCACTTTCGTATAATTGCTCAAGCTCGCGCTCTCGCTCTTCTTCAAGAAATAGCTAGATCAAGATGTTATGATCGGAAGCGTAAGTTGAGGCAATTTAATTGTACTTACTGGTTCATCAAGTTTCTCCCAGACGCGGATCGATTTATCATGGGAACCCGTCACAACGAACTTGCCATGATTACTGACAGCCAACGCCCATATCTCACCATGATGGCCCTCCAGTTTCTGTATGTTTTCAAACTACAAATCCTATCTCGGTATATTTTTCTTACGAAGTAACGTGTGTTGCATGACTCACTTTGTCTCCGTCCCAGTACTTTAGTAGCTTATCTTTGCTAACAGTCCAAAAGTAATGCGAATTAGAAGCTTTCTCGAAGGCAACTTGCATAATACTCTCGTCGTGCGCAAAAATCGATTTATGACAATCGCCGAAATCTAAGCCCCAGATCTTGACATTCTTGTCCGCGGAGCAAGTGACGATTAGCTTGGAGTCATCCGAGATATCCATGGATAGGACAGGAAGCTATAGAGCGTATATTGAGGAACGCCATCTATAAAGAGCAAGAAATGAAGTACCTTGTGTCCGTACAATGACAGGAAGAATTTTAAAGTATCTTGATAGAATATCTTGACCGTCGAGTCGAGCAAAGAAACAGCGAGAAGCTTGCCGTTCGGGCTGAAACGAACGCTGAGGACGTCATCAGTCATTTTAAGCGTCCGAACGTGTACAAGCGCCTGGATGGATCCCAATGTATACGAAGATCCAGTATCTTCTCTCTCGAACTCCCAGAACTTGACGTCCTTGTCAGCGCTGCCCGAGACCAACACCTGCTCGTCTGGTCGAATGTGCATGGACCATACAGTTGAAGAGTGGGCTTTGACTGTCTCTATCAAGGAAGACGAGGCAATGTCGAAGAGTTCTATTTCTCCGGTTTTGGTCCCAATGGCAATCTGAAATATACCGACGAATTAAAATAATCGACATCGAGTTCCAACCAACGACACCTACTTGTCGATCCCCAGGTAAGAACAAGCTGCAAATAGCATATGAACAATCAATAGTTCGTATGCAGGCCGTGGTTTTAAGATTCCAGATTTTGAGAGTTCCTGGGAGAATATATGTAAGGCAACACCTAAAATACGGTAGATAGTGAATTACCATTTGATGCCGATGCTAAGAGTTGGTCGTCGGAGCTCAGACATAATGTACGCACGTCCGTGCGATGTCCAGGTAGGTCAAGCGAATACAGTCGCGTCGCCTCTGGCGGCTCGTCTTTGTTCTTCGTTGGCGGTGGAATATCATATACCTCTAGGGAATTGGTATTCAAAACAGTTAAGAGCTTTGTAACTGTATCAGCGAGACCGAATTACAAAACAATACTGATACACGTACGTGCACACCACCTTTTGGATCATTGTCCTCACTCGAGAAAGCGAACGACCTGATTTTCCCGCTTGCTCGGATAACGAGATGCGGAGTGAACAGCTCAGCAAGTCTGATTTCCTGCTCGCCCACGCCAATGTGTTCGTCACGCTCAGTTTCTCCTTTCTCCGTCTCCTTCTCATTCTTCGCATTGTTACCCTTTGCCTTCGCCTTTTCTCTTTCGCGTTTTCTTCTTCGAGCCTGTTTCTTCCGTATTTCCTCCTCGGTACGGATCCGGAAAACGTCGATGGACCTGTCATGGGATTGCACAGCAAGTAGAGCTCTTGAACGATGGAATGTCAATTGCGAGATCCTATGTCGCGTTGAAAGCGGAAGGGTCGCTATGAAATGGATCATTCTGGTCATCTACATTTTGATTAGCAATGTAATTTGAGACCAGGCCAATAAATACTGTACCTCTCCCGTTCCTGATTCCTTTAATCCTTCCGATAGTGCTTCATGATCAATCCTCCAGGCTTTCAGTTCTCCCTCTCCGCCCCCAGTAAAAATCAAGTCCTGCTCCGGATTGATATCTGTAGTCCATACTTCTGAAGGGTGCGCGACGATAGTCTGCACACAGTGCTGAGTAGAAAGATCCCATAATTTTAATAGCGTATCCTTCGACGACGTCACGAGAAAGTCAACAGAGGAAACGGCTGAAGATGTCGATGCGGAATATGTTGCGGTGCTTAGGAAACGTATCCCAGTAATCTGATCACGATGCCCACGTAGCCTGACAGCAGTGCAAAACGCTTAGCAGTAAAGTTAAGATTGAATGCGAGGACTAACCTGAACAGTCCACCCTCTCCAACAATGTCCCAAAGAATAATATCTGTGTCCTGAGACCCAGACGCAAGCCTTACACCGGCTTGGTCAAACCGCAAAGCGGTGACGGCCTTCTTATGGCCGTTGAACGTTGCGATAACACTCTGATTTTGAGACTGCCACAAGCGAATAGATCCGTCGGCATAACCAACAGCAAAGACGTCTTTCTGAGGAGACTGTTCTATACAGGTTACTTCGGCACGATGTCCAGTTTCGTGCCACATAGCTAGCTGAAGGACATAAATAATAACGTTCAACTAGCTGACGATGGAACGTACCATTTGAGCTCTTTTAACGTCCCAGACAAGAACATCTTCAAGTGCGGGTACATATGCAAGCTTGCCATCCCAGACGGAATTTGAGCTTGAGCTGCAGACGAGCCCGAAAGCCTTGGTATTGTCATTAGTTGAGTTAGTTTTGAAACTATATAATGAGAGTGCGCACCTCAGTAGGGCCGTGTCTAAGATAGCTCCGGACCATGACTATTCACGGTTTCGATGCAGCTGAAGTCTCGCGAAATGTCATTGTCAAGTTTGTTTGGAGAAAAATGTCGGCCCGGCCCTCGGTCAGTGCAGCCGGGGGTCCTCGCCGGAAATGCTACTAAATATGATCGACGCTACATCAACACTTGTTCTCACCGTACATGCTTTGGCTCTCAAGGCTAACCAGCTTCAATCGATCTCAGATTATCTCTGGACACTCAAAGTATTTCTCAAGAATGACCGCCACGAACAGGCCGACCAGCTTGGAAGCCGCAGACAAATTCGTTACATTCGTCAACGCGTCACCAACTCCGTTCCATGCAGTCCAAAACGCCTCGTCTATGCTTGAGAAGGCTGGATTTACTAAGGTTGCACAAATCCCAACATCCACATATATTATGGTACTTATACTGGTTGCATTTTGAAGCTAGTTGAGGATGAGAAGTGGAACCTGAAGGGTGGCGGAAAATACTTCTTTACAAGGCGCGTATTTCGGAAGCATGACTTTCGGAATGTTCAACTGAGAGTCGCGTAGAAACCAAGCCTCTTTACTGGCGTTCACCTTACCACAGAAGTGGGAACCTGGAACAGGAGCTTCCATAGTGGCTACTCACGTCGATAGTCCTAACCTTCGCATAAGACCCGTATCCAAGAAGTCTAGCGCGGGGTATCTCCAGGTTGGTGTAGAGACGTAAGGGATGACATTCCTTTTCAATTATCAAGGTCCCTCATTCGTTTATAGGTATGGAGGTGGAATTTGGCACTCATGGTTGGATCGTGATTTGTCCATTGCTGGTCGAGTCATCATCTCCGATGGCTCAGGCAACTTCAACTCAAAACTGATAAAAGTCAACCGACCGTTAATCCGGATTCCAACATTGGCCATTCATCGTTTGTGATCGGCTTAATTTGACCTTCGAGCCCTCTTCTGATAAACCCGTAGTTGAACGTGGCGTTAATGACTGTTTCAAGTTCAACCAAGAGACCGAGATGGTACCAGTGCTCGGCCTTATCTCAGCGCAATTGAACGCACCGAAAGAAGAAAAGAAGACGGAAGAAGTGAAATTGGCATCGAGCATACGAGACGACCATCATCCAGCCCTACTTTCCGTACTCGCAGAGGAACTTTCTGTAAAACCAGAGCAGATCCATGATTTTGAACTGTGAGTCCTGCTTTATTTAGCGAGTATTTAACTTGACTGAGAACCATCTTCAGGCACCTATATGACACTCAGCCGTCTACTCTAGGCGGTGTCAACAATGAATTCATCTTCAGCCCAAGAATGGACAACCTTGTATCCTCGTACGTCCATGAATCGCTGTACCTTGACTACTCCAGTTGACCTGTCGTCTAGATTTTGCGCCGTGGAGGCGTTGACACAGATGGCGTCGTATGAATCCTTCCCACACTTGGAAGGGAATGTTAATGTTATCGCTCTCTTCAACCACGAGGAAGTCGGGTCGGTCTCTTCAACCGGCGCGGAATCTTCAATTATTCCATCCCTTCTCAATCGATTGTCACCAAATGCTGAAGCGCTAAATCAGTCCATCGCTCGGTCTTTCCTCATCTCTGCTGATATGGGACACGCCGTTCATCCGAATTATACGAGTAAACATGAGGAGAACCATAAGCCAGTGATGAACGGAGGAATTGTGTTAAAAATTAATGCAAAACAGAGATATACAACGGATTCAATTGGTGCCTTCCTTGTGAGAAGGCTGGTTGAGCGAAAAGGTGGCAGGGTCCAGGTGTACGAGGTCCGCAACGACATGTGCGTCTATCCGTGTATTCACAACCATGTATATGTTAATTGACTCTCGTCTGGAGGTCTTGCGGATCGACAGTCGGGCGTGAGTCACCTTTGTCCTATCCTGTCCCAAGGTTACTCAAAGCTATTCCTTCCTAGCAATGCTCTCAAAAATTGGCGTGAGAACAGTCGACGTCGGAAATGCGATGCTTTCAATGCATTCTATCCGGGAAACGGCAGGCAGTCACGACGTTCAACACGCAATTGATGTGAGTTTCCTGGCTGTACCTCTTCTCTCCGAATTGAGCTGAACATATTCGTAGCTCTTCTCATCCTTATTTGAAGGATTTGCAACCCTCGACAAAACCCTTTCGTTAGAATAGTCGAAGATAACTTTTGTACAGTTGTTCATTGCATTTTGAATAATGTAAAAAAAAAGATGAATTTGCTAAGGTACGAGCGCGAATACACTTTATATTACTGTGCAAAAAAACAAAGAAAATACAGAAAGAAAGAAAAAAAGAAAAATTTGGCCTACATTTCCATTACCAAACGAAACACACGATCTATTTTCTCTGCATTCTCAACTGCTGTTTCCACCTTCTTTCCACCATCTTCATCCGACACAATGACAACATCAACCCGCTTGAATTCATTGTCATGCCACTCAAACCCTTTAGAATGAAGCTTGTGTGAAGCGTTCTGGCAAGTAACCTGGATAGGAACTATACAGCTGTGTTTGGGGCAACAAAACCAAAAATCAAAACCAGGATAACGGTCGTGTGGGACAAACATTGCGTCCTCCTTGCTCGTCTTGATGTCACCATGTTGGACAGCAACACGCTTGACTTTTTGAAAATCCTCCCCAGGACGGGCGGAATCATCGCCCTCCACTATATTCGCCGAACAGTCTTGACCACCAATAAGCAACGTATACGGCTTCGACTCTGGATCGTGCTCCCAACCTGCATCTTGTTGGTCCATTTGTTGTGACTTCCGCTTTAGCACCCTCTTCAACTCCGATAGCCGAAACGCTCCTCCCTTATACATATCCTTCTCCGCTATAACTTGTAATAGCTTACCCGCGGATCCTCTGGTCTTAGGATTCTTCAAGAAAATTCAGAGAAGTTCAAGGCGCGTAGGTTTCTAACACCAGCTTTGCGACAGACTTGGATGCAAACTCGACACGAAAATCGCGACGGCTCTCATCACTAGGCTCTGCAATGAGTATCTTGTGAGAGAATTCGGTTTCAAAATAACCTGCACTCAGATTCCTAACCATGGTTCGGAGGCTCTCACCATTCATGCCGGAGAGTTTAGCTTTGATCTCTTCTCTGTAATCGTCTGGGTCGGTAGAGTGTTCGTAGGCTGAGCGTACATTGGGACCGAATTCGTCAAAGAAGTACCCCAATTGGTGTTCCGTTAGAAAACCTTTCCCCTTTTGGCACCCTCGTCTATAAGAACCATCGTATTACGATTTACTTTCACGTCGATAGGGAACAATGACTTACATTACAATGACTTCCTCCTTCAAACAGCACTGCATCCATAAAAGTTTGAAGTTTTCGTATTTGTCCATGAATGTGAGTCGATCTTTTCGCGGTGATACCGCCATAATTAACTTCCGGGAGCACACGAGACAGGCGTTGAGGAACGAAGTAGGCGGTTCTTTGTTATCCCGGTTACTATCCACTAGAAACCAGGTATGTTCTGGCAGGAATGGGAGGTCATCCTTTATGTTTGTACAGCAAAACACTCCAGCCTCTTCAAATATCAAGAACTCGTACGGTTTAAACTGCAGAACAGTCGTTTGTCGTGCAAGCAGGCGCAATGCAAGCACGTATAAAAGGAATAATGTCTTGCCTGTAGCACTAATGAGTACAAGTATAAAGCCAACACGATACCTTGCTCACCACTGCCGGGAGTGCCTACGACAATAACTCCGGGGTTGAGCAAGTCATTCTCAATTGCTTTGATGTCCAAATTTTCGAAAGGGTTGTGTGGAGGAAATGTTTCCGTGTCTGCCGTACTTTTGCTTATATCGATTTTATAGCCAGCGACATCACCAAAACCCTCGCTAAAGCTACTGAAGATGCTGGACAACATTTTACAGTACTCAACCCGCACATAAACACTGCGGCATTTATGAGGAATGCGCAAGACATATGGAACGTCGTTCCCAAAGCGCCATTCTAGTATGCAGGCTTGCTCTGGAACTGGTTCGGATATCCTGCGCTCTGCGTCGCGAATAACGGGCTCGAGCTTGAACACGGAGTGTGGATCTTGTAACAGCCACGCCTGGTCATACAATGCAGCTAAAGATCCCCGGAAGTTGTTGACTCTTTTGACTACGTGTGCTTCAACGTCATTCTGGGTTGTCAGGATGGACAAATCAGCGTTATTGGACATGGTAGATGTGATGATAAGTACTGTCAAACACAACTGAGCAGACGTAGGGCGAGACGAATGAGTGCGGTACGCAGATTAGGTTTCTTGTGACGCACGTACATTCCCACGGCCTCCCATTGAGAAATATATCGCTTATGTGATCAAGTTATTGTACCTTACCCGAGGCCGGGTGGCTGTGCTTCTTGATCCGCATTCTGCAAACGCGATCACGCGTTGAACCTTTCCACAACAGTCAAAGTGACTGTTGCCAGCATTTAAACAACTCTTTCTGTAGAGCTTGCGCTCGCAGCTTTCCTTTTTCCTTCCTTTTCCTTGATTGCGGCGTGCTTTCCGGCTCTCTGAGGTTGCGTCACAATGCGCTTCCTTCGCCCTTTTCTCCTTTCATTATCGGTCGTCTCGTCCTATGCTTATGCACAGGACCTTGATTCAGACAGTGTTCTCAAGCAGAAGCATGCATACCAAGTAAGGATTACATTTTCCATACATAATGCTTCCTTAGGCTCAATGAGAAATGCCTTCTTTAGAGTGATGTTGCACGGCTGCGAAGAATCGTGATTAACAGGTTAGTACAATTCACACAAATATTTGAAGCCTACAAGGATCTGATTGGATTTTGGTGTAATAGCCTTTATTCACACGGGTGCGACCAGAAAGCTATAATATCTCTTCAACACAATACTTAACAATGACAATTTAGGGACGTTTTCCTCCGAGAACTCATCTCCAACGCAAACGATGCTCTGGAGAAGCTCAGACTTATAAGCCTAACTGTCAAGCAAGTCTGGAATGGGTCTGAACCGTTAAACATTTCAATCAAAGCTGTTAAGGATGAAGATGGGCCTGGAGGACGTATTATTATTTCTGGTAAGAATACTCGAACATGGGCATTTCGTATGACTTGCTTACTGAATTGTATTCAGACACTGGTATCGGGATGTCACCAGAGGAGCTGACTGCAAATCTTGTGAGTCGATATCTGCTGTGTAAAATATGTATATATCTCTTATAACCAGTATACAGGGAACTCTCGCGAAATCGGGCACTGCGGAATTCTTGCAACGAGCAGAAAGCACTGACGGAACCAATTCTGGAAATCTTATAGGCGCTTTCGGTCTCGGTTTTTACTCGTCTTTCCTTGTGGCAAATCGTGTATACGTGGCTAGTGTCCCACCACCAAACTGTGCAAGACCCTAATCCTATTCAACACGTCTTCAGTTCTTCGGCCGATGAAAGCGCGTTTGAAGTCTACCCTGATCCCCGAGGAACACTCTGGGGAGAGGGACGGAAATCACCCTTGTCTTGAAGAATGAAGCCATTGAGTTCTTGGAGACTCAGAAGCTTTAAGAGCTTGTGTGAGTTGCATAAGTCTGCATAGACAGTTGTCAGCATGGATCTAATTATTCCGAAGGAATAAACACGCATCCTTTTCAACTATCTTCCCCATATACCTCTTCCATCAGTATGAGGACGAAGTGCCTGTTGAGGATGAGGAGTCGCTTACCCTCGAAGACACCAAGACTGAAAAAGAGACTCCTGAGGACAAAGACGAGGATGAGGCTGTTATCGAAGAAGTCTCTGATGACGAGACTGATACGACAAAAGAGAAAGAAGAGGAGACCAAGAAAGTGATGGTTGATGAATAGATGCATTTGAACCCGTTACCATCTGTCTGGTTGAGGTAAGCCCAGATTGCTTGTCTTTGCTTCCACAGGTGTCAGTCATTGTTCTGCAGGGATGTCACAGACGAAGAATACTCTCTTTTATATCAGGCAACCTTCCGAGACTTCACTCTTCCCCTAGCCTGGCAGTATTTCTCCGGAGACACAGGCTCTGGCGTCTCATTCAAGGCGATCATTTTCGTTCCTTCTCGTCTGTCAGTATTGTGCTGTCATTTTCCCTTGAACCTGAGACTGATAAAGTGATATAGCGATGATAAGTTTTGGTCGGAGCCTCTGAACATCCCAACGAAGGATATTCGTCTCCTAGTCAAACGCGTATTCATCACGAACGACTTCGGTAGCGATGAGCCTCTACCTAAATGGGCAAGCTAGGTCAAGGTCATTATCGACGGTAAGTTACTCTTCCAGCTCCAAAGAGTGCACATATTGATCAACACCACTTAGCCGAGGATCTTCCGCTCAATGCCTCGCGAGAGTCCTTGCAGCACACCAAATTCCTCAAACAGATCAAACAAATCATCGTCAAGCGTGTCTTCCAGTTGTTGACGAAGATTGCTGATGAAGACCCGGAGACCTTCGAGAAGATCTGGCAAGCTTACGGACCAGTAATCAAACTCGATGCGGTCGAGAGTGCACCGAACAGGGAGAAACTAGCTGCTCTCGCAAGATCCCGTACGACTCAACGCGACTCGGCTTCTTTGGACCAAGTAAAATGCTTTACGAACTTATTTTGGGAAACTTTGACTAACTATACGTATCAATAGTACTTAGAGAACCGTAAAAAGGGACAGAAACAGATCTTCTATCTCACCAAAGTTGGCAAACCAATCGATACATTGAAACCGATTCTCGTCCACAGGTCTTGCGGCTCGACAGTAGGACGTAAGCTATCTCATCCCATCCCATTCTAGTACATGTACTAAGGTGGTCGTTTATAGCAATGCTCTCAAAGATTGGCGTGAGAACAGTCGACGTCGGAAACGCGATGCTTTCAATGCATTCTATCCGGGAAACGGCAGGCAGTCACGACGTTCAACACGCAATTGATGTGAGTTTCTTGGCTGTACGTTTTCTCTCCGAATTGAGCTGAACATATTCGTAGCTCTTCTCATCCTTATTTGAAGGATTTGCAACCCTCGACAAAACCCTTTCGTTAGAATAGTCGAAGATAACTTTTGTACAGTTGTTCATTGCATTTTGAATAATGTAAAAAAAAGATGAATTTGCTAAGGTACGAGCGCGAATACACTTTATATTACTGTGCAAAAAAACAGAGAAAAAACAGAAAAAAAGAAAAAAAGAAAAATTTGGCCTACATTTCCATTACCAAACGAAACACACGATCTATTTTCTCCGCATTCTCAGCTGCTGTTTCCACCTTCTTTCCACCATCTTCATCCGACACAATGACAACATCAACCCGCTTGAATTCATTGTCATGCCACTCAAACCTAGAATGAAGCTTGTGTGAAGCGTTCTGGCAAGTAACCTGGATAGGAACCATATAGTTGTGTTTGGGGCAACAAAACCAAAAATCAAAACCAGGATAACAGTCATGTGGGACAAAAATCGCATCCTCCTTGCTTGTCTTGATGTCACCATGTTGGACAGTGACACGCTTGACTTTTTGAAAATCCTCCCCAGGACGGGCAGAATGATCGCCCTCCACTATATTCGCCGAACAGTCTTGACCACCAATAAGCAACGTATACGGATTCGACTCTGGATCGTGCTCCCAAACTGCAACTCGTTGGTCCATTCGTTGTGACTTCCGCTTTAGCACCCTCTTCATCTCCGATAACCGAAACGCTCCTCCCTTAAACATATCCTTCTCCGCTATAACTTGTAATAGCTTACCCGCGGATCCTCTGGTCTTAGGATTCACCAAGAAAATTCAGAGAAGTTCAAGGCGCGTAGGTTTCTAACACCAGCTTTGCGACAGACTTGGATGCAAACTCGACACGAAAATCGCGACGGCTCTCATCACTAGGCTCTGCAATGAGTATCTTGTGAGAGAATTCGGTTTCAAAATAACCTGCACTCAGATTCCTAACCATGGTTCGGAGGCTCTCACCATTCATGCCGGAGAGTTTAGCTTTGATCTCTTCTCTGTAATCGTCTGGGTCGGTAGAGTGTTCGTAGGCTGAGCGCACATTGGGACCGAATTCGTCAAAGAAGTACCCCAATTGGTGTTCCGTTAGAAAACCTTTCCCCTTCTGACACCCTCGTCTATAAAGACCATTGTATTACGATTTACTTTCACGTCGATAGGGAGCAATGACTTACATTACAATGACTTCCTCCTTCAAACAGCACTGCATCCATAGAAGTTTAAAGTTTCCGTATTTGTCCCTGAATGTGAGTCGATCTTTTCGTGGTGGTGCCGCCATAATTAACTTCCGGGAGCACGAGACGCAGGCGTTGAGGAACGAAGTAGGCGGTTCTTTGTTATCCCGGTTACTGTCCACTAGAAACCAGGTATGTTGTGGCAGGAATCGGAGGCCATCGTACATTTTCGTACAGTAAAAGACTCCGGCGTCTTCAAATATCAAGAACTCGTTCGGTTGAAACTGCAGAACAGTCGTTTGTCGTGCAAGCAGGCGCAATGCAAGCACGTATAAAAGGAATAATGTCTTGCCTGTAGTACTAATGAGCACAAGTGCAAAACCCAATGTGATACCCTGCTCACCAATGCCGGGAGTGCCAGTGACAACAACTCCGCGGTTCAGCAGGTCCGGCTCAATTGCTTTGATGTCCAAATTTTCGAAAGGGTTTTGTGGAGGAAATGTTTCCGTGTCTGCCGTACTTTCGCTCTTATCGTGTTTATAGCCAGCGGCATCACCAAAACCCTCGCTGAAGCGACTGAAGATGCTGGACAACATTTTACGGTACTCATCCCGCACATAAACACTGTGACATTCATAAGGAGAGACCAAGACATCTGGAATGTCGTTCCCAAAGCACCATTCTAGTATGCAGGCTTGCTCTGGAACTGGTTCGAATATCCTGCGCTCTGCGTCGCGAATAACGGGCTCGAGCTTGAACACGGAGTGTGGATCTTGTGACTGCCACGCCTGGTCATACAGTGCAGCTAAAGATCCCCGGAAGTCGTTGACTCTTTTGACTACGTGTGCTTCAACGCCATTCTGGGTCAGGATGGACAAATCAGCGTTATTGGACATGGTAGGTGTGATGATAAGTACTGTCGAACACAACTGAGCAGACGTCGGACGAGACGAATGAGTGCAGTACCGTGATCAGATTAGAGAGACCGCATTTCCATAATGACGCACATACGTCCATTAAGTAAACTTATTGCTTATGTGATCAAGTTACTGAGTACAGATGCCGTACCTTACCGGAGGCTATGTGGCTGTGCTATTTGATCCGCATTCTGCAAACGCGATCACGCATTGAACCTTTCCACGGTTTCAACAAAGTGACACGTCAACTGTTGCCAGCATATAAACAATTCTTTCTGTAGAGCTTGCGCCCGCAGCTTTCCTTCCTCTCCTTGGTTGCTGCGTGTTTTCCAGCTCTCTGAGGTTGCATCGCAATGCGCATCCTCCGCCCTTTTCTCCTTACACTATCGGTTCTCTCGTCCTATGCCTATGCACAGGACCTGGATTCAGACAGTGTTCCCAAGCAGAAGCACGCATACCAAGTAAGGATTATATTTTTCATACACAATGCTTCGTTAGGCTCAACAATATATTTCCTCTTAGAGCGATGTTGCGCGGCTTCGAAAAATCGTGATTAACAGGTTTGTCCAATTCGCATCGCTGTTTAAGGCGTACCGTTAGCTGATCGACTTTTCTATACTAGCCTCTATTCACATCGGTACGGTAGAGGAAAAGCTACAATTTCTCGTCCGAACAATTCCTAACAATAACAACTTAGGGACGTCTTCCTTCGAGAACTCATTTCCAACGCAAACGATGCTCTAGAAAAGCTCAGGCTTACCAGCTTAACCGACAAACAAGTTTGGGATGGGGCTGAACCTTTAAATATTTCGATCAAAGCTGTCAAGGATGAAGATGGGCCTGGAGGACGTATTATTATTTCTGGTAAGAATACTCGATCACGGACAGTTTGAATAGTATAATTATAAAATCGTATTTAGATACTGGTATCGGAATGTCACCAGAGGAGCTGACTGCTAATCTTGTGAGTCGGTATTTGCTGTGTAGAATATGTGGATATGTCTCTCATTACGGGTATGCAGGGAACTCTCGCAAAATCCGGCACCACAGAATTCCTGCAAAAGGCAGAAAGCACTGACGGAACCAATTCTGGAAATCTTATCGGTGCTTTCGGCCTTGGTTTTTATTCCTCCTTCCTAGTGGCAGATCGTGTTTATGTGGCAAGTGTACCACCAAAAACTGCGCAGAATCCGAATCCTGTTCAGCATGTCTTCAGTTCCTCAGCCGATGATAGTGCGTTTGAGGTTTACCCTGATCCACGAGGGAACACTCTAGGAAGAGGGACGGAAATCACTCTTATCGTGAAGGATGAAGCGGTTGAGTTCTTGGATACTCATAAGCTTCAAGAGCTTGTGTGAGTTGCACAAGCATTACATCGCAGTCGTCGCGATGGTACTGATAACTCTGAAGGAATAAACACTCATCCTTTTCAACTACGTTCCCTATCTACCTCTTCCATCAGTATGAAGACGAAGTGCCTGTCGAGGATGAGGAATCACCTAGTCCCGAAGATACAGAAACCAAAGAGGAAATTCCTGAGGACAAGGACGAGGACGAGGCTGTTATCGAAGAGGTCTCCGATGACGAGTCCGATACGATAAAAGAGAAAGAAAAGAAGACTAAGAAAGTGATGGTTGATGAGTGGATGCATCTGAATCCGTTGCCTCCTGTCTGGTTGAGGTAAGTACTCTCATGTTGCTTATTGTCGCTTTCGTGGGCGTCAGTAACATTGGTTGTGTAGGGACCCTAAGGACGTCACAGACGAAGAATACTCTCTTTTGTACCAAGCGACCTTCCGTGACTTCACGCCTCCCTTGGCCTGGCAGCATTTCTCTGGAGACACTGGCTCTGGCGTCTCTTTTAAGGCGATCATTTTCGTTCCTTCTCGTCTGTTAGTATTACGATGCCATCCTCCCATGGACTCGGGACTGATACTGTGATATAGCGATGACAAGTTTTGGTCTGAACCTCTTAATATCCCAACGAAGGATATTCGTCTCCTAGTCAAACGCGTATTCATCACGAACGACTTCGGTAGCGATGAACCTCTACCTAAATGGGCAAGCTGGGTCAAAGTCATTATCGACGGTATGCTTTCCTCCAGCTCGGAGTGACTATCCTGATCAAAACGCCTCGTAGCCGACGATCTTCCACTCAACGTTTCGCGAGAGTCCTTGCAGCACACTAAGTTCCTTAAACAGATCAAACAGATCATCGTCAAGCGCGTCATCCAGTTGTTGACGAAGACTGCTGACGAAGACCCAGAAAAATTCGAGAAGATTCAGCACGCTTACGGACCAGTGATCAAACTCGGTGCGGTCGAAAGTGCACCGAACAGGGAGAAATTAGCTGCGCTTGCAAGGTTCCGTACGACTCAACGCGACTCCGCTTCTTTGGATCAGGTGAAATACTATACTGCCTTACTTTAAGATACTTTGACTAACCAGACGCATCGATAGTACTTGGAGAACCGTAAAAAGGGACAGAAACAGATCTTCTATCTCGCCGAAGTTGGCAAGCCAATCGATACACTGAAGAAGAGTATCTTTGTTGAGAAACTTGACGCTCGGGTAAGCCATTTCGTCCCGGCAGCAAGGATCTTCTTTCTGTTAATATGACTATTCTTTCTAGGGTTATGAGGTACTCCTGCTGAATGAACCTCTGGATGAAGTCCTTTTCCAGAATCTCAGGAGGTGGAAGTATGTGCCTAGTCAATTCAAATACTATTGCCTATTCTGACATGCTGGGCAGGAAAATCGCTTTCCAAGACGTTGCTAAAGCTGGACTAAAATTCGGTGATGAGGGTGAGACCAACTAGTCTATTAACACCACTTATAACTGATGTAATTCACAGATCTTGACGCTGAGGAAGAGAAGGAACAACAGCAGGAGCTCGCCGAAAAGTTCAAGCCGTTGACCGCATGGCTGAAGGACAAAGTACAGAATGTTGTCAGGGATGGTACGGTCCTTTTATCGATATGTACAATGCCGTTTTCTCATGCAGTTGTACAGTTGTCATTTCCAACAGGCTTGTCACAAGTCCTTGTGCGATCGTCGCTGACGAACATGGTTACACGGCCAACGTGGAGAAGCTGTTAAGTGCGTGTACTTACAGTCCTGTATTTGGGATCGCGTCGTAACAATACGTGTACCTTTCAGATGCTGCCAACAAGAGGCAAGGTGGTGGTGGCCTTGACTTCATGCATGAGTATGCGAAGAAACAGAAGCTCCTGGAGATCAACCCTAGATCTCCTCTCATTCAAGGTCTTCTTCGCCGAGTAGAGCAGCTCCCTGGCGAGGATGAGGACCGCGATGTTGATGCTGAGACTGAGTTGGAGGAGGTTACGACCATCCTTATTGACGGCGCACTCGTTCGCTCTGGATTTGATGTTCCTGACTCAAACGAGTACGTTCGACTATCGCATAGCTTTTTGCAGCCGGTTTATTGTTTTGAATAGGTTCTTCTCTCGTGTCGACAAGGTGCTTCGTAGATCGCTTGGTGTATCCGAGACTGCGAAGGCCGACGACTCAGTGAAGCCCGCACCACCCGTCGACCCCGAGCTTCCGTCTGACGATGAGCTGGAGGCCGATACTTCCTCCTCATCTCAGCCGGTGCCTAAACCCACCACTAAGAGTTCAGGTGGCTTCCATATCGAACTCCCTGACGAGCTGAAGGAGCATGTATCTATTGAGTTGGAAGAGATCCTGGATGATGAGCCACTTCATGATGAGCTTTGATCAGCGTGTGTTGTAGTCTAGATTTAAAAAAGGGTTTTGTGTGTTTCTCGGTTATAAAGTCAGTTCAATAATAAATCGGTAAATGACGCTTTGGGTAAAGGGACAGCGCCTTGATGAGATGATGTTCACGTGCCGAGTGCTGGCAAATGAATGCCGCGTAGCCGCCACGCTCATCTACTCACCGTTCCCTCATTCGTTTCATATTTTCACTCCTTCCTCCCTCTTCTAACTGTCGTATCTGCCGTCGAAACGGTCTGCTGCGCCTCCGGCCGTCTCTGTCATGGCCTCGTTCTCCCGCATACAGCTTGCAGCGGCTCTGCTAGGTATGACTGTCTGCGATACGCTCTAAGCGCGACACTTACAATACACTCGTGTCTCTTCGCTTTAAGAATATGACAATGATCCAGATAATCCGCATGCACCGCGCAAGTCTGCTTACGATAGCGCTATATTTGCGCACTTGCGGAGAGCAAATGGGAACATCCATTCGACGAAACAAGAACCCCAGCAGAGTCCCAATTTATTGGGCGTGAAGTTGCCTAGCGAATCGGGACCGCCGAGCGAAGCGAATATGGAAATGAGGAGAAGATCTAAATCGTCCATCGATATGCTGCATAATCCTTTTGGGGGAGATGAAGAGGAGGAGCGAGAGGAAGAGGAGGAGGAGGAGGAGGAGGAGGAGGAAGAGGTCGAGGTCGACCTTGCCTCCTGGGGCCTTGACTCAATTATGCCCGGAGAAAAGCCCAGTAAGAAATCGAAGGGTGCGAAGGGAAAGGCGAAATCGGAAATACTGGGCAAAACGACTGGTACTGGTCCCAGGCCTGGTGTGGGACGTCCGAACCATTCTCGCACAATGAGCATGCCGCTTGCGGAATTCGGAGAGGGCGGCGCTTTCCTAGACTCGGGGCCTAGTGGACGTCGTAACACCATCTCTGACCCAGCGAACTTTGAGGAGATGGGTGTTCTAGAGAAACCTGGAGAGCGTCAGAGATTCTCGTCTCACCCGCTGATTGAGAATCTGCCTGTCCGACCACCCCTCCATTCTCTATCCTCTTTTGAACAGAGGAGAGATACAGTCCCATTTCCAACTTCTTCTTCCTCCCCTGCTGCCGGTCAGAGCGAGGCGAATATTCTCGGTGATTCTCGCTCTGCATCTCGGTTGAATCTGTTATCAGAAGAGGAATCAAATCCTTTCACTATCCCGCCTCCACCGCCATCTCGGGCTTCGCGATTCGATCCCAAGTCCATGGCTCATGCGCGAACAATGTCAAATGCGACAAGACTCTCAGTGGGGCCGTCGCAGCAACTTGCTTACGACGATGATAAGGAGAACAACTACTCGCATCGTGCTCCTTCGAGAGCTTCTATCTTGGACGTCAAGTCAAGTCGCGATAGGCGCATATCTACAGCTTCTTTCGGCACCCGCGATATACTCGATGATGATTTCCAGTCTGCTTATGGAGGAGATGCCTTCGTGGAAGACTACCCTCCCCGCGACCGACGTTACTCTCGTCTAGATATAATGCGTCCAAAAGTCTTGGTCATGCCCAGCCCACTTCAGATGCAAACCGTGGCTCCTGCACCTGCACCCAAAGTGACCCGTACCAAAGATGGCTTCCTAGACTCAACGGATGGACGGCCGATGCCACCTGGAGCTCGTGCGTCTCGCATGTCGATGATTGCACCACCTTCATCGGGTGGTAGCGTCCCTGTAGCAGCAAACTCATTCACTCCGAACCCGCGTCTCAGTTTAACCGCTTCTCAACTCTTATTCCGGAACACCTTGATGGTGGACGGTCAGAGGGACGTATCATATAACGATATTGACGGTAATCTAGAACGAGCCGTTGAGGATGGCGAGCAAGTCAAATTGGACTTCCCAGAAGAACCGGAGAGACCTGCAGTCAATACTGCTACTGGACTAACGCCTGCTGAGGAGGCCAAGCTCCTGGCTAGGCCGCCCGGCAAGCTCTTCGGCCGAAGTCTCATTGATGATCTCGAGGCTAGAAAGCAGGAGATGCGAAGCAAGCAGAGGTAGGTACTTCAATCGATGAATTCAAGGCTTCAACTGAAACATTCGTATAGGGTATTTACTGGAGACCAACGTCCGTCTATGATGCAGAGGGGCAGCATGATTAGGTCGAGTACGTTTATTGACCAAACCACCCTTCCGGCAAGACCCAACATGCCTTCACGTATGCCTACCGCACAGACCGATACGTCACTAACTAGGCGAGGTTCTCGCGGTGGTAAACCTCTCTTGGAGATTGATGACGATGGCAAGATTGCGGAGACGACTGAACGTCGTGAAGCTCGGATGGCCCAAACGAAATCTGTCTTCGGTGTCGATACACTCTGGGAGAGGGAGATGGCTAAACTCAAGGAGATTGAAGCTCAGGAGGAGAAGGACGCGGAGGAAGCGAGACGGCGGGAAGAGGAGGAGGAAATGAGGAAAGCGAAGAAGAAAAAGAAGAAAGGTAGTAGGGCTCGAGATTCACATCTCGACGTCCAGGAGGAAGGGAGCGCCGAGTTCTCTCAATCCCCTACCTCGCCAGGTGTTCCTTCCGTTTCTCCTCAGGCCACCGACGAACGTCCGCCATCGCTGTCATTACCTGCTATCCCAGTAGTTACTTCGAGAAGGCGAGCAGTTCCCGAGCCCGTTGACGAAGAATCGGATAACGAGAGTAGCGCGAGCGAGGCAGGTATGCCAACTCAAAACGCTGCCGTGCAAGAAGGACTTGTCGATCAATGGGTTTCCGACGATGAAAAGAAGCCTGCTGAAGCGCCTAAAGTTAGCTTTGACAAACCTCGTATCTCCCTTCCACCTGATGATGACAGCGACGAGGACCTTCCGCTTTCCGTGACGCTGCAGCGCGCGACACAGAAATTATCGTCTCCTAGGTCTCATCCAGATGATGACTCTGACGAAGATAGGCCGCTGTCAATGATGCTCCTTAACAAGCCCAACTCTTCCTCATCCTTCAGGATACCTTCCTCTGGTCCGAGCGAGCCTAACAAGTCGCTAGTGGACGATAAGGACGATGACGACGATGATGTCCCACTTGGGATCAGGGCCTCTCGTCTACCACCCGGAGCTTCTCAAATATCCGGAATTTCCAGTCTCTCGGCGGTTGGACGTGGGGACAATGACGATGACGATCGTCCTCTCAGCATGCATCCCTCGCAACTCCGAAAGTCCCAGTTCCAAATGCTCGCGCAGGTGCAACAACAACAGCAGCAGATGTTCCAGGCACAAATGACGAACTCGATGATGTTCCCGCACCCGCCGTCGATGATGTTCATGATGCCGCCTCAACATACGCCATTCATTCAGCCGGCGTCAGTACAACAAGATACTAACAAGTTTAGTTCTGTTGATAGGTGGAGGCATGACGTTGCCGTTGAAGGCCAGAACTAAAACCCTTCCGAACTCCTCGTTTTCGTCTTTCTTTTTTGTTTCTTGCTGCTCTGACGTATCACACTAGCTTTCATGCAACTCCTCTCCATTCACGGACTACTAGTAGTCTCACGGACATTTTTGGCTCTACTAATCTATCGTTTTTTCTTGGTCGCAAACCCCTGCGTTCCTATCCTTACCCATTACCAATTACCCGTTCGATTTCACCACGTATTTCTTTCTCTCTTTTTGGGCATTACTATCACTATCATTTCATCATTCATGCCATAAAGTCGAGCGAGCTTCCATGCATCTTGTGATCATTACAAATGACAAAAAAGAATATGTTTTTGTGACCAATGTCCATGCACAAAAGCAGGCGGAAGCGGGAGCAGCAGAAGCAGCAGGAGTCAAAATACACAAGGCCTTTCATCAAAACCAAGAGAGTGGACATGCAGTTGATTACACAATGTGCTTGCAGAGGAGAAGAGAGAGAGAGAGAGACAGAAAGAAATAAGAGATAGCAAAGGTAACAACTAAAAGAAAGCAGAGGTGAGGTGGAAAAAGGGAGAATTGGACAACTACATACTAACTGACTGACTAACTACTAAACTGGATAATGCGAATAAGTGGCGAGCGAACGTCCGAATGGTGAATAGTGAATGAATGGGTGGGATGGAATGCACTACGACTAATATATCAAATAATCACGACGGGTTTGTTATCCAAAGCTTGCGCTTCGGTACTGTGACGATCGAGACATCGCGACGAGCCATCTCCTCTTCAATGCGTCTTTGCTGTGTCTCCTCGTCCTCGTCATCACCGTCGAAGCGGTGCCCGCCATGGCTATTAGATGAAAGGAGGTCCTCCTCTTGGGTAGAAACCGCTCGCCTAACCGGCGGCTGGTGGAATGTATAAGGACTACGAGGTTCAGTGGGGAATGCATATAATTCGTTCCTCGATAACGGTCGAGACGATGGAGCGGAACATGGATCTGGAGCCTGTGAGGCTTCATTATGGTATCGGAGACTGGATAGAAGTACCGAGAGGATTGAAGCTCTCGGCATACCTTTCCATGCAAGGAGGATAAGGATGCTATAAAATGCAATAGTCCAAACAAGGAATACGGCAAACGCGGCCTTCGGAGCGCGTTCCCAAAGTTGGACGAGGACGACAATGCAAATGCCAAAGATTGCGGCGTGGAGAAGGACATGTAGGATGGACAAGGGACGGGGAGGGAGAATGGGGCGAGGACGCGGGGTAGTTGTCCTAGAAGTGGGACGAAGGTCAGCACTCGGTGTTGCGGCTTGGGCACGGTCAAGCTGGGTGAGGGCGTAATCAAGATCACTCTGTACACAGCCTGTGAATAAGCACTGTATATAGTTGAGGATGGAGTCACTCACGAATGCGGCGACGTTGTGCCGCCTGTCAAGCCAATTCAGATCGCTAAGACTACGTGGCATGCTCGCTTGCACACTGTGTCCACCCTCGCTAGACAGTGCATTCCATGCCGAGCCGCTTAACCTTCTGGGACGATTGCCTCTGTTAAGAACCTCGAAGCTGCGCTTTGTATCGTTACCGTTGAGGGAATCCTGCGGGCCACTACTTTCGGTCGAATGTCGTTCCTTTTTGTGTCCGTACCACAGATGTCCACCAAAGAACGAACGTCTACGGGTTCGAGACTCCGTCACCGGAGAATCTGGCTGCGTCATCTGCGTAACATCCGGAGATGAAGCCGTCGCTCGATGTCCGTTCATCGCCTTCTCCCTCGCTGGGGTCATGAGAGCTGTGAATCCTGTCTCGTTCGAGTCCTGTCGCTCTCGTTCCTTAACTTGTTCGGAATTGATAAGGGCTTGCTTTGGGCGTTTGCGCCTTCTTATAAACGAAAGGGCGAATAAAAGTGGCAGCGCGCCATACAGAATGGCAAAGAATGCAAGAGCCGCTTTACCGTGGTTCGTCTTCAGGAAGAGGCTCGTGGAAGATCTCTTCCTCAAGGAACCACCTGAAGTTGAGGAGATTGTTGTAAATGCGAGGACCACGCCAGCAATACCCACAGCAAAAGCTGCAAGTCCTGTCAAGCCAGCAAGCCAAATAAAGCCGACGCGAGGGCTAGTCAAAGCTCCCGCAGCCGTCAATGGCATCGACATTCGGTAGAACACCAGTGCCGCCAATAGAAGCGCCACCGATACTGGGGACGACACCTTATGGCCAGCCCCAGTATCATATGGGAAGAACTTTTGTCCAGAGCTTCCTGGAGACGTAGGAGTGGCTGGAGATGAAGATGAGGGTCCGGAACTCGAAGACGTCGCAGCTGGGGAGAGGGCTTGTGCACACGATGTGAGGTATTGCACTGTTACTCCAGTCCCAGAAGCATCAGCGCCTGAACCTAGCTGCCCGTTGCCGAATCCAGACCATGTCCCATTTGATTCGGTGATCTGACCCCGGTACCCTCGCAAAACCCACACGTCGGAGAGATAATTTCCATTGGCGTCTTTCCCTCCAAAGACCAGTATATCTGAGCCCACTGACGGATTGGCTCCAACGAGCGCGTTTGCCGATGAAAATGCAACAGCGCCTTCTCGAGGTGCGGGGTATTTAACGGTACCAGAAGAGGGATCTCCAGCAGGAATGACGCGAGTCCATACACCAGTATCAACGTCGAGGATGTCCTGGTATTTTCTCGATTAAATATAACTCTTTTGGTACACACAATGGTTTCGAGAATCTCACCACTTCACCGCGGTTCAAACCGTTGCCATCATCCCAAAGTGAAATGTTGAAAGTCCCCAAGAGCATGAGCGCTTGAGTAGCAAAGCTCGACGAAGCCAGGTTTAGATTTGGAACAATCACTGCATTTTAATTAGACGTGATCCTATTCAAAGAATGAACAAGGGAAATACCTGGCCCGACACGAGGAGCAGGACAACCATCAGGTGAAATGTCCCTCGTAGCATTTACATTTAGCACATGGGAATCCTGCTGCGCACACGTGTTATCGGTAGAGCTAGTGGAGGGACAACCACCAGCGGCTACAACCAGAGCAGAGGGCATAACAGTACCGCCTTGGCGTACACGAGTTGGGAGACTGTCCGAAAATTGTATTTGCTTCCAACTGCCAACTACGTTATTCGCATTGTTAGATGTCAAGACTCCAGCGACCTCGAACTCCCAGACATCTGATAAGGACAGTGCATTCTGTCCATCATCACCACCAGCGAGATAGAAGGTATTGTTGGGTCCTTGTACATTCAGATCGGTAACTGGGCTGGCCGTCACATCGATGCCGCCAGAGGCGCTATACCGGGGAGATGGACCACCGGGAGATATATTTATTTCTGTCCAGAATTGGTTGATGTAATCGAATTCCTGAAAAGTGAGGTTCAGAAGGTGACATGCTGGAATGTTGTGTCATACTCACCCAAGCATCCGAAAGCGGTTGACCGTTCTGGCCCTTGCCCCCGATGACTACGTGGCCATGGCGGCTGCACAGGTTAATAGAAGCAAGATTAGGATTATGTCAGAAGGCACCAAAGGTATAGAAGGTAGGTAGACGTTTGGCCAACTTACTTGCTCGCAGCAAAATCGTCTCCACTAATAGCCATGCTTCTTGGAGGCGGTTTTACATCGGCCAAAGTGTCAACAGTTGAATGGGGGGAGAACCATGAAAGACCAGAGAGATTGAGACTGGAAAATGAAGCGTTAGTGACAAAGGGGGCCGATGGAACGGGAAAACTCTAGAGACTAACAGATATGTTTGTTGCTGTGGAAAGCCGTTGGACTCGCCACCAAATATTAAGATAGTACGAGAAGTAGGATCAAAGCCGATAGATGCATAACTTAGTCCAGGAGGAGCAGGAGAGCCAGTAATCTGGTTAGTGATTTCGAGCCATTGGAGAGGGGGTACCGGGGTATTCGTAGCAGGAGCAGCATGGACTGCCGGGAAGAGAGCGACATCGAGCAAGGTCAAGAGCAGAACGAGTCTTGATTTTGAGCAAAGGTCCATATCATTAGGGGAGAGAGAGGACGCCGAGAGACGATGGCGACGATGGTGAGACCCAAGAGGGCCCACTTGAGTGAGCGTTGAGAGCAAAGAACACGCGAGAAATAGACCGATAGGCGTGCCGGCAAGAATAACCTCTGCCTCGTTTTCTTCCCACGGTTTCCGTAATATAATAAATAATTCTGAGCAGCATTATACTTCCGGCATCGGCCAATTGCAGCCGCTGCCTGCTTCCCGCCAGACAAACCCTAACTATATGCGTTCTGCCAGCTCACACAGAGCGTGGATTGTCTACTTGTTCTTGTAGTATTCGTCACGCCGATCGCGTCGAAATACATTTCTGTTTAAACGTGTAATTAGCGAATTGATCTGCCTACTAGACATAAACAAACAAACTAAAATAAGGGCGGGTGCAGCGCATTAGGAAAGCCATTGTACAGCCTTGTTAGCGCAATTAGTAGCCCGTGCGCTATTGTATCCACGATCGTCTCCTTCCTCTCGACTCTTCCCGGCGTCTCAGCTCTTCTTATGATACCACGATGCAGGATTCAATGCCAGACTACCCTGAACAGGATGAAACAGGTGGTGACGGACTTCCGACCTATGAGGATTTAGCTGCACAAAAGGGGCCGAATTCAAGATTCGGGAGGTGGAAAGGTTGGGTTGAGAAGCGGTCAGTTACGGCCTAGTTTGATTGCATCTCTAGGTGCTGACGTGGTTTATCCAGAGCTGCAGAACGATTCGCAGACATAACGCCTGAAGAGCGGGCTCGACGGCGTGAAAGAGGGTGGGGCGAAGGGGTGTGTGTTTCATGCATCTGCGCTTTCGACTTTCATTCTCAACCTATATCTATTCCTCGCTTTTAGGTCTATGAAGCCGAAGAGGCCACAGAAAGCAGGAATGTACTGCGACCCGAACCGGTTGTGCACTTGCAGCCTCCAGCATCCATATACTCACAAGATTCACACTGGTCTGCACCCACCCTCCTCATACCTAATGCTAAACCACCGTCCTACTATCCCTCTCGACCTCAACCGGAAACACCTGTTCCTGCCAGTGGAGAACCTCTGCTTCCATCTCATTTGAAAGTATTTCAGTTCGGATCAAGGTTCTTACCTCATACGACATATCCTATGAATGCCTTACTTCCACTTTTGGGCGACCGTCTGTTACTCATTGGACACGATAATGGATTATCTGTTCTTGACATGTTTCCCAGCGGAGACCCAGAAACATCCAGCCCAGCTGACGCACAAGTTCGGCATATCTGGGAAGGAGAAGGGTGCGTTGCTCTGTCAAACCGTTTCTGAGAATTTCCGCCAGAGCGCTGATGCACTGCTATTAGAGTGTACCAACTAGAACTACTTGAATTTCAGGATACCGGTGACCTTACACCGCACGGTGTCGTTCTAGCTCTTGTCGGTTCAGAAGTTGAATCTCCCACAAATTCAAAGGAGCGAGATGTCATTCGTTCCATTCGCATGTACAACTTATCAAGTCTCACGAGTTTGGCTCGGTGGGCCACTACACAGAAAGTCCGTAATTGAATTCATTGCAAATCCTATCTAAAGCAATCACTGATCGACTCATTTTTTTATCTAGAATACCAAGCCGCTTGATCTGAGACGCCCAGCACATTGGAATCCTCAGCAAGCGACGCAGAAGAAGCACAAACACAACTCCAGCATTAATCTGATCAAATCTCTTATTTCCGATGGCCAGAACGACAGTGAACCGCAGTCCTCTTATCCTTCTCGTGCCGGTAAACGCGCTAGCACAGCTCTGAATATGAAACGCCAAGAATCTGCCTCATCGGTGGAATCCTCATGGGACGTCATTGATGAGTTACCACTCCGATGGGCAACGGACTTTGTACCTTTAGCATCAGCTGGTTCACGTCTTTTAAATTCTAATGTTTTGTTCTTCGAGCTGTGGAGAGGCGAGTCCAACAATGGTCGGGGACCCTCGTCACTCGCCATAGCTACGAAGCAGAGTATCCTGCTGTATGAGACGCCGAAGGGTGAACGAGCATTTCGATTTGTCAAAGTCAGTCAAATACTTGAGCCTCATTACGTGAACTCATCCTCCTTTCCAGGAATTTTACGCGCCTTTGTGTCCACGAAATTTAAGTTTCGTATTCCAGCGTGCTTCGGAGACAATTGTCTTAAGGAGCGTATCTGCATCTTCTCAGCAGTCTCAGAAAAGTGCATATAGCCCGGACAACGTAGACGGGTCTCGGCGATTCTCATCTGTCCGGCAGTCGCTTGATTATCCTCGAGAACGAAATCCTCCTAGGTCTCCTTCTCCTTTACCCGACTATGGCGCCCAGCTGTCACTTTTTGTTGTTTTCGACAAGAAGGCGGGACTTATCCGACTTGCAGATGCCGCTGTTGGCGAAGTAGAACTTAACGATGATAGTCCAAAGGACCTCTTTTCGCCCATAGGCACTTCACCACGGCGTTCCTTCATTCGCGAACACAAGGGGATCTGGCTACCCCCTACTTTGGAGGAACTTCCTTTAGCGTCCTCGGAAGGTGTAAGCGTAAAGCCGGTATACATCTTAACAAGGGGAAAACAAACACATGTAATCCCTTCTCCAATTCCAACGCCTCTATCGAACTGCCCACCTCTATACGCAGTAACATGGCAACAAGCTCCAAGCCAAGTCTGCCACCGCATCTGCTCACCTCTCGACGACCCCGCATTCCTCCAAATCATCGGATTCGGCGAATACGGCATCGAGGTACACGAAATACCGCTATCAGTCTTCTCCAAGGGTAAGAGCAAGGGCAAGGGTCGCGCCGAGGAGCCCGTCCACGCTCAAATTGACATCGGTGGCGACGTCGCATTTCTCTTCCGCGGCGGTCAATGGCACGAGCCGCGCCGTTTCCTTGCGCGTGCAGATTCATTCATGTCAACCAGCACAGCCAGTACAGTACGTCCGGGTGGTCTAAGAAAGAGCGCCGAGGACGGGTTCTACGCAAGCTGTAGAAAGGGACTTGAGGATTGGAGAGTATTTTGGTTGGGCGGTGAGGAAAGGGACGATTATGGACCTTCGGACATTTGATGTTTCTCTCTCCGGTACGGACATGGACATAAATACATATCACATCCTGGATTCACCGTGCTCGCCACACGTCTCCATCTCCATCTCCACTCATAATAATAAGCTTTTGTTTGTTTACCCTTGATATGCACTTCATAATTTTGGGCTGTATCTGATGAGCAACAAAGCGTTCATTGTATGGTGTAAAATTAGACTGATACAAACTTGGGAGAGTCCGTGGGCGTAGCAACAGAATGTCCAAAGGAGATAACGAGATAAGTACACAAAGAAAGCATACTGAACATGAAAAAAACCAGATTGCTGTACAACGTGTTTAGAATGTTTGTGATTGTCTACGGGTTGATCTGCCGGGGGCGGAGGAAGAATTGTCTTCAGCGGCGTTACCTCGCAACACGACGAATGAACGACGGTTCTCCTCTGGAGCAGCTTCCGGTGCAGGGTCAGGCTTGGAAGCTTCCGTGGCGGGAGAGACGCGCTTATCGCGCAATACGACGAAGGACTTGCCAGTTCCTTCATCAGGTTGTTCAGAAGGGAAATTACCGTCGCTCATCCGACGATTCCTGCGGAACTTAGCCCACAAAGTCCGTTTTGGCTGTGCAATATCAGCAGATGAATCGTCGGTATCAACTGCGATGGTCGGGCGGGCCAAGTCATTTGCGTCCTGTATAACGGCAGAACTCCCTGTCTGAAGATTGAACAATTCCGATGCATCTTCGACGATAGCGACTTGTGATTTGGTTCGTACATGGACCTGCGGCCGAGCAGCGTCCATTGCACCAGGCGGCAGTCCAGAGCCTACCGCATGGGAGGCACTCGGGTGGTTGACAGTGACTGTAGACCTATTTGTCGGCGTATTTGACCGAGGAGTTTGTACAGGGCTGGCCTGTCGTATTCGTTCTACAGAGGGGAACTCGTGTTTAGCCATGGGGGAGGACGACTTCTCCCGGTTAGCAATCGCGTAAGGCGTGTCGTAATGTGCTCGTCCTCCACCAACGCGAGCGAAACCAGACTTGGGTGGCGTTTCTACCACTGGTGATGGTGGCCGATCCTCCACAGGGCCGTACCCTGGTTGCGGGAATGGCTGCCAGGAACCCATAATGAAACCGCTCTCATCGTCGCTATCCTCTCTGTAAGGGCGTAGGGCATGTTCCGGTCTCAGGACTGACGGTGGTCCGTGTGAACTACTTGGTGGGGACGAATTTTTGTTGCCTATTGCAAATGGCTGCGTAGAACCCAGTGTGGATGAGCGCACATCATTACCTAGCGGACGACGGCTCCGCCTCCGCCGACGTTTTCTTGGTGTACACCAGCCTAATAAGCCCATCACTCCTAAAAGCCCTGTATCAAGCGTGTGCTTGCTTCTATCAAAGGGAACGCGGCCGATTATACGGAGCAGTGCTTCGAAGAGCTTGACCGCTAAGATCATCAGGAATGCGAGATACATCAAACCAAGGATAAACAAGATTGAGGCCGCAATCCAGCTTCCCGCGGAGATGCCAACAGAGACCTAGAAATTTCAAAAAGGTTATAATCCAATCAACACGCGCGCGCATAGATTGGACTACTCACTGTAGGCGTCAAAATGACGAGAAGAACAGCCACAGTTATGCGCGCGACACAGAAAAAGAAACTGATCAAGCCCATAGTTGCACCCCGTCCCCAGGGTAACCAAATACTCGTACTCAAGGACGTCACGATTTCAGTGACTAAAATGATAATCGCCTGTGTCGTTCCGCTCTTTTGGCCACACCCGATAGTGATTCCATATATCAGATTATTTGCAAAAAAGATGCATGCAAATAATTGGGAACCGTGTGCATAATGGTTGTATAGGGGTCCCAGCATCATGAGTGTCCTAGTCTCGTCATAAAGCTTGTTTGTCGCAGTCGTATAAAGGCGGACGACCAGGAAGACAGGAATTCCAATTGAGAACAGGGTGAATGCTAACACCGCTAGGACTACGGAGACTATTGAAGACTGGGAGCGAGCGTTTGCGAATTGGTAGGTAGAAAATATCGTGATCGGTAGATGGAAGAGTATGAGTACCCGGACCAGGTTGCCGTGGAGTATGCTGCCGTGAAACGAGCTGGGCTTTATTCGCAAGAACCGCCACCAACTTCTTCTTCCTACTGCACCTGACAGAGGGATAGATACTGAACGAAACAAGCGATAGCCAGCGGCAGAAGTGCCATCGTCGTCAGCCGACGGAGATCCGGCTTTGTCAGATTCTTTCATTGCGGCAATATACGCTGGAGTTCGAGGGCCAAAGGGAGACACCTTCTCCCTACCCCCGAACAGCGCAAGACCAAGTTGATCAAGCCCCCAGATGAGGAGGCTTACAATGATAACGCCAGCAATTATGGCTAAAAACAGCACGAGGCATACGCCAAATAAGTCTTGTGGTCTGAGACCGATGGCGGCAGCAAGCGAAGCAATGCCTGCAGCTGTACCCTCAGGAAACATAAGCAAAGAATTGGGCACGCTGGCATCGATAAAAACCGGGGAGCTTGAATCACTGAGCTGATCGGCAAAATTGGATGGCGGATTGTAGTCTTGAACTGTTAATGGGTTCCAACGCTTTGAGGAAGCATTATCGCCCTGTGTCAACGTGACGTCTAGACACGAATGTCAGGTATTGTGAGAACAATTATTACAGTGGAACTTACTAAATGAGAGTGTTGACCAGGCAGTCTGTGCAAGCATTGGATCTGTGTGCACCGAATCATTACACAAGTAAGATGAAAGGAGAACAAAAAAGTACATACACGCAAAAGTCGGCCATTGAACAGCAATCATACCTAAGACAGCACACCACTGCGTGTGAAAGAAAATATCACGCATGGACGGCGTGCCTAATGTTCAGGTCAACAAAATAAATAACCAGAATATTCATGTAAAAAACTCACTGAATCGAAGCAGAGCCGGTGTGGATGAGAAACGTTCACCACTAATCGCGCTTGCAAGTATATAACCCGCTCCTTCCAGACGCGACCATAGACTCCTGCTTGATCCTGTCCCGCCCCGCCCCCATGCTGCGATGAGCCTCGCCAACCCAATGACGACCCAGTACGCTATACAGACCGCCACGCTGACCCATAAGATAATCGCGGCATCGCCGTAAATTGAGCCTGCAACTCGCCTCCCAGTGAGAGGTGTAGTAGCCACATCAAAACATCCTAGCTCGACGGCCGGTGAAGAAGTATCCACTATTCGTAAACGTGTGCTAATCGTCAAAAGGTCGTATTGATGTTTGCCCAACGGAACTGCCGCAGAGAATGCTATCGGACCTGCGCTAACCGGACAAAAGAAATAGGTAGAATTCTCGGTCGGCAATGGGGATGCCGGACGCAAACTCGTGCAGAAAAACGTGCTGTTATCGAAAATGTTTATGGACAGTACAGAGCTTGTTGTAAAAATAGTAGCTGCAGCAAGTCGAGATTAGTGCATGAAGTGTCTAAGCTCCTATACATTTGACTCACAGAGAAGACTTGTGTCACTAGATATTGGCTCGATTGTCTGGCCTGTATTCCCAATGACAGTCAAGTTCAGATGTCTGCCGAGGATGTCGTTTGTCACGATTTGTCCATAGATTGTAGAAGCGTTAATCTTGAGGGATGGGTCTATTGGATTGCCGACAGTGCATTCTGTGAAGGGGAGAGCTGCAGGTTGTGCCGCGACAGAAAGAGAAAATACGATAGGAAAAAGGAAGGTGGTGAGAGAGGGAAGGCGGGGAAGGGTGAAGGCGCTATGCCTCATCGTAACATAAGGAGCAAAGAGGATAGCCAACGTCCTCGCCGCTATGCTCAGTGTCGACGGATGAGCGTGTAGTGTGGCGCGTTACGGCGTTGCCCGACGCTGCAGCCTTCTAAGCCCGCGTTGGGAATTTTCTGCTTACATACGCCATCTACGGTATACTTTGTTCGCATCTTACACGATACGAAATTTCAGTTCTTTGGACGTGTCATCCACATTGACTCGTTCAGCGTTTCCAAGCTGACCTGCTTGAGTCATTGACGCATCTTCTTGCCAACCAAACTCAAAGTAAAAATAAAGTCATTCCACCTGATGCCACAGTTGTATCGGTGCGACAAAATGCATCCGTAAAGACAACACCCCAATCAATCTTCACCTTATCCTCTACTATTGGGGAGCTCGTGCCTCAGTCTGTTTCAGTGGCTTCTCCAAAATCCTTATTCACCTGCCATGGAGTGCCGGCGAGACATGGTCGAGAGTGTTTGATCGTTCGCCGAGGAAAACTATCCTTAGTGTTCACTGCTCGGCGGCTGATACAATAACCCTCTGGGCACAGCTCTGCGCAAACAAACGTTGGGCAGGCGTTTCAAGTCGGCCATGTCCCGATCATTGTTGTCGCCCGCAATGGTCAAACGCCAGGAGTCAGGCGCCCGTGCCGCTGAATGCGTGCACTCCTTAGAGCACTATCTGCTGCGCTGTGCAACTTGCAGCGTCTGAAGAGCTCGATATAGCGGTCTAAATTCCGAAGGTCCGCGAGTTCCTGATGCGCTCGATTGACTAGTTAGAATTCACTCTGCGGCGGCATCTCTACTGCTTGAGTTTTGATGCTGCTACACAAACAAACTTGAATATGACGACAAACTAGTATCAAGGAGGTATGCACTACTCTCAGGCAGCCCTTCTGGTTCTATTAGCTCTCTGCCTGGGCGACCAAATGCAGGTAAATGTGTACTTCTTTGTCCATTCCTCTTTGGTGGGTCATGCGTTCCCATCGGCACAAGGTCAGACAACCGGCGTGCTCCATACATCAAAGAAGCACGATGGTTTGCCAATGAGCTCTTCTGTCGGTGTGCCTGACCGGTCGACGAAATCTCGCACAACTCAGAGTGTCGCCTACGTCTCTGGTAAACTCACAAGTCCTCTCACGCTTTATTGAACTTGGCAAATGCACACAAATAGAGTCTAGTCTAGACTATACTTGTCCCGACTCTTCTCCGAGGGGAACATGCCCGAGAGAAACACATGATATTCTATCTGCCGACCAGATATGCTTCGTTCCTGGCGACTGCGAATACTATACTCCACCTCGGCGTAACTGTGTGTATATGTCGACACAAAGTGTTTCAGATAATATTAATAATCGCTGCGGGAAGCCTTTACACGCTAACCTTCGTACACATGCGGCACAGGGGGAAAGTATGCACCAATAGTATGAGTGACAGCTTCGACTACGTCAAACTTCCCAGAAGCAAGCTAACTTCTCTTTTCCGTGTGCGCCCGCGCTCAACCTTCTTGCATCGCTTGGTGGACGTCTTCTCCAGTGTGGCATGATAGCTCCCCAGTGCATACACATGCTGCATGTTGCGCTCCTGCACTCCGTCGCCTCCTCCATCACCGAGCACAGCACCGAGCACAGTCGAAACAAGGGCCATCAGATTGGCGCCCAAGCGTAAGGCAAGGATGGCCAAAGATCCTCGCCTTAGATCGAAAATGTCTCCAGCCTACAGATCTGTCGATACTTACTGTAAACCCAGTTACGCAATTTACCTTTAGCTAGCGCGGTTCGCAGGCATGGATGAAGACTCTGACTTCGTTCATTCTCCGGCACTGCTTTCTACCACCATCATTATCTCTCATCTAAGGGAAGAGAAGCATGGCGAAGCGGAAGATTGGGATTGGGATTCTACAGGGGCCCCGAACCTCCTCCTCTCTCTTTGAAAAGAACCCGAACATCTCAACAAGGTTCAATCAACGACAGAGCTGTCCGTTTCAAGGCAAACAAACGCGGTTATCTACCCGTTTGCACATATTTGGACGGCATGATTACTAGCTTCTGACGTTCTTGAAGGTGGCACGAAGTAAGGTATGGAAGAGAGAGTCCACCCATGCGTCAGCACTCAACGCACGCCCTGTGATTTCCGCGTCTAATTTTGTGTCTCAAGTCAAAAGTCTGCATCGATCGTGCTTCTATCCATCATAAACTGCATCAAACCATATTCCTGCACACACAGGCCTTTGGGATACGACAGGAGAGCCGCTCCTCAGCTTGCCGTATCGTACTCGTCAGATCCATCCTGGTTTCTCCAAAGCGGATGGGCAATCCATTGGCGTGATCCGGGATCGCTGAGCATAATTGCTGCCATGCAATATTCCTGAATCCGTCATCTTCTTTCTCCATGAAGTATGCGCTTCTTCGGCGTTACAATGATAACAAATCCAGGCTATGTTTCGACCTGAGAAAGAAAGAAACAGAAGAAACTTCTCTACAAGCATCTGGTTAGTGCACTCCTACCTTCAAACCCCATTAGCATGGATGCGTTTTGCAGCTGCTTCCTCTCCACTAGGCCTTTTGGCTGGAAGGGGCAAGCACTGTCCACGAGGTCCGTTGGCTCATACTCGCGTGCGGAGGAGACGCTGCGCTGACGGCTTAACACTTATGCATACTCGTTTACACTTATCTGAGATTAAATTTCGTGTACATGGAACGGTACCGATTGCAAAAGGGCCGAAAGAGTTGAATGATCGCGGAATCTTGAACTTTGAGACTCACACCAAGTCGGAGGGTGTATGTTTGTTATCCAATAAACACCTACTACTGTCTGGTACACTTTTGAAAAGGATTAGCTTCACCTTCATGCAATTTATTTTCGCTCTACAAATAATATTAAGGGAACTGACAAGAGTAGAGGATATCTGAAGGACGGGGACCCCGAAACCTCGTTAAAGGCAAAAGCTGCCAAATGAGGGAAGTCATGTTAACCGACGCTCTCGGCTCGTCGATAGCTCTCTTCAAGCTGCATTCCAAACCCTCTTGTGACCGAGTTCACCGATAAACTTACTGAGCCAGTCGACTACTCTATGAGAGCGTGTTGTGCTCTTTTTCATATGTGAGGCGCTCGAGGCGAGATGGCACACGCAGCCACAGGCTGGGCAGTAGCAAGCCGACTGTCTGAGTTTCTCTGCACTTATCGAATTTTGAAATCACTACAATGACTCCCATCAAGAGCGATGGGCATTTCATACCGTCAACACCATGTGGACCAGGGCGCCTACTGTTTAACGCCATCGCCACCTCCTATACCATCAACCATTCGCTCCCGTCGATCACTGGGACGTCGGTAAACGTGGCAACTGCGAATCAGTTCATCTAGCTCCGCCTTCCGCCATATGTAGGAGAGCTAGGTAAACGTTACAGTAGAGGTAATTTTTTCCCGACTTCCCACGGCAGCGACAAAGTCACCGGTGCAATTTGCTGACGGCGCCGCTCCTCACAAATAAACCCGCAATTTCAGCTATTTTCAAGACACCTATTTCTCCTGTACTTGTGAATGGAACGGTTTCCTGTCCGATGCGTAGCTCCGACGTCCGACGTCCGACTCCGTGCTGGAGCCGTTTGACGCTCGCGCTCGTGTAATTATAGGCCCACGCACCTGCACAATTAATTTTCCTCTCTTTTTTAGGTGACTCTTGTCTTGCAGCTGCATACAGGTTCAAATTAGAAGCAGCATATTGCCCCTGTAATGTAATGCCAGCACGGAGAAAAAGGTTGTATGCAAGTAAGGGGCTTGGCGACGGTCCGCAAGTTGTTTTTATCAGGGCCATTCGACTGGTGTTTTCCTTCCTTTGGTTCCGTAATCCCGCTAATTTCCACTAAAATGTGAAAACGTGTCCTTCTCGACTGCGCAGCCACGCAGCAGCAAGGCTCTCCCGCGCACTTGTATGCAAGCCGCAGCTCGTCTACCCTTCACAGGGTCAGTATCCATGTATGTAGGATATATTTGCGTTCATGTAAACTGCGCCTGAGTCAGAGTTCGTCTCAAGTATTCTTCCTTCTCCGGATAGCTCTAATGGAGGAAGAATCGGGTTCAGACTCCAGCCTATTCATGTCCGTTCATTTGTCTGCTTACTAAGAACCTTGTCCCCCCCTTAACGTACGCGGAATGGCGGTAGGACTTAACGCGGTCCCGACCCGAACTTGAGAGTTAGGCATCCATTTTCCAGTTGCTTCCTCAACTACTCGACTCGGTAGGTACTACCGAGTGTAGCAGGAGACATAACGTGACCCGGTATGTGGATTAGGTGTTTCATTCGCCCTTTGGCACTCCACATCTGTGTACTCGTGTGGCACTGCCCAGGCGCCAATGCGATACTACCATAGACGTACACGTTCACCGAATTCGTGTTGAAACCGCAGGAGGTATGGATTTTCATTGAAGAAGCTCCAGAACGGTCCTTGCGGGAAATGTAAAAGCTTCCGACTTTGCCGGAGTAAGGCGACTTCTGGTTAGTAAGATAGGAGGGGATAGGACAGGCAAGACAGGCTATTCGTCATACTTCGTGGACAGTGGCGGGCAGTAGACAGCACACCAAGACAAAATGAAGATACAGGATTAGAGCTGTAAAGAACGCGACTTTCATTTGGACGCGGACGCAACCGAGCGCCGCCCTGATAACAGGTGCAGTTGCAGGAACCTTCGTCCTTTGGCACCGAGTATTGCCGAGTATTACTCTGAGTTGTACAGGTTTGAGGCATGGATGAATGTTCCATCCATGAACCGATGTCCATCTTGAACACAAATACGATCGAGGGACCAGGTCCTGGTACTGGGTTTGTGAAAGGAGGACACATTATCCAGAAATCCGCGGACAGGTAAGACATGGCGAGCGATACTCAATACCACGGCAGCAATATCGCTCGGTACAGGCAAGGACCGCTGCTCCCTTTCTTTGGAAGGTTGAGTATGAAGAAGAAGCACTTGAGCGCATCTATTCAGACGTCCATTCCGACGTCTTTTTGGATTCAGCGGAATTGCATTCAGATCGTTAGGCTCAAAGCATCTGTGCCAAGTCTCGAGCGCTTTGCCCAGCCGCATGTATGTATAGATCCTAGATAGGTTCAAAGTACATAGCAAGGTAGTCAAAGAACGCGCATATCTATACTGCACTGCCTCGCATAGGAATAGACGTTCTTCCTCCTCCTCCTGGTTTAGCAGAATTAGCCGGCGCGTCAGTAGTAGCGTCAGTAGGACATCATCATCGCCCGTGGTATATGAATATGCTCTAATTGGTTCGTCAAATAAGGATACCGTCACTCCTGCCGCCGGAGAGACACCGTGAAATTTGCATGCTCGCCGTCTGAATGACATAGATGTATAGTCGACGAGAAGGCTCGGGAGCAAAGACACGGCGATGACAATGACGCCGATGAATGCGGACGGAGGTGAACGACGATCCGCGAAGAGCAAGGTTATTCTAAGTATAAGGAAAGTTATGCATATGTGTGTTTATGTGTATCCGGACTCGTGCTGGTACCATGTGTTCTCAAGAGCGATGTCATAAGTACGAAGGACTTTGTCCGCCCCCGGCTCTTCCTTTCTTCGCGAGTATTTCTCTGGATATTTTTGTAAAAGTACTAGGACGCTAGTACTGTAGTATGTTCTCTCCAGGCTTCAAACGCGTATATGCGTTCAGGGCGCGATGAGAAATGAATTTTTGCATCTTCGCTTGTCTTCTTTAAGCTCTTATCTTTATCATTTAGTTGCTTCTTTCAAGTCGAGTCGTAAGTGCTGTGCATATGCTGTCGACACGCGGTGCATATTCCCTTTGGCCCTGTGCATGCTTTCGGCAAGTTCTCGTCCAGCTCTGTCTCGCAGGCGTGCCTCGCTTAGCCCACAAGCAACCGAAGAGGACCATTTGGTCAAGTTTGGGCTGAAGAAGTACCGAACCGCAATCGATTTTACGTCTTCCTTCCCTTTTACAAACCATTTTTATTTTCAATACAAATTTCGAGATGATGAGATAACAGAAGAATGCGCCAGGACAGCTGTCGTTACTCAACCGCAGCTGCAGTCGGAAACAAACGGAGAAGCTACACAACTCTTCTACTCGTGCACGAGAGCGACGGGGGAGGGGAAGAGGCTCTAGGCCGATGAAGGTGGACAAGACCCTATGGTCCGCGCGGGTGCAGGGGTGCAAAGCCAGCTCAGCTGAGATGGCTAAAATTGCTCCTCCCGTGACGGCATGTACATTTATATATGCTATAGACAAGTACACCAGCACCCCGTGAATGGCTTAAGTGGGGCGCAGAGCGCCGCTGCCAAAGTATCGGTTCCTAGCAGCAGTCAGTACGGCGGAGCAGCTACGGTTGGAGGGTAAGTAGGGTGGGGTTGGGATACGATGGGCGCTCAAAGGCGGTGTCTCGTCGGACAAGTACAGACGAAAGCATAACTGGCCCAAGCACGCCCGCACGGGCGGGCCGGGATTGTATATAGTGGTTGCAGTCGTATAGTAATATAAAGCAGGTGGATATAATATCAAGAGTGCATATATAAATTAGCTGTGCGTAGACAACGAGAAACGTGCACATGTGTGCCAGGCCAGTCGCGACGTGGGCACGGAAAGGGACAAGCGCGTCCTGGACGAGTGCACAGGAGAGCAGACGGGAGGATAGTGCTTGTTTGCGCAGAGCGGTGTGGGGTGCTAGAATGAAGTGAGGCAGAGGCTCGATAGAGCCAGACGACCGGGTTTCGCACGCTTTCGGGGTCCTCGCTCCCTAGCTTCTTTCGATCTTGATCTTACTATTTTATTATATTTGCGTGCACTCCATATCCGGAAGGCACGACACTGCATATCCATCCAATAAATTATACCTTTTATCGCCTCAAAATACAAAAGAGACCCGACTCGCTCCTTGGTCGTTCTGCATCCCCTTGTCGTCGTTGCTTGCGCTGCCTCCGACGCGTACCCTTGCTCCGCTTCTGCAGCTGCACTCTGACACAAAGTTCACGACACGCCCCCACTAAATGGACTCATCGCACTTCGACGCCGTCACCGTGTCCTCTGACTCCTCCCTCCCTCAGACTCCCTCTCCTCGCAACTCTATTACGCTCGACCACACCTTTGAGAACGTCAAGCCGCAAGTCGACTTTGACCACCGGATCGAGCCAAACTCCATCTTTGCTGACAGCTACCCTCACCACTATCCCGAGTCTGAGCCTGTCACCCACTCGATGGAGAACCCCGCCATGTGGAACGGTGCACAAGCCGCTCCATTTTTCGCGCCCCAGCGTCACGGGAGCAACGGTTCACTCCTCCAGGAGCTACATGGCCAGGACTATGCCGACCATTTAGACGCGTACTCGCCTCCGCCCTTGACCTCTGGCTCAGAATGGAACACACCTGCCCCACTTCCGCACTCGGCCCTGCCCGTACATATGCACCATGAACAGGCTCAAGCTATGAGCCGCCGTGCTTCCTTCTCGTCGATCCACACGGACCGCGAGGATGGTGTTCAACACGTTTTGCATCCGTTTGCGTCGGACGAGCACAACGGACACTACGGTATGTATGGCAGGGACTTCTATGCTGAGCCTCTCAGCATGAACGACTCGGGTTCACCCCAGCCAGCTCTTTCTGCGGATCCTTCTGCCTTGCACGGCGCCATGCACTTGAACACACCTCCGCACCTCGAGGATGCATACATGTCTCCGCATCATCCATACCGTGACATGGAAGATGGCATCAAGCTTGAGGACGGCAGCCAGGTGATTGTGCCTTCACAGCACATTTTTTACCCTCGGCCACCCTCGCAGGCAGGCCACTTACCTCCGATGCCGCTCTACATGGCTCCACATGCAGCGATCCCAATTCAGCACACTGACGATGCCGCATCGAAGGAGACTCAATATCTCCGTCGCCGGTGCTTCAACTGTCACACTACAGAACCCCCTTCTTGGAGGCGATCGACGCTCAACCCGGGTAAAATTGTCTGTAACAAATGTGGTTTATACGAGCGCACGCACCTGCGACCACGCCCCCAGCGATTCGATGAGCTTCGTGCGGGTAATAAGTCACGCAAGCACTCTTCAAAAGTTCTTTCCGGCTCGACGAGTCCGAAAGAGTCTTCGAACGCGACAGTCAAGAAGGAACAGAGCGAGCTTGAACTCGAAACTCCCGCCAGGCGGAGGTCGGCTTCAAACTCGTCCGTGAATTCGGCATCGAGTGACCTTGACGACTCTGGTTCGTCCTCACCTGAAGCTGCAGAATCTGACAAGAACTAATTTTTAATTCAAGTTTCAATCTATTCCTCGGCATCGGCGGGATCTGTGTCTGGTGCAGATTCATACAGCAATTCGCCTCTTATGTCGTCTTTCTCCGTTCCAAATGCTTCTCCGACGTCTTCACCTCAAGTTCTCGCGTCTGAACTTGGCGGCATTCGACTACCCTCCGCGTCCTTGAACGATGTTGCATCTCTGCACTCAGCACCGCACCAGCCGCGTAAAGCAGCGACTGCACCCTATTTCAACGCCAACGGGCGACCGATTTCTCCAGCTAGCTCCGTTGAGGATTCGGACTATATGGGCATGCGCCGTAGTTCCATGCCCATTGAGCTAACGTGCCGCGCATCTCCGCTACTCAACAATGGTTCTACGATCGGCCTTCCGGAAGTTACTGGCTGGCAGCCTGTTTCTCTCCCAGAGGCAGATATAAAGCTTCCCAACAGCAGGAGCTCGTCACGCAACTCCATGGTAGCATAAGCTCGAGACTCATGTTCACCGTCCACTCCTTCGGAAACTTCCAATTACTTGTCAGAAGACTTGCATGTCGTTGCTATGCGGCGACCTAACTTATTGCTTGCTCGATTTCAAGTTATCTATTGCGCCAACTTTTCTGTCACATCTCGTCTTTTGAGCTTCCCCCTTGCCCTCGCATACAAAAAGCGCATTGACCATCTGTATCAATCAAATCAACTATTGTACCTGTTTACTTGATACAGGTACGAAAGATTCCGTTTGCGGATTTCCCGCTGGATGGGATGGGTTCGCTTGCACGCGTGCGCTGTTTGGCTCGTTGGCCGTCGATTCCTTCCTGCCACTCCCCTCTCATCTGTATCATCTACACTATCAATTGTGACGCGTAGGCTCAATCGCAATTAAAATATTGTTTTTATCATCCTTTCCTTCGCACTTCTTGCCCTTGTTTTCCCACTGTTTATTATTCGTATTCGCTGTCCTGGTTACCCTCGTCCCCGATATCCCGCTTACTTATTGTGTGCATTTCCCTGATCTTTCTGTTTTTTTTATATTTTATCGGCGCGCATGGGACACTCTTTTCATTATCTCTCTTATCCCCCCTCTTGACTATTGATATATATATGTGCTACAATGGGATGTGTATTAGTATGTACTGCTTATGCGGTTCCCTCGACTTAAATCGAGAAGAGGACAAAATAGGAATTTATACATGGAATGCGCAGACAAACACCCTGTAGCGACGCACGTTGACTGGCTGCATCGGAATCTGGAGATAAAAGTGCATGCATAATATTTGTGGTGTGATCATCGGGAACTAAGGCAGGGAAAGGACTAGTCGTAAGTGGTGCTGGAGGGAGAGGACGCGCTCTGTCGGGAGTTGCCGGGGGACCAGTGCAACCTGAAACACTTTGGAATTTCGAACAGGGGAACTTCTTTTCTCTATTCTCTGTTCGCCGTACCTCTCAGTTCAGTGGATTCTTCGAATTCCTGGCGCCCCTTCTCCCCTTTAACCAGCCTCCCGCGTACTCAGCTCACATCCAATCCAGAGAGCATCGAAGCGGCGGGAGTAATGGGCGCGACGGACGCGACGAGATGGGACGCGTTGGGGAAGACCTCTAAATAGGGACTAATGAAAAGGAAAAATTTAGGAGTACTAAGTTCCACGCGCCGCTCGCTCCGGGACGCGAGAGAGAGGTAACAGTAAGGTTTGAGCCGTATATGACGAGAGAAGCGAGAAGCGAACGAGCGCGGGCGTGCGAGAAGCCGGGGGTTGGTAAAAAAACTAAGGTACGCTTTCGACCAGAAGACAGGACGAAAGCGATTCAGCGAAGGCCACGCAGGCTGACGCTCATTTCTGGCGCACCCCCTTTCTATTCTTCGTAGTCCTAGCTAGCTAGAATAAAACGACTCCAACCGGACTGGGATTGGAATCCGCGACTACGGCTACGCGGCTGCGGGAACGGGAGGACGGGATACCCTTCCGTCGCTTTGGCTTTCCAGGGCTAGTTGAACACTGTGTCTACATCCGCGGCACATGTATCGCTTAAGCGAGTACGCATGTATTAGCCAGCGACGTGGACAGGCGGCAGGACAGCGGGCGTGACCACATGCGTTCGCAGCACCACGCAGTTTGCGCAGCCTCCCGTCTTTCAGCCTTTGTCTTTCCTGAACATATCGTCACATATTGACCCTGACACGGACTCCCTTCCGTCTCGCATGGGAATCCCCACTCGCGCTTAGCTTAGAATACATAACGTGAAACCTCTCGTAAACTGGTCATATTCACAAAAGACGCCGAAAAGCCGAGAGATTTTTTCATGTTGTGGTCAAATTGGACCGGCCTTTGTCTCAACTAAACCCCGAGGTCGAGCGCGTTGAAGCGCACGTCAATCCCATCGCTTGCAATGCGGGAGGAACCATTCTATTTCTTTGAGGTACAAGCTACGAAATTTAAGTGCAGAGAAAATTTTAGGGTAGTCGATTATCTCTATGCGATTGGTCAAATCGAGAGGACTAGTTAACGATACCATGCAGTTGGAAGATTCGGAACCAAATGCAATCACAGCAAGCACGCTGAGTTTGAAAAGGTCAAGTCCCAAATAAGACTTTCGTACGTATGAGAGTCAGGGACGTTTGAAGTTGAGGTGAGACAACGGCTCTGTCGCCTGTCCAAGAAAAAGACCTGCAAGTGAAACTCGAAAACATTTATGACAGCTGCGGTACCGACGACGTAAAGCGGGTGCCCACGTTCCTCGGTGCAAGAACGAAAAGAGGAAAAGTAGAAAATGGAGGGGACCCAAGGACGCGGGTGGACAGAGCGATATCGGAGCTCAGCCTTTCTCGGAAAACAAAGTTCCCCCTCTTTTCTCGTCATGTCTTCTCTGAAGTCTTCGCGAGATCCCATTATGCCTTGTTTGAATAAAGTTACAGCAGTTACACTCGCCTCGTGTGCAGCGTGCCGAATGTGCCGTTCATCGACCCTGTGTAATCGAACGACAAACCATGACGAGAAGGCCACTGACGAGCCGGCAACACCAGGCCTTGCAGATCGCGGACCGCGAGTTCATTCCGCGTCGCGATCCACATCGGGAGCCTGGCAAGTTCGACTAGCGGGTCCCGGTGCTGTCCCGCTTCTCCTCCAGGGCGCGACACTCAATGTGTTCTTTGCTGCGCTGTTGCCTGAGCCATTCTCGTTAAATTGAAGACCAAGTGCGTTCATACCATGCACATCTACTCTCAGCGAATGGGCCGATACTGGCGAAGCAGACGGCGTCGGCCCGTCATCTATGTCGTCTTCATTGGTTCTGCTATCGTACTTGGTTCCAAACGCCCACCCGGCTAAACGACTAACCCACGCGAGCCCCTGCGCAGCTGCGCGTGTGCCGATCCACTGTGCGACGCGCATCCCAGGCACTAACGCAAACAGGTCGCGGACATCATAAAAGTCGCGATGTTGCACAATTCGACCTTGCTCGTTAAACGAGAGCCTTGAAATGACGTGCAGTTTTAGGTGCAGAGGGCTAGAGAAGCGGCGTAGTCCCGGAATAGCCAGGGCAGGCTTGGGAGCGGATGGCCCGATATTATTGGCAAATACCGACACAACAGAAGAGTCGACGTCCGGAATAGTTTGCTCTGCATCACCCATTCGTGCACCAACATGCAGACCCGGCAGAATTACGACATTCATAGTATGTTCGATGATACTTAGTCGGTGTCCATCTGTAAGGGCGGAAGAAGTCAGCACAGATCGAAGTATGCGAAACAAGTCGAAAAAAGGAAGAAGCCAAGGACCAGAACTCTGAGCGGATGCTTTCTAGCTCTGCCCAAGACCTGTGTTGGACTAGCTTCTCTTCGCTGTCCAAGAACTCTGCTCCATACCAGTACCTCTGTACTCACCAAAAGTTTCGCTGTCATAGATTTCGTCAATCTCACTCCACACGTGGAGTGCTCGGAACCATGACTCGTTCGGTTCCCCTTGCGAAGGCGATGGCTGGAACAGCGTCTTGAACATCGCTAACGGACGCGGCACGTCCAAGTCGCGCAGTTGGCGGGACAACACGTTGATGTCTCCTATGATCTGACGAGAGGAGGCTGTGATCAGCGGATTCTCGTAGCTGTCGTCCCCAAACAACAGAACAGATCCTTCATCAGTTAAATACCAGTATCAGGGATGGATGCAACGTACACTATACAATTGAAATGCATTGGTCCATGCATCCAATTGGGACAAAAGTATTTCCGATCAGCACCTGCCCCTGGCTCTGAACAGTTCCGCAACACCTACCAGCATGAACTTCGTACAACCTTTCGACAGTCTCGGCAGCTGTAACACCTGGTGCAGGCCCCTCGCCGTAGATGAGCTCATATGCTTCGAGCGTCGAAACGCGGTTTGGCACGGATATGTGTGAGGAAAGAGAGAACGAGGATAGGTTGCGATTGCGGTGCCTAAGATTTTGCGAGGACGCGCTGAGACCTGCACTAGGGTACTGATGGTACTGAGGATCTGTTCGAGGGAAATAGAAGAGCTGTTGTTCGGACTCGGACGCGTCGGTGACTGTCCGTGGTCGTGTGTACATGTCGTGTGCGTCTCGCGACAGCGGCATCCGTGAAAGATACGTTCTTGTAGTACGGGAGATTAAGATAACAATCGCATTAATTTCAAATGATTCTGAGCCGTCTTAGCTAGTGTCTGCCCGAGTGACGCGAACTGAGGGGGACAGAGCAGGGGATACGGCGGTAGCGGAACGCGTTCGATTGATATGTGGTCGTACACGTCGAGCTCAGCAGTGCAGCTGCGCCACGCGAGCCTGGCGTCATCGCTCGTTTAGGGCCAATGGTCACGAGCACATCTTCACCCAATCCTTAATATTATTTTAACAATTTCTTCTCGACATATTCTTGTGGTTTGGCCGGTGCGATGCAACTGACCTTCAGAGAGGACTGGGTGTTATTCAAAATTGCGTCGTACGAGAGAGCGAATCGTATAAGTTCTCTCTAAACAGTGATCACTGATGATTGTCGCGTGCCATCAAAAAACCAATCACCAAACAAACAAACCCCACAATGATCGACGCGCATCATTGCACGAAGACGGTTCGCCTCTCAAAGAAAATCACAACAAATCCGTATCCAATCTTCCATCAATCGAAATGAACCGTGTAGATCGTTGCAACCCTTGCTCGGGGATTATATTTCATTTACCGTTGATCAGATAGACTTTTTTGCTTTGCTCGGTCGGCTTGGACACAGCAGCTGCTCACAGCGCGCATCAGAAGTAGCATTGCGCTCATGCGCTTCTTTATTACCTCAGCGTTCAAGTCGTGGACCTTGGACTTGCGTACCCTTAATTGCAAAGTGGCGAGTCAAAAAGCCATAGCATTGACAGGGCAAGGATTCGAATTATCTCACAGCTTGTTGCTCTGACGCAAACCTTTACAAACTGCATAACTTCACTGAAACAATGTAGAAATTCGATGTGCATGAGACAAGGTCCTTGGGGTCCAGTGCAATATTACATTGAGCCATACTTAATGCTATCAGTCCACAACGGCAAAATTATACTTTCACGAAAATGTAACGGCTAGTGTTAAACGGTGGCGTATCATATCGGCCGGGAGCCTTCAGCTATGTCCGAGCCTAACAACTGTGCACATAACTCCGAATTTCGATAATACGCGCTTACAACATGACTTCCGTAAGTGTATCCAAACCTCGGACAAAGACTGTATTCACTCAAAGAGAACTTGCGAGAATATTTAACAGTGCCTTCATATCGGCAATAAGTCTGATTAAGTTCGGCTCGGAGAAGATACCGTACTGCCGCCACTGCACTTCGCTCAGTGGTGGCGAAGTCATGCAGAGGAGTATTGCAGACGCTGTTCACGTTACTGACTGAGAAAACGTTACGCAAAGTCTCGTCAAGCTATAGTCGGGCGTTGTTAGGCAAAGATAGCACAGTGCGCCACAAGGAGCATCGCGTATTGACTTATACAGTGTTAACTGCGGTTCAAAATTGCACTAATACTGACTAGGAAAGCTACTTTTTCCACAACAGGAACTATGTATTTACAGAAAGTAAACATGCGTTCGGACGAGACATTCCGAGGAAAGAATTCAGAACTAAGAACGTGAACTTGCGTTTTCGCGTAAGAAAAGGACAATGCACCATCGAGTTCGGCTATCGCCGAGTCCAAGCGCGTCTTTGACGCGTCCTCTTCAAGGCCTGCATTCCTGTCAAATCTTACCTCTACAGCTGTCTACTGAGGCCGACAATCATTGCAACGACTACGATGTCTTTTCAGCATGCTGCTATCTCAAAAGGTCGGGTTAATCAGAGTTATAGGATGGGACGACCCTCATAGCGAGGTTATACAGGGTTAATGATTAGTTGTGCCGTCACGTCTATTGCTGCCAGTATTTTCGACGTAAAGCATTACCTCCATTTGCAAGTACGTTGTCAAGACAGCTATCCTAACCGATTCGTAATGGCTAGCGGTTCTGACTATGCACCTATCCTACAAAGTTGTTTCCGCATCTCACAAAGCACCATCAGGTTCGGGGTAGCTTGTTCTTGTGCCGAGTATTCTGACGTCAATGTACTCAACGGCACATAGTATTGGAGATTGTTGGTCCATCATCTTGCTTTTACAAACTCCAGTGAACTCCTTCTGGCGGAAATCCTACTGTACAATGTGTCTGTCCCGATTGAGCGCATGTTTGGCTCGTCAAAGTTTGCAGTCAGTGCCATTCACTTACGTCCAGCGCTTTCTGTCTAGCAGCTTATGTTTGCTTATGTTCCGCATAATGTGTTCTAGGCCTTTTCCGTCTCCTCCGTCCTCACAGCTACCATACTGGAGTTCGGTAGCCTCATTGCTTTCAATCGGTTAGGCCTCAATGTATTACCTTCTGGTCCGATCACTCTTGTCTTCAGCATTTTATATCAATTCTCGAGGCTCGTTCCTAGAGCCTATACATTCCGAATATTCGGGCTGACGGTCACTAATAAAATCTTTATCTACATACTTGCTCTCCAGGTAGGCCTTTCTTATCCATTCATGTTATAAACCAATGTTGAAAGTATGATCCTAGTTGGCAATCAGCCAACCACCTGGTTCGCTGGTATCATCGCTTATAGGGATTGTTGCCGGACAGCTATACCGTTCAGATGTGCTGGGTCTCAAGACGTTCCGTGTACCACCCACAGTGCGGCGCCTGGCGTCACGATATCTACTTCCCCTCATCGGTTCTACGAAGCCGCCTCGATTAAGCAACCGTGCGTTTCCCGAGGACTCCCATCGTCTTCGAAGAACACCTGCACAGCGGTCTCAAGAAAACACTGAAGTAGTAACAACTGCACCGACACCATCTTCCGAAGATCAAGCAGATGCTCAAGCGGCGTCGCAACCAGCCGGGACAGGACCCGCTAGGCAGTCTGTGATGCGTGAATGGGTCGATGAACTTACAGGTCGAACGGAACGTGCCGCAGCTGGGTTACGCGTGCCGAGCGAGGGGGAAATAAACCAACTCACAAGTATGTTCCCTGATTTGCGGCGGGAAGATATCGTGGGTGCACTTCAGCGAAGGTGAGAGTTTTCTTTCTCGCTTCCATTGTTCAAATGAAAATCTGCTACGGAAACGTCACTTACCACGCACGCCTTTACAGCCCGAATATTGAAGCTGCTGTAGATACGCTACTGAGCTCTCACTCGTGAAGCATTGTCGGTAGCAATTTGTTATGCGATAGTTTGCACGTTAAAAATGCACATATTTGCAAAATCAGTTCTACATGATACAGTTCGATTAGTTGTCAGATTCGTGAACATCTTCCTCGCCTTCCGCCTCTTCCTCTTCCTCGCCAGTGAAGGCGGTCATGGGAACTGAGTATAGACGAATAACGGGCTATTGCAAAAAATGGATCAGCAAGAGCATTTCGAGAATGGCGAGTCAGAGTAACGATGATGAATTGTGAGAAGGGAGATGTCAACGGAACAGTCATCTCTGATCCGCAATATAGCACATGGCATGGAAACGAGACTCACTCTGTTGGGGTCCTTGACCAGGACGTATTTTCCCTCGGGCATTTTCATGCAGAGATCTGTGACGGTGCGAACGATTCCCCAGCCGTTAGCGAGTGAGATATTGAGCTGTCCCGCGAATTCCATAGGCCGCATAGATGCCGTCGACAGAATCACATGGCGCGTGTTATCGCGCGGATTTAAACGCGAGACATATCTGGCAGTGGCAAGGTGGACTGAGCAACGATCAAGAAGCGTTCTTGTGGAGGAAATACATACCCAATTTTGAGGACCTCAGCTCCTGCAAGCACACTTTGCACTGTCCACTTAGCGAGTTTGCAGTTGTTATTCTTCATCTCCGTTGCAACGACTGCACCGCGTTGCGAATCCAGCTTTGACCGCCAGTCAGGCGCTCCACCGGCTCCTTGTGCTCGGGAGTCAAACTCGTTAAGCGCTCGAATCGTGGCTAGTCCTTGTCCGCTTTGAGGATTACCCTGACCAGGGATGTATGCATCTACTTCCGTGCGAACACATATTTTGACGTCCTCGTCTTCTGACACACTCATGTCAAAGACTCGGTAGCGATAGCCACATGACGCGAGTGGATCCGTTTCGTCGGGGCCATAGAAAGGATTTGGTTTGTCGAAGTCGACTGCCGGCGGAGGTGGTGCCTCAATGACAGACTGGAAGCCAAAGTTCTGATTGATGTACGTTGCCTCAAGAGATAAGGAATTGGCTGTATTGATAGAAGGGGTCTCTGCCTGTGCAACCTTTTCGTTAGGATTGTTTGGATTGGTCGGTGCTGTGGGGTCCTGGGGCGGATCTGTCGCGTTCTCGTTAACGGTTACTGTATCAAACGGACCTCCATCGCGCTTGTCGAGGAATAGCTTGTTTCCTTCGCGAACAATCACAATGTCCCAAGGATATACAGATCGCGGCGCGCACATGAGAACACTCAGAATAACATCTGTTGTGTAGATGGTGGCGACATCCTTAGAAGCAAGCTGTTTGGCAAAAGCATTAATAATTTATCAGCCCTAATGATGGGTTCGGAGCTCACCTGCTGTATAACTGGGTCATCAGAAGTCGTCGTGTTATATTTAATCCTGTCAACAAGCTGGAGAGGTCGTTCGGTTTTGGTCGTGATACGATCATAGGTCTTATCGTAGGGAAAGAGCCTCCCGTAATTCTCTCTAAATAGAATGCGACTCAGTACAAATTCGAGCTATGAATTTAGGGGGAAAGATGTACAGATCCTCGGGTTCATCCACTTCCAGCCGCAGCTTGGCAAGGCGATGGAACTCGATTTCTTCCAGCATTGCCCATGATGGAGAGATAGTAACAGAGGACTCTCGAGTACGCGTGTTCTGGTATCCCTCTTCAGTCATTCATTTATCTAAAGAATTCGATGGGTAACACATACCTTCTCCCAGTCTCTCCATCCCCTTCTTCCTCCGCCGCGTTGCGCGCCACCGCGTCCTGTCTGGAATCCCCCGCGCCCTCCGCGCTGTCCGGTACGAGAATTTGTTCCAGCACCTCTGGAAGCTCCCCGTCCTCTACCAAAGCCGCCTGCACCAGTCCGCCTGGGAGCACTTGATTTGTTGTCAACAAGCGAGAAGCTCGCCTCGTCTTCGACGTGGAAATATGCGAATGCATTCGCAACTCCACTTCCAAACGGTTGCTGGCCTTCTCTCCTTCTATTCGAGCCCGTAGATTTTGATCCAGCAGCCAGACCAGCAGCGGTTTGGCGATTATCGCCCGTCAGATCATTCCAGTCTGCAAAACGACCAATTTTGTCGGCTTTTGAAAAGGGTGCATAGGGGATGTCCTTGAACTTGAAATCTTGAGGAAAATTTGCCTGAGATGGTCCCCAACCTCCATCTGGGTTGTTTTGAATAGGCGGTAATTCAAAAGAAGGCATATTAACTGTGTAGAGGAGGTTGTTTGTGGAGGACTTGCCATTACGAAAACTTAACTTTTGGATTTGATCGACTGTGAGAAACACTTTACATAAGAATAAATTCATTGCAATTGCGCTTAAAAAAGGACAGTCTTCGACTTGAAGTCAACCACGTCTGTTCGATGAAGTGAGCTCCCTCGGACACTCTTCTTTTTGACTAGTCTTCCTAACTGACTTTTTAGTGTTGTGCGCGAAATCAACAAGATCAATGAGCGTGAACTCGAGCTTGGTTCGTCCACCGCATCGTGGCATGATGAATACAAGGGTGCGTGTCGCAATATACGCTTCACTACTCATTAAGCCTAATTGAGGCCGTATCAGATTCTGCGTACATATTCATTGGGGGCCTGCATTTTGACCTGACTGAAGGCGATGTCATCACAATCTTTTCTCAGTACGCTCCTTATCGCCCTAATTTTATTACTTACAATTTCTGAGCTAAAACTTACAGATATGGGGAAGTGATGGATGTTAATTTGCCAAGAGACAAAGAGACAGGAAAGACAAAAGGTTTTGGATTTCTCATGTACGAAGACCAACGCTCTACGATCCTTGCAGTCGACAACTTGAATGGTGCGAAGGTTTTGGAGCGAACGCTACGTGTTGATCATGTTAGGAATTACAAACAACCTAAAGTCAAAGGCGAAGATGGCGAATGGCAGGAGCGGGAAGAACAAAGCCTCAACGCTAAACCGCAGTTGACCATGGGTAAGTTGTGTAATTGCCGTGTCTTTGCATCACTTATTGATCAAGCCACACATCAAAAAGATGAAGCCTCGTCCGAGTCATCTGAATCGTCCGGACCTGAGATAGATCCCGAAGATCCTATGGCAGCTTACTTACTTGAAAAGCGCAAAGAGGAGAAAGCTAAGAAGAAGAGCAAGAAGTCAAAATCAAAAGGGAAACATAAGGATGAAACGCCTGAGGAGCGAAGGGCAAGGAAGGAGAAACGGAGAGAGAAGAAGGCACTGAAGGCTTCCAAAAAATCCGCTGGCCTCAGAGGCGTTGAGGAACTGATTCAAAGCTGGAATGCCGATCGCCCCACTAGGAGACCCCAAAGTCGAAGTCGAAGCAAGTCCCCTCGACCTCGAAAGTCTTTCAGTCCCGATCATCGTTCTCGAGATGATCACAAACAAGGCATGCGCAATGAGCCACATCACCCCGACTCCTCGACGGATCTAAGTGGCCGTGAACGCCGCCCACGTAGATATTCCCATGAGCGGGACGATATTGACAAAGCGACGTATGATCGCGGTCCAAGGACTCATCGAGAACCTCAGCGAACAGACGAAGATCGTTCTTTCCGATACCGTAGCAACCGCAGAGACGGCTACTCACGATTATCACCCCGAAGGTGAAGTCATGATGCTGCCAGCAGAGCAACTTCTGGTGCTTGTCTTGAACTCCCAGCTTAAAACCCCCGTACGGTATACGTTATCGAGGGCGTGTGTAACTCAATAATAGATGCTCGGTCTCATATCAGCATCTTTAGAAGACGACGTCTTCTCTTTCATAGGGACTTACGGTTATCGAAGGATAGCGAGAGGTCAGCTATGCTCTAGTGAAGCGAAGTTCACCGTATTCCTTGTGGCGCAAGATACAGCGAGTTCTGTTCTAACGTTGTCTGGTAGAGGCTTCTACAGAAGATGCTCATCGAACTCCTCTTCAGTGCTATGCGATAGCACGTCAAAATTCCTCGGTGATTGCTCTCTAGCACTCCATGGATGGTACAATAGCCATTCCGATGACTATTAAAGTGTCAGTTTGCTGCACTCTTGCACGCATCTCTGATATACACAGCTCACGATAAGGTACTGTTTGCACGTGTGATGTTCAATAACTCTGGCAGTAGTCCTGCTAGACGGGCGCATGAGAGATGAGGGCTTCATTAGTGGAGCAGTGCGAATAGTCCGATCTCGTGCCGAACGTTGGAGGATCTGCCTATGCACATTGGATAGAGGTTTCGTTCTTCATCAGCATCTTTAGAAGGGAAGTTTTTGGGCGGAACGAAGGTATTTTAAGACACTGTATTACAACCCCGCCCCACTGCTCATCTGGTACCGCATTCTGCTAAATGATGAACGCTGCGTTGATCGGTCTAGCTTATACCGCCGAGTCTTTAGATTTGCCTTTACATGAATGCCTGAGTAAGAAAAGGTTCTGAAACCACCGAAAGAGCGGCCGTATCATTTCCGGCGGTTACTCCGGCGAAAACCTGTGCATTTCATCATTAATCAACGAGACTGCAAATAAAGCAGCCTTCGTCGGAAATGATACCACGCTCCTTGCAGAGCTTAGCGCGCCGATTCATCACGGATGTTGTATCCATGTGGGCATGTCATGCAATGTTGTACATGCTTGGAAGAACATATACGTCTCCGCGTAAGTGGCGCTACCGGACTGACCTACCAGCTTGACTCGGGAGGACATCAAACCCAGCTATAATTCTCGACGATTCCATAACTCCTTCGGGCTGGTATTGCGCTGATAGTAATTTTGTTACTGAATAGTCGGTGATTACTAGGCCTTGTGCGAAACGCTCGCGCTAGAGTTCGACGATAAGAGCGTGCAACGTCATATTAGCTTCATAATTCGAAGTAAAAGGGGATAATTTTCTGGCTCGAGGATAGGATACATCATCCTTATTTTTTTTACCGGTTTGGATGAGGCCCGACAGCACTGGCGAGCCTTGTAGAGGCCTTTGACTGTGGGGACTTTCCGACTTTGACGCATTTTCTAGCGGTAGAACTGCGTATGACAGCGAATACAAGGACAAGTGCTGTGAGTTGGTCTTCCATGACTTAACTATACATAAAAATACTAATTACATTCAGATGTATGAAAGTAGCCTAGAGAAGAGTTGTTCTGTCTATCTAGACGCTGACAGGTTGTGCAATCTACACAGCGGGCGTAGTCCGCGCGAAAAAAGCTTAACCCTCGTTCCTGACATCTGTGCGCCAATAGAAAGCTAATATAGTGTTACGTTCCTAAGCCGAGCCGCTGCACTTGTAGTTGTCTTCAATGGCATTGCTATGTACAACAGTTCAGTAAATATTGAATATTTTGTGTCTTGTGCAAGCCAGGCCGTGGAAGAAAATCATTTTGCACGTGGCCAGGAGTAAGCGACTGCCGCTGATCTGTCGATCCTGGCGTCGGAGGTCCAAGGTTAGTAACTGGGGGCTATATGAATTTGGAAGCACTTCGCTGGTGCTGGCGCAGGAACGCGTGCATACTTCAGTTCCATGAATACATCGCTCTTACGGCGCACGTCATTCACTGCGCTATCTACGTGACGAAAGGAGGCATGCTCCAGCCGTGTGTTTGTGCCGATGAGCTTGAGTGGGCCTTGGCCTACCCATTTCGGTAATTTTCTGACTTACGCGGTTGACGGTGTCGGCCTCGCTTCCCCTTTATCTCTATCACCCACGGCGCCGTCGCAAGTCGACTGCCTCCTTCACTCCCCGCAGGTGCTGGACGGCTGCCTTCACCATGTACCTCCCTCCGCTCGCGATTCCGCTCCTTTTCTCTATTTTTTGTAATGGCGAGGTGTTTTCCACCCGTTCTCCGACCACATCCTCTGCGAAGTACGTGACAAACGATACCTGGCGAAATAGACGCTCATAATTCTTGTTGTTCCCTACGTTTTTCAGGCTGTCCGCAAGAGATGACTGCTTCAACCCAGATCCTCAAGATACCCTCACAGACCGAATGAATATTGCCCTCAACTCTTCCGGACAGGGTTTCGTCTTATCGCTCTGCCCCAACACGGAATATAAAATATTCGCGCCTATTAACTTTGCAGCCCCGAGCCAAGAAATCAGTACGAAGGGCTATCCAACAGATGACAGTCGTGCAATGATCACCGTGGCTGGTCCGATCAGCAATGGTACAGGACACTCAACAGCAATTCAAGGGGGTTGCAAGACTTGCAATAATATCAAATTAAGAAATATCCAGGTTTGTCTCTTTAACTTATTCTGCTTCTCATAGGCGTACTAATTATCTGGTGATAGATAAATGGTTCACGAGAAGATACTATCATCGATGGAGGCGCTAACATTGAGATGGGAGGACCAACTTCTGGTCAGCTTATCGAATACGTTCGTTCATTCAATCCTAGGAGTTGGTCATGCCTCCATATCGCGGAGGGTAGCTTGCTGGTATGTATATCAACTTCTTTTATCTTTCTTCTAATTAACGATTGCATGCCTAGTGTAATAACGCGACAGTCCGTAAGTCATCAATGGCCTTCATTGCGAACTTTTCGCTCAAATAGAAGCAGAAAACAACGATATTGGACCCTGCGGGACAGACTCATTCCAGCAATGGGCTGACGGGATCAGCTTCGCTTGCGCGAACGGACTTGTAAGGAACAACATGATTGACAACCCGACGGATGGTGGTATTGTATTATTCGGGTCACCCGGAACTCTCGTCGAGAACAATACGATTTGGATCGAAGAGGTATTTTACTACTCGGTTCACAGCAAGATCCTTCTCTTACTGAGACTATTGTTTAGCAAACCCTACTCGGAGGAATCAACTTGGTCGATTATTTACCCTGGTCGGGTAATTTCACAGATGTCGTTGTCCGCAACAATAGCATCTTCGGTGGCTTCGCGACTGACTCAGAGAGTGCTAGTTCTACGAAGGGCGATGACCAGTTTGATGCTATAATAAAGTCTGTTGTTCCTGCCTACATCTCTTGGCCTGAACACAACAATTGACGGTGTTTGTAGGATTGGCATTGCCATCGGACCGCGTGTGTGGTTTGGCAACCGTTATGGCAACAACAAGAGCGAGAATGGCACTGTGACTAGCAATCATTTATCTGGTGCATTCGGATATGGAATCGCTCTTACTTCTGCGAAGAACTTTACTGTACAGAGCAACGATCTCTTCGGAAATACGTCTTTCATTGGTTCCAAAGGGCCGAACTGCAGCAATGTGAGCAAACCCTTCATGTCAATAACTCACTTCGCACAAGAATTGCTGATGAATGGGCTCGTACTTTAGACTGATTCTACACCAGTCACACAGCAATTCGTGATTGACAAAAATACAACGCAATCCTCAAATGTACAATCTGACTTCGTTGCCATTTCAGATGGAGACAGTCTTACATGTATCCAACCACCAGATGGCGGTGACTTTTGGCCATACGGTGGAAGTCCAGAGACCACTGGCCAGGCAGGAGGAGAACGATCGGGCAACTCAACCGGGGACAAAGTTGGTATTGCTCTGGGTGTTATTCTTGGGATTATCTTCGTTGCGGCACTGGCTTGGTTCATCCGCAGATGGGCTCTGGCCCGCAGCGCCCGTCAGGGAATCTACGGCGGGAAAGGATTTGTTCGCGGAAATTTCTGATCTTTTCATCTTCTTTCTTAAAGGAGATAATATTCTATCATTGCTATTTTTTTCTACTCTGCAACATATTATCATCTTCGACGCTGGCGATGCCAAATATGCTGTTCGTTACGAGTACACTAACTTCTCGATCTGTTCTGCTTGTCAATATTGGACGTTTTTAAAAGATATTAGAGCTCTCCTTATTCTGTTTTTTCTCAGTTAGTCTGCTTTCTGTATTTGTGCGTTTGCAAGGAACGTCCATTTATTTTACGTAGTTAGACTTGAATATAACAATCTCGCTCAAAACACCGATCACCGCCAAAACGTGCAGAGAAATACATTCAATTTCGTTTTGCTAAGTAATGCACGTTTTTGTTGTAATCTATTTGGACGGATCGACGGATTGGTCCTTCCTAGGATGATGTCAGCGTGCTTCACGGTTGAATTCAGCAACTGCAAGATACGGGTTCCATGTGTACCAACTTGAGACTGCCCGCTACTGCTGCATGAATTAATGCCAGTACCCGCTCTTCCGACTGAGATATGGAGAGAAATCCTCGATATTGCTGCTCAGGATGATCCTATTCTCGAGACATCCCTTGTATCTCCTTTGGCGGAGTGCTCATGGTATGAGATGGTCTTCGGCGAATGGTGGCTTCGAAAACCACAGGAAGCCCTTCGAATTAGGCAGCGTCAGAGCTATGCACTGAAGAAGGTGATTCGCTCTTTCACTAGACGGTGTAAAGCTACTTATGCTTGGTTTATGCAGGCTTTTATGGAGACCTGCGTGTCATTCGCGCAGATCGGAGCCGAATTTATGTATCGTTCAATCTTAGTTGGCGACCCAAAGCGTCTCCGGAGCCTCGTCGAAATTTTCGATAGAAATACGAAACTTGGATGGTGGGTAAAGGCAATATACGTCTACGCGGACGAACGATTAGGAATACATGACCTGAATGTCGTGGGCATGGACGACTGTGTTATTTCTCTCGTGCGACATTGTCCGAAACTAGAGGTCTTTATCGTGGACCCCCAGGTAGCTGCTACGCCCTTCCTTGCCATAGCAGATGCTTTGCGCACGTACTGCTCGTCGTCTCTAAAGTTGGTTCAATGGAAACTCGCCTTCAATGCTCAGTCGAAGTTGGTGCCTGCTGTCATAGGAATGCGGCATCTTGTTGCGCTCCAGATCGATCTGAGCTATCCCTTGGAGGAGACATCAACTACTCTACCTGGAGTTAGGCAGACACTTGGTGTGACATTCCCACACCTGAGGCAGCTAAGCCTGCAGGGCGCAATACAAGATTTCGTCGAACAAATTGCGTTATGGGAAATGCCCGAGCTTACTTCCTTGACTCTCGACTTCAAGCTTTCGCGTCATGATTTTCCCGACATCCAGGAAGTTCTTGAGCCACACGCGTCGCAACTAGAAATGTTGAACATCAACGCAATCCCTACCCTTGACGTTAAATCAATCTTAGGCATGTGTCCCAACCTCACTACCTTCTGTTTTAGCCTTGACTGGCAACTGGAGGGAAACTTGGTCGTCATGCCTCATAAAAAGATCAAGACGATTGGCCTTTACGGACTGAGGCATGCGTTTGGCGTTGGATTCGCCGGAGAAACTGCACGAATAAATCCGTTCGAAGCCGTTATCATACGACGGCGGAACGACATGAACTTTGCTGCTATAAACAAGGTCAATTTCCCGAGCCTCAGTATCGTGAAGATCCTTGAACCGGGCCTACTCAACGACTTAAACAGAAATAACGGCCCCGCGGAGGGACTTTGTTTTGAGCGCTGGGAGCGGTGGTGGGATCAGTGTGCGAACCAGCGTGTTCGGCTCGAAGACTGCACGGGAAACCCCCTCGGAACATTGCCGCAACTGCCTCAGGGGGAAGAAGAGGAGGATGGGTCTGACATTACGGATAGTGTTGTGGATGAGTAAGGCTTCGAACACCCTCTGCTTGGACTTTTGCTTTTCGACTTGCTGCTTGCTCTGCTTTCGATTCCCTCCCCACTGTACAATACGCAATTTCTCCGACTCACTTTCACGACATGTTACACTAAAAATGTAAAATTTGATTTATTGCTACAACAAGGTGGCGGCCAGCAGGCCTAAGCGCTTGCGGGTTTGTTTAAATTTTCACACTAGACGAGTGCCAGGTAGTATTCGGAATAGCTGAACATCGAGGATGCGGACGTAGAATTGGCTAGCGTGCGAAAATTCTGGTTGAGCGAGAGTGGCGCGGCGAATTGAAGCTGACTCTCAACCCTTTACAAGACCGTCACGGTCAAAGCGAATTTTGCGTCAGAACTCTCTTGGAGGCCTCACTTTCTTCTCTCATCGGTACAGATTAGTCTGACACTGTCCCATAAGCATTGAGTACGATTACTTGCATCAACATGACCTCAACAAACGGGTGAATTGTGACTGTCTCTGCCGCGTCAATACACCGACTGACCAGGACCTATTGCTTCCCAGGCAACAACAGTGGGGTGTTACTCAGCCAATATCTTCCAGTGAATCCACAGATGCGGAGAAGAAGGTCACTGTAGCCATGATGGATGAGCTACGTAGACAGGGTACCTTTGAAAGTGAAGAGGAAGCTCGAACAAGGTTCGTCTCATTTACCCAACGCTCTGGCCAGCCAGAAATCCTGCCATCGCCGGTCTAGCCGTATCACTATTTCTTTTGCAAGAGTCCGTTCATCGACAGTGTCTCGTCTCCTTGTGCAGTGTCTGCTATGCTTGCATCTTCACCCCTCGTTAAAATACTTGTGACGTGAATCGGAGTTTGGCTCGATGCTGACGGATAGTCCGCTAATATAGGGAACTCGTCTTAGGCCGCGTCGCAACGCTTGTTAAGAAGTTTGTACACAAGGTGGCTTTGAGCCGGGGGCTCTCAGAGTCGGCGGCAGCCGCAGCTGGTGGAAAGATATTCACTTTTGGTTCATATCGACTAGGCGTACATGGTCCAGGGTCAGATATTGATACACTGTGTGTTGTTCCTAAGCATGTATCACGAGAAGATTTCTTCGAAGTGTTTGAACCTATGCTTCGGGAGGTGGAGGGTGTCTCAGAGGTATCTGTAAGTGCCAGCACTACCGTCACTCTGTCAAGAGGCTATTCTTAATTGTATGTTAGGGTGTACCTGAGGCCTACGTACCAATTATCAAGATCAAGATACAAGGTATTCCTATCGATTTTCTTATGGCCCGACTAGCCCTATCGTCAATTCCGGATGATTTGTCATTACGGGATGATAATTTATTGAAGAACCTTGACGAACGGTGTATTCGAAGTTTAAACGGTTCGTCTTCAGTTACAGTTATTTATTTCGTAATTTCTTTTCTTCTAATTCGATATAGGATCTCGCGTAACTGACGAAATATTGCGCCTTGTACCGAATGTTGCCGTATTCCGAGATGCGTTACGGTGTATCAAGCTCTGGGCTCAACGTATGTGTCTACATGTTTCCTTGTATTAGCTATTCACACTTGCTGCAGGACGAGCCATATATTCGAATGTCAATGGCTTCCTTGGTGGAGTGGCGTGGGCTATGTTGGTAGCTCGGATATGCCAACTCTACCCGAATGCTGTTGCTGGTGCAATCGTCAGCCGCTTTTTCATTATTATGTACCAATGGTGCGTTTGAGGTATGATGACCGTACCCGCAATACAATAATCGCTCGATAATTTCAGGTCCTGGCCTCAACCAGTGTTATTAAAACAAATTGAAGAAGGCCCTCTGCAGGTTCGGGTATGGAATCCGCGGGTTAGTATCGTATTTTTCTTTTCTGGACAACGATAAATCATTGACCTGGCTTATTAGTTATACCCGGGAGACCGATCACATCGCATGCCCATCATAACTCCAGCCTATCCAGCTATGTGTGCGACTCATAATGTCACTGAATCGACTCAGATGATCATGACGGAGGAGTTCAAGCGAGGTAGGTACAGAAGCCCAGATAATTCCCCTGGCTCATGTCGCCCGGTGCCTTAGGTGCGGACATCGTGGATAAAATTGTTTTTGGATCATTGCAATGGTCGGCGCTTTTTGCGAAACACGACTTCTTCCATAAATATCGTTATTATCTCCAAATTATAGCGTCAACAGGCAATCCAGATTTGCAAATTAAATGGTTGGAGAATGGCCCCTTTGAATTCGGCAATGCACTGATTCATTCCTATCACAGGGCGGGCACCGTAGAGTCTCGGATACGACAACTGGTTATGAAGCTGGAGTATGTTGATGCCCTGACATTAGCACATCCTTTCATCAAGGGCTTTGATCAAACATTACACTGTCTCAACGATGAAGAGGTTCGACTATGTGCTTCAGGTGAAGTTCCTGAAGCCGTTTTGCGAAGAAAAAAGGAAGAGGCAGAAGGAAAAGAAGGCGCAAGCACGGTGCATACGACTACCTTCTTCATCGGTCTCGCCATCGAACCGAAGCAACGTGCGTTCTGCTCATGACAAATATCTGGACCTCCTTAGCAGGAACTTTTGACTCACCGTTATTTTGCCTAAAGCTGGATCCACTGGTCCAAGAAGACTAGATATCTCGTACCCGACCACCGAATTCACCAAGCTGGTGAAAATGTGGGACAAATATGACGAATCTTCCATGGGCATTGTCGTTCGGCATATTAAAAAGTGTGTATCAAGAATACTCGCGTAGGGACTCGTCTTGCTAATTGCTGTACTATTCGACCCCCCGGCCCATCAGCTCGTCCCTTCCTGACTATGTCTTCGAAGAAGGAGCGAAACCCAACTTAAAGCGCGCAAAGAGTACCAATAGGGTAAGCATTTCAACAGCATTTTTTCGAACGGGAGATTTCTGAGACGCCGTAAAGGGACAGGGCAAGTCGAACAATACTACGCCTGATCAGCCAAACAAGAAACAGAAGAAGTATGAAGTCTTCGATAAGTCTCTGGCGTTCTTTGATATCGTATTTCCTTAGGTCACCGCTCACGCCGGCAGACATTCAGTGTTTGGCATCAACAAAGTCCGATCAGCCAGTCTCAAGCCTTTCGACTGTGCAGACCTCAACCGCAGGAACTGCTGTTGAAGCACCGCCACCAGGGACAACAGTCTACGCATCAACAGCTTTGGACCCAGCGAGTATAAAGTCGCCTACGCTTCCCAATAGCGAATCAGCGGCACTAGTTGAAACTGTGCAATAAGCAGCGCTCATATTGCATCCAGTTTTCTTTTCAGTGATCTGACAATCATCCGTTCCAGCTCATGGAGACTTCTGGATCTTGCTGGCTTGATTTCAACTTGAATCTTTCGTCCAGCAATCCGACTTATTGTCTTCTGCTTGCTGGGAGTTAAGACAACTGCCTCAGCAAACAACAATTGGATTATCCTGCATGTCCTTCGTGCTTCTCGTTTCTCTGGGTAAGACCAGTGTATTCATGCTTTATTCCTCATGCCAATTTTGTATCGTACAACAATGTCCGTAGTCTTAGAAATTGCATCCTGTTGTGGAATTCTTTTACGTGTGTGCGAATGCCAAAATGGCGTTATCCGGCTTGTACATGTGAGTCATAAATGAAGCCTCGGAAAAATTGATTTCGAGTTAGGTTAGTTTTCTCTGGTTCATACTACCATGGCCTCTAAACCGAAAGACCCACCATCTGTGAATGGGACAAGGCTAATCCACGGGGATGCTTCCTTGAGTAAAGATGAAGTTGCTCCTTCAATCTCTGTAACCACGAGTAAGTGTGATTTCAAGCAGGTCCATTCGCGAAACTCTGGTAATAACACGTTCTACTATGAGAAAGCATTCAAAACGCCAACGGATATTGGCACGATTACCAATGGGTTTGATCCACTGAACCCGGTTCGTCATGTATACTCGCGGTATACACAGGATAATAGCACAAGAGCGGAGAAAATCCTGTCTGAAATCAATGTAGGGAGTGAGCTTGACTGGATAATGGATTGCTCACACATTTATCTTAGGGAGGTTACGCTCTAACATATGCATCTGGACTTACATCTTCCTTTGCGGTAAGCGTTAATTCTGGAGCGGTGTTGTTCCCTTTGGTTCTAAATCTTCTTCTAGGCTCTAGTCCATTACAACCCTACTTGTATTGCTATCACCGGCGGCTACCATGTAAGAATGCCTTTCGATCCTTTTCTAAGGCAATGCTTATAGTAAACAATGCACATAGGGCTGTTATCAAACAATCGCAATTTATAGAAGGATCAAAGAGGTCAAGATTATTAGCATCGACGATGAATATGAAGAAGGCACACTTTGTTGGCTTGAAACTCCTTTGAATCCGACAGGGGAAGCAAGGTAGATTCATGCGAGAAAAGTCTGGAAAAGCAAGCTAATGCTCACGTAGAAACATACAGTATTATGCAGATAAGGTACGTGAGATTCAAATGACGAAACTCTGGTTATTCACGAAGATTATTTAGGTCCATGCCGCGAAGGGACACCTTTTGATCGATTCGACTTTCGGACCTCCTCCTTTGCAGTACCCGTTCAAATGGGGTGCAGATTGTATTATGCATAGCGGTATGAGGGCATCCAAACCATCGATCGTAAGGCTATAGGCTCACAATGTCTTTGCATAGGAACAAAGTATTTCGGAGGCCACTCTGATCTGCTTTGTGGCATCCTGATCGTGAAATCTCTCGATCAGTGGAAGGAAGTGAGCTGATTGCATTAATTCGTGTAATAGCAACGTACTAACGTCCATTTACAAGTTATGGTCGGATCGCACGTATGCGGGGAACATGATGGTAACCCCTTTTCCCAACCCCGTCCATATTCAACTATTAAGCTTGCCGTCAGGGTTCTCTTGAAGCATGGCTTCTCCTGCGTTCTCTGCGTACTTTCCACCTCCGTATCCCTAGGCAGTCACGAACGGCAACAGCGCTTGCCCAATGGCTTGACCGAGTCTCGCAGACTCCCGCTGGACAGGAGTGGGATGGCGTGCCAGGTGGTATTATCCACAAGGTGTTCCACACCAGTTTGCAAGCGAGAACAGCTACCTGGGATATTGCGAAGCAGATGGATGGTGGATGGAGCGCGACATTCTCTTTCTTGGTAGGTTATTTTGTAGCTTGGCCTTCGTAGATTGCTGACGGGTTTTATTCTTTGCAAAGCTTGAGAAGAAGGAATATGCGGCTGTACTACCGTATCTTGTCAGGTACTTGGTTGTATGTCCCACTTCATTGACTTCCTTATATACATTTTGATGTTTCATGGCTCGATACTAGGCTGCTACGAGTCTCGGGGGTGTCGAAAGCCTCATCGAGCATCGTATGTCTTCCGATCCGTCGTCCGACCCGCGTCTCATTCGCGTCAGCATTGGCGTCGAAGAACTAGAGGTACTGCGTCTTTCCATTCAGCCAAACCTCGCAGTCTCATCATTCTTGTTCTTTACAGGACCTGAAGGCTGATTTCAGACAAGCATTGAAAAGAGCGGCACAGGAAAAGGCGAAGCTGTAAATGGCGCATTATTAGCCTAAGACAGGACTTCTGAAAGCAAGACGATCTATAATGGAATATAGAACGTACACACCTATTGGAGTGAACAGTTTTCCTCTTACTACCGTCCACTTTGCCCTATAAAATTCCAACAACGAATAGTTTCCCTCCCACGCCATTCCCGTACGTTTCACTCCACCAATGTCATATATCAAGGTGGAACATACTTCTATAAGCTCGTCCTCTTCTTTGGCTGGCCCCGAAAGTACTTCATTTAGTGCTCCGCACCGTAGCGTAATTTACGGATACGCCTGCAGCGTATACGCTTACGCACCGTATCGTAAGAGAAAATTTTTAGCTGAAAATACGGGCGTATATTTACGCGCGTATGCGTATACCATGAGTAAAAAATTTCCGTATACGCCGTATACGAGTATACGGTATTACTAAGCATATTCTCTAATTAAATACTAAGTTTGAGTTTCTAAACCTCATTTACTTTACTTATTTATATACCAAATCATTTTAATACTATATAACAACCTTGTTTAACTTAAAAAGTACTAGTATGAGTACTACAGTTAGTATGGTTACTACAGTACATCACATGAAGGTTTAGAGCTGTCACGTGATATTAACTCACAACACTCAACTGTCTTATTTCTGTGTGTAACAGCACTACAATACATTTTCTTAGCTCAGTAATATCAAGCATTTGTTTTGAAAGATGATAGTGTACTTTTATGAGCTATTTTAAGGTAAAGTATCTTGTTATATTTGGCACAGCGTATACGCCGTATACGCCGTATACGGAAGTAGCGTATCGTATATGGGTCCTGCTGACCCAGTTTACGCCCGTAATTATACGCGCGTATGCGTATACGTGGGAAATTTTACGCGCGTAAGCGTATACGCTACGCGCGGAGCACTAACTTCATTGAGCATGAATGTACCGGTACTAGGCGATTCGCCCGGGGCAAGAAGCGGAATGGAATTTGTACGAGGTATTATTAACAAAGAAATGGGAAATATGTGCGGAATATGGATTGAAGATGGACCATGAAGACCGTATAGATTGAGATATTAGTACTTTTGAGGATAGCACCGTTGGTCAATTCTTCGTAGATGCGTCAGTGCCCGTACCGCACGTATCACTTAAATTTAAGCACTACATCACCAAATCGAACACGAAAATGTATTGGAATTTACTGCTAAGACATATATTTTTTACATATTGTGGATCCTTATATTCGCTTATAAAGTCTACATGTAAATATATTGCCTTGTCAGACTCTGCACGTTTTGGTGATGTAGTACTGTCATACCAAGTCGAAGGTCGCTAGAGCAGTTACGTTTTGCATACTCTAAGGTGATACGCGTCCAGAGAGTAGCATGCGAAATAAGGTTACCTCGACGAAACCGTGAACCTCGGAACGTCAGTTTGAACACGATTTAAATGGGAAGGGTTACCACTGCGGCCTGTCCCTGCGGTGTTTTCGAAGACGCTTTACAACCCGATCTGTAACGGCAATCTTGCGCCGATTAGCTCATCTCTTCCGACCAAGTTTTCAAGAGTGTACGAAGCCCAATTTGAAGATCGTACAGGCATTGGTCGTTCCTTTAAACAGGGACGTTCCTTTGAACACCCCCCTCTAATTCATGCATAACTCAACCAATAAACTCAAAAAAATAGATAAATGTAGATACATACATGTACTATATATATATGAATTCTGAAGGAAATTGATTCAGTAGAAAAGTGTATAGAAATTCAATACTGCTGAAATTGAATGAATTCCAAATATGAGACTACTGACAAATTTTTTACTGCTACTTATGCTACAGTGTTCAACATAAAAATTATATTATTGTATTCCTCTACTTCAGAGCTACAATATGTATTTTTTATTATATTGAATGGACCAGTCCTTAAATTAATATTGTGTAATTTGTTAAAAATGCTCAAAAAGTGTGACAAGAGAGTAAAATGATCGGCATTGATCTACATTGATCTGCACTGATCTACACTGACCTACAGTCCTAATGACACATTGGTTGAGGGTATTAGTCTGTAACATTTGCTAAATAAATAATTTTTTCTCTCTTTTTGTTCCTTATCTCTTAACAGTCCTATTCTATGGTAAAGCATGCTAAATCTAAATCATTACAGAGGAGAGAAAAGAAAGAGGAGCAGGAAAAAAATATTGCTAAAGTAGTGGAAATGTACCAAGCTAAGCTTGAACAGTCACTAGAAAAGTATCAAGGGTTACAAAAAATAGCTGACATGTTTGAAGGAGTTACAGTAGGCACATTGAGGAATAGGGTGGCTGGAAAACAATCTATTGTGAAGTTCAATTCTTCAAAAACAAAATTGATTGAGGAGGATGAGATTGCTCTTACCTAGCTAATTTGTATTTTGCCTGACAGAGACTGTCCATTCATACACAATAACATTTAACATACAGTAGATTGACTGCTTGAAGCACAAAATGGACCTAATTACACAAAATGGACCTAATTACACAAAATGTGGATCTAAATTCATACATTGTTTCCTCAAGCATCACCATGATGAATTGAAAACCTACTAGAGTACTCACTTAGATACTTAGTGAGCAAACATAATATGAGAGAGGGGCCTTGATGAAGAAGAAGTAGCATCTGGATGTAGTGAATACAACCTAGACCTGTGAGGACACAACAAATAATACAGGAATTTTGCCTAAAGGTGCAGATATGACTATAGAACGATTGCCTGTACAAACAAGAGTAAGAGGTGTGAGCTGAGAGTGAACATAGGAGTGCAAGTTGAGAAGATAGGGGTGGACAGGTTGAATGTGTGCTAGCGTGATGGAGTGTCACAGGGGTGTTCAAAGGAACGACTTTTGTGACAAAATCTTACTTTTTTCTTATCTTCATATTAATTTTTTTACAGCACTTAATAGCTTGGAAAAATTCAGGCATATAGTATTATACATATAATCATTAGATACATAAATTTTTAAGTAAATTTTTGATGTGGAAAGAAATGCGGGGGAAAACGAAATTGGTGTTTAAAGGAACGTCCAATGCCTGTAGAGGGTATCAATAAGGTAAGTTTTTCAACGGCAATATTAGGACGGACGAGAGAATTCTGAAATGCCATGAAAGACAGGGCGGGACTCGAGTCAAATAATACTATGCTGATCAGCCAGACATGAAGTAGAAGAAGTATGAAATCTTTCCTTAGACCCTGACGTTCTTTGATATCATGTTTCATTAGGTCACCACCCACGCCAGCAGACACTCAAAGTTTGGCATCAACAGAGCCCGATCAGAGTCTCGAGTCTTTCGACTGTGCAGACTTTGACCGCAGCAACTCCGGCTGAAGCACCGCCACAATAGGGACAACGATTTAAATATCAATAGTTATGCCCCCACCATTCCCGCTGGTATACTGTCTTCTCTCTGGTGCATTGCTGGTATACCACGAGCATCGACAACACTGCTTCTGCTTTCATGAGCTCTAAACCGAAAGATCTGCCGTCTGTGAATGGCACAAGACTAATCCACGGGGATGCTTCTTCAGACAAACATGAAGTCGCTCCTTCAATCTCTGTAACCTCAAGTAAGTGTGGTTTCAAATAGTTTGTTGCTTGAATTTCTGGTGCTAACACGTTTAACTATGAGAAAGCGCACAAAACGCCTACGGATATTAGTACCATTGCCAAAACGCTTGACCACCCATGGGACCCGGTTCGTCATTTTTATTCGCGGTTTACTCAAGACAATAGCACAAGAGCGGAGAAGATCCTGTCTGAAATCAATGTAAGGAGTGAGCTTGACTGGATGAGTGACTACCTGTTTATTTATTCAAGGGAGGTTATGCTATAACGTATGCGTCTGGACTGGCGGCTGGCTTTGCGGTAAACAATAGTTTCGGAATTTCGTTCGCCTTAATCTAAATTTTCTCCTAGGCTCTGGTCCATTACAAGCCTACTTGTATTGCTATCACCGGCGGCTATCAGGTACGAAGGACATGAACATGATTTGAAGCAATGCTTAATTGTCGTGTATAGGGTTGTCATCAAACAATCGCAACTTATAGAAGGATTAAGGAGGTAAAGATTATCGGCATTGACGATGAATATGAAGAAGGTACACTTTGTTGGCTTGAGACTCCTTTAAATCCGACAGGGGAAGCAAGGTAGATTTAAGTGAGAAGAGTCTGGCAGAACAAACTAATACTCTTTTTACCCAGGAACATACAGTATTACGCAGATAAGGTACGAGAGATTCAAACGACGAAACTCTGCTTATTCATAAAGATTACCTAGGTCCATGCAGCGAAGGGATACCTTTTTATCGATTCGACTCTTGGTCCTCCTCCTTTACAGTACCCATTCAAATGGGGTGCAGATTGCATTATGCACAGCGGTATGCAGTCATTCTGATCATCGATCTTAAGCTCATCTACTGTCTTTCCGTATAGGGACGAAATATTTCGGAGGCCACTCCGATTTGCTGTGTGGTATACTACTCGTGAAGAATCTTGATCAATGGAAGGAAGTAGGCTGTTTCCATTAATACGCGTCATAGCAATTCACTGAAGTCAAATTACAAGTTGTGGACGGATCGTACGTATATGGGGAACGTGATGGTAATTTCTCTCCACAGTCCGTTCCTATCTACCTATTAAGCTTGCCGTTAGGGTTCTCTTGAAGCATGGCTCCTCTTGCGCTCTCTGCGTACTTTCCATCTTCGAATTCCAAGGCAATCACAGACGGCGACAGCTCTTGCTCAATGGCTTGACCGGGTCTCGCAGACTCCCACTGGACAAGAGTGGGATGGCGTCCCGGGTGGTATAATCCACAAGGTGTTTCAGACCAGTTTGCAAGCGAAAACAGCGTCCTGGGATATTGCGAAGCAGATGGAAGGAGGATGGAGCGCGACGTTCGCCTTCTTGGTAGGTTACTCCTTAGCTTGGCTCTGGTAGATCGTTGACGGGTGTTAATCTGTGCAAAGCTTGAGAAGAAGGAATATGCGGCTGTGCTACCACACCTTGTCAAGTATTTGGTGGTATGTCGCATCTCTTTGACTTTCCTACATCCATTTTGATGTCTAATGATGTAATACTAGGCTGCTACGAGTCTCGGAGGTGTTGAAAGCCTCATCGATCACCGCGTCAATCCCGATCCGTCGGCCGACCCGCGTCTGATTCGCGTCAGTATTGGTGTCGAAGAACTAGAGGTATTGTGTTTCCCATTCAGCCAAACCTCGCGGTCTCATCATCCGTGTTCTTTACAGGACCTGAAGGCTGATTTCAGACAAGCATTGAAAAGAGCGGTACAGGAAAAGGCAAAGCTGTGAATTGCACATTGCTAGCCTAAGATAGGGCTTTTTCTGAAAGCAAGACGACCTACAATGGAATATAAGATGCACATATCGACTCTCGTAAAGAGCTTTTGAATCCCGCTATCGTCTACTTTTGTCTCTGTAAAACTCCAAGAACAATGTCTTTTCTTCCCACCCCATTCCCGTTCGTTTCACTCTACCTATATCAGACATCAGAGCGGAACATGCCTCTATAAATGCATCCTCTTCTTTGACCGGCCCTGAAATGACCTCGTTGAGCAGGAAGGTGCCTGAACTGGGTGATTCGCTCGGGGCAAGGAGGCGCATGGAAAGCGTGTGGGGTATAATTGACGAGGAAATGGAAAATATGTGAGGAATCGGATTGAAGATAGATAGAGGAGATGGGATAGGTAGGGATAACGTGGGAGATAACGTCGTTGGAGGGTCGATTCTTTCCGTAGATGCGTTAGCATTAATTTGCTTTTTCACTCGATTTTAGTAATTCCTTACCTGATACACATAATGAAGACATCAAAGTTCTTGACAGGTACAGGAATGCCTTTAAGCACGTTGGAAAAGCGTAGTAAGCCTCGGCCATTACTCGTGGTGCACTCCGGAAACAAAACCAGCGGTTTGCCAGCATTCTTTGCACGCAAACGTACTTCGTCGAAAGTCACCAGATCAGGTACGTTTTGCATGCCATAAGGAGGTACGTGTCCACAGGACACTAACATGCGAAGTAAGGAGACCTCTACGAAACCGCGAATCTCGGAACGTTTTGTTTGAACGCGACTTTGATTTGGAAGGGTCACTGCCGCGGAGCCTGTTCCCGTTCTTCTACCTGGTGTAACTCGTGAGGGAGAACTAGTCAGCGAAGCCACTTTTTCAACGGGATCTGTGATTGGAAGAGCGAAAACTGGATTGAATCTAGAGGAATATCAATCTGTTGATTGGGATACGCATAATTTTTAACGACGGACCTGAAGGCAAGCCACGCAATTTCAAGCCATGAAATCCAATTTGAAATTATTACATCGCCTGATTTGGGGGACCAAGCTTCTTTAATAGCCAAACGTCTAAAGGACAAAAATATTCCCTCGTCAGTTGTACAGACACGGAAGAAGCGTGCTCCTCACCCTCTCTTCCGCCGTACCACCTCGACCGGGATCCAATACACGCCAACGATTAGGAGGGACAGGCGACACAAAAGTGACGTTAATGTGGATGTGATAGTCCGATATATTGGCGGTATTGGGAGCTACGAATGTCAATCAGCATCCATTCTGTTACCAGAACGTGATGATCGGCTTACAAGGAGTGTGCATACCCCTTGAACGAGAACAATGTACAGAAGAGTGACAGCAAGTACAAGAACAGTACGCAACGCGCTAATGATGTACAGAGCTGGTTTTAATAGCGTCACGAAAGAGCCAGACTCTTGAGAAGGTACTGGCGAAAGAAAAGGCTTGTGCAAGACTCAGTGTCCAGTCAATGACACCAAGTAAGCGTTAAAATAACACGAACTTGAATACCAGTCCCGGGATCCTAAATTGTAATTTATGGGGTTGAACACATGATAAATTTGACCACAAATATGTCACGTACTCTATAAGCTGAATACTTTTCCATTTCAAAATCGTAGGAAGGAGAGGTTTGAGTACAGTGGAGTAGGCGCTAAGGTGCTTAGCCCCTTGTGCCAACTTTCTTACAGTTACGTGGACGCCTAGTGATCGGCGGTCACGTGGTAACGCGTCGAAATTTCGCGACCGTGTCGCTGCGGCTGCGTTTCCAATATTCAAACCGCTTCTACGGCGCAACTGTTGGCGTTTCACGCTATCCTCCTGACCATGAGTCGTCCACCTGCTACTGTTGATCCAGATGAGCTATACAATGTCGTCGCAGGGGCTGCAAGTCAAGATCCAACCCTTGTCACCTCTTCGGCCACGAGATTGAAGGAGATGCTTGACATGCATGGCACATTCGATTGCCTGACCGCGATCGCAGCTCAGCGCAGCGTTCCCCTGAATATTAGGCGGCAAGCAATCATACAATTCAAGAACAATGCACTTGCCAACTGGAGGGGAAGAAGGTTTAATCTCTCTGCCGCGGTACTATTGCGAGTTTTATTACTTATGCTAATTATCCACTCCATCGTAGACTCACATCGGATGCCCAAAAGATCCAAATTCGTGGTCGCTGCCTAACCTTCTTAGATGAAGAAGATGATGTCGTATGTGATCCTCGCTTGTTTTGCTGTAGCATATAGCGACCTTTATTCAGATTGCAGACTGCAATAAAATTAACATTGCAAAGATGGCACGGGTCGATTATCCTCTCGCCTGGTTTGATACTTGCCTTTATCGATTTCAGCCTCATATGACGAATCAATTAGGCCCAACCTCATGCAAGATCTCCTATCTGCTAGCGAAAGCGCTCTTAATTCCTTCGTAACCTCTGGAGGCAGCGATCCTAGAGCAGCACTAGTGCTAGGTCGTTCTCTGGACATCGTAAACTACATCCTTAAAGAATTCTCATCAATAAAAATGCCTGCTGGAATTAAGACCATGGGAAAGGTGAGCACGAGCCTTATTACGTTGACCTTTGTTCTGAATGAATGCAACAATCAGTTGGTCGAAGGGCTACATCTCCAGTTACAAGAACATTACAACAAGCTTTCGTCCAATTTCCCGTCAATCATTAGCACCTCCTTAATCAACGAGCGATCTACTGCAGATGTCATTGCATGTGCACATACTGCTTATAAATGCTTGTCGAGGATGGCCGTATGGGCATGGCACAGAATAAATTTGAATAGCTTTGGCGAGATGCAACCATGGGTCAGTGATGACTTTCAATGTCATATTAGAAACTCGCCTCATTTGGTTAGGTTGTGAGCTTTTTCGAGGGTTCTGCGATACAGCTGCAGGGCCTTGAAGAGTTACGCATCACGGTCGTCTCCTCTCTAGGATCTTCTTTGGCGGAACAACCCACAAATCCGAATGCGTCTCGTTCTATCGATTACCTTACTCGTCACATTCGTCAATACGGTAAACTCTTTCGCCGGATGCAGCAGTTGAACTGTTCAAAGTTTGTTGCTCTGAGTAGCTGTAGCGATCTCGTGCTTTACTACTGGAGTAAAGTCGTACAAGCAACCAACGGACCACCCGAATACATTGCTGGTATGCACTTCATACATTTCCTTTTGGTTGACTTATAAATCTTTGTGGCCATATTCACGCGTCAGATTCCCAATATGCCGTCTTTCCTGTTCGCTTTATAGTCCAGGCAATGGTTCTCTTTAAAGAGAGTCTTGGACAATGGAGCTTGACGAAGAAGGGACCAAATGGAGCTGCTAGTCAGTGATAAATGCTTTACTACTTCTTATTGCTCACCCCGTTCCCATGTAGCCTTTTCCGAAGAGTTCGTTAACGAAGCTGTCAAACTGCTTGTGACGCGCTTCATCCCTCTGAACCCGAAGGATCTCGACGCCTGGCTTGCCGACCCAGAGGAATGGGCCAATCTTGAGGACAAAGAGAACGAACAATGGGAATACGAGTTACGGGTGAGTCAACTCCGATTGCCCATTTGTTATATTGACTAATAATGTATCCTTCATTAACCAGCCTTGTGGGGAGAGGGTCCTCATGGCCCTTGCGAACCAGTATAGGGATTTTGTAACGCCTTTGCTAAAAGCGACGTTTGATCAAATAGTCGGTATGGATCTTCTCCGCTCATGCATCCACGTCATTCTGAATCTGTGATTCAGGTGTACCAGCATCTGACCTCAATACAATCCTTCAAAAAGAAGCACTTTACTGTGCTATTGGACGTTGTGCAAGGCGGCTTGTCGATGTGATACCGTTTCAAGATTGGATCGCGAACAGTCTCACTGCCGAGGTCAGAGACCCGAACCCCAAGTACGTAGGAAGATCCTATTCTCATTAAATTAAAGCTGACCGTTTACTGTGCCTCTAGCTTTCCTATACTCAAGAGGCGTATTGCCTGGCTGCTAGGTAAATTAGTCAGCGACGAGTGTATTCAGCCGGGAAACAACATATGGCACATTCTAATCCACTTGTTGACAAACCGAGAGCCGGGATCTGACCAAGTCGTGAGGTTTACCGCTGCGAGCTCGTTGCGCGAGTGCGTAGATGTATGTATACATATGTGATTGGAGGCTTTCCTTGTCACTTGCTTACTGATTCTTTCCGCAGAGCCTTCAATTCAGTGCAGATAGTTTCATGCCATTCCTACCTGCTGCTGTTTCTCAACTACTTGATCTAATGGCTGAGGCTGACACGTTAGAAGCTAAGCGTCGCGTAACACAGAGCCTAAATGTCGTGATCGAAAGCATGGACGATAAAGTAAGCACTAGATTATTTCTTCAACTTTTCGCTAACCTCTTTGTAGATAGTTCCGTACATGGAGACAATTTCAAATGCTATACCTCAGCTCTGTATGCATTGCTTATGCTAACGTGACATACTTTTTGATCTATTTTTTAATCAAATTGCAGGGATTTCTGCCGAGGGAGACTTCTTATACAAGGCAGTGCTGTTAGAAACCGTGTCCAAGCTCGTTGCGGTATAAACACTTTTTCTTCTGTGTGTAGACACGACCTGATCTTTTTGCATTAGGCATCAAAGCAAGACTCTGTCTTGCTGAATTCGATAACAGTACCCTTACTGCAGGACAGCTTTTCTGATAGCGTGAGTAACTCGTTCTTGTCTAACTTGCCTGTTATTAACGTAATTACCAAGCTTCGTATAGGATTAGACGAGGATGCCTTGGACTTGTGGAAGACATGTATGAGAAACGCTGTCACTCTAGAGAGCGTCAATGGTGCACCCTCTTTGCTCCAGCTCTTTCCAATTGCAATTGCCCTCCTCTCTGAAAACCTTGACCTGCTGGGATCAAGTGCCACAGTAGTCAAGTCATACCTTGTTCTTGATGCGCCTACTGTTGTACAGGTAGGGGTAATTGCCTTAGATATTATTATACAATTGCTTATTCTTTCTTTTAACGTAGGCTTTTGCATCGCCCCTCTTTAATGCTCTCTCCAATGCACTCGAAAAGGCTATTCAAACAAATCAGAAGGATATGATTATCCTTCTGCAGTTGGTCGTGCGGTTGTCTCCTTCACCTCTATGGGCGGATGCATTCCACGCATCAAATGTGTTTTCCAATGTGATTTCAAGTCTCATGGAAGACAAATCCCTGACCATGCTATTAACGGAGCAAGTCTGCTTGTTCGCACGAATAGCATTAAACGATCCGCGCGTCTTATCACAACTAATGTCTGCAACGGCAGTGAAATTAAATAAGCCGGAAAAGGAACTATGGGACGGACTCCTCGATCAGTGGTGGCGAAGGGTAAGTCCAGTTCCAATCTCCGCCCTATGAATACCTAAGACGTACTTGTTGGTCATCTGCTAGTTTGATAACATGTCAGAGCCACGGTATCGCAAGTTGGCTGCTATGGGGATTGCCTGCCTCGTTGCTGAAGGAAGGCCTGAGGTTCTGGAGCGTCTTAACGGCGAGATCTTCAACCTCTGGTTAGACGTGTTCGGAGAGATGAAAGAGGCCCTGGTGGAGATTCAAGATGAAGACTCCGAGTATGATTACCTCGACGTCGATCGGCGATTTATTAACATGCTCTGCTTTCAGAAATACTCTATCTACGCTATCCGCTCTCGTTACGTTCTGGAAGGACAGCGGGACTGTTTTGCCAGATTCATTAGATGACATTGTAGGCACTCCAGAACACGAACGTTGGAGACAGGTAGGCCTATAAACTTTACTTTAACACAAATTCTCAATATTGCATTCGATTGTCTAGATCTACCTGCGCGATCCGGTCGAGACACAAAAACTGACAACATTCGTTGGCCAAAAGCTTCAACAGGCTCAGACATTGTACGGGCCCGTCTTTGAGTCAACCTACTTGAAGGACACCGATCCTGGTGTACTGAAACAACTTAAGGAGTATCTTTCTTCTTGAGTAAGGAGGGGTAACAATAAGAAACTTTCCCTGATGATGATATCTTTAGAATTGTCCATTTCTCCACGATCTATGACTACCGCGAAACTGATTATCCAGACCATGCTAATCTTGTTTTGAATCCTGCTATAACAATCAACCATTTGATATAATGACAGTCTTGTAAATGTCAAATCACGTGTTTTTGTATATTAGACGAACGAACGAATGCTAAAACCGATAATCATGTTCGCTATCTAATGACGTATCCATATCGCTTTCAAAAGAAGCAATATCTTCGTCGGCTTCCCAACCATCACTTGTTCGTGAAGAGTCATCGTGAAGTATTGCGTCTACACGCTCGCAGCTCCGCACGAGTTCTGTGCAACGTAAACAAGACCAACCATCCTCTCCATCGTCCACTGCTCGCAGAAGTTTCTCTGAGAGGCAAGCGTAGCAATAGATATGCCCGCAGGATGCTCTGTATGGAGTCGTAATAGGGTGTGTGGGAGGCCCATCTACGTTATGGTCTGCATTGCCTTCCGCGGAACTGCTTGAAGGTAAAGAAGCGGCAGATTGTAGATACGCGCCGAATGGGTTCGCTTCGGTTGAAGTACCGACGGATGTGAGAGATGATAGGCCGAACGATACCCTTTCTGCACAGATAGCACATTGGTCATCTGAAAGGCTGAAAAACCTGCCACGGTCAACTGGCTTCTGTGAGGGATCCTGAGAAAGCGTTGCGGAGCTTGAGGGGAGTATCGAGCTCCAGGTGAGATTTCGAAAGCGAGAGCTCAATTGGTTGTACGTCCTGCGAAACGCCCGAGAGCTGAACACAGGAAGAAACAGTAATAGAAACTCCTGAACATGAATTAGCCTTCAGTTATAAATTAGTTCGACAATCAAACTCACGGTGAAAGCATGCCAGACCATTTGGCGATTCATGAACTCGTAGCTCACTTGTCGGTTCGTAAATCTGCAAGAAGGAATTAATTGAAGTGATAGGAGCCTATCCGCTAGAGTGCGATATCTGAGAACGCGCGTAAGTCAAACGAAAAGCTCATAGTGATGTAACGGATAATCGCACCTCCCGTTCCAGAGAAAGACAACAAACCCCAATAGAGCAGCCGCAGAATGCAATGACTCAAGCTGTGTTATAATATTCCAAGCCTTACGCCTCTTGTCCGTGGTGGGAGTGTCCGGCCAAGCATTCGATAAGGCGTGGCCTCTGAGCTTATTGTGAAGGTATGGGATTAACACTGTCAGAAGCGCATGCGAAGCTAGAATTCTCTTAGGCAAACCGGAAGCTAAGAGCAATCGACGATGAGCTGCAGAGCAGGACAGAATATGGATTAAGAGGGCCTACGTGCTAATTTGCCAGCCGGGGATTTGGAATAGTGATAGCGAAGGTCTTGAAGTTTTGCACCGTATGTTGCACCCAAGTCCCACATTGAGAATTTGTATAGCGTTAATCTAATTATTAAGGCTAGTTCGGGCTCCAATTTTGATCGTAAAGCTGACTGATATCAGTCCATCGCAAATTCCGCTGATAGAACACGGACCAACTTACATTAACAATTCCGAATGCTTTTGTTAACGGTTCCTGCAGAATCTGAACAAGCTCTTCGTCGAGCAATTCCGCATCTAACTGGCCGACGCGTAACACCCGCTTTTGCAGACTAGACGAAATCTGCATATTCCTCCATGCTTCAATTTGAACCTCTGCTTCATCCCAGGCTCGTTGCCAGCGCGAAGACATAGTGTTTTGATTGAAGAACATGAAATCCGGAGAGCAAAAGTCTAAGTGCTTCTTCATGTGAAAAGCGAAAGGACGACCCCAGATACCGCTTGCTGACGAGTACCCATGTCACGTGCATTCGTCTTTGCCTTACACCACTTCGACGCCCAAGCATGAATTTGTCGAGTCTACCCTCTGAGATTATAGACGAGATTCTGCTCTTCGCCGCTTACAAGCACCCCGAATGTGCCCGTGCACTAGCTATCACGTCATCTTGGACCAAAAGGCTTGTCGAACGTGCTCTTTATTCCACAGTCACCCTGGTTGACAAATCCCAACGGAGCGGATTCTTCAGTGCATTGGGCATCGCAACATTGCCGTTTCCGAAGGATAGATTGATTATCGACCTGTTTCGTCTCAGCTTCAACGACATTCCCGCGCTCAGACCATCACAAGAGACGCGGAATCGAGCAGGTCTAATTACGAACCTATGGCTTATCCCACTAGCCAGGCAGGATAGTTACCCGGCTCTGAGTCTCGAGGACCATATTTATACGCGCCTATTGTTGCACTTATGCGCCAATGTTCGCAACCTTGCAATGACTGGAACAACTTTCTCCCATTTTCTCTCGAATAAAGCCGAACACTTCGACTCAATGATGGCGAGGGATCCGGCTACTCAGCCTGCTGGGCTAACTCCTTACCCGGATTTAACGGATTTAACTCTTCTGGATTCGACGCCATCACTAATCATGGAAGGACAATATACACGATCTGAGGATTGCGTTAAAATCTTTAAATACCTTTCACACTTCACGACATATGGATATTTTCATAGAAATGGGCTCCCAGTGTCCATCCAGCACTTTCCGGCACTAACTCATGTCGCGGTTCCTCTTGTCCTTGATAACTCCGTAATCCACAACGATTCCGAGAGGGCATATACTTCGCTTGAATTATTCGAGAAGTCTGGTGGATGGAGATTATTGAATTCGGCTGAGCAGATTGAAATGATGGTATTCCTCTTTCCTTCCGACGGCCGACTCAACATCGAAAGTCATTTATCTACCCATCGCTTATATCACGATCCAACGAGCCTCGTTCTGGATGCAAACCGTTTCAATCGTAAAGCTTACGCCCTGCCAATCGATGGACTTCGTGGGCTAGAGAATCTATGGTTGGCTGCAGCAAGGGGAGGCCAGAATCTCTGGGACTCGGCAAAGATTGAACTGCATAAACGTCAAAGCGAGATTGAAAATGGTAATGATGATAAAATGGGACCTTTCATTGTAGACTAGACTGCTGCATGTATTCAGGTAGAACTAAGCGCTCATTCTAACTCATGAAAATAACTATTTTAGTGTACAATTTGACTTCGAGGTAAAACTTGGCGATATAAGATGCATAAATAAGAGGACCCCGGACCACCGCCTTTATCTCATTTTGGTTGGCTGATCGACGTCCACCACTTCTTGCATCTCAAATTTTGAATGCTATGCTCAAGGGCGCTCCTACGTCGTCCACGGTTATCTCTCGTAGCACTGACGGCTAGAACTCGAAAAATGGCAACGAGGTCGTACAAGGATGCGATTGACTGCTTAAACAGTCTGCAGTCTAATCAAGCAACGATCCAGGCTAATTTGGCTTCGGGAGGCCGAATCGAGAAATTTGCCATGCACGATACGGAAGAGTACCTGAAGAGGATCGGTTATTTGGTAGACCAATCATATAAGAATATATTCTGCTCTCTGACCCCCGTGAAGCCCCAGGATCTGAACAAGCTGAATGTCTTACACGTTACCGGAACTAAAGGGAAAGGCTCTACATGTGCATTTATTGACTCGATACTTCGCCATGCAATGCCTCAATGGACAATCGGTATGTTATATTACTTAGTAAACCAAATATCAAAACTTATTTAAAGTTCGTAGGCCTTTATACCTCACCTCACCTTGTTGCTGTTCGCGAACGCATAAGAATTAATGGGAAGCCAATCGCAGAAGACCTATTCGCTAAATACTTTTTTGAGGTCTGGGATAGATTAGAGAAGAACGACATTGTAAGTTGTACATCTCCCTTTTTTTCGCGAATATTAAGGTCTCATTATAGAGAAAATATGATGAAACGACTCCGAAACCCATGTATTTCAGGATGGTAACACTCGTCGCGTTCCACGCATTCATGGAACTCAAAGTAGCTAGCCGACCTTTTCATTCTTTACTCACGTCTAACCAAGCCTTGGGCAGGTTGACGCGACTATTCTGGAAGTCGGTGTTGGCGGAGCCTACGATTGTACGAACATCGTCCCGAAACCGGTTGTTACAGGCGTCTCCGCTCTTGGGATTGACCATGTCGCCGTTCTCGGAAAAACAATAAAGGAGATTGCGTGGCAGAAGGGTGGTATATATAAAGTTCTTCTTTTCTTCTTTCTCGTCTAGTATGCTTGGCAATGTTGACGTGGATCCCGAATTTCAGGAAGGAGTCCCTGCGTTCACAGTCAACCAGCCCGAAGACGGACTAGAGGTCTTAGAAAAGCAAGCTGGAGATAGGAAAGCATCAAGATTTGCTATCGTTCCGTTTACACCAGGGCTTTCAGATATCAAGCTCGGCAAGCAAACCTTCTTACCAATTCCCGTTCTTCCCCGACTCAACTACTATTAGGACTACCTGGTCTTCACCAGTATCAGAACGCCAATCTCGCAGTACATCTTGCACAGGAGTTCCTCTGCCGAAAAGCGTCTGTAACATCATCCACGACGCTCTCCTCCGCACTCGTTCAAGGACTCGAGAATGCACGATGGCCTGGACGATGTCAAACTGTAGAAGATCCCTCATATAACGGAATAACTTGGTTCCTTGACGGTGCTCACACGAAAGATAGCCTTGAATGCTGTGCTCAGTGGTTCTTCAGTCCAAGTACTGGTCTCAGGGGGCTATCGTGAGTTGGCCTTGCAGTATCGTTGGTAAGGATGGTCCCTTATCATTTTGCTTTATTCAGAACTACGCCTAGACGAGTCCTTGTTTTCAACTGCACGAATGGTCGCAATGGTTCTTCGTTCCTCTCCACAATCCTCACGAAGGCTAAAGCACAGATGCAGTTGCACGGTGATAACACGGATGTGGAATACTTCTTTGACCACGTAGTATTCACGTCAAACGTCACTTACGCCGATGGAGGGTTTAAAGGAGGCAAGTGCACTAGAAGATCAACTCTCTTTCAAGACTAAATTGTAGTACAGATTTGACGAGTCGTGTTGTTGCTGAGGAGACCGTAGACCCTCTCAAGACTCAACGTGAACTCGCGGAGGCATGGGCGTCACTCCTGCCCAATTTCCCCAACGCAAATATCCACGTAGAGAAATCTATCGAGAACACTGTCCAGCTCATACGAAGCTTGCGAGATCCAGGAATTAATGGTATAAATAAAGAACACAGGCCTGTCGATGTCCTAGTGGCTGGCAGTTTGCATCTCGTAGGGGGAGTAATAGAGGTTTCTGGATTGAGCGAGGTTGCTTTATGATTTCCGACTTCTGGGTTTACCTGGTTTAACGATTACTAGCTAACGTAGAAGATTATAGAACACTAATAGATGTAAGTGAAACAAGGGACATCGAAGCTTTTTCAACCAAGCGTCGATCTAAACTGTCCCGTGTACCAAACCAAATAACCTTGAAATATCAATTGCAGCTCAATGAGATCTATCCGTTTGAGTTTTTACAGATATTCAGAGATGGAACTGTTCATCCTCAAGTAGTATAACACTTATCAAGTAATTCTTCATCAGAGATAGCTTGTTCCATTGTTTCCTTAGCATTGCTACTGAATATCAATCGCTGTCTTCTTTTGTACAGGGACTTCCTTTGCTTCCACGTTGCATTCGCTTATTGGAAGACCCCGTGCTCTGCCTTGCCTGTGCTTTTATACTGCTTCCCTTTACGCGGAAGTACTTTCCTGAACACCTTGCCAACGAATCAATTTAATTTGATACAGAATGCTTGATTCGCTTGGGTGACTCCAGGGCAAATCACACATATACGTGAGGAGGTCTCGAAGGTGTTTCACTTGTATAGATTTATTGTCAATTATGCAATGGTTCTACTATTCAGGACCAAATATTAGAAAAACATCATCAAAACCCCTCTAATTATCAACAAAGTTGTAAGCCTTCTTCTTACAACCTGTAAGAAATGCCATTGACGTTCGAGAGGGTAGCCGAGGACTAAGTAATGAATATGCTGCAAATAGAAAGCCTGAGGGAAGGGTGGAAAACGTGTCATGGTATGGACTTACTACATCCACAGGACCTTCACTTCCGCCTATAACCGGTCCAGTACGGCAACCTGGTTCATATCTCCATCGTACCGCAGAGAGGATGGAACATCAGGGGGGAGGTGGATCCGCCATTAGATCAACTGCACGACAAGTTTCCCCAAGACTACATTGCGAAGGTACAGATACGGTTGTGAGACTGCTCTTGGGGAGTACCTGCGTACAAGGCGGTTCCGCTTCATCTTGCGACCAGGAAGATATTCCGTTTATCCTAGAGGCAAGCGTACTCTGAGCGAATGTTTGCGTGGATGGAGGTGGTTGCGGAGGTGGTTGCAACCTCATGCAGTCGTCAGTCGTCGATCGGCTTGACGATGGCTTATTGAGAATCAGATTAGCACGTTCGACTATTCCAGTGCGCGACTCCACAACTCCTCTGACTGAGCCAGTGAGTTCCTTCTGACGCTTTCTAGGTCTCTGAATTCCATCCTCTTTTATGATATCCTCCAGATAGGTACGTTGAGGTCGCTCAGAAGGTCGGTCCTTGATAGGACGGGGCTTTTTGACTTTGGGAGGTGCCACGCTCGTTTCGCGCGAAATAAGGATCTTCATCGTCTCCTCGGTGAGACGAGATTTCTTCGCGCAGGTACGCATATGAGTCACTTTGTGAGCAGTAGATTTTCGGGTTGTCCACTTGAGGTCACAGCTGACGCACTTCACTAGTGTTTTAAGCTGGTTCTCTGAGAAATCAAGATAAGCGGGTGTTGAGCTGAGCGGCCTTTTCCGATTCTCCGTTTGAACACCACTCGGTGCATTGGCAGAACATGTAGACTGTACAACGGTCGATGACGTCCTGGATATTGAGCTAGCCAATGACGAAGCTTGGGAAGTCACGGGAAATGCGAAATGGCCCAGCTTTGTGCGCATCTTATCAGTTCTCTTCTCGTCAACCTCGCTGTCGCTTGTATTACTCTCGCTAAGTATTGTGACGACATTCTGTACTGAATGAGAAACGGGCAGGTCTGTTATAACACCTGCCCTTTTCTCAACAGCATTTTTAGCTTTCATAGAGTCCAGATCATAGAAATTCGAACCGTCCGTATTGCAGCAAGTCGTCGATAGGCTTGACAAGTTATTCACAACTGTCGATTCTTTCTGGGGAAGTTTTCTAGTCGTGGCTGGGCATAATAGACTCAAAATCAGGGCTTAACGGATAACTGTAACAAAATCATGTACTTACAGTTGCTTGCTTGCTCGAGATTGGCTGAGCCTGGGCATTCATCAGAATTGGAAGTCGTGTGTTCGAGATTAGTTGGCTTCTTCAGTTCCTTTTGCTTCTGTCTCTCTTCTTTTCGACGCCTTCGAGACTCCTCCCTCTCCGGTTCCGAGTCTTCTATGACTTCGTCGGGCAGTTGTCGAATTACCGGGCGTTCCACCGTAGTCGTCCACAGTGTGGCTTGCGGCACGCGACTATTTCTTGAATGCAAGTCTAGCATCTGGGAAGAAGGCGGGACGATTCCGGAGGACTTAGACAGTTCCGACTTCAGGGTATACCTCATATGTTCGAATTCATCCTAGTGGCATGCAAGACTTGAGTATCAGACGATGAGAGTAGGGACGTGCATTTTGTGTTTGAAATTGACGCGGCGCGACGCGCTTCATCAATGAGCCACGTGACCCTACGACTCACCAAGAAGGCGCAGTCGGGCTCAAGTGGAGAAGAGAAACAGTGCCTATTATAACTTGAGCGCATCCCTCATGCCAGCAACGCACGCCTCCTCCTTCTTGTACATCTGAAGCAATATCCACTGAGTTGTATTTATTTCCCTGGAAGAATGCCTTTCCCTCTTGCACCTCATCACGTTCAACTCATTGCTGCATGTTATCCACCATCTGCTGCATTGGTCACCGCTGGCCCAGAATTTAAGCCAAATTCTCAGGAACTATCTCGCCTTACTTATTATGCATCTAATCGTCCTGGTAAAATAACTAAGCTCGGTAGCGAGTTGGAGAAGAGAGCTCTTACTGATGTTCGCAAGGCGAGCGCAGGAAACATGAAGGCACGCGCGTGAGTCGGGGTATATGTTCCAAATCTCAATCATGCATTTATTTATTATTGCATGTTTCATAGGTCACTTTTAATTACTCTCAATATTTTCAAGGCGCTTGTCCAGGAGTGTAGACGAGATCTATCCATGCTGTCGACATCATTAATATCTGCACTGGATATGACGCTGTCGCAGCTTTCCTCGGACCTTGAGGTCGCGTCGAAAGTTGCGAGTGTGGTAGGTTTTGAATTACCTCTGCTCGGTTTATATGCTAAGCCAGCTTGCAGTTTGCCGCTTGGGCCACATACACGAATGGCCAGCTGCTTGGGATAGATCAAGGCCTGACACGAGACTATGTCTCAATACTGCGCCGATTCTCGACCATGTGCTTATTTGAGTCAAAACATAACGATATTGAAGACAGAAATAGGTAAATATAGCTCACACATTTCGGGAGCGTATGGCTAATCACATTGCAGGACTCGTCTCATAGGACTTGGAGCACTTACAGGCGCAGTCGCTTCGGAAGCCTTGTATAATTCGTCCTCGCAATTCAAATCTCAAGTATCTGCGATCGTCCCGGCTTTGCTCATCAACGTGCTTCAGGTGGATATAGTAGCCCTCAGCCACGAGTACGTGCGATCATATTCTATATTTTTGCGTTATGCTGATAATACCAGATCAGACAATAATAAAAAGAATCCTCTCCCCTTGAGCGCCTTCCTCGACGATTTCCGCTCACGCCCGCTCCTTGAACGTCGTGCAGCGTCAATTCATATACACGTTGACGGGGACGAAGGTCCCACAATTTCAGACGTCGCGAATGTTGCGCTAAAAGCTTTTGCTTGTTTACTGGGCCAATCAACTGGCTCGCAAGTGAGCTACGTTCTGCAAGCTATCCTTGACGGCCTTGGGATGCATAATGGCTGGAAGTATATTGAACACTGCTGCTGGCTCACTCAAAAGGCAATTGAATGGACACAATATCAGTATCGATTCGCCGTCCCTGCTCGTCTTGTTGACAAGCTTCTCGAGGCACAAGAAGATGCACGTCCATCGGAACTTCACAGGACGTTGGTTGCAATGATAAATGCGGCGTTTACAGCTCCCGTGCCACTCGTTAACCTTTCTACATCCGACATCTGCTCGAATTTAACGGCACTCATTCTGCGTAGAGTCACGATTAATCCCAATGACGAACTCCTTCCGGAGCTTGTAGAGTGTGTTGGCGCCCTTGGAACACATATCTATTATGCAGATCAAATCCATGATCTAGCGTGTGAGATCATTGGAAGGCTAAGTCACATCGAAAGTAACGGGGTGAATGGGAAAGGACGAGCATCTGGGAAGGTGGATGAGGAAAGGGCAATGGCTTTAAGGTGCCTAATTGCGTGCCTTGGTCGTCTTATTCGATCAAGTACGAGACCCTTGCACCTTCGCCGTGCGTCGGCAGACGGGAAGATCGATGAAGAAGCATCCAAGCTCGGGTCGACTCCTGCTATCCTGTCTGAGAAGGATCGTACCCTTTCCGATAATCCAGGTACTTTGGATGACATTAATCCAGTGAGGGGGAGCGTGCCGCAGAGGTCGAGAATACCTCCCGATGTCTGGCAGGAGACCTTGTCTCTGCTTTGTGACGAGAGTTTCTCCGTCCGGTCAGATTACGCCAGGGTTCTGGTTTTGTATCTCAAATCGGAGATCCGCCCTGAGCCGGGTGTCCGTGGTGTAGCTGACGGTTTGAAGCGCTTGAAAAGCCTTGAAGAAGGTCCGCTTAGACGAGCTCGTACATTGAAGTCAGTAGGGTTGGGTGATAGCGCCACCAGTAGATTTCTTCATGCCCTGCACGCAACTCTGTATGTGCTTGCAACGTCATCGCAGCTTGATATACCGTCGTCGCGTCCACCATCGCCAGTTCACTCTTCGGAGAACGTTCAAGGACAGGAGCAACAAGAGCAGGCTAATTCGGTCAGCGTTAATATCGTGCCATCGACACCTAGTCAGAGCCAGACATTTCCCGGAGAACCAGAGGAACAATATGAAGATGAACCCCAAGAATTACAGTCATCGCGACGGAAGTCGTTAGGACAGCTTATGCAAGCGCGGAAATTAAACAGGATTCGTCGTTTGCTGGACGCCGCTACATATCGCCTTTCCCGGCCTCAACTAGATGTGGAAGCAAATTCTGCATGTCTATCTGATTATGTACACATTTTGAACATCCTCAATGTCGTACATGAACAGAGTTCCCCTCGGGCACTTGTAACAGGTCTTCCTATGCTGTTGGCTTTACGCTCCTGGTGTGAAACCGAATGTCCGTCTCCACAACGTCGGTTTGCCATTCGGCAAGTCTTGGCTGGACAGTGGCAGACGATCGCCAGGATTTGGAACTTACCAGAGTTGGAAGAGCTAACTCAAAGCGTGAGTGGTTCCTACCTTACTCATGTGCTTCAAATAGAGTTCTGAGCTAGATTCTGCGCATATAGAGAAAACTTGATCCATCTTTCCTATATCCACCACAAGATCCCGTTTTCCCTACTCCGGAAGAGGCCCTTGCTCTATCCTCTCTGAATGTGGAAGACGATCAGAGGTCATGCTGCGGTGACGAGGCGATCGTCCTTGAAGTTGCGAAAAATGTCAACACTCAACTCGCTACTGGCCTCGACGAGGCTGCTCTGGTTAAACGTCTTAGTTACTCTTGGACAGCGGACAATGCGCTAAGAGACTGTAAGAGACTTCAGGGTTTAATGCGCCGCGTATCCCCATTTCTAACTGACTAATTTCATCGATACAATATAGCCGTAGAAAACATTGCAAACGGATCACCAAGACCAGAGCATAGCAACCCTTTACTCAAAATCTCTCCAGGTCTCATGCACATATCCAACTTGTCGTTACAAAGCCTAACACGCTCAAACCGCGGAGTTGGCGTGAGCGACTTGCGAGACGCGTTAGAAGGCCGAGGTGGCGTGTCGAACGTTGCGTTATCGCAGGGTCGTGCACCGAGTGTCGTGAGTATCGGTGCTACGCAGAGTGGTGCATCGGGTGAGAGTGCTGTCTCGCCGAGCGTTTGGAGTGCGTCGAGGCCCCGATCACGAATGTTGAGTGGGGAGAGCCCGAAAGACGTGAAGAATGTACTGGATAAGTTGGGCATTGGTGCGCAGAAGAACTCTGGTCCGCTCAAAGTACCTTCTTCTCCACGATCCCCTTCTTCAAACTCGAGGTAAGTTTTTTCTAATCATAGCTATTCTCTGCAGAATTAACTGACTAACAAATCGCTACTTCGCAAGATCTGTTCTGATACCACCATACAAAGGTTAAAACGTAACAATAATAAAACTCCTCATTTCGCACTCATTAAATCTTTGCATCACATCATAAAACATCGGAAGGACGGTGAACGATATTCACGTCACGGCTGTATTATACATTACTCTATCATAGTCCACATGATCAATAAATAATCCACAACGTTCCTTACAATTAAGAAAATTAAAAGGCATAAAATCTACTGTATGATTAAGTCCACTGTGACTAACGAGCCTGCCGTGTAGTCAACGTCGAAGTCATACGTCTACGCGACTCTTCTTCTCTTTCCCGCCAATATGCCAGCTCGGATTGGGCTTTGGGGTGAGACATTGAGTATTGGTTTTTCTGTAATTGTAGAATTATCAGGACATTGATGAATGAACGAGACACAAACGACATAGGGTAAAAATATACGTACGCTCATAGCTTGTAACAACATCTCGAATAGTGTCGATTGGAACGTTGCGCTTTTCAGCGGATCTGCTATCCGTTTGGATTGGTTGACGATCAGAGTCGTAAGTTCCTGGCGCAAACGGGCAAGGCTGTTCAAACAAAATCATTTTTAAGCATGTAGCACAGAAAAGTAGAGTAGTAAGTCGCGACAAGTTGTTGTCAACTCACTTTGAGAAAATCATCGTCTCTTCTTCCGTCTCTGTCAGGATGATAAATGACCAGAAGATAGCGACATAGCGTCGTGCGATCTATTCATACAAAAAAGGCCCTCTCATCAGTCTTTTGCACACCCAAGTCCAAAGAACAGGATAGAACAGGATTACAGAGATGGAAGAGGGACGTACCACCTGAACTAACGAATCACTAGGCCCCGTCGTCCTCCTGAAATACCCTCCCGAAACAGCTTCAGTCAACTTCGTCAAACTCGCAACATGCTCTGTCATCTGCTTCTGAAAAACCGGCCAGAACTGCATCCTCAAACCAAACAACCAGTTCTCCAACGGAGCACATCCACGATTTTGCACCTCCGCGAGTGTGTTTTCCATCATGCGGATCATTGTGAGTAATGGGATGACGGGTGGGGCAGGGTCGAGAATTGAGTTCGCAAAAGTCTGCGCCGGTAAACCTCGAGTTAGAATACGGGGAGGGGAGAGAGATTGGGATAGAGTAAAAGAGACTCACTTGACAGTAATTTAACGTAGGCTCCGTAACCTGCTTCCAAATACTCGTCAACGCCGACATTTCTTCCTTTGACACACTCTGCAACGCTGGCCCGGAGCCTGTACGACTATGTACTCCATTCGCCACCGACTGTGCAAGGCTCTCTCGTCGACGCATCGGTGGACTGCCTATCGTTTCCGTGCCAACGCTTACTCTTCTCCCTTCACCCCCAGCCAACTCTTGAGAGTAAGCTGGTGAAAAGAGTGGAATAGATGATTGTTCCGAAGTTTTCGTATTAGAATCCTGTGGGGGCTTCGGAAAGAACGTCGTCACGAAAGTGTATTCGGCGGAAGCGTTGTCCATTAGTACCATTAACATCGAGCGGAAGAGTGCTTCGAGTGGCTCTTTCTGATAGTCATTCATTATCAGCGAACTCAACGTAGCGCCAGAGTCAGGCAGAATGATCACATACATGAGTCTTATTTTCCGCGATGTACGCTTGCACGACAGGAGGTCCATCGAGTCGTGCATGGGCCAAGCGAGCCTCATCAACAGAGAACTCAACATTCGCATCCGATCCTCCAATAAGCTCAGATTTCTCAGTCGTCCTAGCCTATAACACTCCAATTCAGTCAATCAATCAAACACAAACCAACCAACCCAAACATCCCCTCCTTCACCGGACAACAAAAACGAAAGAAAAAGTAACTCACCTTAATCCACCCCAAACTCCTAATATACCTCCTAAACCCCGTCTCATAATACACCCTCGCCGCAATAATATACGACCTCTCCACCTCCTTCGCCACGTCCTCTGCATGATTTTGCAAAAACTCATACAGGGTTTTGTATTTTAGCAGTACAGAGGTTTGTAGGACTTGCATGTTCGTCGTCATGCTCGTTCGAACGGGTTGGAGAAGCGTGAGGAAGAATACGCGGATCTTCGTAGCTGCCTGTAACGATTTTTTTTATAAAAAGCATTCAATCATTAGTCTTGCTTGGGATTGATAAATAAAATGAAGGGAAGTACGCACCACGATACGCAACCCCTCAGTCACCTCCGACAAATCCCTCGCAGCCTTGACACGTTTCCTCGCGTTCACAGCACTCAACCTCCTCTCAAAATCAGGGATCACACTCAACCATCTCTCATCCACGTCCGTATCCAGAATCGTCGTAGCGAGTGACGGAGCTATTCCCAAATCGGATAGAAGGCTAGATAACGGCTTCTCAATTCTCTAACAAACGAAAGAAAAGGAAGGAGGAAGGACATGTCAACCTGGGCGACCATGATTAATACGACACGAGTCTACGCACCTTCCTCGACTTTAACCTATTCTCAATATCCTTACTCCTATCCTGCAAAGTCGATATCTGTCCAGAGACAGCCGTAAGGTCAGTCTGGAACGTCGACAAGAAACCTTCAAGAGAGTCCAACAGCCCGACGCTAGTCTGCCACACGTCCAGTCATCATACAACAAAATCACAGAACGAATGGACACACACCTCTATCTGGTCATGTAGATCGACATATTGTTTCGCGCGTTTCGTATCTATTGAAGCAAGAGTATGATATGAGAGTCCTTTCCTTTCTTGAGGTTTCGACATGTATCATAAACAGAAATCATACTGACAGAAGAATGGTTCTGCCTTTGAATCCGCTTCAGCTAAATAACAGCTCTAAACAACCGAGTAACGTGAAGTATAACAAGAAAACTCACTGTCTTCAGCCATCGTAATAACACTCAGAGGATCACATCCAAAGCATAAGTAGTCTCAAGCACTTAGCACGTCGGAAACACGAAATTACAGTGCGAGCACAGAGATGAGATACAGTACGTCGATCATCGCCTACCAAAATGAGGTTTAACGATCGACGAGAAACACTACCGAATACAAGTAGGTTTTAGTAGTTTAACTAACTACAAGTCCATGATCCAAGCTATGTATGTATGTTAAAATATTCCCGCCTCTTACAAAGGCAGGTGTAAACAGTAAAATAAGAGTAAAAAGTAAAGTAAGAGTAAAGGGGGAAAAAGTTTGAAAAAAATCCATCCGAAAAACAAAAGATACAAAGAAAACGTAACAGCATAACTGGCGAATGAATGTCATCGATACTCGTCGATTCGGAAAGGTGTGATAAATTCAAATCGTTCCGCATTCCCACCTCGCTGGTTTTGAGATTCCCTATTCCCCCTCCCGAGTGCCCGTCGGAAGAATCCACCCACTCCTCGTCTGTCAGGACCAGCGGGCTCTGGTCCAATCCCTTCCAGCCCATCAGTCGATGCAGGATAAAACGTATCCACCATCTTCGCAAGCTTCTTCAGTCCACCAGAACTATCATTCGAAGCTCGACGTGAGTCCTCCAGAACAGCGTGCAAATACATAGCAAAATCAGGAAGGGACATAGGAAGAGTCGGGAATGGTGTATTGGCGGTCGAAGGTATAGTAAAGATTTTTGATAAGTTAGATTCACCCGCGCCAGCGCGAAGCAATGCAGGGGTTGGCGAAACTGAATAAGAGAACGGTAACGTATTGACATCTCCGTTGGTATATTTAAAAATGTTCGTTGTTGTCGGTGGTACCGGGGTATCGATCGTCAGATAAACTATCGTCCGCCATTCGTTGGACGAGTGGTGTACCTGATGTGAAGTAATTTAGCAACTGTGTGCGTGCTCAACTGTCATGTAAACCAACCTTTAAGAACTGAATCACAGTCCGCAGTTTTAAATCCATTTTCGCTCCAGCAAGAGCTTCAACTGTAGGTTCAACCCTGCTTTCACTAAGTCGCGTTAAAAGCTTGAGTAGATGCCTCCAACTCGGTGCCTGTATGTGTAATGGTGGGCATTTGCCATACGGTAAGGTAATAATGTTAGGGATTGGCCCTTGCATAGGCTCGAGGCCAGGAGTCATAGGGGGTGCATGGAATCCGAAGGCTAACAGATAAAGAATGAGTTATCACAACCGAGGAAATATACCTCGAAAACACGTACAAACACCCAATAAAAGCTCTTCTTCCACAATCGGTGTCGATAACGGCGAATTCGATACCATTCTCCCCTCCTCGCGCTCGTCCTCGGAAATCGAGCTTATCGGTGATAACTCACTGCCAGACGGCCCGCTCTCCGCCACGTCTTCAGGTTCAGGAGAAGGAGGCTGTGGCTCAGTAGATTTTCCAACGTTTGTCAAGCTTTTAAGCCCGTCCAGACCCAACGTCGGCCTCCCCTTCGGAGTTGACGGAGTATCTAGTGGCGAGTCGGAATTGTTTCTAAGTTGATCGGAGACCAAACCGTTAGACCCGCTCTCATTAACTATGTCGGTGGCGGCCCTACTATAAGCTGGCGCTGGTTCTGCTAGTGTCGGGAGAGCTGCTTGCGCAGACATACTCCGTCCTAACTTATCCAAACTCGGGCCCGTAGCACTAGTCGGAGTTCCGGCGCTGCAGCTCACATGAGCTCGGGCAAGAGGGGCGTTCGTCTTCGGCCACGGGAGAGGGCGTGATTCAGTGATCAACGGCGGAGGCGATAGGGCAGGATGTAGCCCGGGTAACTTTTGTTGAGACGAAGAAGCGATAGGTGCGTGAGATGAAGAAGATGACTGGGCGGCATTGAGCGCTGCGTTGTATAGGGGAGGTGGGGAAGTATAATCAGTTGGTGGAGGCAAACGAGTACCTGACGTGATACCCGTTGATACCGATGATTGCATGGGAGACGAGGACGAGGACGAAGCATTATTTTCTTCGTCAAGGCGCGCGATACTGCGGGCAAATTCTTCATCCATTTCCAACTGCTTCCGACGTGCTTCGTCCTCAGCGCGCGCCAACACTTCTTCTTTCGCCAGCTCCTCCAAATTAATGCCAACTGACGCCGGTCGCGCCTTCTTCCCATGATCGCTCATATGCGTATCACCTCCTACCGAATACGAAACCGTCGACGTAGCAGGTGTATCGACCAATGAGGGTGATGGTGTAGGAGAGGAAGTAGACACCTGCGAAGACGAAGACGCCGCCGAAAGTGGTATCGGCTCTGGATTCGCGTTACTATCAATTTCCAATTGTCGCGTAGGTGAATTGTCAGAAGTTGCACGCGTATCGTGCGTGTTGGAAGAACCATTGATGGACGCTAGTGATTCCTCTAGTACGCGCGCAAGGATATCATCTTCGAGATCGGGAGGTGGCACCGGAGGGCCTGAATCTTGTAGTGAAAGTTCCAAAGCTCGAGCAACTAGTTCCTCTTCATCCGGAGTGACGGGGCTCTTCAGAGGCGGTTCTGGCACTGGTTGCTTAATTTCAGTGATGAAGCGTTTGGGCGGGATAGCGGGTGGCATGCCCGCCGATAACTGGGGAACAGACGCCGATGTCTGGAGACGTGGTTTGGGGGGTAATGCAGGTCTTAGAGTAGGAGCAGGAGCAGAAGCTTGAGCGTACGGATGTGACATGATATTCGTCGGAGAAATAGTAGGTGAGGACGAGGGTGTCGTCTTGGACTGGAAAAAGAGCGTGCTTTCAAGAGAACTAAGCACACCCGCCCTCGATCGCCCAGCACTTCCAGGCATCAAACTCGGAGGAAGAGGCGAACTCAGCGCAGCAGGCTTAGGCATCAACGGCGGGGGTTGCGACATTCTAGACTGAGCAAAGGGCATTGGATAAAAAGTTGTGGGTGAACTATTGGCGCGTGGTTGGACGCGCTGAGTGCTTGGACCGGCGACGGCGGCATTGACATGCACGCTGTACAGAGAGTTGGGCATCGCGTCGTTCGAGCTTGTCCTCGCCCCACCAGGATGTGGGGGAAGAGCTGTAAACCACGAGGGAAAAGGGAGTCAGCGACCTTTGTACACGGGCGTCTAATCTCTGTGACTGTCAAGTGTGGGTGGCTGCATACATGCAGCACACAGGGGACGGAACACAGCACAGCAAGAGCAATGCACATAAAATAAGGAGACAGACACTCACGGGGACGAGACGGATTCATTCTGAAGGTGAGAAGACGCAGGAGTACATGCAGGAAAGTGCGCTCGGACGGAGAGGGACGGCGATTGAGAGGGGCGGCGATTGCATCAAGAAGAGTGCCTTGCGCGCGTCTCTAAATGTGCGTGACGTCTCAATTTAGCACAGGGTCATTTCCGTCTCGTCTCGTCTTGCCGAGCCGACAACAGACGTCGCATAATTATTATTAACTACTCGAAAATGCAAAACAGGTGTATTGGCATCAAGGTAAGGCATGAAAAGTATTCTATCGTACACAGTGCACGAAGTAAAACGGTAAAACAAAAACTACTATGACTTCGTTGGCATGATGGAATTACGAGCCAATGCAATAAAGCATGAACAAGAGTAATCGAATTTCAAGCGAATGCGAATGAAGCTTATCATCAAGTTTTGGCAGAAGAAGGAGAGACGGAGAAAATATCATGAACGTAACGTGGATAAATGCTTGCAGGGGTGAGGAATGGTGGTTCAATGCTGGTTCTTTGGGTTTGTGATTGGGAAAGTAAAAAAAAAAAAAGGTAGAGAAATGCATATGTAGGCTTGCGAAGGCTGGACTGGAGATATCGTGAGATCGTACGTAAGGAAGAAAAAAAGGGCTGAAAACGATTGAATATGGTTTGTGGGTGAAGAATAACAGAAAAAGGAAAGAAAAATAACATCGGCAAGTGCTATCGAACAGCAATCACACGTGTAGCCGGTGCACCACGGTCCTGATGCGTGGACGTTTTGAATCCTAGTTGCCGCATAACAGCTAGCAGATCTGCCTTCTGAACCGGCTTGGACAAAGATGCAGCAAAGAGCGTGCTCGCAAAACTGTCTGATCCACTGTAGGCGCTCACAGAAATAATAGGCACACTACTGTTCTTGTTGTTCGTGCTCTTAATGAGGCGAGCTGCACTTTCGCCGTCAACTATTGGCATGTGCAAATCCATCAAGATGCAGTCAAATTCTACATAAAATTGTAGTATATTAGATGTTTTCCATCATCGTCCAGGAAGATAAGTACTTACTGATATCGCCATGAGCGACACTTATGGCTTCTGATCCATCAGCAACTACGACAACTCGACAACCAAGACGGATGAGAAGTGTCTCAATGATCTTGGCAGTAATTGGGTTGTCCTCTGCAAGCAAGCACGTCAAGGCTCGGTCATTGATGTCCATACCACGCCGTAAATCAAGCGACCCAGAGTTGGATGATGGAGGTGTGGACTCAAAGTGACTGGAGACATGTGAGACAGAGGCGGGCCAGTGATCCGACAAAGACCCCTCTCCGCTCGTTGAGACCGATGCGGTCCTGAGGCGGCTAGGCATCGAATTTCGTCTTGATACATCGCTCTCAAGGTGATTCTGCTTGAATCGTTCGATGGCTCCGAACTCGGACGGCTTCCGCGAATGGTTGTGATTCGCCTGGACACTTCCCGGAGTTGAGGGTGCCATACTCGCACGTGACGGTGAAGACGCAACCGACGACACAGAAGTCGCAGGAGAAGGCGGGTTCGTAGTGGATGGCTTGCCTCCCTCAAGCTGAGTGACGACGCTCGGCGGTTTCTTGATCCTCTGTGACACGCTCCGCCTATGCGGTCTGTAGATCTGCGCAGGTTCGCTTAGTGCGTGTACCATCGGCGTCATTTGATCGGTCTTCAACTTCCGTATCACATCGTCATTCGCTTGTTTCAGGACAGGCAAATTCTTGAAACTGAAGGATCCAAAGTCATCTTGCGTTGGCGAATGTCCGCTGTGACTCGTAGCGATTGGAATAGCTGCAGTCCCTGTACTTGTGGGAATCGCAAACGAGCCGATACCTGGTGTAGCAGCAGATTGGCCAACAGGAATCCCTCCGTCGTCATCGTGGAAAAGCTGAGTTGATGCACCTCGGAGATCGAAATAATCTGTCGATTCAGGGTCTGAAATTTGTGGGATAAATGCAGCCTCCCTAGTCGTAACCTTGTCCCATTCGATGCCGGTGAAAAATGGATGGGCTTTAACTTCAGCCGCACCGTTTGCACCGAGACGGTTGGAAGGATCTACATTCAGCAGTCGCTTCATGAAATCAAGTGCCTCCTGAGAGAAATCGATGTACTCTTCATGCCAATCAATATGCCCTGAAAGAATATTCTCAAATACTTTTTCAGGAGTCTCAGCATGGAAGGGTGGAATCCCGTAGAGGAATTCATAGGTGATAACACCAAGTGCCCACTATAAAGCAAACATTAGCGTTCACAGCACGACACACAGAAGATAAAGGGAACATCCATACCCAATCAACAACAGCATCGTCACCAGTAATACCAAGAATGCTTTCAGGAGCAAGGTAATCCGGAGTACCAACAAACTTCTGTTCTCCGGAAGGCGTCCCGAGACCAGACGGAGTATGCGCGTACAAACGTAGATCATTGGTAAGTTCATTCGCGAAAGACTGGACAGGACTCTCCCGTCCGTTATTTTTGCCAGTTCGACGAAGGAAAAAGCCTGAGAGGCTATCCGATCCACTCGACTCGCTGATGTCATCTGTGGGTGTGCCAGTGGACAAATGAGGAGATGATGCAAGTGGAGGTGCGGAAACACTCCCAATCCGCTGTGAGAAGTACGAACCTCCCAGTAAGTCTACTGAAAGCAGGAGCGGGGATGACAGATAGGCTGCATCCATGGACGGCGGACGAGATCCCGGACTATGTCTCGTCCGTGGCCGCGCACGCTCGACATTCAAATCCCGGGTTTGACGACCGAGTAAACCGATCCTGCTAAGACCAAAATCGGTCAACTTGAGGTGACCGTGTTGGTCGATTAGCAAATTATCGGGCTTCAAGTCTCTGCATACTCGTCAGCCAAGCAAGAGATAAAATCTGTAAAGACAACTCATGCTCACCTGTGTACTATACCCCGCTCGTGTAGGTACTCCAGACCAAGAACTACCTCCGCAATATATTGTCTAGTCCATTCCTCTGGGAGAGAGCCTAAGGACTTGATAAGTGCCGCGCAGTCTCCACCATTAAGATACTCCATAACAAGATACAAATTATCCTTGCTCTGGAAAGTAAAATAGAGTTTCGCAACGAACGGCGACTCTGCTTGGTTCATCAGAATCATCCGTTCCGCCTTGACATTAGTGATTTGATTCTTCGCAATCATGTCGGCCTTTTTGAGAACCTTGATCGCATAATAGTCGCCAGTAACCCGCTTCTTTGCAAGGAAGACGGAGCCGAAGGCACCCTTGGAAATAGGCTTGATTATTTCGAAATCTCTTATGCTAGTAGGAGTGCTTTTCGACGATGGCATAACGGAGGGTATCCTGGGAGAAAGAGGCCCAGTGACGGAGCCACTGGGGCTTGAGACCGGATTTGTGTTTACAGTAGATAGACGACGAGAACGCCTGCTGCCGTCGGCGCTGCTGACGCTGTCACGAGGTGCGATACTCGGCGAAATCGGAGGTGTGACGGTAACCCTCGGCTCAAGAGCTTGGGATTTTCTGTGAGCAATAGACTTCTGCTTGTCTTTCGGACTTGATGACGGCGAGGAATGTTCTGTATCCGAAGCAACAATAGGAGCAGCTAGAGCCAGCGGCGAGGTGATTGACGCGGGCGTAGAGGAACGCGTGAATGAGTTCAAGTTGGCAGCTTGATACATAGCCGCTGCCGATGAGGGAAGAGGCATCCGGATGCTGTTGCTGCGAGATGATGCTGTGGAAGAGGACGCCGGCGAAGATGCCACAGGAGTAGGATCAGGAGACAAAGCCACAGGTGTCGGTTCAGACGATGCAACCGATTCTCCGCTGAAGGCATACTCGGCCCTCGTGCTATCACGATCGTCCTCACCGACGACGTCTTGTTCACCGTTTTCCTCACCCTCCTCACCCTCCTCATCTTCTTCGCCATCAAAGTCCTCTTCTTCCTCCTGCAGAGTAAGCTGCTCCATTTTCTCTTCCCACTCTTGCCGGACCTTCTCTGCGTACCTGATGGTATTCTGCATTCGGACAACAGAATCCATCTTTGATCGCATCAACCTCTCTGCGTCGCTGATTAGTCGTGACAACGCAGCATCTTCTGTTGAGGGCTTCGACCAGCTCCTGACCTGCGTCATCTTGCGATCAGAGCTCGGAGATAACAGCCGTTGACGTTCGATCGGCTCCTTGACTTCCTCGTCCTTCAGCGACGGCAAGGAAACTTCAAATGCCAGCTGAAGAATATCGTCTAACTGTTCCAAAAGTCGGCGTTGATTTCTTTTCAGCATTGATCTCTGCATTTTCGAGACCAACGGCGGCTTAAACAAGTGCAAAGCACCTGAACCATTAGGCGGAGTCGCAGGGACCATAACAGGCATCCCTCGGTACTCAGGCACGAAGGTCGGTGAAGCTCGGTCAATGGCAAGACGGAGCTCACGGATGGTACTGCGCAGTTCAGCAATAGATTCATTGCATTCCCCAATATCAGCCTCGAGTTTGTGTACGTCATTGCAAGTCTCATTGTGCTTCTCAAAGAACCATTCCGGTATATTGTTCTCACAGATACGGCAGAGGATGACTGCGGAAGTCATCGGCCTTGTGAATCGGAAAGATTTGTTCCCCTGCTGTTCTTCGTCAAGTGCCTCAATGTCCTCAGTCGTCCCGGGTTCTTCCCGAATAGGACCTGCTTCAGCTAGCAACATCGGTGACTGATCATATGTTGGAGGTCCCACGGATTTGATAACCCACATCGTGTGCGATGGTTGGCCGTCACCCGGGTCAATCATCAGCATACCTTTACCTTCCATCTCACGATAACGCACACTACGGTTCGGCGAGTCCGAACCCATATCGACCTGCAAGCGAAAACGGGTTTCAATAGTGTGGGAGTCGTCAGCAAGAAGCTGTTCAGTAGCCTCGCGGAATACGCTCGAATCTGCAGGCGCTAATAGCCGTGACAGCTTAGTCCCAGCCACTTCTTCGGGATCCGAACTAAAGGGATTAAGAAATAAATCTATTTATAGGTTAGAAGATTAATAAGAGTTGTAACATACCCCACCACCGAAGCCCAAGCGTAATTGATCCAAAGGAGATGATCCCCATCGAGACTAAGTTCAATCACAATGTTCTGGCTCTGGGCTTGTTCTGCTTGAAGACGGAGTCTTTCCGTGGCTAGAACTCGTGCTGACTCCGTCGTGTCCATAGGCTTTGTCGGCTGTCGTGCGAAATCATGTTCCTTCGGGACAGTCGCAGAAGGACGACGCAGCTCATCTCGCGATTGTCCTGGATGACTTGTGGTTCGAGATAACCGAAGCCGATTTTCACCATCCGGAGCAAGTGATAACTGTTTTTGATTATCCGAGTCAGCACCTTGTGATATCGTCGGTGTTGGCGCAGGGGTAGCTCCAGGTTCTTCTGCAGGCTTGAGCAAGAAAGCAAATGGTTCCTGTTCATCGTCATCATCGTCATCAAAGTTCCAAAATTGCTTCTCGGCCTCCCACCACTCGACGACCCGGCTGAGACTGGCCACTGCCAGGAGAACCTGGACATACCAGTTTCGACCGTGCCAATCAGGGTGTTCGTCCCAAGCTTTGCCGATTTGCTGAACTCTTTGAACAAGCTGTGAACAGACCTTGGGCTGTGCAGTTAGCTGAGAAATCGACATCTCTTGAATATCGGTGGCTACGCCGATAATTTCGTAAAGGGTCGTCATGATGGGGTCCACGGGGTCATCAACTAAAATGCGTGATGACCGACGATTTGGACTTGTGGATGCAGCGTTTTCGGAGAAACCGTGACGGGAGGATGCAGGCAGGGGTGAACGGGACCGGGACGTGCTCCGCGAACTCTGGCCCGATCGAGATGCACGCACGGGGATGTGAATTGTGCGAGACAATCGACGTGAAGCCCGGCTTCCGGTCGCGGACGACAACGAGGCCTGTGGATTGAAATTAACTGGTGCTTTACGGGGGGTCGCCTCGACGGGAGCGGCAAGGGCGGTGCTTGATGCACTGGTCTTGGGAAGCGTGTTTTGCCGCTGAAGCGAGACTGGACTGGACGAAACTGATGCTGCAATAATACCAGGAGAGGAAGCCCAGCGAGTCAGCCTAGTTGCCTGAAGATCTTCTGGAGACGCAGACGCACGTTGACGGGAATGACGGCCAGCCTCGACCTCGCCGTCGTATCCACCGTCCGAGTAGGTCTCGTCCAGCTGGGCGGGACGCAGTTGTTCAGTCACGGTTCCAGATGCGGGTACGGTAGCCGGGTCGCGCGGGGGCTCAGCATCAGACTCTGTCGCAACCGGTAATGAGCGTCAGAAATAGCCAGATAAGAGAAAATAGAAAATAATAAAAAATTAGAGCGGAATGAAATATACTGACGATCGACGTCTCCCTCTCTAAGCCGTTCCTCAAAGAAGGCGGTAATGGCATTGGTTACACGCTGGAGGTCCTTGTCGCACTCCTGCTTGGCAGACTTGAGACGGCGAGTGACATGACGCTTGATGAAGGGCATGGAGACGGTGTTTGGACCGGAGCCTGAGACTGAACCCGTTCCATGGCTGGACGAGTTGGCTTGGACGGAGATAGGCGGGAGGACGGTGTCTGGAGAGAAGACGAGTGGGCTTGGTGGCTGTCTGCGAGGCACGGCTGTGTCTGACATTTATACTGCAGCGGCGGGAAGTGCTGGAGGGCTCGACTGCTCGACTGAGTTTGCAAGGCAAGGAAGAAGAAGGAAGGGACGAGGTCGGGGGAGTGCAGGGAAAAGACGCGGGTGGGAGAAGGGACAAGCAGCTTTGTCTGTCCTGAGAGAGCGATGTGCGCTGTGTCAGACTCTGGCAAGTAGCATGTCCGGAGAGCGAGCGAGTTGGACGAGTGACTGAGTGAGGAAGGAGAAATGGACAGCGTCGTAGAGTAGAGACTGGGAGAGACGGCGAGTGCTCGGATCTCAGTTCTATACAACTCCCATTCTCCCACGCTCCAGTCTCTCTCTCTCATTTTATTTTATTATTATTATACGTTACACTAGCCTACCTGTTCGCCATGACCCCCTTCCCCGTCGCCATCTCCTTTCGGCGCTTCCTCCACTCCACAACATGCCTCCGCGCAGCAGCATCGTCTACCCTTTTGTCCCCTAGAGCGGCCCTTACGCCTGTCTCCGCCGAGCCAGCCGACACAGACGACGTCGACGCCCAACCTCAATCCCCTCCGTCTGGTCCCAAGGTTACCCTGGGAGTGCTCAGTAAATTTATGGACGACATGGTCGCCGTTCCACACAACTATGGTCTATCTCCATCTCACAAGTACTTTCTTTGTCCAATGTAATTGACTCTGTATTATCTTCCTGTTTTGGCAGAGCAACAAACTCAGCAAAAACCTTCCCGTCCACAAGCCTTGTTTAAGGATCAAGTTGTTCGTGTTTCCTCTAATTATCTATATTCTTTTGATTTTAATGATCATGGTGTAGCTCATCCGCCCCATCGATTTTCATCGCAGGGCGCACAAGTATCGTGCCCCTCCCTGGCGGAGGCCCAACGTCGGGCCAGGCCGCGAAGCACGCTACAACGATATCTTCATTCAACTCGGCATCGATCCGCGCCGTGAGGCAGACAACGTAACTCTCATGAGTAACTACATGACCGCCCTCGGCCGTATTAAGCCTCGTAAAGACACTGGCCTTTCTCAGCGCAGCCAACGCCTCCTTGGCAAGGCTATCAAGCGCGCTAAAATGATGGGCGTCCTCCCAATCCTCAGCAATCCAAGAATGAGAGACAGGTCCCAGCCTTTGCCACCCAAGCCTGAAAAGAAAGACTCTCGCTCCCGTTCCTATCTGCCCGGTCGTTAATCATTATTATCAATGCATTGTTCTCCGGCTTTCTCATGTAGCGTATCAATTTTTAGAAATGCTATTCAACAGCGGAGGTCCCCGTCCGTTTCACTTCGCGATGTCCGTCTGCCCATTTTACTTTATCTCTTCACGGAAGAAAGTTTCGGACGCCTCAAAGTTAGCTCGTCAACTCTCCTCTCCAGTTTCACTCAGCAAGCTTCCATTTCCATCCACGGATACAGAATAAACCAAGAGTTTTGATTTGCTCGACAATCTGCCAAGCGACTTCCCCCATTGAAGAGAAAAAAAAGCGCACAGGACGATCAGGCTTACGATCCATTACGCAGTGCCTAGCCTGCAGGTATAATGTGATAGCATCATACATTGCTCATATGACACACAACGCGGGAATCTACATGAATACAGTCGTGCTCTCAGAGTTCCGCCAACAGCATCGTCCCTAAATTTTGCACCACCTGATCTCCCATGGCTTTTTCGACCGCTTCTTCCAGATGTCGTTTTGGATCCTGCTTACCCACATGGCGCGTCTTTAGCTGCTCAGGGGTTAGCGTCGACTCTTCCTGAACCGACTTGTTGTACTCCTTCGACAGTGAGAGCATTGACTAAATGGAGTGCACCAAGGTTCGTTAGCCCTCAGATTTCAGATACGCATGCCGTCAAATGGCATGGAGATAAAGTTGCATCGTGCGTAGTGCACGTGCCCCCACATACCTTGATCGCTTTCTCGTTGCTTTCCTTGTGTAATTTGAAGTCCCGTAATTTCAACCCCTCTGTCCAATTGCGTTTGTGCAAATTCATCAGCATCGCCTGTTCAAGCTCCGTCTTTCGGTAATTAACGGCAATTGAATAGTAGTGTCGGTTTAGCCCGTGGATGAGCGATTGAATCGAAGGCTTGTTGATATGACCAATATTTGAAGTCGTCTGCCGTGGTTCTTGACCCATGACGACGGTACGCGGTTGAATAAGCCGGAAAGCATCGATGACGACCTTGCCTTTCACCGACTGAATGGGATCCACGACGACGGCGACGGACCGAGGATCGAGTGATTCAAAAGACTACGCCACACAGGAGGTTCAGTTAGCCATTCAAGGTACTCAGATGACCACAAGAAACTCACTTGTTGCGTGTTGATATCCACACTCGACAACCAACATCCGAAACCGGGATGGGAATGATACCACCCAACGACGGCTTCCGGTCTAAGTAGAGAGAACACGGAGTCAGTCGTTCGGCCGAATAGAGTGGGAATGGCCACTCACCGCCCGGTCTGCTTGAGAGCTTCCATCATCTTCGTTTGGAACACATGGTCAACGGATTCAACTGATACAGTTGTCCCCGACTGCGGCATCGCGAACACATCTATTACTTGCACCGTGTATTCGTCTACAAATTCTCCGAGCATGAGACCCATGACCTCCATTGGTACACCAGCGCGCCCATGCTTCAACATCTACGGAGATACGTGAGCCAAGATAAGAAGCGTATCTATCTATCTTTCTCGTGTGCTATCACCTTGAGTAAAGCCAGGGACGAGATATGGATAACCTCTCCGCTGTACGAATGCCAAACAGAAATTCAGTAAACTGCACTTTAAAAGTCGGTGTAAGACTAACGTATCAGGAAGGTTTTCAGGTGCACCTCCGCGAGAAGAGATGCCCTGAGCTGCAAGCATTTGCTCGAGATCCATAATGAAAGAGACAGAGAGACAGAGAGAGGGACGTGGACGTTGAGGAGAGAAGTGCTGAGGGGCCTTTCCACCATGGACGCGTAATGGAGTATACGCGTCGCGCTTGCTTAGTCATCACTGAGTTACGGAAGCAATGATCGACGCTCAAGGGTCAGACTGTCACTTCGTCCAAAACCACATATGTCGCGACGTGCATGGCTGGGTCGAGCGAGCTCTCCGATGCGCTCAACCCTTACTTTTACCAGCAAGACAATCATTTACAGGCCAGCATATCCCCAAGCTATGATCACCATATGCGAGTGCCCCCGCCGACACCGGCCGATACGCATCAGCAGCCCGTAACGCAGCCTGTCATCCCGCATACAAGTGAATTAGCAGATGCAATTAATCCTAACGCCATTTCTCCTAGTACGGTGCCACGCGGTATTATCCAGAGACAGTTCGTCTTTTAAGTTTCTTGTCTCACCGCTGGGGTCTCGACCATTTATGTCAGGTCTCGCCAACCAGTTGCTGATCCAGTCCAATTACTGAAGAGCCTCATACAGTCGATTTCAACCTATAAGGTTGCCGTTGAACAGGAAAAGCAGCGTCGACTCACTTGGGAAAAGGAACAGGAGACAAAGCACCTTGCTCGCCAGGCGGAACTCGAGAATCGTGTTGCGGAATTGCAACGGGAGCTAGAAACACTCAAATCAAAACAAGACGTGTCGCAGGCTCCTTCAAAAACGACCGACTCGACTAATAATGTAGAGCAAGGAACTGTTCGAGTATTGAAGGAGTCTATCGTGCTTTTCGATCCGAAGGATGATAGACGAGATAATACCGAATTCGTCGAGGGCTCTTCATCGTCGTCAACCAATCTGAAGAAACGGGCACGTTCCGGTTCTCCTAACGACAGTTCTGAGCAAGAACCGATGAAACTTAGGACACATCGTATAAGCCAACCTCAAACTATACAGGTTTGTCTTATTGACCTATTCATACTTAATTGTATCTCAAGCTGCCATAGGCTGCAATGCGAAATCACATCCTAAAGTGCATGGATCTCGATCATGATAAGGAGCTCCCCGATTCGGCTGAAGAAGCGGTTTTACTCCCCCCGTCACATCCAGTCAGATTTGTATGGGACCAAACAACGAAAAGATCTGCTCATAATGCGAGGATGAAAAATCGTATTGTTTCGGATATGATCGCAAACAGGTACCTCTACCCACGTGTCCCAGAGCAAGAGTTCACAAAGGCGAAGCTCGACAGCGTGTTCGAACAAGCCTACTTCACTTTACGGCAGAAATACGCTTCTCAGAAAGGTTTGAATGCGAACGCAAAGGATCGTGCTGAAATGAAGTCGAAGAAAGCCCGGCGTCTCAGTCGGAAGAAAATTGTATGTGATCCCATCCTAACATGACAAACCATCATATTGACAACTATTTGCAGAAACTAGCCAATCGAAGTACCACACGCAAGAAGCTCGAAGATGCACGTTATGTTATATTAAAAGACGTTACATTTGATGCTGCATTCCAAATGGATTGCATGTCATCTGAGGAATCGAGCGAAGGTGAGGACGCGTCAGAGGATGCCGCCGAAGGCGATAGACCGCACTCTTCGAAATCATTACGAATCCGATATCTCGCTTGGCGCTCGACACGTTTACAAGCGCTCTTCCGCATTATCGACGAACATGAGCAGTATAATCGTGAAATGAAACCTAAACGCGGTAGCGGGCGGAAAGATCGGCGCATGGGACATCCAAAGGAAGGTAATCCACCTCCGCCGAAAGGCACACCACACTGGATGGTAAGCAAGAAATGGCTGCGAGAGGCAAGCGCAGTCAACCATCTGATCGCAGACCTCGTGAGTCCAGACAACGAAAATGCTGCGCAGGCGCTATCTATTCTTGGAGATGAAAGTGACGACGAGGAGGCGCAGATGGTAGCAACGGACCCGAATTTTACCCAACTACCGGCTCCGCCTATGCCCATCCCGGAACCTTTGATGCCCACCGTCACCACAGACGATGCATTTCATCACGCGCAGTTCATGTATGCGCAGCACGCTGCCTGGGCCGATACGATGGCTGGTTACGTCGACCTATCCCAATATTCCTCTCCTGTTCTGCAAACTTATCCCCCTGGCATACCACATTCGTCGTAAATCCTAAATCCTATATCTTTGTAAACGTTAATCCATTTTGATCATGCTGTTGCGTACGGACGGATCTACAAATTTTTTCTGGTGGAATACAGTAACGAGTAATGAAATGTTATGTAAAATTGTAAATATCTCGCGGAGGCGGATCACACGTGATGATTGTCCGAGTCGGACTATCTAATCAGATTACGGAGCCGTGTTTGCGTCGCGTCAACAACGCCCGCCGACAGAGCGGACGCGGTAGACTTGAAAATAAACCGTCATGCTTCGTTCTTGACCTCTACCGTATCCCAGGCCTGCCGTTGCCCTCCCACATCGTCACCTCTCTCCCAGAAACGCGTTGAAGGCCGGGAGAAAGATCTAAACTCGATACCGTTCTTGCTTAGAAATTATGGTTCTGCAACTCGCACGCAAGCTCGCAGCAACTGTACTCGGTCAAGACCCACACGATCCATTAGCTGCGCAGGAACTGCAGAATGCCGGGGTGCCGGTGTCAGAAGCCAGCTGCAGAACATGTGCGGATCCTTGCGACGAAGGTTCGTACATCCTACATCCCTTCTTCTCAATTCATTTATTCATGACATGGACGTGTCTATCCATATGTTCGTCCGAGTTCGATTTCACATGTATAATAATAATGACGATGATGTGATTTGTGCAGGTCATGAGGAATATGCGAAGCGATTCGACGTGGATATGGAATCGGAGATGCGTGGGTCTGTCAAGCCGTATCGAAGACAGGTCAGGCAGACTCCCTTCTCTTCTCTTCGTTTCCATGCAAGGATTTCCAACGCGTTAATTTTGAATTGCACAGGTCCTAATCTCAACGGGTAAATCGGACTGGGCACGCGAAGTCACCTACGTGAGCGACTCGCTCGCAAGATACATCAGCAACGCCGAAGACAAACATTCAAGTTCAGTCAAGAAAGCTTCTCATTCGCCTACGTTATCTCCCATAGACTCAAAGAAGACCGAAAAGGATAATCATAGTCACCCTACAGGAGTTCACTCCTACAAACCCACAGGCCGTCTCTCCATATTAAACGGCTCACATACTTCGCGTGCAGACGACCCAGATACACATGCAACGGTGCTCGTCTTACCAGATTATGTCGCCGTGTCAAATGTCCCACTCAGCGCCGCAGGTGCAGACGCATTTTGGGCACACGCACTTGACCCGGCTGTCCCACGCGCTGGGACAACCGCGACGCCGAATGGAGGAGAGTTCAAAAGTTGGACGTTGCCGTATGACTGTCTCATCTTGTTATGTGAGTGCGCGAAGTCATTTGTCATTTATATATCACAAGCTGTTTTGACCGATGTGATTAATTTCGTACGGACCAGGTTCACATAAGAAACGGGATGCGCGATGTCACATCGCCTCGTTGCGACTAGAAGAAGGTCAGTATGACATACGATATCAATGTCTACCCACCCAGAAACTTATTTCACATTCTCGCTCACTCTACGAATAACTGTGTATGACTGAACCTTGCCCCCTTTCCATCCAACACAGACTTCTTACGAACACTCGAATCCGAAGGCTGGAGTGTCGATACCGATTTAGAAGACCTCTCAGCTAACGGACCGCCACTCGAAACTATCGCATCGACGGATGAAGAACGTGAGGCTGCCGCGCTCGCTCAATTAAAAGCACTTGCATCCTTCTCATCAACTACGGATCCCCAGTCCGAGCTAAGTAACGGCAATGGTGTTGACGTCAGTAATAATTCCCAGAGCCAGAAGGAGGAGAAGCAGAACAGGACGAAGGGACAGAAGACACAGAAGAAAGCGCTGATCCTGAAGAACTCACATATCGGGGGACATAAGTTTGCAGGGAACGTCATCGTACGTCGATTTCGTTATTTCATTTTATTTTTCGTTCAATTCGTCTTCGTCTACCCCTTCCCATCCTCTCCTTTCCCTTTCTTGTTCTTTGTGCCTCGTCTTCTCTTCAAGTGAAGGAGAATTCGTTTTTACAATTATCGCTATCCACCTATCAACACTGGCCCACCATACATCACAGTATAGATCTCCATTCCCATCTCGCCACATATCCCGCAACGTCCCTCACATCCCCTCATTAATGGCTCACTCCGACACTTCGCATCGCCTATCACCGCCAGTCATTAATCTGGCCTTTATCATCTTCAGTAAACCGATAATCCCGTGATAATCCACCCCCCAATCTTTTATCCCCTCCCCATTAATCTAATCTATCAAACTCCAGGCTCCAACCAACGAATCATCTGACTCTCCCTCTCCCCGCTCTTCGTTCCTTTTCCCTTTTTCTCTTTCCCTTCCCCCGCCCCCTCTCCTCGTTAATTTGACTCACAGTTGAATTGAAAACACTTTCAACTACAGATCTACTTCCCGCAAGGCTCCAGCATCTGGTACGGCCGCGTGACCCCACACGAGATACCCTCCATCGTCCACCAAACCATCCAAAGTGGAAAAGTCCTCCCTCAGCTCTTGCGTGGAGCACTTGGCGTCTCGAGGCCTGGATGCCACAGTTTACTGGAGTGGTAGTCGTGGTGATTTAGTGTTAAGGGTGAAAGTGAAGATATCTTTTTGTTTTGTTTTATCTTTAGAAGGTGAAAAGGCATCGGATATACCTGCTGCATCTCGTATTGGGACTACTAGTAGTTTCTTGCATATAATCGAGTATTCTTCATAACATGTTTGCACAAGCTCTCAGGCGCCTATTCGAAGTCGGAACAAGCAATGGAAGCTCTCAACGGCGATGGATGACCTTAGAATGAAGGGGCCATCCCAAACCTACCTTCGGGCACAGTTATGAACAGCACACATAAATATTCTACACCATGGTAGTTTATTAAACCGTCCAATCTCATATCTCGGAAGCAATAACCTACACCAAAACACCAAAACGAGCGCCAATCCAAAGCCAAAGATAACTGGGGAAAAAATAACTCCACACTATGTAACATTTCAACAGTTAGACAGCAACACAGTTAACATCAAAGCACAAGTACACATTTAGCGCCTCCACTCAGTCCACATATAAATCATTCACGCGACCATTTTTGATTTCACTTGCCAGTGTTAGCGCTCAAAGTTGATCACACGAGCCACCACCCAATTTTGCAATCTCCACCCAATAAATTTCCAGTCTCCAACAAATACGTTATCGTATGTACCCATCTAATTTAATTACAAACTAAAAGAGAAAGGAAGAAATGGTAAACACAGAAAAGTTGCAGCATGAACAAGCCTTTAGTGATGTATGAATCGCAGAAACAGGGGGAAAAAAGAGGAAAAGTATTAAGTATCACTTGACTCGACGTATGTATCAAGTCAAGTCCAGTTCCGTACGAAAGCAGCTGGACACATGGGATAAGGGGTGTGAAGGGCAGGACGTATAAGTTCGAGGAGGGTGGAAGATGGTAACACAGGAGGGAAAAGTGGTACAAAAAAAGGTACGAAGAAAGGAAAATGACAAACAAACAAACAAACACAACGCGTAGGAAATGCGTGTACAGCCCAAGATCATCCCCGGGGTAACATCAAAGACAGAGTAGTAGTAGTGAAGGTGAAAAAAAGTCAACATAGCACATGCAGTAGTAGTCCAGTCATTGTTGTTATAATGCTTGTGAATGAAGTTGTAGCCCCTACAAGTACATTGAAATTGCGACGAAAAGACACGTTAAGGATCGCGAGAATGCGAATTGCTCTGGGCAGACACGGTGTGAGAAGCGAGATGACAAGACGACTCAATACATCATCACGAGGGACGAAACATTCAGAAGTCGTCAAGCCCAGTCCGATTCGCCGTCCTCCCACTCGGTTGGTCGTATTCGTACTCGTCTTCTATTGACGGTCCCTCGCCATCCTCGACAGCGTCTTCAACTTCCTCTCCCGTCTCCGCTAATCGCCCAGCAGGCCTTGTGATAAAGCTCTCCCCAGAGAACGAGAACCCTCGGAAATTCTCCTGTACGGAGTTGCTTATCGGGCTCCCTTGTGTGTCTCCTCGTCTTCTCCCACCATTAATCTGTACACCCTTCTTCCCATCCGCAGCTTCATTCGTCGTTTGCGTCTGTATAGGTGCCAATTCCCGCAGATCACTCCCCAGGGGACCATTTGGCGTGTGCATCATATGAGAACCCGTTAAGCTCTTGGATACCCAATCCTCCGACGGGTCTTCTTCATCATAGAAGTCGATTCCCGCATCACTGATATCCGCACTCGTGAACTCCGGGTCAAAGTTCGCTGTTGACTCGTCCGACTCAACAACGGGAATAAATGGCGGCGTCACCTGCTTCGCAGCAAGCGCCTTCCAATCAATATTCTTGAAGAACGCGTGTTCCTTCAATTCCTCCGCATCACGCTGTGCACCGAGCCGGTGTTTCGGATTTCGATTTAACAGCTACACAAAACGCGGGGTAAAACGTAAGCAAGTGTACAACAGAACAGCGCTTAAATCCAAAAGTCAATTTGATTACTTACCCCCTTGACGAATTGTTTCCCGTCCTCACCGATGACGTTCTTCGGGAATCGGATCTTGCCAAAGCAGATATTCTTATACATTTGTTGCGTGTCTTCCGCGTAAAATGGACTCCAGCCGCAGCACATTTCAAATAATAGCACGCCCAAAGACCAGAAATCTACGAGCTTCGAATATCCATGATCGTCGAGAAGCACTTCTGGTGCAAGGTACTCCGTCGTACCGCAGAATGTATTCGTGAGTTGATCTGCTTTGAGATCCGGCTTTGAAAGACCGAAATCACATAATGCGACATGACCTGTCGCGTCAAGAAGGATGTTCTCTGGCTTCAGGTCACTATCATTGAAATGAGCGTCCGATCATTTGAATACCAATAGATAAAACAGACGCGCACCGATAAACGATATCATATTTATGAAGGTGCTCTAGCGCAAGCACTAGCTCCGCTATATAGAATCGCGCTCGTTCCTCACCGAACTTTGTTTCCTTCTGGAGATGCCAGAAGAGTTCTCCGCCGCTCTTGAAGTCGGTTACCAAATATAAGTCCGAATCCGTCTGGAAGCTAAACTTGAGTCCGACAAGGAATGGTGAGTTGAGACTCTGCTGGAGAATCTTGCGCTCGCCGATCGTGTGAGCGATCTCCTTCTTTGCAATAATTTCCTTCTTTGATAGCACTTTCATCGCGTATATTCGGCGCGTATCCTTCTTTCGCACCTGGAAGACCCGGCCGAACGTCCCACGACCGATAAGCTTAAGAAACTCGAAGTCTCGTGGGGTTAACGCGCGCTTCGTCTGTTCGTCGGAATCGGGACAGGAGACGCGATGGGAAAGGAAGTTTGCGGAGGAAGCAGTGGTCAGTTCAGGGTCGCCGCGCTCAAAATAGCAGAAATAGAAGCCCTTAGAAGGTTCCGGTTGTACGCACCTTGTAATGTTCGTACGTCGTTTGGACGCGTATCTCGCCTGTGACAACTTCGTTCTCATGAGGCAGGAGTCTAGGTCGTCGGAGGTTAGATAAGGCGATGAGTTCCCATGAGGTAGGAAGAAAACTAGTGAAAGAAGCAGTGCGTCGGCCGGGTCTCGGACGCGTGGAGTGAAGGGTGTGGGTAGGTACGGCGAAGAAAAAAAATGGGGAGGGAAAAAAGTAACAGACAAGATCCGTAATACTTACTTGTACCAATGATCCACGGTATGATCGTGCTTGAGAACGGGCTTGATCTCAACCATACCAAGGAAGTTCTGGTCCTCTTCAGCGCGGTCGTAGACATTAAGTGTAATGAGCGTCTGGTCCGACGTCACATCGCTGCAAACGAAAGAATGCGTGCATCAGCACATATGTAATTGCAACAAATGACGAATGTGGAGTAAAGATAGAAAATTGACTGACAAGGAGACCTCGTGTTTCCAGACCGGGTTGTGTGCAGATATCCGCCCAAATAAGCCCCCGCCTCCACCAATACCAAGACTGCTCCCATTGTTGTTATTACTACTGACAGCTGATGGTATGGGCGCAACTGTCGAGACGCCCGGACCACGGCCATCACCATTGAGATAAGGTGCGCTACGCGCGGACTTTGTGGAAGAGACGCTCGACTGTGGCGAGCTGGCAGTGCTGCTGGCAGCAGAGCGTTTCGCTTGTTCGATTGCCCGTGAGTTGATAGCCCCGAGGGCAGATAGAGCTGTTGATGAATTATTCCGCGACATATTTGTCGCAATGCCCTTGACCTCCTTCTCGAGTTCATGGATCGGCTCTCGACTGACGAATTCGTTCTGTTCGAACTGGACGACGACGTAAGGTCGTGCGCTGACAGTGTGAACGTTGAGCCCGCGAGCTTGGATAAGCTTTACATGAAGCTGGCCGCGAGAAACGCTTGAAGAGGAAGAGGAGGAGGCCGTCGATGCAGCTGATACGGCCGAGTTGGTGGAAGATGTTGCAGCTATAGGGATCGGCCCCGCACTTGATGTTGTTGGAGTACTATTTGTATTTCTTTGCAAATTCGTGGAGGCCTGTGTCGATGACGCTGAGGCATCTGCATGATGAGGAGTGGGCTGCGTGCGCCGGGAGTCGTTGTGCTGCATTTTGTCGGGAACATGAAGGTGGAGGTTGAGAGAGAACTGATTTGTGGGAATCGCTGACGCGAATTCTGGTACACCCGCGCTTACTATTGGTGGCGCTTTACCCGGTGCAAGCGGAGTCGTATCTCCCCCGTCTGCTGCTCCTCCTGCTGCCACTCGGCCGTTGCTGCTATTTATTGAGGAGGACCGGGCGTGCATGTTAAGGAGGTGGTGTGTCTGGAAGCCGAATCCGGTCGGGGAGCGTGGCGGTGCTGCGGTATGTGCATGCCCATGGTTGCTGCTGCTGACATGCGAGGTGGAACTCGAAAGGGTGGGCGTGTGAACTCCTGGGCTGGCAAGACTGTCAAATGGATTTCGCTCCCGGCCGTCGGATGCGGCCTTCGGGGTGAGCTGCTCGATGGGTGTAGACGGCCAGAACTTGAGCATTTGTGCAGACCTAAGCACGGCAGAGTGAAGTGAGCCTGCGATCGTCTGGTTGCTGGACTGTCTTCTCCGAGTTGGTTGTTGTTGTGCTGTTGATCCGTCGGATGTCGTTGAGTTTTTGCGCGCTGTATTGGTATTACTCGCTGTATTTGTTGATGAGAGAGTCGATGGAGAGGCGCTGTCGGAGGATGATAAGGGCGTGGGGGTATAAGTAGTCATGAGTGAATAGAGAAGTGCAGAACATGGACAGGCCGTGTTAGCCGACAAACATAAGTGGAGTCCACTGGTGGAGCACAACTACCCTACTCTACACATCAATTAATTATCATAGCTGCTGATTATTATGTATCCCCTTCCGTCGCTATTCTTCCCGGATCCTCCCCGACCCGCCCAGCCACAAGCCGGCCTTGCGCTCGCCGCAACATGCTCATGATCCCGCCTACAAGCCCGCCTAGGAGCAGCACCCGGCGCGTATTCACCCACAGCAGCCTATCTGTTCCGAACCAAGCACACCAAAAAATTAACTCTCCTCTCTTCTCCGTCAGGACATAAGGTTAAGATAAAACCCTACTTACACATCGCACAAAATAGCCCTGCAGTCGCAACCCCCGCACCAGCTTCGCGTGCCTCGCCAAACCCGGCTCGACTCATCCCATCCTCAGCAGCTGCGAACGCCAGTCCAACAACCCCAAGCTTCACAGCTTCTCGCCCGCCCTCTCTCAGGCCACCCCACATCATTCGATAATTCTTCGTTTTCTTGTATAAATACCACCCCCGCATCGTCGTCGGCGCACGATGCGCGTTCTCCGCAAGGAACCGCATCCCTTCTTGTCGCCCTCCACGTAACAAACCAAGCGAAAGGCCAGTCAGGCCGCACACGCTCGTAAGGACCATGTATCGCTGCGGAACGTACAACCGGATTGCACCATCATCTCTCTCCTGAGTATCACTATCGTCTCCATGTCCAGACATCTTTGGTTTGCTCAGCACTCTAGACTAGACTGATAATAGCGATAGTGCGTGCATTCATTAGAGGGTAGTAGTTAGGATGATCGTGCCGGACATGCGAACAAGGAAAGGCGTTAGCTGTGCAAAGTTTCAAATGAAATTATTATTACTGTACGTCGATCATCATGGCCCACGCTCAATACATTCACGTAACCGCTACGATCGAAAGCGTAAATTCCTTTCCTTTCCTCAATTGTCGTCCTTTGCCCCGTCTCTATCACTATCGTGCATTCCCATCAAAACAGAACAGTGCATCCAAAATATAACGTACGGAACTCATGGATCTAGACCTTGCAAAGGCCTTCTTGAATCTTCACTCAGCACCCTCGTTGCACCACATCCGCTCTTGTAACGTACAAGACAAGAAAGAAAGGAGCAAAGCAGATTCCGAAACGTGTCCTTAACTCAGTGTTTGTGAAAAACCTTCTCCGTGCTAATCCATCACAACCCCAATTCCACGTTGTTCAGGCCTGACAGGAACTCAAGATTCAGGAGAGTCAGTCAATCCGACGTGCGGACCAGACCAGAAGCCTTCAAGAACAGTTCGAGCAGGCAATTCATCAAACAATCTCAGTTTCGGATGCTACGACTCCGAGTCCGAAAGACCCTCTTCTCCCTTCTCGGAGGAGGCAAGTTCAATCAATAGCCTCGAACATCAGACCAGAATAATACAGGGGAGGGGCTCCGGTACGACTCCGAAATCCGAATATTTACTGTACCTTAAGTATGCATGGCATGCATATGCAAGCGAAGCTACTTCTCCTGAGAGAATGAGTAATCTCCTATCCTCATCCACTCATTCAACTCGGTGATAATAACCCCTTAAGCTTATGAAGAAGAACAACCAGAACTCTTCTCACTCAATTCTATCACGCCTATCGCCCGGAAATACACCCAAACTCACTGGCAGTCCAGTCCGTAGTTCATGCACTTGTAGTAGAATTGTACCTTCCTTTCAATAAGAACTGCCACTGATTCCAAACTCCGAGTCGGTTTGCGATTCGATTCAATGCGAAGGGACTTCGGAAGGTATAACCGGTCCCGGACGCCTCAACGTTTTAACAGTAATTAATAATTACTCCGAGGAGTATCCTGACCTAGTCAATTGAAATTTTGAAAGGAGTTCCGGCGGGAGTGATGAGTAAGAGGTTGAGTGCAAGATTCTCGTTCCTTTCCGACTTCTGAAGCCTTGTTGTTGATAACAAGTTTTTGATAACCAGTGAGAGATTTAGGGTCGGTATAAATATCAGCAACATATAAATACCCCTCAGTTTCGTTGTGTCCAGTATTGCACCTCGTTCAATCTTCATAGAACAAATTTCACTCCAAGCCAACAAACGATAGCAGTGTGTAAAATGCTTCCATCACTGTACAAAACGCTTTTACATGTCTATGTCTTTAACCATTCATTGTCTTCATGATATATCATTCTGCATGCTCACCAATACTTGCTATGCAATGCAATCAGCATCTCCACAACATCAAAATACAATGTTTCCCCTCAACCCATAAACCCCTACTTTAGATGTCATCGTCAAAGCTTATCTCTACCTTCTCACCGGGCTTGAATGCAGGTAAACCTATAAGAACATATGCATTAGCAAGCGAGCACAACATGCAATCATGGTAAAGGTGGAAGTGAAATGCAGGAAGAGAAATAAAGAAAAGAAACACACCTCGATAAGGACACCCATCACACCTAAACGCATCTCCCAACGCACAGTTCCCACAACTACTCGTCATCTTCGGCGCAGCAGCAGCAGCCTTCAACAACCTCTCCCTCTCCGCCGCCTTCACCTCACGAGCTCCACCATTAGGTGCACCGTCAATCATCACGACAGTCGCGTTCCTCTCTTCCTCTGCCTCAAGTTCTGCTAGACCACATGTGCAGCCTTTGCATGCCTTACGGCGACGCGGTCCGCTACCTGCGGGAGGTGCACATGGCTCGGGCCGTGCGCGGTCAGCGTCAGTGAGCAGTGCTTCTGCATCGATGGTGGGCGTGCCTGGTGCAGGTGTCGTGAGCGTCCATACAGCCTTTTTGTTCGAGCGGCGTGCTGCGTCGGCAGCACCGCGACGGAGTGGGAGTGATACAGCTGCGGGACGATTTAATGGGACAGAAGCCGGAGTGGATACCGGCGCGGAATAAGTTGTTGTGGATGAAGAAGTCGACGTCGAGGCTGACGGCTTTCGGAATTTCTGGGCAATGAGAGCACCCGTGTCATCCTCCTCCGTAAGAATTTCAAATCCTGCACGTTCAAGGTCTGTGCGAAGACTGGAAGGCACGGAGGAAGCGTGTGCGACATGCAGAGTACCGTGTGTAGACAGTCCACTCAGCAGCTGAGTCAAGAGAGAAGGTAGCTTGGTCTGCAGGGCATTAAAATCGGACAGCCCTAGTACTGCGTAGATAGCACCATAACTTGCAGGTACAAGCGTCGTCGCTATCGTTCAAGCAAAACCGCATGTAGTCAGCCCACCAAATTTATTCCAGCTAAAATTGATTGCAAAAATAAAAAAACGTGCACGCACCACCCTCGACAAGTCGATCTACCATCAACTTCTCTACACTGCGCGTCTTCTCGAGCTCTTCGATGAGCCGCTGGTATGAACCATCCTGGGCACTGGCAGGCGAGCCGAGGACGAGTGCGGGTGCCTTGAGCTGCTGCGTCACAGTGGAGCCAGCAGGCAGCACGTAAGTTACAGACTCAGTTGCTACGGGTGACATCGTGCAAGATCAGTAAGAATACAGACTATGTGTATTTTATAGACAGCACGGAGGAGTGTGAAGTGTGCTGAGAGATGGTGGTGTCTGTAAACTGCTGAGAAGTGTGCACTGGCGCAGACGAAATGTAAGCAGTGTGGCAATCCGCTGAGTTCTCTTGTCTCTCATTGGCTCGGCTTTTCGGACTGCCTGACTCACCCACTTCTCCGAAGAACGCAAGGCAAATAATGACGAAACCTAGGTACCGCATAATCATCGTACACTATATACATTCGAATGAACGGAAAACAGAAGAAACAACTACAATAAACAGCAAAGAAAGCGTAAGAGAGCCAGAAGAAAAGATGACAGGAAGGAAGGAAAAATCGCAATGAAAAGGTCCACAGAAATCGATACCTGGTAAACCTACATGTACAAACTGAAGCAATCAAATCTCATCCCCACCCAAATGCTTTCACTGAGGTTGCTCCTGCTCCTGCAGCTCCTGTGGAGGTTGCATCACTTGCGGAGGCATCTCAGCAACGACTCCCATTTGATAAACACCAGTTGGCGTCGACATCACTTGCTTGAACCGGAAAAACATATCCCTGTACCATTCTTCACTGGCTTGTACCTTGTCCTGTTCTGCTGTAACATGCTGCAGTTTTGTGAGTTCGTTATGCCAAAGAGATCGCCAGTTCACGTTCCCGTTCGCGTCAATCTGCAGAGGAACCCTTTACGAATGAAATACCGTCAGATTTGACGACCTTACTGAAAATAAAAAGACATACATGTATGGATTTGCAGAAGAAACGTCCTCAGGACCAGGTGGTGGAGGCATCACTTGTTGATCGTAAGCTGGGCCACCAGTCTCAAAGCCGGCAGATGTCGACGGTGCAGCGCCGTCGTCACGCGCGTAGTCAACATCGTGTTCACCCTCGCTGTGCGAAGATCGCTTTGATTTGTGTGTCCTCTTCTTTCGGATACGGTGCACACCAGTCCGGGGGTCGATGTTATCATTCACGGTCCAGTATGAGCCCTTGCCTCTGTCCGTGAGCGGCCGTGCGACCTTTTCAAAGCATGGATTAAGTGAAAGGTTGTGTCGGACAGAGTTCTATGTAAATCAATGACATTAGATGTCTGCGGCTCAGTACGTTGAAGTCGTGAACGGACGAACCTTCCAGCCTGAAGGTGCAGTGCGGAAATAAGGGAACTACGCTGAATATCAGCGTCATAAACCACCATGAACTACGAAGCACTACGTACTCGACTTTCAATAGCGTAATAGATGTCCTCTAACAGCAGCTTGCCCGTCGGTGATCCCTTGATCGCGTACCTAACACGTCCACAAAGTCCCATCAGAACCGACCGCGTCACGAAAATGTACATGCGGCTGCGCCAAACCACGCGCAGCACAAACACGGTCAGAAACGCTTACTTACCGAATGAGAGTCGAATATGGATAGAACGGCTTGCTCCCAGGAGGCCCGTCACGCAAAGAATCGAGATTAATTGGGAGCCCGCCTGTGAGGTCACTAGGCGGGTCTGGGTAATACGAGTTTACAGGCATCTCATTCGGTGCCATCTGCATTGGGGGTGGCATTGCCTGGGGAGCATCCATTCTCTCGTAATTGATCAAAGCAAAGTAGAATGTGATAGACGAAGAAGAGAGCTGCAGACGTCGACAGCAAATAATGGTTGTTGTTAACTGAAGATGGCTCCGTGGCTCGAGAGAACCCTTGCGAGGCTAAGGCGAACCGTGAGAAATAGCGTTACCCCGTTCACATTCCGCTATGATCACAAAACGACGAGCGCAGTTCTCTAACATCGTGAAGAACAGCGAGCGCTGGACGTGTGCTGGAGTTGCAATGGCGATAGCTGGGCAGAGGCGCGAGAATGTCGTTTGTTTCTGTGTGTTTTGGTGGTCAACGATGTCCAACAAATGAAAGCACGAGAAAATACGTCGAAATAACGACAACCAGAGCACAAACAATGCTCTCCAAAACATTCCCTCAATGACTGTATTTTCCACCGTTCCTTAGGCATGTATGGACTCAAAATACATTCAGAAAGATGTTTTTATGACAGTACAACGCCCAGAACCTGTTACTCTCCTCGACGAGCCACCAACGAACGGCGTTCTCTGGCCTTCTTCGTGGTCCTCCTACCCAACTCGACCTCAACCCCGAGATTACAGATACCCGACACAGCAACGCTGTTTGCGCATTCAACATCTGTTCTGCTTGTCAGTTGTGTCAGACAATACTTACTACTCTATGCCTATACCATGCCATGAATAGAGAGCCGCCCAGAAGATTGTACAACCGCCGAAAGATGGGCTCTTTTACCGGGCGCTGTTTCTCAAACGTACAGGCTTCAATGCCAGACAGGAAGCATTCTTCAGGTTGTTCTCTTCGGACTGTGTATCAAGGAAGTTGACCTCGCCAAGATGTCCCCTTTCAGTGTTTTTATAAGCTCCTGGCCGGAGTCTATCCGTTTGCAGGACCCGACGTTAGCTGCCTCCGAGAGCAAACTTTAAGGCCTGTATAATAGTATATTTACCCAGTACAATATACACGAATCATAAGTTGCGAGGATGATGTATTGCAAGGCCATTTACAGAATCTTTCCTTCCGTTAATTGTCTGTATAAATGCTATGCAAATTGTCTACCAAAAGGCTAGTCGTATTTTCAGAAGCGGGATATAAATAGTACACAACTTTTCTGTCCACCACCATGTCCATTCCCTGCACAGACAACTCAACCGACTCAATCAACCAAGCAGGCCCTAGCCAAGCACATGCACCACCCTCTAGTATCTGCACCCAATGCAACTCCCAACCCTCCAAATACACCTGCCCTCGCTGCCAAACAAAAACATGCTCTCTACCCTGTTCCCGAGCACACAAAACCACAACAGGCTGCTCAGGCGAACGCGACCGCACCACATACGTACCAATGAACCAATACGGTTATAGCGCACTTATGAATGACTATGTCTTCCTTGAAGAAGTCGGGAGGAAGGTAGAAGGTTGGGGACGGGAGATCGTTTCTAATAAGCTTCACGCTGTTGCTGGTGCTACTCGTGGTATGAGTATTCGAGGTCGAGGAATGAATGCCCGAAGTCGGGGAAGAGGGATGTCTAGGGTATTTCGTCATGGACATGACAAGAGAAGCTACTTGGCTATGCAGTTGAGCATAAGAGACATTGAAATGGATGTTCTGCCTCACGGTATGAAGAGAGCCAGCCAAAACATGTCGGTTTGGGATGGAAAGTAAGTACTTGCTCAGTAAAACTTAATCTTTCCTCGATACTTTGGGTTCTAATTATTGTATTTTAAGAGGAAAACGTGCACTTCTCACTATTGAACTTGTCTTCGAACCTCCTCCGGACCCCTTCACGCGAGAGGTGTTGAAATCTACATCTTTAATTTCCAACAAAAACGACTGGGACCAAACTATCCGACGAATTATCAAGACAAATCTGAAGCGGTCACAGAAGGCTCGTGACTATGAAGCGCTTCTCCAGTGGCTAAGTCTCGAAGACGAGGATGAGACTGTCCCAACAAGCGTTCTGTGCTTGATGAAAAGACCCAGAACTGATGATGACTCGCTCGTCACGAACCCAACACGTCCTTCGTATTACAAACTAGACTGGAACCAAAAGCTATCAAAGGCGTTCCGTTACAAACATTTTGTCGAATTTCCGACCATTATTGTAACGGATGAGACTTCGTTTAGCGGAATACTCGTTGATGACAGCGGGGCAACCGAGGACCTACATGAGAGGCAGCCAAAGAGACGTAAGCTCGACGTGGACCAGGTGAGGAAGACCATGTCTGGTCTTGTGGGCGATTACGGCTCTGAAGACGAGGAGGAAGCGAATGTCTTGGAGACATTGGCCAATTATTCAGAAAACGACGAGGATGACGCAACATCAGACCAAGACGTGTGTGGGATATTAGGCGAGGCCGATGAAGAGCATGCGGACTATGCCCAGGATACTCTAGACACAGAACCGGCAGCGGATAATCTGGTTGTAGAAGATGGTTCCGATGACGAGACCCTCGACTGGGGTGACGAGGAGATTGCAGAGGATGAAGCGAAAATCGCAAGCCTCTCCGATGCTATTCGTCAACGATACGCGACGGCGCAGAAATAGTAACTCGTATCCACTGTCCTTTTCGCATATATCATACATCCTTTCTTCGCAAATCCAATAAACCTCGCATGATACGCTGGACTTCAAGAACGGCCTCGATCATCTGACTTAAGGGCGTTTCTTGTGTATTTTGGACTGGGTAAGCGGTCTTTACTTCTACCTCCCAGAGGGTATCAGCGTGAGCAGGAATGGGTTTTTGCGTGCGTGGATCGACCTTGAAAGAAGGTTCAATCCCGTATTGAAGAATAGAAAAAGAGTAAAGAATTACTTGTTCTTGTTGAAACATGTGGATCACTAATGGACCACGACGAAATGCGTATCCCTTCTTGTATAGCTGCGCTCGTCGACTGGGAAGAATGTCAGTCGTGACAGTTGAACGACGAGAGCAATTACATACACATAACCAAGAGCAGATGCGAAGCTCAACGCATCTTCCATAACATGGCACGTTGCCCACGGTCGTACAGTCGCTTCTGGGTGCTGACGCACGGACTCAGGCTTTAAATAAGAGTACATCAGCCTGAATATAGTTGTTAGTCTTGCTACGCTACGAAATATGTATGATTTCACTTACCAGCCCGCCTTGGAATCCATCAAGTCCTTGCTACATCTCAAGAAGACTGGTTCATTGCCTTGGCTGCGTTGCATTTGAGCGTCTAGCGGCTCGAACACGACCTCTCGAATATGCAAATCCGACGCTTTTAAGAGGAAACTGTCAGGACCGGGTAATGTTGTAGAGACATGTTTACTTACAGGTTTCGCTGTGTAGAGTTAGACGGTTGAGGATAGGCCTCAGGTCCTTGGCGAAGAACTCGCCGTACAGCGCGACTTCGTATAGATGAGACATGTTCGGCTTCGATTTTCCTGTCGTTGAATAACTAAGGGCCCTGCTTATGCAAAAAAAAAAAAATTATGTGGGCCAAGTACAGATGGATGAACGCGAAAGAAGTGGTTGGGCCAGACGCGTCAGACGCGTCAGACATTACACGCTCTTTCTCATGCCAGTCACCGACAACAAGTATGATTATCCTTGATCTTGTGTTACTGGTCAACGTGGTTGTCCAGTCCCGGTGGAACGGCCGTGCAGTGATTAGCTTCCCAAGCAGATAGCTCATGCTCAATAAGGGTCCCCTCTCCTTGTTCAACGCGAATTGATGGTAACCTCTTTGTAATTCAAACGTTTCAACAAACTAGTAGACAGTCGTAGCTGCTCTTGTTGTTCAGATCTGTTTCCGCTTAATATCTGATCTTTCCATCTGTGCTTTCAGGCCTCCAACCGTCCTATTAAAGCAGCCGCCCGCTCTCTGGTCTCCCTTTGTTTCTCCACTCTATTGTGTAACTTGTCTCGGGCCCGGAAGTATGTGGCTTGTTTCCGTCCAGAAGACAATCACACCCATGCACGACAACGACATGTACGAGTTCTTAAGCAGCATGTCTTCCGTAACACGAGGCTAGAAGAACTCCCTTACGGCTTCCCCTCCAATGACGGTCTGTGCAGGTCCAGCTTATCCTCCGCCTTACTCGTACCATCCGCCTGATGGTTACATGGCACATTACATCAATGAAGTAAAGGAGCAGGTATACTCTGAGCTTCAGTCTCAACGTGCTAGTCGCTTGAGCTCCCAGAAGAGCCACCATAGTCCTCACTCCCGCAGTCCAAGATATTCTGGAGGCAAACCTACCATATCTGAGAAGAAGCCTCGCTCAAGTCCTTGGACCTCAACTCCTCAAATTACATTTCCTACTCCTCAGATTACTGTCCTTCCCACTGGACCCGCATTTCCTATTCCACAAATATTTCCGAACTCAAACCCGTATTCACCTGCATGGACTCCGTTTAGTATGCCCCAACCGCAAATTCGTTTCCCGACTCCGGAGCCTTATGGTCCTGGCACTCCCGTCCGATCCTCACTTCCAATGTCATACAGCCCATTCCCTTCCGCTACCAAGCCTAGTCCACATCGTGCATACCAAGCTGCAGCTCAAGTTCTCCCATTCCCAGGCTCGGATGAATCTATGCCCCTTCTTTCGCATTCCAGCGTGGGCACGTATGGCTCGTCTCGTTCCTCTTCAGCCTCTAGATCGACACAGAAGCGACGAATAAACTACGATGCGCTGGTGCGGGCAGTGGAGAATATTAAGGTCTGCAAACGGGAGGTAGCTGGATGGGTGAGGATAATCCGACAGTAAGACTATTCCAAGCTCCTTCGTGTTGACCATCACACTTACTTAGTGCTGGAACTCTTCAGGCAACGAAACGAAAAGCTAAGTAAGGAGGAGAGGGAGCTCGTCTCATACATAGAAGATATCTACCAAAATGCTTCCAAAGCCCTCCAAATCGCACGTACCGCCCTACACACCGTACATAACGCCCATAACGTCCGACACGACGCGCAATTCACCTCTGGAAAAGTCACCTCAGACATATCCACGCTATCTACTTTCGCGACCTCCTTGCGACATAAACTTGGCAGCCTCGTACGCCGGCTGAAAGAATTGAAAGCCTCTGGACCGGCTGAACGTCCAGGTTTCTTCTCATGTCTAGAAGACGCTCCGGGATGTCTAGCTGGATATTATTTGAAAAATCGTTTGTTCCGATTCGCATCGTTGTCTAAGGCTCATAAGAAACAGTATAGCGAATTGGGTTCAGAGGGTAAGCCCTCACCCCCAGTTTTTCCGGCTCACATACATTTTCCTGACGAAATAATATTTAGCGCAAAGTCTGACTGACCATCTGCCAATGACAAAGCTTATGAACTCGTTATATGAAGAGGTGCGGCGGACGTATGGTATTGTTTCGAAGACTCTCGCCGGTTTCGAGAGCTCGTTGCATGCTTTTCGGTTAGAACTGGAGAGGGTGACAATGGCACATGGAGACCGTTGAGAGTGTTCTTCCGACATATCACGATACTATTCTTCTATGACAACCTCTTCATAATTCACATCTAATTCCTTACGACTGTGTAATGATTTTACGCTCTACGACACGAATGTTCTATATCATACAAACCCAAAGTTAATCTGTCCTCTCACGACTTGATGCCGTCCGAGCAAAGCTTTAAGAACTGCTCCGAGTCGTCCCAGTGTAACTGTGTAAAATTCTACTTCAGCCATCGGAAAACCCATAGAGTTACTGGTTCACTCACAAAATGATTAGCACCTTCTACAGGCACGAACTTGACAGGCCTCCTCTCTTTTCCTTCACTAGCCCACTTCAGATATTCCTCCTCAAGATTCCACGTCTCCCATTGAACGACCCACAAGGAGGCAAGTCCGCATATGACGTGGATCTTGAGTTTCGGCAGTCGCAATTTCTCGTTTCCTCCAGCCTCTGAGTCCGAGGCTATTTGCTCACTACCAGCAAGGAAAGCTCGACGTTTCTGTTCTTGCAGGAGAGAAGACGGAAGATGCCACAGAGGCCATTCGGATCGCGGGCCTGGAGCGATATCGACGCAAGTTAAAATCTCATTTGGTGTGAACTTGTCGAGTGTACATGGGCGAGCTGATTTCTTTGGTGCGCGTAATTGTAGGGCATCGAGAGTGCGGTTTCCGGGTGGGAAGACAGAGCCCGTGTTTGTGGTTGTGGTTGTAGTTGTAGTTGTAGAAGGCTCCACTGACGATGACTCGACTTTGTATGCTGGATGTTCGTAGTAGGATGATACCCATTTCCCAAAGCTGATACCTCGGATACGTTCCGGGATTGAGGCGTCTTCGAAGGGGTGGTAGTAACCTTCTGGACGAGGGTATCCGAAACAATTGTCTGGGAGTTCTACAAAGCACGAAAAACCAAACCGATGAGTTTACGTTGAAACTATGTAGATTGTCAGGAAATCAATCCCTTACCATACATAATGAACGTCCTCAAATACGGCTCCAAAGTTTGTACAATATCCTCCGGGAACGAGCTCAAGTTTCCGAGAAACGCTATCGTCGTAATGTTGCCTAAAGACCAACCCAATAACGCAAGTCCACCTGCCGTCCCATCCTCACTGGCACGCGGAATCTTCAGCTCTTTGATCACCCATACGAGGAACTTGGCGATTTCAAGCCCTCGAGCTCGCATGAACTCGTGTTTCTCAGAATCAGTCCCATCTTTGAGGACTTGTAACTCGGCTTGGGAGAATGGTGTGGACCCGGTGTAGTCACGTCGATTGAGAGCGATGATGCGTAGGTTGTGTTTTTTAGCAAGAGCTAGAAGACGTGAAAAGTTTTCTGGAAATAGGTCGATTCAATGGATGGAGAGTTTGTGTGCGGGACGAGACTCACGAGCATGATACGAGTGACCATGAACGCAGACTAGCGTCGTGTACGTATCTCCACTCGGCTTCCCAGAGTCGATATACGCTAGCTCAGTACCATTATCGTCCACTTGGACCTTCTGTATGGTTGACATGGCAGTTTTGGGAGAGAAACGGAGAGAAAATGTCTTGCCAGAATCTTGTGTGAGCCTGAAGAGTTGTCCTCGCGAATGCGTCCATCAGCACTGCGTCGTGATTCATCAGTGCAGTGCTTCTTGCGGCCGCATGACCTGATCCATCACAACGCATGGGTCTCCATGTTCAACATTATCACATAGCGAAATAAACAGAATCAGTCAAGGCAGCAGACGAAGCCAAAGAACAATGCGACATGACGCAATCGTAAAGGAAGAAAACCGTCTCCGAGGTCATTCAGCAGCAAAAGATTATTCCGACGCGTCGCGTAACGTCACGTCACCAACCAACCGTCAATCCCAATGCCAATCAGGCACACCAATTGCTAAACTTAACTAGAGTCTTCAATCTAAAGTTGACTCCTATCCATAGTCCATCTCGAGTCTCGAACACAACTCTTCCAACAAAGAATTCCATCTCCAATACAAACAAAAAGCAAAGGCACAGAACTATTAATGTTATCTCCAGATACCTCTCTCTTCATCCGCCCAGCTCGTCCTTCTGACTCGTCTACACTTTCTCGAATTTGTCTCCTGACAGGCGATGCTGGCCAGTCTGCTGAAACACTACACACACTACCGGAACTTCTGGGGTTATTTTATGCAGAACCGTACGTGCAGCTTCCGCATGCCGGTGGTTTCATACTTGCTCGGCGGCAAGGCGGGACAGCTACGACAGCGATAACCGGGTCAAACGAGGAAGAACTAGAGAAAGAGAACGATGAAGAAGCTGTAGTCGGGTATACCCTCTTTGCATTCGATACACGCGAATTCGAAGAAACGCTGGAGAGTCAATGGTTCCATCCACTGCGCGCAAAATACCCGAAAGATACAAGTGACGCGGACACGTATAAAATCCAACTCACGGAAGCTGATAAACAATACGTCTCGCTATTACACGCTCCAGGCCTCGCACCAGACGCGTGTGTCGCGTTCTCACCTGCTCATTTGGTACGTCTCTTAATCAAGGGATTCGCCAAGTTTACGTATGTCTGACAGCTTAATACTTAGCATGTCGATATCCTGCCCGAAGCTCAACGCCAAGGCTGGGGTCGTCGACTACTCGACGCAGCAGTGAGATTCCTCCGTGACGAGAAAGGACTGACAAGCGTCTGGCTCGGGTACGATCCGAAGAATACAGATGCTGCGAGATTTTACGAGCGATTAGGGTTCAAGCCTATTGAAGGAGCGCCTAGTAATTATGTGGGCTTGAAGTTTGAAGATTGGACCTTCGCGTGATTGCACGCGTAATCATTGTGAACACTTCGCAAATTGTATTACACATACAAGCTCGGAACGAAATGCATCGTGATATTCGTTTCGGACCTTGATTCAGGCGCTTCCAGACTGAGTTTAGGCAGTCGTAAGCCTGACAACTCAGCCAATGATCAACAGAATCATGAAGCATTGACCGGAAATTAAGTAGTCAATGTACAAAAACTTAATTTTTGAAGCGCAATATCAACGACCTCCCGAAGCCCGACCACCGTCATCCTCGGGCGGTGGACCGCCAGCGAATACTGTTGACGAGGAATATATGTTAACATCAGGCACGAGACGGGAAAAGAAGGTGAGAATGAATGGAAAGTATAAATGGGAATGGAATACATATAGACAGGGGCTCTTAAACTGGGGCAATGAAACTGAATATCGTAAAGGTCGAGATGACCGGTACGATCGCAGACCTGTGCGAATGTATAAGAAGTGAGTGACTCACTGAGTACGAAAAGAGCGGCAACAATATACATCCAGTATTTCTGAATGAAGGACTTTTCCGGCTCTGGAGGGATTACCTGGCCCTTGGGCGAGAGCGGGGGAGGCACGCGTAACTCGGGTCTAGGCAAAATTTTTATTAAGATTAAGTGGCGGCAATGAAGGTGAGCAAGCGTACAATGGAGGGCCGGTCGCATGTCGGACGTTAATGGTAGTATTAGACGGGTGGAGGAAAGTTGCCTGGTCCAGATTCCGCGTCCGGAGCTGCTTTGTGGAAGGGCAGGCGCCAGATGCGGGGATGTCCGCGAGGAAATAATCTATGTGGAAAGGCGTGCCTGCACGGTCTAGGTGGAGAGTAATGTAGTCTGCAGATGCAATCGGAATATGGCACTGTATAATGCATTGGCAGGATGACGGTATGTGAGCATCGGAACAAAATGAACCTAAATCGGGAGAAATGGAGTGGGTGAAGAGTGGGATGGACATACTGCTTTGACAGAAGAAATATCGAGACGCTCGACAGCGAGATGATCAGGAGCGCCTGCGGGAACGGCCTGGAATGAGACCTGATAGAGGGCGGCCTTGTTTTCCCTCACATCGTTGTAGAACTGGCCAAGGGCGTCTTGTAATTGGGGTGCTGGTGTATATTGGCGAGTGGAGGGGTCTATGGAGGCACGGAGGACGAAAGGTTGCTCTGGAACGTCTGGACCGTGTATTCTGTGCAGGAGATTGAGCTGGCCGTCCGCCGCAGCGGCCAGGCGGGCTGCGAGGAGAGGTACGAGCGCAAGGAGCATGTGTGTGTCGAGGCGTTCTAACAACTTCTGTGGTCCAGTTGAGAGCGAGGCCCGAGGGAGGTGCCGGAAGGGGAAATACGATCGGCTCTGGGCTTACATGAGCACGGATGCAGTCTGGACTGTTCTTGCCGTGCTTGCCCTGTGCTCTGGACTCTAAACCCGTATATACTCCCTCCGTTTCCGCCATGGTTGGTTCACAACGCCCTCCTCCTTTCCTTTCTATCCCTCACGAGCACCAATGCCCGTCCCCGTCCCGCCACAGGGGTCTTCCTTTGTCCCCCTCGCCGTCAGCAGCGCGGACTACGCTGGCGGGCCGCCTTCCGCCACAAAATATTCGACCGCCCTCGTGTCGGCCCAGCCCGTAGTTCCTCCGGAGATGTCTATCCAGCTCCTCAATACGCTGCTTATATTCTACGAGGTGCTTGACCTGGCTTATTAACATGAGCCTTACATACTAATCTACGCATCACCGTCTCCTCCCAGCAACGGAAAGGCTGGGTGCAACGCTCACGAGCCTCTCTCGAACTCGCATTTGTCCAAGGTCCTTTACTCGTGGAACCGTCCATCGGCCGCTCATCAGATGAGCAGTCAGACTCAGACGGCTCTGCCCCATCTGTATATTCATCAGGAAGCTCGACAGATGAGCCCACTCCCGCAACAACCGATAATGACGGTATGATGGAGACGGATGAGCCCACCATAAAGCAGGAGGAAGAGGACGATGGTATTCCTCCGCGGACGCGTGCTCTCGTCCCTCTCACACTTCGCGCGGCGAAGCCAGCGGCGTCTTCCTCTAAATGGATGAAACGCAAAAAATCGTTTAATCTGCACCTTGGTCCCCTTCGCCAACAAAACCCTACTCGACCACGCAGACAAACGAGCGGCCCGGAACCCAGTGCACGTCTGCTAGAGCTCTTCGGTGATCTCCTAGAAGTGCGTATGGAAAGTTGCCTGCGAATTACCCGACTAGTCCGTGAGTCCAACCGCTCGATGCTGCACACCTGGTGAAGCGATGTTCATGTTGCCCCGCGCGACGTGTGAGTCCTGAACGTGAAGTTTCACCGGTATCAGACGCTGATAGGAACATTATTTTTTACTTCAGGCACATAAACCACGTCTTTTTTACCATGCGTATAGCATCTCAGGAGAGAGAAGATTCCGTTGCGACTCCATCAACATCGACTCCAATCGCCCATATCACCCTCCCCACCTGACAACATGTTTCGTCCGAGAATGCACCCCCGATCGAAGTCGCTGCGGTCTGGGCCGTCGTTGACATCACGCTTATGCGTGTTTCCTAACACATCATGATGAAAGGTAGAACCATCCAGGGTTTTCGCGAACCGCATATATACAGCTGCCTCACGCGTGGCTGGGAACGTCATTGTTCGGTCTTCTATATCTGCAGCGGGAGCAGATGATCAAGCAACCTGCAAGCGCCGAAAGCACGACTTCTTTTCCCAACCATGTCCCCCCACCTTGCTCTCTCATACCAGAACGAAGAAACTTGCCAAACATGCAACAACGCTCATACACGAAAGCGAATCTGCACCGGCTGTACCCACACAAAAACGGTTGTTTTAATATTATGTTCCTGAAACGAATTTTCCTTCTTTCTTTCTCCTCCGCATTTATACCCTAGCATGTTTTATCTCCACACCTTCCCCTCGCCCACATAAATTCGTGCTCAGCGTATGCCATAGCTGGCCTACTGATGCACTCTTCTTCCGTCTTTATCCGCCCATCCGCTTTCCCATATTCTAGCGCTCCTTCCCCTCCCCCGTCTTTCTTTGTATCTTCTCACAAGATTGTACAACAACACAACAACAACGTTCTCTTCCTCTCTAAATCCTGGTTAACCTGGTCTTTATACTCCCCTCTGTAACGTTATTATTACCATCTGTCCGTCTCCCGATTCTATGCTGTACCTCTATTATTTAGGTATTTTTTCGTCTTTCGTGGTTTACTTGTCTACTCTGCTCCTTATCAAAGTCGAAATAAAGCGAATGAATAGATGAGTCAATTTCCAAAACTTTAAATTTGTTTTGCAAATAAGCTTTCTCTGTCTGTCTGTTTTTCTCATCTCCGTTTTCTGTTCTCATGACGGAGGGACGGAGATTTGAGAGGATGACCCTGGTTTTGGACTTCTTTTCGTCATATTGAACCTGTCATGCGGGAACTTAAAACATACATATACATTTCATGGAGGCGCGTGGTCAGTCAGCGACGGACGGCGAATTCAGAAGTTGCTCGGAAGCTTAGCTTGTTCCTAAGACTTGCTTGAACTTCATTCGTTTCTCAAGTTCTATTTCTATGTATGTATACGCTTGCTTATATAACTCATTACAATTTCTGGGTTCTGAGGTTCTTAGTTTCTGAGACCTTCGGTGGCGCTTGTTCTTATTCTCACTAGACGTCATAGCTCTCTTGGACAATCACACACGAGGCAGGGGGGGATAGTGTAGCTTCTGTGACACTATGTCAGTATCTGTGTGTGTAGATACTACTAGAATAGTAGACACTGTCTTGTTGTAGTGTGATTGAGAGTTAATTTACGAGAGAGGTTAGTGTGCTAGTTCTATCTATCATGATCTATATAAATATCTTGTATTGTATTATCATGTATTGTAGCTATCAAACTACTGGTGCCCGCCCTTGCCCGCATTCCGCATCCGAGTCTGCTACTTAGCCCGTCGCTCCTCCGTTATCGCTCTTCTATCCTTCTATCCATCTATCTGTCGGGAAGAACATACAAATACATTGTTGGTCGTGCATTCTAGACCCTAGGATTTGAAAAATTAGGAAGTTATGACGTAGTTGCTACCTTACTTGTATGCCGCTATTTGCGAAGAAGTCGGACGGAGACGTTCTGTGTAGACATGAGGCGGTTGATAAGTTATAATTGTTACAAGAATATTGGAAGAAGGCTGCGTGGTCATCATGAAGCATTTTATCCAGACATAAGACCACTTCTGTTATTCTGAACTATATGTTCCAGATTACGAATTCACATTCTTCAACGACAATGACAAAGTAACACAACAAAAACAATATTTGAACAAAGTGCAACTTTTTCACGCGTAATGTAGATTACAACCAGGATAGAAATGTGCGGTGAGGGGTGAAAGTCCAGCAAAGGGAGACCGAAAAGGGGGATGGATGAGGGGAAGTGAACGAGAAAACAGGTAAGTTCAATTCAATCTCCCGTCTCTGAAATCAAGAAATCAAAGTCCCACCATAAACAGTGTGGGGCGGAACAGTGGTCAAGAAGGCAGTAGTACTAGTAGTAACAGCAACAGTAAACGGCGGGAACCATTGTAAATTACTTTGGATGGCAAAAATCAAAGAATCACCGGCACGGGAAAACGTAAAGGAAGGAAGCGAGCACAGCAACTAAGTGTAGATAAATACAACTGGTCCCATGGGGAAGGGCTAAAGCCTGGTATCCGTTTTGCATCCCTTTCTTTCGTCACAGAAGCCCCGCAGCCCGCAAGTCCTGCTGCAGGCGCCGCTCGTTCGCGATTGCTTCTGCAATGAGGCGCTCACGCTCGGGATGATCTGCAGGTATCGCATTGGCGATCTCCTCTTCAATCGTTAACCGGTCCTCATGCTCGTCGTCTACTGATCCACGCTCGAGGTCATGCCCAGTACGGTTGAAATTCTCGTCATATTCGTAAAGTAATTGTTGATCTCCAGCGACGCGCCCGGGATTATTGAGACCGAGAGCCATGTTCAAGTTGGGTAACCGTAAGCCGAGAGTACGCTCGAAATGGCGGGCGAAACTGCTTTGTCGGTTGTGGTTGGGGTTCGTCGGTATTTGAGGGGGGCGGTCAGGATGTTCTTCGTGTGAGGCAAGTATGGATCGTTCCCAACGCTTGATGCGCCAGAAGCCAAGGAGAGAATTCAAGAGAATGAACCATCCTGAGAAGGTAACAGATTAGAATCCATTGCCACAAACCTAGAGGTAAATATCATATTGGCCTACCAATTGTCATGAGCAAGAATGCAAGCCATTCGGACGTCGAATCGCTCGTAAAGAAAGATCCACCACCCATCATACCGTTGTTATCACCCATTGTCATCGTACCATTCGGATGATTCGCATACCAGGTGTCAGCCTCCGTGACTGAACTAAAAGTTGGTACTGGTTCTGAAATGGTAGTATCGCCCGAATTTGAGCTCCATGTAACTTCTCCACCTCCTGCAGCAAGATCCTCCTTATTCGATTTGATAGCGAACCCATATTGCACAAGCGTAAGACCGAGACCTGCACGAGCACCGAGCTTCGCAGCGTGCGTAGTATGCAAGAGGTACGTGAGGAGAAAGCCGACGAATTGGAAGGAGATAGAGACCAGCATGTTCCAGAGGAAGGAAAAGACCGTGCCTGTTGCGAGACCCTCGATGGGCAACTCGCCAGGGACCATCATTCCTGGTGAAAGAGAAGAGGGCGCATGTACGGTAGTTTCCCAGTACGGAGGAACAGCATCTGCTTGAGCTGCGGCGTACGACGGAGGGGCATCTTTCTGCGCGTCCTCCGGTACGACATAAATATCTTCGCCTTCATAAAGTAATGAGATACATCATCTGATGATCAGAGACACCAACACTCACCCTCTTGAATCTGACGAGGAGCCGTTGGCTTCGCAGTGACATTAGCAAATACACCATCAACGCCGCCTCCAGCGAGTCTACGTGGTCTCCGCTCACCCCCAACCAGTCTGTCAGCTACGCTTGCAGGTAAGATTCGCCTCACCCAGCTTGAACCCTGGCCAGGAGCCCGAGGACGGAGGACAGGGGAAGTCGGAATGACTCCGTTTGAATTGCCCCAGGCGTTCGATGGAGGTGATCCTGGTGGAGGACAATCATAGTCTACTGCCTCGAAATTGTACGTCCCTGGTGCAGAAGTGCTTTGCATCCGTGTATGTACGGGCTGCACAGTGTTCGTAGTGGCGAAGGGATGAGAATCTTCGTCGTTATGACCATCAATCTCGTGTTCGCCGCCAGTATGACCAGGGTTCAAGGGACGAGACTCTGCATTATGGACATCTCTATCATCTTCATCATCACTTGCCTCAAATGCAGCTTCTAGTTCGTCCTCATCAGGATGCAAACGACGGTTTGGAAGTGCAGCATATCCGGCTGGCATGACCAAGTGAGACAAGTAAATTAGTTTAAGGTGAATCTAGTCTTTCAATTTAAGCCACGATAAGGAACGTAGAAAGAAAAGAACCAGATGATATGGAAGGAGGAGAGAGGGCGACAAGGAGGAGCAAAGCAAAGGGCGTTACGGTGAGCGATACGTTGCCATTGTAAGTGTAGTATATTGATTACGTAATGCTTCTGATCCACAACACCTTCCCTTGTTCTTCAGATCAACTCAGTCGACATTCTCCTGATGTTCTACGCTCCTACTACAATTCCTTGGCAATTTTACAACATCATCTATCATTTCACTAGTTACGGGTTGATCCAGACAGGCTGTACCTCTTTCTTGAAGGGCTCCAGGTTTATCTCAAGTGCCGAACAAGGGAAGCCGATTTCAAAGTTCTCCAGTACGGTCGGATGTAATATGCCTAACACTCCAATCGGCTTGTCGTCGGATGATCCAGTCAAAGTTGACTTGATCTCATCTGCAATTTTTGAAAGCGAAGAGCTGTGCTTAATACTTGGGGACGAGGGTGTTGATCTATAATAGACAGTTGCAGCTCGGCCTGGGAAGAACGTTGGATCTGTGATTATAATTACGGCGTGCCAGAGTAAGTAATGGTCGAGAAAAGTAACATAGCGGTGTACCTTGTTTCTCCTTCAGATAATAACCATGTGTTGCCTTTGAATCTGTTGCAGAAATCTTTGGTACCTCAAGTATCTGCATCAGTCTATCAAGCAGGCCGTGCACGACTTCAAAGCCAGCTGTCTTGTTACACCACACTGCCGCTGCATGACGCACGTTCTTCGCCTGACGCTCTAATGATTTATCTTTGAAGACGACTTCTGATGACTCGAAGATTTTGATGGGAAGCGGATGAGAGCGGTTCTCTCGTACTGTCTTCAGAAGGCCAGGGAGTAACGACGTGCGAACGACCTGGAACTCGAGTGTCTTTGGATTCGCAATTTTGACGACGTGTGATCCGTCATCAACTCGGTTTAGCCACTCGAAGTTCTCTTCGTGAGAGCAAAGGATGAACGGTAGCACCTCGGTCCACCCTGCTTGAGCCCATTCTTGTCGGACAAGGTCGCTGATTTTGCTTACAGGCAGTGCTTGTGCAACTGTGCTCGAACTAGGGAATGTCTTTGGTAGATTGTTGAAGCCATATGCGATAGCCACGTCTTCCATTATATCGCATTCATGTAGAATATCGGGGCGCGTGCAAGGAACGTCCACCCCGAGAACGTCTGCATCTTTCTTGGAGACTGAGGCAGACAAGGACATCTTGCCGAGGAGCTTGCTGATATCCTGAGCAGACAAAGATACTCCCATGCAAGAATTAATGTACGATGCATGCGCAGTGAAGTGAGTTGCAGATATGTCGGGAGTAATCTTAGTCGTTCCATCCGGATAGACGATCTTCACAGGTTCTATACTGTGGCGGTATGTCAGTTAAATATTCGAGGTCAGTAGAAGTAACGTACGTGAATGGCTCTTCACAGTATTCGGAAAACATAGTGGACAAGATGTTTACGACAATCGCCAATTTCGTCTGGTCCGTCGCGGTTACATCGATGAACACATTCCTCGTGTTCAGCGTGATCTTGGTGTGTTCCGAGTTAATGATGGGCGGCATTGAGAGTACGACGTCATTCTTGTCGTAAAGGATAGGGTATACGGGTGAGTCTCTGATAATATGTAAATACTTTGATAGTTGCTTGTCTGACTAGAAATAGTGTAAGCGACATGATCCTTTCATAATATACCAGCATACCTCGTAGACAGTCATCAGTTCTTCCGCGTTGTACTCTTTGTCCTTATTGAGCGGAACGAACTTGATATCGTGAGGCTTTCGAGCCTCGTACCTAATTGGCGGCACAAGCGTATCCAGGTCATGGGTACCCATAGAAACGAGTTGTCTTCGCCTGCAAATGTTTTGGTGAAGCTTGTCTTGTAATTCAATGAAAGAATCATAGGATCGTTGTGTAAATTTGATATTTCGGAGGATTGCACCAGCAAAATAAGGTCTAATTCTTGCGGTCTAATAGTATATCGTGTGTATTAGCGACTACGAAAGAGTGCATTTCGTCGATTTGACATACGTCTGGCGCAATAGTGGTTGTTACGAGTTGCGACTCTCCTCCCGGAGGGTATACGAGTTTGTACGGCGTTGCTGGGTCTTTTCCAAGGTAAATGCGCAGGGCTCGAGAGATACCTTCTATGCATAAAAGATCATATCTAGCACCCCACATCAGTCGTGCTAGAGATGCTCGACTTGGACAAGATGTTACCGATTTGCGGCAACTTCAATTTTTAATTGCTAACGCTGAATGAGTTGGGGCGGACAGCAGCATGAACTAAGTAAACGTACCGGACGCCCTGCCGGAAGACCTTTCTTTATTGCCTCATTTACTTCCTCAGTGGTCTATTGAAATTGCAGTTAATGGGATATTCCAGATTGGACGTCAAACGGCGGAACACACATCGTCGTCTAGTTCTAGCCCATAATCGAAGCAAAGATCATCGAATTCCTGAGTTGCTGGACAATCGTCGGCGTTAGAAAATCGACTATTAAATTATCTACCGTAACATACCGTACTCCTTTCCAAGTCTACCCCAAAGATCTGCCTTATCTACAGCGACAGTCGGCATTGTGAGATGTGAGTGTGTGAGATTGTATGCAGTCAAGAGCCTCACTGGCAAACGGAGGTAAGTGGTCGGTTGAGTCACGTATGCCAGGAAAGGAAGTTGCATATGTAACATCCAATCCCAGTGACAATCTATTTCAACGTGATCCTCGATCGGCCAGAGTTGCACAGCGTAGCAGTACTTGCTATAAGCTCCCGCGTAGTCCCCCAACCCCTTGACAGCCATCTCTTCCTCCGACCATCATCATGGCCGAAAAAGATCCCTCGGCCAGACTGCGCCGTGCAGTAAAGGGTAAGCACGAGTTCCTATCTAGACACGCTCCGCGGAATATGCTAACTAACGTGCACGATTTGCGCCAGAGAACAACCTATTCCTCGTTAAGCGGCTAATACAGCGAACCGACATGCGGAATCCAGACCCGAACACGCGTCGGTACACCTCGCTTGCGTGGGCAGCCGTTCTCGGTCATGAGGAGACCTTCGAGTTCTTGCTCTATGCTGGACATGACGACGAGGAGCTTAGCAAGGTGCGTACATCACCACTGCTATTTCGTGGCTTATTGTCTTCATTTGATACTGGTTGCCTTTCCACGCGACAGGATGCGGACAACAATACTATTCTCATTCTCCTATCTGAGCTCAGGCCTGGAGCACATAATCCATACTATCCTACCTGCAGCCATCCCGATCTAATGGGTGCAGCCCTTCGCATGGCGCGCATATATTACGAACGCTACCCATTCATCCTTGAATGGTCGAACGTACAAGGAAAGACTGCGTTACATGCGGCTGCTTTGAAAGGGAACGAAGAACTCGCAGCGGTATGTTTCATCTATCAAACTATGCATCATCTCCAATTGTTCAACTCTATGTCCATCTCAGATGCTTTGTGACCTGGGCGCCGACTTTGATTTACCGGATAATCTTGGTAATACTCCCTTACACTAGTAAGTGACCCAGTGGAACTTTGTCAATGCATGCTGAGCTTTCATCAGTGCAAGCGCGTGGGGTCACGTTGCAGTAAGCAATTTCTCTATCCTATGCTTTCGTTGCTATAGTTCTGACCTTGAACGTCTCCGTCAGGTTGTCGTGTTGCTAATAGAGAGAGGCTGCCAATTCGCCGCACGCAACCACGACGGTTTCACGGCGTCCGATTATGCTTATTCGTAAGTTCATCATTATCGGGTCCTTTACTATATGCTCATAATCTCTAGTCGAAATACCTTATCTACGTTGGAGGAAGCTGCTAGGATGCAGTTCGAGAACAAGAAGAATGCCCGCCGACGAGCTCGGAATCAAGATCTGAAAGGTAGGACTGTCCTACCTGGTTGTTGATTATAACTTATATTTTTCTAGGCGCAAAGAACGGCGCAAATAGAATGCGAAGTGTGTCTGGCGGAAGTAGAACGACAGCCACCTCTGATAGTGGTGATGTTGGGTTGTCGCCTATGCAACCATTGTTGGGCTCTTCATTCTCGTCATCATCTTCACAGCCTATTATGTCGACTCCCGTATCAAAGCTCTCAACTCCTTATCCAGCGCCGGTTCTCAATCACTCCCACTCTTTCACCTCATCACCTGTGCCATCAACGCAATACAGTCTAGCATCATCGCTTACCCTACCTACGGCGGATATTTCGCATGTTTTGTCTCCTATTGCTTCGCGTGTTCGAGAGCGCGATGCAGATGCCATCGCCGAGTACAAGAAGCGCAATAGAAGTGGAAGCGCTGCTACACAGGCTTCTGATTCCAAGTCCACGACGAATGGAGTATCCACTCTCCCGACTATCAACGGAAGTAATTCGCACCTTCCGCTTGCGACACCAACCGCCAGCAACTCACCATCCGTCCCCGTCCCCGTTGCCGACCGTCGTTTGCGACCATCTTTCTCTGCCGCTCAGCTTCGGAGCACTCCGCCTCCGCCTCCTGTTCCGGTAGTCGTGGGCTCAATGGACTTGCAGACTCCCCGGAATCGGGCAGGAACCACGCCAACCACATCTCGGCCCGGTCAGGCGTCACCTCTGGAAGCTAACTTCCCCGCAATTGGCACTCCAGTGGCCAATGGACAACAACTTGAGCGAAGACACTCAGCACGACGAGCAGGTACAGTTCCTACTCGATTACAGGAGGATCCGGGTGACTTTACTGGCCCGTCGAGTGATTATGCGATATTCCCTGACCCACCGCCTCCGAAGCCAAGCTCGCGGAGAACCGCATTCGCGAAGCTGGGAAAACCTCTGCCTAGCATTGATGCACAGAAGATCCAACGAGACCATCGGCGGACAGCGTCCGAGATACGGAGCTGATCTGGCTTCCGTTAAATTAACATAGGCTGCAATACTTGTGTTCAGTTCATCGTATCACATTCTATTCTTGTACTGTTCTAGCACTCAGGGCACACATTTGTACCACCAACACTGGCACAGTTTTCTTTCGATATGCGTTCTTATTTTATTGGTAGCTCGGTTTTATGTCACAATCAGTTAGTGTTTGTAACTAGATAGCATGTGTGTATCTGCAATGGTACGATTGATATATATTATACAATCCTGTGTCAATGTACGTGAAGAGGCAGCTCTGGCCATGACGTGAGAGCGCGTGACCTGACGCGTCGAGATGATCGACATGCCCCTCTCGTGCTGGCTATCCCAGACGGAAACGCTCATCCCACCTGCTTTCCAGTTACTCTTTCCGCGATGAGTTCAAGTCGCCCCGAGTCGCCTGCCCCACCTCCTCCACCACCATACCCTGACCCAACGATGCAGATGGCATGGCCGATGACGAGCAATGGAACAGCCAACGATGCTCCCGTTGCGGGTCCAAGTGACGGTACTCTCCCGCCTGAAGTACGTTACAGGGCACGCGTTCCTCAAAAGGGAGTTCCTCCTCAACGAGATGCAAGGCCTGCAGTATCAGCACCTCAGCCATCGGAAATTGGTCGCAAACGGTTGACAACGCTCCAATTGTTTAACTTGAGTATCTCAATGGCGGGTGCTCAGGTTGCATGGACGGTGGAACTCGGGTGCGTCATTGGATTACTTCAGTCTCTCAGTGGCACATCTCAATTCAAATATGTTATTGACCTTAGTTATGGGACACCATTTCTACTTTCTCTTGGATTGTCCGAGCAAATAACGAGTCTCGTCTGGCTTGCTGGACCTATTAGTGGACTTATTGCTCAACCTCTAATTGGTTGGTAGCTCCTTGATTCCAAGTAACATCAAGTAACGTGTGATTAATACAAGGTGCGATCTCGGACTCGTCTCGCTCACGTTACCGAAGGCGCTTCTGGGTTGCCACGAGTACCGGAGTACTATGCTTCTCTACACTTATCCTAGCATATTGTCAGGAGATCGCAGCTTTCTTTGTTGATGCTTTCGGAGGTGGTGAAGGTTCTTGGGATCCGAAGAGGGACCGTCAAGTCAGCTCCTATCATGATTCGTCTCTACTGAACGATGACAATTAATTCTTGAGCTCAGGTGACGGATACCGCAATTGGATTCGCTGTTGTGGCATTCTATTTTCTTGACTTCTCGCTCAATGCTCTACAAGCTTCACTACGCAACCTCTTGCTGGACGTGACCCCTCCCTCTCAATTAAATGCTGGAAATGCATGGCACGGTAGGATGACTCATGCCGGAAACATCGTCGGATATGGCTTCGGTGAGTCCGAAGAATACTTCCGCTTTTGTATGCAATTGAAATTGTTCATTTGGGAAGGATTCCTTCCACTTGCACAGTTACCCTTCCTCCGACTCCTGGGCGGCTCTCAGTTTAGGAAGTTCTGTGTCCTAACGATGTTCATCCTTATTGTCACTGTTGGTATTACTTGCATTGCCCAGGACGAGAAGGCACGCCCGGCAGAACTAAGGGAGAATAAGCAAAGGTTGGGGATTCTTCATTTGTATACATGAACTTAATGTTCACGAACGTTCACAGCAAATTTGTGGACGTATTGAGAAACATTTGGACTGCCATAGTTGAGCTGCCTAAACCCATTAGGCGAGTTTGTTACGTCCAATTCTTTGCATTCATGGGTTGGTTCCCGTTCTTGTTTTACGCGTAAGCTACAAGGCTCTGTCTTCCTATGCATCATCATTGATTGAATGTGTACAGTACGACGTATGTTGGTCAAGTCTTGGCGTTGGATACTGGCAAAGAGCCTGATGTCGAGGCCGCAACTCGAATGGGTGATCTTGCTCTTCTCTGGTTTAGTATAGGTGCGCATTAATGAATTCGCAACTACATCACATTAATTACTGGTGCTGGCGCTATTTAGTGGCAGTCATTGCTGGTATCCTGCTCCCACACCTTGCACGCCGTGACCAGAGGCTTCTAGGGCGTGATGGTGACGAGGAGGGTACAGAACTAAACAGAATCCGGGATATGGTACAGAAATGGCGAGTTGAAGCTGCAAGTCAAGGCAAACCGTTGAAACTTCCGAGCATGCCGTTCATGTTGCGAAACATCTGGACCGCTGGGATGCTTCTCTTCACGGTTCTTACGTTTTCGACTTTCTTTATTAGCACTCTGGCCTGGGCCATCGTCATGGTCAGCCTCGTTGGTATCTGTTGGGCGATTGCTTGTTGGGTCCCGTTTGCTATCATTATGGAGGTGAGTTAAATTACGTTTAATACTAAGCATTGCATCACGGGATGTAAAATGTATTCATGCATTTTATTTTGTGAATGAAATAGTTCCTGAAAGAGCTTAGCGAAGACGCCGACTCGCAAGCGGTGCAGGCCTCGACCAACGGCCCACAAAGTCGGAGCCAGACCGCGCGCAATCATTTTCGTAATGCCTCTTCGCCTACGCAGCACCGTTGGCGACGAACAGATGAACGTGCGCCTTTGATACGTCAACGGTCTCTGGGACCTTATGGTGAAGAAGGAGAAACTGAAGCTGCAAGGCCTATTGCTGGTGGGACGGTGCTTGGAATACATAATTTGGCGATTGTGATGCCCCAATTCATTGTGAGTTCCGTTAATATTTAAACCTCGGCCTCGTAAATGCAAAATAGGTTACTGATGTGATTTGCGAAGGTCGCTGTCGTAGCGAGTGCGATATTCAAGATCGTGGACTCTGCAGAGGACTCGACTAATCATAATACGTATTTGGGCAAGAGCGGTGTGGGATGGGTTCTTCGCTTCGGTGGTCTATGTACTTTGGTACGCTTTAATAACTCTCCCTCATTTTTTCTTTTGCGATTGATGTGAACTGGCGTAATTGATTATAGGTTGGTGCATTTGCCGCAAGGATGGTACCTCCAACAAAGACGGAGAAAGAGATGCGTCGATTATTAGGCGAGATGAAAGTGCTGCGAGAACAGACTACTCCATAAGCAAGTTTTATCGCGCCGCTGTTGATTTCGCTTTTTTTTTTTTCGCTCCTGGGTCCTGGCTGGTTCTTTTGTTGTTTGCAAGTCGTAATTGGTTAAGCATCATAATTCACGAAGGTCGCAATTTTGTGTTATTTAGCAATCGCATTCTCACTGGCAATACAAGATATACGTAATTCAATTCCTTTTCATTGCTTCGCATCGTACATCATTTTATCCTATTCCTATGGTGTGTCTGTTATAGTCTAAGGTATCGACGAGCCGATAAGGCATAAAGCGAAATCCCAGTCAGACCTCTGTTTTGTTGCAATGAACGTAACCGGGATTTCTGTCATTGCCAGACGCGATGTCTCTGAGAAAAGGTTTGATATGTATGCAAATGCTGTGGATGCCTCAGTCCCTCCGTGGGTGCAAGTGTAAGTGTGATTGATGCCAGCTTACCTTGATCATGAAGTGGGCCTTTATGAAAGATCCTCACGGAATGGGTCTGCGAAAGCGATAAGCCTATTTCTAGATGTTCCTTGAGCTGTTGTGTGTCTGATGGTGGGTCTCCTGAATAGAAGAGAAGAGAAGAGTCTAGTGTAAGTTACAGCTTATGTTGTAAATTAAGTGAATAGGTACCTTTGAAAGCGATCACGGCGCAGAACGCGGACACTTCTACAAAACTTGATATTTCCCAATGAACGTCGCAAGATCCCAGTGTTATACCACCTATATGACAATAGAAAAATAACGATTAAAAAAAATTTAATACGACGTGTAAATGGGTCATTAGGACCTGATGATGCGACTTACCACTGGAAAACATAGGTGATTTACACTGTCGTACTTCCGTTTCTCCGTCTTCCTCGACAACGTATCGTCCTGTATGAGCTATGACTTGTGCTTCGCTCAAGGCTCCTTTCGGTAGTGTTTTGGCTCCGACAAAGAGCGTTGGCACGAGAGCATACTTGCATCATTGTACCATTCGGGTTGGGTATTGATTTTGAGTAATTAATGTCTCAATTTGGTTGAAGCTGATAAATAAAGAACTCACCGAATCAAGAATGACACCGATCTGTGCCTTGGATACGTCCTCCGGATTGACGAGCCAAAGAACTAGGCTTTGTATGCTGTGGTTCCAATTCGCACCATGCGTCTCTTTGAGGGCTGTTAGTATACGATGGATGTGTTGAAACGCCAGTGCCGTCTCTCGCGCGAAGTCCGGAGGGGATGGGAGCGCGAGGTTGCTGGGTTGCATGCCTATTTGTCCTGAGATGAATATTCTGTCACCAACCTATACAAGCCTCGTTTAACAGAATTTTGAGGATTTTGGATATGATGACAGAAATTATTGCATACGATAATAGCTTGAGAATATGGACCGATATTCGCAGGTGTCCAGTAACTGAGACCCTGGACGTGCAACGCACGACGCTCATTTGACGTATCCTCATAAGCTATACAGTCTAGTCGAACGTTTATCCCAGCTGGAAGGTCCACAGCGACGCACGCTCGAGCGGGCGGACTCGTTCCGAAGAAGGTCTTGTATGCTTGGTTGACTTCAGGAAATGTCGACATATCGGAGATGAATATGTTGACGAATGTTAGGTCGGAGAGTTTCAGTGAGTGCTGGGCAAGATGCTCTGGAGGAGTATTTAGAAGACATGCGAGGAAACGAGGATGAATTTGTTTGCATCCATACACTTACCCTGTAAGACTTTGAAGCATGAGGTTACTTCATCGCCAATGCTCTCCGTAGCACCACCAGAGTGCTGTACATTTGACACAACCACCCATCTTCCAGATTTGCAGGATGAAACTGGCGCTCCACCAAGGACGTTTGTCTCTGCTGAAGAAGTACTTTGTGGAACGGTTATGTTTGCTCCCCGAGCTTTGCTTTGTAGGCGCATCTCTAGTTTCCGGTATTCTGGTAGCAAAAGTGTAGGGACTACTACAGGCTCGATTGAGGTAGCAGCCTTCTCTTCAAGGCTAGCGTCTTTTATCCTCAGATATGCAACAGTTGCAAAACCACTGTCCGAATGGGTGACAGTTTCTACATCCTTCCTAGTAGACACAGTCAGTCCGTCAAGGAGAAGCGAACGGTATGTGAGTAGATGACGCACAAGACGATGCGTCGCTTGAACAAGGGACAATCTAAGGTTAGAGTCTCATATTCACCACCTTCGCCGCATATATGCGCTCCATACATGTCATTCTGAAGCATATTATTCATTTTGCTCTGGAAAATCAAGCCGTCGGTACTCACTAACCGCGTTAGCGTGGGTTGCATATCGGCAAGTGTTCGTCCCAGGTGAGACGGTTTCAGTCCGATGCCCGCAACTTTTATCAGTATTGCTTCCATCCCAGATGAGATCATCTCCGACAGCAGTTCACTTTGATCTCGCTGCCACAGATAACATAAGGGCGTCAAAGATAATCGGGAGCAACTGTAATTATTTTGAGTGTTTAGTTTAGGATCACATGGCGCAATGTGGTGAACGCACACATGCTCAACACGGACTCTCTGGTAATTAGAAAGGATGGCACCAACGGATAGACCTTGCACGTCTGGATGGCGATTCTATACATTTGCTTCCGTTGGCTTTAAATCCGGACGAAAGAGGCTAGGACTCTTTATTCTCACCTTCACCTCGGATAACAGCTCGAACAAATCTTCTGTCTCATCTCCTGTAACTCCAGAAGTCCCGCCTCCGTCCCTTGCACCATATTCAGAGCCTTGTTCTACAGCAGACCCTGCAATAACTCTTCTGTACAAAGGCACGTCAAGAGCTTGAGCAACGAGTTCTATAGCGTCTTGTCCGACAGTCTGATAGAGATAGGAGTCGAGCTCCTCTAGCCATGTCAAACAAAAGATAATCTGTAGAGGTTTAACATATACCTTTGCCTTGATCCGGACGCAGAGATGCTGCAGCGATTAGCTCGTGTCCATTGTGTTTGCAGTGCACCAGATTGAAACAGCTGTCCTTCCCTCCACTCAAAAGAGCAACATACTTCATCTAGAGATCGCAGAATGTTCCGAGCTTGGAATGCAGGCAAGACTATAATGAGAATGAACGGCAAGCTGGAGACGCCTGTGGAGGCTTTATGGCAAAGAAGTCCGATTTCGGTGTCTGTGAGACTGGACGGCCAAAGAAATTCAGGATCTGGATGATCGACGCCGCCAAACTTTGAATGAATCACATCTTTATTTCTTTCTCTTCCAAACTACCTGTCTTTGTTGAATTGCTTGTCCGAAAATGCCGAAAATTGTTTCACGCTCTGCTGTTTCAACATCAACTGAAGGCAAGGGTTTGTCTTGTGTTTGTTATCACAAGATACTCACCAGCTTGCACAACATTAGCGCAGCCAACACAGTCCTCCACAGCAACACTGCGCGTCTATTGTCAGCTTGATTTCTCGTTTAACGTAACCCAGTGGCTAAAATCTCATTATATAGATTGCATATGCGGGGAGTTTATTGTACGTTTTGTTTACTTTGTCGCGTGCCAGACGTCTTAACCTTACGGTTTCTTGTCAGCTGGTCATCGACAAACTTTTGACATCCTTGCCTCGAAGAAAGACGGATAACGCGATCATCATTCGTTCTCAGGACAGCGATGAGGCAAAGGCTCGCGTATTCAAGCTGAACGCGGCGGCGGCGGAGCCTATTCTTCTGGAAAGGTGCGTCACCGACCATTTGTAGTACTTTGTACCGACCTCATCACTGAACTCATTTCAATTATAGGGAAGGTGGTTACGAGCGTCAATACCGATTTACGTGTCCTCGGTGTACATTGCCGGTTGCCTACCAAACTACGCCGCCTCCTGTGAAATCTGGGCCTTTCTTGTACATCTTTTCGGGTGCTCTCACCCAGGTCCAAGGTCAAGTACCACCAGACGCATTCGAATTGGGTGTCAAATCGACAGACAAACCCGCTAAGGTTACGGCTTAACTGCGCTCCATCCGAGCGTCCAATCGCGCTTTGGTGAAAGTGTAAGCCAGTGGCTATGTAGAAAGCAGTTCAAACCTTTGGCTTACAACAGCGTACTAGCGTTTCTTTAGATACATATATCATCTGACTGTGCTTGTCGGCCTCTACCTCCTTTCGGTCACTAATCTGTAACAACTGTTTGTATCATATATATTTGACGGCTGCCTGGCAACATCTGGCTGGACACGCGTGTGCCACTCTGCTTTTCTCCCACTACACTGGCTGAAAGGATACCGGTTCGGACCACTGGTTGTTGTCGTCGCGCTTAAGGTACACTCGCCATCGATTATTACTCGTTAAATAAAGTGCAATCTAAGCGATGCAGAGATCAAAAGTCTATGCATGCTCCTTTTGGTCCACAACCGAGCGCCGTCCGAGACCTCACTGATATATGCCCCGCTCTGGCTGGTGCCACACTAATGGATGTCATAGCGGTCACTCGCCACGGAGTGTACGGGCATACTTCTTTTTAAGACATCATGCCATCTCATGAACACTGAACGTGTTGCCGAAGCTCACGCAACTCACTGTCAACCACCACCGTCGACAGTCCTCTATGGCCGGTCCCTCCAACGGCTTGACGGTGTTGTTCCTCTTCTTTCACATCGCTGGTGGTATTGTTGGACTTCCGATTGTTGTCCTGAGTATTGTCGCGTCGCGTCAGCCTAGTCGGCATCCAACATTGCTCAATTTCTGTGCCACATGGTTCTTCTCTTCTTTAATATACACACTACTGTACGTCTTGACATACCTATATTCTGTTGTGACAAACAAATTCTCAATCGTGATGATGTAGTCTCTACGCAGGAAAGCAGCGTGAAGATCATCCGCCCTTCGCGCTATGCTTAGCTCAAGCGTCCATGGCGAATGGCGCGTTTCCAATGTCAGTTGCGGTGTCGTTGGCTGGATAGACTTTGCATGACATAAACTTTTTTTGTAGGACATCTGCTGCAGGTGTGGCACTTGTGGCTCATGTGAGTAGACCCGTAAAAGTTGCCAATCTTACGCAAAGCTGAGCTTCACTGGAAGATTTGGCATGGACTTGGGCCATCGAGACCATGGTCTCAGTTTGGGTTGGCAAGCGCGAATCTTCAAACCGCGCGACTCATAGCAGTACGTTAAAATAACTCTACGTTTCGACGATTAAATATCTCATAACGCATGCCACGGCAAGCTTTTACTCGCTCCTTATATCGTCTTTCTTGCTTTAACAATCGCCGGCGCAGTGGTACGTTTCTTCGTGATCACCACATGGTGTTGTCTCATGGCAGTCATGCTAGATCGGTCATAAGAACCCTCAACGAATACAATCAACGGAGAAACTGTTTTATTGCACACTCGATTTCCGGGTTTTTGAGTGAGCTACTTCATATCCTTTACTTGTTCATACTAAGCAAATGTCAGTATATTTGTCCCAGCGTTTACGGCTGTGGCCATGGCTTTCATTCTTCTCTTCGAAAGTGAGAGCACCCATTTCTACTGCTGCACGCGACTAATATTCTCGACAGTTCTTATTTGTCTCAAGATATACCAGAATGCGTATATCCGGGCCGGGCTAAATCGATCCGGCTTCAGGCTTTTTTCGTTGCGCCTAGCGGGCTTTACGATTTACGCGATCATTGCATTGATGTGGGCTTGATTTGTGAAACGTTTGATTGGCTCGTGCTCATTTCGCCTGCCTAGCGTGTCTGCCTTGCTTCTTGCGAACAGTCGGAATCTTGCTCCTTATATCCTGCAAGCAACACGTAAGTAGCTGGTGCTGATCAGGAGCTCTCGCTTTCTCATGTGCTTTACAGTTCCTCTCGCAGTATTCTTCTTCATCGGGACACAGAAGGTAAGTTTCCCCGCACAATGTATGTGGAAAGGTTTTGACTCTAGTACAGGAAGTTCTTGCGACGTGGAGTCACTGGTTGGGATCAATCACCGGAGGTGCGGTGAAGTTCTACGATGTAAGTTCATTGATTCTTCGATCTACCGACCTCGGAACTGAAACGCGACTGTCAGGGTCCATTACATCGCAGATCCCGATCAACGACTGCTTTGATGCAAGATGGACGACCTCCTACTCCTTCCTTTGCAACACCCGAGTTCGTGCAATTAAATGACGTCGTTTCGGACAAACCCCGAGTCGACCTTGGAGCGGAGTAAGCATTCAATGGTGTGGTAGATGCGTCGGGCTGACTCGGACTGTCTTCCTGGTTTCAGGATCTTCAAATCTAGTGTACCACTACAGATGCCTAAGCGGCCTCCAACAAAGCCGCAGTATACCATGCCGTCCTTCTTCCCCGATCCCGTTGCTCCAAAGGCGCCCCGTGCAGAGCCTCAACGAAATCACTTTAATTCACCGCAGCGTCCGCCTCAACAGTTACCGCAGGAACCACCACCTCAGCAACGTCACCAGCCAGTGAATCCTGCACCAGTCCCTCGGCCTCTACCACCAGAGCCCGTTGTCCCGTATGATGTCCAATTCCCTGTTGAACCACCTCGTCCACAGCATAATTTCGCCAACGCGCCTCCTGCTCCCCAGCAATATGGTCCGGGTATACCAGGTTTTGAGACAGATCCTGTTAGTATTATTGCAACTCAGAAACAAACGATCTCGCGACTTTTGGAGGAGGCTGGATACATGAACAGAGCTCTCGACAGATTAAAGAACGTCGAGCAGAGTGAGTAAATGATGCAAGCTGGAGACATTCTGTTTGTGCTAACTTTGCTGTCCAGAGTTCCACAAGGCTCAGAACGCGTTAACGACCGAGAGACGCGCGGCATCCCAACTTCGCACCTATGTCAATCAACTTGAGTTCGATTTGGCGACTCAACAGAATTTGTTCAATGAGCGTGTTGCTCAAAACAAGGAACTGGACACCCGTTGTAAACAACTCGTAAGCTAATTCCGTAGTCATCTCTGACATTTGCTTACCAGTATGTAGGAGGAGAGAGTCGACAAACTTGACAAATTGAGCAAAAGCTTAGACAGTGCTCTGAACGACAGTGTGGACAAGGAAATGCACTGGATGAAGAAGTATGATTCGCTGAAAGTGGAACACGAGGCCCTCCTGGAAGACAGGGAGAGCCTTGCTAACGATCTCCAAATTTTCATGGATTACTTTGTTTCTCGCGACTCGCCTATCGAATGGGACGCTCCGAAGGGAAATGGTGCCGGACCTCGTCAATCGCCAGAGTCTGCTTTCCCTGAGGAAGTACGACAAAAGATTAAACAGCGAGCAAGCACTCCTATAACTCGACCCTACTCTCGATCAACAATGCGTCAGACAAGACGTCAGACCGATGCTGCTCAGGGTTCCAATACAAGACCAAATTTACCAACTCGACCGTCTGCCGATGCGACAGGTCGTGTGAATCCACCAGGCTTTAACGTTGAGAGTCTGGATAGACTGCGGCCGAAGATGCTTGAACTTAGCGGAAAGATGGAGCTCAGCGAGAAGGTGTCTGCGCTCGAGGAGCTTGTGCGGGAGCAGCAGTCAGTCATTGAACAATTAGAAGGGGTAGCCGATGGAGAGCGAAGAGAGAGGATTAGACAACGCATCGAGGGTAGTATGGGCAGCTGGTCGATTCCTAACTCAATATCCTCTTCCATGGTTGCAAACTCATCATCCCTTATAATGGATCGGGATGCAGCAATCAGAGAATCCGGAAACGATAATAGGTTGAAATAATCACGGATTTATTTATTTCGTATCTATATACTACGTACTTATGCTCAAGGGATTTTGTAGCGTCGCATACACTGACTGGACTTGCATAACATTCCTTAGATACCATCCCACTCACTTGCGTTTGATATTCTATTCCTTCGACATTTTCATCCCGTGCTTTTGCAGTAGTCGTTGGCATTATGGTGTATTTGTAGCCTACCTTCAATCGTTTATTAGACGTTATTCGTTCAGAGTCTGACTGGCTCCACTGGATCGAGAAGGTCGTGTCAATATCATATAAAAATATTACATTGCCAATCTCTTGTGTACATGCAGTTTCATGCTTCATTTGGGTAATGACCGCATACAATTACAAGGCTTGGATCACACAACAGGGTTAATCAAAGATTTCTTACATAATATACGACCGTTTTTTTAAAGAGAAACTCGAGAAACAGATGGGAAACAAACGAGAATTGCGCTCAAGGTAAACTGGATATAGCCTGAACCGAACGCTACATAACATCCACGGCCATAGGACTCAGAAAACACCGCATCCCGTCTGATCTGCGCAGTTAACCTGAGTGCCGCCCAGTTAGTACCACGGTGGGGGACCACGCGGGAATCCTGGGTGCCGTGGTTTTTCTTTCTGATTTTTTCATCCTTCCTCTGTGTCTTTCAAAGACTACCACCTCTCATTTCAGGATGCTTTATTTGCTGTAATTACTCAATATATGCTATACTACTCGCTATGTACTTCTCCGTTTCACTAAGCCTAATGGGAAGCTTACATAAGTTTTTGTACAGTACACAGCAATGTTGCTACTGATACATATGCTTAACAAGAATGAATGTATTGTTACAATGATTGCTAAATAGTTGTAAATTGGCTAGATGGATGTCGCATTAGCAAACAATTCTTTCATCCATTGACCGACGCCCAGTTCGTATTTCCAGGAACATAGTCTAGGTCATTCGCATCCTCACCATCACAAGTCACCTTCTTTGCAGTGGTAGATACTTTGCTGTATCTCCTCGGACGGCGGAAGCAGCCAGACGGAGCAGCAGTCAGCGTACATGCGGTCTTTTGATGTCTGACGAAGAGGTCTCTACGAGAGAAGGCCGCTTTGCTGAATATAATAACGTATCAGACTGGATTGCTGAGATAAACAGAAGGTCATGCCTACCAATCGCAGACAAACTTCTTATCGGGGCGATGATTATTCTCGTGTCTCTGACAGTCATTATTGCGAATAAAACCCATTCCGCTGCAGGTTACGTCAAGGCATATTATTCACGTCATCTGAAAATACAAACTCACCAAACACTGCACTGAAAGGGCTTTTCACCAAGGTGCGTGCGTACATGGTCAGCCATATGGTCCTTTCGTTTCGTGGTCTTAAAGCATCCTTCGACATAACATCGATAACCAGGCATAGTCTGACCAGACGACGAGAGACGACCAGCAAAGCTAAATAGTAATTCCTCGGATAGCCTCTCGCCAGGATGTGTCATTACAAAGTATTTCGTCTTTTGAGCGACAGCAACAACAGGAACGCCTTCGTATGCCCGCTCTATAATGACGTCTTGGGGAATAAGCAAGTCGCACATATTCATGACATTTACTCCCGTCCGAGACGCTGCAGCAGATTTCGGAGCATTCGTCTTGTCAGCTAACTTCTTTCTGTTCTTCACGGACTCTTCTAATTGTTGAGCCTCTTCCACAGCTTCGAGAATCTCGGCGGTTATAGGAGTATAAGGATGCTCAGACGCGTCATCCGATCGGAGCGTGGAAGTAGGTTGACCAGTGCCGAGTTCCCCAGGAGGTGCATCATTTGAGCCCATTTTCTGTGCAATCTCTGCGAGATAGCGTTCAACAAGAAACGGAAGATGTTCAGTAGGGATCTGAGGCCAGTCTGGATCGGGAGCACGAAGAAATTTCGGTGACGCATTTTGAGGGCTAGCAGCTTGTCCAGTAAGCTCATCCAAAGTCTCTTCTGCTTTAACGCTTTTTGGTGAAACTGGTTCTTGCATTTCCGATGCGCTATAGTCTCCCATGAGATCTCGAGGTCTGACACAGATGCCATTGTCATTCTCTTTGTCGAACATGTTGATATCAGCGACGAGCCCAGTGAAGTCTGACTTTCCGTTAAGGGAAGTAGAGGTCTTCAACGATTGCGTAGGACTTGAGAATAAAGCGTGTGCTGGCTGTGCTTCACATGAAGTTGGGAAGATCGCTGGTATTAGTCCTGGCGGCTGAGTGAATGAAACCCTAAGCGACTTCCTGTCAGCAAGAACATCACTCTGCATAGGTCCGTCGAACGAAGAGCTGGTATTCCCAAAGTTGATTAGAGGGTCATGCGTCATAAGGTATGCAGGCAGCGCGCCTGGGAAATCATAGAACAAACTCTCAGCAGGGAATAGATCAGGTCTCATGGGTTCCGTTGCTGGCCTGGATTCCTTTCCATCATCTTCTACAACAAGACCTAAACCATTAAGTTTTCGAGTAGATAGTTCCCCAGTGCGTCCTTGAGGATCAGAATGGACAAGACCGTTGCTTTGAAACTCAGATGAGCCACCCACGTGCTTGCTGGTATCTGCTAGAAGTAACGGAAGGCGGGCAACAGGCAAGAAAGCTGACAGCTGAGCACTTTCATCTGCAGGACCAGTTTGTCGGAGTAAAGCCGGGTCGATAGTAGCCGGTAAAGATAGTATAGGATTGTACTTGAGTTCTATCGGAAGCAAGAGTGTAGTCCGCTCGAGTCGATTTGAAGAAGGATTGGCAAAATGAGAGTGAGAGGATCGGCCAGCGTCATTAGAGGAATCACTAAAAGAATGCATAGGATAGTCGTGAGAGTCGTAAACTTCGTAACAGGTCGTAAATTCAGAGCAAGAGTAGAGTAGCCTTCACAGCCAGGTGTGGGGTGTGGATGTGCTGTGCAGCTAAGCAAGTACACAAGTGGCAGACGCTTGTCCGCAAAATGGCAATCACGTCGATCTGTTGATCCGGAAGCGGAGATGCCGTGATCGACGTGTCGCGTTTATTTTTCAATTTCTGAGTTCATGTCCTCTCGTGCAATTCGACGTAATCTACGCCTGCAATGCAAACAACGAAACTATTCCCGTCCATTCGTAAGACACGAGCTAGGCTCTAGGACCTCATCACAAAATATTCCGACCGGAACACCACGTAATAGATTAAATTGGTACGGACTTGCTTTCGTTGGCGTGTCAGCGCTCGGTATCTGGCTATGGGATCTCCACATCTCTCGACAACTAGCTCTGAGGCCTCTTTCCCCGGACTACTTCACTCCAACCACCCTATTTTCCTCAGAAAAGTCGAACGAAAATGCGAAACTTCTTCGCTTGAGGGTCCCACCCGAAATTGCTGCGAAAATGGCGGGTCGTGACTTTCAGCCAATCTGGTCGATATACGTGAAGGACTCGGACATCCAAGTTGAACGGCCGTATACACCTCTTGAAGGCTTGTCCGAAGAGGGAGAAATGGTATTTTGGATTAAGAAATATGAACATGGCGAGGTGGGCAGGTGGCTACACACGAGAAAATCTGGAGAGACAATTGAAATACGCGGACCGGAACCGACTTGGACGTGGCAAGATGGTGCTTGGGATAATGTCATCATGGTAATCTCCGGACTACTTTTCTCTATATGTTAATTATACTAACCTACAGTTAGGTGGCAGGAGGAACTGGCATAGCACCATTCTATCAGCTTCTGCATTCGATCTTCGCTTTAAAGTCACCTGAGTTGACAAAAACCAAATTTACGCTCTTGAATTCCTACCGCTCTCCATCGGAGTTACCACCACCTAAGATCCTCAACTCGCTTTCATCATGGGAAAGGAATAATCCCCGGAACCTCAACGTCCAAACTTTCGTCGACACCTTGGACGGTTCTCCCTCCGAAGATAAACTTACGGTGAGAAGGATATCGAAAGACGACCTGAAGTCAGTGTTGAAGGCTACGAATGGGAGGACCATTGTCCTCGTTTGTGGGCCCGATCCGTACGTCAATATTAAAACAGCTCCTGTTGAAAGTACTTATATTAGCTCGTAGAATGATTAACGCTCTAGCGGGCCCAAAGGCCAGGGACCAATCTCAGGGGCCCCTTGGAGGCGCACTCGGAGCTCTCAACGACGGAACGTTCCATGTCTGGAAATTATAGAACAACTCGCAGGGTATCCCGCATCGTATACAAGTCTACATACAACATTATTTCTTCTCTACTCCTCTAGACACCACATTTAGAACCTGACAGCAGGGGCCTTTTCTACGCCTTCAATCGATACCCTATGTCCAACTAGTGTTCTAATGTTGTTTATTCCATATCTACATCCCAACAAGATCAGTCTTATGAAACGTTTTTTGGCAGCTGCGTCACAAACCTAATCATCGTGGGTCGCTCTAAACCGAGTCCCCAACCCAAGACACGGACGTCTTTCGGGAAACCCATAGGCTCCAGCATCTCGGGCCTGAACATGCCGGAGTTCCCAATCTCTACCCACTTGTTCAATGTGGGATGGAAAGCAAAAATCTCTAGTGACGGCTGATAAATAGAAACTATTAGCGAGGATCTGGCAGCAATGGTATCTGGGTACGAACTTCTGTGTAAGGATTGTACGCGGGCTTGAATTTCAGGTCTTGGATACCCATTTTATTGAAGAACGTAGCCATGAAACCTTGCACAAGTCGGAATAAGAATCACAAGTTTGAACCTCGTTATTACGAAGAAAGAAGTAACACACCAATGAGATCTCCCAAAGTAATGTTATGATCAGCAACAACGCCCTCTACTTGATGGAACTCAGCGAGATGAGTCGCATCTACAGCTTCGTTTCGGAAGACACGATCAATACTGAAGAGCTTCGCCGGCTTGAATCCACCGGGTTGTTGAGCGATCTCTCGTAAAATTCGTGATGATGACGCGGTGGTATGGGTTCGTAATACTAACTTGCGGGACTCGTGTTCGTCCCACGGTGCTCGATAACCTAATGAACCGTAATCTCCGTGTTCGTGGACTTTGGCGACGCGGTCGTAGTAGTCTTTGGGAGGGTCCAGAGAGTCGATTGGGTCTGAAGGACAGACAATTAGAATATTTGGTGAAAAATGAGCCCATAGAGCAAAAGATCGCACCGGAGAGATAGAAGGTATCTTGCATGTCGCGTGCAGGATGTTGCTGAGGTACGAACAGTGCGTCGAAGTTCCAGAAGGAAGATTCGACGAAGGACGAAGTAGGCATTTCGGCGAAGCTAGATGAACGCATCATAAAACATTCGTCGTCATAGTCGGTGTTGAACGTGCAAGCGTACCCCATTTCAAAGAATATTTGCCTGAGTTCTTCTCTGACCTTGAGGAGAGGATGAAGAGCACCGCCAGACGTAGGAATGCCTAGTGCCTCGAAGTTGTACTTCTTGAAGTTTGCAGTCTTCCAGGCTCCACTACAGGATTATTGCCGGTCAAAGAATGCATTTCCGGTTCAAATGAGGGACTTACGATACAAGCATATCCGCAGTAAGATCAGTTTCCGGTTTCGCAAGAGATGTGCTGAAGTTCGGTCCCTTGTAAACTGTGAACCATTGTCCCTTCCTGGTGTAAGCTAATGTGTCAGTGGCGATTGCAGGATGGATGATGAGTCTAACTTTTGTGTAATGAGCTTTCGCTTCCTTAATGCTGCTAATGCCTTCTCTCCGGCTTTAAGTGTCCCCGTTGAGTCTACCTCCCGCATCTCTAATTGCGTCGCGTCAACAATTGAAGCAACCTACGCATTCCTTCAGTCATATCCGATTCTTGAAATAAGCTGTCTAACTACGCACCTTTTTCACGAACCCGTCTCCTTCCTTCGCAATCCAGCCATTCTTGAAGGCGTTACCTTGCCCAACTTTAGCAGCTTCATCACCGACCTTTTGCTTCAGCTCTTTCACGGAAATGGGCTGCCCCTCGCCCTTCATTGGCAGAGCTAACCACACTCTCGCTTCGTGCGATCCCTCCAGCGCGATTTGCGCACCTTCTGGAGCTAGTACATGCGATTGTATTTCACGAGTCTCATATGTTAACATCTACAAAGACGTTTCATATCAGGTTAGCAGCTATCTCTCTGAGCATATACGAAACTGACCTCTCGACTTGCGAGTGAGTTGAGTGCACCAAGGACAATAAGTTGAGCATCTTGCGAGTTGGCAGGTTGCGATTCTCCAGGTAGTACAAGATTACGGGTATCCTTGATGGAGCCTTCTGAATCAAGAGTTTTGAGGATGAGTTCTTGTACGGCCTCCATTGTAGAGAAATAAGTAGGAAACCTTGATCTGTATGCATTTCCTGAAGGAGGCAACTATCGAGTCACTCGCCAACTTCGCCACGTGCCGATATTTTCCAGCTCCAGCAAAACTCTCTTAGTCGTTCTCATTTGATACGAACATGTCGTAAGTGGCAAAGTGGAAATTATGCGTCGCTGGAATATTCAGGACAAGTGGAATCGCATTGAAAAAAGGCATGCACAAATTTGTCAATATGTCTATCATAAACTATGGCGGACAGTAGTGGCTATGCTACTGCCTGCCTCAAACACAGATAATTTCTTCTGACCCTTCCAACGAGCCTGAAGATCACCATAGAGGAATGCTAGATGCTTCAAGCCTATACAACGTCGTCGAGGTCGTGTTTGAAAGACTGCCATTTCGCGTAGACATGAATTATACAGTACCCAAATGAGGCATGATCTTCGCGGAACGTCACTACGCGAGTAACGAAACGTGTCCCAGCACAAGTCATAACCAGGGCGCACACACGCATCAGTGCACGAGAGAAAGCTCCTTGTCCGACGCGTTTTCCTTCATTATAAATTCTCTGTCCTTTAAAGCATCATGGCATTCACGGACAGGACTCCTCAATTCCGAGAAATCGTCGCCAAGTCGTCGTTACCGGACGCGAAGAGGCGGAAGACTGGCAAAGCAGCAAAACGAGGCCGCGACGAATCGGACGAGGCACAAACATTATTGAATAAGGAATACATGCGGGAGGCATACAACATTGTGAGATGCTCATCTAAATTCAGCTTCATGCACTTAGCTGACGGCTTAATTGTACAGTTAAACCACATAAATAACCTATCCAGAATGCTCTCAAGCATTCGAAGAGCTTACTTAGCCGTCGACTCAACTTCCTCCTCCTTCCTACGTCAACCTTCCCGTGCACTAGAATTTGATGGCTCAGAACAGTCGTGGTCATCCATCCGACATCTTACAAACGAGGAACGGGATCAAATAGATATGCAAGCCCGGATAATACTCTCGAAATGTGCCGACCGTGTGAAGCAGCTAGAGGCACTTGACAAAAGTATGTATTCAACACACTTTTATTTCCATATAATGTTCTCAACCCATATACCAGAACGAGCGGAATTAGCATCAGCAGATACGAATCTCCTTACCCGCCTACTTCCGAGTCGTTTGAAGCAAGACTCATCCACTAACTCAGTGGCAGGCCGGGCAGCACATAACTCAAGCGTGACATATTATCTCAACCGCCGACTTGCTCAGGCTGGTCAAATGCAAAAGGAGATGCAAGAAGAACGCATAAAGCGGCAGATGGAGCGGACGCGCACGCTCGGGTCAGGTGCAGCCCGAGAAGCAGTAAGCATGGGTTTAGGTGACCTTATCCCAGTTCCCGAGCCTATACCTCTGGCTGGTTCATCCAGTACGAGGAACTGGCTTGGAGACGCTGCGTCTAATATTGCGTCGTCAATTGGACTTCCTTCCCCATCCATGTCTTCCACCTCGCCTAGACCAGGTGGACCAACTCAACCACAGCCGATGGATGACGAATTTGACGACGACGAAGATGACGATCTTGAATTGTCCGCGTCCCAGATCCAACAATTCGAGTCAGAAAACGCAAACATCCTTCGCTCTGTGCAAGACACGCTCGCGTCTGTCCAGCAAGCTGAACAACGACTTATGGACATCAGTGCTCTACAAACTGAGCTCGTCACGCACCTCACGAAACAATCTGAGATTACGGACCAACTGTACGAAGATGCCATCAGTACGACTGCTGCTATGGAAAAGGGAAACGAACAGCTAACAGAGGCAAAACGTCGCGCAAAAGATAGTCGGCTCTATATTCTCGTATTCCTGGTTGGGACCAGTCTAGCTTTGTTATTCTTACATAACTATTAATATGGACATTAATATTTTGCAACTTTTGTCTTTTTGCCTATTTCGATCTGGTCATACCCCGATGCACTCCTTTGCCACGTTCATGCATATATAATATCTATAGAGCTATATTGTACCTCTTGTATCATACAATGCATTATAGGATAACAATCAAAAGACGAACGTCCAGGATGAGTGAGATGCAGCAAGACCAAGAAAAGAGGACAAGATAAGCGAATACTCTCGGCCGTCAAGTTTAAACGTCAAGCGAATCGGAAGATACGTTTTGTAAAAGTGGAGCTCCTTCCTCTGCCTCTTCAATTGCCTCAGCCGCCAGTTCGTCTTCGCGATTTGGACTCTCATGGAGTTCCTTGAGTTGCTTCTGAAGTAGCCTATACGTGACACTGTGGTCGTATAAACCGTCGCTCAATATGATTTCCAAAACGAAAGAAAGAGGGTGGCGATGCCGACTTACACGCCTGCAATCACACCAAGTGCTATACTAACAACAACCAATACGATGTTTCCCACTTTCGCAGCTGGAAGATAAAACATCAAGCAACGTAAAATAATTTGGACATGGAAATACTCAACCGATGTCCATTCGACCTCGTTGTTCGCCATCTGCGAGCTTGGCTATTCTAGATCCGGAAAAGACGACCAGGAACAACTTTGGCAACAGAAAGATGTTCGCAGCAATGAATTGCCATAATGCGACTGTCTCAATTGACTAGATAAGTTTACGAACGTCAGCATGTGTATGTGTAAGGGACTGGGATACCAGAGGAGACGTACAGCGAAACATGCATTTGAGTATGCCCACGGAGGAAAGGGCGACACCCGAATTAGAATGATGAGTGGGAGACCTTTCTTTTTCTGAACCAGCATAAGCGCACATGACAGCCGTCCATGATTCAATGAAGCTTACGATAACGGCCTCTAAAGCCTGCCATTTCTCATTCTTGGAAGTCCACTCTCTCAACTTGTGCCTAAATAATGACCTCAAGACGACGAAGACTATTGCAGAACCTATCACGGTTGCTGGTGCGGCTACAAACATTCCCTTGAGACCGTATGTGAAGCCACAGAGGGATACGCTTGTCCAATAGAAAGTAAGAGGCGGGAATGAAATTATAACTGTACCGATGTTAGACTTGAAGTCTGGTGAGGCATAGGTATGGGTAGACTAACCCATTATTGCAGCTAAGATGGCCCATCCGAAACGTAGTCGGGCCAGCTCCTGTCCAAGGTCATAGAATTTCTGCGTGACAGTACTTGGTCCTAAGACTACAAATAACACGAGCAATGCGATGTCAAACAGAACTACGCCCCAAATGATTAACTTGAATATACCACTATGAGCACAAATTCGAGTAAGTTGACGAGTATTTTCGGCGACAAACCTTCCAGAAAAGTGGAAGAGCTCTATATTTCGACCATACTCGGCTTGAATAGTATTTGATACCGCGTCCTAGGCTCCTGAATTTTCCAGTCGGATGCATGTTAGTGCTTGAAGTGGACGGCAACTGCTAAGGCGAGACGCTTCATGAATCATGACGCGCAGCAGATCAGCACGACGAAGTTTATCAAAGCAGGATGACACATCCTTCGGTTCCTTCAGACAGACCACGTAAAGAATTTAGTGAATATCGCCAGAATAATTGAAAAATAGCCCCCAATGAAAAATAAAGAGAAGCTTAGGAAAGAAGAAAAATAAAAAATAAATCAAAAAACCACAGCACCCAGGATTCCCGCGTGGTCCCCCACCGTGGTACTAACTGGGCGGCACTCAGGTTAACTGCGCAGATCAGACGGGATGCGGTGTTTTCTGAGTCCTATGGCCGTGGATACAATGTAGGTATCAGTCCAGATCATATCCAATTTACTCTGGCATATAATTCTCATTTATCTCTCGAGTTTCTCTCAAAAAATAAATGTATCTCGTGTTAGAAATCTTTGATTGAGCCAGGAGCGCGATCTGAACCTTTCACATCGTAAAGAGAGCGGCTATTACCAAACGAAACATACAAATCGCATATGCTCAACAAAAGTTTGTTAGCGTAATATAGTATTGACACGATCCACTCGGTCCAGTGATTTCTAGTCAGGTTCCGAACAAATAAGATCTAATGAATGCTTGAAGGTATGCTGATATACATGGCAAAGTAATTTACCATTGCAGTAGCGAGGGACGAAATGTCGAAGAAATTGGAATATCAAAGCATAAGTGAGTAAGGTGGCATCTCAGTAAGGAATATTCAATATACTTATGCGAACCCAGTTGATGAGTGTAAATGAGTGCGTTACCAGTAAACCTATTTGTTACTGAATATATATATATAATTTGTGATTAGAGAATAGGAATCAGGATTGTACCCCATTGAACATGTCAACCGAACTTCAGGGCCGGCATATGCAAGCTCTGATGGTCAGAGGCTCGCTCTCGCGATGCTTTACCTCTCCTAACTACTCATTGAACCTCATGTCCTCCAGGGGCCGCTCACCTTCCCCACACCCACTCGGTAATCGAGATGTGGACGTCGACATGGACCGCGACTTGCCACCGCAGGACAAACCTCTCGCAAAGGTTGTCATTGTCACCAACTTGACACGAAACGTCGTCGAAGGGCACCTTCGCAGCATCTTTGGCTTTTATGGCGACGTTACGAAAGTCGACCTTCCAATATTCGCTAAATGTACGGATTTCTCTATTCCTTTTACTTTCTTTGAGACGTTGGCTCACTCGAGAAACTCGGTTTAGCCGGACAAAATCGGGGAAAAGCAGCTCTGGAGTTCGCGTCGTCCGCTGCGGCGCACAAAGCGGCTTCTCACATGGATGGAGGGCAGCTCGACGGGGCAGTTCTGAGAGTAGAGTTGTCTGACCTTCCAGTACGCTCGCGGTCGAGGTCCCGAGCACGGTACGGACGCAACGGCCGTGACGTACACCGGTCGTACTCTCGTTCACCGTCGCATTCACGTTCGCGAGGACCACCTATGACACGTCGCCGCTCACCATTTGGTAGAGGCATGCGATTTGGAGACTCCTATCGTAGTAGAGGAGGCTTTGGAGGGCGGCGTGGACCACCACAAAGGGACTCATACAGACCGTACTCTCGTTCTCGAACCCGTTCTCGTTCACCCATTCGGCGCCCATCAGGTCGGTTGGGTCCTAGGAGACGCTCACCAAGTTACGAGAGAGGAGGAATAGGCCACGGTCGCGGACGCTCCAGATCGCGAAGCTACTCTCCATATTCCAGTCGCTCTCGTAGTCGGTCTGACTACACCCCATCACGTTCTCCGTCAAGGACGCCGCGCTCTCGCTCTCGGTCATATTCTTCTTATTCGAGGCGTTCTCGTAGCAGGAGCAGCAGGAGCTATTCACAATCACGTAGCAGGGCAAGGAGGAGCTACAGTAGGGATGACATTCGAGACAGTCGTTCAAGGTCCCCAATGTCCATCAAAGACGATTGATCTATCTTTCAAGCTTCGCTATTTTTCTTCTTCTTTGTCTGTCAGGTCATAATGTTGTTTATTACTTGCGTGTCTAAAATGCTTCTACTAGTAGTAATTACTGAACAAGCACAGCTCATCATTAGAAAATTCAGTTTCGTCTTAGTCACTGTGTTCCGACTCATCGTCAGCGAGGAACGGGCTAATAAATGTTTGTGTTCAGTAATCGACTACGAGGGATAGGGAGATGAGACTGCAACTCACGTATACTCGTATCTCCGGATGGAAGTGCTCATCCACTCTTCGTCGGCGTCTTCTAAGGCATAGCCGCGTCCGCCTGCGTAACTCAGGATTACTGGCAGTAAAACCAGGCCGTGCAGGGCACCAGAAATGATGAGTGTGAGCCACATGCGGAAATAGTAGATCTATACCAGCGGTCAGAACGCAAGGATGAAGAAAAAAATGCGATTGACAGACCTCCAAGAGCTTAGATCTTGTCAAGGCTAGTACAGATATACCAATCAATTTAGTGAAAGTGATTCCGGACAGCACCTAGTTAAAAAATTAGGGCCTGATAGCAGAACGCTGGGTTCGTAAAGGCTCACTGAAGGCCCGACGTCAACCAAGGCCGTCCACGTCCGTTCATCACGTTCCTTCTGCTTGGAGTATACATCGACAGGTAGACCAGTTCCAGCACCCATAAACGCCCGGGCGATATGCGCGCAGAACTCAACGGCGATTCCCAAGGAAATGACAAGGTTCACCAAGCTGATTGCATTGAGACTGATTCCCCATACACCCATAATACCCATGACACTCGTTACCGTCAACGCGACAACAGCAGTTACAATTGATCCAGTTCTCCATGACCCCAATAACAGAGACGTAATCACTAGGACGGCTGCAAGACCAAGGCCGAGTATCTCCTGTGTGATTGCAACAACGTGTATGTATTGGTCGAAGAAAACGTAGTGGATCGAGTATGGGAAGACACGGATACCCGTCCATTCTGAAATGCTGTCAGCAATTCGCCGTGCTGCAGTCAGCGAATTTATGAAGTCCGCCTGCGACTTTAGTGGTGTATGAGACGTCCGGAGATGAGATGCGCTAACTCTGTTGTTCGAGCTGATTGACAATGCAGTTGAGTAAGCAGCTTGTCCACCCAAGGCGCAACTCTCATCTGATGGCGCCTGCAGCCATTCCTTGAGATACCACATAAATTCGTCACCTTCCGGAAGCCCATTCATCGTGATGTTCCATGCTGGTTTACGGCCTTCAAAGCAAGAACGACAAACACGAGGTGAGTCCCGGGCCTTGCAAAACACTTCTGGCTTGTTTATTCGTACACGACAGCACCCATTAGCTGGATCAAGCCAATGCAGATAATCGTCAATCCACGATGCAGCAGGTTGAGATATGAACGATGATTCCTTCCGATCGAGTTCTGCCTCCAAAACGTTCGCCAAAGAGAAGTCGTCACAAGTGGTAAATCTACCACACAAATGCCTCTGGCCTGTTCTTGTCTGCACATCAACATTACTTGCTACGAAGTACACAGGAGGCCCGACGTCCAGATACTTGTCCACTGCATCGAAGTAAGGAACCAGGTACGAATCAGACGGAAGAGCCAGGCGTTGATCTTTAAAGAAACGTTTAATATTAGATTATCCCAGGATGTAGCAGTTAAAGCTCACCAAGTCCTAGCTGAATATGCTGAATAGAAATGACGGATAAAACGAAAAGACCACCAAAAGCAAGCAGCACAATGCCCTTTACGACAGGTTGCAGCAAGAACGGCGCATATCTCCTTCGAATAAACTTGGTGAGTCTCCCCATACTTGCACCTATCGGAGGACCTTCCAGAAGTGCTATCCTAGGTGGGAGTCTGACACAAGGGAAACAATCCACCCTGCTCGCCTAAAGACGGTGGGTAAGTCGTGTGACGCGCTTCTTCTTGTCGGATACACATACCTCAACGCGATGTAGGTCCAGAGTCAAGGCACTGGCAAAGACCGTCACTTGAAGTATTGCATTCAAGAAGACGCTTCCCGCAGCATAAAGAGCAAAGTTTCGTACAGCAGGCATGGGCACCAAGGCACCCAGCGCAAACGCTGTTACTTCTGTAATAGAGCTTAGGAGAATGGAAGGTCCCATTTTCGCTAATGCTCTTGCCACGCGCTCCTCCGCTGTGAAATGAATCGGAACCGAGGCCGCGTCAATAGATTCATCATGAGTCGATGAAAATGGAGAAGGCCGTATTTGAGTGGCAGTAGCGGTAGTTGTTCCTGACCCTGCACCGATATTCTGTGCGTATGCGGATGCATTCGGGCCGTGAAGCACGTTTTGTCTGTCGAGCTCGTGCACAAGGATAAATACGTTGTCGACACCGACAGCCAGTACCAAGAACGGAATGACTTCGGCTATGATGAGGGTGACCTTGACACCGATTGCAGAGAAAAATCCAACGGATGACGTGACTGACAAAATCACTAAACAAATACCAAAGAGACCAAGCGTAAATTTCGAATTTACGAAAATACTTCTGCCAAGGCGAGGTAGTAGAGTCGGAGTATACTCAGATTCGAAGGTGACGGGGGATGTTGAGAGCTTGTTTCTGAAGTACCGTGGAAGGTTGACTACCCAGTCCGAAAGTGACTTCAAGGTGCCATCTTCGCTCGGGACAACGGCATTGTTTCCGAGTGTCAATGCAACATAGAAGAACATGACAAGATACGAAAGGACTACGATTTTCACATCCGTGTTCGTGCTCTTGTTGAGCTCTTCCTCAAGGGACACGCCTGTCGAAAATTGGATGTTCAGGCCGATTTCTTGCGGCGCAATTTCGCCGACATGTTCCAGATATCCACGAAGTGCTCGCTCCCAGTCCATAGCCATTGCTTGCTTCTCTGGATCGAGAGAGTCGTTAACTACGATATTCACGACCATCGCACGAGCCTCTAAGTACTCCTCTGCGTCCGTCACGTTTGGACCATTCGGAAGGCCTCCTAAAACATATTCGGGCCCAAGTGGCTGTTTGAAATCCGGGAGGCATTCCGTAGGAGCGGAGGCGCAGGTCATTATTTGGTCTTTCCAGAGGTCTTCATACCCGTCAATTTCATAATCGAACCAAGCCGTTATTGATTGAACTACACAGGGCGTTCCTGGGCCGGCTGGGCTGAAGCAAACATCGGAGAGTTCATAGCCGTTAGGAGACACGAGCGACCGAATATTGGATTCAATACCGAACCACCATTTTATATGATCATAAGAAAGCACTGGCGGAAGGTCGTCCTCTAAAGCCAGTGGCGTGACCGGATCGGTCGATCCAGCAGTCAGGGAGCGCCTTGATGCACTTAGAGGAGCGGATGTGATGAATATCTGCTGCGGCCTATAGAACGGTCCGAAATGTTGGTCGAAGAATTCCTTCTGTAGTTTGCTCTCCGAATTCGGCGCAACCCACAATCGAACTGGATCCGTCTCGACTTCAAACCTCTTCCAACCAATATTCAGTAAAGCGAATATGGCGAAAACGGTAGCAAATGTGAGCCATGGTGAGGTTGCACAGAGCAATCCTAAACGGTAGAATGACCTTCGCAAGAATGCATTCAATCGGTACTGTCGAGGTTGTAAGGTTTCGATAGGGTCGAGGAGAGATGCGCCGCGGCCAAGATGCCTGAAGTCACTGGACTGGCCTCCATACGATTCTTCAGGACCGTGAGGAAGAGAAGATGCCCCTAATAAACTACGAGTATGTGACCGAGGTGAAAGTGGGTTGTCTGCTGGGTCTTCTCCTGGTACGGTAAGGCGATCTAGTTTCTTGTCCCGTCTGCGTCGTAGTGTAAGATTGAAAACATAGGCTACGATGCATGCAATAACGACTATCCCGTAAATGTTTGTCATGACGAAGGTGAGACATGAGATCTTGCCAACATGGCAGTACGATTCCGAGCCTGGCGGCGATACAGGGGGCAGCGCTTGACATATGTCTGAGCAATCGATACAGGTGCATCGGCTCTGCAAATCTCCATCGGAACATCTTCGTGGTGTTGGATTGAACTGTTCAAATTCCGGACGATTGGAATACGCGAAGTCAATCTGGAACGGACTTCCGATGTCTTTCTCGTCTCCAAGAAATTTCAAGAATGCTTTAGCATTTTTAGCACCTCCGCCAATGAAATCCATTGCATAACTATTTGCTGCACCCAACTTGACCTCTTTACAGCTGTCATAGAAACCATTCGCGTATTCCTCTCCGACAAAGAAGTCTAGAGACTTCACTGCAAGTCTCTCGTCATAGGAAAGTTGTGTCGACGTGACATTGAGGAAATGGCCTTGGTTCGGGGAGCAGGTCATTGAGCAGAAGAATGATCGGAAGTTGTTCCTGCACGCAGGACAAGATGCCAAGAGAGTCTCCACAGGCTCGAAGTTATCGCGGAGGACGTCGACCTGGTCCCGTGTACAGCAAACTGGACCTTCGGCAAACTGCTCACCACAAACGTCTACGAGTAACTCGCGGACCTCATCGTCTTCAGGCTAAATAGTATCAATTAAGTCAATTGTAAAGCGCGTCGTTGTGAAGGTAAGCTAGCGCACCTCTTGAGGGGGACCATCGTATGGACATGGCAACTCTTTGCCCCACCGTGACTTCGATCCACAATGTCCACGGATTGCACAACGAGCTTCATCGCCCATGGCTTAAATGTGAAGAGCCGGATATGTTAGCTAGGAGCTCCAGGCTGTTAGGAGTGGTAATGGTGTGAACTCGGAGAAAGTTGCCTGACGCGAGATTTACTGAGGCGGACGCGTGAAGTACACGGGTTACGTCAACGGCACGTGCTCCTCGGAAGCTTAAGTTATGTAATAGCAGGTACGCTGATTGTATGCACCTCGATTCTAATTTGCTTCAGATCTTCATGTCCACTCGTGTCCGTGAAAATGGCATCAGTGAAGTCAGCATCGGCGGATGCAAAGAAACCTCGGAAACGTTTTGTTGGTCGCAGCACTGCTGGGCCCCCGAAGGGTGGCACTTCGGGAGGAATTGTCAATCAAATTCCAACAGAGATTCTTGAGGACCTCGAACTGAATGCAGCCATCTCTCAATTACCATCGAACTATTCTTTCGAGATACACAAAACAATTCACCACATTCGTAAAAACGGTGCAAAGACGGTTGCGCTGCAGATGCCAGAGGGCCTCCAGATGTTCGCCTGCACGATTGCAGATATTATTGAACAGTACGAACTTTCTTTAAACATTCAGACGTTCTTGCTTGAAATCATTCTAGATTTACTCCTGCTTTGACAGTAATTATGGGAGATGTTACATATGGAGCATGTTGTATAGATGACTATACGGCTGTCGCTTTGGGATGCGACATGCTCGTCCACTACGGACATAGTTGCCTTGGTGAGTAGCAGAGTCTAACGGTTATTATGTGCATCGCTGACGAACGGATAAGTACCCATTGATACGACAACCATAAAGACTTTATACATATTCGTCGAGATTTCGATTGATTCTCGACATCTTGCCGAAACTGTGCGCCTCAATTTCCCCGACGATCGAACAATATTCGAAGAGCGACTCCTCTCCTCGGAAAGCACAAGGAGTCGATTACCAGCAGGAACTACGTTGGGGAACGGTCGTCATCTTCGCATTACTGGTTCTGATCAAGAATATACGCCGATTGGAGGAAGTGACCCTCAAGCAAACTCAAGACTTCCGACCCGTCTGGCATTAGTATCGACAATACAATTTGCAGCAGCACTGCAAAGGCTTAAGGAGGACATATCGGTTGATGTAGGAAGCAATCGTACCGGAGAATCCGCTGTGCAAGATGTGGCATCTGCTTCCGAATTCTGGACGAGGAGTTACGAGACGATGATTCCGCGATCGAAACCCCTGTCCCCCGGAGAACTTCTCGGATGCACTGCTCCAGCACTGCAGGATGTCGACGCGCTACTGTGAGTAGGTTATTGTTACATCGAGTTGTCTTTACTGATCGTACTGGTAGATATCTTGGGGATGGGAGATTCCACCTGGAGTCAATAATGATCGCAAATCCCTCTGTCCCGGCCTTCCGTTATGATCCCTATTCAAAAAAGCTCACTCGAGAGCGCTACAATCATGAGGAGATGAAGATGGTCCGAAATGAAGCAGTCAAGAAAGCACGACTGAGCATAGAAGCAGTGCCTGAGACATCGGACGGAAGCAAAGACATTGCGTCTGTTTCCGTGTCAAATCAGCCGTGGGGTGTTATTCTTGGCACCCTTGGACGCCAGGGTAGTTTCAAGCAGCTTCAAGTAAGTATAAATTAATACGATAGCCTGTCTGTTTTAAAACCAGAAATCTAAATTATCCCTCAACAGGCAATAACTAGACAACTGCAACAAGCCCGCATACCAATACCATACGTACCCATTCTGCTTTCAGAGCTGTCTCCGGCGAAACTTTCGCTTTTCAATGGACATTTATCGACGTTCGTGCAGACATCATGTCCGCGCCTATCAATAGACTGGGGTTATGCTTTCGACAGGCCTCTACTCAGTCCGTATGAAGCGGCTGTAGCGGTCGGTAAGCTACCAGGGTGGAAAATAAAAGGCTTAGCGGAGTCTGATAAGCCAGAGAAGTCAGAAACGTATCCGATGGACTTCTATGCGGCTGGGAGCCCGTGGGCAATTTCAAGGAAGCAAGGGACGTTTGTCTGATTTGAAGTAGTTCTAGTAGTCAATCATAATATGATGTTGATGAAAGCATTTTGCTATCTGTCAATAGATAGAATTCAGGAACAAAGGATCAGAAAATGCCCCGCACAAAAGATTGAGTAGGTAGATCATTTATAGCGTGAACGAAACAGGAGATGCCGATCAATAGCGCGGGCTTCGGGTTCTTTACGGAATTTCCACGGTCAGGCGTGCGGTCATCACGTCCTTCAACATGACTTCTTGAGTTGAGCTTCTCTCGTTCACTCTCTCTCTGTCCCGGCTCCAGCCTCCATTTCGCTCTGCAACTGCCGGTGGCAGCCGCCCTGCATTTCGTTCGGCTGGGAATGCACGTCATATCGTGATCTGTCAGAACGCGCCCGCGCCAACTCCCTCAAAAGCACAGGTTACCATGGCCTCTCCCGAGTCCGCCCAGCCTCCCTGTCCGGAGGAGTCCCAGACCCTCTCAGAAACAGCAAGCAAGCTCGAGCGACTAAGGGAAATGGCGCGGAAGTACAGTACCTCTGATGTCCCTGCAAACGAGGAGGTGACTGAACAGACTTTGGAATCTCACGAAGTGGTCGAGCTTCAGGCTTTCGTTCGGCATAGAGAATGGATAGAGGACAAGATAAAGGTATGTCTCTAAATAGCTTTCATTTCGTACCGCTGCTCATTCCCATCCCCTTCTAGTACCTAGAGAGTCTCCCTCCCATCGACATATTTGCTGGCGTACAAGAGCTTGAGAAGACTTATGACCAAATTACCACGTTGCCAACACGTGCCCAACTCGACGAGTGGATTGCTGAACATGACAGAATCGACAAGGAGACGGAAATACTAGACACAGGAGATCTCAAGAAACTAAAGGCAGTGACAAGAGGTTTGTCATTTGTATTCACGAACTCTAGTATATTGCTTAACGGACTGTAGCTGCAACTCAAAGAAATTTATCACCCGAAGACACGGACCTCATTGAAATTACCCTAACTACGCTTTTTGCTCTGGACAAACTGCTACATCTTCTTCGAGATCGATCTGAGCAATTAGATTTATTTGGTTCACGACTAAATTGGGAAGAGCAACGTGCATTAGCATATTCAACACGAGTCGACCTCATCTCACAAATTCAATCATTTCTCAACAATCGGGCACGATGGAAGGCTGATATCTATGTCAGCAAGGATGTGCTTGTTTCCGATACATCTGGCTCATCTTCGACCGCTCCGCCCAATGAGCAACCCGATCCATTCTCTCGCAGTGCAAGGTTCAAACTGGCCGAGGAAATATCGCGAGAGGTCGTTCAACATTCAAGCAAGATTTCATCCCTACGTCATGGTCCAGTGCTAAGGTCCGGGAAAGCTTTGGATAAGCTTATTGACGACAGCCGGAAACCAGTTCCTGAGCCAATGTTGGACGAGCAGGATCGGGTCGAGGAGAAATGCGAGAAAGACTTGGCTGCAGTCGGGAAGTTCCTTATGACAGTTAACATGCAATGGAGAAAGTAAGGTTGCTATACATTGTCAAATATAATTGTAAGCTAATGTGGTACATAGAGCTGACGAAGTTTACGTTGAAACCCGGAAAGACCTCGCAGCGCTGGAGACGCTCTCGAACGAAGTCAAGGAGGCTTTAACTCGACATCCTTCCCGTGGAAACGAGGTCTCGTTTACTGGTCGTATCGAAGCTATCAAGAAGAGGCTCCAGTCTCGCATGGATCAGACATTGCCGTCTGCTCTGCCCATGCCCAAGCATCCTCTCTTCCCAGATCAAGTTTCTTTCAACGTCGAGCTTGTTAGCACTTTGACGAGTGAGCTCGACAGAGCTCAATCCTCCCTTTCAAAAGTCAACCAGAGCATTAGCTCATACAGAACGGCATGTGATACTCTCGAAGAAGCTGAAAAGTTGCGGAAGGCAATATTAGAATTAGGAGAGGAATCCAGGACGATTACGGAGCGCTTACAAAATGGTGTTGACTCAGATGATAGCAATGGGTTACCGCCAGATCTTACTCAAAATTCTTGCGTTGAGCCTGTGCAGTTTTCTACCTTCCTCGCTGTATTACCATCTCTATCTTCTCGATCAGCGGAGCTAGAGGAGGCAGCTTCGAAGTTAGTCAAGCGAGCTCGGATGTCATCTCTCCGCTTGGACAGACCCGGCATCGATGGTGAATATAAGCATGCCTTTGTTAAAGACATCGAAGACCTGGAGAGCCGGATCCACAATATGGCGAGAGTCAGAAACGACGTGTCGAGAAGTGCTAGTCGGCTGCGAGAGGTTCGGCGTGTCTGGTCTGCAATGGATGGAGTGACTAAGTCCTTGGATAACATCACTCCTGATATCACGGAGGCACTTTTACACAATCGATGGAAACAACAAGTAGGCGGTGAATCGGCCCCGCCTACTCCCGAGAGTCCAAAGTCCGAACTTCCTGCTGCTTCTGCGACACCTGAATTGATCAACGAGCGGATCGTTTCAGCCAAGGAGCGCCTTGAGAAAGACGTTATCGAGCCTTTCATAGCCCTTGGAAACGAGATTCCGGCTCCGCTTCATGACTTTATTTATGCTCGGCAGATCTCGATAGAAAGAAGTATATTCGATTTGCAGAGCATGAACAGACTTTTGGCGGATGTCCGAGGCCAGACATATGCTATGGAGACTATTCGCGAGGAGGTGCACACATTAGAGGGTCGCATCGAGGATTCGAAGATCCAGTACGATGATCACTACGAGTCCATGCTACGCAGCGTTGAGTCTGGCTCTGAACAGCTATTATCTGCCCCCGCTGAGAACGAAGATGAACAAATTAACGCCAAGGGGCAAGCCCTTTCGCGCAACGTAGACTCAGTGCAGACAGACGTGAATAGCCTTGTTGACTCCCTACCAACTCGTGTACCATTGATCTCCCGACATTCATCGTCCTCAACAGAAGCAAACCACTCAAGCAGGTCCCGCGCCACGTTCGTTGCTCGATTGCCATTCGATCCTTCGACCGTCGATCGGAGCGTGCGCAACGATACAAACGCATATGCCATGCGATTAACTGGCGGGGTCAAGTCGCTACAGCAGAAACGATCGTTTAGTGCGTTTTATCGTGCTGCGCGCGACATGAACAAGCGTGCATTGCTCGTTCAGAAGGATATTCGTTCGCTCAATGAACAGTTGGAACAGCATGCGCGAGACCTTGAGGAACTCGCGGACGCACCCTTGGATGGCACTGAGGATGGGCTTTCCGCACTTGCAGCACTGAAGGAATCCCTCGAGAGTATCGACAATGCCGAGGCTGCACGCTTGCGTAGTTCGATTGCCGCGCTGCGTAACGATGTTTCCAGCATGGAAGGCGTTCCTAGTGTACAGGAGGAGCATAACACACGAGACGTGCTGAGCTCTCGCCTTCGCACACTAGACGACATAGTTTCACACTCAGAGCGCATCTTCGATAGGCTTGAATTACTGAAGGCTAGCGTCGTCCGGGCTGAGCAAGCTGAGCACGTGAGGATCGCTGAGATAGCTAGGCTGGAGAAGGAGGCTGCTGAAGAAGAACTTAGGAAGGAGGCTCAACGTCGCGAAGAAGAGGAGCGGGAGGCTGCAAGAAGGGTACAAGAGAGGTTCGAGGAAGAGGCTAGCTTCTCGCTGGTTGATGAAAGCACCCCGAAACGCGATATGCGACACCCAGGTTTCTCTATTGAAGATGGTCAGTATTAATTGTTTTACTAGAAATTTTATCTCATCATTGGGTTCGCAGACGTGTTCGGACACGGCAGCCCTTCACGGCAAATGGACAAGGAGACAGCTGAACTTCTGGCTCTCATCCGTTCATTAAGAAAGCAGCTGAAGTCTATTGGTCTTAATAGCGTTGTCCGACCGTCGGGTGCTTCGCACCGTCGTTCGTCTAGCGCGAACTTACCACCTCCTGAAATAGCGGAAGGTATGGCTGCGGATTTTCAATCTCTGGAGATGGAAGCTGGCAAACTTCCTACGTCAGCCGAGAACTCCACCGCGGACACTGAACTTCGCTCTCTGCGCTTGGAAATAGAGGCATCCCGCGAGCTCCTAAGCCGAGTTAAACAACTTTCACGAATGCAAGCTTCTGTAGTGCTCTGTGATACCACCTTTAGTACCTTCTTGGACTTCATTGACAGTTATCCGAACTGCCCAAAGCCTATTGATGGTACCGACGTGGATTCACCTGAGTTGGACGTCTACGAAACACCTGAAGAACGTCTGTCTGCGAAGATGTCTCATGCTAAGGGTGTATTTAGCGACATGACCGAGCATTTCGCGCCAGTTGCGGACGACCCTAGGGCAATAGCGGAGCATAGTCGTTTGAAGCAAACTTGGGAAGAACTTATGGAGATGGCACAAGAGAAGATCAACGGTCTTGCGTCTCGTGCTGGAAGTGTTACGCCGTACAACAGTTCCGGGAGGAACAGCGTTGCGTCATCGAGAAGTGGGAATGCATCGGATGGCAAGCGAAGCAGATATTCCAATCTATCCATTAGTGGACGAGACGGACTGTTGGCCCCTTCAACCTTGAAAGGGAGGAGGGCAACTTCTGCATCCTCTGCTGGATCAGGATCAGTCAAGCCATCTCAACAACATTCATCGAGGCCAGGTTTACCTGTTCCAAAAATTGGCAGCGCGCGTTCAGTTTCAGGTCCAATGAAGCAGACCACGCCTACCGCAACCTCTCGTCCAAGCTTCTCTCTATTCAACTCAACCTTCGCTTCAAGGCAGAGGACATCAAGCGTCTCTTCTAATACGTCTTCGATCGCTTCGGTTAGTAGGATTCCTTCTGGCAGTAGAATACCCGCGCCTGTCACTACCAGGAGGCGCATGTCTTCGACCCTTTCGGAGATATCGCGGCCAACGACTCCAGCGATGTCAACGACAAGTAGCCGGGGAACTTGGTCCAGAGCACCCAGACAGTCCTTTAGCTCTTTCCCGAGAGCCTCAACACCCGAGAGGACTCCACGGAAACCCAGGCAGAAATATGTAGCCAACCCGAAGAACAAGCTGGACATGGCTTTGGGAGATGTTATTAACAACCTACCTGTGGATATTAATGTTGAGGCTGTCACTGATACGTGGAAGGATAAGAGCGGGAAGTATTGGATTGGTGGGAACGAGCCTAAGCTTTGCTTTTGTCGAATATTAAGATCGCAGACTGTCATGGTTCGGGTTGGCGGTGGCTGGACAGAGCTTTCCAAGTGAGTAGTAAATCCATTTACTTTTCACTCTTACGCAGTGAGCATTATACTAAAACATACAATTTTTCAAGGTTTATCAAAGATCACTTCTCAGATCTCTTCCGCATGCTCCCAGAAACTCCACCTCGTCCGGGCTCATCATCGAAGAAGGAAAAATGGATCAGCGCAGCAAGTCTACGGAACGCCGAAGATGCGAACTCCTCTGGTTCACCCGACTCCATCACACGAAACCTTCCTTCATTCGCATTCTCAACGCCAGACGGTACACAAAAGTCCGGCTCACCTATTAGTTCTCCACTAACGCCTATCCAATTTATTCGCCGCGCTGACCCAGAAGCGTCAGAAATCTCCTTAGCTTCAATTGGTTTCTCGAACGATTTATCGACGAGTGGTATCACTGGTATTTCTTTGTCTGGTGCTGCTGCATCTTTACGACCTAAACGGCGTATGTCTTCTACTTCTTCTGCTAAGATCGCTTGGAGACCATAGAGCTTCGTTTTCTGAGTTGAGTCATATGCTTGACCTTTATTTCTGCGTTGTTTCCTGTTATTATTTGCTGTTGTTGTTTCCTTGTCTGCTTGCATGTTGCTCTCGCCCGTCATTGTCACCTCTCTCATAGGACACTCGCATACAGATATATTCGAAATTCTGCATTTTACATCACACGCCTCATTGTATCTCCCTTCGCAACGCTACGATCTTTCTTTCCTCCTTTCTTTTTTATTAGCTTAGCTTGTCTTGTTCCGATCTGCCATGAAAGCATTGCATATTATAATCTACGTTCACTAACTCTCTTCTGTTCATTTTCTTCTCGAGGCCTGTCTTTCTTACGGCTCTTCTGAGATTCTAACACATGCATGCATGATGATATTTACGTTCTCTTGAACTAATTTTATTAACGGACTTTTTGTATGTATATATACAAATGTTCTCTTTTCATTTCGTTTTCAAGACATGATATTGTCTACTAGACAGACAATGTCGAGCGTAGTACGTAAAATATAGATTCTTTGCGCGCTTTCGCTTGAGGATTACAACCTATTGAACAAGCGTAAATCAGTAAGTACATGTGTATGTTGAAATAATAATAATAATGCGGAAACAAGAAAAGCGAGAGACGTACCCATAAGCATATTCGACTTCATCCACTCCTCCACCTTGACCGAAAGGACCATTCTGGTCTCGGGGCATAGGACCCATTTCTTGATCCTCGTCTTCTTCGTTCTCCAGTTCGACTGCACTGGCGTCGTCCAGTCCGAAGGGAAGGACGGGTCGTAAACTCGATCCGGAGCTTGAGCGTCGGTGCCCTACGGGCGACTTTGGTAGAGCAGCCATCGTCTTTGGGCTCATATGCTAAAGTCCAGACGAGACATTCAGTACTGATATGTATCTCCCAATAAGAATGAGTGCGCGTCCTACTTACCTCCCAGTTATTCCTATTCTCATCATCCCGATCCGAGTCCATCCCAGGATCAAACTTCGCCTCGTCTCCCAACTCTCCAATAGACGCAATACTCTCACTATCCGAAATCCCATCCGCGATCTCCGGACCCATATGCGGTAACCTATGCCACGCCGACGTACCACCAAACAACACTCCACCACCCTCAGAAGCACCCGTCCCCATCGACGACGAAGTCGAATAATCATCCGTCATACCTAAATCCGATAAATACTCTTCGTACTCTTCTTCGAACGCGATGTCTTCCGTGGTGTATGGTAAGAAAATCGATGGGTCGGGTGCTTGAGCGCGGGCGGGTGGGAAGACATCTGCTTCGACTACGTTGGGTGTACCGACTGGTCGAGCCATGGCTGATAGTTCTGGACCGGCGTGTAAGTCGCCTAAGGGCACTGAGAGGCTGGATGATCTGCGGTGGCTGTCGCGAGTCGCCATTGCGTGGGCGCTGGCTGCGCCGTACCGCTTGTTGTTATCTACAGTAAAGTAAATGTTCTGGTTCTAGATATCGGGCACCCTAGAAGAACCACGACTCACAGAATTTGACAAGCTTGCGTAACGCTTGCTCTTGTGCCTATGAGAGAAATGCGCATAAGGGTCGTCGAATTTTTGAGAAATGGCGGAGCGTACCAAAGCATCCTGTGCATCGTCGACTTCCGTACCCGTCAACCACTCATCCCTGAGATCAGGACGGCAATTCAAATAAATCGTAGTGATACATTTCATGTTGGCTATCAAAGCCTTTCTCAGAATGCTGTCTATGAACATGAGAATAAACGTAGACTTACATTGTCGCCATTTACGCCCACAGTACGGAACTTGACTCTTAATCAACTTCAAGACATAAAGTTGCAGCATCGGGTGCGAAACCTTCGTTATTCGTTTCAATACCGCCTATTTTCAGAAAATATTAAAATTAGGATGCACTTACTTCCTAACCCAAAGCGATAACATGGTACTTACCGAGCTCTTGTACTGCACAAGTAACCAGATCCTATGCGATCTATGTTTGGACAGCTTCTGCATGATTCGTACGAAGTTGATACTCGAGAAGAAATTCCGCCACGAGAATTCAGTGATGAGCTCAATCTCTTCGTCACCCTTACTTCCCTTGACACCTGAGCGAGTTGTTGACTGTCTTGGAGGACCAACCAGATTATCCTCGGGCCGTTGTGCCTGTGGATTCTTCGAATACCTGAGGCAATACTGGAAGAAGCTGAGTCGCCAACCCAGGAAGTCAGAATACAGTCGTAGCAGGAAGGAACTGAAGGTGACGTACTTGCTTTCAGGTATCTCCGCTTTGGAGACAACTGTATTAGAGACCTCCTGCAGGGTAAACATCTTAAGGATGAGTAGGAGGCAATTCGACTCCAATAGTAATTGTCCAAGGTAATGGAATTTCATCGCATCTTTAAGATTTCGCGGAGCCGGTTAGTTGACTGTAGCAGTTAAGGATGTGGAAGAGACTTACGCGATGACTTGAACCATCTCAATGTTAAAAGTAGGATCGCGGAGACAGCTTTTGACATGATCTCACGGTGGCGTAGCAGGTCAATTTCATCCGCAGTTGCAGGAAACGGAGGCGGCTGTTGCTGTTCGGCTGCTACATTGGAGATCTCAGCACAGAACTTCACAGGACGCAATACAAAATTCGTTCTTACGACTTCCAACGCCAGGAGGGAATGCATTCGACGTAGCGGAAGGTGGCGGCTGACCGGGATTGCCAGCAGAGACAGTCGCTAATAGCATCTTCAGCAACACTAACACCCATCCAGATAGATGGGGTAGAACAGCGCTCTAAACAAAAGACTCATAGTTTGTATTATATCGCATATATAGAGGAAGGAACACTCACGTAAATCTGTTCCGCGCGTTTCAACCGAAGGAGATCCTCCCTCATTTGCCGCAGCTCTTTCAATTTCTTCACTTGAGCTCGTCCACCTCCGGAGCTTTTCTCAGTTTGCTTTATCGCCGCTTCCACCTCTGCAATCTTCGAGTTCAACAGAGCGATATCAGGAAGCTCCTCAGCGGTGTCGTCGGCATCATTCGTACTCTTCTTATCGGTGCCGGCTGTAAACGCAGAATTCGCGCCGGAACTCCCATCCACAGGATGCGCGTTGAGACTCAATACAGAGTCAAACGTCTTGAACGTGCTCTCAATCCCCGACAATCGATGTAACCCGCTTTCCTCAATCATACAATCTTCGCGAGTTTGCCACATCTGCATAAGTGACACACTAATGTGCATATGCTTGTTATACAAACGGTCCGCCTCGTCGATGGCATCCGGTACCAGACGATTGCCCCGTGAACCTCTCACTTGACTTCGAGAGAACGGAAACAGGAACGGTCTATTCTGATCCGTCTGGTATTGTTGTTTCTTCGGTTTAGGTGATGGAGGTGGGGTAGGCATAGGCGTCATAGGTTGAGGATTCGTATTGTATGCTGGGTTCCCTGAAAACGCTGATGAAGAGCCTTGGCTTCCCTGTTGCGAATGACCCGATTGCTGAAAATCAGGCTCATCCCCGTGATGATAGTGGTGTCGGACCGGGATTGGCGAGAACGCTTCTGCAAGCTTGATCGGTGAGATGTTATGCAAGTTGGATCTCCTAACGTCCGCTAAACGAACGCTGCTGACGTCTGAAAAGCGGGATGAGGATGAAGCGCTCGGTTCGGATGTGGCGGAGAAAGTAGGGTATTTGACGGATGTCTCTTGACGAAAAATTTGCAAGTCGAAGGGTGAGGATTTGATCGGAACCGCTGTCGTCACAAACGTCAGCATCCAACGCAAAATTGCCAGAGACAGATCGCATACGTTCATCCTTCTCATCAGGAAGTCCGACCACTTCGCGAGATAACTTCTTGACGCGAGCAAGATCCCTCGAGCCACCACAACACGCGAGAAGAGTCTTCCACAGGAGAAGTAATAACTTTCGTTTGTGCTAATTAGTCAAGTGGATCCAGCAGCATGAAAATTCGTACAAACTTTCTTCACGGGATACCCTTTAAAGCTTTTATCCCGCAGCGAGGCGACGACACTGAATAGATAAACAGGTAGAGGAGGATCCAGGCTCACTATCAAGATCGCGTATCAGCATGCGACACATCCGAATATTAAGGAGACAAACTTACTCAACTCCTCGGCAAACTCATCGCTATCTTTCAGTACCTCAATCAAGAAGTACAGTATACCAAAGTAAACAGATAGCTCGGTGTTTACTTCTTCAATACAGTCTTGCCTATCCTGAGGGCTGATGTTGAATCGGTAACAGTCTCCGTCGCTTAGCGAACTGAAATGACGAACAAACACATCAATTTAAATGAACTGCATGCAAATGGAATAAGCAGTGCAATAGAGAGATATACCTAAGAAGATCGTGCTTCGAGTTTGCGATCTTGATAGCTTCCACAACGACGCTGATACCATTTGCGACACAGACGGTCTTGCAGTTCTCAATGACCCAATGCAGTTGATGCTCAGGAGAACTCGTCTCAGCGAAGGTCCCTGATCGAGAGACCATTCATCGTTCGTCAATCTCCATATTAGCGAATAAGAAACGAGCGAACCTTGAACAACATAGAACAACCTTCTCGCATTCGTGAACCTGATTACCGCGTCCTTATGTTCAAGACTCTCCAATAACAGATCAACGTGCTTCTTCCGCTTCTCAAACGGACTCTTCGTCCACTCTTTAATGTATCGTAAGTTACATGACGTGTGAGTAGAGTAGTAGACGTACCTCCAGGAAAAGAACCTTCCCAAGCCTTCAAGTTCTCTCCAAACTGCGGTGCCTCGACGTACGAAAAGAACTCATCAATCTCGCTCATCACCGTATCTTCATCTTCATACTTAAAGTCATATAATTGCTCCTACATATTCGAATTCACGTCCCAAAATCGCAAAGTCAGTAAGTATTACTCAGGAAGCCATGAAAGGATTAGCCATACCTTGGGCTTCGGCGCGGACGTGACCATCTGTTTCAACTGGCCGAGAGTGAGTGAATCGAGAGCCCCTGGAGCAGGACCGCCGTTGGTATTGTCAATGTTACCGCCATTATTGAAGTTCTGGCCTCCCGGAGCACCGAACGAGGATAGCACCATGGTTATCGTCAATTGTCGAGTGTCAAATGTGCGCCTCCCTATCCGCGTAACAACGCGTCTCGAGTTCAATGACTTTATTCGCACAGCCACCAATAGGCAATACTGAGCACTGAGAGAGATGCTAAGAAATACATATTTATTGTAATATTTATGCTACAACCACAGAAATTGATATCATATTATGTACAACCTCCAATCCACAAGATCCACATAAATGTCAATTCGCCTTATGCATGCTCTCCAAAACACGCAACGCCGAATCCCTCAACGCATTCACGTGTTTGCTGCTCTCCTTCCCTTGCTCCGGTAACACGCCCTGCTCGATTTCAGATCTGTCGATGAAATCTGCGATGTCGGCGAGTGAGACTGCTACTTTACTTAAGTTGTTCGCGTTCTTGCTGTATAAAATTATAATACCATTTTACCAATAGAAGGAAGATAAATCTTAAGTATATGGAAATGGGATGGGGATGGGGATGGAAAGGGAGGGAGGGAGACGCACTCTGCTGTCTTTCGAAGCCCGTTAATCTCCTCGTCCGTCTTGCTGTTTCTCTTTTGTTCCGCAGCTAACGCAGCGAGGACTCGTTGTTCGTATAACTTTAGCTGCTCGCTGCAATTATATTTCACCAAGGAATCAAGTAGTCAATAACAAGGTATCACTGCAACCCCGAGTGCATCGATTGAAACGGAAACTAACCTCAAACTATCAAACCTCGTCTCAACACCAGCCAACCTAGTCCTCTCCTTCAACCCAATACTCCTCATATCCTTCACATCCCCACCCATCCTATCTACCTGTGCCTTCACCGCATCAACTTGCACTGAAAGTGCCTTCACCTCGCGTAACACCTCAGCAGTCCGGGCACGCACCAGCCCCGTCCCTATTGCTGACGCATTTAGTTTACTCAACTCAGCTTCAAGTCGTACGAGCCGACGTCGAAGGAGAATGTATGGTGGAAGCGCGCATGCTGTGCCGAGGAGTACTGAGAACGCTAGGAGGCCGACTAAAGGTTTTATAGTCGATTTGGATCCGGAACGAGTACGATTTGAGCTTGAGAATTCGACGAGCATGTGAATATGGGTAGGTATACGTGCCCAGTCCAGTTAGTTGTAGAGTATCGAACAGCACGGACGTCGCTGCCCAAGCGCAGGTATAGTCTGGCTTACACATCCACGCACGCATACACCGTGCCGTACTCATGATTAGATTATAGATACAGCGCCGATCTGCGTGCATTATCTTGCCGGCCGAATTGCGTCACTGAAACTACTATAATTTGCAGTTGGTTATTCTATCGTACACCAGAATTCGAACAGCATCCACCATATACATATATAGTTTTACCACTTAACCAGGCCAATAGAGCATCATGTCTAATTCTTGTCCAGCATGAGAAATGAATATTATTAGCTACTCCTTTGGTAGCCACAGCCGTGTCTGATGATACGAGACGAGGAGTAGAAGAAGTGGTCCCTTAGAGGGCCTAGGCAAGACGGGACTGTTTGGTATAACAAAGGACAGGAACGAAAGCAAAACAGCAGGATAGCACGAATAATCTGCAAGGCTTACTGTGTAGACGAACAGCAGTGAGATACAGAGCCGGACCCACTCTGACGAGTGGGCACTACACTAGCCCGTCGTACAATGATAGCGCCTGCGGAGAATCAGCGATGCTCCACGAGAAACGAAGAAAGGAAGCATACCTGTACTATTGTAGGATCCTGCTTACTGCCCTCGACGAATTCGTCATATGTTAGCTTCGCGTCTTTATCCCGGTCCATGTTTCGGAAAATCTTGTCGACTCGCTATGTGGCATCCAATCAGCGACAACCACTTATGAACACGAGAATAGAAATTAGACAAGAAGGTGGCGCACGTACCTTCTCGGGAGTATCTTCATCAGAGGGTAGTTTGACCATTTGACCAGTCATCTTGTATATGGACCGAACGATTTGTAGCATTTCGTCGTACGAAATCTGCCCATCGCCGTTGATATCGTATAATTGGAATGCCCCTAAGCGAGAGAAATCTCAGTATATGCGCACTTTGCACAGCATTGAGGCACAAAACGCGGCGCAGTTGGGAATAACGACGGAAGCTGCTGCTGACATTTGAGTTTCTCGTCGAGCCGCCCCCGCGAGGTAACCGAGAGAGCGCAGATGAACTCCTTGAAGTCGATGGTGCCGTTCTTATTCTCGTCAAAGACGTTGAAGACGTAGTCAGCGAACTCGCCGGGGTCGCCGAAGGGGAAGAACTGCTTATAGATCTTGCCAAACTCCTCCTTGTCGAGTTGACCTGAGGGACAATCTTTAAGGAAGCCTTTGTACCTGTGGACAGGGATGAGTTGTGTGATAAGTGCTGGAGAGCAGACAGGCGCCTAACCATTGTTGCAGCTCCTTCTTGTCGACTGTACGAGATAATGGTCAGTGACTGGTGAAGTGAACAAAGAATGAACGAAAGCGGAACCACGGCGTACAGTAAGTGTTTTTTGTAAGATCCTGGAGCTGCTCTGGCGACAATTTGCTCTGAGATTTCCCCATGGCTGCGGAACGAAAAGAAGATGGAGGAAGAGGAGAAGGAGAGAGGTGGAGGATGGTGCGAGAGTGATGCTTGGTATTATTGCTGTGTATGCGTCTGCGCGGGACATGCCGAGTACACCATATGCCATATGTGTACTGTGCAGCGAGGCCGGATTGCAGAATGCCTCGTGTTGTGGGTCGTGTTTCAACTGCTATAATAGCTGCATAAAGGTGACCGCTCCTTCTCTGCCTCTGTTCCCTACGAAATGCATCCCTCATACTCTTGCAATCCCAGCGCCCGCGCGAGCCATCTCGTCGCTGCGTGGAATCCGCGTGCTGCTGCCACTTTCCGTCCTCCGCACGGCACATACACTCGACCCCTGTCACTTGTGTCCATTTAGTTCACTGCACTTCGCCTGTACCGCCCCGGCTGCCCCTGCCAGCACAACACCATCCCCCCGGGCTCGTCTCCCAGCTGCCCCGGTCGCTCGTTCGCAATGTGCATCGCAGATAACTCGCCCGACCTTTATACGACGACATGCCCAATGTGCAAGCACTTTCGTCATACGGCCAGGTACGTTCTCTCTCAGACTAAACCGCAACTGCATATATGCACCGCCCAGCTCCTATTCTCAACTTCCCCGCACTCCAGGTGCCCACACAAGCGCGAGATATGTCGAAATCGTGTAAATCACCCACGGCACGACGTCGTCTTTATTTCCAATGCTGAAGGTTCGTTCAAGCTCAAGGCACCCGTTTCCTGAGCCACTCACTTTTGCTATACTAACATGCTCAATGCACTCATACAGTCTCAACATTCAAAGGCTGCGGATATTGCAAGGTATGCACTGGCTTGCTTGTTTGCTTATCGATCCTTTGGTGCTTCATCTGATATATCTCAAATTACTAGTGGGCCACGGCAATACCGTCTCCACCGCCGAACAAGTCAGGCATGCACAACCCAGGCTGGCCAGGCTGCTGCCGTCCTCCCCAGTCATCCGAATTTGAACGTATTCCTCCCGCAGACTGGCTCGCAGTACATAATATCCACCGCACGCCAATTCCGCCTGATATCAAACAACTTCTTGATGCTGTGAAAGTGCCCTCCTATGGGTCATCTGCAACCTCGCCGACCAGCCCGAGTAATCTAAACGCTATCGCCGCTGCCACCGCAAGCACAAAGGACGCATCTAGGGCTCTGGGTGGCGAACGTAAGAGTCTCTCGCGTGCGAATAGCTCTCCCAACGGGTCTGTGCGTTCGCCGCCCCAGAAGATACGCACTCCCGTATCCGGGACCGGCAGCGGCAATAGTCCGCAGATGAAGCAAGCGCGTCTTGCCGGTGGAGCGCAGCCTGGTACTTCTCCCGCGGCCAATGCCGTCTCGCCCACGGGTTCCCTCCCATCGAACCCAAATTCTCTGCGTCGCGGTGGCCCGGATGCGCAGAAACCGTTGAAGCGTGTTGAGGGTTTCCGCACTACACCTCCCACGAGTATGCGGAAGCTCAATGTTGAAGGAGAACAACAGCAGCAGCAACACAGTACTACCACACGCACGAGTCTTGCATCTGTGGACTTCTCTGCTGGAACACCAGAGCGCGAGCAGGCACCGTCGAAGAGACGTGGTTCCACAAGCACTACAGCGGTACCCCTTGCAGTCGCGACGAATCGTGTCACAGCAACACCGAAGGCCACGAGCAAGCCTCTTGACCGCGATTCGCCAAAGCTGTCGGCGGAGAAAGAGAAGTCGGAGAATACTGGTCTCGAGAAAGGATTGAAGACCTTGAATCTGTCGTCTTCTTCGGACTCTGGCTCAGATAGCGCGTCGCGTAGCTCAAGCAATGATACGAGCACGGTTACTTCCGATGGTGGATTCACCGATTATCTCTCGGATGAGAGTGAAGCAGAGCTACAGCGTCAGGCCGAAATACGTGCCGCGTTACTTGAACAGAATCGCGTCGAGGAACAGGAATTCCGTGCGGCCCGTCGCCAGCTTGCAAGCGTTGATCTGCGCCCTCCACAGGCTTGGACAACTGGTCGTAAGGCGATAAATACGCACAGTGGATGAAGGGTCAAATGACTATATGTTTGGTGATCCGAGGGATAATTGAGGGGAAATGAACAATTTCTGTTTTGTGGGTTTACGAAAGTGTCAAGGTGTATTTGTCTGGAACAATCGTCATGCTTTCCACACATTGTACTATGCCAATGCATTCCTTACTCTGTGTATTGTATTCATCTCGGTTGGAATAAACTGTGTTTTATGTTATTGCTTATTATGATACTGTGAGCTGGCCATGAATATGAATAGAAAATATATGCATCAGGTTTCACGCGATATTACATCATCTACCCATCTGAGCTCCTTATCGACTGCTTAACTTATAAGGCGTGCTTTCCCTTACCGTGACGGCCAGTGCTGCAATGCACCTCGCCCGCCATGCCATATCCTCCACCACACCCGTCGAGGTCCTTGATGCCCACTTCGATGCCTCGGCATCTATCTTTACCGTCGCGACACCCTCGGGCTTCGCCGTCTATCGTACTTGGCCTTTACAACTCCTACGCGTGCGCGAATTTACTGGCGGATCACTTGCGATAGTTCTACCGATGCATACGTCTTCGTTATTATTCCTTGTCGGAGGTGGTGCGAGTCCGCTGTATCCGCCGAATAAGATTGTGGTGTGGGACGATGCGCGCGCGCGCGCTGTTGCAGAGCTCGAGTTTCGGGAGCGCGTGAGGGGGCTTGCGGTTAGGAGAGGGTGGCTCATCGTTGCGCTTCGGCGTCGGGTAGTTGCGTTTGAAATTGGTGAGGAGATTCGACGCGTACATGAATGGGATACGTGCGATAATCAACGGGGTGCGTGAATTAATTAACTTAACGTACTCTACGAGCTTGTCGATGTATTAACTATTGAGACTGCGCAGGCTTAGTGGCAATTGCTACCGCAGCACACGCGACGCTGCTCGCTATTGCGGGGCGACAAACTGGACATGTACAACTAATCCATCTTCCACCATGCCGACCACCTGCACCAACGCCGAACACCCCCGCTTCGCCTCCTCGACCTCCGCCTAAACCGGTCAAGCATCCGGCTTCAATCATAGTGGCTCACTCTACTGCGCTTAGTACCCTGACCGTACTCCCGTCTGGCCGCTTGCTTGCAACGACTTCGTCACAGGGCACGCTCTTGCGAATTTGGGATGCGCATACCGGTAAACTCGTACGTGAGTTACGACGAGGGAGTGATAAAGCCGAGATCTACGGTGTAGCTTTCCGACCAGACGAGCAAGAGGTATGTTGTTGGAGTGATAAGGGTACTGTGCATGTATTCTCGCTAGCAACCGGTTCTTCGTCTTTGTGCGTGTTTCATTCCCTTACTTACAGTAATTTATAAATCCCATCTAATTACTTAATTCATACAGAAATCGACAATCAGCCTTTTCTCCTCTAACTCCGTTCATCTCCCTCCCGCGTTACTTCGACTCCGAGTGGTCCTATGCACAGTACCGAATACCATCACAAAAAACACATATCGCACTCTCCGCGGGGACGAGTAGCGGGCGGCTCGCAGATGTCCAAGATGAGCGATGTACAGTCGCGTGGGTCCAAGTTCCTCCTCCCGAATCCACGCTACCATCTACCATCACTACTCCCGCGCCGAGAAAGGGAGAGGACAAAGGGAAAGGGAGACAGCCCGAAGCCGCACCACCACCACCACCAGAGTATCAAATGATTGCACTAACGTACTCTGGTGGATGGTATCGCATCGCATTACCTTCTTCACCTTCTGCCAATACGTCTGCTACTGGGGCAGGTAGCGCTACTATCGCTCGTACTCCCTCATTATCTGGTGCTGGAGTCTCACATATGCCGTCGCATCGTGAGCGGCGATCGTCAGGTGGATCTTCTATTGTTACGGGTCGCAATGCGGCTACTGCACGAACTGCAAAAGGCAAGGGGAAGGAGAGAGAAGGGGATGAGAAAGATAAGGAGAAGGCTGGGCGGGAGTGTACGCTGCAGGAGTTTAGACGATTTGGGAGGTGGGATGGCTGGGGATGAGTAGATGTTAATCGCGTAATCATTAAACTCATCGTGGTACAGTATCCTATCCTGCTGTTACTTCTTTTTATTCTATTTTGCATCACGTCACATCATCGCCCGCTTTCTACGATGCTTTGTCCATCCATCCCATTTTTACGCATCTGTATTTGTAGTAGACTCGCAACTCGCACTACACGTCATGTCCCACTCTTATTTTCATTATTTGACCTTGGTGCACGTACTAGTATTCTTACTTGCTAGTCCTCCACTTTCCATGACTATAGACGTTGTAAGCTAGTAGACGCTCCTACTCAGTATCAGACTACGACCTTGAATATAAGTAAATGCTAGATGTTCAATTTGAATTTATTTTCACCACATATTTTAGAAATCACGTGCCAATTCAATACCAACGAGAATGGATGCATACACTCTAACTCAGATTCAACGCTTGTCCGCTAAGCATGGCCGAAAAAACCACCTTCCTAGAACTCGAAGGCTCTCAAAGTCATACCTGCGGGTACTGCGGTCCGCCAGGCCAACGTAGTTCCTCTTGGTCCTCCCATTCCATCGGCGTCACTGCGTTGTCGCTTACTTGTGGCGTAAGTACCGTTCCCTTATCATGCTTCTTATTCTCGAGATTTTGCTTTTGATTCCCACCTTGATTTAATTTAATGAAACGGTACAGCATTACCAAAAGATGATAGATCGAGGATGGCGGCGATCCGGGGATTACTGTTATAAGCCTGATATGCGGAGGACGTGTTGCCCGCAATATACTATCAAGTGAGTTCTCTTCTTTCTGAGATAACGTGCGGGAAGTTGTAGAGGGAAATAATTGGGCAATACTGATGGTGGTGGGATAGATTAGATGCATTGAAGTTTACGCCGACGAAGAAGCAGCGGAAGGTTGTGTATCGGTGCGGTCTCTTCTTTTGATCTTTAGTGTCACTATTCGGAGTTCCTGAAGGTTGTTTATGTAGATGGAACCGATACGTGCTAGAAGGCGTTGGTGATACGGAAGATGTGGATGTTGAAATGACTGATAGTCTGTCAAAGTTATTAATATTATTAAACGCACGATATATGCGTTCTAATCAAGTTGATCTATTCATTTCCGTAGAGGCAAATCATCGAAGAAACCACCGCCATTCTCCCTCGTAGATACTATCCACTCCTCTGAACATGCATTCACTAGACCAGACTCTGCTCCCAAACATAAATTTGAGGTAAGCTCCAAAGTGTATTCCAATCGGCATAAGAATGCATCATACACTTATTACGATTACAATAGATTACACTAGAACCTGCATCGTATACAGACGAGAAGTTCGAGTTATATCGTCACTATCAGCGAAACATACACAAAGAAGAGTATAAGGAACACAGGCCGTCCGGTTTTAGGCGGTTTCTTGTCGACTCGCCTCTTCAGGTCATCATTATATTTGTTTCCGATTATGTCTTCTACTCACTTCACCGTTGCTTACCGAACAGGCTTCTCCGATCGCATATGAAAGGGACCCTCCGGACCATCTACCCAAGACTTACGGCTCATATCACCAACTCTACCGCTTGGATGGGGAGCTTATCGCCATAGGCGTCCTTGATATCCTACCCTCATGCATCTCCAGCGTATATTTGATGTACAATAACAAATGGGAAAAGTTCTCTCTCGGTAAGGTGATTCGTCGACCCAATGTCTATCAGGAAATTATGCTAATCGCTGATCTCGAATTAATGGCAGGTCAGTGCTCTGCGAGAGGCAGCACTTGCAAGAGAAATGTATGAATGCGGAGCGAAAGATGTAAAATATCTTTACATGGGTAAGTAGACAGTACACTGGAACAAGCTTGCGACCCATACAGATTCGCACAGGTTATTATATTCACTCGTGTCAGAAGATGAGGTACAAGGGCGAGTATTCGCCATCGTTCTTACTAGATCCAGTACGTTCACATGCCTTTGGTAAAGTTATGAGAGAAAGCTTACATTGCATTTATTTAGGAAGAATATTCCTGGTATCCTTTGAAAGACTGTACCTCACTTCTCGATAGTCATCGATACGCATGCTTCTCGCATCCCGAACATTCCGTGAAAGATCCTGGTATTCCTCCGGAATGTGAGTTCAGCATATTTGTTAACTTCACTCTATATTTTACTAAAACCGCTTCATCTTAGCTGAGTCAAGGGAAATCAGTGAGGACGACGCATCGCAGATATTAGTGTTCAGTTCTAAATTAGGTGTAGTCCCCATATCTGTGAGTCATTTTCATTTTTTCCCTTGGTCTTAAAAGGTATGCTGATTGAGAGAAAATACTCATTTGTTTCTTTTCCTGAATATAGCAAACGAATATCTTGGAAATTTCGTACTGGGGGGAGGTGCTTCTACGAGCGATTGAGGGTCTGGGAGTCGAGCTTGCGAAGGATGTAGTTTTGGCAATCTGATCGAGGAACGTTGTTTGTCTTTTATGCATGGGAGAATAAAATATTCTATATAATTTCACATACTTTCTATTATGTAAGGTTAGTTTCTACAGAAGCGAGTGATGTTAGTTGCCTAATTTGTGCACGTATCAAACTTTAACGTTGGAATCATCCTGCTCACTTGATACTGACCTGCAACGTTAACTTGATAACTATGGCTGGAAATGGCACCGTACTAGAACTTGAGGGACCTCAAAGCGATACCTGTGTCTTCTGTGGCCTTCCAGGTGGACGCAGCTCTTCAGTACTCTATCGGTGTCACCGCATTGTCACTCACATGTGATGTTAGTATGATCATACTCAACGAATATTTCTTTGAAGTTGCGTTTTCGATGCCGTATTAATATTCTTTTCATATCACAGCATTATCAAGAGATGTTAGGCCCCACCAGTGCCAACACCAGTAACCGCGGCGAGTACCATAGGCAGCAGTTCTCCAACTCTCCACGAAAAGGTCATGTCAGAACCCCGCGAACGTGATACGGACAAAGACGATGCGCAGGCGCGGGTCATTGCAAGCCTCCGAGCACAGGTTACCGACCTCATCACTCAAGTTTCCCAGCTAAATCGGAAACTCGTCAAATCATACGATCGCGTCTCTGACCTCGATGTCGCTTCATCTGGTGCACGTGCTGCTTCTCTCAAAATATCCAGTCTTGAAATCGAGCGTGCTCAACATCTCGCTGCCCTGAATACCGGGCTTTATGTTGAGAAGGCACACGTCACCTTTGAGCTTACCCGTCTCATGGAACGTGCAACTGCGGAAGCTGCCGCTCGTGGCCAGGCAGAATCCGCCCGACAAAATATCGAACAAGAACTCGATGATCTGAGTGCGAGTCTCTTTGACCAAGCGAATACCATGGTTGCGGAAGCACGCTTTGAACGCTCTATGAGTGAGTGTAAGATCATGGAGGCGGAGATGGCACTCAAGAGCGCGGAAGAAGCCGTTGCTGTTATGCAATCCCAGATGCAAACTCTGCGCGAAGAGAAGGACCGGACTTCTGACGAGATATCGAGACTCAGGACCCTTATGGAAAAGGGAAAGTTTGTTGAGCGTACGCCAATCCTCGCGGCGACGTCTGTCAAACTTCTTTCCTTGCATGCTCCTTATCAGGAGTTTGTGCAATTCATTGTCCATTTACGGTCTATTCGGTATTCGACTGTAAACCCTCCGCATATATCAACGTTGTTGCCATTACCTTTCCTTGCACGGATACAAACGGAGGATTCGTGAGTTACTACGTTTTATCAAAATGAAGTGTATATGCTGAAGTACGTCCGCAGAGACCCGACTGTTCGACTACATTTCGCGCCGTCGCTGAATTAGCTCTCACGTCGCTCAGTGCTTTCCTCTATCCACAGCGAGCAGCTCACCATTGAACTTATGTCCATCAATGGTTTTCTAACTGAGTCCACATCGGGCATACAATCAATGATTGCTGACTCTCAATCGCGCGTCTCTTGTGCATTGTGTGGGATGCACATATTTCCACCGAAGTCCGCTGACGGTGGAAAGCCACCCCACCGGCTCATCCACTTTCTTCACTCTCCTTGACCCAAAACATCTCTTCAAATATCTGGTCCTCAACGCTTTTCAAAAATCCCTTGTCCAGCGCTGCTCCTTCCCCTCCATTGACTCCGCCACGATATGCATCTACTCCCTCCACCCCGACGCATGCGAGCCCAATGGCAGTTTATGTCTTCCGCCTGTCGCAAACGCAAACTGCTCAGCATACCCCCTCCAGCTATGGCCAATCTCAACACAGCCAGACACAGCGACCAACAAGTTATCCGCTCTGTAATCCCGGATGGTGCTTGGCACGCCTTAGGACGACATGCTCTCTGTGGGCATTCATCCGCGCTGGCGTTGTTGACCGTGTTTGGGAGGAAGAACCAGCACACCATGCGCCTCTGTCGCTATCTTCCGCTAGTGTCTATTCTGTAAACAGCGTCGCCAACAATTCCAGTACACCGACTTTGGCTGGACCCACTCCTCCGCAAAAGGAGGCTGCACCGCCTCTTCCTCCTCATCGTCGATCAAAGGTGACCAGTAGCGTGGGTGCGCTGTGGGGTATGGCGAGCGGTGCTTTGCGAGGTTCTACTCCCAATCAGAACCAGCCTTCTTCGCCTGCTCCGGACAACAAGGAGAAGGAAGAGTCTATCGATGCACTGAAGAATGGTACAGGACAGACAAAGGCAACCCCGGGTGACGGTTCCGCCTCCTTTGCCACGTCGTAGTCTTGGGCGGCGCACGACGGTGAACGAGGACACGAGCAATGAAAAGGCCGGAGAAGACACGGCCAAGAAGGAAGAAGAGAACAATGATAATTCATCCGAGGAGGCGAACAAAGGTCCTCTTACGCTAAATGTAACGAAGTCCGACCCACCTATAAACGGCCAGACACCGGGACCCCGCTCAAGGTCGAAGAGTCCTGGCCCTCGACCGACGCTAGGCACGAGTCAGCTAGCCCATGCAAATAGCCAGGCGTCCTCGATTCCAAGCATGGCAGGGGAGGAGTTTAGCACGCCCGTTGAAGAGATCGGTTCTTTACCACCATCTTTCTCTTCCGCAGCAGAGGAAAAGTCAGATACTGCGACAGACGTTCCAGCCCGTCCGTCAACGCCTCATTCTCCCGGCCACTCACCGCGCTCGAAAGCGCGAAACTCCATGCCACCTCCCCCTCGCCCACCTTCACCACATCCGGAACGCCTAAGTTCTCCGCCACCGCCGCGTTCTCCTCGTTCAATACCTCTTCCAGACTCTCGGTATGGTACACCAGCGAGTGCCCCACCCGCCGAGGACCAAAATAGAAATGGACACAAAGATACAGTCACTGAAGGTCCGAAGGTAGAGGAGTCAACCAAAACTCGAGTCAGTGTAGACACTTCAGGTCCTCCCATCCCACCACGTCGCGCAGACCATACATCACACGGATCGGTTTCTGACTTTGGTGACAAGCATGATGACGGGCGCATGGAGGCTACACAAGATCGTCCGCGTCGTGAAACGCCCGAGAAGAAGAACATAGTTAATGGGAAACAGGAGAAAAGAGCAAGTGAGGAAGATCCATCGAAGAATTTTGTTGGTGAAGCAACTTGGGAGGAGCGTACGTGGAAGGAGATTGTACGTCTGCGCGAGGACATGTTCTGGGCTCGTATTGGTGCGGTTCGCGAGTGATTATTTGTCTATCTGCGACTGGTTTGTCCTGTTCACGTCTTGCAGTTCGCAAGTAGTTGTTTGTCACACTCTGGAGCAAAAGACAAGTCCAAGTTATACATCTCTTTTATATATTTATACATATACTTAATTGAACCTATTGAAAAGCGTGGCTGTAATTCAAAGTCCACATGGCAAACTCAGTGGGCCAAAATCGAAATCTCATATGCACTGTCTATTTAGCTTTCTTGCAGCTATGCCGTCTAAGTCACTGGATCAAGCAGCTTCAGAGAGTCCAGTCATTGTAATCAACCACTGCGAGTTTTGATCCGATGCACTCATTCTCTCCCCACCCTCGGGCGCAAGGACGTACCTGTTGTCCATGTCCCGTTAGATATAGAGTTCTACAGCGATAGCATCGAGCAGGACACACGGTGTGATGTGTGAGGTTTGCCAACCCGACTTTCACAGAGTCTTCGTGATAGTTGAACCCATACACAAAGGTGCAGTATATATGCAATCAGAGAAACTACATGGCATGCACACTATTTTTAGTTCAAGCATATCGTGCTTCTTTCACACTTAGGGGCATCTCGTCTTACATAATTACAGTCTCGGATTAAGTAATATATTGTGGCTGCACATAATTTAACAAGATTCTGTTTCAATCTGGCCTAGTGGTCAGCTACCCAAACGCACTTTGTCGACGACTTTTGTGAGTTGCATCTTTACACATCGTCCTTGCTAAAACTGAACACTGGATATGGAACAACACCGGCTCATTCCGCTTGGCCGAGTAGAAGAAATAAGCCAGCAAACAGCAAATATGGCGAACGCGCTAAACAATCTTCGTCAAGCCTCAAACAATCTTAGTCAAGAATTTGCCGGCCTAGCTCACGACGAGATGGCTGATGTCAATGCTATCTACGAGTAAGCTATTCTGTTTGCATCCGCCTTCCATTTCTAATCAAACTATCAGATTCCGGCTGTATCAGGCACGAGAGCAGAATAAGCGTGCAATTTTTTGGAGAGGAAACATTAATGAGAGACCGAATTTGGCTCCTTTACCGCGTCAAGGCCTACAGCAGTTGCCAGAAGATGTACCATTTCCGAACACTGCCGCCGAATTCGCTAATTTAACAAGTGAGTATCAAATTTGTCATTTTGCATGCTGAGCAATGGGTCAAATTCTTTCAAGCGGCACAATACAGAGCCCTTCTACAGGCATACGGACAACCGGACAACGGACATCGTCCCGATTTGATGTTCCGCCTCCAAACCTACATTCTGGGTCTTTAGCAGATGAGGCAAGGTCTTAATCTTATGTTCAGCGGTTATCCCTGTTTTTGTGTCTCTTTTCGCTCCGGATTGTGACTTGGTTCCAGATTGCAGTCAGTAATTCTTGTAGTATCCTACTGTCATACGTACATCACAGATTGTTGTTACGCAGCCAATAAGTTATGATGGATTGTGGCTCGTCACCACAGCTACAGGCTGTAAAATGCAGACAATATAAAGAGACGGCCTATATAATACGACGCGTATTTTCAGAACTTGAGGCATATACAGTACAGTAAGTAGTACGGCCTGTTTACAAGCTGTATATATCTTATACGGATACAGCATATTGGTCGTATTTTTCAGACATCTGAAGTAGATTTTTAGATATATTTAAGCTAAAGTTAGCTTTACCGTGCTGCATTGGAACGTCGTCACAAAGGCCATCCCGGCCGCCCCACATCTCTGACAAATTCCCTACATACTCGCTCTGAACAGTGCGGACGGTCGGGGAGCCTTGATGAGGCCATTAATCTTCTCTCACGAGTAATGAACTTTGCCCCGAAGGTCGTTCTGCTCGTTCCTTTCCTCACTCTGAGTAGCGTTTTACAGGTGACTCATCCAAATATAATGAGGTGCTCCGCCGACTCGCCGAGTGATGGGAGGAGGGACAGAGTTGTCTCGAAAGTCGTTGACAAACTAAGAGAGCTTGGAATTGCGGAAGGATTGCGAATTTGGTGGTGTCCTACGTCTGTGCTATCTGTGCTTTCCCTTCCACGCCGTTGGTCTATTCAAGTGTACAGACGGCAACACCGTCACGGTGTATCCATTGGACAAGTACATCTCGTCATATACTCCGTCGCTTGGGGCACTTATCAACGTGCGGTCAGATGGACATGGAGGGGAACCAAGGGCAGTTCTTGTCATTGGGGATAGTTCACTTCAGTAAGCTAGGGGAGATTTTCAACATCCGGAATTATGGCATAAACACGAACCTTCTCGTCAGCAAGACGAACTGTGATGTAGTAATAAAGGCACTTCGGAAAGCAACCTGGGTCCATTTCGTTTGTCACGGAAACTTAAATTCAAAAGCTTTCAATTCTTCATTTACAGTAGTACAGCTCAATATCATAACCTATCCCATAACATCCATAAACTGAGTATCTGTCGATATGCTAAAACTAAACAATTGAAGGCTGTATCATCGGGAAAAAGTCTAAAAGGTTATATTACAATATAATGGTGTGAAAAAAGTAAAAAAGTAAAAAAAGTAATTTACATATTATCAGACCTCGATTTATGATAAAGTCATATAACATTGTATAATGTACTATAAGGTTTATGAATGTAATAAAAGTACATAAGGATAATACCCCTTTAAAACATATAAAATGCATAATATCGGACCTCCCTTTTTTGAAAGGTATTATAAGGATTTCTGTATTTCAAAAGGATAATATATGTTTCTAATGTTTTACAGACTATATATAGTTATTATTTCTTCTTGATAATAATTTTCCTTTACATCCATTCATTATTAAATTAATAAAATCAATTATATTAAAATATTTATACGATACATCACTATCTACAATAATTAAGGAAAATAAACCCGAAACACATACATAGTGCAGTCTGCGTTAAGATTTGTGCAGAGAGCGAGTGAGAGTGTCCGTGTCTGCTGTGATGCGAATACGAGTAGGCAGAGGTTGGGATCGGACCAGACTCGAGCGGCGAACGAGTGCATTACAGGTGTCGATTGCCAGGCCCATACCTTGACCAGATCCAGACGGACCACCAGAAAGCGGGGGCATTGAGAAGCTCAACAGTTATGACCACGTCTGCAGTTGACCCTGTCCTTTCGATCACTCTGCATCACCCATCTCAAAATCAGCAAAGTCCGCCATTTCCACTTCGCGCACGCCACTGCACGTTGTGTACGAATATCCGAAGGGCAGCCATACAGCAAACTATAAGCAGAGGGCGAGTCGGATTCACTGTAGTTGTCAGAATCAGTGGTAGATGCTGATGAAGAGACACTTACAGTACTTACAGTGTATGACGAGCTGCCTCCGCCTTGTTCTTTTTCAAACAGCATTCGTGACGAAAGAGGATGGATGCGTTTTCGGATCATTTGATGTAGTCTTCGTCACTACGTTTTAGTCGTTGCTCCGTCCCTACGAGTTGAATTACGCATGTATGTGGGTTGTAAGATTGCACAAGTTGTAGAGGTTGCTGTTGCGCTTGTGACACAGGTTGTGAGATTGACTGGCTGAAAGTGTAAGTGTGAGTGTTGGCATTGGCATGAGTGGATAAGTGGATTGAGGAGATGGACACACTGCAACAGTGTGAAGCAAGTGTGAGTGGTGCACCGGGGTTGAGATCCGGAGCGTTGAACGAGCTGATTTGGGCCACAGGCAAAGCTGTGTTTGTACACACACGTTGCATGCTCTGACTACGTCTCACAATCAGAAGTACAGTGGGCTGAGTAATTATGGATAGCTGCAAAGGTGTATCTCTGGGAGGTTCTGGCTCAAAGAGAGAAAGTGAAGTGGAGGGTATGGACAGACTCAGCAGAGGGGTGAGTGGTCGACCACTGCTTCCGATATTCGAAACAGTGTCATGAACAGCACTGGGGAATGTAAAGGCATGTCAAGCTTGGAACAGTGGGTGGGGAAGGAGAGCGCGTACAGCGTCAAAGACAGGGTACCATGGGAGTGGTTGTACCTAGACATTGTCGCAAGCATACCCGTAGATTGTTGCTTGTGCTGCAAAGCGGGAAGAAGTATGCGAATGTGTGGAGTTATTGAAGAAGTCGTTCGACATTGGTCAATAATGCGGATGCAGATGAAAAATGAAGGTGAGTGTAAGGAAAGAAGGACAATAACAGAGAGGCAATGCAAGCAGCAGAACGAGGAGCAGAAGGGATGGAAGGGAGACAAGAAGTTGGGAGGAGAGGGATGAGCAACTATTGTGCAGGCGATTATGAAGTGGACTGGCTGCTTACCGCTTTACGTTGAAGGACGGTGTAGTCAGCTCAGTGGCATCATCGCGGGATCTGAGGCTCAGCGCAGGCATCGCAGTGGCAGATTGGAGAGACGAGTACGTGATGTTTATTGCCTATGTTGAAGCAGGCAGAGTGCCCGCTGGTGGGACGCTTGTAGGCAGAGGACTGGGCTAGAGAGAACAAGAGCAGCAACTAACCGTTGAACGGGTGGTAGAGAGTTGTAGGAGATGGTGGAGGCATGAGATAAAGAAGTGACGAGGACAAATGCGTCATTATAAACACTCGATCTTCAGCAGTCGATTATGTAATCAATGTTCGTGATAGTAGCAAAGCTGTAAAACAAATCAATTATTGTATTTAGATGTAAAATAAATGTATAAATTTACTTTATAATATAGCTAATAGTACTCTAGCATGTATATATTCTCCTAAATACAGTAATATAAATATTATAAGTAGTTGAAACCCTTATACAGATAACACAATCTGTTTTACAATGTAAATATAAGACTATTTTCAAAATTATAATCTAAGTATAATACTTTAGCTTATAATTTAAGGTTATCATAATGTATTCAATGAATTTTAATCATTTATAACACTTTTAGAGTCCCTATATACATTAATATTCCTTATTTTAGTATTATAATTGTGTTCTAACCCTTACAGTCATATTATAATGTATATAAAATGTTTCTACTACTTTAAATGGACTGTAATTCATTATATTTAAATGGACTTTTTCCCGATGATACATGTATGACAAATGATCCAACCATCCTGGAAAAGGCCAAAAGCGAAACACTGGCGGTTAATGCGATGTTTATGTCTCCGTGTCGGGGTAGACTTATGTTCAAGTTAGTCGTAGTAGATTTAGGATATGTTTTGCACATGACTTAGGATACGTGCTTATTCTCAAATCTCAATTAATCTGATCGAAAGTGTCTGTTTTCACGCGAAGAATCCTCGGACGGAAGATAGACTTATAAAATAATATCGATTATTATCATGTTCTGGATCTCAGAATGTGTGGTAGTTGTATCCCCGTGATTCTTAAAAGTTTACTGCACGTAAGTACAATTTACAAATCGAAAACGATGTATACCCTGGAATGCTTTTTCGTTATTATCATTTGCATGCAGTTCTTCGAACTTTGGGACGAACGTCATCTGCATAAAAGAATTATAGTTTGGTATTAGAATATTGCTGGAGCTTGGACTCCGTTATAGTCGTCATAAGTTTCACAACTATTACAGTTTCGGGAAGTTCATTTGGATTGGTCAGGGAGAACGAGAGGGTATCGCGAAAACGTGCAGTTTTGATCTATCTTCATCGTGATCGGCGTTTACCCCGCATCATGGTTGGCCTGTATCCTGACGACAAGTTTCACCCTCCATTCTAGCTCGACTAAAGTGAACAGTGACCTAAACCTAGAGGAGAACCCATGAAGTAAATGACAAAAATGCAAATGTTAGACCCAGTTGGAGAAAGGGTTTATTGCACTAAACACAACCCAAAACTCCCTTCTCGTCATACCAACCAACTAAACTCAAGTCTTTCCATTCGTAGGCTCGTGTGCCCATTTATCACGTTCGATCGATGCTATCTGCCTTTTCCATGCAGGGTCACTCCCGTTTGCATTACGTGGGGTCCTCGTATCTCGTAAAGCTCGAGGCTTGAGACTCCCGAATCGATTAAGAGGCCATAAAATGTAGACGAGCTTCGCATCAATTAGGGCTTGTGGGACCTACAACCGTGATATAGATAGGGTATGTGGTCAATATAGTTTTGGACGTGTGATTTTTGAGTACAAGGGAGGAGAAGACGAACAGGTCCCCATGTGTTACTGTCAAGCGTCCAAAAAGGTTCGTCCCCTAAGAGTAAGGTATCAACACACGCGGAATGTAATGAAAGTTAAGGTAGGTGAACCTTCTACCCAGCAGTATCCTTCTGGTATCTTCACTTCCTTCTGAGGATATGGTGGAAGCGTTTGCACCTTCAAATATTTGTCTGTCAGACAGCTCTTCGTGTGTCCTTCAGATATGTCGAGAACTCACTGTATCTCCGGGAAGAGCCACAACCCGTTTGACAACAGTCTCGTTTGGTTTAACAGGTGATCTAAATTAAAGGAATATAAGTATTTGGTACAATGTACGAACAGCTACAAGTATAAAGTCATTACGCACCGAAGAGAAACAACATCTCCCCGTCTCACATCATGCGCAGCATGAACAGAGAACCGATTAAATAGCACAATATCTTTCCAGATGCAAGGTTCAGGATTCAGCGTAGGCTTGCTGGGACGTAATGTTGAGCTCAGCAAATTCTCGCCACGATTGCCTTGTCAAAATGTACGGAAACGAACCTGCATACTCCTCCCCGAAATTTGCTTGACTGTCATGCAATGCTGCACAAATATAAACGGGACAGGTGCCCATGTTATCGCTTTCCATACGCTGCGCGGTATGCGGAATGGCATGGATGTTGGACGGTCAACTCAAGTTGCGCGACGTGCTACAGCTCTGCGCTTCATCAAGACTGGTCACGGGACCGGAAATGTGCTTAAGTAGCAAGAACAAATAGATTAGTGTAGCGAATAGCGATGAGCGTAACGACGGTAAACTCGAGCCAAGGAGATAACAGAACTGATTGTACACAAGAGGGTGCCCAGACCGGAGCCATAGAAGAAGAAAGAAACGTATGTACAAAAAAGTCCTAGAGGGAGAAAGACTATCGTGCACCATATCCACCACCCGCACCGTATGCATCGTACCCATTCCCCCCGCCATACCCTTGCCTTGACGGCTGCTGATAACCATGATTCTGGGCGCGAGATGCTGTTCGAGCAGGCACATTGGTAAGAGGTTGTTGCGAGTGATAGTCCGCCTGAGGTTCATATGCATATCCATTACTTTGGCCAATATCCTGCTCGTAGCTCTGTCCGTAGTGCGAATAGCCTTGGCTATGCTGCTGGCCATATTCATTCGCATCACCGCTGACAGCGTATGCGCCGGGCACATCCTGTCCGTAACCAGTATGTCCGTCATGATTATAGCTGTCATACCCAGTCCCACCATGCTGTCCATCATAACCAAACGTCCCATTGTAGTTTGCACTATGTGGGTTTGCCATTGGTGAGCTGTTGTTAGTTTGTCGGGCAACCGGCGCTGCTGCGTTGGCGAGGTTGGCCTGGCTATCGTATTTGTTGTCTGCATAATAATAGGAAGGGTCGTCGGACGATTGTAGTGATGAGGCATAACCTCCGTATTGCTGCTTATAGGGAGGCATTGGCGGGGGATAGTCTGTTGCATATGCATTCTTGTAATCCGCGTAATAATAGTCTGTCGCACCAGTAACACGAGTACGGACGGAAGTGCTATCATCCATGAACTCGTCATCAAGTTTGATATCTGGTAGCGTCGGTTGCGGCAGAGGATTATGTACCAATTCGCCCTTCTTGTTCTTAAGATGCGAGAAGTCTCCTGCTGCTTCCTTCTTTGCAAGCTTAGCCGCCTCAGCGAGCCGTTCCTTCTTCTTTCGCTTAACAATCTCGGAGATACGCTAGAGAAGGTTCGTCAAGGTTTGAATATGCACATCCAAGCAACCACACTACCTTATCCACTTTGTGGCAACAATATTCCTATATTATCCGCATTGTTATAAATGTATACTCGCGAGACGGTAATATAAACTAACCTTCAGATTACCCTGAATGTAACACAACAAAGGGATGTAAAAGACACCAGCGGCCATAAGTAACAAGGCAGAACCAGCAAAGATCAAGACCGTTGTTAGTGTCGAGAAGATAAGAGCACCAGTGATGATGCTTCCGTTCGTGTACTTGTTCAAGTCCCACACAGAACCAGGTTTGGTCTTTTGCGACAAGTAGAATGAATAAAGAGTGAGACCGTTGATAGCCTGACGAGGGCCGTCGGATAGTAAAAGGCGTTTCCAACCTACGTGGTGGGTTAATAGACAGTATTGGATGTAATTTGAATGCATACTCTTGAAAGTAAAGAATACGAAGAAAGCAAAATCATCCTTTTTCTTTGTAGAGTTGTTGATACGGCAGAAGAAACAGAAATGGTCATACGATCCTGGTGATGAAGATCAGTTAGAAGTTCACTGGATGAGTAGACAGCGCATACTCAAAGAGTAGTAGTTGTTTGCCATAATGTTGGTGAAAGCATAAGAGATATCTCGACTGGCAATGATCTTTCGCGCCTTCCTCGCCTCATACGCAAGCTACAAGATATCAGCACCACCTCATACTAAATGCGGCCAATAACATACCAATAAGAAGCCAGCGATAATGCACCCTACGAAAAGCCATTTTCCGACCGTGAAGGGTATGAAAACGCAACCATTGTCGTCGTTTTGCTGACAGCTGTCGAAGATGTGATTCGACCATGTGTTTGTTGTTAACATGGTGATGGCGGTGAAGATATCGAAGACATAGACAAGGAAGGATTTTAGGACCAGCACATAGATCCACAAATATCTGGAGGGCGACAAAAGGCTCGATTAGCATGCCTTCCCACTCGTGGGAGGAAATAACGCACCGAGTGCGCATCCAGCATCCATGATCAGTGAAGTCCCGAGTGTCTATGAAGTCGAACTAGATGCCAGAAGCAAATATTGAGTATTCATACGAGATAGAAAAGGCTGAGACTGACTTTGTGGTCTGGGACGACCTCTCGCTTCCATTGCGGCCCTCCACACATAACTGATGAGGGGGTAACGAAGGAGATGTCTAATGAGAGTAGCTTTCCGGACCAGCCAGGAACATGCAGGAGCGAAGGACTGGCAGATAATGAGCGGTCTGCGTTGGCGAACGAGTGAAGTGGCAAGAGGGGACCACGGGCGGTGAAGCAGAGGTAAGCGGTGGGAAGGGAGAGTTAGAAAGAGCTGCCTTGTAACGCGGTCGTTCGCCGTTGCCAGTCAGGCCGCCTTCCATTCTGGGCAATTTTCTTATGAGTGGCTGACACTTCAAACATTCTCAACGTTTTGATCATCACCGAACTGCATCTTTTTGCTGAGCTGGCTCGGACAGCGATTAAGGGGTTTAGTTCCGGTTTGTCACTGATACTGGCCAAGAAGTACATTACAGAGACTCAGATTAATCGATCGATAAAATATCGTGAGAATATTTGGTAAAGGTTTCAGAACCGACCGCATTGACCGACGCCCACTTTAGATTCACAATTTCTCCTGGCGCTGACTCTGAGCAACTTTTTCATACAACATCGTAAGAAAGCATAGTGCAAGATGACGACTGTACAAAAAATCAAGGTCTGTCTCTGCCTGACCATAGACTACCGTTTTGCTAACGCCAAATCCTCGTTTGTGTAGGAAATTGAAGATGAAATGGTGATCGTCCAACAGTCCACCACCTGAACGATAACACTTACAGAGTTCACAGGCCAGGAGTGAGCGCCTATGACAATGATTCTTTACTATCTGTAACAGCAAGTCGTTCATAGCCCAGAAGAACAAGGCCACGAGTTACCACTTGGGTCAACTGAAGGCGAAGCTCGCTAAGTTACGACGAGAGCTCTTAACTCCCGCAGGCGGCAGTAGTGGTGGCGGTGGTGGCATCGGTTTTGACGTCGCTCGGACTGGCGTAGCTTCAGTCGGATTTGTGGGATTCCCATCCGTTGGGAAGGTGAGCTTGCCAAATTTTGACGTTCGGAACACCGTTAATTCGCATACAGTCGACGTTGATGTCAAAGCTCACGGGAACTCACTCGGAAGTCTCTGCGATCGACTTCACGACCCTCACGACCGTCCCCGGAACGCTCAAGGTGCACGGCGCTCCGATCCAGATTCTTGACCTGCGTGCGTGATATCTGTCTGTCGTGATTTGCACAGACTTATTCATTCTACATTATCAGCTGGTATCATTGAGGGTGCAAATGATGGTCGAGGTCGTGGGCGGCAAGGTGCGTGATTATCTCCAGTCGAATTACTCCGACGCTGACAATCTAATGATTATAGTCATTGCGGGTAAGTTAATTACCTTTATTCGGTACGCTGAGCTGAACATGCCTCTTGTTAGTCGCCCGAACATGCAACCTTATCTTTATTGTCCTTGACGTGCTCAAGCCTCTAAATGATAAGAAGATCATTGAGGGTGAGTTAGAAGGGTTCGGCATACGACTGAACAAAAAGCCTCCAAACATCACCGTGCGAAAGAAAGACAAGGGTGGCATTGCCATTACAAATACCGTCCCGCTCACGAATATCGATCACGATGAAATCAAAGCAATACTAAGCGAATACAGAATTAGCAACGTAGATGTCGCCGTTCGGGAGCCAAATGCGACGGCAGATGACATTGTGGACGTTATCGAGGGCAATCGGTGAGTAGAGTGTTCCGCTTTGGATGTCCACAACTGATGTCCGTCGTTGAAATAGAGTTTATATACCTTGTATTTATGTACGTGTCCTTATTTTGCTATCTTGAATGTTGAATTGAAGTCAATGCGCCTTGCAGGTTCTTAACAAGGTACAGACGGTTGTGTTGGCTTTTAGTTGCAGTGCATTGTTGACACTTTTACAGATTGATGCCATCTCAATTGAGGAGCTAGACCTGTTGTGAGTCTCCTTCCTAACTCGATCCATCCCGCTTTTGACATGGCGCGGCGTCTCTCTAGGTACAAAATACCCAACAGTGTCCCCATTTCTTCCAAAGAATGGCTGAACATCGATGAACTTATCGAAGTGATGTGGCAAGCCCTGGACCTTGTGCGAGTTTACACAAAACCCCGAGGGCAGTCTCCAGACTATTCCGCCCCAGTCGTTTTGAAACGCGGTAAATGCACCGTAGAGGACTTCTGTAATGCGATTCACAAAGAGATCGCGAAACAGCTTAAATAGTGAGTTAAAGTTCGTGCCATAACGATCCACATAGTATTTTCTCAGGTGATTTTTGTCCGACAGTGCCATTGTTTGGGGAGCGAGCGCAAAGCATGCTCGAGGACAAAAGGTGGGATTGGACCATGTCTTGGAGGATGAAGACGGTACGTTTTCGGTTAAGTCGGGGAGACTATATATAATACTGACCCCGAACCATTCAAGTCGTTCACATTGCAAAGAAGTAGTCCATATAATTTTGCCCGGCTGCGATTCTATACATGTGAATTTAGCGTGGAGGGGACTTGAGGTATATGTACGAAAGACGTAAGAATGCCCAGGTTAAACCAACAGCGCAGTAGATGCTCGTGAGCATTAGTGGTAAGAACTCCATCGAGCCTTCGCTCTTCGTGGAATAGTTTACTGCTTGGGAATCCGATTGGGCACCATCGACCGCGGTTTTCATGTCTTCGACTTTTTGCTTCGCTTCTCCCGTGAGTAGTGGGAACACAGTGACGAAAACCTGAAGAAGGGTAAAGCCGACAAGGTATAGTCTTTCTAGGTGATCGACTATCACCATTGGCAACGACCTGGGAAACCTTCGGGAAAACAAGTGTTTAGCATGACCTTCCTGCCCGACATACACGCGAACATACTCATAAACTCGTCGCTGCAATGGACGGAAGATAAGATACATCCATATGATTGAGTAGAGTACTTTCACAAGCGTTTCTTCGCCAAGGTGGAATTCAGTGAACTTTTTGCTCTTCGATTCGCGTCGTGAAGGCGAGGAACTTACCAGCTGGTGTGAAGAGAAGCGGAAATAGAGAGTAGATGCCTGCGACACTCGCAAGCATAAATGTCCGGAAGAACGCGTGGTTTTCAGCTGCGAGTAGACTACAGGATGGAAATCAAATGAATGGTTTCGAAGCTGACAATATTAAGCTAGACGCACCTTAGCGGAACCAATACCAGAAGGATGGCTTTTTCATGAACATGCCAACCAAACATGTAGGAGACATATCCACAGAGCGTGAGGGCACATAAGAAAGACTTGTATGTTGGTGTCATCCATAACTTGACCATGAAGATCTAGCGCGGGAATCAGAATTGGATGAAAATACACGCAGTAGGAGACCTACACTCTGGAATGCTAATGTGATAATGAAGCAGTGCAACGGTTTTACGTTGGGTAGAATGGCAAATACGGTATCGCCGACAAGCCCCCTTGATGCCGACGATACACCCTCTACATTCAGCGCAAATTTTGCACCGAATCTCCTTACGTCTGGGAAATTGCTACGAATTAATTGAACAAGTTGCGGAACCAAGAACTGGACGTACACTGTAGCAGAACACGATCCAGAGCCGTAACGAGGGCCCACGCATTCGGAGCCCAGTATGCATGGTTCAATCCGCGTTTAAATGGGAATAAGCGGCTTGCGAGCTGGGGTAGTTGACCCATGAGAAGGAATGGCCCAATGGATACCACGAACACGGCAATGACAATGTTGGCAAGAGATAAGAAACTCCCGAATCGCAGTTTCCCTGTTAATTATTTTTTAAATTATTTTAGTATGGCCGAGTAAACAATGGGATAAAACAGTTAACCTTGTGGCGACATGCAAAATGCCCGCAGAAGATAAACGAAATAGGCGGGCTACGGAATTGCTAAGTCGGCTGGTAAATAAACAAGAACAACATAGCTCACGGCTTGATACATATAAATATGTTTGAAATTCAGCAGTACTGCAAAGAAAAATCCGCATCCAAGCAGGTTTCCCTATGAAGTGGCAAGTTTAATTACCTCAAGCTGCTGGTCAAGAAGCAATAGGCCTTACGTTACGAGCCGACAGGATGGACCACAGCAAAATACCGAACATGAATCCGTTATATTGAAAGTGAATATGGTCGACAATTAAGAAGCCGGGATGAAGGAAAAGAGACGCCGAAATTATACGCTGAGTTGATGGTTCTACAGCACCACGTATGAAACTAAACGGGAAAGAGCGTGTCAATTATGCACTTTTAACCGGAGAAGAAATGGTAATTGTACCGCAATAATGCAAGTCCCAACACGATCTCAGTAACGATAACTGATGTTCGTTGAAATGCTATAACAGACCAAGAGTCGTAGTTGAGATTGTTGAGGTCCACGATTCTCCTGTCGACCAATGAAGCTGGAATCGAAAGAAGGTATTCAAAATAGGCAAAGAAAGGAGGATAATCCAGCGCTATTCGTTAGTGGTAAGATATAGTTGAACCTATGGGACAGCAATCTAAAGTAACACTCACTCCATTCAGAGGTGGTCTTGACGTTGAGGTAGTTTAAACATCTCGCAAAAGCCAATGTGAACAGTAGAGGTAACTAACATCATAATACCATTTCGAAATAGGCAAAGAATGTGTGATTGCTAGCCAATTTCTGTGCACTTCGAAATCAGTTGACCGACTAGATCATAAGAGTAAGCAATATGGCCGTGCAAGTTCTATTTGTTAACGCACTATGAAGGAAATAGAAGGACTTTCAGGACAGTAGAAAGGACAAATAGATCCCTCTCGGAGGGCGAGATATCCTTCCACCATGGATCCGGCCTTCGTGTCACCTGGTCAGAAGTCGAGTTTGAGGTGCTATCCTGCCTTGCAACACTCGTACGTCTGCCTAGTGTAGGGTGATCGGGAAATGTCGTTGTTTGAGGCGAGGAAGTAGGAAACGCGATGCCAGCACTGGCCATGGTGGTCCAGAGAGCACGTTCGGCGCGTCGCGAGTTCGCGACGAGGATCGTGATCGTCGTTCCGGACATTTCCTGCTTGGACACTGGTGACTGGACTAGCTTGGAGTTACAACTCTACCAAATATATGAACCGAGCAGCATGCGCTGGAATTATACTCTCAGGTAATCTATAGTTCAAGTAGTCTTATAAAGATAGCCAATCTGCAATGGATTAATCCTTCTTTTGTTTTATTATAAGTGTTTGTATGTATAGTAGTGTTATTATCGAAGTGTATGAAATCTGCTTTTGGCAGTGATGTCCAATGATATCCATCGTTCCACGCTGAAAGTCTTTACCAAAAGATGCTCACCCTTTGTCATGTTAGACAGCAAGCCGGGATAGAATTGTTTATGACTCTGTTCACAAAATCAATGTGTCCTATCTTTTCATCTAGCCTAATCTGACTTGGATGAGACCAAAGGCTGTTGCCTCAATGAGCATCTTGATGTTCAGACAGATTAAAATTTGGTATTCCTGTTCTCTTCTGCAGAAGTGTGAAATATGTCAATGCCATATACGAGGGACTCATCAATGTACAATTTGAGAAAAAAATTCTTACTACTACTGTAACAGTATGGAATACGAGTATCACATACATGGAGATAATTTTGATACTGTTCTGTGCAAGTATACCATGCCTCGGATCTAACTTCATCGCATGCTGGTAAAGATGGTTCGAGGAATTAAATCAGAATTATGGGCAACTTGGGGAGATGAGCGGTAACTGGTTCCGGAACGGATCACAAATCAACGGAGATTACAATCAAATTTGGTTATACGATCCCACACGTGTCATTCTTTTGATGACGTTTACACGGCGTGTCCCGCGCCTCAGGAGGTGTTGCATCTTGTAAATGATGAGTGGACAGGCCGCATCAGCAAGAGTAACGGAGCAAACCGCACAAGGGTTCGTCTGATCTATTCTTTTGTTATTGATGAGAATTTGTGGTGATGAATGACGCTTAGGGGTGTTCTCCTGAGACTAATCGTCTTCGCAATATCACTTGCTGTTGTCCCGTTATCCACGTATTACGGCACACAACGATTTGTCTGGAAGGGTGAGTGCACAACGAATTCTTTTGGGCGGCTAGGAGCTGCTACTGAGGCCTTCTACCATCCTTGTGCGTTCGAAGGCGACTCGACTTTTGCTGCGATCTCAGCGGTCTTCGTAGCAAATGTGGTATTAGTAGCGTACATCGCCATATCCGTGTATGAGGATAAACAACAGACTGCGCCAAGGAGAGTAGAAGGCAAAGCAGACGAATCGAAAAAGGAGAAGTAGATGTACAACGTCCGGGAACTTACTGCGCCTTTTGCTTGGAGAAATGACCTTCTCGTCTTACTATAGTCCCAGCAATTGATTATTTGTTCTAGTGTACTTGTCACCGACGTCTCAACGACGGAAATTCGATGATCTTGTTCTTGTATGTAATGCTAGCATGAACGACAATGAGGCTGTTGGATTTAACAGCTACCTCGAACGATTACTCGGTGAACTGAAAGGCATCAGAGATGTCTCGGCCAAGACTGGGAGTTTCTTGACGGAGGAAAATGTGGCGAGACCCGTTATCGGCCGATAAGATAGGGGAATGAATCACACCGATAATGATTGCATCACGTTTGGACGGGCAACAGAACCACAGAAACGAGACACGCTAATTAGCGACGCGTCTGTAACGTCGTGTAAGTAACGCAAACAAACAAACCTTTATTACTTGCTTTTAATTATGTTACGATACATTTCCTCACAATCTCGCTCCAATGATTATAAACGCACTTTAGACAATCCAGATATCCACAAGATTCTCCCAAATATGACATAGCTGCGGCCCCTGACGCGTTTGACTCGAACGTTGCGTGACCAAAGCTGACCAAACAGGTGCATACGCGTCAGTTTTTTCCCACGCAGTGCAAAATGTCAATATAAGCCGTGCGGTCCTCCTGCTGCTCCTCAACTTCTACTTCCGCCTGCATATCCCTTCTGCCACCTGCACCGTTAAAGACGCGTCTCTCTCGTTGCTGCTAGAAAGCTTCTATTCGTTTTCTATCCCTTACTTCGCTCCAATGGCTGCCACTACCGTTGACGACGTTTTCTCCGCGCCTTCCTCGACACCTTCTAAGAAAGTATGTACTTCTCTAGCGTGTTGCGCCGCGTCTATCGTTAATTAAGTCCACGTGCTTACGCGTCCTGTACTTTTAACGCGTAGGTTGCTGCTTCGCTTGAAGCTATGGAACTTAAGACACCTGCCAAGCATTCGAAGAAGGAGATTGAATGTCCCATCCTCGATGATGAGGAAAAATCCCAGTCTCCTGATACCCTGGCAGACGCAGAGGAGGAAGTCGAAGACTACCGTCGGCGCTTTGTTGGTGACGTCGACCTTCCGGAAGGTATGTGGCTTGCAGTCCTCGTTCCACTCTTCACATATTTAAGTGGCTACTATTGCCGATCAGACCAGGAACCCCTCTTGGTGGAATCGAAGCGTCGTTTCGTGCTTTTCCCTATCCAGTACCATGAGGTCCGTTAACAGTCTATTTCCGATTGCGCTTCTGCTGACGTTTGAGACGTTAAGATCTGGCAAATGTACAAGAAGGCAGAGGCGTCATTCTGGACCGCCGAGGAAATGGATCTTTCGAAGGACCAGCATGACTGGCAAAACAAGCTCAATGACAACGAGCGTCACTTCATTAGCCATGTACTTGCCTTCTTCGCCGCATCCGATGGTATCGTAAATGAGAACCTGGTTGAGAGGTTTAGCAACGAAGTGCAGGCAGCCGAGGCTCGATGCTTTTATGGCTTCCAGATCATGATGTTCGTGTTAATCGCTTGACCACTCAGCAAGAAGACTTCTAATCCGTAATACAGGGAGAATATCCACTCGGAGACCTATTCTCTATTGATCGACACGTACATAAAGGATCCGGTTCAGCGCGAGTATCTCTTCGATGCGGTTGAGACGATTCCCTGCATCAAGAGGAAAGCTGACTGGGCGCTTCATTGGATCTCGGACAAACGTTCAACATTTGGCGAGCGTCTGGTAGCATTTGCGGCAGTGGAAGGCATCTTCTTCTCTGGCGCCTTCGCGTCGATCTTTTGGCTGAAGAAGCGCGGACTCATGCCGGGTCTGACCTTCAGCAATGAGCTCATCAGCCGAGATGAGGGGATGCATACTGACTTTGCGTGCCTGCTCTTCAGCCACCTTCGTCGGAGGCCTCATCCAGACACTGTCAAGAAAATTATCACCGATGCCGTGAAGATCGAGCAGGAGTTCCTGACGGATGCTCTTCCTGTCAGCCTGATCGGCATGAACGCGAAGCTTATGTGCCAATACATTGAGTTTGTTGCCGATCGACTGCTAACCGCACTCGGAAATGAAAAAGTGTACAACTCGACAAATCCAGTATGTGCTTCTTACTACCATTTCTTGTACCTTCGCTTATCGGCCGTGTTCGTTCCTGTGCCTGCAGTTCGACTTCATGGACATGATCTCGCTTCAGGGCAAGACGAACTTCTTCGAGAAGCGCGTCTCGGATTACGCGAAGGCTGGCGTGAACGTGAGCGCGTCTTCGAAGACGAAAGCGGAAGGAGGGTCAAGTAAAGTCTTGTAAGTTTTCATTCGGGCCTTTGTTCGCTAATGAACGTTCCGCTGACTCGTCTACCTTAGTACTGTCGATGAAGACTTCTGAACATTTGGTTTCCTTCCCCTTTTAATAGATTGTTATATGACTATTCTTAATGCTCTGTATTACCTCGTCTACAATCCCGGCCTCGCAACTGTACCTCATGTTTATCCATCCCCGCCCCGTTATTTCCTCTTTCACTATTTCCATTGCCATATCCCCTAGCTCTATCTCTTGTTTTGTCTTCAGTCTTATTCTGTACTACGATTCCATGGCATGTTACTTTTAGATATACCAAGACAGAATGAATCATGCATATGATTGGGGGGAGGCGTGAACAGTGATTGAGCGGCTGCGCACACGCGAGACTGAGATTGTGCAGTGTGGGAGAAAGTAACTGCGAAGACGGGGAAACTCAAACGCAGTGCCAATCGCAATAGTTGATGGGAAAAGCTCGCTTGAAAGTCTAGTTGAGTTGCCTTGGACAGTACCGGAACGCGGGGAAGGAGCGACTAAGAGAGTGTGTATGGGATGAGAGAGGACAAAGGAACCGAGAGGCTTCGCGTGGGTTCTTAAGGGTCCTGGCTTCTGAGATGTACTCGGAGAGGATGGATGTGGATGGGTACGGCGAGGACCGCGGGTTACGACTTCCGTGCAAAGAAAGGCGTGGTGAGAGAAGAACTGTATGGACTGCCATCTGGGGCAAGGACCGTCTGGCCAGAGATTTTCTGGCCCAGATCTGCTGCATTTTCAATGTTTGCCATTTGATGTCATCAGAGAGGGAGCGTATCTGCAACCGCTCATCGAACAGGGCGTGTTCGTCAGGGAGACGGAGGTGCCCGACGGGGCAAGCAAACGGATGAACGGACGGACGGGACGGCTGGGCTGGCCGTAATCTCCCCCAGAGAGGACAGGATGCAAGGCTGGATTGATGTCCGTCTCGGGAGAGAAAGGAGGGTGCGGTACGGCTACGTCTGTGTGTTATTCTGCCGCGTAGGCAACGGATCTGTTCAGCTACGCTTTTCTCGGATATTCTGCGTTCTTTTTCCCTTTTTCCGGCCGGAATGGATTGTAGTATTTTTCGTTCGCCTTCTTTTTCGGCGTGTGTGATTGCGGAATAGTCAAGCGCACTAGCCGCTCTACCCAGAGTCTGATGCCAGTGATAGCGCGTATATAACCCCCGCTAAACCACTTCACACACGATTGAGTCCCTCGAGTCTCCATCCTCATGAGTGTCGTTGCACGCCGAGCTTCAACTTCGCCCGACGGACGCACAAGCTGGCTACACTTCGCAACCCGCTCCCACCGCCTGCACGCGCTCCCAGCCTAACGACGTACCCTGCTTCCATTAGCAATAGCATTAGAGTATCAGTTCTCAGCCCACGCGCATCTTCGCTACTGCTAATTTCTCTACACGCGATCGACACACGACAGAACTGCTATTTAGCCCTGCGCCTCGCGGTCATACTTTCCCAGTATTTTTTCTCCTGCCTTCTCTCCCTCGTGCGCCTTCGTGCGCCCACCACGCGAGAGCAAGCTCATTTGACGCGCCGTGGCCATCACCATGGGCATGCACGTCCTCTCCTACCTAAAGCAGACGCTCAAGCGGAAGGACAAGGCGCGTGATTCCGACTGGGACTTTGGCGCGCGCCAGTCCGACGCTCCGATCCGACGCGACAGCTTTGCAGTGGCAAGGCGCAGACGTAGTACCTCTCTCGACCGTCAGCGATGTCCACCTCCAATCCAGCGCGCGGAAGAGCCGCAGCACCAGGTGAGAAATTTTGCAATCGTGAAACATACGCCAATCTCTCCGTCCTGACATCAACACGTCCCTGCCAGCACAAACGCATTTCGGCCGCAGTTGGGGACGCAAGTGCTGGTACCTCTGTTGCGCGCGGATCGCGCGGTATCGTGCCTGCAGCCGATTCCGAAGCACACGGCCCGCGCAGTGGGAGTCCAGAGGACGATGTGCTTTTGGCTGCTGGCGAATCTGCGAAAGAAAGCAGGAGCGCAGGGAAACCCAGCGATTACCGACGGCGCGCACACTCCGTCGCGGTAATGCGTGCTACAGATCCATTTGAGCGTCCTACTCTTCGACATGCCTCCTCCGCGTTCACGCAGCGGGATCTCAGTGCATGCCCGTCGGCGGCCAGTCCTTCGCGGCACTTGGCCGCTTCACCTGCGCCGTCCGTGCAGTCCTTCCATTCTCTTCAAGCGGGTCCGAGTGACACGAACCGGCGAGCGGCTCTTGCGGCGAAACGCTCAATGCCGCAATTGCATAATGTCTGGGAGACTTTCCTTGAGGAGGCCGCAGAAGATGCTGACTCTTTTGATTTCCCCATGCCTCCTCACTCTCTACATACGGCTAAGTCACCGACTAAGTACGCTACTGTTCAAGGTAGCCCGCACGCCAGTGGAAGCCACTACCCACGACACCACCACGCCCCAACGGCTTCTTCATCCTCTACTACTCTACAGCCTCCAAGAGGCCTGCCGCGTACTCCCCATCCTAATGTACCCCAAAGCTATCCGCCGTCCTCGAGCAAGGCGCGTCCGCGCGGACATGTACGTACTTCGCACCAGGCGTCGTCTTCTACCTCCAGTTGTACTACATCAAATGCCGGATCGACAAGCTCGATGGCTGCGTTCTCATCGGCATCCTCAATGACGACCGCGTTTGAGGGCTCCGATGATAACCAGCACGCGCGCGACGACCCTGCTGTTCCCCCTACCCCACATACGAGCGCCGCTAAGAGCCCGAGGACTTTCAAATTCGTCGATCCCTCTTTATTGCCTCAAGCACGGAAAGTGCCGTTGCAGGTTCAAGATGTCCCGCGTGGTGTGTCGCCGACATCCAGTACGTCGAGTGATTCGTTAAGTAGCAACGCGGTTCCGTACTCGCATTCTCTGTCGACGACTCCCACACCATCCAGCGATTGCCCCACGCCATCACCGAGCCCGTCCAGATGTGGTCCGCCTCCAATGTCTCCCAGCAAACATGCTGGTCGGCTTAGCCCGGACGTTTCAAGGACGAGCCGGCAATACCGTCAATCACCGGAAGCAGAATTGCTGCTTGAACATCCGCTCTCACCAGGGTCACCAAAGTCCGACAAATCTTACCGGTACTCGAGTGCCACTGCGGGATGTCGTGTAGAACGGGGGTTACGATCACCGCTTGAGGTGTGTGAAGAGAGGAAGAGTTACGAGGAAGATGTCTTGTCAGAATTGGGATACTACGGCACCATGGCTTCGCGAGCCAAGAGTCCGCAGCAATTTGCAGTCCACACGGTACCGGGTTCGCCTCCGCAGTCACCCTCATCTCCCGCGATGCCTGTTGTTCCACCTCTTCGCCGAAGCTCCCGACAGAATCTGCGCGCTGTCGCCTCACGATCTGTGCCTTCTGCTCACATACTATCATTACCCCGCGCCAAATCCGCTTCGAACATTAAGCGTGAGTCGCAACCAGTACTCGAACGGCCACTTCTATCTCCCATGCGCTCTTCAAGTCTGCTTCGGTTGAAGAAAGCTGCAACTGATGCGGTGAGTTCGGGCTCGAGTTCAGTTGCACCGGCGAATCTCCGCACAACTCAGTCGAGACCCTTCACTCACGCGCGATCGCAAACTTTACAGCATGATCAATTGCAGTCAATACGAGATCCGAATATGACGGTTGGTAACAGCAAGTCAACTGAAGCTCTCGTGTCTGCGTCTTCTAGGTCAGGGCTAATGGGTCGGAAACGTTCGGGTTCGGCGTCTGCAGTGTACACGCAAACACCGAAAACCACGCAGGCGCCCGTACGTCCGCCTCCAGCTCCACCACTGGATTTGACACCCTCGCGTCTTCTACCGCCGAAAGTGGCAAAAGACTCGACTTCGGGTTCACCGCTTACACCCGCGAGCGCTGTACAATGGGGTTACGCGCTTTAGTTCCGTGTGCCGATCTGCTCAACTTTTTTGCGTACTTTGGTCTTCCGCGTATGTGCATATTGGTGTCTTGGTATTATGATCGGACACTTTCTTGCTCTGTGGACTGTTTGCCCTTCCCCTTGTCCTTCTGATCCTCTCCTCATTGCCGCTCAACTCCCCTGTCATTTTGCTGTTTTGTTCCTCCATCGACCACCTTTTCGCCTTTCAGTGTTTGGCTGTTCACTTTTCTCATCTGATTTCCTCACGACTCATAACGTTATATTTGTAGCGGCAATCACATCTCCCATCGCTTTCGGCATATCTTATCATCAACATATTTTTGTCAAGTTTCACTTCGCTTCTCATCTCGTCTTTTCTTCCTTCTGTTTGCTTACTCGGAGCCGGTTTGATCTTCAAACTCTGCGAACTTATTATCTCACTTCGCTCGCTCACACACCCACGCAGACTATCCACTCTCGTTTGCGCCTCCTTTGTTACTTCATTATCTCTTCGACTTCGACCTTTGTTCGCCTCTTGACCGAGCTGATCTGGCCAGCCAATCATCGGTCCCTCTTGGTACACCATTCTGTTCTATTCTATTCTCAGGACAGGAATCCTCCACCTTACCTTTCTCTTCGTCCGACAACACTCTTCCCTGTCCTCAACTTATCTATTCCATTCTCCTCGGCTCAAAGCCAGAACTTAACCTCAAAACATCCTTCATTGGGCACAAGCACTCCAAATTTTGTACATTACACATAAGTAGTCTCCTCTTCTCTTCATTTCTTCCTATGGCGTACGTTATATCCCGCAGGCGAGGCTATCTTCTTTGGCTGGTACCTCACTATTATCTCCTATTTCTTTCTTCTTCCCTTTTTCTACCTCTCCGACCAAAGTTTACCCTCGTTACTTTATTTTCATTTCCGTTCTTTTTCTTTCGTTTTTGGAAAGTTGGGATGGTAGGCTTCCAATTAGGTTGGAGTTGTTTCTTTTTTTTGTGTGACACAACGAGAAGTGGAATATAGAGAAATTTGCGTGATAAAGAAAGTCGATTATGTGTGCTCAATTTCTTTAACATTCGAAATAAAAATCATAGAAACGAACAGAATGGAATCGAATGTAAAGCATACCGTGCATAAACCATTAACCCTGCTACTCAATACTATATTTTGCGGAACTTCGATAAGAATAGATACGACTCAGATATTCTTGATTTCCCTGAACTTCCATCTGCCAGAATGTTCAGAGATCGGAAATTCAATGCCAAAGTCATTTAGATAACAAAATTTGCATTCGTTTGTATGTACTTCTGATATTCTTCTGTAGATTTGAGAGGGAGATATCGAGAAATTAAAGATGGATCATTATTTGCCACATTCGAGAGAGGGGAATTAGTCAGAGTTATTACTCGTTTTAGACAGTGTAGAACCTTCTTCTGGCACAACAACAACAAACATTGAGAGTTACTGTTATTTTTCGTTACATGACACAAATGATTGAGTGCTTTGTAGGCGACTGTGTCTGGATTAACCTAGCTCGTGTGCTTTCGGTGTTGATGTTTACAGTTGCAGTGCACGTGGTCTACCGAATGTCCTGAATCAATAATTGATATGATGTTCTAGACTTTCCGTCTATTGCCGGCCTATGTTCCACTTCTATTCTTTCTGGTAATGATCAGAGTATCTGCGTATGTTTTGAAGACGTCATCACCCACCGGAAGCATGTGCTCTCACCTTCACTAGGCTTTAGACATGACCTACTTTCCAAACAATGCAAACAGCCGGATCTTCGAAATGCTTCTGCCGTGCTCCACTAATTGCCTTCAGAAGTCTCACGGAACCGCACAACTATGAGCCTACTCCATGATGTACTGAACATAACTGACCTCAATGCCTTTCCAGGTGACATGCGCTTTCAATGCCCCACTTCGGCATCGTAGTAGACTTTAGAAGTGCGGCATACACCACCCGTCTCTGGATCCTCACTGCTTCCGTTGTTCAGCCAGGAGCATATAAAGTGCCCAAGAAATCTTGCTCAGACACTACTACTTCTTCGTCCCACAACCATGAGGCTCTTATCTCTTGCATCAATCGCCGCATCTGTGCTCCCTGCACTTGCACAAATGGTCTCTATAGCTTCACCTGCTCCAGGAGAGACTTTAACCCCTGGATCAAATGTTGTCGTCGAGCTAGACTCTGCTGTAAGCAAAGGAGACTATTCATAAATCAAGGAAATATATTGACGTGTATTTGTTAGAACGGGCTCACGAACTTCGAGCATATTAGTGTTGCATTGGGCATTGCACCCGTCCCTAACGATACAAGCACTCCGACTATTGGAACGATGCTCTTCGCTGGGAACTACACGCCTCAACTCCATGAGGCAAACAAGCCCATGTACCAGAACTTTGTATGTTTTCCCCCACCTTCAATCAATTGGTCTTCCCAAATTTAGTGCATATCTATGTAGTCTGTAACTATTCCGGATGGTCAAGTTGCAGGAAACAGTACTCTTAGTGTGGCTCATTTCTACCTAGTCGGGGTAAGCCGTTCTACAAGTTACGTCGAAAAATAACTGATTTATCGATCGTCAATGGGTTTCAGGCTGGTTTGGAGCCAATTCTTGAGATGAAGAATATAAGCGTTATGCTTTCAAATTAGCAAAAACAGCATAAAGACTATTATTTCTCGTAATCCGACATAGACATTAATTTTGTACAAAGTAGTGGATAGTAATGATACTTTTCAGCCTGTTTGGACGATACATAATAAATATCGAAGTGACGTTGACATCGCATGCTGCAGCAAACGGAAGCAAAATAAATTAATAATGCAAAAAAGAGGTGGCGAGTATGGGAATCGAAAGCATGACCAAAGGAGCACAGCCTCAAAGATTGTCAATCCTCTCTGAGTTTGCACATCGAAAATCCACCAACCCGACTGTCGACGTCGAAGACCTCAAGGTGAGCATCTTTTCACAATTCAAGGCCATTCTTCTACGTCCAGGATGCATTCCAGAACCATCTTGAGGTGAAGAATCATCTGTTTTGTTGGAGAGTACGATGGATTGGTTGCATATTGGACGGATGACCATACCCGCACAACTTCAATCGCTAACGCGTCTTTACTAGATGCCGTTCGTCAAGCAGCAAAAGTCAAACGCCTACTTCTCGCGTTTCCAAGTCAAGTACCGCCGGCGTCGAGAGGGCAAGACGGACTACTACGCACGCAAGCGCTTGGTCACTCAGGCGAAGAACAAGTACAATGCGCCGAAGTACCGACTTGTCGTCCGCTTTACGAACAAGCAGGTTATTGTGCAGATTGTGTATGCGCGTCTGCAAGGTGACTTTGTGTTCGCTGCTGCGACGTCGAAGGAGCTCCCGCGTTATGGTATTAACCATGGTTTGACGAATTGGACTGCTGGTAAGTTTGTTGTTTCAAAACGCGTTCTTTTCTGAAATGCGTTTCTGATTATGTGTCTTGTTAACGATAGCCTATGCAACTGGTCTCCTGTGTGCTCGTCGCGCTCTCGCGAAGCTTGGTCTGGCCGACAAGTACGAGGGTGTCGCAGATCCAACTGGTGAAATGACTCTTACCGAAGCACTCGACGAAGAAGACGCCCCTCGTCCATTCAAATGCTTCCTCGACGTCGGTCTCCGCCGTACGACCACCGGTGCTCGCGTCTTCGGTGCAATGAAGGGCGCCTCAGACGGTGGCATCTTCATCCCTCACTCCGAGAAGCGTTTCCCCGGCTTCGATGTCGAGACGAAGGAACTCGACGCAGAGGTGCTCAAGAAGTATATCTTCGGTGGACACGTCGCGGAATACATGGAATCACTCGAGGAGGAAGATGACGAACGCTTCAAGAGACAGTTCTCATCGTACCTCGCTGACGGCGTCGGTTCAGAAGACATCGAGGAGGTTTACAGGAACGCCTACGCCGCCATCCGTGAGGACCCGGCATTCAAACCGACTGAGAAGACGAAGGATTGGAAAGCCGAGAGTCTCAAACACAAGACGCCGCGCCTCACTCACGAGCAACGCAAGCAGAAGATCCAGGAAAAGATCAAGGCATTCCAGTCTGGCCGGAGCGCAGAGGAAGAGATGGAAGAGGATGAGGAGTGAACTCACGCTATCTCTTAGATTCATGAGTTGCATTATGTGTTTGGTGGTGGATACTCGTCTTTTCCTATGCTTTCTGTACATGTGCCCCTCAAAAGGCCTCATAGGCTGTCTATGCTTACATGCTACACTATTTCATGGTGCTTCATGATACTCAAATATGTTGGCTCTTGTAAAGCCGCAAAGACTTATGATATTGAAAGTCCAATAGCTTGGGATACTACATCTAAACTGCAAAGCAGCGTCTGTTCTGCGAAAGAAAGTACAGTATAATAACTAGGGACAACACAATTCAGAACGACACTGACCAAGGCTTTCCGTCGACGGACAAACGCATCCTCTGGATTAATCGCGAAATGAAAGGAAGGCTGTGAGAAGTCCTGCGACTTGGAAAGCCAGCACGTACAGGGGAGATGCGCAGCCAACGTGCCAGATCGATAGCACGACGTCTAGTAAGGCTTGCTCTTCCTGTTCTTCTTTAACTCCTTCTCAAGCTGTCTAGCCTTCCGATGGCCAATCTCGACAGGGCGAATGTTGTTATCTGCTTTCTTAAGCTTAACAGGTCTATTACCCACGTACTTGCCTAAAGTAAATTGCAGTATTAGAACACGTCATTAGGGCTCAGGGAAACTTGGCTAACCATCCATTTCCTTCCAGGCTTTCAAGAAATCTTCTGGGTCAGAGAAAGCAACGAAACCATACTTAGCCTGCAGGTAACCAAAGTTAGAAAATGTGCAGCAGGTGAGCTGAATGTATAGACATACCTTCTGACTCAGCTGATCACGAATGACACGAGCCTTTGTAAAAGACGGGTATTTGTTGAAAGCATTGGCAAGGACATCGTCAGACACATCATTGCTCAGGTCACCAACGAAAAGTCTGAACCAGCCTAAAGAGTAGCAGCAGAGATTAGAATTACTACTTGTGTAGGTTGCATGCAGTGTTACTCACTAGAGTCCCATTCAAGAAGAGTTTGATCCTCCCAGACCTTGCCTGCTCCTTTGCGCAGAACGGTTGTCCGTTTACCACCTTTCGCAACCTTGCCACCAGCACCACCACGCTTGTCGATCATAGCACCGGGGACATAGACAGACTGCTGTGCAAGAATTCCGACATCGTATTCGTAAGCATTCGCGGGAACAGGGGCATGATGGGTAGAGGATGATCCAGCAGCACCGGGCGTCGGATACTGAGGACCAGCGTAGGGTTGATAGTATGGATTAGCATCCGCATTGGCTGAAGATGTTGATGCGTACGGGCGGGAAGTGTTCGGGTAGAATGGGTTGTTGTTATTCATGGCCGCTGCGAGGACGATGAGGTGCAGAGTCAAGTTGAGCGATGGCAGCCCTGCGCCACTCACAGCAAACGCGTGTACGTAATCAGCTTCCAGCTTTGGTGTCACGGCTGATCGACGCTCCTCGCTCCAAAGTCTTTCTTTGAACGTCTTGTCCTCCACACCTTGCAACCTCCATTACGTCTATTCTCCTCGAAATATTTGTTTGGCAGTTTCTTGTATTCCAAATATAACTTAATACATGTCAAGACGCTATGGACATCGATAAGCTTTTCAAAGTTCGTGTTCAGTGTCTTCGTGTGTTGGACTTGTAACTGAAGGAGCTTGTTTTATTGACAGGCACCGAAACTCCCCATTGGAGGGAATAAAAGGCGCATGCCAGAGGCTCCGACGCCGGAAATGCTCAAACGCATGAAGGTCGATGCGCCAGAGTCGTCAAATTTTGCACAACCGGCCCCACCAGAGCTCAACGGGTCATCAAGTAAAGGGAAAGCGCGTGCTACGACCATTGAAGATGCGGCTGAAGAAGATGCAGACGTTGAAGTATCAGAAGACTTTGCACCAGGGAACGATGCGGACTACTTCGCAGAGGAAGATGAAGAAGGCCGTTTCTTCGGTGGAGGGCTAACTGCGGAGCAAAAGACTATTCTGAACATTTTTGACAAGGCAGGAGGGGAAGGAACGTTAGAGGATGATGTGAGTATTCTTATGGTTTGGCTGGCTTGTCTAACGGTACTAAGAATAGACGTCGTTAGCATGAAGGCCTCACAATTACACGTATCCGCAGGATGCTCTTACGGTTCGAACGAGCCGTAGACAAGAATCAAGACCAGAGGTCAAAATATCCAGATGATCCATCCAAGTAAATTTCTCAATAATGTATAAATGTTTTCTAGCACTGAAGTATTGGGTTTAGGTTTATTGACTCAGAAGCGGACCTGGACAGCTCAATCAAGTCCCTTCTTCCATTATCTCAGGAGCCTGTTCTCGCGTATCCCGAACTAGTGAAGTCTGGTGTCGTTGCAAAGCTTGTTGGGCTTCTGAGTCACGAAAATGCCGACATCATGATTGATGTTGTCCAACTTATCAATGAGCTTATTGACGAGGACGCCGGCGCCGAGAATGAGGACGAAGAGGACGAGGGTGAGGGAAGAGAGGGTGCTATTAAGTCTCTGGTTAATGCCTTGGTATGTGTATATAACGGGTTATATTTCGTCCCAAGACTGACGTATCTGGTTATAGCTTGAACAGTCCATATTAGAATTATTGGTAGATAATCTACCACGGCTGAACGAATCTGAGGAAGCCGATCGACAAGGCGTGTTCGACATCTTGGGTGAGTTATTTTATATACTCGCTCTCCTGTCCCGTGCAATCTCATCACCAGATGAATGTTCCAGGGATATTTGAGAGTATTCTCGGAATAAATCCAGAACTTGGGCAACAAGTAGTATCCAAAACGACCATTATTCTATGGCTGTTGAAGCGAATAGAGGCAAAGACGCATGATGGAAATCGCACGTATGCCGCTGAGATTCTTTCAATACTCCTCGATAATAGGCCAAATCGACTTGCATACGGGAAGGCAGACGGAATCGAGTCCAGCTTGAAAGTGCTCTCCGTAAGTCCGCAACAAGGCAGCTCTGCTCACGTGTCTAATACAATGCTAGCAATATCGACGGCGAAATTCTGCCGATGCAGATGAGGAAGAATTCATGGAGAATGTCTTCGATGTATTATGTGCCTCGTTGCAAGAGCCTGAATGCAAGAAGTTGTTCCTCGAGGCAGAAGGTATTGATTTAATGGTCCTCATGTTGAAGTGAGTTCGCGTCGCATCGCACTTCCTGTCAAGTTCATTTTCTTACTCCCGATCCTAGAGACAAGAAGGATTATGCAACTCAATGCATTAAGGTCCTTGATTTTGCAATGTCTGGGCCCGCCGGAACTGCCTGCTGCGAGACCTTCGTGGAAGCACTGGGCTTGAAAAGTCTCTTTTCTGCTTTTATGGGCAAGGTCTGTAGCTCTCTTCTTACCTTTAGTGTTGACTTATAAGTCCTTAATTGAAATTTGTTCCTCGGTGACTTTAGTCTTCTAAGAAGGGCAAATCCAATCCCTCTTCCGCAATTTCCGACTCAACGGGACATATCCTCGGTGTGCTATCCTCCCTCTTCACGAACCTACCATCCGATTCGACGCCCCGCATGCGTCTCCTCGCGAAGTTCGTGGAGAATACATACGAGAAGGTGGATCGGCTACTTGATCTGCGGGAGGGCGCTGTCGCGAGGCTTGCGGCTATTGATCGGGACATTGCGAGCGAACGTGCGCAGATGTGGGAGGATGGAGAGGAGATTGGCCCGGTGGAGGAAGATAGGTGGTATCTCCGACGACTTGAGGGGGGGTTGTATACTTTACAGACTGTTGATTATGTGTTGGCTTGGGTTTGTATGGAAGATGACGGGGTACGTTTGTTTTCCTGTTATTTTCCCTTTCATATCCATCTGGTATGAACTAGTTCTGATGTTATACCTACAGGCTCGCACACACGCACAACAAATGCTCAAACGAAAGGGCCGAACTCTACAAGACGTCGTCTCCGTTCTCAAAGTGTTCCGCGACAACGTAGATGAGGAAGGAGAGTCTTCTGCGGCCGCGCAGGCGGAGGATGCATCACCGCCGCAGAAAGAGATTCTAGGGGGACTTATTGCATTCCTTGAGGCATGTTGAATGTCTGGATGTTGCCGTGTTGAGGAAAGATAAGATAGTTAGTAATGGTATGTTGGTGGAGTGCATTTTAATTTGTTATTATCAAAAAAAAAACACTTCCATACGACGCCGTCGGAACTTTCACCACGATATTCCGGTTGCATTGCTTTTACCATGTACCTTGTGTGTGTGCATCAATGCATGCAGGCCGAGTGAAACCACGTTAAATGCATGTTCTTATGCATTCGTGCTAATGCAAGTGCAGAATATATGAGACGGCATGGACGATGGAGGATGGGGGGTGATAGACAAATGCAGATTGCGGGATATCCAAATGAATCAATGAGGGAGATTACTGGAAGTAGAAGAAATTGACTGAAAGCAAAACATCACAAAGTAGAGATGGCTAAGATAACTTAGGAATTCAAGTGACAAGGGCGGACGAAGCAAATATCATATCAAGCGCGCCCTTGACTTTCAATATCTCTCGTTGGAAACGTAACTCCTCATCCACCTTCTTTCGTAACCGAACGAAAAGAGCGTCGATTAATGGTGACTGGCCGAGAACCGGAGCATACATATCTATCAAGAGAAGTAGTAGTTGAATACGGGTAAATAAGGGGAGAATGAGTGATAGAAAAGGGAAAGCTATTCAGCGAAGTTGCATGGAAAGAAAGGGAGAGGAGTCTTACCAAGTAGAACACTTGCAACACTGCCCGCGAGGTCCCCGAAGCGCGGATCAGCTATGTATTTGACGAGCAGCTTGAGCACTGGTTCGAGAAGGACGTCATCCCGCCCTGCGAGAGCTATCCGCAGTCCATCGCGGTGGACGAGTTCCTGGATTAGCGAAAACGCGGTCGTTGGGGGTACTTGCTATAAAAGATAATTTGAAATCAAAATTGAGGTCTTAAGTTAAATCAAATGTTGAACCGAACAGTAGAGAGAAAAGTAACGAGAAAGACAGGCAAATGGACAAAGTAGAAGGTCGAATATCGAATAATGGTACAATACAGTAGGGTCGGAACAAGAAGCATACCTTCATGAGAACAGCATCCAATGCCGCGGAGTATTTGAAATTCTTCAGCAGGCGATCGTAAGCGCGCAACTTGCGCTTCCTCCGTGCCTCGACTTTGAATTCGTTAATGTCGCCGATGGGCTTGGCTTTTACCTTGCCCTTTTCGCCGAATCGGCCTAACCCGATTCTCGTTACGGCTTCGGTACCGAGGAAGGACTCGAAAGCGCCTGAGCGAAGGGAGGAGAGGGAGAAGGGCTCTGAGGTAGATTCGGAGGCTTTGGGTTGTCGTCGCCGGACGGAAAGCGTTCCGTCTGACATACCTGCGGCAATGTGTGTATCATCGGGCTGAAAGGGAGGAATGTCAATACTGTGCATTCCGAAGAAAAATAGAAGATAATTTACGGAAATACCAAGGCAGAGAATGGGAGCGGGATATCGCATGGTATGTACGACCTTGTACGTGCTCACGTCGTATACTTTTACCATATGGTCCAAACCTCCAGTCAATAATCGACTGGCACGAGAGTCAAATGCAAGCGAAGTGATTGTCTTCTGGTGATTTGAGAGAGCGCGAATGCAGCGTCCGCCTGCCACAAGGTCCCAAGCTCGGAGGATCGGACCTGCAGCGGAGAGCGCGACGGTACCGGAAGGGAACATAAGTACCTCCTCGACAGGAGCAGCATTCGCACCGGACTCGCTATCAGGTCCGCCCATAGTCATTTCGCAGCGTCCCGAGCGTGCGTCGAATAGCCGTACAGTTGCATCGTATGCACCAGTGAGAATGAGATTTGCGTTGGAAGGTGCAACTTGACCCGCACGCACGTAGTCTGTGTGTGCAGTAAATGTGGTCACGGAAGCTTCCGAAGGGACGTCCCAAAGCTTGACGGTGGTATCATCTGAACAGGACAGGAACTGGTTCAGGCTTGGTATAGAGAATTTGGTTACATGTACTGGTTGTTTATGTTCGTCGAATGTACGTAGAATCGCACGGGAGTTGATATCAAATATCTATACAAATACTATTGACCATATCCTGCACAAAAAATGGGAAGAATCGCACCTGAATGAGACCACTATCGTCTCCGGCAAGGACAAGCTTTCCGTCACGTCGTATACATCCCGAGCGCGCGACGTCTTTGAAACGCGATATCGTCTTTACGACCTTTTGTGTTCTGGGTGCATATATCTGGACACGACTTGCCGCAGTGACGGCGTAGCGATGTGGTTTCGTTTGAGAGAAGTGTACGGCAGTTACAGGCGCGTACTCCTTGACGAAGACTGGATGCCTGAATTGTCGCCAGTAACGAGATTCCGGGTTGCGCTTTGCAGAAGGCCGGGCATGCCGTTTGATGAGCACGGGCTGGTATTCCATGGCCTGCCGCAAGGGAAATTGACTAGGGCTTCGTGCTTGAAAGACGGACTGCACTAGTTTATGTGCAATACTCGAAATTTTGAAGTCCAAAAGTGAAATAACCCATGATCGTCACTTCGGCGATATCCGAGCAATTTTGTTGATCATCTACCCACTCCTCTATCTTCTACTTCCATCTTTAAGCTCCCCTCACCCTCTCACTTTTCACCCACCCTAGTGTTTCTGAATAAATCTAAAACATGCTTCTCTACGAGGATATCATTACTGGAGACGAGATGTTCTCAGATGCCTTCCCTGTGTGCGCATATACTCACATCAGTCGTGGCGTATTCACCTCCTCATGCCCGTTGTGGCTTTTCTTTCAGGAAGACAATTGATGACATCGTCTACGAGGTTGATTGCCAAATGATTGTCATTAAACCTGGCGCGGACGTTGATATCGGTATGCCTTTAAGACGACCCTGTATTGAACTTCAACTCGCGTTTAACTGGACGCCGAAAACAGGTGCGAATCCATCCGCTGAGGAGCAGGAGGAAGCCTTGCAAGAGGAAGGCGCCACGTCGGTCAACAATATTATCCACTCGTTCCGTCTTCAGCCGACAACATTTGACAAAAAGAGCTACCTTACCTGCCTCAAGGTATGGACTGCGCCGATCATTGTGGTATCATCTTTACCGACGATCCTTGTTTCACATAGGGTTACATGAAGGCGGTCAAGGCAAAACTGCAGGAAACCAATCCTGAGCGGGTTGAGGTGTTCGAGAAAGGTGCCAGTGCATATGCGAAGAAGATCGTCAGCAACTTCAACGATTACGAATTCGTCAGTACAGCTTGTATTATTTATATATAGGTGAATCATGTCTTACATGCGTTTCCTAGTACACTGGCGAGAACATGAACCCCGATGGCATGATTGCACTCCTGAACTACCGCGAGGATGGTACCACGCGTGAGTGGACAAACTTTGTTCTTACACTGTGCTCCAGGTGTTGATGGCTGTGTCTTTGTCTCAGCTTACTTTACGTTCTGGAAAGATGGTGTGAAGGAGGTGAAGCTGTAAGGCTGGAAGCATTTATGCAATTATGGGGTAACAGTGTGTCTGCATAGTGTACTGATGAAAATGGGAGTGCTATGATTTTTCTCTAGAGTCATTTTGTTGCTCAGAACAGAGGTTTGTATATTTGACGCATATAGCAAGGGATCAATAGAGCTGACGTCGGAGAGCCTGCACGGAAGCAAAGCGACGATCGGTATCGTGCATGAGTGGCGGGACGCGTCGTGCATCCAAGCGAGAAGACGATCGTTGCTTCCGTTTTCCATTGGCAACTGTCAAACACGTCAACAGTCTTGTTTCTCCTTCTTCCTTCCAGCAGTCACATATCCTTCAATATCCATGTCTTACTTGCCGCAAGCCAACTGCTCAGGAACCGTACTTTAAACTTCGGTAGCGCGCTGCGTTGAGGGTGCTTGTGCTGCACTCGATGCGATCAACCCTAATTCAATCCAACTCTCGGCCTCGGACTGAATTCAATTTCGAATGTCTCCCGTACAAGTACAAATTACGCTCTGCACAGGATGGGGAGCTCCCTTCTTGCTGTCTCAAAGTTCTCCCTGAACCTCTTGTCGTCTATGAGCTGGTTTTCTCTCACTCTGTATCAATATGAATGTATCTGATAGTCACTCTGGTGAGTGGAAGTTCAATGCGTTGGTCGAGTGAATTTCTGAAGAATTCAATCCTTAAAAGGCGACCCCCTTTTCGCGCCTCGACCTCAGCCAATTCCTTTCAAAATAGAAGAAAACGCGGGCCTTATAATCTGGGGCCTGGTATGATGAAATATTCCACTACAGGTTTTATTCCACTCATGCGCTGCAGATAAACGCGACCCTCGGCATATACACATCTTTCACTCTACTCGATTGTTTCAGTCGTCACCGAGTGTTCATCCTTCGTAGATGTACAGTCCTTGCTGCAGCTGCGCTTTCATTGACGCTGGGATGCTGGGCTTGCCAACGTGATATTTCTCGATATGCTTTGATTATTATGCACTGATATTTCGACCAAATTCCACGTTATGCAGTATCTTGCTCTCGGGTCCATCTTGTGTCACTCGGCGATCAGCAAGCGGTTATTAGATTCGAGCCCGGTTTCATCGCCTTGTCTTTCTTTGTTCCGATTGTTCTCATTTTTGGTGCCATCACAATTTTGGATGCCCAGTTACCGCGCAATCAAACTCATAAAGCATTTATTTGGAGTTACTCTGTATGCGGCCTGCTGGTCGGACTTTCTGGTTGGTGAAGTAATGAATTTCCAAGTGTACTTCTTGTCTAATCTCAATGTGGTGACGCAGTGGGATTCATGCACGTATGTCGTCTTCACTTTGTCTGACTTCGGTGTTGACTTCGACTCCGATTAGTATGCACCTTTCTTTTTATTACCGTCGCTCACTGCACGCGTTGCTCCTGGCCAAGCCCTTCTCGTCATATTCATAAACATGTCGTGCTCCCTCTTCTCCTTTCTTGCCTTCAAGTTCTTTACAGACAAGCACCTCCAGTCCAAAAAGTATAGAGTCATCGCCCGTGCAGTAATACCAATTGTTTTCGGATCATCTGTGATTGGTGCAGGCGTGCTCGCTCTTTCAGGAATGAAATTCGAACTCAAGAACTCGCATGCTATTGATTTGAATAATAGTGGCGGTAAAATTCACAGGGATGTGCTTACCTTAGGTCAGCCGGTTTGACTTTGATGAACAATCATTGATGTCTATCCTAATAAATACTTCTTCCATTACTAGTCATTCCTGCAGTTATTTCTGCGGGCCTCATATGTGTAACTACCCTTCTCATCTTCTCCAACAGTCCCGAGAACGGAAGCACGCGATTCTCTGCTCCTCAGCTTAGCATCGCGAGTATTGCCATCGCTTCTGACGGACGTGTTCTTGTTAATGAAAATGGGGTCCTTCCCACACAGCGCGTCAACCTTCAAGGCCTACCAGAGGTACTACTAGATACAACATGTTCTTTGTATTAGATTCTTAAAATTACTCCCCTTATCTAGGGCATTCTGGATGAATTGGACATTCGCAGCCCAACGTTTCACTGGCTGCTTGCAATTTCCCTCGACTGGTCGATCACCTCACCTTTCTTGCAACGCATCACAGCCATCTCGACTTCTTTTGATAAACGACCGTGTATTTGGGATGCTCTGTTCCGTTGCTTCCCTTTGACTACCCTTCTCAGCTTCTTTAATGCCAATGCCAATAGGCAACCAGGTGATGCTGTGTCCGCAGTGGCCCAATTTAAGATGCGTCTACTTGAGGCCGCTGCTCAGCTAGCTACGCAGCTCGATTTACCGCTCGAGAAGCTGGGCACACTGCATTATCAGGCGCTTGAGACTGGGACGCATATAGATATCAGGGAATTCCTCATGCTTGCTGAAGATGCAGATTCGCGGGCCCGGGATGCGGAACGAGTATTAAATACCAGTACCAGTGACGACAGGGGACTGATGCTGTTCCTCGTCCGTACGCTGGCACAAGCACCACAAGGAACGGCTATACCTTCTGCCCATTATAACGAGGGAGCTCACGAGCAGGATACCGCGGAAGTTCTCGGCACGGAACACGACTGGAGACGACGATACGGCTCTCGCGGTTTCAAGATGCGCTTCATGGGTCGGTTCCGAGATGTGCTAGCCGAGACCGCAGGCGCATCCCCGGCTGATGTTGATAGGGTGCTGTATGGATGCAAAGACACTGCTTCCAGAGGTACACGATCCGTACTTGAGGCCGGATGCACATACGTCTCCTTGTTTGCGGAGCGAGTTTCGTGCGATGGGTCGTCCGAAGTACTCGTCTATGAATTTGCGAAACATCAGGTATGTCATTCCATAAATGTTTATTCACTGCTATCCAGATAATAACGATTCTCTCTTGTCAGCTCCCTTCATACAAGCTCTGCTTGCCTGCCTTCACTACAGAAATGCGTAACTGGATATATAGCATGTCCGGTTTCACGGTGGAAGACATCATCCAGATCTGCGACGACGATGTTAGGCAAGGCCGACTGCATTTTCCATACTCTTCCCGCCACTCTAAGGGATACACTACTGAACAAGAGGAGGAAATTCGACAGACTGCACTCCTTCACTTCAAGAAGGCGCTATCCAACGCTCTGGTGCAGTTTATGCGTAACATGTCCTTTGTTTGTGAAAGCCTCGAGACTACGACGTATCTCACGTCTAAAATCTTAGACGTTCCCTCTGTCGCCTCAACCCCCGACGGACCTCCTGCGCCAGCGCATATGATCGTCTTTCATGCACAACACCCTGATCCGTCCGACATTGAGCTGTTCGAGGATGACTCAGATTTCACGCATGTTTCCTTGTCAAGTGCAGCACATAACTCCCACACGCCAATGCCCTCTGCCTTTGAATATACACCGCGTGCACTATTCGACGTCGCGCACGCACTGGCTATCTCTCCTTCCTCCCGTGCAGCCTTTCGCGAAGAAGCAACACAAGAACTTGAGCGTCTCTTCGACGCAGGTGCGACTGCGCGCGCGCAGCGCATTGATATTCAAATGAATACGAGAAAGGCTGTTCCAGGGCGCCTATCGCGTGCGCTCGTGTCATCGTTTAGCATTGATACAGTAAGTGACGAAGGTAGGGGACGTCAGTCGCGAGCTGCACAGCGCGTACGAAAAGGCTGGGCGGCGGTGAAGACCCGGGCTCGGTCGCTCAGACTTCCGAGTCGTAGTCGTAGTCGTAAACACTCCCAGGCTCAGTCATCACCACAATCCAATTCAATACCATTGGAGCATAACCATTCGGCCTCACGTACGCGACTAATTTCGCGTTCTCATTCTGCTTCGGTGTCGACAGTGACGACGAGTACCGGGAAGTCCTCTGCATCTTTCACCAGGCCGGTTGAGCCGGTTGAGCCGGTTCCAACGATGCACTCTCATGCCCGATCAACAGTTGACGTTAACAATTCCTTATATCTGAATCGCTGCTCAGCGCTAGCGGGTGGCTATCCCGATGCTGCAAATTCCATCGGACGTTCCTGGGGACGGTCGGCGGGTCGGATGACGGGATCAGGACGGGATACGTCTTTACTCCCTCCACCCCCTTCGTTCCGCCCACCCGGTCGACATACTAGTGCCCGCGTGGCGTCGAAGAGCGTACCTGACTTTGCTACTACGAATGATAGTGGGTTCTTTTAGTTGAGCTGGTGTCTCGTTCATTCATTCTTTTTGTCCGATCGTTCGTGGCGGCGGTGCGATACCTTCGTATTTCCAACCCGTTCCCTTTGGCTGTCGCTTGTTTGTTCTCTTACACCTTGTTCGTTCCTTACTTTTCACTTTCTCCCTTTGGCTGTCTGTTCCTTATACCTTCCTTTGACCATTTAACCTTTTGCAAAATACTCCGGGTTTACCATCCATCCATCTGATCTTGAAGCGTGCTGTACTGATATTAGCGTGTAAAATACCTCCGAAAAGAGAGCCTAGAGCAGAGAAGAGAGATAAATCAATCAAAGAAGAATCTCATGTTGATCGTGAGTCGTTTACATGTATGTACTGATATCAATGGCTGTGCGATGGAGCTTGTTCGTTGCTTTGGCCGCTATTATATGTGTATATGCTATGTATAATATACGTGTATGTAGATATATACATATTCAAAGTTATATCGATATAGAATCCGCTGCAATAGGTATTGTAAGTACAGTTAATATTTGATCATCATGGACCTGGGACCAAGGTGAAGGAGACCAACTGTTTATGATTGACGAAAAGACCCCTTCCAACGAGAGAGATCAGAACAAAAGGGGAATGAAAGACCAAGAGGAGATATTATCCGTTGTAGAGAAGTAAGAGATGTAGAGCTTTTTGCCAGAATTACTAGTAATTCTTGGTCGCTTGATTTCTTTTCACTTACATTTTGGACCCACACAGATCGACACGAACTTTGCTTCCGGAATCGGGTTGCGTCATTCCGATAGACCAAAATTGTGATTGTAAGCAAGTATGTATATTTCAGAAGTGTACAATTTGCATATTTTACATGCTTCTCGGTCTCTGGCTCGAACACAGAGGTCAGAAAAGTATTATCTATGGGGACACATAAATACTTCGTTACAAAAAGAAATCCGAATAGAACCACTGGATATGCGGCATGGTAGGAATTTACCTGGTTACCTAAAGCTCATCGTGTGCGTCTCTCAGCTCAGACGTCGCATCGTGCGAGGCAGTCGAAGAAGCACCAGAGACTTCCGCGGCAGGATCGTATCCGAGCCTGTTCTTCGCATGCTCTTCGATGAACTCGGTGAGTGACTCGAGTGAGTGGTCACCGTTGAAGTCAAGGAACTCTTTTGAACTTGCAGGTTTGAACTTAAGTGTTGGGAACACGGCGACGCGGAAGTCGACGGATGATGGGAGGTCGTTCTCTGTCGCATCCATCTTTGCACTACAAAAGCAGGGAGGTTAAATGACCGAAAAAGTGTCTAATGGGATATGGGAAGATACGTACATCAAGAGCTTGTCTTTGATATTTGCATAACGTTCACCAAGCGAATCCCAGATCGGCTTGAGATGCTTGCAGTGACCACACCACGGTGCGTAGAACTCGATGAACACATCCTTCGAGTCATCAAGTACGACCTCATCAAACGTCTTGCCTACAACCGTATACACAGCCTCGGTCTGTTCTGCTGGGATCGCCTCGCTCCTCAACACAGGCTGGAGTTGACCATCAAGATACTTCGAGACCCAGTCGTCGATCTTCTCGGTGGTGAGCTCCTGAGATTGGCTGATCGGGTACTTAAGTGCTTTGGAGAAGTCGTGAAGAACGAAGCCCGGCCATTTGATTTCAGTGAGGTTAAGGGCCTTGGCGTGATCACCGAACTTGATTGCGTCAGCCCAGACGAAGTTGACCTTGCCCTTATATTTCGCAGCGACAGGACGAAGATTGGCGATGTGCTCGTCCTTCTTCTCCTCAGTCGGGTCGAGAAATAGGTACGCGAGAGGAAGTCCACTCTGCGTGTATGCTAGGTAGTTACCACCGTGTACTTCGTGGACGTCATTGCCAAGAGCCAAGGGATCCGTTTCCTTGAATGTAAAGGAAGGAATGTGCTGAACGAACTCGATACCGGGTTCATCGGATTTCTCGTGGAAGACGTTCATCGGAGGGATCCTTATAGTTGAGCTGGTGTCTTGTTCATTCATCCTTGCGTTCGTTCGTTCGTGGTGGTACAGTGCCTTCGTATGCCGTGACAATTCATCATAAAGTTGGCAAACGTAAATACTACTGATATCAGAGGCTGTGCGATGATGTTTGTTCGTTGCCTTGCCGATTGTATATTTGTATCCCGGAGTTAAATCGATGTGGAATTCCAGGCAATAGGTCTTGTGGGGGCACAGTTACTAGTATCCCATCGTTACCATCATCTAGACGTACTAGAAAGCCTGACGCAAAGAAAATCCAATTGTTTTATCGATTGACGAAAAAAGTCCCTCAAACGAGGGAGATCAGAACAAAAAGGAAAGGAAAGAAATGGAGAGAGATCTGCTGCAGAGAAGGTACAGAGGTAGGTTTCTTCGTTAGTTAGTACTGTATAGCAGTACTTCTTGGTTGCCTGGTTTATTTCATCGCTCTTTGACTTTGGACCCACAGATCGACATACATTCTGCTTCTGTATCATTCTGACCAACCGAGTTTTAACTTTGACCAATTGCAATGGGTGTACAAGCATGTATTTTTCCAAAGTGATGCAATTTGTATATTTTACATGCTTTTTGGGCTCTAACTCCATGTAGCTCGAAGCCAGAGTATGGATGAATAAATGGATGTATGCGGATACGTAAATATTCCATTACAAAAAGGAAAATCCGAATAGATACGTGACGTCAATCTACCGTGGCGCCTAAAGCTCGTCGTGACCTTCCTTCGGTTCAGGCGTCGCCTCGTGCGAAGCAGCAGTTGATGAGGCACCAGAAACTTCTGCGGGAGGAACGTACTCGAGGCTGTTCTTCGCCTGCTCTTCGACGAACTCGATGAGCGACTCGAGTGAGCGGTCACCGTTGAAATCGAGGAATTCTTTGGAACCTGCGGGTTTGAACTTCAGTGTTGGGAACCCGGAGATGCGGAAGTCGACGGATGGTGGGAGGTCGTTTTCTGTTGCGTCCATCTTTGCGCTGATAAAGTAGGGAGGATAAATGATAAGAAAAAGTGTGTGAGATGAGATATGAGAATATACGTACATCACGAGCTTGTCCTTGATATTTGCGTAACGTTCACCAAGCGAGTCCCAAGTCGGCTTGAGACGCTTGCAGTGACCACACCACGGTGCGTAGAACTCGATGAACACATCCTTCGAGTCATCAAGTACGACCTCATCAAACGTCTTGCCCACAATCGTATACACAGCCTCGGTCTGTTCTGCTGGGATCGCCTCGCTCTTCAACTCAGGCTGGAGTTGACCGTCAAGATACTTCGAAATCCAATCGTCGATCTTATCGGCAGTGAGCTCATGGGCCTGGCTGATCGGGTACTTGAGTTGCTTATGGAGGTCCTGGACGACGAACGCTGGCCATTTGATGTCAGGTAGGTTAAGGGCTTTGGCGTGATCACCGAACTTGATCGCGTCGATCCAGACGAAGTTGACTTTGCCCTTGTATTTTGCGGCGACTGGACGAAGATTGGCGAGGTGTTCATCTTTCTTCTCCTCAGTCGGGTCGATGAAGAGATATCCGAGAGGAAGTCCGCTGTTCATGTAGGTCTGATAGTTGTCACCGTTTACCTCATCAACGTAAGGAATGGCATTTTCGAGAGCGAAAGCTTCGATTTCCTTGACTGTAGCCGAGGGGACGTGTTGAGTAAAGTCGATACGGGGTTCATCGAATTTCCTGTATAGGACGATTGCCGGAGGGGTTACACCTGCTTCCTTGATGGCCTCCTCATCAGTCGTAAAACCGAAGAGGTAGTCGTCGCGGTGCTTTTCTGCGGCTGCGGTGAATTCGGGACCGGGAGCTTGAGTTTGGGAAGAAAGATAGGCGATGAGGACGAGTCGGTCAGCGCTTTGGAATTCGGTGTGGTTGTTAGCCTTCACTTCTGCAACAGCAGGAAGGGATTGTCTGTGGAGGCGACGTCAGAAAAAGTACGATCTCAAAGCACTTCGGTGAGAGACGGACTTGATCAGGTAACTGATGATGCCGTCTGCCTTACGAGGACCAGTGTAATCAGAAGGTTCACCATATTTGAAAACCTTCAGGGTGCTGCAGCGAACATTAGAATAATCCTTCTGTTTTTGTCAGTTAGTAAGAACTACTTACGGATACCCCTTGACGTCGTGTTGCTGGCAGAGGTCAGCCTGGTCGACACAGTCCACCTTGGCAAGTTTGATGTCTTTCTCCTTGAGGGCAGTTGCGGCCTCCTCGTAATGGGGTGCCAACGCCTTGCAGTGCCCGCACCTACATAGAACGGAAAAAGAAAAAGGGACATTAAGCAACGATCAGGTCGCAGGTGAATTCTGATGAGCTGACCATGGCGCGAAAAACTCAACAAGGATCAGAGGCTCCTTGTTGACGACGGAGATGAAATTGGAGGGCGTAAGGCTGATGATGTCCGAATCATCCGCAGCGGAAGCAAAGCCTGCTGCGGCGAGCAGTGCTGCGTAGGGGGCGAGCTGCGAGAGACGCATTTTTGGGCGACGTGGACGTCGGGTGACAAGACGGAGAGGACCAGCAAAACGCGTGAATATAAACGCGACGTGGACTGACGTGTCAATGCTACAATGCGCGCCGGTTTATTCGGCAGTCTTACTCAATAGTCCCCCCCCCCCCCCACACTTCCCCCGGCGGGCGAGATTTTGTGGATGGATAAAAACTTGTATAATAAATCTATAGAC